CCGCAGTCTGACAGCAGTCATGAGAGTCGGAAACTGAGGACTACTGGATGTGGGATATATTAAAGGCAGTGAAGAGAGAGTGTCAAGGGTATGGAGATGTAGAGATCTGTCAGACTGCGGGTCGGGCCGTGCAAGGACCTCTCCTAAGAACGCGCGCCCGGAACAGAACAGACGGATAGTCGGGCCCGGAGGTACGGCGGGCGGGGTAGATCGAAACCGAAAGGGCCCGTGAACTCCACCCTGTATACCCAGTCTTTTGCAAAAGATGTGGGCCACTGCCTACCAGTCTAATGCAAAAGATGTGGGCAATTGCCCACAGGTCACAAGCCTGTAATATAAATACTAGATTAAAGAGCCAAATTGATAGCTATGACTAAGCTAATGCTATATATGGTAATAGAAGTCACTATTTCTTCAGGCCGATGATTCGGTATATAATTTGGAATAGTTTATAATACAGGGCAAGGGAATTGATGTAATCACATGTCACATTGATGGAACAGAGCCTAATAAGCAAATCAATTGATCTTCATCAAAAATGGTTCCACATCAAAAACATTATATAAAAGGCATTGATCCCATCACCTAGAAGGTGCTAGAAAGCCCTAAAATAATTAATTATCATGGAAATACTTGTGACATTTGTGACTTTAGAGCTGTTGCCCACATCTTTTGCATTACACCCATGGGCAGTGGCCCACATCTTTTGCATAGAAGTAGCTATATCAGCTGTGAACTCGGTCCCTTGCCGTGGTCGGTGGTCGAAGGTTCGAATCGGGTCGTGTCGGGCCCGATGAGTCGATAACGTCTCCTTGCACGGAGTAAGGTAGTTCTTCAGACAACTATCGCGCCTTATATACACGGGCCCGCAAAGGGGGTGATCGGACACCCTGGCCTCTTCTTCTCCTCCTCGCTCCCGTTCCTGGCCGCAGAGGGGACGATCGTACATCTCTTGCAGGCCAGGTGCTACTCCTAACCTCCTAGCACTCCTCCCCAGTCCCCTTGTGTCGAGTTGGGCTTGGCGACGGCTCGACGCGTCGTTCTCGGTCACGTGCTTCCCACGTGTGCGTTCCTCCTACTGGGGCGCCTGTTCCCCGTCGTCACATGCTGCGTGCTACGGGCCCGCGATGGCCCGACACCAGCGCCGGAGCGGACGGGCCGGGTCTTATCCGTGACAAGATATAAGTGGAGACATGGCACTTAATGAGATCAAGTGATGGGATCAGGTTTCTCTGATACCCCTAGAGCCATCACTGATTGTCACTGGGCCATTTCCACAATTTTTCTATATGAAAATTTAGCTAAAAAGATTAAAACTTTTGAATAAATTTTTCTGAGTCAAAATTTGAACTTTTTTCAGCAACTTTGACATGTAAAATATCAGAGAAAAAACTTGAGGTTTTTACCTAATGATTACGAAAAAAAATGTCAGACTATATATGGAGAAAAACCTAGGACAATAATTTTAAGTTTTTGCAAGTAGTTTGTCAAGCCCTGGGTTCAAAAACCCTTTTTCTTCACCCTTTAAACCTTTTATGTTGGCCCTGGTTGATAAGATAAGACAAGGAGGAGATAAGATGGATGATACGATGGTGATTGGATCATCAGATGTTGATGCTGATGTTGATTGACAGCGTGGAGTTGGACATGAGGCAAACAGCACGTAAAGGCATGGCTAAAGTATGACGTCATTGCCTCTTGTATTAGGCATGGTAAATACATGGTAGTAGTGTATATAAGTAGAGTAGATTTCGTCTTGTACCCCAGTCTTTGAATTCCATCATCTTTATGATATCTTTTCACAGTGCTTCTTGCTTGCCTTCACTGGCCAACTGGCATCCTCTGAATTGGTGTTGTTTGTGACATAGTTTCTGCCAACAAAAAATTCAGATAGCTAGTCTTGCTATCAACTCTCCATGGAGAGTTCTCCATGGAGTCTGCTGCTTTCTGAGTATGACCATAGATGCTTTCTAAAGCATCACTAGCTGTTTGAGAACATATCTATAGGCATGTACACAGGTAAATCCAGTGTTGCATCCTGAAGATAGCCTGGGCTGCTTTGGTAAAACATCTGTTGCTGATTGGATAACTTAACTTGGGCTGCCTTCTGAGACTGAGAGCAGCTGCAGCTGCGTTGAAGAGTTCTCTGATCTGTGAGAGGGAAAAAATCTCTTCATGAAAATTTTTCTATGCAAGAAATGAATTTAGATGAAGAACATATGAATAACAGAAGGCTGGTGTGTGGAAGGAATCTTTTTCTTAAAAAAAACCCCCTCAAAAAGTAAGAAAACAAATCTCAACAGTACTTACATAAGACAAGAGCCTGTACAAAAGAAGAGACACAAGATTGAGAGCATACCATTACACCAAGAAGCAGTGGGATAGGTGGCTGGCAGTATAGATATAGTATGAATTTGAGCGCCAGCCCCCTCCAGCTCCGTAAAGCATCTATAGCAACATTTCAAAACAACCATAGCTGCCCTTCAAGACCACCTATAGCTAGAAAATACAAGCAACCTGTGCTGGCTTGACAATGCAGCTACAGTTGTTTTACCCAGTCCAGCCTTAGACAGTCTGACAAGCTAGCTATAGCTAGCCTTCAAGCTAGCAGTCTCCATGGAGTATGTGGAGAGTTGATAGCAAGACAGTCGATCTCAAAAAATTAGTAGAAAAAAATTCGAGATGTTTCTCAACATTCTTGCTGGTCAAATATTTCAAATTTTTGATTAGTAAAATTTGGTATACAAATAATCACTCTTTTTCCTAATTTTTTTAGCAATAAAAACTTCAAGTTTTTTTCAAGGAGAAAAATTAGAAGTTTTTCTTTCCGCTTTTACTGAGGAAAAACTCAATCAAAAAACTTGAAGTTTTTTGTAAGGGCAACCCCGGAGGCCTGAGATCAAGGTCCTAGCAGGGGAGGATCCGAAGAGTGAACATTGGTAAGCGAATACAAATGAAGCTGACCTAGCAGGGGAGGATCCGAAGAGAAGAAACTCTAAGGGTCCGCCTGCTAGGTAGCTGACTATATACTGCTTGTTCGTAGCTGCCGCTGTCGGGCACAGAAGGCTTGGGCGGCGTCGCAGGCGAGGTCCCAGGGCGACCGTCGGGAGGGCGTTGACGGATCGGTGATTGTGCGGGCGAGATGGAGGGCCGGACCGGAGTCAGAACCGGAGTCGGACCGGAATCGGGCGCGTCTCCGGGCCGAAAGGGAGGTTCCCCTGACATTTTTTCTTTGAGAAAAATTTAAGTCTTTGCTTATAAAAAAGACTGGTCATTTGTGTAACAATTTTTACTGATCCAAAATTTGAAACATTTTACTTGTAAAAATATTGACAAACACCTTGAATTTTTTTTCTTCAATTTATTTTCATTTTTTTATAGTGCAGGTGGGGCAGCATGTCTGGTTATTATTTATTTGAACACCTTGTACCTATTGGAAGTAGTACAGTTAACAAAGTTATCCTACTAGATTCATGTAAGGGGAGCAATCCAGGGAGAGCTATATATATAGTAAAGAGAGACATTTACAGGTCACTGCCCAGGGGAGTGTATTTTTAAATGCTGTCCTCACAGTAGTGTGGGGATTTGCAGCCAGCTCCCAGCCAGCTCCTAGTGGGAACCACTAAAACCCTAGGCCTTTTGAACTAGTCCTTCTGCATGTTGCAGATCTTTAGCACTTTGAACCACATGTCTTTAACCAGGTCTTTGCTCAAGGTCACTGGGGTTACCACTCTTTTTGCTCTGTGAGGCCAGGAACATGTTGGTGTCTAGACAGCCATTTATAATGGTAAACTACCTATTTAATATCTCCATTTTTGAGTGCTCCACCCCATCTGCAGGGATGACCCTCTCATTTTAGAGTTTCCAGATGTCCTCGTTTTTTCTCTATATATAGTCTGGCATTTTTCTTCGTAATCATTGAGTAAAAAACCTCAAGTTTTTTCTCTGACATTTTGCAGATAAAAGTTGCTGAAAAAAGTTTAAATTTTGGGCCAGAAAAAAAATTATTCAAAAGTTTCATATTTTTTAGCTAACTTTTCACAGGGAAAAATTATGGAAATGGTGTTGGGTTGAAGAAATGAGAGTGTCAGAGGAAGAAAAGGGTGGTGGGTAGAGGCAAAAGCAGAGACGAAAGCTGAGGGTTGGCCGACCACTGTTCAGAGTTACATGGCTTGGAGCCAGGCCGGGCTAGTTGCACCCTCTTGCAGAGTACTCACCTAAAAAATTATTAACACTCAGGCTTTAAAGTCACATCACTCTGATTTGGCTCAAAGATTAGAGGTTATCAGCAGCGAAAAAAAACGGGTTTATAAATTTTGGTTTACCTTGTAACTTGTGGTCATTCAACTGAAAGGTGGAGTTGTTTTTCTTACATCTTTTAGAATGTTACCACTTCTCCCTGCCATGCAACCGGGCACTTTTCTCCCAAAATTTACAAGTGGAGCTTAAATCATTCTTAGTTTTCATGCATCAGTCCTCTATATTTTGCTAGAATCGGGGCTGCTAATAACCTCTATTGTTACAAATTTAGCTTAAAACTATGCCCTCAGATCTGGCTGCTCTGCAATGAGGGTCTGCAACGACCTGCTCATCAGCTCTTCTGTGTTCTTTTGATACAAAAGGTCTAAATTTAACTTTGTGTAACGCCAAGAGATTGAGAACCACAAGGACGTGAGAAACAAAATTCGGACCCTGCGAATTGTTTCCGTTGGTTTGTCCTCACATGCAAGCAGTGCCGCGGCGGCAAGATTATGAGTGGGCCTTGGGCTTACACGATGACTCCGTCTTTTATGGAGCGCCCAATCCGCCATTTTCCCCCCCTGCGACTGCACCAGGCTCACAAACGGCGTGACAACTTGAAACCACGCTTCTCGGACATCCGTGCTGACGACAGATGGACTGGGAAATCTTAAACGAGTGACGGATGGCGCGAAATCCCCACATGTCGCTATGCTCTCATATAAAGGTCTATCTATCGTCAAGGATTTTGGCATCCATCAATGCTTTCCCTTGCTGCAACGGTCCTGGGGCTACTAGAAGTCGTGCGAGTGGTGGCTGCGGCGTAAGTACACCTGGTTACACGACTTGCTCGCTTTACTATCGACAGTGACGACCCATGCACCGGTGCTACCTCCGCAACATGGGTTTCAAGCAAGATAGCTCATGCCTGCGAGCTCAACGTACCTTTTGACAAAGCGCGAAGTGAATCCGTCATCGACTCCGTCCTCAAGTCCCTCCAATATTATTCGCTCGAAACATGGTTCCTGGACTCACCCAATCCACTCATTCCTCACCACGTCAACGTTCGTGCGTTACTTGAAGGGGTCCAAAAGAGGACTGCAACGGTGGGATATAAGACCGACTGGGATTTCAATTTGGCGGTATGTTCGAAACCGGAGTTTCAAACCACAGCTGACAGACACACGGCCCTAAAAGATTACCGACGCATTCAACAGGGAAGCAGACGGACACACGCTTTTCGTAGCAATATGCACTGAAGCCTTCAGGTGTGGAGGGTTGTTTGCTCACTTATTGACTTTAAGCTGACGTTCTATTAGTTGGAACTTGCCATTTTCTATCGCCACCCTTGCAGACAGCCCCTTCGATCTGGTGGCACATCCAACATTCCTTGTCAATTATGATTTCCCTAATTCAGGTCGCGCTGGCCTCGAGGACTATTATGAGAGCATTGGTGTCCATGTTCGCCCTTTGGACGGTGCTCGTATCCTCAAGATTAATGGCGTTGAAGCTAGCACATACCTCGTCAACCTTGCGACCGAATCAAGCATCTACAACGGACTTGTTGGCTCTTTTGAGACCGTTAATCCCCGTTACATGAGACTGAATTCGCGCTACTCAGCGGATACCGTTTCAGGTCTTTTCACGCAGGTGCTGTACTATCTTGGTTCATAGGCTTACCTGATGTTCCTCTCAAGGAAGTCGGCCGTTTTGGACAGCGCGCGTTCTATCCCGGCGCTGATCAGGTCACTCTGGAGCTGCAACCAGCTAAAGGCAGACCAGTTACGGTCACCATACCATGGGCCGCCACTTTTATCCGTCACGGAAACTCGACACAAAGTTTCATTGAACAGACTTGCTTACCGCCGGCCAGTCAAGACGCTTCGGCCGCCAGACGCCGGCGGGAAGAGAAACGACTAGCGACTTCAGTATCCTCAATGAATGGCAAGAGGAAGGCTGTCATCGCCCCGGATACACCCGAAAAACTGAGAAAACAAGCTTCTGATCAGCGTGGCTTTGCTGGCAGTGGTAACACAGTACAACCTACTTGTGAGTCTTCATAAAAGGCTTGAGCATTCGCTTATTCATTCAGTAAAATCCTTCGGTCACTTCATCACCCTTGATATATACCAACTTGAGCAGCATCCCAACGTTGGGGTTGTGTATTTCGAGCAATTCGAGCCCTCCGATGACACGGGCTTCAATGAATATTTCGATGGGATATCAAACACCCTTTTCTCTGGATTGACTGCACTCAAGGCTGCTGGCGTCAAGCACGTTCTTTTGGATATTTCAGGCAACCGTGGAGGATTCATTTTTGCTGGTAAATTGCCCAAAAATACGTCGCCTGATCCTTATTCCTTTTAGGCGCTATTTCCCTATGGTCATTGTGGCCCAAGGACTTATACCCCGGCTTCCCAGCCGTATTTAGAGACTCGGATTTGATCAGACGCCAGTCTGCTGTTGCAGCCCAGACAGAGAACTTCAACTCGGAATACCTTTTTGAATTTTACCGTGACCTTGGTCAGTATCCGACGCTTATGGCCATTGGCAAGCAATGCTCACCGTAATCCCAGAATACAACTTGCTCAAGAACAATTCTCAATTTATGGATCCTCCGGTGCCACAAGTTGTAAATGGTGTCAAGGATGCATATTCGAAGCAATTCTTCGACGACTTCGGGGAAGGCTCATCTAGCGTCACCAGTTTTACCGAACCACCATTCTCTGGTCAAGACTTTGTCATCGTCTCAAACGGGATATGCGCCTCGACATGTTCGATATTCAGCTCGTATCTCTATCAGAAACACGGTGTTCGTTCTGCTGTGTTCGGCGGTACACCTGCGGCCATCATCTCGCAATTCGATGGAGGAATCAAAGGGTCTGAAGTTACGGACTATGACAGCATTCTCTTTGAACTCGAGACTTTGGGTCTTCAAAATGACCCAGCAGCCCCCCAGCCATTGCCGATCCAGGTTTCCTTCAGCCTCAATTTCAGAAATGCGATTCCCTACATCGATAAGCAGAATGGAATCCTCGAATACGTCTACGAGCCGGCCACCAAAAAGTATCAGTTCACGGTTGACCAGTTTAATCGTCCACAGAAAATATGGGAGTTCGTTGCAGACCAGTTCTGGGGTAAGAAGTAAGCCAACCGCTCGGTGTTTTATATAGCATGCAAAAGCTTGCGAATAAAATTGGTTGATGCGTCAAGAGTCTTGAAACCGATCGCGTTCACAGTGTCGATCGTTTTTAGACTACAAGAGTGTTGTGGTACATGAAAGAATGAATTCCTGAACCTGGCAAAGAGTAAAGGGTAGATAACATATTTGATCATTGCTGTGACAGAACCTCGAAGGTCTTTCTCTCATTTAGAAGGGAGCGCTTTGGGTTGGCTAGGGGCAACGCTCTCTTACGACTTGACCAGTCTTTGGTATTGCGGGTTATATACCGGACGGTGTTTGCGTGGCTGTGGCCTGTGGTTTATTCAAATGGCGACCCTTGGTAATTCCTCCCGTCCAAGCATATGACTCTCTTGTCTCAAGCGCCTCACAGAGCCAATCGCATTCCCGACCACAGATAAAAACTACCAACCTCCTCCTAGACCACGCCCACCTCACCTGCCTTTTCGTCGTATTTCATTACCCAGCAATCCAAACCCCCGGCATCGAGATTCTGTGGTCAGCGTTGCCTCATTCGACTCGCTGCCTGAAGAGGGCACTTCCCCGTCAAGTCCCTCCACCCCAGCAGCTATGCGGAATGTCAACGGGGGCAGACGGCCTAAAGTCCGGCCCATGTCTAGCAGCCGGAAGCTCCCGAAACAGACAGACGGAGCTCGTGAATCTAAACGGCTGAAGGTCATCCAGGAGTTTTTCGAGACAGAGAAGGCTTATGTAGATGGTCTTGACCTCATCTACTCTGTGCGTCCATTGCTATGCCAGCTAACTCACTGCTTATGATATAACAGCATTTCCTTACGCCTATTATCGCCTCCCTTGAGACCTCGCAGCCTCTTCTACAGAGATCGGATCTCGCGTCTGTCTTTTCCAACTTTGTAGACATTTGGAACCTTCACCGAGCATTCTACACCGCCCTCTCCGACCATTTGTCCGACAGCATCGACACAGAACCGCCCCCACTCTCGCCACTGTTACTTTCTCATTTCCCCTACCTTTCGCTTTATAACCCCTTCATTACCTCTTTCCCTTCAACAATATCATCCATGACCAATCTCATTGCCCCACCAACGGCCACACATCCCAATCCGCATTACAGTCCAACCTTCGCTACGTATCTGCTCACGCAGGAAGCAGATCCTCGTTGCATGAAGCTCAAGCTACGAGATTGGCTCTTGACAATTGTTCAGCGGTGTCCACGTTACCTTCTACTTCTGAAAGATCTAATATCTTGCACCGACCCCGATGATCCAGAGCATGCTCAACTCACCGCCGTCCATGCCCTCGTAGCGAAAAGTTAGTAATTTGATTCTCTGGCGCCGGGAACGCTAATAAAGTCAACTAGTCACACTTACCCTCAATACGTCCATTCATACACACGCACAAACTCTGTCTCTCCTCGCCCTCCAACGCGCTACTCCCAACCTCCCCTTCCAGCTAATTATTCCCGGTCGAGCTCTCATCAAGCGTGGACCGCTCTCACATGTCGAACTCAGCTGCCCACCACGAGATCGCGAATTCCTACTTTTTTCAGACTGCATTATCTGGCTTGAAGCAGATGAAGGCTGGGTTGGTGGCAACGCGAGCAGCCCCATCTCCAGTGGCACACATCTCAGTCCTGTTCGACCCAGCATCGTGCGTACCAGAAGCAAGAGCGATGCGGAGTTACCAACGCGTGGAACTGATGGCGAGATAATAGGCACCAAGAGCCTATTGCCGCTTCCACCAGCTCGTAAATCCGCATACCATCATCCCGTCTCAAAGATGAAGCGCAAAAGAAACGCGAGCAGTGGACAAAACGATGAAGGTAGATGGTCATACAAGGGGCGAACCGATTTGGTCGACCTTGAGGTTGTGGTCACTGCACCGCGTGAACTGGGAGAAGAGCGAAGATTTGAAGTGCTCAGTCCGGAGGGTAGCTTTGTGCTTTACGCTGGTCTGTTTTGGCTTCACGTTACTTCATTCTTTTGATGCTTACGCTACGATAGACTCAGAAGAGGAACGCGATGAATGGACCACAGCTATACGGCAAACGAAAGCTCAATTATTTATTTCACTCAATGCTACGCATCCCGACTCGACTCTAACTTCCTCTTCGTCAACTGCACATCTTCGACGTTCTTTACAAGCTCTGCCATTCCCTCCAACGGACGAGCGGCTCACTTCTCCGAAGCTGGGCAAGAAGGGTAAAAAGCTTGAACGGCGCGGCAGAGTTGAACATTGGGTCCCTGCTATCTGGATACCTGATGAAAAGACCGAAGGATGCATGAGATGTGGTCGGACTTTTGGTTGGCGAAGGAGAAGACATCATTGTCGACTATGTGGTCGATGTGTCTGTGCTTCGTGTTCCGAAAGAGTGAGTTTCTTCTGCGTTGAAGAGTATCTGTTCAATGCCTGTTTAGACCTTCTTCATCACCGACCCAAATTCAAAGGAGGAATCTAGCAAACCAGCCCGTGCTTGTAATGCATGCTATGAGACTGTGTTTCCTCTTTTGGACAACCCCAGTGACGAGGAAGAACCGGACGATATCCCAAACAATATGCTTGACGCCCACTCGAACACGATGTCGTCACTCTCCAATTTCCCATCTTGGTTGTCTATGCCATCTCTTCCATTAACATCGACACCAGAAGCCCTCATGGCCATCGATAGAGGGCAGAATAGACAACAGCAGGCTAAATACGACCGGCTTCGTCGTGGAGATGCTGCTTCCGCCTCGCAATACGCCGTCTACGCACACGGCGAAGAAAGTAGCGAGATGTCCACGCACGGAGTTGTACGAGTCAGATCGCCACCACCTCGACCAAGGAGTTATCATCAGATTCTAGAAGACTTTGAAGAGTCATCTAGATTCATGATTACTTCGCCTGTTGATGAGGAGGACGAAGACGGCAATACGACAACTACTTCTACAACGTCCAGATCACACTCACGACCTGAAACGATCATTGACTTGGGAGATGATGACGATATTCCAAGGGAAGACACAGCCAGACGAAATAAGCGCTTTTCTTTGCCTGCAGTTGCTCTCCATACGACTAGCGTAACTGCGAGGACCCAAGCTATGCCAGACAAACGACTCAGCAGTGCCGTTGGAGGGCAGCCTCACAAGGCGATGAGAACTAAAAGGTTCTCGCTTGTTTTAGGGAGCAGGCCACATATTGGCGGGAAAGCTCATAGTGAACTGATTTCAGGAAGGAGCCCAGCCGGCGGGGAGCAGTCAGGGCCCGATTTGGGCAAAGGCGTGGCTGCTGGGAAGCTGAACGAACTGTTGGGTCGACACAAGGCTCAAACGACACCTGCTGCATAAACGATTCGCAAACACTTTTGATGACCTTTGACTCTTTACGGACACGTCTCGATCCTCGCACAATTTTTAATATTATTCACTATTAACCAGCACTGTAAAAATGTAATAGCCTGTAGCAACAACTTGCAATGGAAACGCCGAGAACATGATCAATCGTTACTACCTCTTTCGTCCTCCCACCATCTACACACACACGTCCCATGGCCCCATCACTCGCTAGCAAGCTCTATACGCTCTTTTCGTCCACGCTCGTTTCGATTCAAGCTTTCTTTATCTGGCTGTTCGCCTCGACGCCTAACCCTATCCTACAAATTACACCCTACCCGTTCAGACCAGATTTGGAAGGGAGAGTGCTCGATATCAGTCTAAGTGCGTACCGTCTCGCTCAAAAGCCCACCATCTTACCATTTCTATCTAGGCTCGATAGAAGCGCAGACTCTCGATATCTCGCTGCAATTGGATAACCTGGGTAAATTACTTATTCCCGCTAAAACATGAATTGTTATTAACGAAGCTTAGCCCGCAGTAGTAGTGCACCCTCTAGACGTCGTGCTGCTAGTGCTCCAACGACTAGTACATTCGTTACCATTCCTCTGAATCAGCACAACAACGCTATCCTGCCTCTCTGCCACTCTCGCCGTTTCTCTGATACTGCCGAAACTCAACTCAAGACCACCTCATTTCCTCTCGCCAACCTCGCGGCTCCTCGATCCTTCGTCGTGCCACCGCCGCCCCAAGGCAAATCCACCAAGAGTCGCATCTCGCTCAGGAGTATTGTCCGCAAGAACAAGGAGAATCATACCAAGCAGTCAAGTCCAGCCTTGCCAGTCGCTCGCAAGCCTTTGGCATTCAAACCTGCCTCTCGTTATCTCCATCTCGTCGCTAATTCGCCAGTGGTCCCGACGGTCTCGACATCAGTTGCTACTTCGGGCCCGTCACTTGGGCTTGGAAACTACAGCTACCCACGACGCAGATCAATTATCGGCCGGGCAGATGCAGAAGACAAGCCGGAAACTGAGGACCCATCGAATGCTTTTGACTTTGCTGCTCGCGTCAAAAGCGCATTCTATGGGTGTCGAGCTCTTGATGACGATGACTGTGATGCTCGAGAGTTTTTCAAACGCGATTCCTCTTTTGGTTGCCAGTTACACGATCAATATGGAGGGGAAGAACAGACACAGCTCGATGACTTGACTGTTTCAACCGATTCTGTCTACGACGCGTCTTTTAACACGAGCAGTATAGTTGATGGCAGCTTCGCCTTCTCTGCCACCTCTTCGGACTCCTCCAGCTCTATTGTCACCTCAGAAACGTCAATATTAGCGCTTCCAGTTGGTAAACTGGCCCCCCTGACCCCAAACACGATGATCCTCCACCATTTGCAAACCTCGTCGGACTCTTCTTCTGAGTTGCCGTATCTCTCCGCGGGAGACCGTACCTCAAACGGCAGTATGGCTTGTGAACTATCGATGTTGCCACCATCTCGTCCTGCATCAAGTATCTGTCTCGACACAAGCCACGTATTTAGCGACTTGTTGGCGTCGTTGGAGTGCAAGTTCCCTGGAACAGAGTTGTCGGATCTCGAGGGGATAGGGGGCAAATACCGTGGTGCCATTGACCCTTTTATCGTGGAAGACGAAGACGGGTGGAGCGAAGTGGTTTCGTTGGCGAACTCTTCCTTGTAGTTAAGATGAAATGGCTTGCAATCACTACCAACGAAAGAAAGAACAAACAAGCTAAGGATACACTGTGATGCGGAGTACTTAACAGTCAAGCTGAGGAAATGGATAATCTTAGGGAGCGGCCTTGGAGGTCCTTAAGATCGTGCATGATTATTTGGCGTTTGTTGTTCCACTCCGTCCAAACGTCGTAGCCAATATATATGTGACAGGCGAAGTTGGGGTTGGAGAGGAGAAGCAAAGACGCCGCTCGAGACCGTAGGAAGCCGGAGAGCACCTGAGGGTCAGAGTCGATCCCAAATGGGCTGCGAAGGACGAGATGGCCGAGCCTGGGAACAAGGCCAGTGGACGTGCCAATGTTGGTCACAGTCAATGCCTGGAAGAAGGAGGTGGCGATAATAGGAGAGGATGGATCGTAGTCCTTCAGCGAGAGACTCTGGAGAAACGGCAGAGCATGCAAACATTCGTGTAGCTGAGCGAGCGTGAGGGTGACAGCGAGGAGATCCAAAGAGGTAAGATGGTTGGAGAAAATCGAACGCGCCGCCAAACTGATGAATTCGGCATGCGGCCATGGTAGTGGAAGTGGCTCTCTGCTATCGAGAGTTGGCGCCCGCTCGAAGGACAGTGAACGAAGGTTGGGCAGAGTCAAACTACCCAAAATTTTGTCGAAAACTCGCGTGACTTGCTCTTTAGCATGGGGCCTGTGCACGTCGCCCGCTTGCAGCGACAAACATGAGACTTGAGAAACAGTCTGCGAAATTTCGACTGCATCCACGCCTTGTATGAGCTGTGGGTGGAGAGTCGGATAAAACGCGAGGGAATACTGGAGGGTTGTCGGTAGAGCGTTGAGAACGGCAACACCGGCATTTAGTTCCCCAAGATACACGGTGCAAGTAAGTCTTGTGAGTCGATGGAAACAAGAGCTGGGAATAGCCTGAATCAGAGTGGCACTGACGGAAACAGTTTTAAGTCTTTGAGCGGATTCCATCCACCTCAGAACATTAGATGTGGGGTCAGGGACGTCTGCGGCTGCCAGTCGAAGATTTTCAAGCAATGAGACATTATTCAATGCCTTACTGGAAAGGAGCTCCATATCTTCGACTAAGCGCAACGTCGTCAGATGAAGGCTTCGAGTTGAAGGCAGAAAAATGGGGAGTATATCAAGACAGCTTCTGTTGAATTTGAGCAGACGTATGTCAAAGGGGGCACCATGGGATCTTTGCAGCGTCGTGTCAACAAGCGCGGTGACGGTCTCCCCTGAGTTTTTAGATGTCAAGACAGATTCGAGGGCTTTCACGTCAATGAGCGTCCACAATTTCGGGCTACGGAGAACAATTCCTCGCCAGTAAGCGCTGACATGCGACAAAGCGCGGGCAGGAGCATGAGCAGCTCTCGCTAAATCTGCACCTTGCTCAGTGTTGAAGTCCAAAGAGTGCACGTGGTATTGGAAGATTTGTACGAGCACATCTTCAGGCAACATTTGGATAGGTGAAAAGAGAGAAAGGTAAGCATCGAGGTGCCGGCGGAAGGCTTGAAGGTCTGAGTCGGATGTGAATGGACGAGTGATTGTGGACGGAATCAAGTGGGACCGAAGATGATGAAGTATTGTATCGAGAGGTGGGATCCCGAGGGAATGGCTGAAAGCATCTGCGAAAGAGCTGTTATTGGATTGCATGCGATTTGGAGAGGAGCAGGTTGATTTGGATCACATGATCAGCGATTTGATGATCGAACTAACGATAAGATAAAAGATTATATAACTTAGTGTGTGACTGTCACCGTCATGTGAAATGGGAAACCTTTGACTAGGCACCACTGGCAATGGACTCTAATTCTGAGGCCAGTAATGCAACGCCCTTCAAATCTCCGAGTTTTTGCCCTCTGGAATTGGATTGCTGCTATACCTCTCATCTCATTCGTCGACGGGCGGCTTCGACGTCTCACAAGAACTCCAGCAATTCTTCCGCTTCCGACAAGTCAATTCCCCACTGGCAAGCGACTGCCTCGGTCACTCGTCACAGCGCTGTAGCCCTGACGGGGACACATGAATTCCGACGCCTGCTGCAGACTGGCGCCGTGCTACATTTGGAATGTACAGATGAACAGGCCTGTGAACTTGAAGACTCTCACTGGCATTACTTACGCGCTCAAGACCATCTCCGCTGATTGTTGGTATATACTGTAGTACCAATATATACATATATATTCCTCAGCCGACTCGGTAGGTTCAACTTTGAATTTATCAAACACCTATGAAAACACCATGGTCGCTCGGAGTCGCACCTATCTGACGAGTCACGCAGGTCCAGGATTCCCTTCCGTCCATCCGTATCGTCTGAACGTGAACCTTTCATGTTGCACGATTTGACTCCGCGACTCAGAAGATGACAAGTGGCAAGTCGAGCTGCAGGTGGAGATTTTTCTGGGATTTATTTGTAGGATAGCCTGGATCCGGATCCAGAGTAAGGTTGGCCATTGTCAACTGATGCAACCAACTTGACGCTAACCATCCGAGCTCATACTGCAGGTCGAGCCGTGACGACGACAATGATTCATTGACGCTGACGTAGTTTTCCAGGTTCTTCTAGCAATAGCAAGAACAAATGGGCAGCATGACACGGAGCCGTTTGCTGATGTGACTGAACGCCGCAACTCACGATTCCCAGGCTCGTTGGACGAATATAGCTGCCTATACTTTGGGAAGATATCGATTAGATACCATGGGAGCCCAATAACGAAATCACATAAAAAATGCGGAAGCGGGTTGTCTCTGGAGCCCAGACTGAGGCTCAGGCTGTTGTTTCTCATGGGTGCGTGAAAAATGTTCGGACGGAGAGAAGAGTCACCAAGTCAGGTGCACACGCCTCTTGGCTGTTGCGGTGCTAGTGGACATGGCTGGGAAACCCAAGACACTGCAGTGCAACTCACGATGCAACGCACCTTGATGGCGGGATGATGCTAATGTATGACCAGTGAGCAGTTGTGCACCCACCATCAACCAATCTTCGCACACTGTCACGGATTCCACATCAGCCCGATGCGTGTCTCCAAACTCGGACAGATTTCTATTCCCCGACTCTTGGTAGATCCCCACCTCTCTCGTCACCAATCTTCTCTTCTCTGTTTTCCCCGGCTCGGTCCGCACGCCGACTGACATGAAAGTTGGCACCTGCCCTATTTGGCATGCACAAGTAACCGTGCATATGCTAGATTACGCAGCTTTGACGAAGTCTGTTGGAGTAGACATAGTTTCCGACATGGGCGTGGGCGGGATGAAGTGCTATTCCTCGAAACACCTCCGATTGTTTCAAACCCATCGCTCTCTCAGGCTAGTCCATCGATCCATCCATACTGCCCGCTGATTGCCCATAACCAGTGGCGCACTTTTTCGCAGCGGGTAGCTGGGATTCTAGCCACATGCCTTGTAGCCCCGAGTTATATGCGCTTGGGTCGCTTGGCAATCCTGGCGGTCATCTTGTGAACGTCGTATTCTGCCATTGTTGGTAACCCGCTCCCATGCGAGTTGGCTTGGAGTTGTCGGTACCCGCCCGTGTCCGTGCCTCCCTTGATCCGGGCCTGGGACCCGGTCAAATGATGCGCCAGTCCGGTCTTCAGTTGTTTAGCAGCGGTTGACCGGTTTCTCCCGGGATTCAAATGACTGGAAAACACTATCACCGATGGCGGCATTCAATCGTATTGCGCATCTCGGATTTGAGCGAGGCACGGCAACTCAAGGCAACTTAAGCTGCCTTGAGCGCCTGAGGCTTGTTTGCCCGACGGGACGGACATATATATATCATAATAGGACTTGATAAGTGCAAAAAATGAGACTGACGGAGCCGAGAGCTGCTCTGCCAATGACTGAAATCCATCAGCTTATTCCTGGGGCTTGGTAAGCGCTAATGAGATAAGACTTACCAGCATCCAACACATCCAAGGGTCGGACCCATCAATCATTGGCGAGTGCCGCCACGGGTGAAAAGTATGTGAAAAGGGCTGTCGCGACTTGAGGAAAAAGGCCGACCAGTGCGCAGCCGACTATAGAATATGATCCCGGGCCCAGGTATTCCGCCAAGGGTAAGTCATATTTAGACGGTGGGGTATTAGTGCCGTGCAGAGAATATGGACAAATTGTCTCAACTCAAGACGAGCGTTTGTGACCATATGCTGTCGCTCATGATTCAGAAGCTTCTCTGCAGCCCTCCTCGGCGCGGAACCGAGCCGCGAACCATGAGTGGCCCAAGAGCAGGTGACCAACAGAGTTATCGATGACGGTGTATATTCATGGCCTGTGGGAGGATATCAAGTCAGACTTGAAGGGAGAGAGCATTTTAGCATTCACCAACAACAGATTCAAAGCCAGAATAAGTCCCTGATGAGGAGACGGAGAGCAAGGAGCTGTCCATCTAAGCCGTCTCGATGGCCCTGGACGTCGAGGACGTTGGATTTGTCCGTTAACGAAGGACTCTCACTGGCAGAGAGTGAGAAAAAGTGGGAGTGTCGTTCTGCTGTGCAGTTGTCTATGCCTGGGTCGACAAGCAATGCTGCCCGTGAGTACCGGGGAAATGGGTCGGTGCCCAAAGTTCGCACCGCCTGGAAGAGACGAAATCTGCCAGTGAGAGACGTATGGAGAGAGAAAGTGGTAGAGTCCAGGCGCGAAGCAAGGGGCCGCAAACGAAGCCATCCTGGACATGGGATCGGCTCGAATGAAGGTTCAACTTGATTCAGTCATCCAATCTCTGTGCTTCGGACGACCAGGAAGCCAGAAATGGTGACGGAATCTCGGGGCGAACAGCATTTCGTAAAATCATTGCGTGTAGGGGCTCTTATTAGATGAAGCCATGACCGTTTCACCGGGAAGGCGATTGACCATGAGAAGATGGCTAAAAAAACAATCATATGCGGAGCCTCTTGCCATGAATGAGCCATGAAGGTAGAAAGCATGCATTCCGCCAACCGATCTGTATCGAGTCGCGAAAGAGAAAATGACCGCGATTCTCTTTGAGAGAAAGCCGACTACCACACATTAATGGATGGCTTTCAGTTCGACACCGCGATGCTCTTCCCGGGCGGCCCGACTCCGGCGTTCCCTCGACTAAGGACCGCAAATTCACCGCTCAGCGGTTGACAGTATACGCGCTAGACATGGGCAAGCAGCGGGAATTTGAAAAATATTAGGATTGTGGGGAGGGGTAAGAGGGACTGGGAAATGTGTTGTGTGTTGCTTGACCCGGGGTTTGGGTGAATGACCGTCAGGATCCAGGCTTGGCTTGTCGCCGCCGACTGCAACCAAGGGCACGAGTATGATTTCCGTGAGTCGGATCCCAAGATTACAACCATTTCTCAGGTGCCGACCACGCCTGCGGATTCGTGAGAAGGACGAGAAGTGCATTGAAAGTGCAGCTGGGAAAATAGTGCCTGCTGGGGTTGAGAGCGCGACAGTATGTACGGGACCCAGACGACAGTGCCAATTTGGATACCATCCGACCATGAAGGCGAAGTCGCCAACTTGTCCTATCACATCCCGAGAGGCGCTTTTTTGGGTCTGACAACGAAGCCCGAGAATCGACGGTATGCATAGACCAGTAAAAAAACTGGAGTTGACATAATCTGAGCGACCTATAAGTCAGCAACGAGTTAAGACTAGAGGCACGGCGACGCACAATTCGAGAATGAATATGCAAGTGGCTTCCTATGACCAGCTATGACCTCAGCGTTGTCCAACCCAACATGATTCGGGACCGACTGCGCTTGCGAACGATGTCGTCTGAGCCGGTAGTTCGGGAGCCAGGGTCACTTCGCCTGAGACGATTTCGCTTGGTCTGGGACATTCACATCTTGTCAGTGTTCGGTCGACGCTTGGTGGGAGTTGTTGTGCTTTTTCAAGGGAACTTGGCAGGCTGGTCAGAGCCCCGCAGTTCTTGCGACGATGGCTGATAGATCACAAGCGGCATCTTTGTTCACTGTCGCGAAGATTGACCGAAATGGTTCCTCAGGCCTTGAACTCGACTTGAACTCGAGAGAGTGAAGTGAAAGGAAAGTGATGCCGATGACGCCTGTGAGATGCCGCAGAACGGATCAGTCCAATTGATCAAGAACAGCAGTTCATTTTTCCACAAGGTGCAGTATACGTACTTTTACATGCGACGGAATGAAGGCACGACCGACAATTGCAGTTTCGCAATTTTATCGAATGTCCCGGAAATCACAGACTCTTGTCCTCAATGGCTCATGCTAAGTATTAGGTGTCCACAACATCTAATCAACGATGTCCAGTACTTGCTTAGCTCTGAAGATTGCCATCCTTTCAGTGAGCGGACTCACCGGTCCGGCTCCGGCAGCACTGAGGTACAGTTCTGAGTTCAGACGCGGACTATAATATCGTTTGCCTTAAAGCACCGGGGTTGATTATATTCCCGCCTTGTTCTCGCCCCGGGTCAAGCGCGTCCCGTCAGCTTCAATCACAATAATATCTAGCCTGAGTATGCTGGGCTTTCCTCGGATGATCGATGATACCAAGTTCTCATCTTATCAGCTGGAAAAAAACTCATCTCAACCATTTCTCACCTTGGTGAGTCTGTGCAAAGAAGGAGAAAAAAACTCCAGTTCTCGATCGACTTGAACCACAGGCTTGTCCACGTACAAAGCAGGCCCATCGTGGCAGTCCTTGAGGTAGCGCGCAGTGGCACGATCGCGGTTTATCGGCGCCAGGCAAAGGTAATCCTGGAGCCCAGTGAGTTGGTTCAATCTTCCTTTCCTCCCCTTTCCTTCCATTCACTCAAAAATCGATAAACCTGACAAATTCATTATCCGATTAATTACATCCTCGACACGGAGCATTTTGAGTTTGCCCGAATTTCAAACCACCTGGCAGAGTTCCTGACGATTGGCAAAGAGGCCTTTGGCCTCTGGAATCCAAGAGTTCTACGCGGATTAATTCGAGCCCTATGTACAGATTACAATTACAAGAGGGTTATGGTACACTTTTGTTGCTTCCGAGTTGAGTAAAGTATGGTACTTCCAAGCTTAGTTGCAGTGGGGGAATGCAATGCGTCGTAAGTGCGTTCGTTTCGTGCAGGAAATGAAAGGTTGCGCAAGATATTAAGGTAAGGTAGCAAAGTAAAAACAAGAGGCAGGTGAAGAAAATAACGTGGCCAGCGTTGAGGGTCTTTGATCCCACGCCCGTCCGATGTCCGCGCGGCGGCGTGCATGGGTGGGCCATGAGCGATCAAGGGTGTTTCCCCAGGCTCGCTTGGCGAGACCGACGGTGAGAAAAAAAGGCAAGGGTAGATGGATGCGACATCATGGTTGTGAACGAGCACAAGCCTCGAGTGCATATGACACAGCAGCTTCACAGGCGAGTCTCTGGGTTTCTTCATCGACATCGCCATCAATGAGCATTGATGGGTGAAGCGCGTGGACCCTGAAAGCTCTGGCGCTTGCGAATCGGCGGTCACAAGCAGAGCAATGCCTGTCAGACCGTGTATCGACAAGAGAGGTGCTTCGTTGGTGGGCTGGCGGTTGAGGGTAGAGAGAAACAGTGTGCCGTGGGGAAGTATGTCGTCGTGATAGACTGACTGGAGGGGCGAGAAGTGTTGATGTTGGTGTTGGGGGGTTTATCGCTGGCTGAAGGTTGGTCTTTACAGAAGGAGATGATCCAGACGTCCTTGAACGTTTGGAAGCAGGAGTAGATTCTTCTGAAACTGAGCTTCGGCTCGATGCAGCACGTTTCCGTAGTTGGGTGGCTGGAAAGCAAGGTTAGCATCAAAGAAGCGTTACTTGGGAAATATACCTACGGGGTAACACAACCGTAGGACTCGGCGCAGTCACTGTGAAAGTCGTTCCCGTAGGTTCCGCCGTAGTCGTAGTTCGCCATGCAAGTATTCGATCAACTTTGATACTCTCTTCCTCGACCATTTCCGCCTCCATATCGTGGTCATTGCCATCAGGAGCACTCGAGCAATATTCGTCTTCAAGTTGGTCCTCCTCGCTCTCTGTGTACAGGCCAGAAGAGGTCGACGAAACGGAGGCCGAGCTGGGTGGCAAGGCTCTTGTTCGAGGCGGGGCAGGCATTTCCACGAGCTGGATTACGCGAACTGCAGGGGGCTTGTCCACCAAAGTCAGATTGCCCAAAGGCAGCTTCGTCAATGACCCCATGTCAGATCCAGTCGAGGTTGACGCCAACGGTGAGGGCGAGTAAGAGTGCGGGTATGGATATAGGTATGGCGCATGCATGGCTTGGGGGTGTCAAGAAAAGTCGGGCGGCTGCCTGGCCCTCTTTTATAGTAGACAGCCAAGTACGGATGCGACATCACCGCCACCTCGGCGCAATAAACAGAGTTAGAATTAGAACATCGAGATCTCGATTGCCCGATTCGGCGTGCGAATTCCTCCTTCCGAATTGGGATATCGTGTCCACGGTCTCATCGCTGTCCTTAGCCCTTCCCCACTTCCCACAAAGGTCACATTGAGATGGTCCAGCCTGCTGTTTTTCTTCCCATGAATGCTATTCGTCGACTGATAATAACATCGTCTCTCTCTCTCCCTAGCTACTCGAACGACCGGAGAATTCGCGGGTGAAAGCAGCAGAAAAAACCATCTCCAAAAAGTTCAACTCACGGCCGCATCGGCGCCAACCATGCTTCGGCTGCCTCAAATTGGTCAACAAGCTCCCTCAGAACAGCTGCCTCTGAATGCAGTTGCCTCATCGCCGTAAGTGCCTGCAACAGACATACCGGGTCAGCAAAGAATGTCACTCAAAAAATGTGAAAAAGCGGGAGCGAAAGAAGAAAGGATGGCGCTAGTTGCCACAAGTGTGTGTCGGTCCAACGCGCGCACAAATGTATGAGTTGCCGCCCGCAACGCGCTTGCCTACACGCCATCGTCCAGTTATGAGTACAAGGGCCCGTCTGCCCAATCATTCCCCATAAAGACCCCAAAATTCCACACACCCGCTTTAGCGCACTAAGCGCCGTGAGTACCCACGCCATAACCGCCTTGCACGGACGGACACAGCTACTAGGGGCCCCAGCAAGTAGTTATGAATGATCCAAATTTGGAACGAAAGAGATGAAAGAGCAAGCGAATCAACCGTCGCGGGAATGAACCCGACAACGAGGCCGCACAAAGAGTAACAGAGAAAACCACGATTCAGATGGTCTTTCATCGGGTGTCAGACCATGGAAACAGGGCAACAAAGAGATGATAGCAAATGTGCCAGAAACACGCACCAAGTCCCAGAAACGGAAACCGCGCTCGACCTCAAGTTTCGGATATTTGACGCCAGGGAATGTTTCTTCACAAATTTCGAGCGCCATGGCCTAGAAAATCCTCAGTCTCATCAACTTCATCAACAAAGAGATGCGACGATAAACCTTGGCCTCCTTGACCCCAGGCGCATTGGGGTCTCGAACTCGTGTTCGGTTATTAATATGTGTGAGTGCATCCAAGTAAACCTTCGCAAGTACTCCGAATCCCGTGTTGACCTGCCGCATATTCAACCATCGGTCAGAATGGCACAAGGAAAAGACAGACCTCAGTCTGGAATGGCAGGCTCAGCGATATATCCAACAGATCATCCCGAGCTCGACGCGCATCGTTCCGCAACAGCATATTGAGACTCGTAACCTCAATCAACGTGCGCAAAGCTCGCGTAAGGCTCCGAACGAATGCGTTGAAGACCAGGAGCTCGCGGGAAAGAGGGGCAGACCAAGGTTGAGCCTAAAGTCTTGAATTAATTGGTGCGCAATCAAGTGAATGATAGAAGTGACCTTGAAATTGAGCGGAACAATGCTTAAGACGCGCATGACGAGCAACATCGCAGACTTTTCCTCATCTATGTCCAGTAATTCAGATGATCCAGGTATTTGAAGCAAAAACAACTGACCCGTTCCGAAACTCGGTCCACCGCTGAAGGCCCGACCACTCCACAGATGGCCATGCATGACTCCCGCCCGCACAAGCTCGAGGAACAGATATAACGAGTCTTGAAATTTGTCGTTCACCTTGGCTGTCTTGACGGCAACATACATTGCCCTAGCAAGTGGCGAGTGTGTATGAGTATTCAGTAAGAAGCCACGCAGTTCAAGGAATCGCCAGATGACATTTGCGACAACTTCGTCCTTCTTGTCGAACGGGGCTGAACCGGCTCGACCTTTTGTTCGCCCCGCAAGACGCTCGCTTGCTGTCGCCCCCAGACATAAAGCAAAATCGATGGTGGAAGACTGTAGAATCGAATTAGTGTCCCATTGATTCAGATTAGCCGACCAACACACATTTTGTCTCCTCAACTCCTCCTCCACCGTTGCATAGGGTACGTTCCACCCAGCGACACGCTCTGCTAGCTGCACTGTTTGCGGAGCACTGTGCGCGATTTGTTTCGAAGCATGGGGTCCGGGTTGTTGATCAAACCAAAAGAATCCCGCTACTTTCCGATTAGCCCAGAATGGGTGGCAAACGCTCGACAACAGAGCCAATGCAGTTGCACGAGGCCCAGTCTGGCCGTCAGTTACAACTTCCTTGATGAATCGCTTGTATTCTGTCGTCTCGCCGTTGTCGAGTGGTGGTGGCTCAATAATTTGGCCACTAGTTAACCAAATGAGGGCTTGGGGACCGACCAGTCCACGCGAAAGATAGAAAAATATCTAGACCGCAATCAGTTGTGCACAAAAAAAGGATGAAACAAACTTCATCAGGCAGGCGATTGGTGAATACATCATGTAGGTCGGTGGGTACATCAGAGGCAGATGGTCCACCGCCTCCATTCCCAGACACAGGAAGAGGTAGCACTTGACCTTCCGCAGACAAGATAAGGCTATAGCGAACCTGTTAAGAAGTTAAGCGCTGCGGGCTTGATACTCTTGTAACCCTCACCATACTCCTTGTCCTCGCATAATGTTCCGTATAGTTGATGCTTTTGACGGCAGGGTGTTCTGCGAATGCAGAGACAGCGGCAAACCCAGATTTATAGTATTTTACCATATCGACCGTTGCCTAACAAGGTATTAGCGCTAGACTCGCTGATGGGAATCGGCAAGCACCTTCAGAGCTTGTTCGTGCATTGTTGGAGGGAATGCAGGCGAATGGGAAAAGCCGACAAGGATTGCAATGTCAAGGAACTGGTCTTCGGAGACCTGAAGTTCCTGTATGATGTTACGCTTGGAGAGAAAGGTAAAGGATGGCGTAGGAGCGCCAAGGTCGACCCCAGTGATGAGTTTATCGACACCAGGATAGAGTAGTGTGTCAGTCGACCCATATATCGCATGAATATATTGTTTTGGGTGCCGTTGGAGGTAGATGAGCTGGACAGTCATTAGCATTCAGCTGACGAGAGACGTCGTTTTAAGACGCACTTGAGCCCAGGCAACATACGGCGCCACAATATATTCGACGTTTCGATGACGAAAAATGCGCAAAACCATCCGCCAAAGATCCCACTGCTGAAAAGCACTTCTGCCCTCAAAAAGCTTCGTGGCTGCATCCTCCTGGCCCGCTTCATACTTCGACCATGCATCACGACGATCTCGACAAGCCTCCGTATAGTCTAACCCGGCATTGGGCTTCCACCGTCGGTTTGGGGTGAGACCAGTGAAAACGAAAACGGGTTTGATACGAAGGCGCTCGAGGGTACGCAAGTCTGTCTCGATTCGTTGCGCTAGGGCAAGGGGTAGACCACCGGTAGCAGCCAAAAGTGGCTCCCGAGTTGGTGGATTGTCGGTGAGCTGTTCGAGGTAGTGGGACGCGTCAATACCCAGGCGTGAGTCGGAGAGCACAGAGAGAGGGAGAGTTTGGAGGTGTTTCCGCTCCACGAGGAAGTCTGAGCATATCGGGTCAGCCTACAAACATCTGAAACTGCTGAACTCACTTTGAAAATGCTTGATGGGCATGGCGGAAACAAACTACAGGTTAGCACGTGATGCACACAGCCTCCTTTCGAACCCCAACAGTTGCCATTATTTTCTTTCATTTCTTCGATTTGGACGACGTCCAGTGTCTCTTTATCAAGACCGCACACTTCAAAGATTGCGCGCACTGTAATTCAGCGGCTGTGTGAAACTTCTGCAATATGACCACCTCACTGTGACTTCGCTGCTGTTGGAAACTTTTGCTTCCCCTGCTTCCACACTTAGGAACCCATTAAGACTATCAACACATACTCCCAATCCAAAACTCCAATTTCCGTGTGATGCCAAAGTCAAGTTCTCATCGTAACGCCACTGGGAGCTTCGAATCACCATGCGATCTTCGTGAGTCTGCGTGATAATGTGGACCATCGGTATACGCCGTACGAATTTAAAACTGTCTCGCTCCCAATACATGTGTGTACAGGAGTCCTGTGGTTGTCGTGATTGCAGATAACACAACTTCGGTAAGTCAACAGCTTCTTTCGGTTCCCATAATCTCCTCTCACAACTCCCTGCAAATGCTCATGATTACCAGAACACTAACGGGGTGAGACTGACCATGGACAGGGCAGTACGAGCTGCCTGATATGGTTCGGATCTTGGTGGTTTCCTCACTCAGAACTGAGAATGTTCCTATGTATTCAACCCCGGTGTCAGTCCGGTGTCGACCAGCGACTTTCCCAGTAACCCACCCTTCGACTTCGCAGCACCAACATTCAGGGCGTGGAAGCTGTTTGCCGTTGTTATTTCCCACTTTGGCTACTTTTCTGATCTGATTCTTATAAAGGAAAAGCCTTTCTTATAATGATTAGGTCTGTCTCTTGACTCTCTTATTGCCACCGCTACATATTCACACTCGTACTGCAGTGTGGTTGCCCCTGTTTTTTTTCTTTACATGCTTGATTTAGGATGGAGTCTCGTAGTTGGGAGCACCTCAGGTGAGCATCTCCCTTTCTCCAGAGTTGCCCAAGTTGCACTCTTGGGGCAGAGCATCTCTTTGTAGCAAGCATGGTACATTTCTACCTATGTATCATGTGCTTATGCTCTCAAACATGAATTTTTGCCTCCCCCAGTCTCTTGGGGGATTTTATCTATTCACATCTTCCTACTTACACAGACAGGCCAAGTGCGACAAGCTAGCTTATTGAGGGACATTCCCATATCAAGAGCTTATCTTGAGAGACAACCCTTATTCATACCCTTATCCATAACACTGCTTAAAACATTCAGTTCTTAATCTCATCTCACCATGAGCTTATTAAATATTCTGGACAGCCTCCATGTACCAAACAAGCCTCCTGCTAATGGTATCTATCTACTCAGATTTTAGATTTAAAAAACTCCTCCTGATTGGTTTTGAGTTAGTTGATGTTACCGTCACATCCAGCCCACTTCAAACTGCACTTTCACGTCGTCTAAACACTTTATCCTCCTAAAATAACAAGTCTGGCAAGAATTTCCAGCATCACAATGATCACCTGAGAAGCCGGAGTTTGTGCTGTGATGACGACGACTACATCGTCGATGCAAACACATGCGCCACTTGGCTCGACACTTCGTATTGCTATCGTTGGCGGTGGAATGGGTGGTTTAGCTACGGCCCTTGGCCTTGCACGAAATGGATTCACTCATATCACTGTTTACGAAGCTGCCAAAGACCTCGGCTTCGTTGGCGCAGGCATTCAGGTTGCACCAAATCTCGCGAGGCAGCTTCAGAGGCTTGGAGTATGGGAACATCTAGCGACGGATGCTGTCAAATTGGAATCAGCAGATGTCCGTGGTGGGTCCAATCCTTCTTGAACCAATACATCTTACATAAGGTCCATAGCCTGTGCAAGCAACGAAGTGCTAGTCAGAGTTCCACTTGCGCATGTCACAGAGCGCTACGGACAACCACATCGGGTTCGTCAAGATACGATTAATAATCTTGCTGATTCAGATATTATGGTATTCAGGTAGCCCACCGTTCAGCTCTTGCGAATGCACTGTTCCAAGGCTGCAGGGAGGCTGCGTCTTACGTTACGGTCCATTTTAACACCAATGTTCTCGACGTTGACTTTGGTGATCCTCGCATCCTTGTCAAAGAGCGGGGCGAGCCCGGAAATGGACGTTGGGTCAAGGCAGACATCATCATTGGAGCCGACGGAATCAAGTCAGTCATTCGCAAACAAATGCTTGCGAAGCATGGCGAAGAAGATCGGGCTCAGGACACTGGACAAGCTTCGTACCGCATCATGCTCAACCGTACGCAAATGCAAGACGACCCTGAGCTCCTCGCACTTGTCGATGCCAACAGCTCATTCAGATGGATCGGCCCTCGACGACATGTTATTGCTTACCCAATCTCCGACCACACAATATTCAACATATCTACCACCCAGCCCGACATCAACTTTGCTGCGGCCCCGACAGCCACATATACCACACGGGCAGACAAGCAGGCTATGTTGAATGTCTTTCAGGACTTCTGCGATGTTGTCCAACGAATGCTCAAGATGGTACCGGAGGGTGAAGTCTGCGAATGGAAACTCCGTGTTCACTCGCCACTCGAAACTTGGGTTGAGGGAAAAGTTGTGTTGTTGGGAGACGCCTGTCATCCAACGCTGCCCGTTAGCATCAATCTTGACTGTGCTCCTCGCTAATATTATGCAGCATCTGGGCCAAGGTGCTTCTCAGGCGATAGAAGACGCCGCAGTCATTTCTGTTGTTCTGAGCAGAATCGATGACCCCGCCGACATCAACATCGCTCTCCGCATCTACCAGGTAACCATTGCTCCTCTCTTTACACAAGTATCTAACTCGGTCTTTTACCAGCGCCTCCGAAAGTCGCGCACCGAGTTCCTGGTCTCTCAAGCCGCCGCCGCTGGCCGTGCTCTCCATCTCACTGATCCAGAGGCGCAAGCCTTGAGGGACGAGGCTTTCCGGTACTCCCCTTCTCCGTCCATCATCTGCGGTTAATCGCTTGCACACAGTCAAGTTGCGAATGGAGGGCCAAACCCAGACAAGTGGCTGGATCGCCAAGTGCAAGACTTTGTCTACGGTTTTGACTGTGTTGCCGATGCAGAGAGACAGTGGGTGAAACTGTTTGCCCAAGAGAAGTCTTCTGCGAATGAAAGGAGTGTGTAAATATGATTGTAATAACATACTAATGGGTACACCGTAACTTGTAAGCCAAGGATAGAGATAGTGGGGTTCAAAAATGAACGAGGATATCAAAGAATGCTGGAAAAAGTACCTATCGTGGCAAGTCTCATGAGGACACCCTAGAAACGAGTACCGCCAGTGCAATCAACAAACCCCAACGCCACTTCTCCCACAAAACCCGTCCAACAGATGCCGCCGTCCAGGCATTGGCAGACGATGAGTCAGAAACAGCCTTGGGGTCGGCAGCAGATGTTGCGGGAATCGGTGCAATGGTCGTTGGAGGTGATGTTGGTGGTTGTTGAGCTGCTACGATCGAAGCACCTCCACGCTCCCTTTGACCCATGTTGGGTAAATCTCGAATCTGGGCGTCGGAGTACTTGACGAGAAAAATAATTTGTCAAAAATTAAGCATAAGGAAGCGTGTATAACTGACCTCGGGAAAAGCATCTCGAAAGCGAGACTGGGCGATATTGTGTGCGTGGCTGCGGACCGCAAAAGCGCGTTTGTGGGCATCGGTAGAAGTAACGGAACCGGTGGTCATTTCGTCGGAAAGCATGAAGGAGAGTAGACCGGTCAGACTGGGGCGATAAGTTCAGTGGACAAAGACAGCTTTCATCACTAGCACCTACATTGTTGCCACACTCCAAGCTGGATTCCACTGTTCGTCGTCGGTAAGCAGATCGCTAAAGCTGGCCAGCATAACTCACGGAGCCAGGATGAAAATCTGACATCGAAAAGCAGATTTTCTTGTCAGGGTGGAAGCGACCGGAGGGGGTGAGCATCTGTGGGGCCAACCATTGGTGTCAATGTCTCGATTATACCACAACAGACAACTCGCCTTGATACCGGGCGGTTTGAAAGGATACTCGGAGGGAAACATCAAGACACCGTGATACTCCCCCCCGGCATAAGGCGAATCGGAAGGGCCACGCTGAAGGCCGAGTCAGCGATGATTTCGGGTGGCCCTCAAGGACGACACTCACGATAATGAAGTTCCCTGTTAAGCGGGTCAGACGCAATCGAAAGGACAAAATAGACTCACAGGTCAAAATGTTCTTCTCATCCGGCGCAGCCCAGACGAATGGTGGCGGCTCCTTCTGCATTGCAGCATATTCCTTGGTGAGCTAGGCGTGATTCAGTACGTCGACTAGCAGGGTGGCGAGCAATGGCATACGCGTTTGTAAGCAGCTTTGGTAGCCATGGCGGGGAGTAGACGAAAGTCGGGGAAAGGCACTGCCTCAAGGCTCGTCACGGAGGTGTCACACCCGCCGCATTTGGCAATGTCCTTCTTTCTTTGCACGCTAGCGCTCCAACTTCCACATTCTGAGGCGACCTCCATGCTCAACTGACTCGGATGACAATTTTCAGAAGATGCATTTCATCTTCAAGTTTTGGCTCAAATGTATTTTTTGACGCCAGTAATTACATAATTTGGACAACCCTGCAAGAGAAGTCAAGAGAGTCGCAAGCCCGCAGATCCAAACCATTGCCACTACGGTTACACATCAAGACCGAATGACGCCCTGCTTACTAAGATCTTGACCGCAGATAAAAGCACGATCGATAATACGACTTGCAAATCCTCCATCTCCTCATGTCCACCACTGAAATCAAATCTGTAGTTGTTGACTCTGGTGTCTCGGTGTTCTACCGCATTGCTGGTCCAGAGAATGCACCTGTCGTCCTCCTACTCCATGGTTTCCCAACCTCTTCGCACCAATACCGCAACCTCATCCCTATCCTGGCCCAGCATTACCGTGTGGTTGCACCAGACTTCCCTGGTTTCGGCTTCACCCAAGTTCCCGCGGAGCGTTCTTATCAGTACACCTTCGATGCGTTGTCTAAAACCACGATCGCTTTTCTAGACGCCCTTTCCATAACCTCGTTTGCTGTCTATATCTTCGACTACGGTGCTCCCGTGGCTCTACGCCTGGCGCTGGAGCGTCCGAGCGCAATCAAAGCCATCGTTTCTCAGAATGGAAACGCCTACGAGGAAGGCCTCGGCGAAGGTTGGGCCCCGATTCGAGCGTATTGGGCATCGGGCAGTCAAGTTGACCGCAAAACCGTTCAGGATGGCATCCTCACCTTGGAAACTACCAAATGGCAGTATACGCACGGCTCCCGCTTCCCAGACGCAATCCCGCCCGAAACTTACACCCTTGACTGGGCATTGATGCAGCGCCCCGGAAACTTCGACATACAACTTGACCTCTTCTTTGACTACCAGAACAATGTGAAACTCTATCCTCAATTCCAGGAGTACTTCCGCCAGAGTCGGGTGCCGCTTCTCGCTGTCTGGGGTAAACACGACCCGTTCTTTATTCCGGCCGGCGCGGAGGCATACAAACGCGACTTGCCCCACGCAGAGATTATGCTGTTGGATGCGGGTCATTTTGCTGGAGAAACGGAGACAACTGAAATTGGAGAGTTGATTCTTAAGTTTTTGAGCGAGGTCTTGTAAAAATAAATGTTATTTTGTCTCTAAGTCCACTTGGCTTTGGAGTTTGAACTGCAGTACTCTTACTCTGCAGTTTTGATCCGTCAACTTTCACTTCCCTCCCCACTTCTAATGTCTACGGACCCTGAATCCACCATTGCTCGTCCGCTTTTGGCACTGACCAACTCACCGCCTGGTACTTCTCACTCCACATATTCGCGTCGTCGTCGACGACAGCGAACCGCACTTGCTTGTGGAGGTGTTTCTCTACTCCTTCTATTTTCCTACGCCTATCTTGGGCCAGCTGCCGGTCTCCCGGTACCAGACCCCATTGCGCCGTATGCCTACAGGCCGTCTCAGCCTTTCCATGGCAATGCACCTCCCCCTAGTCAGGGCCACAACGAACATCCACATGGCCAACCACCGACCGACAATAAACCACCGCTGGACACTCCAGACTCCTCACACCCAGCCAAGATCGACATCTCCCATGCAGGAGACAGCACCACCAACTTCCTTGCCGCCTCTTCGCCCCAGTCCGTCTCCGCAGCCCGGTCACGCTATTCTCTCAAAACGAGTCGGCCCCCACCAAAGGGCTTCGACGCATTCTACGACTTTGCCAAGTCCAGAGGGTGTCTAATCGATGCGTACGATGGCGTTTATGCCGATTTTGCGCCATTTCGGGAGGCCGAGAAACGTAAGCCAGGTTGGTTCAAAGAGAGAATAAAGGCCATGGCCGAGAAGGTGTGCACATTCTTTATGCTCTCGTATGTGCAGATTATTTACACCCAAGTAGCTGAAAGGGGACTCTCATGGTGTTACTGTACTGACTATTCGGGATGGGGCCGTCCACCAGCCGGAGACACAAGGAGGTTACTTTGACGGGGATTGGGAGCGAACCATCACCAAGGTGAGCTCCTGACACTCATACTAGCTGCCCTTCTAAGCAAATTTGTAGTTTGTGCATGCGCTTCCACCAATGCAAGTCTTGATCAACGGACGCGACGAGCCACGCGTCGTCTTCGATTCAGCAGAACTCTTCTCCACCGATAAACACAGTCTGCCCTCCCATGTTGCCTCGCTGTCGGATTCCAATCCATTTGGAAACTCTCCACCATCAACAGAGGAATTTTTCAAGCCCAAACTAGCCTGCCGCCCTCCTCGCGGAAGTGGTGGGCTAAAAGACGTTCCTTGTAAGTCCTCGTTCCCCTGTTCAATTATCGGCCAACACAGCAATACTCTAGTTTTACTATCTGCTTCCTCAGCAGAATTTACCACCGACTTTGTTCCCGTCCTCAGCATGACGAAGCTGGCCGATAGCGCCTCTGGCGTTGCGTCTGGCGGTCAGCCAGACGGTGGCCCCACTTGCTTCGCAGACATCGTAATGCCTGGCGAGTTCTACTACAGGGAATCTTGGTGGGCTGGCAAGTTCGAACATCCAAACAACATCCCTTGGGAAGACAAGAAGGACGTCTTGTGTCGGTGCTTGCTGTCTCCTCACTACCACCTTACTAACCGGACCCAGATTGGCGTGGCAAATCCAATGGTGGCCATATCCGCCACTCGAACCACAAATCCTTCCCCCGTTTCCGGCTCATTGATCTTGCACGCCAACCCGAAGTCAAGGCTAAGGGTCTCTTGGATGTTCGCATCACAGAATGGCACGAATGGCATTGCACCGACAACTGCGATGCCGAGTCCATCAAGTCAGAGTACAACATTACCGGTCACAAAGAGCCTCGGGAAGACGCTTATAAATTCAAGTACCTTTTGGACATCGACGGCAACTCTTTCTCCGGGCGCTACCTTGGCCTTCTGCGTAGCGGCGGACTCGTGTTCAAGTCAACTGCATTTGCAGAGTTTTTTACGCCATGGTTGATTCCCTATGAGCACTTTATTCCCGTTCGTGTCGATTTGAGCGACCTGGTTGAAAAGGTTGAATGGGCCAGAAACAATGATGCCGAGGCCCGCAGGATACAAGAGGCTGGCCGGATATTCGCAGAGAAAATTCTGACGGATGACCAAAACGACTGCTATTGGTTCGCAGTCATGATGGAATGGGGAGCGCTGTGGGGAGAGTAAAACTATATTTACTGATATCATTATCCTTATTGGGATGTACTTGTAAGCTGGGCACTACTTTTATTCTTTACAGTAATTGGAAACCTGCCATCAGAGTGCTTGATAGCTTCATAGACATGAAAAGTCCGAACATGAGTCAACTCGACACGGGAATACGGCGGCGCAGTGGTATGTGTTGATATCATACTCGGTGCTCTTGCCCTGCCTCTGACAACTGGACTTTTCAGAGATGTTTTCCGCGTTGAAAACGAAGGTGAGGGTGGCTGTATTATCGGATGAGAAATTGAAGACAGTGGGGGTCGTATAGGTTGGGTAATCGGGGGTGGAACCGGAGGAGGGGAGGTTGGGGGAGGGGGAACAACGAGATGCGGCGGTATTGGAGCTAATGCAGTTCGAGGTGATGTCGTAGGTATGACGGGACTTGTGAGTGTTATTGCAGGAGAAGGTAGTGGTTGTGGTGTAGCAGGCTCAGATGCCCACTCGTAGTGGGTTTGGAGTTCACTATTGTATGAGATTTAGTGTCAGTTGTAGTGAGCAGAAGAGGCCAACCTTTGGTACTCCGCTATGTCGTCTAGCTCTTCAGAATAAAGACTCGTAGTTTCGTCGGCAGTTCCCAAGGAGTCGTACGTAGTGGGCGGATTGAAGCGATCTCGCAAAAAACTAGACGCAATGTCATCAGCAAAGCATATTTTTCCAGCAGAGAATGTTATACTTGTGGTACTCCCACAGCGCCTCCATTGTCGCATCTCGCGCCGCATCATCATCATCTCCGTCGTCTGTCACTTCTGCGGCGTAGTCTGCAAGCACTGTCTTGCATGATAACAATAGACGTTGATGCTTGGAAGTGTTTGCCTCCAACTCCGTTGGAGTCATTGGCACGACAGTTGACGGCCACAGAATCAAACCAGGACTCTGAACCAATACGTCATCTTGTTCGGAATGCTGCTCTTCGTCGTCGATGTGATGCTCTGACGGAGCTAGAGTCAAATGCATCGTTGCAATCTCCTTGACGCCTCCAAAAACACGCCGCAATAGCTCAAAAACGAACTCCGCCGGTCGAGGATGGATGCCAAACCTGAAGCCCAGCATGTTTTCGAAGAGTGCTTCAAGATCTCGCGCATTTTGCGCGCGTTCATGCCATTCTGCAGCGGAACCAGAGGGTATAGCAGCGTAAGGAGCTGGGTCATGGTCCGTTGATGTTTCAGCTTGGGGACGAATTTCTTGGGCAGAAATGTTGTAAATAATACTGTCTTTATCGTTCTGATCACCCAAGCGTACTTTGGCCAAACCATGAATAGGAAGATCTTCAACCGAGGCAGAGGGTTTTCCATAAGGGAAGAAAACGTGGTCGTCGATGTATTCCAGGCGTCCGCCAACCGCAAGTACTCGTTTGACCTCACTGAGAACGAACTCCCAACGAGAGTGAGGGATGCAGAGCGACAGGTTTGCCATTCGAACGAGCTCGAATGACCCATCAGAGAATGGCAATGGATCTTGAACGCTAGAGTACTGTTAGCTTCATGATACCGGCGCTAATGAAAGCTATGTGGAACATACAAGTTGCCTCGGACGAATTTGATGTTGTGAGCGAGACCTTGCCGCTGCGCGGTAGACATTGTGGCACGCATGGTATCCATCATATCAAAGCCAACAATTTGCGTGCCCGCTTTCCGCCATGACATAGCGGCATCAAGCACCCACCAGCCTGCACCACAGCCTAGATCGAGGACAGTCGGAGGAGGGTGATCCCCATAGCCATGAAAAGAGGGTCCGCCATAGGTTCGATCAAGCTTTCGAATGAGCTCCCATGTTTGACGATCACTGAAATTCGTCAAATCAAAGACAGAGGGAAAGAACGCGAGGATACCTTTCCATCAAGGCGGTATCATACGAGTCCAGTGGATACGCTCCGATTCTTTGCACAGACGGCTGACTGGGAGAACGATTAACGCCTTGTCTATCGCTGGCTTCGGCCTCGTCCAACCTGTCTTGAACAGGGCTACGAGGCGATGTTGGTGTAGTGGCTTGAGAGGCGGGTTGGTCTCGAGATAACAATAAACCTCCAGGTTCCAAAGATATGGAATGTTGTGAAGATGTGCGTGACTTCCTGCTTTTCGAACCTAAGCCCAAAAAGCCACCCTTGGAGCTATTACCACCAGGCAGTACTTCCTTCTTTTTCCCTTTTCCGAGATGTATACCAGGAGCCTTTGGGTGTGCACGAGTACGGGCAGAAGGAAAATAAAACGGCTGCGGCTCCTGAGGCGTTTGCGTCGATTTATGTAGATCAAGTGCCATATCGTTGTTCGGCGCGGTTATAGTAGACATGGACTTGCTCGATCGGTCGGAACCTGGTCGAGCTGTCCGTATTTCTGGTGGAAATGACTGTACATCTGGTGGTGGCGAGGGGGCAGCGGTAAAGATTCCCTCTGGTGGAAGGGGTGTCCCTGGTGGGAGGACTTGTATGGATGCTATGGGGCCTTTCTGTTGTGTGGCCTTGTTTTGACCTGGTCGAGCACGTGTGCGGGCAGAGGGATAAACGAACGGGGTTGGGCGGGGAACAAATTCTTCTTCGGAAGAGCCGGAGTGAGTCGACGGGGCAAGGAAGCGCGGAACGTCTAGCGTAGCCGACTGAGAACGAGGACTTGATAATCCTGTAAGACCTGACACGATTGAAGGTGGTGAGGAAGGAGGCGAGTGATATGGTGACTGCTTGTGTAGATCGACCGAGCGTGGGTCTACCCATGGTTGAAACATTCCTGATTCCCCCAGAGCTGGTAAACTTGATAGGGTCGCTGAGCTGGGTGAGAAGGACTGTGTCAGGCCTAGGGTGGTGCTCGAGGCCAGAGGTGACTGTGTTGGCGTTGGGAGATATGTTGTCGGCTGAACTTGCACAGCACCCAACTTCGTGTCGAGCAGTGGGACGTGTCCACGCGGAGGCGGAGAAGGATAAGGTGGTAAAGGACGCGAAACAGAAGGCCTGCGAAAGCGTTCTTCTACTATAATACCAGTCGACAATGGCAAATCTGCCTCAATTCGGTTCGGAGAGGTCGGGTACGGCGTCAACCATGGTGGAGAAGTATGTTCATGACTATCTGGGGATCCGAATGGCGTAGGACGATTGAATGAGGTTGAAGGAAAAGACTGTGTGGGAGATGGTGGAGACGGAGGAGCGGCAGAACCCTGGGTCTGCGGCAGACCCACCAGAAATGGAGAGGGCGTCAATTGGATGTGCTGAGTATCCAGCCTTTTCCTACTTCCAGCGGCTCTTCCAGCCATGGAGGGCTGCTATGACGGGGCTATATGGAGACGAAGGAGAGCTGGAGAAGTGATGAGAGCGGGTTTATATTGGATCAAGACACGACGTGCCTTGGTTCGAGATAAGCTATCCACAGCATTTGTGCAGACGGTCCGAAAGAACAAGTTATCCGATCAGTACGCCAATCGCACTAAGCCGTTTACTATGTAGTCGGCCCTCGCGTAGTCAACCAACCAGAAGGGCACTCTTTCACAGGCCAGAGAAAGTACGTTTGCGTTTGATAGAACCTGATCTTGCCATGTATGGGGTTGCTTGTTGCTCTCGACAGGCAGCTTGGAATCATGGAGCTGTAAACCGTAGGCTGCCATGCGACTCATCGCTTTCTCTCCGGTCAATTTTGAGTGGCATCTTCTGTCTGCAAAGGCACCGGGCTGGTCAGCGCCCTAGTCGGCCATCGAGCTACGCCGATTAAAGAATTCAATAAAACGGCAGTTGTTGATGTTGGAAAGGAAGCTGGTAACAATGTGACAGTGGAAAGCTGTGGGACAGTTGAGCGATGAAAGCATTGAACGTTTTTTATTACACGCAGATAGTGAGTCCAAAAATAACTATTCATTCGAGATCGAAGAGCAGGATTTCACCGGTTTTATCACCAATGTTTTCGACTTTCAGCTCGACTCCTCCGTTGTCGAAATGGAGATACGCGCCATCACCTTCCTTGAGCTCGGATTCCACACCAGGGGCGCCAATGACACGGATACTTGCGCCAGCAGCTGCACCTGTGTTGTACCCGCTTGTTTGAACGACGTGGATGTACCCTTTCTTGCCTTTCATCGTCTGTACCAAACTCTTTCCATCAGAGAGCAGTGTTGCATAGAGTGTCAATGGACTCTGAACTGGAGCTGGTCCAGATCCTTCCCGTTCCGTTATAACCCCGTCTGCATCAACGGGCGCTACGATTCGTGCCCATTGATCACGTTTTTCAGCATCAGTGAAATGACGCGTGAAGTTGGGTGGTCTGGCGAGACCGTCGGGATTGGGCAGTGAGCACCATCACACTGTCACATCACCATCACTCTCTTTTTCGCGCTCGTCGTCGTCGTTGCTGTCTCCCTACCTCCCTCCTCACTGCCTCTCTTCCCTTCCTTTTCTGTCATTTTTATCATGACCGGGGCACCATCTACCACCGACTTGGAGGCCAAGATCAACCAGAACCACCAGGACTTGTTGGCGGCTATTGCAAGGATTACAGCCAATCAGCCAGCTGTCTCGCCGCTAGACCGGGTCATGGGCCGACCGGCAAACCCGTTGGCTATGCCTCCTGGGTCACAAGGTGGGTATCCTTCACTTCTTTCTGGTGCTCTCTATACGCATGTCTCCGCCGATGCCATTGCACAAATCCGCGACTTCAAGTTCCCTCCGGCCCATCTTGGCCGTCTTCTCCGCACTTACTCGGCCCCTCCACCCCCTGCCCTCTCCCTTGTGTTGGGGGTCAATGGTCTACTCGAGGTTTCACCCCCGCCGCTGCCAACTGGCGCCTCCGCTCTGCTCCGGGAGGTGCCAGACGTTCTCGTCTTTGCGGAATGCTGGGCGGTATTCACGGCCATTCTCCAGAACGAGCACCTGGAGCTTCCGGTGACTCAAGGCCTCAACATCTACCTCTGCAACGTTATCACCATCGCGAAGGCCTACTCGTGGGCTTCCGTTCTCGACTACCATGTCGCCTTCGTGCAGAAACGAATGGCAGACCCCTTCTTCAACCCTGTCCTCTGGGCGGAGAGCGACCCCCACCTTCACACTTCCCACCTGCTGGCCCCCAGCCTTCTTGCCATTCCCGTTCCCATCGCAACCCCTTCTGCCTCTTCCTCCCCGACAGCAGCAGCGCCAGCTCGTGCCCGGCCAGCAGGCGCTGCAGCGGAGATTTGCTTCCGGTACAACAATTCGGGTTGCAATGGCGAATCGGTTGGGTGTCTCCGCCGTCATGTCTGCGGGAAATGTGGTGGCTTGCACCCTCAGCCCCTCTGTACAGTGCCTCAGCCTGCAGCGGGAGTAGGGGGTGACACTGCCTGAGGGCGTCTTGGGGGTGGTATTGTAGCGCTGCAGTCTGGGCCGGGACTGTCTGTTTGCTCTACCACCCCAATCCGGGCATCTCTTCAGGATGTCCTCCTTCATCGGCCCATTGCCCGTCCTTCGAGTTCCCCGAATGTAGCCCGGTTTCATGCACCGCGGACTAGCCCCCTGCGTGTCGCACCTCAACATCCGGGCCAGCGAGGGGGAGAGGTTAGACCCTCCCCTCGCTCTGCGAGGAGGAAAGTCTTTTCACTCCCCTCTTACGTTCTGGGAACCGATGCTGACCATGCTTTTTCTATAATTTCAAAGATCGTTAATGCTCCGCCTATCCTGTCGTCACTACCAGCTCGACCTAATACACATATTCTATTTCCTCTAACATCTCCTCACTCCCTCTCTATGCCCCTTGTCCGCTTGAATGCTCCAGCCTGGGAGACCGCCTTGGCCGAGTATCCTGATCGTCACTTCGCTCAATCAGTGGTAGCCGCAATTCGCTATGGTGTCCATATTGGCGTGGTTCATACTCATCTCCTTCGTCGAAAACTTGTTCCCCCTCCCCCACTCCCCTCGGCCCTCGAGTTTCCTGACGCAGTAGACTCTGACGTCAAGACGGAGGTCGACCTGGGCCGCATTATCGACGTGACTGGGACCCCACTCGCCTCCTCCGCCTTCCTCTCCCCTCTGGGCTCCGTCCCTAAAAAGTACACGACTAAGCGCCGCAGGATTCATCATCTGTCTTGGCCTCGTCTTCACTCAGTTAATGATGCTGTCCCAGTCGAGTTCGGCACTCTCGTTTTCGACTCTATTGCCATGGCCATCGATCGCATCCGCCGGGCGGGGCCTGGTGCCTTTCTCTACAAGGCTGACCTGGAGGCAGCTTTTCGGCATATTCCCATTCACCCAGCGGACTGGAGGTTTATGGGCTTTACTTGGCGCGGCCGTACCCTCCTTGACATTTTCCTCCCCTTTGGCCTTCGCACAGCCCCTCGGATCTACAATTATTTCGCGGAAGCCCATCATTGGATCCTTCAACACCGCCATGCGTCTCTCTCCGATATCCAGCACTATCTGGACGATTGGCTGAACGTCACGCCTCGCGTCGGATGGGTTGGCTTATGCTACTCACGCACGTGACAGCTTCCGCGCAACTTCCCGGGAGCTTGGATTCTCGCTTTCTGTGCGTAAAGAGGAGGGTCCCTGCCACTGCCTGGAGTTCCTCGGAGTAGAGCTTGACACTGTGGCGATGGAGGCACGGCTCCCTGCTGATAAGGTCACCCGCCTGGCTGGTATGGTCGAGCGCTGTCTAAGCCGGGGCTCTTCCTCCTATCATGAGTTGGAGCAACTTTGTGGCCACTTTGTCTTCGCTCAGGCTGTTATACCTGCTGCTCGCTTCTTCACGCGTCGTGTTCGGGACTTCATGCGGACTCTTGTGGCCCTTCCCCATTCTCTACAGCGCCGAATCCCCGCCGAGGCCCGGAAGGATTTGCGTTGGTGGCAGCAGTACCTTCCCATCTTCAATGGCTCCTTTGCTATTCGTCCTCCTCCGCCGGCCATCTCGGTGTGGACAGATGCAAGCGGCAAGCTGGGCCTTGGGGGCTTCTGGGATGATGTCTATTTTGCGGAACGCTGCCCAAAGCGCAGGATGGCCATGCCAATACACTGGAAGGAGATGTGGGCAGTCTTACGGGCGGCACAGCTATGGGGGTCCCACTGGCGGGGCTATGAGGTCGTTCTTCATGTTGACAATGAAGCTATTGCGACGTGTCTGAACTCAGGCTCCATTGACCACCCGCCGAACACAGGCTCTTTTTCGGACGTTCGCATTATTGGCATCGGCGGAGGGCTTCACCTTTCACTCTGTTTGGATTCCTACTGCAGAGAATTCTGTCGCTGATGCTTTGTCCCGTTTTCAGTGGTCCAGGCTCGCGTCCCTCCGCCCGGCCTGGGTGCTCCCTCATCGGACTGGCTCGCGGCCCATGCGCATCTCCACCCAACCGTCGCCCGCCTCGTCTGGTTCAGCTTACGGGAGTCAACTCGTGCCAAGTACGATGGTCATGTTGCAATGTTCTGCAAGTTCGCCCATGAACGTGGATTCACTCGCCCAGACGGGTCTGTCCTCCCTGCCGAACCCTCCGCAGTCCAGCTCTTTCTCGCAACCCGAGCAGAGTTCGTCCAGCCCGCCACCCTCAGCAAGTACCTTACCAGCCTTCGCACTATTCACGCTGAGCATGGCTGGTCAATGGACGCGCTTTATAGCCCGATTCTCAAGAGGATCATTGCGGGGGCTGAGCACTGCTATGGGACAAAGCCTCGTCGCCCACGCCGCCCTATCACTCGGGATATCCTGGCGGCAGTTTTGGCGCAGCTCCCAACCGATCATGATGGTAGGATGCTGGCGTCAGCCTTTACGTTGGCATGGGCTGCGTTCATGCGGGTGCGGCGGTTTACGGTTGCTGATGGGGCTGTCTTCGACCCTTCGCTCAACCTTTCAGAAGCTTGTGTCACGGCCGTTACAGACCACTCCTTGCTCTGTAATATTCAGGCGAGTAAGACGGACGTGGGCCGCCGTGGGGCATGTGTGCTGGTCGGCGCTGCGCCAGGGGCAGAGACCTGCCCTGTCGCACGTTTCCGTGCATATCGCGATATCCACCCTGCGACTTCCCCGTTTGCGCCGCTCTTTGTCACTTCGGCTGGCTCGCCTCTTACCCGCTCCTTTGCACTGCGCGCGCTCGACGACTATCTGGGCAAGGCGGGCTATGATCCCAGTGAGTTCTCTGGTCATAGCTTCCGCCGTGGTGCTGCATTTGCTGCCGCGGAGGCTGGCTACTCGCCTGAGCAAATCAAGCTTCTTGGCCGGTGGAAATCGGATGCGTGGAAGTTGTACGTGGATGAGCCTTTGTCGGTTCTTCGCACATTGTCTTCCCGCCTGCACAAGCCGCCCCCCGCTACTGCCTCGCCCGGTCTCAACTCCTCCATCCCTCTCCCGACGTCTACCGAACCGCCCTCCGGCCCCGGACCCCCGTCTTCCTCGTCTCACTATTCGCCTCCCTCCACCGAGTCTGTCCCCACATAGTGGTCATGTCCCAGCCGATCCCCCTCCAGCGCAACGCAAGCGGGGTGACCGTCCAATGGTGGCTGCGTCCGTAGCAGCCGCCCCGGAGGCCTGTCTCTGCGACAGCTGCCTCTTCCTCGTCGACACTTGCTATGCCCACTCCTCCTCCACCGACCCGTTCCCCAGAGTTGGCCCGCCCGAAGGGGGTTGGCGTGTCTGATGGAGTGCCTCTGGCATCTGCGCTGCTTGCTCCCCCTCCTCTGGCTGGTCGCACGCTCAGATCTCTCCTTGGTGGGCTACCGAGGCCCTCCCTCTCCAGGAGCATAGCGGGCTCAGAGCTGAGTCATCCTCCCATTACCTACAAAATATATATATCATCAAATCATCCATCCAAAAAGCGAGTGTGTCCCAATCCTGGGTGGTCTGGCGAGACCGTCGGGATTGGGCAGTGAGCACCATCACACTGTCACATCACCATCACTCTCTTTTTCGCGCTCGTCGTCGTCGTTGCTGTCTCCCTACCTCCCTCCTCACTGCCTCTCTTCCCTTCCTTTTCTGTCCCCACCCACCCATCCCTTTGCCTTATTTTGCGTGCTTGTTTTAGTTCTTGCTAGCTAGACAGTGGGCTACCGAGGCCCTCCCTCTCCAGGAGCATAGCGGGCTCAGAGCTGAGTCATCCTCCCATTACCTACAAAATATATATATCATCAAATCATCCATCCAAAAAGCGAGTGTGTCCCAATCCATTTGGGGGTGAGGCGAGAGACAGATGGGAGCGACCAAATTTGGAGGAAATGGACCTGTTTAGAGCCATAGGCTTTCTCGGAATGCGAGATGCCAGTCCCAGCAGAGGTTAGCTGGAGGTCGCCGCGTTTAAGAATCTCCGTATTTCCCATCGAATCTTTGCTTTAGAGAGAGAGTCAGACAGTTATCATATAGAGAGCAAGGTGACGCACTGCTCAAGCTGCCCAGCGACAACATACGAGAAGATCTCGAATTCACGGTGAGAGTGAGTACCGAAGCCCGTTCGCGGGGCTACTCGATCCTCGTTGATCACTCTAAGGGCACCGAATTGTTCATGGTCACGGTGGTGGTAGCTGTTTGAGGATGTCAGTCTCAGAGAGACGCAGAAACAAAAGGAACACCGACGAAGCAAACGAGAAGGTGTGAAAGGTCTTGAGCCAATCATGGTCGGCATGGCCACGCTGCTGACTGGGTCTGGGGACAATCTTAACGCCCATATTACTGTGAGATGCAATGGTAGTGGCGGGTCTGGTTATCGGTTGAGCTCGGCGTAGATTGCTGTTGGCGAGCTTGAGAAGGGAAGACAGTATGGCTTGTGGTATGAGGCCGAAGTAGACCGCGAAGCTTATATAGAGGGGGACAAGAGAGATGAGAAGCAAGAACCTCGTTTGGGGGCGCATGAGTGAGCCATTTTACATTGGCGGTCACCGTCAGTCAGCGCATCACGCTTCCTACCTTTTTGGGTTCCAATGCGCCCACGACTTCCCGCACTCGTTTTCCAGCATTTTCGACAGAGGGCGGGTGATTACTGTAATACACGTGGACGCACAATGTCAGCATGAATCGCACACGCAATTCCACGAGTTGTTGTTCTGAGTTCAACGCGTTAACTTGAAGTTGGTGTTTGTTTATGGCTCATTCGAGCTCCAAGAAGTCTGCTTTCTTTGTTTTGTTTACATAGCCCCTCAGTAGGCTTCGCCTTTTGTAGAAGGACTGAGGACCCAGCCATCCATCGAGCTACATATCTGAGAGAAGATAATCGAGATTGTCTCAAGTTCGGTACCGCTATCGGATCATGCGATGAAATTCCAGGCACTCAGGAGAAAACAAAAATGCAGAGGCAACAAGACAAGCGATTTGGTCGGGCAAGAGGAGTGCCAAACAGCCGCCTTATGACGACCGCATCGGTGTCTTGCTTGGACCTATAAATCTTCCCTCATATAAAAAGATGCCCAGCCATTTCGACCCGACCACCAATGATGATTCCTCAGCTGCCCACCGAAATCCTCCAGCATGTCCTCGAGGCACTGTGGCAAATGCCACTCACAACTCAAGCGCGCACGACCCTCATGACAACTTTGCCTCTCGTCAATTCGACTTGGGCGGACCTCTTTGACATGATTTCGACGAAAAATGTTTACATCATGAGCCCAGCAATCGAGGAGCACTTCCTGCATTCAGTTCGTGCTTCAGCGCAGCCATCGTCAAAACCGAGCAGGCGAAATCGTTTTTGCCGTCTGTTCAGGTGGCCCGGAAAGCGGATGGCATCCAACCCACCTCCCAAACGATCCGCCAACCTCGCCTGCCAGACCCTCACTATCCAGATAGCCAACCCCGCTATTCACCCCCACCTCCGACCTCATATGCCAATGACCAATATTTTTGATGAACTCCTTGAGAACATCGATGCCCACAGCCTTCTCCCCAACCTGCATGCGCTGTCGATTGAATACGTCGACGCGCCATTTGAGGATGTTTTCCTACGGATGGGGCTGGCGGCCTTGCCAGAGCACGTTTCAGACTTGGCCGTGTCTTGGTCCTACAGCGACGGCATGCCACCATGGCTAGCAACGGCTTTGCGAGAGAAACAAAAGCCCCAAAGAACCCTTCGATGGGCTTCTCAGAGTGTCCAGCGAGTGTCGGTGTCGGGGGCGGGGGAAAATGTAGTCAAAGATTTGCGTCGAGTGTGTCCAAATGCGAAAATCAGTGTGAACTGAGCCTATCGAATGTGTTTAGTTTGCCTCCGTACAATGCAGAATCCAGTAGAGGAAAAGACTTTGTGTAGTAAACAAGCTCTGGTTTCTTTGCGCGTCCTCAAAGTTGTTGGCAAGCAAGTCAAATGTGACATCGTTTGCCTGCCGTTTGCCTTTCTCCCTCTTTCTCCCAAGACATGGCGCTCCCTACAAATGGACGCGTAATCATCGATACAACCGTGGGGGAAATTGATATCGAGCTGTGGTCCAAGGTAGAAGACTGGCCAATCCCTATCGAGTTCTGAAGTCGCCTCAGGAAACGCCAAAAACATGTCGCAACTTCATTACGCTGGCGCTGGAGGGTCTGTAAGTTTCCCAGAACGACTTTGGCAGTGCTAGAGACGCGTTTCGCAGGGTATTATGACGGCGTTATTTTCCATCGGTGAGTTTCCGCCTCCAAACCAACAACTCATCCTTATATGGTCTCGACAGCGTTGTCCCTGGCTTCCTGGTCCAAACTGGTGATCGAACAGGGACTGGCGGGGGTGGGGAGTCAATATACGGAGGCGCGTCATCTACTCGTTTGCTCAACCAAATGCTGACGCGTGGTTGTAGAACCTTTCGAGGATGAAATCCATCCACGACTCCGATTTGCTCATCGTGGAATTGTCGCAATGGCCAACAATGGCACTAAGAACTCGAACGACTCCCAATTCATCATTACTCTCGGTGCACCTCTATCTCGTTGGGAAGAAAGACATTATTCAACTCACAACAGACCGCGCTGACGAGCTCCATGGCAAGCATACCCTCTTTGGACGGTGTATGGGCGACACCATCTACAGTGGGTCATTGTTTTCAGCTCAGCTGCCTTTTGCTCACGGTTTGAAGATGTCATGAAAATTGGTGAAATGGGTGCGCGGAGTTTCTGTCCTGGGAGCCACATACCTCGCTGACAGTTGTGTAAGAACTGGGAGAAAACGAAAGACCCGTATAGTAAGCTGTTTTCTCATGCGCATCAGCATCTGCTCATTTCGATAGTCCTCCGAAAATCAAATCTATACGTATTGTGGACAATCCATTCGACGACATCGTACCACGAATAACGGCGGCTGAGAAACGCGCCCAGCAACGAGCGCGGGAAGCGGCGCAAAAAGAACGCGAAGAGGCCGAGAGGAGGAAGGGTGCTAAAAAGTTGGTGTCGCGAACACTTGCCTCCAAAGCTAACAAGTGATCAGAAATGTCGCTCTACTTAGCTTCGGCGAAGACGAAGATCCCAATGCTGAGCCTGTATCGCTCCCGAAAAAAGGCAAAGGCATTGCCCGTCCAGATCGTAGGCGCACTATGTTCCTTGGAAGCAAGACTCACCTGTTGGCTCTAGTGATGGATACGACAGGACAATTGCCAGACTTCATCAATAAACCCACAACGAGCCAGCCGTCCAAGCCAATCGCTGGTTCGACAAATCCAGCTGACGATCGACCCAAGAAAAAGAAAGAGGAAGATATCACGAAGATACGCGAAAAACATGCACAAGAGCTTGCTTCGTCAGCGTATGACCTGCCTGCTCTTCATTTCTCCTGAATCCTCATTATTTTGCTGGTAGCAATGTCCGCAAGACAGAAATTGCCAACCTCGAAGCCGAAATCCGATCGCTGCAGAAACGCCGAGGCGGAGGGGATTCCGATGATGAGTTGGAAGCAATGCGAAAGCAGAAGAAAACCAAATCGTATCTGGAAGAGGAACTGGCGCGGTATTCCAAAGGCCGCGGACTCCATAGCAAGCGTGATGCGGGCGGAAAGCGGGTCAAGGACGAGAGCAACGTATTGGCTGCCCTGAATGCGTTTCGAGGCAAATTGGCAAGAGTGGAGGTGGAGATGCCCGATGCTGAAGACGGAGATGGAAAAGACACCGAAAAGGAAGGGCCAGCTCTGGCAGACGACCCTGGCATCGAAGTTGACGACGATGCCGGTTTCCTCAGTCATGCGCTGCATTTCCCCAAGGATGATGGGGAAGAAACTATGAAAGCGGAGAGAGATTATGAGGTCATTGACCCACGAGTAAGGGGAGCGAGGGCAAAAGAGGAGGAAAGACAACGCAAAAAGCAGCAGAGGGAGAAACAGGGCAGAGGGAGAAACAGATACTGAGTTTCAAACATGTCTTTCATAACAGGCAGAGTCTTGTACATGTACATGGATGCTTGTTTACTGTGACTAAGCCATTGTTAGTGGGCTTAAAGATCTCGTTTGTTTGCAAACTGACATGTTCAAGGGGTTGGGGCCAACAAGGCCACTGTTGCGCACGCGGTAGAACAAGTCCCCAACGCGGAATTGCAGGCGAGTATTGCGGCAGGCGCGGCAGCGGCAGCAACCACGGTCCCAAAAGTGAAGCCGGCGGCAGCATAGCATGCGACGGCAACTGTATTACAACCTTTTGACGATTTAGCCAGCCTGATGAGGAGAGAGCGGGCGATGACATACCTGTCTGACATATGCCATAGGCAATAGGGCCTGCTTCAACAAGGACGGGGCTGAGAGCGACGAGTATGAACGAAATGGCTTTAGTGAGCTTCATGGTTGTGATGGAAGAGAACGAGCAAGTGAGTCCAGCTTTTATACGAGCAGTAAGCTAATCAGACCAGCGCTTATCTTGCAGCCAAAAGGAAAAGAAGGAAGGGGACATTATCTAAATCTGTCGTCATTGTCACTACTTAGACGCTCTTCGTACTTGAGACGAGCCTCGCGGCGTGCCTGAGCAAGGTTATACGCGGAGGTAGGTAGCTTGTCTATCGGGTGTCGGGGATACAAGAAGATGGGTAAGACTCCTGCAATCAACGCCTGCAGCAAACTGGTCAGTTAGCCCTGAAAGGGAAATAATAAAGCCAGCCCATACCGTGAATCCGAATGCGAGGATCACTCTGTCCACCCACCTGCCATCTATCGGCTTATTATTCCATTCCGCATAAGCGTATTCCGCCCTTGTTGAGTGGCCATATGAATACTCTGCGCCTCTCCTTGACTGTTGGTATGCCGCCCGATGTCGAGCTTGAGCTCGTTTCCGACGCTCAATTTCCTCCCAAACCGTGCGGTCTTTCTCGGGGTATGCAGTCCGTGGTTTGCCGCGGAGAGTGTCGTATGCTGCGCCAACAAGATGAAAGCGCCGATGTCGTTCGTTGGGAGGCACATCGCGGCAAGACGGTGAGTCAGGGTGGTACAGTTTCACGAGTTCAATATCTTTAACGCCACATTCAGCAAGAACCGCACAGAATTCATGAAATAGAGGAACAGACAGCGTTGTTTAATAGTGGCTTCTGAAGCGCCGCGTTGAAGATGAAAGATTTCGTGTGGTGAGGGATTTACTTTCGTAGGAAAAGGATATTGCGCCGAGGTCGTAGAGTAGGCATGGAGTAAAAGTCTGAGGTTTGGTGGTAGATGGTTGAATCGGGTAGCCAAGCCGTACATCTTGGACAAGAGAGAGGCCGTTTGATCCATACAATGATGGTATCATGCTTAGCATCTCCTTTCGGGCTTTGCCGTTCAATGCACGTGTTCACTCACCTCTTGACGACTCAGAGTCATTACATACCTTCTCGCCTGAACCGAGGTCAACCACAGGTCATGCCTATCAGGCCCGACTGGAGCACGGAGGCTGAACTCTGACAGCCGCCTCTTTTGTCCATGCCCACCTTTCTCAATCGCGAAAGACTGCCACTCTCCAACCAGGGACCGTTCTATTGCATATGCTAGTGGACGTATTTGGGTAGCTACATCCATGCGTTTGCCCATGTGCCTGAACGCTCTTGCACTACTACCATCTCCTGCTCCAAACAAACTGGATTTACCGCCATACTTACTACGGCCATAATACTGCGCGTGCGGGCACGCAAATCAGGGTTTCCCGCGGCACAGACGGTCTTCTTTCGTCTCTTACAGACTACAGCGTCCGGAACAGCGTCCAGAACAAAGTGGCGACACTGTTTTGTCTCCTCCAGCCTTACTTTTCGCGGTCACGTGGTCTAGCATGCAGAGGTAAAAAGTCCGATGGCCGAGTATCCATCGCTTAACCCTTGACCGCCAATGTCACCTGGCGGCGTGCTGTGGAGTCTTTGTGTTGTCAGGCACATGCAATTTTGATCAAGGGACACATCTGTTTGTTGCGGTGGGCGCAAGTATATATAGAGCCCAATGCACGAAGTTTTGAGATAACATCTCCAACCTCATCTCTTCAAGTACCACCATGCACATTCAGCAGACATTACTGGGGTCATTTCTCGTTTCTTGTGCTTTCGCGCAGGACTTGAGTGTCCCGAGCTCCTGGAGAGCAAGTTTTCCCTCGGCGGTGATTGAGTCTTTCTTACTCATCCCTTCACCAGAAGCCCAGCAGCTCCCTTGATGTCTCCGAGCGCATTTCAATCGCGCAGAAGGCCATCGACGCGATCACGCCACATTTCAACACCGAGTCGAGCGAATTCACCGGTAGGTTTTGGCCGGCCGTCTCTGCAGTATTACTTGGCTCAGAATGGACAGGTATCGGATATTGGCAGTCAGGCAATGTTTTCTCCGCCCTCGCTAATAAAGACAAGACCACTGGGACGACGACCAACCAGGAGTTTGTCATCAATAATCTGGACGCTGTCTTCAAAAAATATGCGCATTATGATAAATATGGGTATGCTCCTTTTCTGAGGCCATTATGGTGGCTAATTTCATCGCACAGAGTGCGTTTTGGGACATGTACCGCGGAAATCGGTTTTATAATTTCTTTAGTATAACGACGACGCGTTGTGGTGGGCTCAATCGGCGATGTATGCCTATCGCGCTTACCAAGTAAACTTTTCCACGGGGCTTTGTACAATTTCTAACTTTATTTCAGGATCAAAACATGCTTGCACATGCCGTTGATGTCTGGACACATGTTACCGGCTAGTTCGTCTCTTTCTTTCGACTGTGTTCGCTCCCCAACTGTGTCTTAGTGTCGTCACTCCAGAGCAAGCCGAGTCTGGCAAAAATCCGTTGAAGACCATCACAATCAAGTCAACTTGCAACGAGAGTCAGTTGCTTTCCTCACCAACGATTCATCAAAAGTGACGTTGTGCCTGTAGAGACCATGGCAGGAGGCGTTTTCTGGACAACCAACCCGAAAGACGCAGGGATCAACTCAATCACTACCGGGTTCGTCGTTTTGCCCCATCAATTCCGATGCTGATTTGTTCCTCAAAGCCTCTACACCACGTATGGTTTCGTCCACACTGAATGCAAATAACTCCTAAACAATTTTAGACTTTCTGCTTTCCTCGCTGAAGCCTTTGGCACAGAAGAGTACTCCAAGGCTGCGATTCTTAGCGCCACTTGGATGAAGAACCATCAAATCAACGCAAACAACATCATCTCTGATACAACCAGCGCTGATTGCTCAACCGGGCACGGGACATACACGTATAACAGCGGCAAGTATATCGAAGGCCTCAGCGTTCTTGCGGCCGTGACCAAAGATTCTTCGTGGACTACATTGTGACTTGTCTTGTCCCATTTACTATTTCGGAACTAACGGATCATCAGAATGACCAACATCATCAACGCGGCCGTCAAATCATCTGCATGGCAAGGCTCTGACGGTATCATCACCGAAGGGACTAGTCCCAATGCCAACTCGGATGGGGTCGGCTTCAAAGGTCTGTGATGTACGGAATCACCCCCATTAGCAACTCACTTTCTTGCAGCGATATTCATCCGTGGCCTCCATGAAGCGTGGTACCGCAACCCTTCCAACTCTGGCCTTCGGACGCTCATCCGCAGTTACGGCGATGTGCAATATAACGCGCTCTCCGATTTGGCGGCCAATGGGAGCACTTATTCGTCCAACTGGCATGGCCCACCTCAGGCATTTACTTCGTGGGGCCAGCTTGCTGCATTGGATGTGTTGGTTTCACACATCGATACCAATTGATGAAATAGACTAGTAATTGTCGTCTGTATACCATTCGTCTTGAACAAGAATACAGTAATAACCGACCACATGACTTGGATGTGACCGTGTCTCTTCTGACCTGCTCGATGCCAGAGGCGCCGAGTCCAAGGTTGCGCGTTCAGAGTTATCATATCAACTACTTCAACCTGTTTTAGACTCCCTTCTACCAAGAATCCAGTCCCGGCAGATGATTCTGAAACAGAGGACGACACAGACGAAGAGTGGCATGCGAAGGCAATTACTGCCAAAAGACAGTCCAAGACGCACTCTGCAAGGTCACCGACTACAGCTGCACCTAACCCGCACCGTCCTTCCCCAGATACCAACAACAATGAAGCATCGACCTCGGCCCCAGTCATCGTCGTCCATGATTCCGATTCTGACTCCAACTCAGAACTCATTCCACGACCGAGATACGCTTCGCGCCCGCTACCAATGAAACGGCAGGTCTCATCTCGCGTATGAGAGGGTGGATTCACCAGTCAGTAGCCTCGCGAAAGCCAAGGCCGGGGGGACGGTCTTTAGGTTGGAAAAGCGTGCTATAGCGACACAGGGAATACTCAAAAGTATTCCTGATCGTGCTCAACTCGAAGCGGAGCGGCTGGCGCGCCAGAGGAAGCATTTTATCACGCGGGAGGAGGGCCACGGTGGTGAACCAGAACCAAAACGCCCCAAGACAGTATCGTCCCATTCCCCTGGTCCTGCTACCGCAACCACAACCTCCATGGGCTACCGCAGGTTTAGAAGCGGAGTCGTTCTTCCTACATTAACCATGATCTGCGATCCCCGTGCCGATGGTCGACAGTCGATAACCTTTTCTGATGTTCTTGGTCTAAGCCCCAACGATCCCGACGCTACTCTTGAGCTTGCAATCATCTCCTCGTATACTGCGGCCCCCATCTGGCTTGCTTCATTCTTTGCTTCCGAAACTCCGGTTATTTTCGTCGCAGAAACTGGCTCTGAAGAACTTACAGTGAAAATGTCTCACACTTCCTGGGTCCAAACTGCTCCGAAGATGAGTCAGCATGCTTGTATGCACATGAAGGTCAGCCCCCTTATCTTCTCACGTGTAGCCTCCACTCACAACATTTTAGTATCTCGTGCTACTTTACAAGTCTGGACGTCTCCGTGTCGTAGTCAGCACTGCCAATTTGATCGAACTGGATTGGACTATCCTCGAAAATGTCTGAAATCATTTTCCCCCCTTTTGCCACTGACGAGTGCCAGGCTGTTTTCATCCAAGACGTTTATCTGAAGTCCGACACTTCTATACCCAACAGTCAAGGCTACCAGACGGAAAATAAGTTTGCCAAGATATTAGAAGATGTTCTACAGGCCACGAATGTCACTCCTGCGCTGGATATCATAAGACAACAGGTTTGTCATTCCCTTGGTCGCCACCGACCGACTGACAACGCTGCAGAATCCACACTTGACACTGACTGCAATTTCGGATTTATCTAAACGGTGGAATTGGAGTGGCGTTCGTGCAGAGTTAGTTGCAAGTATACCCGGCAAGTACCAAGGATGGAAGGCGATACAGAAGTGAGGGATGTTTTGTTATTTTCTGTCACTCTGGCTTAATCGGAATTCAGGACTGGTCATCCTCGTCTTATGTGTGCCCTGAAGGCTTTGGGACTCAACGTCGATGCTGATAGCAAAAGTGACATAAGTTTGGCGATAGAGTGTGGTGTATGGTCCATCCTTGCTCTTTTACACCATTTTTTATCATCATCAGGGTTCGAGTATTGCGGCCTACACCACTCAATGGGTCAATCAATTTTACCGATCCGCTTCCGGCAACCGATCTTCTCTGCATAAATTCATGTCGTTATCGGATAACAAACGCAAACAGTCCCCATACCCCGCCGGCGTCAAGATCCTATTCCCGACCTTCAAGCACGTTCTACAGACCGGCGAACATGGCGCTGGGTCGCTTTATTGTACCCGCAAGAAATGGGAGGCCAAGAATTTCCCCAGATCAGCTTTCCGCCACTTGCACAGCAGTGCTGGACCCTCATTAATGCACACCAAGGTCTTCAGTCGGACAGCTCTATTGGAAGCTTGACTCAATTTTCTGTAGATGATCATCGCTTCGTTTGGCGGCGAAGCATCGGACGCTGCCGGTTGGATGTATGTGGGCTCACATAACTTTACTCCAGCCGCTTGGGGAAATTTGAGTGGTGATGATACTTCGCCAGTTCTGAATGTTCGTGCTACATACTGTTGGATCCGGAGCCGCTGTCGACCCATTCTGAGTGTCCTCTAGGTCAACAACTTCGAGCTGGGAGTCGTACTGCCTCTCCAGACACCAGAGGAGCTGGATCACATGTCTGCTTGGGAGCGGCCGCCAAAGAAGTATGATACTGGGGACACGCCTTGGGTTCAACACCTCTACCTCTTGCTGTTTCTCCAATTTCTGATAGTTCGCTAGTTCCAGGATGAGGCCCGAGGCAGTGGTGGCATGCAAAGTCTTTTGAACTTCCTCGTGCCATATTCCGCCAGGATGTAGCTCTTGTGGTGGCCCTCGTAGTTGGTGTATTGTTAGTATTGATTCTTGAAGTCTTGTAGCACAATCGGAGGTTATGTAATTGTATCATGTGATGACGACTCAAGTTCCTCCAACACCTTGTCTGCAAAAACAAGTGAATTGGTTTTGGACTGGCCTCGAAGCTTTTTGAAGAACTATCAAACTATCTCGTGAAGCGCAGCCCTAGTACGTCACACGGTGAAGTTCGGGAGGTTCATGTTTATGCAGCGCAGCAACTTGGATTCCCCTCCACCCTCATCCAAGATCGCCAATGTGCCTCATTGACCTGCATGCTTATGCTATGTGTCCATTACAAAGGCGGTGATGCGCTACCGGACTCATGCGCGACGACTCAGAAGTTCTCAACAATCGAAATCCTCTTCGCGTTATCCCGAAGTAACCTGGTCCGTACGCTGTAGATGGTGTCCTTGGCTCAGACGGAGCTCCCAGTCGTGCTATTGGGACATCGTCCGTCGGGAATGGCTGTTATGAGTCTCTGCTCCTCAACAATCACCAACTACTCCGTTTATGAAGCGCGGTGATGCGATACTGCTGTCTCGTTCTCTCCCATGGGCACCCACGCACTACTCTATGCATATAAGCGCCTTGAAGCTTTCTTGCCAGCAGTATAAACGAAATTTCCGCCGTCGTCTCTGACATGGGTGTCAAATTTCTCCTTCGTCCGAACCAAGAGCGCGGGCACGCCGACCTCGACTGGCTGAAATCATTCCACTCATTCTCTGTTGCGGGGTACTGTCGATTATTCACAACTGTTGGTACAACCACTGATGGCTGGATAGTTACTTTGCCCCTGCGCATATGAATTTTGGGGCCCTGCGGGTCATGAACGAGGACCGTGTGGCTCCGCGGACCGGCTTCGGTCCTCACTCACATCGCGAATTCGAAATTTTCTCGTATATCGTCTCTGGGCAACTCGAACAGTTCGTGCTTTCTCGCCAGCACCCAAGCATTCTCTGATTCAAAGCTTATAGTAAAGACTCGATGGGCAACATTGAAATCCTCCGGCGCGGAGACATACAGCTCACCTCGGCCGGCACCGGTATAGCGCATTCCGAAAACGCGCATGGCCATAAAGAGGTCCATTTCCTGCAGATTTGGTCCCAGCCTTCTGTTGCCCGCCTCACACCCAAATATTTTACACGCCATTTCTCTGACACCGATAAGCAGGATCGATGGGCGCGGGTAGTGGCACCTGTAGGCGCGGACGACGTGACCGAAGAACGAAATACCCCGGGACCTGCTCCAGTCCACAGCCCTTTAACTCTCTATGCAACGTTGCTTTCCAGTGCCAAGCATGTAACGCAGACGATGTCGGGGAGGAAAGGGTATATTCAGGTCGTCCAAACCAGTGGGTACAACCCCGGGAGGGCCATTGGAGGCTACATCCGCGTTCAAGTCGCCGGCGATGCTGACGCGGAGATTGAGCTGAAGGAAGGTGATGGGGCTTATATCCACTTTGAAAATGATGGAGAGGCTGAGCTGACGGTCCACAACATCGGCCACCAGACTGCTGAGGTACTACTCTTCGATCTCGAATAGATAAACCCTCACACTTGTTCTATCTAACCGTGACCCCGTTGAGTACCCAAACACGTACATTTGGACAAACCCGCTTCAAATCAAGTATGACCCCCTTCGTTGCCCCGATGAGCGTCAACCGCCTTATATCCTTCGCGACCCAGTTGAATGCCTTCTGCCTTCGTCCTGCCAAACTTTCGCGAACTGCGCGAGCGGCCCGCGGGTAGCGAATTTCCAAATGCTCGATTTGAGGAGTCAGCGCGAAAAGATTTCGACGAAATACGTCGTCAAAGATGTTTGACCATATCGGTGCTGGTGAATCCAGGTACTCGATGCAAAGACGACGAAGGTTAGGCAGCAAGTCCGAGTGAACATCGATATGCTCGAGCGCGCAGTCGAGCAACGCGCTCATCGGGAATGTTTGGTAGACTTCCGTCGATTGCCACTGCCCTGCATCGAGCCGTCTGCATTGCGGTCCTCCAATGCTAGTATCGATCTCGAATGTGATGGAGCGGCAGCAGCGGCCATAATCCACGGCTTTTGTAGGTTTTTGACCAGCGCGTAGCCTCGGGTCAGTAGCCATGCGTCCAAACAGCTTCACAAGCGAAAGATTGCCAAAGGAGATCGGTCGCTCCACTGTTACTACCGGCACATGTGGCGACGAGCTCGATGAGTGGTTAATTCGGCGGAAAAAGCTTTCCAACGATGCCTCAGAGTCGATGCAAACATTGCGTGCCAAGAGCTCAGTCCACGTAGAGTTGACCCGGCTTGCGGAGGAAAGAAACTCGTTGCGTTGTTTTGGAGACATCTGCGCGTGCCGGACAAAAGAGATGATGAGTTCTGTGAGCTCGATAGGGAGAGGGGGAGTGGGCATGGTGTGAAGTCGGCGAGTCAGCAAAGCGAACCTTGTACTACATTATATAGCCATTGATGGAGTGGGTGTGTGTGTGGACAACACGCCCTTCTAATGCCTGCAATTGGCGAGTGCTAGCCCCGACTTGGGCATCCCGATTACTGAGCTTGAACAACGAGGTCTCGTCAGTGTGTCGCTTCCCTGCTATGGTGGCAATAAGTATTGAGGGTTTTGGATTTTACCACGGTCATGCGATGATCACAGCTTGCCTATTGCTGGGGCCTCTCCCAGGTAGAAATAAAAATATACTGTACACAACAAGCAAGAAAACGTACAAAACCACGCTACGACCATCATAGGGCACGCGGTTGGAGCTCTGCGTCCAGCTCAGGCATTGACCCTCCTCCCCGCAATGAACGCAACATTGGATTTTCTGGACGCTGCCCTCGCGCCGCATCAACAAACGTTGCACCCGAGTCCCTCTTCGCTGGCTCTCGCAGTTCTTTCACGTCCCGCGTCGGTGTCACAACGCCAAAGGCTTGCTCGTCAGTAATGCTCTACGATACATGGTCAGGTGATGAAATAGACAAGGAGTTGTACTGACCGGATAGGCTGTTGCATGGTAAGACAGAGAGTATGCGTTGTTCTCATCTGCTTTGGATCGTAATCGTGGTCGTGAGGTCGCGTGTAGACCTGAGGTGTAGTGGCATTCACAACGACATTTTGGAGATGAACTCCAATGTGCGTGACGCGTATCCGTTGCCATCATGCGTAATGTTTCGCGCGAGTTCAGACTAATATTACCAATGAGAGGGGTTTCGAATCGAGGGTAGGGTATACCTCGCGAGTAAGGAGTTGGAGTAGACTTGGTTCAAAGGGTCAGACTTGACGAATCAGAGAGTGCTTAGGACTTACGTCGAGCCGTGACTACATACCACGCGATCCAAATGACTGGATGGTGCATGAATGATGGTTCAGACATTTGTAGTCATGCCAAACTCACAGTTATCCTTCATCACAACGAACTAGAACGAGAATAAGTGAAGAAGCTCGTGAGGGGGAACTGGAGGCGACACTCACGCAAACAAGATTGACGAGTGCTGCTGCACTGGAAAAAAGCAAGATTAGATGTTGCCTTCCCCTGTCGTAATCAGACAGAATTACCTCGTCACAAGCCCAGTCTCTAGAAGAACGCTCAGAAGGTGGTTTACAAGGATCATTTCACTCACCGATTGTCCAAGCAATCAGCTTGTCCACCAATGCGATTGTCCTAGAGACTATGCTCAGCAGCTGGTTTCATCAAGCGATCAAGAAAATACTCAACTGGACCGTAGGCTCGTCCCTTCGCCAAATCCAAAATTGCACCGCCAGCGTCAATGCGATAAGCAGATCGTTTCCCGCTGCAAGGGACCAGGTTGTGTCCAGTAGCCATCCCCACTGACTTTGAAACGTTCCATACACAGCGCTCTTCAGACCAAGAACAAATACGGTTAAACTTGCGACGAAGAAAAGGAAGGAAAGGATCCAAGAGATGAAGGAGATGACCAGAGTTTTCGACAAGCGATAGATGCGATATGCAAAGAAGCCTTGGACTAATAGGGACAGAATTAGCCCAAGTAAGTAAGAAAAAGGGCGGAATTATGCTGACCACACATCGCCACAATTGCGTTGAAAACCGTCGATAAGCCCAGTGTAAGTCCTAAGCCTTCGAACTGGATCCGCTCGGGGTGTGCAAAGTCCTTGATAACGAGGCGATACAGCATATGCGTTATGCAAATGACATGGGCAAGTTCGCATAGCCTACGCAATCGTTCAGGGAATGCTCGAGGAAGGGGAAACTATCCATCATACCAAACTAGCGCAACCTGCCCGCGAGCATTTAGTCAGTGTTTGCTAGAGAAAAGGGTACACACGCACCAGACCCTTCATTTTGACCGTATCATTCGAAAACCGACTGGCATAAATATAGACCTGATTAGTGAGGAGGCCAAACAGCAGAACCGACACAAGGACGCCGATGAGGAGCGCTCCAAGCGTTGAATCTGGGGCGGGCATGTCCAAAGGAGAGGATGGCGGCATAGCTGGGGACAGAGCGCAAACCGTTCAGGGAAGGCTAACTCGATATTTAACACAAGTCCACAAGGTATCAGAGATTTGCGAGTTGTGCAACCGCCTGCAACCGCGCGGTGGAGGCCGATTGGGGACCGCAAGTGCGAAGATCTGGTGATCGTAAGGTGATCGCAAGTCCACATTCACGGCAAAGACAACGGTGATGCATTTTGTCCTGAAAAGAGATCCGCGTTTTGATAAATAGAGGACTTGCTGAGCATTGGTACATTGGCACTCTGGGGGCAGCTGCACCTGCCCATAGTCTAGACGTTGTAAGTAGACGCACAGGGGCAGTGGGGGTAGGTCATCAAATGGAAGAAGAGGTGGTCACTCTCACGACCGTATGCCAGGCACGAGGAAAGCAGAAAGCGTCAACTTCAAGTCTGATTTATCTTCATGTGGGCCATAGCAACACATAGCTTTATTGGTTGTTAGCCGCGGTCCCGAACGCAATTCAAAAATTGGTCAAGGCGCGCGCGCCGCGATTGATTCAAAAGGCCGGACGCCGACAGAAGCAGGAGATGATGAGGGTTCACGTTCAGGAAGCAAAACGAGGTCACGCCGTCACATGCCAGCAAAATATTCGCGGAATTTTTGTTATAAGAAAATAATAAGGCAATAAAGACTAGATAATGTTCGAATCTGTACGCATGTCCAGCGCTTGGGTGTGCATACAGACTTAATAGATCTGCGGTGAAATTTTCTTGGTCATCGAATATGTCAGAGGATCAAACGTAAGGTCGAGACGAGGAGGGACTGGGCGCGGCGGAGTTATAGCGAATGGATCAGGCGAGAGATTATATGTCGACGGCGGAAACGAGTCGGTTGGAGAGGAGGGTGTTGGGAGGATTATGGGTATGTGTCCATAATGGAGAAAATCCTCCATGGGTGAAATAGGGGAGACTTCTTCGTCCTCATCTACAACAAGCTCGACCCCATTGATGATCATACGAGACTGTTTGGTGGATTTGAAAGTAGAAGCTGGGCACCGGCGCGCGGCAGCAAAGCGAGGAGGAACAGCAACGCTCGGCGTCAAAGAAGCAAAGCGTGGCGCGTAGAATGACCTGGCCCTTTTTCGCGTCACGACAGGGGGAGCGGGAATGGCATCAGAGATAACTGCAGGGCTGTTCGTGACGAGTTTAATGGGCAAAGCAGCTGGCCAAGGCTGCGCCGCCAGAAGAGAGTTCTGAATCTCGTCCAATTCGCATAAATCGCTGTCGTCAAGTCAGGAAGAGTGGATCTGAGGGCTAGAGGATAGCGCTTACTCGTAAGACAGCGAGAGATTAGCATGGAAGGGGGTGCGGTCCCAGTTCTCCACTTCAAACACTTCATCCTTCTCTCCAAATGATACACGACGGCGCCGGGTGGCTGATTGAGAACTTTTGAGACAGCTCTTCATGGAACCAGTCGTAGGAGGGGGAGAACGGAGGGGGTTTCGTCATGGTCAACTTTCCAGCATTTGAAGCAATCTGGGTGAGTGGAGCTGCGGCGTCATGGCCCGGTCCAAGCGTGTGCGTCATCGATATCAATGACATGTTGATGACAAGTGGCGTGGAAAAGAGTCCGAAAGACGCCCACAAGACAACAAGTCATTGACACCCTTTTGAAGTCCCTTTACATTGGACCCCAAGTTCTTGATGCCCTGCTCAGCGTTGACAACAACATCCACACACATAACTAAGCATCAATCTAGCGACAACTCAAAATTTTCTCCCGGATCCACTTCATAATCTGGCCATGTCGTCATTTTCCCAGTATCGGAAGCCTCGTAGCAAATCCTGAATGACATCCCATCTTGCATCAAACGCTCAAAGCCGGTGGCTGCCCACTTCCGAGGTCGCCACACGAGTGGAGCATACACATTGGATTGCGAAGGCACTTGAAGGACCAACCGGAAGGTGTGCAAAGTCCCAGTCCTGTGGTCAAGTGTCTCGAGGATACGATTGTAGTCGAGGTCGTGACAGTATTGGCCAATGAACACCACTTCCAGTCGACGCAGTAGTGGAAGGGTCTCGTCAGAACCAAGAGCAACAAAAGTTGGAGTTAGCACGCCACTGGTGATATAGAGCTTCAAAGCTTCCACGTGGGGGACCCGTTGCAAGTCTTTTTGAAGTGCCTGCCCAGCATGATCAGATACAGTGACTCTCGTGGAAAGTTCAAGGATATGGTTTTGCCAAGGATGTGACTCGAGAAAAGGACGCAGCTCAGTGGGATTATGGTGTGTGTTGAGTGCAACAAGGTTGGGCAATCTCAGATGGGTCAGAAAATTCGGTTCTTGATTAGGCCCCCGAATTTCTAGGGCACGGAGATTTTCGTGAGTTGTTATTAGATGATGGGCCAGAACACAGCCTCGCGCACACCCTGGGACCACACATAGCAAGTGGGTTAAATTTGGGCAGTGACGAAGGATTGAGAGAAACGTTTCAGGCGCCAGCAGACCATATATTTTCAGTTTTGTGAGCGTGGTTGATTCGATCCGAAGCTGGCCCGGAAATGTAGCAACTTCCAGCTCGGAAAGTATAGGCGCGTTGTCCAGCATATTAGACAGGTCCTCTGGATATAATCGTCCAGAAAAGGAGCGCAAGAGAGTTAAACTCTTTCCCGAGAGGAGATGACATGTTGAATATGGCAGGTCAAATTCCAGTCTCTTGAATTGGAACGCGTTCGAAAGAATGCTCGCCAATCCGCTGGAATCCATGGTGAGACGGTATGGCGGTTCCTCGAGAGGAACGGCGAAGAAATCGAGGTGATAGTCGCGTCGAGGAGTCCGTATTGTCCACGATAATGGCATGGGCACGAGAAAACCAATTCTGGATAAATTGGGTATGGCTCGAAGTCCAATGAATACTACCATTAGGCTTGAACTCAAGAATAACGTCTATAGATGCCCATAGAGCTGGCGTATCCAGTGCAAGTCGGCGCCAAGACCTGCATACTAGACCAAGAACCAAGGGCGGGCTTGTGGGCGACGGTTTAACGCGACCGTGTGGCAGTAGAGAGTTGACGAATATATGTGAAAGGATCTCGGGAGGCAAGTTCATGATGGGGAAACAAATTTGGGACAAGCTGTTAACGATGTGATGTCGAGTAACTGTTAATTTTTCGACGGCTTCAAGGTGCTCGGAAGCCGCCGCGTTCAAGGAAGCAATCTGAATATCCAATCCCTCTAGCATTAATCTCGCGGAGGAAGTCTTCATGTTTTGAGGTGGTATGGTTGTGCTGGTCATAACGCTGGATTCGGTTGCTGTTGACATGTGACCTGTTGCTTCGAACCACGACCACCGCCGTTACGAAGATTCCTAGTGTGTCCGTTTCCGTGTTCTCAGTCGATTTCTATATCTCCAACTTTCTTAGAACATCTACCAAATCGAAAACTCTCCAAGATAATCTTCCAATGCGTTCTCCTCTCATTCGCATCCAATGGTGGTGGCTCTCATTCATTCGTGCCTACTTATGGTGGGCTGGAGACTCCTCAGCTCCAAACTCTGTGAACCGGGCCGCACCAATTGACATGAGAAAGCGCAACGCGGGCATCAGGCAGACTTGAATCCTCTCACAAGCACACGAGCGCTGGTTCGGGTTGTCTCTTTCCACCGTCTCTCAGCTCAGACATGACGCCAGCTCTGAACTTGACGGAAATCCCGAACCCACTAACGCCGATGGCGCTTCTGCCCCCCATTATTGCCTACCAGACGACAATTGGCAGTTATCTCTTGGTGGGGACATTAGGAGTATGTTCTAATTTTCTCTGCCCAACTATAGGTCCGATGTTGATTTTAGGCGTATATCTGGGACATCTTGATCCACATTGGGGACGACTACCTGCTTGTTACAAGGTATCGAGTTGGGCTAAGCACATTCGTCTACTTCTTCTCGAGGCACGTCGGCTTCATAACGATCCTCTTCTTCTCCTCCTGACCATCGACCAGATTGTGGTCATTGCTGTTCATTCTTTCGAGCGCTATGTTCGAAAGTTCGTCGTCACATTTCCCCCAGAACTTACTCTGACGCAATGCAATAGCCTTCCCGTTAAAGCGCTGCGCAGTGGCACAAACGCTCGTGGAGGCTTGCTTCTCAATAGCAGTTCCGTCAACCTGCTTACTTTTCTTCCTCCGAGCAAGGGCCATCTACAACCGAGATCGCTACTTGAACCTATTCTTCTTATGCCTCTGGCTCAGCGTTGCCGGTACCGCAGCCACCGTCCCCACAGCCATCACAGCCATCAATATTGGCCCGACTCCATACTGTTTAAACGTCGGGGTCAAGCCATACGCTGGAGGGATCGGAATCACCCCACTTCTCCATGACACGATAATTTTCCTGGCGATATCGTGGCGTCTCTACAAGAACTCTTACACGGAGCAAAGCTTCAGCGGGAACATACGATCGTTCATTACTGGCGACTCTCTGCCCCACTTCTCGAGAGCTGTGCTGAAAGACGGCCAGCTCTACTATCTGTACGTGGCTTACAGTATTGTGCTCGTGCCCAGTTATCTGAACAGGGTGATGTAGCATCACGGTGACCGCAAACGCCGTCACTGTGGCGATGTTTTACAACAAGGCCGTCGCACCGACTTACCGCGTCATGTTTACAGTCTGCAACCTCATGCTGACCAACGCTATGGGATGTCGTGTTTTTCGCAACACCAAATTCGGCTACCATCAGCGGATTACCACGACTGCCGATATCTTGTCTGGCCAGTCGTTGTCTATCCCTCTGTCCGCTATTACTGGAGCCGCGTCTCGCAGCGGGAGCGGGCTCCCCCATAGTAACATCCACGTGAACGTGGATGTCAGCAAGATTGAGACCGTTGATGATCTGTTGAGGACACCAGACAAGAGTCACCAGAGTCATGCTTAATTCTATTTTGTTGCCGTCTCTCTCCCTCTTAATTGTAGCCACCAAAGACTGTACAACATGTAATTAGACAAGAGCTCGGTCTGTTCATAGAGAGCGAACAAAGTTCAGCCGAAAAACTCCTCCGCGACGAACTCCCAAACCTTTTCCGGTTTGTTGAAAAGCTCCCGAGTGAATTGGTACTTTCGCGTACCAGGCTCCCATACGTACTCCAAGATCCCATCTCGTTGCTGGTCCATATATGGGATCGCATTCCTGAAGTTAACCGATAGCACCGCGCGAACGGGAAACGGTTGCGGTGCGTCTTCATCGTTCTGCAGCCCTGCATTCTCCAGTTCCGACAAAATTTCTTCGAAGCTGATGACCTCGGCGCCTTTGATTCCCCCATCAAACTGTTTAGAAGCTTGTTCGCCTGGATGGAAGCTTGCGCCGAAAACGGCCGACCTGACACCATGTTTCTGAAAGAGGTAGCTGCTGAAGATCGAGCATGTTGATGCACAAATGCCGTTCGACACGATAACATAGTCTGATGAGGCGAACGGCGGCGAAGTGAACTTGGTCACTGCGGCAGAAGAGTTGCCGAAAAAGTCGAAGATTGGGTGAGAAAAACGGTCGCGCACACCGTTGACAAGCTGTTCCACAGGTGGGTCCATAAATTCCGTGTTGGAGGTCAGGGGCAAGTAGTCGGTGGACATATAATTGCCAAAGTAATAGTCGGATGAGCTATCGTTGTGTCTCGCAGCTACCCGAGACTGGCGTATGATCAAGTCGTTGACGCGGAAAACGGATGGAAAGCCGGGATAGAGGTCATCGGGCCATAGGCCCCACTGCATAATTCCCCCCGCGTTGATGTAGCCACCTCTGTTGCCAGATATGTCGATCAGGACATGTTGCACACCGGCTTTCTTGAGGGATGTAAGGCCGGAATAGATCACGTTCGAGAGTTGCCGGAAATAGTCCCTATAATTGTACTCGATGGAGGGCTTGAACTGTTCGACATAAACAACGCCAACTTTGGGATGTCTTTTCAGGCGATAGATGTCGAGGGTGATAAAATGACCATAGGAAGTTACTACAGCTGTTGTGAGCATCAGGAAGGAATCAATGTTGGGGACTTACGATGAGGTTGAACGAAATTAGTTCGTGAGGTCTTTTCGTTTTCTGTACCGGCGGCTGCACGAATCTCGGTTTGTGCATCCGCCTGAACGAGAGATTGCCGGGGTTCGACATATCCTGACAAGCTGCGACGCGGTAGATTGGAATTTTCTCTAGCACAAGTTTGGGTCATAAACGACTGTGTGGTGTTCCCGTTGGCAATGAAAGTCGCCGCCCATGGGATAATCAGTGTCTCTGTCGTATTCGCCATCGTTTGCACGGTGACGGTGACGTTGTCCCTTCCAGGATAAAACATCCTTTGTCCGAATCGACCCACTTCTTGAGTAAAGAACCCCTGGTCGGTATCGGCTGAGTAACGGGACAAGAGTGTCATCAATCGCGCATCTGCATCTTCAAAGCCACCCACGAGGCCCTCATAGACACTGGAATCCTGCGCCAGACGTGTCAAATACTCTGTGGCGTTGACCCCATCAATACTCAGAATTTGAGCATGATCATAAGCACGACCATTGAATCCACGCCGCAGATGATACGCTTCGAATCCGGGTCGATTTTGATTTGGGAAGTCGTAGTTGGAGAGAAACACAACGTTGGCCGTGGGTGAAAATGGAGTTTCTGCTAGAGCGGCGATGGAAAAGGGGAGATTCCAACTAAAGGCTGTCGTACATGCCGCTTGGTAAGTGGTATGACCATCCTGCTCGCGATTGAACACATTAGTGACCTATGAAATGAATATATGAGCTTGAGTACTTTGACGAATTATGAGGCTTACAGCAAGATTGAAATCCCAGTCAGTAGGATAACCAGAATTTAAAACCGTATCTTGGAGACCTATAGAGCCTTTTGAATGACATCATGCGGATGGAAGTACAGCAGCATACTTTCCAAAAGTGTTCGAATGTTGATGTCGTGCGGGATGCGAGGGTTAGGAGAGCGTCGAAACCAAGTTTCGAGAGAGTAGTAGGGTAGAATTTTGAGTGTAGAGTTGATAATGGACGATGCGTGGGTCGGATTATAGGGGACACTGAGTTCACAGGCATGTGCAATGGCGCTGGAAACCCATTTTGATGCAGTAGCGAGTGTGCAAGGATCTCTGCAGCACAATTATCTCACTCTGAAGAGCGGTAAACATATGTTGACGACTTGCCGTCCATATACTGCAGACGTTGCCCATGCCAGGAAAAGCAGATAAAATTTCACCATCTTGGTCTGAATCTTCGCTAAGTTGTAAGTCACGATTGGTTTAAATATCACCACACGAATCTGCGCACAAGGTTCGAAGTCCGCTTGATGAGCAAAACCACGAGTGAGGGGACGGATGGACGGAAGGCACAAAGCTAAATCCTAGCTTGCACTGGACAACTTTTTCGACCAATTCGCGAAGACCGCCACTTCTAGCCGGGCTATCGTCCGTAGAATCGAAGCAGAAAGTGTGGTGCAAGGAAAGGCCGTCATTCGTTCTAATGCCGCCAGCCGGCTTCATGGCCACCTTCCATCATAGGTTCAACAAATCCACGAAATAGCCACGACGGCATGTCTTCTTCGCTCTCTCGCGAGACACTCCGATCTTGAGACCACCGCAAACCATAGCCCTCTGCGACGCGGACCTCGTAAACTAGCACTTGATGTGGCAGCCAATGCAGGTTTCTCCATGTCGCATTATTCATCACTTTCCAAAACAAGACCAGAGCATTCTCGTTAATGACTGCGACGGGTCCGGATGGTTGCGCCCCCCACCAGCCACCAGTGTCCTGTTTGTTCGATTTCTTCACGGATTTGGTGACTGGGGTTTCCTCGTTGGTTTCGGGACTAGCAGTACCGGAGCGATGCGCGTGTTTCGACCACGCGCGCGCTCCGGCAGTCAACCCAACGGAGTTGGGAAGAGTAAATGCCGATAGACAGGCCTCTGATGAAGGCGGACGAGAGCCTAATGCAGACCCTATGGTGTACGCCAGCCTTATTGGATGGTTTGAATTCGAAAATAACAATAGGACTCAAACTCACCCTTGGAAAAGATGCAAAGCAAGAGGTTCTGAAGCAACCAGTGCTTCTCGCTGTTCCTTGCTGAGGCCAGAACCAAATAGCTTCAGGCGTTCGGCTACTGCTGAGGGTTGCTCTTGCATGCCAAAACAATGAGGATTGAATATTTGCGCGGCTGAATCTGGCACTTCCATTCGACTGAGTACCTGGTTCGAGTCAAAAGATCATAGTCGTCACGTGCAATATAGATATCTAAGAATCGATACATGCTCGGTGGTACAGGTGTCGCTACAAATTCCGCTTTACAGTTGTAATTGATGAACGAAGTGGTTGGGAGTAATGGTATAAGCTTGAAGGTAGTCCAATTAATGATTCTAGTCAAATGCGCCATCCAGCGCGTCAAACCACCGTCTACCGAACAATAAGCGTCGTAAAGGAACAGGAAATCAAATGAAACAAACCTCGCAGGTGGTCGCTCGACCACATAGCGTATGCACTCGCCTTCTTTTCCTTCTCGAATGATGCGAATTCGATTCCAGTCTCCGCGTGTCTGGTTGTGGCTGCAGTGGTCGAGCTCCCTCAACTGTGGACACAGTTGGACCAAACGCAGGATTACGCCATGCATTTTGGTCATATCGAGGGTGACGGCGGCCCAAAGTCCCTGACCACGAAATACCTCGAGCTTTGTGAAACGCGGAAGAAGGTCAAGCCAATCATCCAACGAGAAATTGGTATATCGCGACGGCAGCGACAGCCAGGAAATATTTGGAAAAAGTGTCGCCAGTTGACGGAGTTCCTCGATGTCCCCAAATGAGTGCAGACGAACCTGCCTGACTGCCTCGCCATTTAATCCAGCTTCAGCAAGTTCGATTAGGGTAGCAGGATCAAGTTGATATATATCAAGCGACTCGAGATGAGAACATCCATCGAGCATTGAGATCACAGAAACAGTCGACTGCAAAGCACGAAGAGACGGAAGTGCTGTTGGGGAGAGGTAGACTTGCCCCAACGGTGTCCATGAGAGATGTGTGAGGTGGGGATGGGCAGCAAGGAATCGGACAACGTGTGTGTCTAGCGTACGGACTGCGCCAGAGTCGAGGAAAAGATTGAGGTGTGTAAGAGAAGGAAATTTGAGCTCAGCAAGTGTTGCTGCTAGTTCCATCGGTAGTTCGAGGTACTATATAGCAAAGTTAACAAAAAGACACAGGCAAGACTGTCATGCTCGCCTCCAGATCCAATGATTGTGATAGCATTCGTTTCACATGCATCGCGTTGGCTGGTCTTATCCAAGCCTGACCCCGTAATGCGAGACTCCGTAGTCCCCCAAACCTCCATAGCGGGTAGCCCAGACTTTCCGGGTCGGCCATTCTTGTTGGTGCATGCAAGCCAAACAAGCCAGCCAGCCCCAGTCGGCGAAGCGGGGTTTTTGTTAAAAGCACATTCAGGACAGCATTCTCCATGCCTGGTTCGACCGTCGGTGCTGCAGGCGGGCTGACCTCCCAGCTCCATGTGAAAGTGTGGAGATTTTGCATGTGGCCCAGCGCAGCACATATATTCCGCACTCGATTCGCCTCCACCAAATCCTTGCCGCTAAGATTCCCCTTGCCCTCTGCCAACAACAGCGTCCGTGGAATCCGATCCGATGTTGTCCGATTGCTTCGCTCAGCGATGTGGACCTCCCGAATATTCCTCGCAAGATCAGCCCGCCTAGCCAAATGGGCCCACATCGCAGGCAACAAATGCCTCGTGCGAATGACCCGGTACTCCGTATGTCTGGGAATCACCAAAGCGCTGCACGCCCGTGAAACGAGGGCGACGGCCACGAGGTCCACATGATCCAACTCAGACAGTATCTCATCGAGCAGCTCTTGTGGTAGACGCAAGAGGTACTGCGGCGGCGATGACAATACAGGCTGCTCTTGTTTGAGCCCAAAGAATGTCGGGTGAAAGTGATAGAGTTGGCGAGGTTGTGGTTGTTGAACGATAGTGTAGGTGAGGGTTGAAGTCGTCGGCATAGGCGCAAGCGTCGAGGACGACGCGCGGCGCCGTCGTGGTCGTGGGTAAGGTAGAAAACAAGGTTCGGAAGCAACAACAACAAAGCAAGCTCGAAGTAGCCATCATCTATCCATCAATTGTCACTCGTGACCACAAGAGGATTGTTCCAAACTTAAATCCGCAAGGATGTACTGGCTGAAGCTAGGATCCATATTTTCGGTTGCGGCTGCCCAATCCAACAGCAGTCGTCAACGGCGACTCCCGAAGTTAGGCCCTCAACAAGCACTCAAGATTAAAGCCTGCTTGATGTATGAACGTGGGCGGATCGCTTAGATGAGAAAATGAATGGGAAGAGGGAGGACCGGCGGAACAAGATGACGTTGGAATGACCCTTCTGGCCATACCGGTCAATGTGGGGGCAGCACAAAACGAGCAAGGAAAGGCGTGGAAGCTTCAGATAGGTGTGGATGATATTACATGCTAGTCTCTAGATGATGTCGATTACAGAAGGCCAGATGCTTATGAGAAATCGTCAATGAGGTACTCAAACCGAATAAAAGACTGAACGCACCTCAGAAACCCGACCAATGCACTGATCAATGCCCACACAAATGGAACCCAACTATCTTGCAAGTCAGCACTCGTTTGGTGAGCTACAACCGAGACGCACGTAGAGACGACAAATCCGGAAGCTCGGTAGACTCCCGCAACGCCAAAGCCAACGATTGCAGAGCTAAGAACTGCCCCAGTCAGACTCAACGTGAGGAATGCCAGTAGAACGAGCAACGCGAATGTTGTGCGTGACCGCACTCGGTTGGGACGGGCTGGGAGGGTAGGATTTGGGCGGAGAAGCGGAGTGTGGACTGACGACGAGTTGGATGGGTGTTTACGGTTGGTCATGGGGGACGTTGGAGTGGCTGGGAGAATGTGGGCATTGGGCATAGCAGAAGCTCTCGGCGAAGAGAAATATGGCGGGCGAGGACTAATTGGCGAAAGTGGATAGGTTGTCGGACCCAGATGGGTGCCGTCTAAGGCCTCTTTTCGACCATGTTTCCGGTGGGTAGGCGGGAATGTGAGGTTGACGAAGGCGTACAGTGCGCATAGAAGAAATGTGGGTATATAGAATATGAGTGTCCAGTAGAGTGTGAACCGGAAAATGTCCCCCGGTCGAGTGAGATATTTCCCCAAAGGCTGAACGGGATCATGGTGGGGAATATTGAGCAGCTCAATGCCGGGGTTATAGAGCGACGGCCACTGAGGAACGTCCGCCATCGTTAGGTCATGACAGAGAGAGAGAGAACACGGTCACAAGTTACAACAACACATCTAATTTCAGCTTGGTCTGTGGCTCTTCTATCTCCTCTATTGGTTTTACCAACCCAGCAACTCTCGCTAAATCCTTCTTCAGTCCAACTATACCGACACCCAGGACGCCAGAGCCGCGAACCATGCCTGTCATGAATGGTTTGTGCACAAGTGTTGGATCGGCAACCTTTTCGAGGTCTTCGATCATCTGTAAAATGTGGGAGCTTGCTCGATTTTCAGGAATGGCGTCAATCTTGGTGAAGATCGGTTGAATGGTCCAACGGCCATTGGCCGCTTTCGAAAGATGTTCAAGCATCGCAAGGTCAGTGTCCTTGAGCATATGCCTCGCGTTGAAGCAGATGTAAATCCGTTTCAGTCTACAACCCTGAGACACACATTACCAATCGAGCAAAAACTTATTACTGCTTTCGCTCTTGAATATACTGGTCAAATAGTTGACCCCAGTGAGCACGTCCTCGGGATCCATACCCGGGAGAATCAACAAGGACTAAAGGTTTCGTGGTGACGCCAGCAGTTATTTCCACGCGAAAAAACTTGAGTTCTTTGGTACCACCCTATATGAAGCATATGAAGACTGATTTTCAGAAAGAGAGAGTACCCACCGGCTTGCTGGATGTCGTAACCAGCTTATTCCGCGTCAAGAGCAGATTAAGCATTGTGCTCTTCCCCACATTGGCTCGTCCTGCACACACAATTGAAGTTTCGCATCTAGACTTCCCGCAGAACGCTGACCAACTATAACAACCTAACATCGTTCGTTCCAAAAATTGTTTATAAGCTGCTAGGTAGTATGCACCTCTGGTTCACCCTCTAATTTGGGGATGCTCGCGGGTGATGAGGCTGACACAAGATATCGAGCATTGTTGAACCACAAATTGAGGCTAGGGTGTTCGTATTTGGTGGCAAGACTGAGCAAGCGTCGTTGGGCAACAATTATGGTCGCTCTGTTGGGTTTTGCATGGATGAGAGCAAGAGACATCCAAGGTCACATACTATAATCTTGCCACTTACCATCATCCACTGGGCCTCTGCTCCTACGCGTGGGCCTCCAAACGCATGATATGCCTCAGTTGCGCGCCTTTACAGGCGGATCTGAGGAGTCCAGTTCCCCCGTTCTTCCCCCTGAAATTGAACGCGAGATTTTCGAAGTAGCCGCTCAAATTCCAGGAAATGCGACTACCCTTGCTCTCGTGGCTCGACGCACGCAAATATGGTGTGTCTTATTCGGTTCTCATGGACATTGAACCCTGATACGTTGTAGGATGGAACGTATTATCTACGAAACGGTCACCCTCTCCTCCCCCAACCTCACTGCACGTTTTCTCACTGCGCTGGACTCTCGACCTGCCCAGTTTTTCACGGAGCTCGTGAAATCGCTGTGTATTCCCGGCGACATACCCCTCCAATCTGCAATCCGTGTGCTGCAGGCTTGCCAAGGCGTTGTCAACCTCGCGTTATGGCTGCCTCTTCAAGCGACACCGCTCCTACCGTATATCGGAAACATACGGCCCCGCAGGCTTTCTGTTAATGTCAGTGGCTTGTTTGGAGCCAAAAATCCGTTGCAGTTGGAGCACAAGCAGCAGGACGACACCTCAACACCCGACTTCACCCACCCATTTTTCTCCTGTGTAACCCACCTCGAGCTTGTCGATTGGCTCCTTCCACTCTTCCTCAGCAACTCTACGCTCAATTTGCCTCTGCTTGCTCCTCATCTCACTCACCTTGCGCTTGATGTTGACCCATGTGTGGATGCTTCGGCCCTCGTTCGCCTCCGCGTGCAGAGCATTCTACGCTCTTGCCGTTCCCTCGTCATCTGTCTCGGAGTAGTGGACGACGATGACACCATGATTGTCGCTTGTGACGAACTCAGTGAAGTTTCTCGAGACGACCCTCGCCTCGTTATTCTGTCTGATGCGGATGTCGTTACTAGCTGGGAGGACTCGGTGCGCGGCACCGATGCGAGTATATGGGCGTTTGCTGAGGACATTGTCTCAGCCCGGATAGGTACATTTCCTGTTTCCAGTCTTGCCACGACTAATTTAAAATTTTAATTGCCTACAGGGAAAAAATTGAAATTGTAATACCACCTTTTGTTGTGCGTTATTCCTGTTGTGAGTGGGCACTAAACTTGATAACCACTCAACTTATTACACGCATATAGGTACTTTTATTTGTACATTGCCAAATGTTGTATTTATACCGAATGGGTAGTGCCATCAACCCCAACTTCCTCAAATGCCCCTTCTCCAGGAGTGCCCTCTTCCTTCGTGAACGACGAGCTGTTTTGGGAGCCTCCGCTGACAACTACAAGATCAAAGGAACAAGGATCGGCCCCAATCCTATGGTGCAGCATTATCAGTCAACATTCCTGTGGCCTCGAAAATGGCTCTTGAACTTGTTCACGTGTGAACGGAGGGCAAGTAGCACCGACTACCGGACAGAATCCTTCAATTTAAGCGTTTTGCGCCCAGGAACGTTGTACTGTCAAGGTGTTGCGCTTGCTGTCTAACTCGCAGCCGGCGCAGAAATCTTTCGAGTCAATGATCCACAACACGGCACGAGACTTCGGCCTTGTTTGCTATAAATACGCTGGCTTTTCTGGTTGCAGAACCAGAGACTCCAGCTTACCTGTAGCAGCAAAAGATGGTTTCCCCCTGCTTCATCCCTGGACTCCTCTACATCGTCAATTTCCAGAACAACGTTCTGGACACTACCAATTCGGTGAATCCAGTCATCGCGATTCCCCCGCATTTCGATGCTCCTGGTGCCGACCAGATGGTTCGTATAGGACTTTCCTTCTGTACTACTGACTAAAGAATTGTTTATAGTGGGCATTCAATGCCATCGACGACAACGCAGAACTCTTCCAAATCGCCAATGCCGCCACGGGCGGACTTTTGAGCTTCACGCAAACTGGTTCGGACCAAGTCCCGCTTTACAGCCAAGCCACAACGAGCCCCGACGGAGAAATCTTTTCCCTGGCGTGCAACCCCGCTGATGCTGCCTCCGGAAGGTGTGTAGCCCGGTCTTTTATGCCCTCGCACAAATTGATTCTCGAAAGTGTGATCCACAATGCAACTGGCTACGCGCTGACTGCTTGGCACACGGAGGACGGAAGTGATTTCACGCCAGTGACATTCGAGACCTATACCGGGCGCGAGGAGCAGACCTTCTTCTTTGTGACCATTGGTACTTAGTCAAGTGCGAGATTGTCGATGTGATATCGATAGTGCAAGACAAACGCCGATAGGAATGCTATTCTTTTTGTTACAAAGCTGAAAATGAAAACCTGAGGGTGCCACTTTGCCGCAGGTCAGAAACCTGGTTCATCAATCTCTGGCGCCGATTCTCTGTGATCCCGTCTCCGGTCCAACAGCCGCGGAGCACGTATACGTGGCAGGTAAAGCGCCCTCCTCCATCGGCACTGGTGCACAGTGAGACGCGCGAGCGGAGCAAGTCAGTGAATACGGTGTCGACGAAGTTGCATTTGGTATGCAGGGTCAATGTTGACAGGCGCGGAACGAGAGTCTCGTGTCGGTCGCAAGCAATGAGCCGGTCCAAGAGCGATGATGAGATTTGCACGGGTGGATGAGTCTGCAATAGCAGTTGGATAGTAGGATGCTGGTGTTCGTCTATGTCTTGCCGGGGCTGCAGCTCGTCGCCCAAAGCCAAGCTTTCGAGGACGCGCAAATTGTCGAGACACTCTTCCAGCTGCTCCAGCGAGATGTCCACCCCAACGAGGTTTAAGCACAACAGATGCGTTTCGAACGACGAGCGCTGGGCCATAGCCAGAAAGTACGCATGCGGCCAAGGAAGTGGGAGGGGGTCTGTCCGATTGGTTGATGCTGCTTTGACGAAGGAAATGGTCCGCAGACTGGGGAGCGTGACACTGTTGAAAATCCACGCAAATGCCTCCCAGACAGCCTCTTCCGGTGAAACGAATTTTACCTCATGCAGATTACCACCTCCAAGCGTCATACTCTGGATATACGATGTTGTTTCCTCTGGTGGGATCACATCGAACTGGCTTGGATATACCAGTAATCGATAGTCAAGTGCTGGCGGAAGTCGGGCGATAACCGAAAGCGCTTCTCGTAGAAACTGGGGATACGTCGTGCACGTGAACGACCGTAGTCTCTGGAAGCATTCGGCGGGAATCTGGCGTGCAAGGGAGGCACTAATGGATAATTTTTGCAATGAGCGCGCGTCAGCCATCCAATCAAGAGAGCCCGGAGGAGGGACAATTTGGGCCGTGAGCCTGAGAGACTGAAGGGATTGTACGTTCGAAGCAGCCACTTCGGCGAGATGGTGAATCCCGGCCTCCGTGCGGAGGGATGCGATATGAAGGTGCTTGCAGCCAGAAATGCGGTGCATTACATAGGGAAACAGGTCGGAAGGACAATAAACACCCCTGGGAATGTGGACACGAATGTCAAAGAGCCCGTCGCGACATCGGTTTTCGGAGAAGTCGAGCAAGCGCCCAGTCAGTGCATGCCCGTATTTTACCCTGCTTTGATTTATTGCCATGGCGTCTAGGCGGTCCCAAAGTGCCGGTGTGTCCCATACAATCCTCCTCCACGACACGCACACGTGCGCAAGCGCCAGAACGTGGCCATTCGCAACTCGTTTTACGTCAGTCTTGAAATTCTTCCCGGCTCCCTCCAGATCCAACGAATGCGCGACATACGTGAACATTTCCACCAGCAGCTCTGGTGGAAGACTGTGGACAGGGGAAAATAGGGAAAAGTAGGCTTGCGCTCGGAACCGCAGGTTTTTGAGCTCATTGAATGTTATCATTGGACGAGACACAGGAAGTAATTCGGTGTCAAGAGTTGCTGTGGGCTGGCGGCGTAACTGTCTTAAGATCGATTCGAGGGGTGGCAAGCTAGACATCGAGAGTAACGGAGGGGGACTTTGCGGGTCCATGGTGGTCAAAGTTGAAATGTTGCAGTGATGCCATCATCATGATTTTTTCTGACAAGTCACATATTCGTCTTTTTTTCGCGGTATAGACCGGGTTTTTTTTTTTTCAAATAGGCAACATACCCCTTGCTTAACTTGACTAATCCCTCGAAAAACTACTTCAATCAGCTCAACTCAGAACCCGCCCTATCGACCTCCGAGTCTTCCTCGGGCACATTAATATGAGCCTGCACGGCTTGTCGCGCTCGGGTCTCCATGACCTCCCCTGTAATCGATGCATCAGATCCCACCGCAAGCGTGGCCTCTCCGCGCCGCCACATGCGCTGCTGGGCAAAACCCTGTTCGATCATCGCCTGGCCATGGATCGCGATTAGATAACGATAAGATTAGATAAACAGGATGACCTGGATGCCGTCGATGACGTGCCAGCCGTGGGCGTCTGCGAGCTTGTAGAGTGTCGTGTGGAGGGGCTTGTAGGGCATTTCGAGGAAGAGGCGGCGGGTCGGGTATGGGAGGGCGGAAGAGGGTGTTGATACGGGGAGGTAGGGTGTTGTGAGGACAGCGGAGACAGTCGTGTAGACCATGCGCTCTTCGTAAGTTTGGGGTGGGATACTTGCTGTGTTTCTGATCAGGTTTATCAGAGGGACTAGAAGGAAAACGCACGAATGCATCCCACAACCATCAACAACCGTGCTTTCCCCTCGCCCACAAGGTGCTCCTCTACGTCTTGCGGGTCGCGAAGATGCACAAAATGCTCGCGTAAATGCGACATCGAGTCGATGACTAACCGGACCTCGTCCTCATCGCGGTTGACAAGGAATATCCTTGAGAGACCGAGTAGCGACAATGCCTGGGCTGCGGAGCGTGTCGTTGCGCCACCACCAATGACAAGCCCCGCTAGCGGTGGACCATTAGTATTCAGAAACCGTGCAGTGTCGTTAGAGGGGATTGCCAGGCTGGGAAATTGCGCCCTCAGCGCGCCAAGCAGCGCGTTTCGGACACCCAAGACTTGTGTTTGTTGGGCTCTATCATATAAAATGACAACAGATGGGCGCAACTGTCTGTGTTCTGCCCGACGAGTCTGCCGCCCACCTTCACGATGGTGTTGCACGCATTGGTCAGCGCTGCCTCAGGCGCCAGACTATCCAGAAAGGGGATGATGTCGGCTTTCAGCGGCATTGTCACTCTGCAAAATAGTATGAGCTTGGAAAGTCGAGGGGAACAACACTCACGCAGCCCCACCACACTCATCGCCCCGGATCACTCGTACCATTTCCTCCGTCACCTTGCTCGTCGACCAGAGCGTGAATGTCTTTTGGGTGGTCCCACCCTCAAGCGCATGGAAGCAGTGGTTATGCAGCATCGGCGCGCTCGAGTGCGCGATTGGGAAGCCGAACAAGTAGAACTTGGAACCGGTGCTTGTCATGGTGTGAACCAAGTCCGAATACGGCCCCGTGACGCGTTAAAAATTTCTCACAATTCATGGCGCGCAGCCTGCGTTATATAATTCACCTTCCAACTTCATGACGCAGGTAAATTTATGTAGCTGCATACGTAATACATACTTCAACAACTTGAAGCAAGTGAAATCCTTCACCAAAGCCTTTCTTCCTGGCTAATGATAGTCTTGTTTTTATTCAATCAGACAGCTTCTCGGGGGGCCTGGCTTTCCCCCGCCTCAGAACCCGCTTGGATGTCGACACTATACCGCCCCTGTTGCCGGTCGAAATACCCCATGTTCCACAGCTCCCAAACTTGCTGCACTATGTGTGGATCGAGCGGGTCGCGCGCACTGAGGCTGGCGGTCTCCACGCCGTCGTCCCCCATTCGCCCGCTCCACGCCGACAATAAGGCCTATTTCCAAGTCAACACACGCAACGAAAATACTGATAAAACGGCACCACCTGCTCGAAACGGGCCCTATTGTCCTTATCTAAAGTTAAACCCGACTCGGAATTCCTTTGCTCGTCATCAGCGACCACCATGCCATTTAAAGTCTGGTCAGTCGCATGTCCGTTGCTCGAGCGGTTGAGCAGATTCCCTCCAAGTCCGAGGCTATTGTTGCCCAGCAATGCATTTGGATTCTGTATGGGGGGCTCTTGAGTGTGTGGTTCTTGAAGAACGATGGCCTCTGGTAGAGAGCGTGATGCAGAGCGTGATGACAGTGCTGATGGTGATGATGGACGCGTCTCGAGTCGTGACACACTACTCGACAACGACGACCGTAAACTGTGGGGAGTAGCAGGTCTGGGTGGGGGTCTGGGTGGATATGGCGCCATGGATGGGTAATATGGCATGGGTGGATATGGCACATATGGGTTATAGAACGGCGCTGGAAAAACCGGAGGTGCCTGCAGTGGCTGGGGCAGCAATTCCAGGTCTTCCTTGATGGACTCCATCCAAGCACGGTCCATCGCATCGCCGTAGTGTTGGAACTCACGGACAATGAGGCCAAAATATAAAATCCCAAATGCCATCACACACGTCAACGCAAGGCGCACGCCAAGCGCAGCGCGGGGGGAGAGTGTGGGCAGGGCGTCTTGCGAGGAGCCGCTTAGCCAGATAAACGACATGATCGAGGCCAGAAATGTGACAATAGACCATGCAAGCCAGGTCAGCGGCTACAGTATCTCTTGATCAGAAAACAGCACTTTTTTTTTCGCGGAAAAGTACCATTGCAAGCATGATCCACGCGTTCCACCAAATGTTCACGGTATCGTTGTTGCTTTCGAGGGCCTTGAGATGACGTCAGCAGGACGAAATGGATAAAAAAAAAAAAACCTGAGCAAGCGCAGCGGCTTTGTGCATTTTACGCATAGTTCCGAACCTGGTGATATACATACAGCCATATAACAAGCTGAACAGGGAGCACATCAACGAAAACAGCGCTGTCGTACGGGTGATCGGGTGCCCAGCACTGTCGATTTGCAGCAGCGTCAATATGGCCCTAAAACCTTCTGTGAGACGGGGGGAAGATTGATCATGAACACGGTCCATACGACATGAGGAGCACGCTGACCACGTTAAAGGTCTTCCACTCACGTATCAACGAATCGATAAAGTTCTCCCAGGAAGCACGCAGATGAAGCAAAGAACTGGGCAATGGCGTTGGATCGTAGTCCGCCCACGTAAAAATCTCGTTCGGTCTCTTCCATTGAGTCGCTCTAGCACGTGCCATGCGACGTATATCTGGTTTGCTGGTTTGCGCATCTTCGAAGATTCGGGCGACGCGGGAGAAGTACAAAGAAGGGATGCGCAAAAAGATGGCATAACCATAGAATTTCTCCAACCCGTCCGTCACAATTTCGAACTCGTTTGCAATATCGCCGAGTAGTCCTGCCAGTTGATCAGATATGCGACCTTTTCTTGTTGGCGTGGTCACTGGATGTGGTAAAATGGCAAATAACGTTGCGGAAGAGGCGGCTGGGCTGCTGAGCGAAGTGGATCGACGATTGGTATAAGATTGAGATTCAGAGATAACTGGTATCGGGCTTGTGGGATGAGAACTTGGTGGAATGTCAACGGAAGAAGTTGACAACCTTGATCTACTCGTCGAACTGAAAGACCTGCTTGATGGAAGCGGTATGTGAGCAGGGTCGATTGGAAAAGGCGTATCTTCGCTTGGAATCGAGACTGTATGAGTCAGCGGTGAAGGGATGAGAAAAGGAGTCGGGCTGAATTGGACCGCCGGCTGTAAATCTTCTCGAGCCACCCGTTTCCGGCGTCTGCGGCTTGGCCGATCGAAAGGATTGGCAGGGACCACTAGCGGCTCTGAGTTGTGCTCGCTGTAGCTCGCTTGACTCGCCCAAGGAGAGCTGGGGACATTCCAAGGCAAGCTCTGGTGTTGGATGGGCCTGCTACTGGCCTGCTCATGATCAGCTGTCGATGCCTCTTGGGCAAGGTTGTCTGGTTCTTGCTCGACGCTGGGCTGGAGTGCGCCTACGGGCTCGACCATCGATTACGCTGTTTATGAGCGAGGTGCGCGATAAAGAGTGCCCACAGCACTGCCGCGAGTGTCAAACAGATCTATCTTCTCGAGCGCTAACTTTGCATTCCAGCCTGAATTACAAGCGCGGCTTGCGACCAGTATGCGCGGCCTGCAGAGTGGCGCAAAAGCCGTGTTCCCATTGCGCAAGTGGAGACTCCTCCTGGAAGAGGGAGGAGGACAGGTTCAAGTTCGTTTGATGTGACATCACTCGTTGCGTTGTTCACACGCACACACGCACACAATACTGCATTTTTTTTTTAGCAGTACACAGCATTGGGATCTTGCTCCCGAGTGACACCAACCACGAGACTGGCAGGCAGGGACCACGGTAAGTCACTACCAAAGCTTTGAAATTGACAGTGGACCGGCCGGATTGCGAGGTTTCTTTGTTTGCCTTTTAACTTGGAGTCGATTGGATTCTAGTGATCCCTCAAGGGTGAAGCGAACATTGCTGACCGTCTCAATGAAAAGATAAAACTACATTGCATTTATTCCTCGCCAACAGTATTATTACAACACAAACGGCGCAGCCGCGCGCCGCACAAACCGCTTCGCGACAAACCCACACCCGGTCTTGCCCGCCTGAGTTTGCGCACCAACACCAGAGCAAATTCCAGATGGGCCAGCGCAGCAGCCAGAGGCACAGTCCTTTGCTGACAAGCACTGGCCGCCAATGAACTGTGTCCCCGCGCCATTTCCAACGTTCTTGGCACCTGCGGGGTCGAAAGGTGGGCCGCCCTTGTTGGCCGGTGGGGCAGCTGCAGCTGGTGGGGCAGCTGCTGGTGGCGGTGCAGCGGCGGGTGGGGGTGCTGCTGCCGCTCCTCCTCCACCACCAAATCCACAGCCAGTTTTACCAGCCTGAGTCTGTGCGCCAACACCGGAGCAAATCCCAGAGGGACCAGCGCAACACCCAGAAGCGCAGTCAGCTGCAGAAAGACACTGCCCACCAATGAACTGTTTGCCCGCGCCATTTCCGACGTTTTTGGCACCTGCGGGGTCGAATGGCGGGCCGCCTTTGCTTGCCGTGGCCGGTGGCGCTGCTGCTGGTGGCGGTGCAGCTGCTGGTGGCGCGGCTGCTCCGCCTCCACCACCACCGAATCCACAACCAGTTTTGCCCGCTTGTGTTTGGGCGCCAACACCGGAGCAGATGCCCGATGGGCCAGCACAGCAGCCAGACCCGCAATCAGCTGCAGAGAGACACTGGCCACCGATAAACTGCTTGCCCTGGCCGTTGCCGACATTCTTTGCGCCAGCGGGGTCGAAAGGGGGGCCACCGTTGGCCTGGGCGGAGACATAAGTCGCGAATGCGAGGAGGGACACGACAGTGAGTGATTTCATGATGTGAGGGGGGAAAGAGCACCGGGCTCGAGAGAGAGTGTGAAAAGAGAGAGAGAGAGGGAGAGAAGAAGCAAGCCTAATGGCCTGTCATGTCCTCGGCTCTTTATATATACCCACCCACCGATGCGCAACCACCGTCGATCAACATTCAACAAAGATCGCCCTATTCATCTTTTAACCCTTGTTCGCTTCGTCGATTCCGTCCCGCAAACAGCCTTTCACTCAAAGCCGGCCCAAGCCATCCTTTACTTTGCCTCCATAGTTAGCACAAGCAACTCCACTTGGGCTTGCCAAGCTACCCCGTCCCATTCGACTCCTTTGCCGTCACGTCATCGCCTCTTTGCTGTCGCTCGAGGCTGCGCCTAGCCATACTGCGTAACACTGTTGGTTGTACAACTAGTTGTGCAAGTATCACGGACACTGTACACACGCATCACTGCACCCGGCGCTGTTCCCAACAACCCCACCATATGCGCACCACACGAATCGGACCAAGGTCCTAAATTAACCTTACCCGACACGCGCCCACGTGACTACAATTTCCTCTTTTTCTTCCGTTTACTCACTGCAGTCTGTCTCCGCCTCCCCTCGCCCCCAAGGCCCCCATCCTCGAGCCACCAGCCCCACGGCAGCGGCTCGCCACTCCCGCCGATGGACTGGATATCTACAACATACTGCAGATCCGTGGGAACAGCGGTCGCAAGTCGATAGATCGAGGGCTGGAGCACGACTTCCAGCTTCCGCGGACGGAAGTACCGCGTGTTCCACAGGTCAACGAACTCCTGCACCACTTGCGGGTCGGGAGGCGAGAGCGGGGTCTCCACATATTCAGGCGCGTCTGTCTGCAGCCGTATACGGCTGGTCCACGCACTTGTTATGTCCTAGAAGAATGTAAACCAGCTTCAATTGTACTTTGTTCTCACCTGCACAAAACGGACCCGATCGTCCGTGTCCAGCCTCAAGAAACCCCCATCATCCTCGCTCATCCAGTCTTCGACGGCCCTGACACCGCGATCCAGATGCATGATCGAATGCCGGAAGTTCAAGCCGCGATACGACTCGTCTTGCAGGTCGCTGACCGGTTTCAAGAACGCATCGGGCAGCGCTGTCAATGGTAGATCACTCTGCAGTACCTCCTTGAAGTACGGTGGTAATCGTATTCCACCCGGAACGACGGGCGGAACAAGGTCGTCTGTCTCTGAATCGTCCATACCCAGAGGTGGTGGTGGTGGCGCGGGTGTCATTGGCGGTGATCGTTCAAGCGGAGGCGTTATCGGGTCATAATATGGGTTGGGAGGGCGGGTATTTTCCCACGCCCTCTGCTGGGGAGGAGCGGCATTCGCAGTCGACACCCAGTTCCGCGCCAACGCAAGGTCTTCCATCACGGACTTCATCCAAGCACGGTCCATCGCATCGCCGTACCGCTGGAACTCGCGCACGATAAGAACAAAGTATATAATCCCGAACGCCATCACACAGGTCAGCGCGAGTCGAACTCCGAGTGCACCACGAAGGGAAAGCGTCGGAATAGAATCTTGCGACGAGCCGGTGAGCCAGATGAACGACATAATCGAGGCCAGAAACGTGATGATCGACCACGCAAGCCAGGTCAACGGCTATCTCCTCATAAGAAAAACATGTCCATCCACCAAATCAGAGACCCACCATGGCAAGCATGATCCAAACATTCCACCAGATGTTGACAGATTCACCATTCCCTTCCACAGCTTGCGCCAAACTCGCGGCTTTATGCATTTTGCGCATCGTTCCGAATCGGATGATGTACATGCAGCCATATAACAGGCTGAAAAGAGCACAAATCAGAGAGAAAAACGCCGTTGTCCGCGTAATTGGGTGAGCAGCACTTTCAATCTGCAACAGCGTCAATATGGCCCTAAAATGATTCTGTCAGCCGATAATCATAATCATAAAAAATAATTCGTACGACATGAGCAGCACGCTGACCACATTCAACGTCTTCCACTCGCGCATCAATGAATCGATAAAACTCTCCCAAGACGCACGGAGATGCAGCAAAGAATTAGGCAGCGGAGTTGGGTCATAGTCTGCCCAAGCAAGGATCTCGTTTGGTTGCTTCCACTGGGACGACCTCGCACGTGCCATGCGATGGATGTCCGGTTTGCTAGTCCGCGCGTCTTCGAAGATTCGAGCAACACGCGAGAAATATAACGACGGGATCCGCAAGAAGATAGCATAGCCGTAAAACTTTTCTAGGCCATCTTCCAAAATCCTCAGCTCGCTGAGACTGTCGCTGAGCGCTTCAGTGAGTTGTTCGAAAATATGCATCTTTTTCGATGGTGTAGTCACTGGAATCGGAAGGGTTGACACGGAGGTGGCAGGTGAGCCCTTGAACGGAGTAACTGGCAATGCTGTGGGTCCATTCGAGACGACCATCGGAAGATTCGGTCCGGAAGGCACAAAACCCAATGGTAAATCGAAGGTCGGCGCTGTTGCCTGATTGACAATAGGTCGAATGTCGATTGGAAAAACTTTCACAGAGCTTGCGCTACTTGTTGTGGAAGTTGCACTGCTGGTTGTGGAAATTTCGCTACTCGTATCGCTTGCAGGCAGAGGTATGTCTGCAGGATCAATTTCAGTCGGAACCGTGGTCGCAGGAGTTAATGGCGGGGGGATGAAAACAGGAGTCTGCTGGAAATGGACTGTCGGTTGTGGATTCGCCACCGCTTCCTCGACAGCTTCGGCCTTTTGTTTTCGATGTTTGCGTGTCGGTCGATCGAAAGGGTTGGTAGCAACCATTAATGGCTCTAAGCTGTGGTCGTCGGCTAGGTCCATTGAAGTTGGTGGATAGTTTGCCCTCTGTGATAGGATGGGACCTGAAGCCATGGTGCTCCCTGGGGTCGCCCAAGGGTTCAATTCCGAGGGAGGTAATGGTACTGGTATGATTGCTGGAGCATTTGAGTACCGAGGGATGCTATTCCAACCAGGCGATTGACGAGGAGTTGGTGCCAATCCATTCCCCCATGGACTCTGAGACTGTGATACCCAATTAGAGCTCCGAGTTGTTTGATAGTCACCCGAGTGCTGGGGCGTGGTTGAAAACGCATTCGTTGACGGGTCATGAGCTCGGCTGCCCCACGAAGAAGCCTGTGTTGCAAGAGGATAGCTGGGGGATTGGTGGGGAGTATTTGACCACGGGTTCTGGGCTGGTGACCCCCAAGAGGATGCACTAGTCGCTTGAGAAAGCCATGGAGAGGTCCGAATGCCCCAAGGAGACCCTTGAGCACCCCCCGGCGAGTTTTGAACCTGTATAATCCCTTGCCCTACGCCCGACGCGTCTTTTGGATAGGATTCGTTAGGTGTAGTTTCGTTCCTGTTGGCCTCCGACATCGATTAGCCTGCTTGAGAGTTAACGAAGAACCGAAAAAGGCACTGCCGCCAGCGCTAAACATACCTCAATAGCCGATGCATATCAGAGGCTGTTAGCGAAGATATAAGCGAAGCTGTTAACTGGTCAGAGCAGCCTACAGTATGAGCCCATGCTGAACGGACACACCCATTACTGAGAATTGAGCAAGAAATCGAGATGGAAAGAAGCCTGAGCGTGACGTTGGTCTATTGATTATGTAATCGAGCAGTTTTTCTGCTCGCAGCTCAACGTCTTGTTTCGCGTGCGCCATAGAGGGCATTTGTCACTCAGCAAGTCGTTCACTGTCACGGAACACAAAACTATGTTCCACCGCTATTCCGGAAGAAGTGTCCCCTTCTCATTCCGTGCCCGTCCCGAAATGACCAAGCAATGAATTACTTATACTACACCGTGGTGATGCTCAAAAAATAATTTACGACTATGGGGTCTCCAGATAACAGTGCAACCATGCGGGGCACAAAGTTCTGGATAGACTTTACCGAGTTTGACCCAGAACGACCCGTCAATCTTCCACCCACCACCAAATGGCTTATTCTTTCTGGGCCCCTCTTTTTGCAACTCGTCGTCGCCTCCACCGCCTCAGGCTATGCGCTTGGGTTCCCCAGCATGATGGTATATACTTCCTCCTCATTCGCCTTGATATTGATGGTATATTTCAGCGCGACACCCATTGCTCACAATTCCAAGCCACACTAGGGCTGGGGATATTCTGCCTTGGCTTCGCTGTCGTTCCGCTGTTCACGTCACCTCTCAGCGAGATGTGTGGACGAAAGCCGCTATATCTGGTCTCCGCGGCGGGCTGTGTGCTCGCTCATCTCATGGCAGCATTGTTTGTTTCTTCTCCTCGTTCTGCTTTCGCTCAACGACTTAGAGCAAAAAACGGACCCACCATCATCGTCGCTCGAATGCTTCAAGGCGCATTTGGCGGAGGGACAACCATCGTTGGCGGTTCAATTGCTGGTTGGTGCCTATTTTTCAGCGAACCGCTCGTTGTCCCTGACATCATTGGTAGACCTTTGGCATCCCCAAGAGTGTGTTCCATTCCTTGCAAGTCAAATTGATCTCATATCCTAGCAGCCGAGGTCTTCCGATGTCCATATTCACAGTCACCGCTCTAGCCAGCAACGGCTTGGGGCCATTGTTCTCCGGTTGGGTTGAACAGAACCCGCGTCTTGAATGGCGTTGGATTCAGTACATCCATATGATGTGAGTATAGCTCCTGATCCAGGAAATTAAACTGAAAACACAAGCCTCTCAGCTCTGTGCGGAATATTGTTCCTCGTGACAATGCGCGAAACACGATCATCTGTTTTACTTTCGCGGCGTGCCGAGAAGATTCGCAAGGAAACGGGCGACAATCGCTATATAGCCTGTGGAGAAGAGCGTAGTCTACGAACCTTGATCTACATTTCATGCACGCGTCCTATTTGTCAGTGTCTTTTCTTTGGAACAGAATCATCGTAATGACCAGCAGCTAATAGACCTTCTTGTCAAAGAGCCTGTTGTCGCAAGCTTCAGCGTCAGCATCTTCCTCTCGATTCAAAATTCCCCTCTCACAAAGTACAGATATGGATCAGCTTCGTTTGGGGAGTTTACTACATTCTCCTGGCGTATGTATTCCTCTCTGAGCAAATAATGGGTTGCTAATATGGTCCCTTAGATCGACCCCAAACATTCTGCGAAACATCCACCATTTCTCTTCTGGCCTCGTTGGAACAGCATATTTGTCGTTAATGTGTGCAGATGATGCTATATTGGTCATGGCTTGGGTGCTGACTTAACAAGTTTCGGTGTTGTGTTAGGTTTCCTTGCTTCCATCTTCCAGGATCGACTCTACCGGTGCGCTCTTCGGTTCTGTAGGCACTCCATCTAATTAGCTTCCAGACAACGAGTTGCCAAACGTGGCCCAGAAGCACGACTGTACTTTGCTTGCGCATCAGCAACCGTATTCCCCGTTGGAATGGGCATTTTCGCGGCTGCCTGTAACACGTCCCATGTTGTTCCTTGGATAGTCATGGCCATAGGAATTGCTGTGCGTGGATTCATCTTCTTTCAGCTGTCTTCAACTCAATATTTGCGCACCAGATCTGCGTCTGGGCCGTCTTTGGCGTTTACGTATCCATTTACGCTTACCTCACGGACTGGTGGGTCGTCTTGATGGTTCTCCTTTTTCATTCTCAATGTTATTCCAGCTACGGCCCATTTGCTTCTTCGGCACTTGCAGCGCAATCTTTACTCCGTCTGTCTTCCTTTCCTCTGACCAGCTGGTATTAAATTTCAGAAAACAAACAGGCAATACTGCGGCGGCAGTTTTCCCGCTCTTCGTCGAGCATATGTTCCGAATCCTTTCTTACCTCAAAGCAAACGCAATATTTGCCGCTATATCCATCCTGCTCGTCCCAATACCCTATGTCGGTGAGGTGCTTATGCAAGTTCATAACTCAAATTGTCTTGACAGGTACTGTTGTTCTATGGCTATCGGATTCGCGCGAAGAGCAAGTTTTCAAAAGCGGTCATGAGCTCAGACAGAGAAGACGTCGTAGAGACCGTCACAACGCAGGTGGGACAGGAAACCCAAGTTGGAGTATAGGTAATCAAGTACTTAGCCAGTGCTGCGTGCAGCTTGAACTGGGCAGCTCCATAACGCGTTCAAACACGCCGCTGCCTAGTTCAGGCATGTGTAGTCAAACTTTCAAATAATTAGCACTAGGTCTACTCATACACTCTATTGGTACCACCTCTCCCTTAAACGCTTCCTCCTCACCATCGGCCGCGTTATGGCAATGCCCAGGCCCAAACCAAAGACCGTTAACACCAACTGGGCCTTATTGAAGCTCTTGCTGAGAACATCGAATGTGCTTGATGGCGCAACCCGTGTGAAAAACAAATCGAGACCATAGGAAAACACAAGTGATGTGGATTCCAATAAGGCCGGCGCGGTAATGATGTTGCGGACGCGCGCCACTTCATATTGGTGAGATATTGTGCGCCGCGGGTCATCCGGCATGAGCAGTTCATAGGGAAGTAGGTGCTCTTCTTGCTGCTCCTCAGCGGTAGGCTTGCGGTCTTTTGGTCGGCGTGGATTGAGCATCCTGCGCGGAATTTCGTGAACTTTGTTGTTCTGTGTAGCCACGATGACATTTTTGGTGGTTATTCCGAATTTGGTCGATGTCGTCGTCATTGCGGTCACCTGGTGGGGGTAGATGTACGACTGCTCTAATGGCTCGACCTGCAGAAGGTCTTCAGAAAACGCAGACATATCGGAGCTAAGAAACCGAAAGACGTCAGCAACGATCGGCGCAGAATTATCAGAAAAAACAAACCTGCGCGTTTTCTCGTCCAAGCCTCCCTCGTACAGTTCGACCGTTACAATCTTCCAAGTCTTGGTCTGGCCCGTTCCCATGCCCTCCCCGTCGTAATAATGATAAACTAACCAGTTCTCTGTAAACGTTGCCTGGACATCACAAACCGCCTCTCCGTTTGCGGGGAGTGCAACAGAATATAACACGCTGCCTTTGACTCCATCCACAACGTACAGTCCACATCCTGGCTCAGGGGCTGTGTCGGTGCTTTGGGTGAGCACCACAAACATCCGCGGGTTGAGGTACTTGTATAGTGTTGTTCGATTGCCGAGGACCTTGCCATACGACACCACTGGTCCAACTTGAGGTCGGATCAGCCGCGTTACTATCTCACCGCGGGGAAGATTCAAGCCCCACGTTCGATAGGCAAGGTATTTGTCCGAAAGCTTTTCGTCGAGCTTCAGGCCATGACCAACGACTCGTGGACCATCTTGGAAACTCTGCAGGAATGGCAAGAACATCTTCGATGCAACTTTGGCAACAAGTTTGTCGCTTGCTTCAGTGGCCGGGTAGGGATTGACCTAACGAATAATTCAACGAAAGCTTTGACAGCGACTGGCACGCATACTTGGAAATATTCATCGATTAGGAGAATGACGTCGGAACTTGGGAGTGGAAATGCTGCTACAAGTGGTCCACGGATGAGGTCTTCTCCTTGTAAAAGTTGTTCGGTATCCTTTTCGACAGGAGTAATTGACTGGCCAGTCAGAGGATCGATTCTGAAAACTACAGTATCAACGAGGCCCTTCCAATGGTTGGATTAGCGTAAATAGCAGGATAACGAAGCGGCTTACGTTATCTGCCTTCCTCAGCGCAACAATCACAGCATCCTTCTTTTCTCCCTCACCGCTCAAAACAAATATCTTGAGTGGTTGTACCGAGCCACCGACATCTGCACCGGCCCAGCCAAGCCCGAAAACTCGAGTCCAAATGATCGCTCCATTCGCAGTGTCGATGCCAAATGCAGAGCCGTATGCAGTTGCCACAACGAGAACTTGCCGGAAGCCATACGAATCCCGGATGAGAGGTGCATCGACCGTAGTCGCTACAGCATCTTCTACTCCACCCACGAAACGTTGAGCAAAAGCAGCAGCATATGCGGGAAAGTCCTATCCTCAAAGCAATCGTATAAGCAGACTCAGAAGCTGAGTGAAAGTCAAGAACCTTAGTGTCAGAGATCTGTCGCAGAAGGCGAGAAATAAACGATTCGTTTGCAGCGACGTGGGCAATACGTTCAGGAAGGGGCAGCTCGACCAAGGCAGCTACATCAATGCTTGCAAGGCCTTCTTCACGAGTCCAAAGAAGCTGTTCATTGTCCCATAGCTGGATAGAACCGGTAGAAGTCGTGATTGCCAGTCTCGTCCTGTCAATACCAAGCTGACTAGTGTTAGAACGAAACGAGAAGTCGTAACCACACAGACTGCTTACATGTGTGACAGTCCCTTGTCGGTGCGGATTGACCAGGAACGTGGATTGGACAAGATTTTGAGCTGGGCTATAAATTTCGACGCGGGTCCTCTGTGAAAAGTGTAAGATGCTTTTATGAATAGCCTGGTAAAAAAAAAAAAAACTTACGCTATCTATCGTGGTCCACAAGCGCGCGATGAAAGCGTTGCCCTGATTGTCCAAACCACCCGAAAAGATTGACTGTGGTCCGTCATTGGCAGGGAATGTATGGACTGCCTCGATGACGCCGCCCTCCTTCACTTTCAACACTTTAGCGTCTCCGTTTGCTAAAACCCCCACAAAGAGACCCTGCTTCTGGAGATCTACATCGACGACGGCCATCCACTTGAGTTCCTTCTCCACTCGTATTGACGATTGCAACGACGGGATCAGTTGCAAGAATTCAAGACTCTGCACGACAGGCTCGATCCAGACAGCCAAGTCAGCCACTACTATGAAAGATGAGATACGTGGCGCCAAGTGTTTGAATGCTGTCTGAATGGTCGAGCCTGTTTGCGGGTCGATTGACGCGAGATGAAGGCCGAAGGTGTCGGTATTGTGTCCAACAGCGAAAAGAGATGCGTCCGTATGCACAAGTTTCGAATATGGGCCCCTGTATTTTCCAGTCAGTAAACTAACGTGAAGCATCGTATAATAACGCGCACTGGTTTTCTGGAGCATCCCAGATCCATTCGCCCTCTCCAACGCGAGTGATACTGCGAGAGTTCAACACGAACTTGTTTTGGGCAACATCTATACCAGTCGGGCTGCCTTCCGGAGTTTTCAGCCTCTGCTCTCGTGTTATCGCACCGGTGCTTGTCTCGAATATCCGTAATGTAGAGCCCCCTACGCCAGAAAGCGCTGCCACGAAGTCACTGTCAACGCGGACATTCACGAGTCCGTCTGCCTGGTCAAACACGTATCTCCATACTACAAAGCGCGTCAGTCAATACCAGAGACAAATAGAGCAGGCGAACCAATTGAACCGTCAGACGTATTCAGCGCGGCAAGAACGTTGCTTGCGGTTGGAACGACAATGACAGATTCACTGCCTACGTGGTGAAAGACGGGCGGGGCAAGGGGCTTGCCCACAAGCCGTGTGTGCCAGTCTATGACCCCGACATCTGCCTCTTGGATGGCCAGAGACAGTGGGCCGCAGAGCAGCACCACAAAAAGGAAGAGGAACATCAAAATGGTACACGTCACGTAATCAGTCATCAGGGCCAAAGTTCAAAATCGTAATAATTCAGTCCGCGCGACCACAGTGCTACATAACGCAGAAGGCAACCTGAAGCCATCGACCTTGGCTTTATTCCCTACACTGTTGTGTCCGACTGCTTTCCAACGGCCAACCTTGCTGCCTCCATACTCTTCTTTCGTGCTTCTGTGGCTTCTGCAACTGTAACAAGCGTGAAGTCCTGTTTGAGAACCTTGTGGCTGGTCGCATTCCTGAAACCACGTTGACGTGTGATTTCTACATCATTCTCGGTTGTGGTCTCCTTCAAATGCGCTATCGATTCAGTCGTTTGGCTGGAGGCGCAAGCTGCATGGACGCACAACAACGAGACTTGATTTGACCCCAAACACGACATCACTATACAAATAGGGATCTCCCTTGAAGTAAAGAGCAGTGACCAGTTTCTCGTATCCATCAGCCTGTGGGTTCGGTAAATTTCTGAGAGACTCTCCTGAAAGCCAACCTGGAGCATCATATGTAGATGCGCGGGACGGAAAACATGTCGCCCCAGAGCCTGTACCAGCCCTCCAACCGGACCATCGCTTGGAATGGGATACGAGACAGGGCTAAGCATGAGTGAGTCATCATAGATGATTCTTTGTTGGTCGTACACAACTGCACGGAAGCTGAATTCGCCTTTGTTTGTAGTTGTGACTTGTCCTCGACAGTCTGGGCCACCACGTTGGGAATACTAAACTCGTCGCTTAGATTAGATATAGAAAAGCGGTAAACCAACTTGATTGTCGTATAACCCATTGCCGTCTGTCTCCCAAGTATCGATGAGAACATTGGGAATGGGGTTGCCTTCCATGTCTAGAACTCGTCCTTCGACCCACATGTAGTCGCCTTTGCCTTCGGAAGCAATGCTTTCACCATTCTCGACTGATGATTCAACCGTTAAAGCACAAACAATGGAAGGAGATCGACAGACAGTGCAGAGCGTCGTCAGTGAAGAATGGACCGAGAACCGTGGCTTCCGTCGCACCAGGAGGCTTTGCGTGATTCATGTCATCAACAAGACTTGAGACTCCAAGGGTATCAGAGAGCAGAATGAACTCTACAACGACAGATCAAGATGCTGGAAATATCTTGGAAAGTTATGCTGACCTTGGCGGATGTCAGTACATTTTTGACCAGTCTTGGTGAGGAATTCCAAAGCAGTCCTGTTCTCGTGAACAGGTGAACCCAAGTAATAAGAGTTCAACCTACATCCATTCTTCGGTAGTCAACGAAGTCTCGCGCACGAAATCGTGAAGGTGGTCAATCTCCGAAACAAATGGGATTTTCCATCGTCATTTCGGGCATACTACCCACCAGATGCTTGAATATGAACTTCAACCGTTCGTTTTGGCCTGGAAAAGGCTTAGACAAGTAGCCTGTAAGCTAGGAACGAACAGTTTTGGTTCATAACGTGCACATTCTCAGTGATAGTCTCCGCCGTCATGTCGAGGGTTTTCGGCAGTTTGGTCAGGTCAATTCCATGGTTGTGTGCAAGTGTTGCGGCACGAAGCATCGACTCCTCCGGGACATTGGCGTTGGACATGGTGGTAAGCAGAGAGCGAGAACCGGAGCATTATCATGAGACGAGTTAGAACTGTGACTACTATATTTAGCCATGGTTTTACCAGGAGCACCCACGCTAACTACAAATTACGAATGGTTAACTACGATACCAGGCTATGTACAAGAACATAAACTAAGGCTACAGATTCTGGTAGAAATATGGCACAACAGCATTAAGCGAAGGTATAACAGTAAAAGTGTTGTCGTCAACAGTCGTGGGGAGAGTAGGCTCATACGCATATAAGGCGGCCCACTCGCTAACGAGCGAATTTCCGGTTGGTGGGATTGGATAAGATGGAGTTGGATGCTGGATGATTTGTCCGTCGTATGAATAATGCAACAATAGAGGTGGTGTCGCCGAGGGTGTGGTTTGAGTAGCCAAGGCAGCATAGTCAGATGGACCCGCTGTCGCAGCTGCATGGGAGCTCCAGTCACAGTCATGAGTATAAAGTACTGATATATCTTGTTCTTCAACTGGGCAGGAGAGACCCAGTGGTAGACGCGAAGTAGTCGAATTGTGTGATGCTTCTGAACGATGTTGCAGCCGTGAAGAAGACAGCGGAAGATTATGAGCATTGTCTCCGAGGCGGGTGGGCGCTATGATGGGTATTGGTCGACGATTGCGCGAACCTGGAAACTCCGGTGGGAGGCATGGCTCAGCCGCAAGATTAGGCGGCGTGAAGGAGAACGTATGGGAGCTCGGTAACGATGCCGCAAATCGGAACACAAAAGAACGAACCGGGAGATCATTTGAGTGTGGACTGGAGGGTATGTTATGTTCCTCAAGGCGGAGACGAGTTTGAAGGATATCTAGTTCGACGACACACTCATAAAGTTCTGGAATCAAGTCACCAAGCTGTCAAAATATGAATGGCCCCACTTACGCGAACTGCAACTGAGCTGAGTCCAGTAAGACGGAACCAGTGGGGTGCTGTAGGTGTACTCCCCTTGTCGGGTCGAAGATAAAAAAGTGATTTCAGAAATATCCGCATAGACGAGAGAGTCTCCAACGTTGACTTTGTAGTAGGAGCAGTGCGACAAAGAGATCTTGAAGGGCAACGTGAATGTCACTAGCGGAATGCTGCTAGCGAGATCGGCAGAGCAGTCCACTTGGATCGAGTCGGCGTTTGCACCATGACATACGGTCACCGAGCTCCGCCGCTCACGTTCGCTCAACGGCTGCAATTGGATTGTGACATAGGTCTTCTCTGGAGAAACTTCAGCCAGTTTCAGCTCATCGTGATCGCTAGAGGACGCGGAAGGCGACGATGCTGAATCAAATGAGATGACGGACTCGTCTACGGTGACGACGGAGCCTTGAATTAATCTTTGAACTGGAACAGGAGGTGTAAGGTCGTCTTGGTAAAGAGTAATGCGACAAAAACTTACTTCGTTCATTCTGGCAGGTGTCTCTCATCTGCTGTAGGCGGCTTCCGACCTGTTTAGCAGTGCGACGCGTCCCAGTCACATTGAAAATGAAGTCAGAAATGAAGCGATTGCGCTTCGGGTTGCGCTGGAATGCCCTGTGATGTCCACGCGCGGGACTGTAGGCATCGAGGGCTATAAGTTGTTCAGATTACGATACTAGCGGTAAAAAAAAACAAGGTGCCTTTGAGCAGAGCATCCTCGAGTTCTGAAGTCCATACGGGTTCGGTTTCGCCCCTTGGTATCTTGTAGCTACGACGACCCAGTATTGTCGGCTCTGGAAGAAATTCCTGGGAAGCGCCGGCGCTGCCGTGGGGCATGGAGGGTGGAGGGAAGTAGCGGTCGTCTCAGCAGCCGCGAGTGGCCCTTAGATATGACATGGACTAACGGCATCGTCTTAGCAAGGACTCGGAGGACAAGATTCAAGATCTGGGAACTGTCACACCACTGACGTCGTGACGCGTGACCGCGATTTCATGTCGACCCGCCATGAATCAGACTCGGAGGATGAGGGGAATGCGTCACAAACAACAGAAGATGATCCTCAAGATGCTCCCCCTCAGCCTGTAGAAACATCAGCCCCAGCTCCTACTGCAGGGCCTTCAATCGCCACTTCTCGCGACAAACCCAACTATCAGCTTCGACACACAATTCGAGGCCATACTCAATCCATCTCCGCCGTCAAATTTAGTCCGGACGGAACTCTTCTCGCTTCCTGTGGCGCAGAAAAAATGGTCAAAATCTGGTCTCCACATACTGGCGAACTTATTCGAAACTTGGTGGGGCATGAAGCTGGCTTGTCCGACATTGCATGGTCAAGCGACAGTGTCTTTCTTGCGTCTGGCTCAGACGATACCACGATCCGGATATGGGAGGTAGATTCAGTATGTTTGTGATAAAAAACCGAATTGTTCCCATTCCTGAAACAATTGACGAGGGTTTAACAACTAAAATATTGAGGGGGCATTCCAAGTGGGTGTTCTGCCTCAATTACAACCAAGCCTCCAATCTGCTTGTCTCTGGCGGCTGCGAAGGCGCTGTCCGAATATGGAATGTTGCTAAAGGTGTGATTTCTCCTCTCTGCCACGTGCCTTCCCATTGCTATCTCTTAGGAAAATGCATGAAGACTATGGCTGCCCATCTGGATTACGTGACTGCTGTGAATTTCAATAGAGACGCGACATTGATCGTCTCTTGTTCCCTCGACGGCCTTATGTATGGTCACTCTCTCTCCCGCTTCCTCGACATGGTAGCTCAATATCTGACAGCCGAATCTGGAATGCGAGTGACGGACAGTGCTTAAAAACTCTTGCGGAGACTCAGGACGCCATTTGGTCAGTTCTTTCTCGATTTGATGCAGTCCCAGCTCAATATATCAACGAATAAGCCAACACGTCCAATTCTCCCCCAACTCCAAATATATTCTCTCGACTGCCCACGATAGCGCCATCAGACTGTGGGATTACCAAACCACGCGTTGCTTAAAGACCTACACAGGCCATACCAACACAAAATACTGCATTTCAGCGTGCTTCAGTGTCACGGGTGGAAAATGGATAGTATCCGGTAGCGAAGACAACAAAACCTACATTTGGGATTTGCAGAGTCGAGAAATCGTTCAGGTCCTTGAAGGGCACACTGGTCCGTTCCCGCCTGAAGGAAATCTTATTCCAACTGATTCATTTAGATGTTGTGGTCGCAGTTGCGGTACCGCTTTAATCGGCTCTTGCTTCGTCGGACTAAGCTACTTTGCAGACCCACCCCATACAAAATATGATAGCCACAGGGTCCATAGAGTCAGATCTCGCCATCCGCATATGGACAGATCGTGGCTTTGACGACTAGACAGGCACTTAGTGCGCTTTGGCAATTGCTTCCGAGTGTTCTTTGTACATCCTATCCAACACCCGAGACAGCATCTTCGCGGAGGCAAATTTGGGACTGCGCGTGCAGTAAACAAAGACAAGGATTTCCTTAAACGTCATAGTTTTGTCGCGTGTCGTGTCATCCATCATTTTCCTTGGGTGGGTCCCACTGGATCGAGTCGACCACCATCTAGCACTTTCATTCGAGATAACAATTTACACGACCAGTCCAGAAGATTAACGACGAAAAAGACTATGCTTGTACCGATACAGATGCAGCGTTGACGCCAAAAGCTTGCTTGTTGTTGTAGGTGACGGAGGAGAAAAAAACGGGAGCCAAGTGAAAGGAAACCCAATCTACTTGACAGGCTCCGCATGTATAAGGTCTGAAACCAAGCATAAACACAAGGACGCCCATTTCGGTAAACACCGTTAGCACGTACCTTTGGCAACCTCTTTGTCAGCATCTGTCAGCCCTGAATCGTGAGCCTCCAGGAACGCGTCGACTTCATCCATAACCCGGTCGTCATTCTCGCCCGCATCGAGCTCCGATTCGCTGTCCTCGTCGTCGTCTTTAGCATCATCAATTGCGAAGGGTGTCCTCTCCATCAATGCGATATTTGCAGCTTGCAGCATTGGGTGGGGTGAATAGCCACTAGGAGGAGCCCCTTTCGCGGGAGGTGTGACCACAGTATTTACGCTGAGCGTAGAGGAAGACGAAGGTGTGATGGTCGTTGCGGTCTTGGTGCTCTCAGCAGAGAGGCTAGTCTTCGATGCTGATCGCCGCATTGATGGCGTGAGCAACGACTCGCGTGCTTTAGGTTCTTCCAGTTTAGTGTATCTCCCAATGGATGGTCGATGGACGACCTGAAAAGTTGATCAGCGCAATGTCAGTTGTTCACGCAATGTGCGTACCTGATGCTTCCCAATCGTCTTGCCAATCTGGTCAGTAAACATATTGAACATCTGCTTGTTATTGTCCGTTGCGATCGTCGACCAGAGATCACCAAGCAGGCCGCTGCTTGAAACGGGCAGCTCCATCTCTGGGAGAGGCTCCAGTCGGAAAGAAGCAGACAAGTCAGCTTCAAAGAAAGACTCGAGAACCTCGTCTGCAAGCACCACCATTCGGAATCTGTGCAAAGCCATCGGCGACTGGACGAAATAAGGTGAACAACATACGTGGCGAGGTTAAGGTAAGGTTGGTTCGTAGGCAAAGACGGTGGTGTCTCTCCACCTTGTTCGTTCTTTATGGGCTCTTCGTCTGATGGGGGCAGGAGAGCGTCTCCATATTCGAATGCGTTGGTCATGAATCGGCTGACGGCTCCTAAATAGGCGTCGCCAACTTCATATCGAAAAATGAACTATCGATGTCTCGGTCAGCCAAAGGGAACACAGAGAAGAGACGACGGACTAAGAATGTCTCTGATAGTGTCAAGACCTCGTCTTTGGTGAGGAAACCATCCTTATTTTTGTCATGAAGGTTGAAGAACCATTCGATGTTCTCCATGAGGTCGTTGAACATGACACCATCTAAGCCGGAAATGAGATCTTGGAATGAAAGTGCCCCACGACAAGAAGTATCCCAGAAAAAGAATAGTCGGTCAATGAATTCATGCTCAGCAACTTCCCGATCGATTCGGCGCTGGAGCGAACATTAGTAATCAATCTGAAAATGAAAGAGCAGCGCTGACCGTCAGTCCATTTGTTACGATCCGTTCGTCCCTCGCCCATGTAGCAATCTCGCTCAAAAAATACTGGAACGTCCGCAAGCCAATTCGAGTTTCTGGCTTTTCCTCCGTCCCAGCAACTGCTCCCTCTGCAGTGCTCACCAGAGCTGGGACAGATGATGGCTGCCCAATCTCAGGCGGTGGCGGCACTATGCACATAGCCTTATATAATGCATCGTATACCAACCCGCCCTGCTCCTTGGAGAATCGTCCAAGGGTCTTGAGATTTCTAATGGCCGACCGTTTGGAAAATGACTCGATGCTATGAATGATCTCGCTACGGAATCGCCGTCTCTCGGATTGGATAAGCTCGTCTGTTATGACAGAAAACTCGCGGAAGGACACAAGGAGAAGCTCCTGGAAACGAGTGATGGCGCGAGCACGTGGGTCAGGTGAATGTGGGTGCGCTGAGTCCCCAAGAGAAGCGAAGTAGTCTCGCATCAGACTGTGAACTATTCAGAACAACAATGCAGAAGATGATCAACCCTACTTGAGGAAACCACCGTCGTCTTGAGCCTTAAGCAACTCTTCGCCGTTGATCTTCAGTATCGCTAAAGTCATCAGCTAAATTCCTGGATAATTCGAAAAAAGTACCTAACCTGAGAACATTGCAATCAACAACAACATATTGATCAAAAAAACTACTCACCCAACTTGGAAGAGAACTTTGGGTCCCATACAGAAGAAGCAGTCGACTATCCGGAAAGCGAAAATCATCGGCATACTGTTGATGAACCTATTTGGCGGTGATAAGACCACCAGGTTACAGTGTAGCTGACAGGACTAACAAGCTGAGGAACCATGGAAGTGAGGCGACCGACAATTGCACATCTACTTCTTGGAAATGGTCATGGATCATAGGAAGGCATCGCTGGACGAGGGATTCAAAGACACGCTGGTCTAGTAGAGTTCCGTGCATCGAAGGCCTACGAAATTGTGAGCAAGGGTGAAAAATTATTGGGTGAAAAGCCAACGAGTAGTAGCCAGGAAGAAGACGATCGCATAGAACCTCAAGCAGCCAGAAAGCTTGCTCCTCCGACATATAACTAGATCACCATCAATATTTCGACCAAGGGAAAGCAAGGAATCAAAGCACATGAGGATAGCCGCCGCAAGAATGTTCATTGCTTGACAATAGCCTAGCTCGGGGTTTTTGAACGAGTAGGCCTGTAAAACCCTCCTAAGCGCATTGATACCTTCCTCGCTTTGGTATCCTGCATATTCGGGCAACGAGCGGTGCAAGTCCTTCTCAATGTCCTCCGTACTCGTGGTCGTGCGACCAACGTTCTTCTCAAGAAGCGCATCGTAAAACCCTGGGTTAGAGAAACGGAGGAAGACTGAGCCTGATAATGTCTCCCACATCTCTCCTCGGAGTCTGTTGGGAAGGCCGACCTGGACAAGTCGAGTGCATTGTGGATAGCGCAGAAGAGTCAGATTGCGTCCATGAACTGGGTGAATTCGGGTTAAAATAATTATCAAATTGAGTCAAAAGCCAGATACTTCGAAGATATTGTGTCCACAGCTTGATCTTCGATGCCTCTCGCAATCTATATCAATGGTCAATCTGCCTGGTGGCCAAAGGCGAGTCACTCACTTCTTGGGATCGCCAGGGAACTTGAATTTCAAGCCAAGCCCCCCATGATATGCTACTTCTCTTGGTGCACTCCCGCCATCCTCCTTCTCATCGGTAATTAGGCTCCCGTCTTCGCGCTCATTGTCTGCGACTTGAGATGTGGTTGAAATGAGTGCCTCGGAGTAACATGTCTTGACGAAGCCTTTCACAGCTCTCATTTGACCGCGTTGTAGCTCGAGCTTGAGCGCATCGCGAAGGAGGGAGCAGAACAAATCCGCAGTTGGTCGTAGGGAAGTCAGTTGGACAATCTGTGATGAAAGTTAATGTTTCCCTGTTGTGTCTGCTGGAAACTCACAATCTTCGAACCATGCCATGTCGAAAGACTGAGGGCGTAGATGCCCGCCCGCGCATTCAATCTCTCTACCCGCCGAATCACAGACAGCGGGACGGTGAACTTGACTGATTTCCGGTCGAGCGAGGCAAATGCAAGGTAGGGCGCTATGATATATAGCTTCCCGGCCTGCAAGATTTCTTCATGTCAGCATACCACCACACTTCCAAGGGTAAGCGACATACATAGGCATCCTCTTCACCTTGGACGCCTAAGCTCAACACCGCGTTTATATCCATCTTCTCGACCTCCTCTGAAGCGGGCGACTGTCCTTTCTCGCCCTTTTCATTGCTGCTGGGAGTATTTATGAGAGTGGCGGTGGGACTGGGTGGTATCGAAAAGAATATTTGGGTGAGCTGCTCCTTCGTTGGTTCCTTGAAGTTGCGGAGCGCGGTCGAGATGGTCGACATCCTTGCTCGTTGCCAACGAAGTGCAAAGGAAGGAAGGGAAGAGGGTCAAGGCTCACGGGGACGGCAACGTTGAGAACTAAGTTGTGGTTTAGATAATGATGGCGCACAGCAGCAATCAAGGACTTCTCGGTGACAGAGTTGTTTCTACACTACAAAAGGCGTCTGCGTAATGGGTGATAGGTACAGTGCGGTAGGTTCACTAGATACAATACATGCGTCAATGCACTCACTCGAGTCCATGGATTCTCCACCGTCCTCTGTACTAAGTACAACTCCGCTCGCTCAATTGGTGACATTATCGGTATGGCCAACCTCACTCTCAACCTCGCCCGGAATATCATCCAACTGCAGGGAGTGAACAACAGAGGCCAAAAAAGGACTGTACAAACCTTGTCCAAATCAATGAGACATTCTCCCAAGATCTTGACTGCTCTCGACAAATCCTCCGCCTCGATGACTAACGGAGGGGCAAATCGGATGCTAAAACTCCATAAAAGCCTGGCGAAAATAATCAGAATCGACACCTACATGTTGATATGTGTTGGCTTAGCCAGCACACCACGACTCTTTAACAGCAAACATAGCTGCCAAGCAGTACGGCCCTTGGTGCTCTTAGTTTCATCAATAACAACAGCATTCAGCAGACCGCGACCGCGGACGGTCGACACCAAAGGTGAATTGAGTGCCTTGACACCGTCTCGGAAGAGGTTGCCTAGTTTGGCGGCTCGCTGGGCCAAAGATTCCTCGTTAAGAACACGAAGAGCAGTCATTGCAACCGCACAACCAAGGGGATTTCTGAAGAGCCTTGAGTAAAACTCGAGCACAGGCTCCTATGAGACTAGCATACCCGCCATAGGTGCTTCCGTGCTCTCCTGGCTGGATTGTGAGCATCACGTCTTTGTTGGCCAAAACAGCTGAGACAGGATAAACTGTGAACTATCTGTGAGATTGCATAGACTTGACAAGATTGAGGACGCCTACGTCCACCGCTCAAAGCCTTGCCAAGTAAGACAATGTCTGGCCGTGAATCTCCTGCAGTCTTTTTATTCACAAGGGAGAAATTCAAGTCTTCCTCGCAAGCCAACATCTTGCCCGTCCTGCCCAGACCTGTTTGAATCTCATCGCATATTAAAAGGACGTTATGCTTGGTGCATAACGCGCGTATGGCAGGAAGATAAGTTGAAGATGGAACAACGATACTGATCATTTGTCAATTTCAGAAGTGGCGGACCGAGTTCGACGAACCCAGCTTCACCCTGAATCGGTTCTACTAGAAAGGCGGCGACATTCTTGCCATGCAATTCAAGTGCATCCTCCAAGTCCTGGATGTTGTCGTAACGAATGATGCGCTCATTTCCAGATGCGTCAGTAAACGTCGGACCAACGAGGGGAAGGAAGGGCCCGAATCCGATTCTTGACGAGGGGTCAGTAGACATGCTGGATAAAATGGGTAAGGATATTTGAGGTAAGTAAGCCGGTAAAAGCGCACCTAATCACACCGACAGTGCGACCATGGAAGTTTCCGTCAACGCTCAAAACTATGGCGCGATCCGCAGGAATGCCTTTGACAGCGTATGCCCATTTTCTTGCAAGCTTGATTGCTGTTTCGACAGCCTCAGCACCTGTGTTCATCGGGAGGACCATGTCATAGCTGGGGGCAGTATAAGCACCCACAGAAGCATAGAAATAGGGGAGACCTGCCCAAACATATCCGTAACTGTTTGAGCAAAGCGACCAAAGACGCTGTTGTAGAAGGCACGCGAGGATAGGGTGAGCTTTTGTGCTTGCTCAACGAGAGTCTGTACTATGGCCGGATGACAGTGGCCCTGGTTAACGGCCCTAAAAAGACGGGCGTTAGCATTCTGGCTTGGTGGGAGAAGAGCGCAAGGCAAACGCGGATCGGCAAGCGCCAATGAGAGATCGCTACTTACGAATAAGCCGAAAGCATGTCGATGTATTCCTTGCCCTCTGGGTCCCATACTCTATCGAGCACCGTCAATGGCTGAACAAATATAAGAGAGAAGCAAACTTTGCACCAAGCGCTCGATCAAACACCACTGGCAGTGGGTGATAGCTAGTCGCAAAAAGGCCGCAGTTCAACAACAGCACGTATATAAAGGAAGAAGACCAACTTGTGAGCGCCGTATTCATGCTCTAGCCTGATCACCTCTGCCGACGATATTCGGACTTCGTCTTTGTTACTCGCCGCTTTGGCGGTTGGACCATTCCCCACTTTCTTGACGACATGCTTATTTTCGTTGGCATGCATATCAACTGGCGCCATATTTGTGCAGATTATTTCAGGCAGACTTGGTTCGCTTTTTCGTTATGCTGGTGGCAAGCGGAGAAAGAGTAAGGGTTTGTTGACGTCGATACGAATTGTCAATCGGGCCCGAGTGTTGTGACGTACTATGTGTAGTTCCGCCCGCCCTCGACCCGTGCTCCTCGCATCCACGACAACCAATAGCCAGACAACCGGTCGGATCCAAGTCTTCCAAACATCACCTCAGAGCAACTTTCGTCCAGTCCACAACCACCGTTGATCAACACAATGGTAAGAAATACATAGCGCCTCGTTTCGCGCATTCGATAGCAATAATAGCTAATCCCCCAAGTTACTGTTACACCTGAGCTCCACCAATCCAGCTCCAGGGAAAATTTCGTTTCTCGCTCGTCGTCCCTTATATTGGGGACTGTAGCGTCAGATTCGTCAAATACGCGATGGCGTCCTTGCGGAAGGTGTCTTGCGTAATCGAGGTCGGGAACAGACCATCGAGGAATGTCATCATGTTTGGGTTTGCAGTCGTGTACGCTGGCCAATTTGGTACCGTCCTCCCGTTAGGGTTGAGGTTGTTGGCAAAGTTGATAAGATAATCGGTAAGCTCGCCGTCGAAATAGATATTGAGGATGTCGGTGAAGTGGAAAGAGCCGAGGAATGGCGTCAGCTTGAGCCGCTTGTTGACTATTTGGCACTTTAGATAATATCCTATGTTTGAAGAGAGATGACATACTGAAGCCCCACTGGTTCTGTTTACCCGAGCGTGCTTGCTGGAAAAATCGACGTGGGGCTTGGAAAACAGCGTCGCCTTGGAAGGCAGCGATACGTTTGAATTGAGGCGTCAATGCATTCAGAATCAGAGTACCGAACGGCGAGCCGTCGATAAGACTGCTGGTATACAAAGACGCGAAATCGTTGGTTTGCGCAGTAGTTGCTTGCGGCATCCAGTTTGTGCGGACCCAGGTCAAAAACTGGGAGTCAGTCCTAATTGCGATGAGAAGGAGCAAGACATCAAGTCGCAATAGTTGCTCACGTGATGTTAAGAGTTGACAAAGAGAAAAGTGTGCCTTCGTCATCATTGTTTCCTGTGATGAACGGGACATTCGCAACTTTGCCCTGCTGTACAAGCTTCTGCGGGTTGTCGGTAAAGAAGACACCATCTTCACGTGGGAGCCACGCGAGGACGAGGGACTGCAAACTGTCAATTCTGCCATCCCTTGCTAGGAGTGGAACAAGTCACCTGGTAGGCGAAGATAAACGGTGATGCATCTTGAGCAGCTTTGAGAGTATTATATGGGACAGTGCGCAAGCATGCTAGAGTATCCGCAGCTCCAGAGCAACCGACTTGTCTTACGATAGCATCGTAATCTGGATTCAATCAGGCACTCAAAACAAGAAGAGGACGAAGAAAATACATTTCTGGCCATTCTCGAGAGGTCCGACTGGGATGGGCGCCCCTGACTGCATAAAGCCAGCACGGAATAGCCCTTCATGATTGCCATTGTAGCCAATCATCTGCGAGGCCACAGAAATTGCTCCTGCACTCTCCCCCCAACTACGAGGGGGTTATTGGCAATACATCGGAAGAGACGAAAACACTGACATGGTGACCTTGGTCGGATCGCCTCCGAAAGCCCCGATGTACTTCTGGAGCCAACGAAGAGCTTGACGTTCTGAAATGCGGGTTGATGAGACGAGCATCAAAGAAATTAGTAGGACCACTAACGATCTTGTAAACCAAGGTTGCCCACGCCAGCAGCACGGACCTCCTTGCTGGCGAGGAAGCCAAATGCGGAGAGACGATAGTTCATCGAGACATAAATGACAGGCTCGCCCATAGAAATCGACCGTTCAACAATGGTTGTGCCATCATACATGGAGGGGCTACCGAGCTCGAACCCGCCGCCAAATATCCACTTAGAAGGGTGTTCAAAAATCGAAGCAAGACTATGATGACTATACGCACTGCGACAACAGGCAACTTGGAGGAGGCCGTAGCGCTGCTGGGCTTGATGACATTAAGCGTCAAACCTGGGGGGGAATATGAAAACTCCAAGCCGCGATTCGGAGATTCACTGCTCACAGTCCTCAGCCGAAGGAAAGACGATACCAAAAATCGAGTTGGTCACGGCATCTACGACTTCTTCCACGAGGCCAGTGAGTGCAGGAAGCTTGACTGCCTGTTGTGGGCACGAGGGACCGAACGAAGTAACTGTATAGGACCCGTTATATGCTGAGACAGGCTGCGGCAGCCTGAAGCGCAAGTCTCCAACCCTGATGAGCTATTAGTGGCGGAGAACGAAGCAGGGAGCAATGAAAGCCTACGGGGGTTGGGCAAAAGGAATTCCAAGGAAGCTCTGAGTCCGTGAAGAGCTAGCCTTGCCCGTGAAAACACCATTATCGAGCTTGATGGTGGGTGCTGCACGCGACTCGATAGTAGCGCTTTCAACGAGCCGAGCGGCGAGAAGGAGGAGGAGACCGCTCGAGAACATTTTCGCGACTGCCTGAGGGGGAGAAAAATCCTCGGCAGAGAGTTAATGACTGGCACCATCCCGTTTATAAACAGTCGGAAGCCCTGACCTGTGTCGGAGTTAGTTACCATAACTTTCCAAGGTCATGAGTCCCATGATGCGATTATTCGGCAGCCAACCCCGAAATCCGTTGGCGACGAGTCCCAAACACCACTTGTACTTCCAACCGCAAGCCATTCTTTGTACCCCGCATTTTCAATGGAAGTGCGGGGAAGTCTAGGTACCCCACATTGCCCAGGCGAATCGGTCGCCATCCCTTGTGGCCGGGACTGGAGGGCCACCGAGAATCACAGGTACATTTGCTTGGGTTGAAGCGCCATCTTTTTCCTGATGATGGTGTCGAGATAAAACCATGTTATGGAAGGTGTTTCGATCTGATTCTGTCAAAACCATGCGTCGTCATTTCTGTTGGATACTCTCAACGGACCTGAAGAGGTAGGGACAAAATTCTAAGCTCAGGCTACTCAACAAGCTTCCTCCCATGGGCACGTATGAAGAGACACACACTGGTGATAACACAGAGTCGAAGGCGCAACATTTTGTAATCACGACGGCGCTGGTTTGGAGTCTTGGCACTGTGTTGACGCATGCTACTGTCATCATGGGGTTGTCATTTATTAGGCTTTCGTGTTTGCAGAGAAAGATGCCAAGATGGATGCAAGCAAGATGCAAGTCGGATCATTTAAACGCGGTCACGTTGTTGTTCAGTTGTTGACGCACATTTTATCAACTCTAAAACTTAGGAGTCACTGCAATGTTCATTGTCCAGTTGTGCGTAGTTGCTTCACGAATTGTACTGGTCGCTGCAATTCATCGATAAACTATCCGATGGAACTCAATGCTGTGAAAAGAGGTGAGCAAATGCAGCATGAGGTGCGTTACGCCAGGCTTGGAGCGATGAGCTCAAGCTCCTTTCTTAAAATCGAGGGCTCCAGTATGACCCGAGAGAGAGGCAGTGATAAGCAAGAGCGAGTACATTAGTTGGTAGCTATTGATACAGCCAAGGATACAAGTCTAGTTGGGAAAGGTCGTGAGTGATCATGAATGCTCAAAAGACGGGATTCTGGTGGAGACTCTCGCCACGAGCTGCTAAAGCTGCACGTGTGCCAACTGCACGACGGTCGCCGCTACGCTTTGCCTTCTTGCCTTTGCTCTTGCAAGAGCTGCCCGTCGAAGAAGAAGAAGAAGCCAGTTGGCTTGCTAGCGTGCAACCGCCAAAGCCTGCGCTGGATTTGACTGACTAAATGGGATCAGGGCAATGGATAAGCTGACGAAAGAACACTCACCAAAAGACAGAGGTTTCCCTTGCCTCCACCTGTGCATTTGGTACCAGCAGGCAGCTCGATCGTGACAATGTCAGCACCATTGTTCTTAGGCGCCGGGTCACCATTCTTGGTCACATTCGCAGCAACGAAGTCCTTGCCCGTGCCGGTGGGGTCGACGAGAACCGAGACTTTGCGCGAACCATCTCCACCACTGCACAAATCAGAATGACGACTCTGGGAAAGCCGTTAGGGTTACGCACGCGTTGTAGTTGGTGATGTTAAGGCGAAGAGTCGTCCCATCTGACTCGAGTGGCACGCTCTCCGAGGAGTCGATGGTGTTAGCAATATTGACATTGCCACACGGCGAAGATGTTGACGGGCGCTGGACTTGGTTGCGCTGAGGAGTCCCTTTAATACCGAGCATAGGCACAGGCGAGGCGTGGGCTTGAACGTGGAGTGCCAACGCAAGGACAACAGTGAAGGAAGGAAGGACGGTCGCGAAGAATTTCATGACTGGAGTTCAAGGAAGGTCGTGTGCGTATATGAGTCGTGAGAAAAGAGAGAGAGTCGGAGAGGAGCCGGTCCTGAGCGTGGATGGGTGGAAGAGAGATGGGAGAAGTCGTTGGAGCCATGCACTTTTTATACACGGTGGAGGTCAATGGGCAATTACATGATTTCCTTTTTGGGCGGTCAATGATTCTTTTGCTCTTGTCCTCGACAATGACCATGTCGACGTCCGCCTGTCACTGGATGGCCTAACAACCTTGTTCTTTTGCGCTTTCTATGCGGTTGAGCCTGCACACCGGTCGAATCAATGACAGCTCAAATGAACGCTTTCACCGCCTTCAATATACCACAGGGAGAGCAAAACTAAGCATTCCAAGCAAGACACAACAATCTTTCGAAGTTCAAAACTCTTATGTTTACTATATACCCCTCAACGCGATTCTCCGTCGTCTGTGTCCGGTGGAGCTGGGACGAATGTGAAGATTTGCTCGGCTCTCCCAGTATACGCCTCGAATGTGACTGGGGTAATCGTGCTTCCCTCTTCCTTGTGCCATGCAGTGAGAGTAAAGCCGGTGTCGCTATGGAGGATGCTAGAACTCTTTTGAGTCTTCAGTGATGCCCAAATTCTGGCGACTCGCCTGCCGGAAGTCGTATCAGCACAGACTAATTCAAATATTCCGCCCTCCGAGTCTGTGATCGCTTGACTGAAGCGCGGCGCCTCCCCTCCTGTGGGCGCATTCGTGAGGTAAACTGTTATCTGGGCATTCTGAATCTTGAATAGGGAATTTGCGTCATCCTGCGGGATCAAGTTCCACTATAGAAACACCTGAGGATTACGACGGCGCAAAGGAGACATAACCAAACCATCTGGTTTATATTTCCACTGGCAGCTGAGGCCATGAACTGCCCGATGACAGGGTTGACAACATTGGCGAGGTCAAGCACACTGTTCTGAAAGTCAGTAATGAAGAGGCGGCCGGGGATATAGCATGGGGATGCCATTTCAACCCAGGTAGATTCACAGTTGACGACAGCGTTGTCGACCTACTTTTAAAGCCTTCGTTTTTGACAATCTGCCAGCCGCAACAACGACTGTCGATTATCACTGTGCGACTTCAGGCCTTGAGGCTTCACCAACTCTTCCATCAATAGTCGATAGGTCAGGTGTGGATAACTGTTAATACCGCAAATCCAAGAGCTTGCTCTAAATCAAAGTAAACGGTGTAGTCTTCGAACATTCAGCTATGGTTGGGCCAGCCTCTCACTTTCAACTGAGTCATGTCATAACATCGGAAGGGGCGTGCATCAGAGTTACTCGCGGGAGAACTTGACTAGGGAGAGTCAGGATTTACAAGCTGGGGAAGAGGAACAAGTTTAAATTTGAAGATAGTGTGTTCCCAAAAAAAAAAGATTTGCGGGAAAGTTGCTAAACTCGGCCCAAAAAGGGACGTTAAGTGTGCGGTAAAAATTTCAGTGCCAGCAATTGGACCCATATGCGGACGCTATTGTCAACCTTCATTCGCTCATGTTCAACTGCCGCCGCCACGAAAAGCCAGCTACGCGCCGTGCTTAGAGAGACCGCCCAGCCCGTCGCGGTTGTCACCGCTGCTGTGCCCACAACAGAGGGATTTCATGGGGCAACATTATCTTCGTTTACCTCCATTGCGATGGACCCCTTCCCCCCTAGTCAGCTTTGCCCTGCGAATCCCCTCCCGCATGGCCACAGCACTCAACAGCGCGAGCCCCTCATCGTCGTCAGACATGGTCATCAGCCTTTTGTCCGCCGACCAAGCGTCAGTTGCGACCCGCTTCTCGCGCGCCGACCTCTACCCCCACCCATTCGAGTCAACAGACTATTTTCTTTCGCGAGATGGGCTGCCTATTATCCGCAACTCTCTTGGCGCATTATCCTGCAAACTTGTCTCGCGTGGCTTGCCCCTCCACGACGCGCGTTTATTAGAGCAACGGCGGTTTGACCTGGAAGCCACAGAGGACTACGACCAGTCTCACATCGTATCGCAGCTGTTCATCGCCCAGGTGACACACGTCGAGCATTTTGGAGACCATGGGCTCAAGCCGCTTTTGTACCATCGCCGAGCGTACACTACCACAAAAGTATAGTACTACTAATCATCATACAAACAAACGGCGACACAGATCGTTATACTCCGAAATCGCCCGGTAGCGCGGACTGCACCCTTCGAATTCAAGGAAGCGCATCGACAATTGAGCCCCGCCAAGAGTAACTGCCAACAAATTCAGCCTCTTATGTCGCAGGCGTGGGATAGGCTTACACAAGTCATAGAACTCGTCGTTTGAGAGGTCGGGTTTTGGGGCATGGGTAGCTTCCACCGGAATCCCGAAGCGCTGGCGGAGTTTCATGAGTTTATGCTGTCAATGTTGGGTGCATCTAGTACCTTTGGATACACACGATGGGTTGTCCTTTGTTGGAGGTCGAACGCAGCAGCGGACCTATCAACATCTTGGTCGTCCAAATACTCTTGGAATATCGATTCATTGTCATGACACGCGTCGAGTGACTCGAACACGCGAAGCAATGCGGGAGATCGCAGGCCTTGCGTGAATACGGCCTTCATTTGCACATCCTGTGCTTGGTAAGCTGAGGTCAATAAAGTCAGAGGCAAATCTACCAGACCAGAAACCCTGTTATATTTTTCCAGCAAGACATGGATGGTTTGAGGACCCCACTGCGTTTTGACGCTGCTGTTTGGGTACCAGTGCGTCTGCCATGCGCTTGTCTGCATTAAAATGCTCGAGAACCGGTTCTCTCTGTTGAGCAGTGGCGCCCAGTCAGTAAGACACGTCTTAATGCCGATAGTGTCAGCCAGATTAGCAGCGACGACACGGTCGAATGTAGCATCTGCAAAAGCCGGCAAAGCACCGACACTGATGCCTTTCGCAAGAAGGCCGGCGTCGAAAGAGGTCACATGGATGTCGATGCGAAAGTCTCTGACGCGCTTCGCGAATTCCCGCAGCTCATGCTTGACGTGGAAGAAGAGGCAGCCAAGGATATCCGAATCGGGGTCGACGCCATACTTGAGTCCGGAGTACTTCACGCCGGTCACGTCCCACCCAAAAAGCGGATTCGCGTCTTCGGGGACCAGCCATTCCCCCTGCGAAGTAAACAGAAATCTGCCGTGATCAGAGGTTAAAAGTCTACTTGATGGAGCAAATACCGATTGGGCTCGGTAAAGTTAACCGTGTTGTGGGCAAATGGTACCAATATCCCTGTTTCTTGGAATCGGTGGAAGGACATTCGATGCGCAGGCTTCAGCGTCGCGTAGTATTTCTCTCGAAAATCAAGCTGGTCGGGCGAGAGTGTGATCTCCCTCATGCCTTTCAAGGCGGTTGCCAGAGGGTAACTCGACTGACACATTTCCAAAAGACGTTTGATGCCCGTCGATGGCTGGACAGAGTAAAGTTTTCCTTCGCCTCTTGTGTCGAGAGAACGTTGGAAGGACAAGTCTGCTTCATGCTCTCCGCCGCCGCCGTAGATGAAGTCGACACAGCGTTTCACGTAAGCCGCCCCGGCTCCAGGAAGTGCTGCAGAATAAAGGAGATGCGTGCAGAATTCCGCTGCTTCCTGAATCATCTGTTGGAGTCCACAAGAAAAATTGGGAAGGAAAACGGACCTCGAGAGAAGGCCCCGAACTGAGCAGGATGAAGAGAATAACAAGAGTGCGGTTCAGGAGAATGGGGTTCGTGTCGTTGAGCAAGATATCGCAGTAACCCGTGAAATTATGTGGGAGACTGTTGACGGTCCGGATCATGTCGCGAATGTCTGCGCTGGCTGCTGGACAGTCAATTACTCAATCGAGTGTTTAGGAAGAATTGAATATACCAGGGAAGCAGAGCTTCAAATCGTCAAAGGCTCCAGACTGTTCTTCGTTATTCTTGATCTGTAGACAGTCCATGGCAGGAACATTTCCCCACATATCATGCGAAAGCCGGTAGAGTATGACCGAGTTGAAAGGGTGGAGAAATATAGGCTCGCGTCCTTCCACAACCCAAGCAGGCTGCCAATTCTTGCTCAGATATGGATGCGTACATCGTGGGCGATGTTTGGACCAATGGTGAAGCTTGCATTTCTCGGAGCAGTACTGTCCGCAATGAGGCACATTATTGCTGAACCAATGGACCCGCTCACTTTCACAAGATGGCACTATAAAGATAGTCAAACAAGTTAACCATGCAAAGGTGATGGCTGACCTGAGCACAAGTCTTGACACCCCACTGCGAGCACGACTTCGTGTTACCCACATTAGCACACATCAACTGGGTTATTGTGGCACCGTCTGGAGCGGACCCCAGGTTAAACGACATAAGACTCTCGAGACTCTCGAATTTATCGACGCCTCTGTCTCGAATGTCTCGCAGCTTGCGCAAGCCAGTGAGCACAGCGCTGAACCACGGCTTTCCAACCATGGCAAAGAGAGGAAGAGCTGGAGCGTAGAGGATGCCAAAGCATGATGAATTTATGCCAAGGTCGCTTCGGCTTCGAGATGTCGTCGAGAAACTGCAGAAACTGGCGAGTTTACGAGCTATATATGACTTAGCCTGAGAATTATAGTTCGGGCACGACCGAGCCTGAGCACTTGCCTCAACCGCACGTCTAGTTTAAATGTAAGCGGCAGGTTGTGGCTTTTGAGCGAGACGACTCGCGTGTAACGGAGAGCCAGCTGCAATTCATGGTTAGAGCTGAGAAGACGCTGTTAGATCCACGCCAAAGATTGAGCCTAGAGTTCTGAAGGGCACGCGGGCAAGCACGCAGGGTAAGCGTTGATTGCATATGCGTCAAGTCACAATCAGTCACAGTGCACGTGCTTACTCCTCTCCTTGTTTATAACCCTTTCGACGCGTCCGACCAGTCATCATGAGCAGAAGGTCTGCTTCACCCATGGAAAACCACCTTCCGGACGAGATTTTGTCCGAGATTCTGTCACCTGCCCTCAAAGTTCCGGACGAAATGTTTGCGGACAACTGGTCTCGGCCATCACCATTCGCCACGTACACTGAATCGACTTCGGCATATCTTGTCGTGTCCAAGTCATGGCTACGTGTTGCGACGCCGCTGCTATATCACGTGGTGGTGCTCCGGAGTGCGGCGCAGGCAAAGGCGCTTGCACGCGCGTTGTTGAAGAATAAAGAATTGGGTCGCTTCATCAAGAAACTGCGCGTCGAAGGCGGATTTGGCGCGTCGATGCATCAAATCCTTAGGCTTGCGCCTACTATCACGGACATTTTCCTCTCGCTCGATATCTACTGCACGGACAATACCGACGGATTGTGCAAAGGGCTTCCACTCATCAACCCACGACGGCTCATTCTGCAGCACGACAACTATAGGCAAAATCCGAACAAATACTTTAACGGCCTCAATGCTAAACTTAAAGAACTTTTTGGCTCGCAGTGGGATCAATTGGTGCGGTCACCGACATCTTGTATCACTTCTTAATACCTTTTCTCAGATCTCAATTGCCTTACCCTCCATGGGATACCTCAACAAAATTACGCCTTTGGTCAAAGCTCTCAACAAGCCCAAGCGCATTGAAATTCTCACCCTTTACAACTGTTTCTGTCTCAACAGCGCCATCAAAATGCTCGACAAGTGCCCTATCCGTGAAATCAATCTCACATCGCCCGTTCGGGACCGGGACATCGACAGATATGTGGAAGACACCTCACTGAAGAGTAAGCTGAAGTATTCACCCCTACCGTGAGTCTTCCCTTTTGAATTGCGTGGGTTGTAGAGCTCAAACTGTTGTGCTAGAAATACCGGTGGACCTCTCGACCAGAATCCGGGACTACCAGATTCCCTTCCCTCCCTGAATCCTTTTTTCGTTCCCATGGTTGGTGTCTCAGCGGAGGTCAGCGATAGTATCTGGTCACGCATCCTGCAATTCTCGATGTCCACTCATCCGGGCTATTCTCCTCCGTGGTCGAGAAAGATGTCGCATAAGCTCTCCCTCCTTCTCGTCTCCAAACAATTTTATGTGAGTAGCTCCGGCCCGGGTTATATAACGTTGACCTTGAACACATCTAGCGCCTGGGCCTCCCCCACTTTTATACTAGTGTTGTTTTGCGCTACGTTCGAGAGTATGTGAGCTTTGCTGACGTCCTCACATCACATCCCTCGCTGGGCGCACATGTCTCCTCCATCTGCCCCAGACGCGACCACAGCAACATCGACTACGCCTCCATGTACGACTCGGACGACTCAGAGGACTCGGAAATCTTCGATATGGCCCACATATTTTCTCGCCACGGGCCTGTTAGGGAGAAGCCCTCTGACGCAGCTATTGCGACTGCACTGACTACGATTTTCTCGCAAACCCCCAACCTTGTCAGTATCCAGTCTCACTCTTCCACCGAACGGACAATGTATATGGGTGGGGACATCATGCGCCTTGACTGGGCGACGTTTGCGACCATCGCTGAATGCTCGGGATCCAATCTTCAACAGATTTCCATCGCGGTCAACAACGAACCAGCAGAAGTTGGAAACGCATTGGACATATTCGGAAAGTTGACGGCCGTGAAGAAACTGCGCTGGGACAGCACGATCGTCTTGAACCCAACCGAAAATGTGGCGGACTATGCAGGTGTTCTGCCGCAGCTGGAGAAACTGGAAGTGGAGATAGCGGATCCCTCGTTCTTCCACCTACTTTCTCGGATTCAGTATGCAAATCATTTTATCTTGTCCCAATACTCTGTACTGAATCTTCGTCAGGCCACCGAACTTGCGTTGTTTAGTTTTGCGCCCCGAACTTCGTTTGACCAGCTCAAAGCTTTTTACGCAATTTAACTGGACAGAAATCAGTTTATCTGCACAGGCAGCCGGCGACCTCAAGAGCAGCGTTCTGGATGTTTGCACAGACCTGGAGACCCTCACAATCACGTGGCCGCGGTGGCTCTCTGTTTGTCGCATGCCTGATCTCACGCTCACCTTTCTGACCGCGCTTTAGACACCCGAACCACCCAGCTTGACGATATTCGCCTCCGAGAAGCCTGCCAAGTCATTGAAGAAGGTCGTTTTTGCAAGTGCGCCAGATGCGTTTAGGTATATGTCATCTCGACAGCTTTCAGTACTGACCTTTGGAAAGATACGACAAGAAGCTCGTCCCTGAGTGGAGCACGTTCCTCGCCCAGCTACCTTTAGACTCTATGCCGAATCTGACTGAAATATCCATGCCTGGAGTAGAATGGCCGATGACACAGTTTGTGCTTTTCTTGTCTTTCTGTGCGCAAGTTTGGGCTTAATCTATATGTCACAGGCGCGAGATCGCCAAGTGCGGCTGGATCAACGCGGCAGAGACGCTCGTCAAGTCTGGTGTTCAGGTTGTAGATGCGGCGGGCAAAAAGTGGAAGCCGCGGCTCAAAGTGCGGTGATGCTCCTTTTGGCCTTTTTTTTTCTAATACCAGAATCCACCTCCCTAATGCTACCCTAGCTCTTCTACCGTAGAAGTACTGTCAAGTGTGTATAAAGTTGTAATTCTTGCAACGCAATTCAAGTCACGTGATTATCATTTGATCTCTCCCACCTCTAGCTTTGCAATGCCTCCCCAGCAGCCGAAGCGTTCAACCTCCCGACGATCATGGACTTTTTTGACATGTCGCTTACTTCTCAATCACTGGCGCTAAGTTTGAGCGCCTACCGCGAAAAAGTGGTCTTACTTGCCTCATGGCTTCTACAAGCAGTCATCAGCCGCATACAGATACCTGGGCCACGCCAGCTGAGGGATGGACACAGTTGTCGCAAAGTCCATGGGTTCTTCCAACTCGCCGACCATCCGCCTCATGGGGCCTGCAGGCAATCCAGAGCCCCCAGTCAGTCTGGGGTAACCAGACACCGGCGTCAGCGCCCAATATCGACATAGCGACTCCCCGGAATCCATGGGCAGGCGACATACCGGCGCCTGATGCACCCGATATGCCAATGGTGCCCCTACCCCAGCCATGGGAGCAGAGAAAAGATAATAATGTCCCCGGTAGAAAAGACAATCTCCCGACGTTACCTTCGGCTCCATGGGAAATCTCGAATGTTGGGCCACTGCCAAACGACTACCCTGAACCTCTCATTGTCGCAACCAATCCATTCGATCGACCAACACGAAAGACCAAGAAACACAAGTCAGTGCGCTTCCAGCAGACACCAGACATAATACAGACGCGACTAACGCTCACACCACCACCTCCTTCTCCAACACTGCTCCCAATAGATCCTGCGAGTATACCTCTTCCTCCAAGCGAGACAAGCAGCCGCAACTCGACCGTTGAATATGGCAATGCTCCTGAAAGCATCCTTCTTGCGGACCGCGAACCGATTTATTCGTTCCCGCCTGGATTTACGCCACCCATATCCCCACGTCCCCTCCTTTATTCTCCTTCTCTGAGTCAAGAAACTCTCCCTTGGACGCTATCCTATCCATCCCAGACGACTGTTGCTGCTCCTCCTACTCCCCCGAAAACTTCCATCCATTTGGATGTGGCTGATGGACTGGAAGAGTCTATTCTTCCGCTCCCCGTAACGACATCACCAAAAGCTATTGGGCCGTTGTATCAGATAATGCAGACTCTCGGTAGCACGCTAAGGGAAGCGGCCAATGTCGAAAGTGGCCTACAGAAAGTTTACGAATATGTGATGTTTTTACGGCTCCCATCCTTATATTTCTCACGGGTCGCGCGGGTCTTCGAAGACGCGGAAACCAGTAAACCCGACATCCAACGCATGCTGCGTGCAGGGTCGAAACACCGAAACCGTAGCATGCGATGGGTCAATCACAACCCAACGCTCCTTACACCGACCTTGATTACCCTTCTTTCATCCTGGGAAGTGTTTATCGACTCTTTGATGCGAGAGTGGAAGACCCTCAACGTTGTCAGCGTGCTCCTCATGTCGTGCGTTTTTTTTTCACCCTATTTACCTTTCTACTGACCATATGTTAGGGCAATTTTAACGTTGTTACAAATCGACAGTGCCGCCCATCCAATCACGCGTTCGACTGCGTTGTTCTCTCTGATGTGCTCGCTCTTCAGCCTCTTATATGGCTGCATGTATATCATTCGCTTTGGAACCATGCGGACGATCCATAAAGCAGCAAGTTTTGCGCATGTCCGTCATCCATCATTCCGAGTTGTCCGATCTGACCTTCATCAGGCTATAGACGCCAATGGTGATGTCAACCTTTGGTGGAATGTGTGGATTATGCTTGCAATGGTTTGTAGCATGCAACAACTTTCACAAGCACTAGTTGACAAACGGATAGCCATTAACTTGGCTTGCGTGGTCTATCATCACATTTCTGGCGTCGATAATGTCGTTCGTCTGGCTGACGGGGTCTTCACAAGACTCATTCCCAGCTCTTTCTAAACCTGCTGCGCTCGGAGTCCGTCTTGCACTCACTTTTGTGGTGGTATTTGGCATCGTCTACTTCGTTCTTATCGTGCGCGAGTTCCAGCGTTACGGCGACGCGCTGGATCGTGTCTTATCTAAGGCCGGAGAAGGCACACCTGCCTCGGCAAAGCTTGGGACTCCCGGCGGGATATACGGTCCTTGGACGCCGCAACGCTGGCCACAACAACAGAGCCCGCCTTTCACTCCATATGCCAACCCCGTATTTCCTCCTTGGGCCATGCCATATGGCTCCCCTCAGAATTTTATGCCGCCGCCATCACCAGGTTTTATCCCGCCTCCAGGTTTTATGCCACAGTTCCCAGGTCACGGTTTTATTCCTCCTCCGACTCCGACTTTTATTCCATCTCCGACTTTTGTCCCATCTCCAGCCCTTTCTCCGGCTGCCTTCCCGGTGGGGGCTCCGTCATACTTCAGCGAAATGATGCCGACGTTTACTCCACCAACCACGGTCCCACGCGCGTTTTCTGAGGAGGTATCGTCGCCCACAACACACGGCGCAGAAACTTTCACCCACCCGTACTTTCCCATCATCGCGCTCGGATCTGGCGTAGGGGTGACAGATGATTGGATGAGCGAGGGCACGCAGTTTCCGGGACTGCAGTCAGAGAATCGCATTCGTTTTGCGCAGGTAATGGAGACTCTTCAGTAATTTTCCTTTTCTCATTACGTTTTGCAGGATGTGGCCAGTGCATGGAGCGGCAAGATACGTCTTGAAGGCCAAGACCCACAATCGAGTTTGGCTCCACAATATGTTACCACTGCGGCACCTCCCGCAAACCCTGCTGTTGTGCAAGAGTTTATGGACTTGTGGAACGCGCGGTATTTCAGTGCGCGGAACCTCGAGGTCACACTTGCCCAGTCGCTCTACCACCCTGCTGGTCCCGGTCAATACGTCGTCGGCATTCGGTCGGTTCAGGCACGTGACAGCGAAAAGACAAGCTCTGCAGACGAGGAGGCAATACCAACAACATCGCGGTCGAGTGTGGATGCTACATCGGAGCCAGACTAATCAACTCTAATCTGCTGCCCGATCGACCTCTTCTTCGACTGACAGGGCATATTGGCCTGCATGGCCAGCCGGGCCTCCACATACACTACAGCCCTGCTGCATCGGCATCTGCTTCCACTCGGTCTGCCAAATGCCTTGCAAACAACTCGGTTGTATTCAGTAAGATAGATGCCAAGCAAAAATCCAGAAAACCGACGGCCATTGGCCGCCGATTCTCGAGAGCTTGGCTGGGAATAAAGCCAATGTTATCTCACCAACGAGCAATGGAAGGGAATGACTTGATAGTTTGGGCTATCGATCCGTTATTTGCACTGGATCATTGGGATTCAACATAGCCAACAGGTGGTTGGACGGTGTAATAGACGACCGCATTCATTTCGGCTGGAGGATATTGGCCTAGGTACTCTTTAGCCTCTGCCGTCGTCGCTCGATTATCGAATAGCCGTGGCCTTTGCCCGTCTTTCATTCGCGAGAGAGAAGTAGCACGCTTTAATCGTGCCACGGCAGCCCTTCTCTTTCACATGGTGAATGCTTTTGGCTCCATTGTGGAAAGAGAATATGGGATCACATGACTATGAACACTATTTAGTTTACCAACCCTCTCCTGCTCCATCAACCCAGTCTGACTGCAAGTAGCGAAATGACATGCCCTCGCGCTGAATGCTCTTGAGCACAGACTGAACTGCGTCTGATGCATCGTCCTTGCAGCGGATAGTGACATGTTTGAGGGTAGTGCGCGAGTCGACCATTTCCTTCAACGCCTTGGCGTCAGCAAGCGACCAGTTATCGGAGACGTCCTCGTCTTTCTCGTCATCTTCGTCGTCAAACTCATCATCGTCATAATCAAACTCGTCATCTGGCATTATAATTTGTATCCGCAAAGATTCCAACTTGGGGCATATTGTCTCAGTCTTGTCTCCTCCAACTTGAATGCAAAGGCCGTCTATGAAGCTAGACAGCCTAGAGCCATTTCCACCGTCATCAGCACTGAGTTCCCAATCGTCCTGGTCAGTGATGATCGTGGCAAACACCTGGAGGTGCGTGATACTGGGGAGCTGAGCAAGTAAATCGAGTGCATCGAGGGAATCCGTCACGTGATTGTCGTCGATATATAGACGGAGCCAGGTCAGAGAGCAGTTGGAACGTTTAACAAAGTCGGAAACAAGTGAAGCACTTGCATTAATGAGGGAAAGATGGGTGAGCTTAGGAGCAGTAAGGAGGCGGAGGAAGACAGCTGATGACACCGTACTTCCGCTCGAGTCCATGCAAAGGAGAATTTTGAGATGCGTGAGCTGCGGAAATTCAATAGAGCTGGCGGCCTCGAGCTGATCCTCCAACACTTGTGGATAGGCGTCCCAGATGTCCAAAGTGCAGTCAACAAGAGTCTCAGACGCGATGCGCAGAAGTTTCAAGTCTGAGCTACCGCATATTTGGAGACGGAACCGAGTTATTTGGTTCCATGGGAGTTTCAACCCAGAGTATCTCCCTTCTGAGACATAATAGTCTTTTGAACTCAACTCCACATGGCGGAGTTGCATCAAGCGGCGCTCGACTGGCGTAAAGCACGCCTCAATGCCGGAGTCAGCCTCCCCATGCAGCCATCCAATAGTCAGTTTTGCGATCCGTGGACTATGTTGCAAGATGGCTTTGAGAAGTTTTATGTACGCGTTGCGGGAATGCGGAGAAATACTGGACCATTCGACGACGACGTCGAGGGGTGCATCGCCAGACCGTTTGAGCTGGGCATTAAGCGCCTCAATGGGGAAAAGCGTGCCGTAGTTTGTTCGTGTGGTGCTGAACGGGGGGTGGAGAAGATAAATCGAGCTCCATAAATGACGGAAGGTAAGTGCGGCACTCCGCCATGAGCGACACACCATCCCAAGCCTCCACGGCGCCACTGGAACCCGAAATTCCCCGCCTATGATTCGCGTGAATCCGCCTTCGATGTCTTGAACCACAAAGAAGAAGATTGCCCCCAAAATCTCTGTCGGCAAACGTCGTAATTTGGAGACGACACTTTTATAGGTTATCATTCGGCGTTTGAGGGCTTTTTTTGGCTCCACCAGGCGGTGTCGAGTCGATTTCTTGCTGGGCAGCAGTGAGAAATGCGCGGATAGATGGCATCTCGGTGTCGAGTGGCACTTCGTTTGTGAGGACAAGTTGTTTTAGAGCCAGAGAAGGTCGACTTTTGAAGTCAACATCAGGAAGGCCCAACGCTTCATAGGCCTCTCTCTTGGTCATCCGACGAATTTGCAAGTTTGAGTTTGGCATGGTGGCGAGAGAGAACGTGCCACGATCACATGACCAACCTCCACATGCACTAAAGCCAGCAGGCCTGCTCCATCTTCGCCTGGGTCACGTTTGGTGAGGTTTGACCGCATACGCCGGGGGCCTCTTGTTACCTCACAAGTACAAACAAATACAAGTCTATTAGTAAGAGTATATCTCCGAATTCCTCTCGAGCCTTATTTGAGCTTGGCAAACATGCTTCGCGACAGCTCGACGGTGGCTATCTCCGCCTCTAATGTTTTCCTCTGTGGTTCTCGTCAGCCAAAACAGGGAGAAAAAGAAGGCCATACCTTGTCAGCCGTACTCAATCGCACATTCTCTGGTACACTTGTCTCGTAGTCTGGCTGCGACTCGACCTTGACGAGTTTTTGGAGGTTTGCGCGAGAAGCCTCCAGCCTCTTGTCGCATTTCGCAATCTCAACGTCAAGATCAACCAGTCCCCTCACAAGCGCGTGAATCGCGATCGTAGTTGTCACGATAGTGCCTCCGCAGCCTTCTGGGATGTCCTTCACGTCCCGGACCACCTTTGCGCTCTTGCACCCTTTGATAAGCGCAACAATAGACGGTAATTGCGGCTCAAAGAGAGCTGCCTCCTCGTCAGACTGCACGTGGAGGAACACTGATAACACATCAGAAAAGCTTCTCAAGTTAAGGATAGACTAACGTTGGATATCATTTTGGAGGTTATAGGAAGCTGCAAGCGACCGCCCCGTCTTGATGGCAGAGAACACGAGATTGAACTGCTGCTCAGCCGTCTCAAACACAGATGCCGCGTCCTACTTCGTGTTAACCCGACCATCAACATTTTTCAGGGGCCAACTCACGAAAACGGGGAATGCAGAAACCATGATGGACGGGGTCGTGTCGTTTGGCCTCCGCGGCAGGCGTTGCCAAAGCTCCTCTGTCACGAAGGGCATGAATGGATGGAGTAGGCGGAGGCCGTGGTCAAGACACGTATATAACGTCTGTTGCGAGGATATCCGAGTTTTGGTAGGGGAAGCCTCGTCAGTCATTGGCTTCATGACTTCCTGTAATGCAGAAATGAGCCACCAATAAGTACTTTCGGAGCTACACTTACAATGTAAACATCACAAAGCTCATAGAGCCAAAAGTTGTAGATCGAACTAGTCGCCCCCATAAAGTTGCGTTCCGTCAAATAGGTATTGACTTCCGATGCAGCGACATTGAGTTTGTGCAGAATCCATTGCTCGACAAGGCTCTCATTGCCAGTTGGCTGCAAGGAAAAGTGAGTTTTTCGAGAGGATCTATGTCTTATCTGAATACCGACCTTGGCAGTGGGCTCTGGGACAAACGATTCGTCCAACTTAAGCATAGCAAACTTGGTCGCGTTGAACACCTTGTTGCAGAACTTGCGGTAGCCTTCTACACGCAGAATATCGAGATTGATGTCCCGTCCTCCGCTCGAGTACGCACAGAGCGCAAACCGCAACGCATCTGTTCCACATTGGGGAATACCCTTTGGGAAGTCTTTCTTCTGGCCAGCAGTCGCCTTCGCGATCTCCTTCTCGTCAAGATTGCCCTCTTTGAGCTTCTCATGCAAGGCCTCGAGCGCGACACCCTCAATCACGTCAATAGGGTCGATGACATTTCCGAGGGACTTGCTCATTTTTCGGCCATGAGCATCACGGATCATTGCATGACAGAGAACCTCGTTGAAGGGGACTTTGCCGGTGAGACGAATGCCCAGCAACACCATGCGGGCGACCCAGAAGAACAGAATATCCCAGCCAGTTTCCAGCAGCGAGGAAGGATAAAAGTCTCTTAAATCAGGAGAGTTCTGTTGTTTTTTCAGTATGTTGTCAAACAGGAAATGGTGGGCATGCAAACATTATCGGGCCATCCCATGATCGCGAACGGCCATAAGCCAGAGGAGAACCACGTGTCGAGAACATCACCGTCCTGCTCAAGCACGAACTTTCGGTCACCGGCGAGAGCTTTTGCCCGTTTAGTGGCCTCCTCAATGGTTCGCCCAACAACCCAGCTCTTCCCATCATTTCTCTGTGTCGAATTTTAGTGCCAAGCATCGTAGAAAACAGGGACCCGTGATCATACATCCAGGTTAGCGCCTTCGATGTTGACGAAATAGGCCGGACACCGGTGGCCCCACCAGAGCTGTCGCGAGATGCACCAGTCCTGAATGCCTTCCAGCCACCGGTACCATTCGTTCTCCGATTGTTTCGGTGTGATCAAAAGTTCTCCTGCACGAGTTCGCTGGGCCAGATGAGATGGAGTAAATTAATTACAGATAAAAAAAACTGACCTTGAGCGCCTCTTCAGCTAATGGCTGGCAATTTATCCACCATTGTGGTTTGAGGACGGGCTCGACAACATCACCAGATTTACTGATATGGTCATCAAAAATCAATATCGAGGAAACCTACGGAACAAACCTGCAAATGGGAATTTGCATTGGGTTATCCTTGGTTTCGATATACAGCCCAATGTCCTTGAGTGCTTGGACAATAGCTGTCCTGACGTGGAACCGCTTCATCCCCTACACGCCAGAAGAGTCTCAGGTCCTGCTATAAAATTGCTGCGTCAAATACCTTAAACTTGTCCCCAGCGTTATCATTGAAAGTACCGTCATCGTTGAGGATGTTGATGAACTCCAGCTTATGCCGCATGCCGACTTCGTAGTCATTGGGGTCGTGAGCAGGAGTAATCTTGACAGCTCCAGTACCGAACTCCATGTCTACAATCTCATCGCAGACAATGGGCATTTTACGACCGCTAATGAATGGATGGACTGCAAATTTGCCATGGAGATGGGTATAGCGGGAGTCGTTGGGATGAACCGCGACGGCAGTATCTCCAAGCATGGTCTCAGGACGCGTAGTAGCCACAATGATTTTTTCGTCTGCATTCAGGTGAGAGTAGCGCAACATTTCAATCATAACACGCACCTGAGCCCTCTATTTGGTATGCGAATGAAACCAAGACACCAAATTCAAACCGTTCTTTAGCATCGTAACCGGGAACATTGAGAAGCGTTCGGCCAGCCAGTTGTTTCTGGTCGACCTCGAGATTTGACAAAGTTGTGTTCATCTTGACACACCAGTGAACGAGACGGTTAGCCCGGTAAATGATTCCTTCTTCGTGTAGACGGCAGAAGGTCTCGACAACTGCTTTGTTGCGTTTCTGAGAGCCGTGGTCAGAGTAATTATACTTAGGGAAAATCCTCGCTCGCCTCATCCATTGTGAACACCGCACGATCCCAGTCATAACTTCCGCCGAGACGGTGCAACTGGCGCGTGATGCGTTGCTGGTATCTGGGTTCAAGTAAGTGTAAACCTATCAAGCAACAGCATCGAGGCTCACTCATTCTTCCAATCCATGACGGTTTCCAAGAATTTTTCTCGGCCAAGGTCGTGTCGCGTCTGGCCGGTTGTTTTGAACAATCTTTTTTCGACAACGGATTGTGTGGAGATACCAGCATGGTCAAAGCCGGGTGCAAATAGTGTAGTCTTTCCGAGCATTCGATTCCTGCCATGATGAAGCGGTTGCGGGAAAGAAGGAGATAAAACAGACCCACCATCGAATCAGCCCGTCCTGGATTGCAACGGTCAACCCGTGTCCAATATGCAGACTACCTGTGACATTTGGTGGAGGAGCAGGAATTATGAAGGCGCCTTCGGGTCTGATCTTGCCGTCCACAGTATAACTGGGCTTGAAGAATCCCTCCTTCTGCCACCAGTCATACCAAGCAGATTCCACAGCGATTGGATTGTAACCGGCTGGCATAGGGCCAGATACATCTGAGCAATGGTCTGAGCCGGAAAGCTTGAGTAAAAAACGACGGACCTTTCTTGTCTCCAGCAGGTGTGGTGTTCACGAACTCTGGTTCAGCCTCCTTCTTTGGTTTCTCTTTTTCTTTGGGCGGCTTCTTATCCCCTCCAGAGGCCGCTGCACCCTTGGCGGCATTCTTCGCGGCAAATTTGGCCGCCTTTTCTAGGCGTTTCTCTTCCTTCTTTGCTACCATTAAGATCGCAACATCAGCTAGCTATTAATCGGAGGATCGGGGACCAAACCTGAAGTTTTGGAATTGGGCTGAGGCGCATCGGCAGGGGGTGTGCTAAGAGTCGACATCCGGGAGACCGTAAGCCACACTCGCGGTGGTGGTGGTCTTATGTAGGGTTTGATGAGGCCAGGAAAAACTCGCATTCAATGACTCGATCAGCTCAAAGTCCCGTGACCTGGAATTGCATTGAGTACTTTTGAGTCGACGCGTCAAAATTAGCGCGTTCGGTCGTATGTAGATTCAAGTACGCGTCAGCTGTACATTCGGACTTGTATCTATCCTTTTATTGAAGCTGACCGTGGTGAACCATCTACCGTTGCGGTCTCTTGGAGATTTTTTAATGCTCGCGACTCGGAGCCACTTGCCATGACAATGTCATGCGCCTTCCAAGCCTTCACTCCGGGTCCAAAAAGCTCCTCCATCCGTTCGAGTGGGACTTGCTTTGTTTCAGGGAGGATAAACTGAAACAATTGTGTGGGCATCAGAGTGAACCTAGTCGAAAGACACGTACATAAACGTATGGAATAGACAGAATCATGAGGGAGGCGAAGAAAAGGTAAACTCCATAGCCCATTGAGGCGAACATCTGGGGTGTAAACCGGGCTATAATAAAGCTGGTGGATGGTTTGTCAGCATCAATGCAGACTAAATGATCAATGACTTGCCCCCATAACCAGTTTGATGCTGCCTGGCACGATTGTGTAAACGTGCGGACATGTTGAGGGAACATTTCTGCACCAACTACCCAGGGGGTACCATTCCAAGTTGGCGAGTAAAATATTGCTATAATTGAGAGTCAGCCTGAGAGCCGTGGACATTCGGGGCTAGAATGTACTCCAGAGGTAAAAGAAAGCGATGGCGCTTTGCCCACCAGAAGTAATTTTGGCGCTCGGGTGTTGAGCTGGCTTCGCGATGGCGATATATGCCCCGATATAGTACATCGCAATAGCCCCTCCAATGCTCCCACCAAGAAGGACACCACGCCTGCCAAATGAGTCGACCATCCAAAGCAGCCATACAAGTGATCCAACAAGCTTGACTATAAATCCATGAGAACTATCATGATTTTAATTTGGGAGGAATATTCTCACTCAACCCGTAAACCTGGTTCATACTGAGCATACTTGGATGGTCAGAAGCACTTAACCTACTCACCCCAGTCGTCAATAAGCTCGTGCTCGTGCCCGTTATGCCAATAGAACGAAATATGGTCGGGCTGTAATAGTTGATAGCATTAATCCCAGTCGCATTCTGCCACATGAACATCGAACTGCCTAGCAGAAGCCGGTAAATGAGGTTTTTACTTGAGAAAACCGTTTTAATTGGTCCAAAAAAGCCCACGCCGCCCAAGTTCAACTCGTGCACGATAGCGGCTTCGATTTCTGCGTACTCTTCAACGACGTAAGGATGGTTCTTCGGCAAATTTCGTAGTTTCGCAAGGTTAGAGAGCGCTGAGGCATAACGTTCACGAGACACGAGCCATCTTGGTGATTCAACTAGAAAGAATGAGCCTATGAACAGCAGTCCCCCTGGCTGGGTTTGAGATCAGTTGTTTCTCTGTCTCTCAAGAATCGACGCGCACGATCAGTTGAACAGCGAAGGCAATGATCCATTGCTTGTGACTTGGCCCTAGATGTTGGGTAACACCATAGTTGATCCAAAAGCCTTTCAACATATTCACAAGGATTTGAGATAATTCTATGTTGAAAAGCCTTACCGATGACTCCGCCTACTTGCCAGCAAAACTCGTACAATCCAATAAGCCGACCTCGAATGGCCGGTGGAGCGATTTCAGCAACGTAAATCTTATAGCGTCCTTAGTCGTCTTGAGAGTAAAATTCTAAGCGAAAGAGGCTTACCGGTGCTAGATTTGACGCAATGCCAATTCCCAAACCGACGATTATTCGGCCTGCATATATGATCGGAAGCCCCGTGGAGGAGTTGGCGGCACATTGCAACGCTGCTCCTAGAGTAAAGATGCCGCTAGACACAAACAGCCCATATTTGCGCCCCAGAAGATAGCCAATAAGATAGCCAAAGAAGGCCCCAAAGAAGCATCTGCAACAAGCAGTCACAAAAATTGTGAGGCATCGATGAACACCTTACCCTGCTTGATAAACGGACACAATATTAGCCGAGATGAAGTTGAGTTCCGAAGACGTCTTTGTGGTAAGACCAAACTCGTTTTTGAAACTTGCCAGACTGATTGAAGTGCCAATGAAGGCCGAGTCATAACTACAGGCAGATGAAGCGTGTAGAACAATTCAATATAGGGTTGGCCAACCCGATCCTAAAACAAAGACGTTTTCTTGTGAGCATACGATTGTGAACAAGGATCACATCACTCGCATTCTGTTTGACTCTTTAGTATACTCTGCTCAGAGGATTGCACAACTCACACAGCTGCCCACGTCGCGATGATCGCATTGGCGTAAACCTTCCAGTTGTATACCTCAGCAGGCGTTTCCCGATCCTCGAGGCGCGAAAGCTTGACCATGATGAATGTGAGAGGCAAAGGAGTGGTCGTGAACAGAATTAATAGATCCGCTTCCCACTCACAGTCCACGACTCCCACGATTTCCATTTCAACTGGTCGCCTGACGCGTCTGATGCCCTGTCGCGACGTGCAGGGTCGCTTAGATCTATGGTCAACCCTAATCGCGATAAGTGAAAGCAATGGATTTCGACAAGTTCTTTTGATGTGAACGACTGGAGACGCACGGCCTCAAGACTCGGACCCCATTACTTCAGAAAGTGATCTGAGTCTGGATATCGAGTCTTTCTTTAGACTGCTTGTCAGGTGTAAGCCTCTCTCTTTGGTCACGCGGTGGAATGCGACTCACCTTTCTACTCCAGACTCCTGCGTCCATCGCGATAGAACATTATTATATTGTCGATTGGTTGCCGTTTCACGAGGGAGTGATGTGAATGTTAGAAGAACGATGTGATTGCAGTGGTACACAATAGAGGAAAGGAGTCGTAGTATTGGTGTCGTCGTCGGAGAAAAGGGAAGGAAATCTAAAGATCCTGCAAACTCTGCGCCAGTTCGTCGAGCTCTGCTTTGGACTCCTTGTACTTGCGTTCCATTGCCTGAATATAAGTTGAGCCATCGATTGGAAGAGGTCGAGTTCAACACAAACGTACCTCAAATTTCTGCTCCCATTGGTCGCGTTCTTGTTCAACGCGCTGCACCTGTCGCTCGAAATGTTCCGCCTTCACATCAACTTGCCTCAGTCTATAAAGTTACGCGACGAATCAGTGGTGTCGAGGCTGAATTGAAAAAATGAGCTCACTTTTCCACCGTCTCCTTGACGTTCTTCTCTGCAGCATCCAATTCTTCCTCCAACAACTGAATCTTGCGTGTCAGACCCTCATTTGCTTGCTTGCTAGTTTCTCCTGCTTCACGGTCCGCTTTTGAGTCCGCGATCGAGGACTCCGCCTTGTCCAGCTGAGAATTGGCGTTATCGAGTCGGTGCGACAGCGAAGTAATCTCTTGCTCCTTAGCTAGCAACTCCAGTTCCAATTGGTGAATCTTCTTCTCTGCCGTTTCAGCACGCTCGATGGCATGGTCTGCCTCCACGCGCAGCGAGTTCATTTTCTAGCATGGGCTCCAGTAAGACTCCAGCCGTAAATACGGAGGAAGTATGGTACACCTCACGAATTCGGTCCGTCATGGTGGTTGTGGCGATATCGATGCGCGTTTGTTTGGCAATCAGAGTCAAGACAAACAATCAGCTCCCGTGCTCAGACTTCCTTTTAAGGTATCACCCCCTATTCCGTAATCATTGATCGCAGCAAATATTGTTCTACCTCATCACGATTCGTGGAACTTGAATTCAAGGCCTGCACTTTCCTGGGTTACCCAGCGGCAATAAACTGCACCAGTCCGAGCTTGGTGGATCATGTCACGTTGGCACACACTCACACCCGGGCCGTGACGGTCAACAACTCTCTCAGGCTTGCGGAGGTCCGTCGTCACTGATCTGAACATTCCTCCCTCCTCACGTTCAAATTATGCAGGACGAGTTTACGGAGCGCCTGAGAGACTTATCTTTGGCGTCTAGAATATTGGCCCAGCACGGAGTCGGTATGCGCCAATAAACAAGCACAATTTTCTGCGTAACATTTTATACCAGTGGATGGATTCGGCCACATCTCTTGTCGAGACCCCCGTGCACCAGACGACCACTTTCTCTTGTCACGGAACTTGGCGCCTGCTCTCGTAGTCCCTGAGGACATTGTAGTCTGGCGGATAATAGATGCTCAGTGGGTTTTGCAACTTTTGCTTACTTTTCTTTGAATGCTCCCAGACCAGTGAACCCAGATTCTCCTCGCGGCTTTCTGGAGCGCTCTATCCACAGTGAAATATATCGGTCTGTCGATGGTCATTCTCTAAACGGCGTTGGTGTTGACACTAGTAATCTAGACAACACAAGGATGTCCATGCCGTCGTACATTTTCATTCGCCTGATGTCATACCGTTTGGCGTCGCCCCCATTCCATTCAAGGCGATCTTTCATATGGCGTCTTTTCTGGGTAAACAAGACTTGGCGACTTCTTTCTTCCTCACTCAGTTTTACAGGATCGTCCAACCCACCCATATTCGACATTGCTCAAGATTTCGGCCCTTCCACGGACATGCTGATTCGCAATACGACGCATGGCGCCTCCCTAGCTTCACTCTTTCTTCCACCCGAACAATCCCAGCTTACGAGACCTCTTGTCCTCATGCGTGGCCACGGAGCAACTCTCACCGCACCTTCGCTCAAACTGGCCGTGTTTCGCGCGATATATACGCAAACAAATGCACGCATTCTTACCAGTCTGAGTGCACTTACGGGTGGTCAATCGAACATCAAATTCCTGTCTCAAGAGGAATGCCAACAGGCAACTGAGAGTATCTCAGGACAAGTGGGGAGGGCGTGGGACGTATGGGCACGTGAGCTCGAGGACAATGGACATTCGATGTGAACTTAGGTGTTGTGAACCAATCCAATATGTGTATTATACTGAACCTGTAAAAAAACACCGTCCTTGCACCTGAACAAGCCGATCACAACCCGGAATCAGCTTTTGATGTGTTGTGCGTTCCAACAAATCTTTCTCTTTGCCCTCAAACTTGCAATAATGGGAAAGCGCAAACGGCATCACGCAGAGCCAAAGCGCTGGTATGTCGGTATGTCTGTCCTTTCAGCCCATCTAAGCAAAACTGACATGAAGTTCAAGAAGTGATTCTCAAGGCGAAGCGACAATTCAACTCATCGGGCGACATCCGCATGTATGAAGTTCGCCTCGGTGGATGGGTTAGTAGCTCGTTCTAATCTTACTCGACATTGATGACCATTCTAGATCTATTTTGTCAAGGTATGCAATGACTTCTGTCATGAAAGCTCATACAAATTGACAGTGGGCTGGATGGTCCGACGACGACAATACGTATGTGACCCTTTGCTACCCCGACTTCCTGACAATCCAAATAGCTGGGAGCCCATAGAAAATCTCCTTTCGTGTCTCTCAAAGATTCATAGATTCTGGCAACTCGGCGTGGACCAAGGTTCGCGAACTTTCATGACAAACGAGAACGGTGTCATAGTTTCTCCACTCGACGGCTACATAGGTTAGTACCTTTGTGGACCAGGTCTTGTGTTGACAAGTCGATAGAAGCAGAAAAAAAGATATTTGCGAAGGAGGTTCCACAGGCGGAAGTGGACGCACAAAACGCAAACCCAAGACGAGCGGTATCTCAACCGTTATTGCTTACCCTTCCTTCACCGATTGACTGCTGTCAGAGAACGGAATGGGTCACAGATTCCCTGTCTCCAAGCAGGTCTCCGTCGCCCAATGTAGACGAGGAAGATGTTGATGTGGAGGCAGCCCCGGCTAAAAAAGCTCGGATTGCAACTCCGCTTGAAGCCGAAAAACAACCAAAACTGATCTTGAGGATCCCCGCAATGAAACACAGGCAGATGGGCGGAGACGAAGGAATGGTGCATCCGTCGCAGTCGGCCCCTCAAGTTGAGCAACTTGAACTAACAACTCCCGTTGTGAGTGCAGTTTCAAGACCCTCCTCTATATGAATCGGACTATCAACTAAGTATCCTAACAGCCTAAAGACGGAAATTCCGCTCCTGAACCCAAACCGGAAGCCAACATGGATGACAAGGAATCCGGTGGAGAAGTCAAAAAGACATGGAATCGTCGGCAGATCAAAGTCAAACTTTGGGATGGTCCCCAAGCACTCGAATCCATCGGTAATCCCACGAAAAAACGGTTGGCGCAACAAAAAATCGCACCAAATATTCCGCACTATCCAGACAAAGCTTCCAAAGCAAGACGGGCCACCGATGTGGAGGAGAACCAAGAGACCTCTGCTCCTGCAGATGTTCGCCGCGAGACAACACCAACAGGCAACAACTACGTGGGAGAGGGAACGCTGGAGTTTGGTAGCACCATCCCGGAAATGGTGGCGAGCGATGCGATAACAACGTCCTTCTATGACGCTGGCGAAGATCCCCTTGCTGCGTAAGTTCGATATCTCGATTCCAGATGCCAATACTGAGTATTTTACTTAGCCTACGGGTCAACCATGACCATCATTTGGCCAATGAAGACCTGAACATAGACATCACTATGCTACTCACATCGATTGAGCAACAGGCATGGACAGACCTCGGAGTGGATATGCAGTAATATCTTTGAAAGCACGTGCCGATTAGATTGCTTAGTCATGTATCGTTGGTTGTGAAACACCTTCTGAATCGAGTTTCTCCTTGCCCTCGCCTTGGTTGCATGGCTGGCTGGCTGGCCATCTTTTACGCTATTTAACCAGCCCTCAAGAATGGAGGCGCCTTTTACGACTCATACTGCAAGCAAAGTTCCAGTGGCTCATCCAATGTGTGTGTGTGTGTTGGTCTTTCCTCAGTGGCACATCTCAACGTATGACAGAGAGCTTTGTTTAGACAACCTTAGAGGTCTGTAGAGCTCACCTCGTTAATTAAAACTTCTGAGCCGCACTAGACGAGATAACGACACTGGTCCAAAATGAAACAACGTACAAACAGGCTTTGGAGAGCCTACAAACCGAATTATCGGCATTTAAACGTGCTTATACTGAAGTCAATGCGGAACTCAAGACCGCTAAGATGGCATTGGTTGAGGTGCAACAAGCCAACGTGCATTTAAGAGACGAAGTCAGTCATAGGGACGACAAGGTGAGGTTTTCAAGTTCTATGTCGATCATGGGCACGCCCTCTGAACATCACAGGGAAACCGAGTTGTGATGCTGATAGATGGAGATGGTGCCATATTCTCGACCCAACTCATTTCGCAGGGCCAGAAGGGCGGCCATGTTGCCGCTCGACGATTGTCCGACGAAACAATGCAAACTCTCACCGAAAACTTCGGCGCCAGAATGTATCAACTCTGGGTCTATGTCTTCTTCAACAAACAAGGTCTTCTGAATACCCTTCGACGCTGTGGATTCGCCGCTCTGACCAACAAATTGGACGAGTTTGTCATTGGGTTTAATCAGGCTACAGAACGTTTTATCATGGTCGACGTGGGCAGCACGAAGGAAGCTGCCGACGCTAAACTAAAAGGCAACTGACTTGAATCGCCCCCTTCTCATTAGAGTGCTCATGGAAAGTCAAGGTTATCTTGAGGACGAGATACGACTGTCGGAAACCTTCAAAGTTATCTTTGGGGGTGAGCTCATACTCCGTCTATGGTCATGAACCCAAACCTGAAACAGGCTGTCACGACAATGGTTATGTGGCGAATTTGCACTCCCAAATCACCGCAGGTTATAAGGAGAAATTGATCCTTTTAAAGGGTTACGCCGATATTGCGTTTGGCATCGCATCGCTCGATCTCCCCATAATAACCATCCCCGAATTGTTCTTGAAACAGAAGTTCAGCGATGGTCCGTCCAGAGAGATTGATCCAAAGTTGGTGAGTTTGGAGCTAGCAAGCAGCGTGTGTTGAAAACTTTCATTGTCTTCGTAGCCTGTGATCAAGCGTAAGTCTCTTTCGCTAGACCTACCCCCAATTAACGCATCACCTCTAGAGAAGCCGCCTCCCTGCATTGCCTTCTACCTGAAGAAGGGCTGTAGTGCCGGCGCGTCGTGTAATTTCTGCCACGACTACGTCTTGACGGATGACCAACGAGATGAGTTTCGGAAGGCCGTTAAGAAGACGGTTTGCCCAGTGGCAAACAAAGGCGCGTCGCCTGCGTGCGATGAAGATCATGATCACTAATGGATCTTGACAGGCAAAGTTTGCCAATTTGGTGAAGATTGCTGTTATGGTCACCAGTGTCCTACAGCAACCAACTGCTTTTTTTTGAGTGAGCATGCGTGGTTTTTTACGACATGCGTTGACAAATTTTAACAGAGCGAGGGAATTGTCGGTTCAAGCAAGGTATGTATTTTGTTGGAAAATAAATTTCTTTTCGCCAATAATTACGCCCACAGAAAACATGCATATAAACAATTAAAATATTCTACCTTCACTTTATTTATACTTATAACACACTCAGTTAATGGGTGAATTTTGTGTTTCGTTCTCGAGTACTACATCATCTCTATGCTACAAAAGAATAAACTGGGTTGGCTAATAAGAGGTCCATGGTCCGATCCAGGACCCAGTCGAGTTGAGGCGTAATCTACTTTAGAGAAGACGGTTGAGGCGGCTGCGACGGGTTTTACTAAGTGCGATAGTATGAGCCACAGATCAGAAAGAGAGAGGAGACGAACCCAGCAGCCGGAAGAGCGGTGGCAGTAGCGGCCTGGGCTTCGATGCTGGACAGAATTGCGGCAATCGCAGCGTCGTTGCTGTCAACGCCAGCGTCCAGACCAGAGTCGGCTCCAGCAGCAACGCTACCAGATCCAGCAGCGTTGTCGATACCACTGGCAACACCAGTAGAATCCGCACCAGCCTGATGATTGATCAGTTTCACGCTCGATGACCAACGTAGGCCAAACATACGTTTGCGCCAGCCGCACCCTGAGAAACAAGAAAGCTCAGCACTCAATTAAAACGTCAAATGGGGGAGAAGCGTACGTTGGCTGCATCTGCTCCACCGTCTTGGCCAGCAGCACCAGCCTGACGAACAATTAACTGAATTCTTGAACAGTCGAAGCGGAGGAAAGCTGCATACTTCACCCGCGTTTGCGGCTCCAGAATTGGCTCCAGCAGCTCCAGCATCAGCAGCTCCGGCAGTGGAATTTCCAGCGTTTGAGTTTCCGCCAGCAGCTTGACCAGCCTTTTTCCCCTTCTTGCCTTTACCCTTGCCCTTCTTGCCTTTGCCCTTCTTTCCTTTTCCCTTGCCCTTCTTTCCGGCACCAGCACCAGCAGTCGCCGCCTACGCCAATCATAAGTAACTCGTTGGCTCCAAGAAGAAACAACTCACTGCGGCGTTTGCGTCAGTAACAGTGACAAACACGGTCACGGTCGTCTGGCCGCTCGTGGCAGTGTCTGTTGCGTTGCCAGTCGAGTCGACGCCAGTCTCGGTAGAGTTGGCGCCAGCAGCAGCTCCGGTGTCATCAATGCCGGTGCCGGTTGCACTGGCCGCAATGCCGGATGCGACGGCTGATCCAGCGGCTGATGCGCCGGCGTTGTCGAGGCCGCCGAGGAGTGATGCGATATCATCGGAGGAAGCGCCAGTCTAGAGGGATTTGTTCAATGAGAGTTCGCATCGGAAAGAAAGCGACATACGTCCTTGCGCGCCATCAAGGACGAGTCCACGCGGTGGGGGGCCGCGATGGCAGAGCCTGCGAGCGAGGCAACGAGGGGGAAGACAGCAAGGTTGAACAACATCGTCAAAAAAAAGGAGTGGTCGAGTAGATTAAATTCGGTTCGCGTCGAGAGGGGAGTGCGCTGCACGTAGTGTGTGTTATAGGACTAGCCAACGAAGGGTCTTTGCTGCTTGAATAAATACGACCGCGGGTCGTAGAATGGGAGAGGTGATGATGATGAAGAACAGGGACGGGAACAGAAAACGCACTGGGCTGCTCCGCCATTACGCGTTCCACTTTTATACTCCCATCGCCCTGCTCCCAAAATAAGTTCGATCGGGTATCATGCAGGTATCGTTACCTGCGGAGACTCTGGCCCCACCAGTCTGATGCACCCCCAAAATTAACGACAGAACAACGCCCTGGTTGCAAAGCAACGCCCACTCCAAAATTAGCTAATGGAATGAGCTATTCAGGGTGCTCCAAAGTAGGATCGGTATGGAAATAGTATACCACCCGACCATATCAAACAAACAAGCAGGCTATGCTTGATTCCAGATGGTCATGGAGTCGAAGACTCGGAGTCGTTGTCTTGAAAAGAGAGAGACCACGTGCTTGAGAAGGGTTTGGAGGTGACAGTATTTTTAGAACCGAATGTGCCCGTTCTTCAAGTTATCAGGCGTGGTGAATGAGATTGTTCGGAAAGTGTATGACGATGACAGAGAATCACTTAAGGTTACACGGCTCACACTTCTTCAATTCGACTGTCCTCGTCTTCATCAGTCTCAGGCAACTTGCCATCGCGTTCCGACGTTTCACTCTCGGGCAGTTCCTCAACCGCCGGTTCGTCGCCTTTCAAAAGCTGGACGAGGCGTTCAATGTGTTCTGATATCTAAATCCAAAATTAGCTGAGACGGAAGCAAATCGATGATCTGGTCCGACTCGAACCTTGTCAACTGTCTCATTTTCGTGGGTTGCCCGTACGATTTCGTAGACACCATGTTCACGCTGGTAGTCCCTGCCCCATCGCGTGTGACAGAGCAACAAAAGCGTCTCGATATGAAGTAATCGGATCGCTTGGTCAGGCTCCCGCACTTTTGTCGGTGGTAGGAACTGCAGCGCGTCTGGTAGCTTCTCCTGGTCTTCGAGGTCCAGCTCTTCAGGGCCGGCAAGGGGCAAGAGAATGTACGGAAGAGCGTCAACACCGGGGGCCGTTGGTTTAGAAGAGCCAGTTGAAACAGATTCGGAATCCGGGCTCAACATAACTTTATGCGCGGGAGCCTCGAAAGCACAGTTCCTATAACACATACTCATCATGACAAGCGCTAGATGGAACGGGCTCAAACACCCACTTGAGAGTTGACGCGACGCCTCCCCGCCGAATCGTATCTTTGTGTTCCGTAAAAGGCACAAGCTTAGCCAACGGATATTCCAAGGGTTGCTGCTCGAGCGGTTGGTGCGGATATGGTGACAGGAAGAAACTGCGGCCGGCGGGGGACTGGAGCTATTTTGAGTGATGGGACAAGAATATCGAAGGCAACGCACTGTTGTTATATTGGCAAAAACGCTGGCCAGAAAGTGTAAATTTCCCTTGCGTATTCGTGAGGATGTTGCATCAGCGTCTTCAATTTGAGCGCCCTGGACGAAAGCCTGGACAAGGAGAGGGAGGGCCAAAGCACTCCGAGATTGCCCGGTAGGATATGGCTCTGGCGCTGGCGCCGTAGCACATCGTGATTCAGCCGCAAAGAAACCGTTTGGCAAAGTCGCGTCGGGGATGATATCGATTTCGAGCGATGTGATTTCGCGACAGGCGAATGGAGTCGCTGTGAGATTTGAGAGCAGCATAGATGCCAGGTCAGCCAGTACAGACTGTGGGTTCTATGGGCGAGAAAGTGAGTCTTTTATTTCAGTGTTAAGCGGTAGAGCACGCACTATGATATACGACACGACGAAGTAGAGAAACATTGGATCTCCTATGGAGCCTGCCAGCGCAGCAGACTCGGAAAGGTTGACCAGCGCACGGAATGCATCATGAGCGACGCTCTGGTTTGCGATCAGGACCGAGCATGGACCAGGACAGTCCACACGCACCAGTTGGTCACGACATAGGATTTTGAGGTCTCGGATTACATTCTTGTCCTTCCCTGCCTGCAATCCACCCTGCTGTCCGCTGAGGAAGATGCTTCGATGAGGGGCATCTTTGACTGTTTGTGGAAGGAGGTTGGATAGAGCGATTTGGCGGACTTGCGGGTTTCGATCACGGAGGAAGGGAATAAGCTGAGCACTTCCGCGAGCTGGTTAGCGGGCGAATGGTGCTGGACGGTGATTGACTGACTTCACGAAGTTGCTCCTCCATAGATGAAGAAAAGATTGTGACTGTCACAAAATTGTTGGCAGGTTCTGTACAAGTTTCGTGGATGACGAGTACACTAGCTGCGTCATATGCGTAGGCGTTATTTAGCTCCGGATCTCGTCGACGACTTATGGAGATTAATATTGGTTTTGTCAATCTTAGACTTACCTCTTAATACTATTAATAGGCGATCATCTTATCTGATATCAGTACAGAGAGACAAACTGACTGGCTTAGACAAGGCTTAGAGTCTAGCTGGTCAGTCCTGTAATAGAAAGCATATTTGTGTCACCTAAGACGGAAAATTTCCTAAAGTAGCAGCAGAGGACCTGATGTAAAATTGACGTCGGCCATGACCCCCTCGAGCTTTCAATTGTGCGCGTGGTCGCGTGTCTCTTTTCAGTTTACGGCAACTGTCTGACGGCCGCGGCGAGTTTCTTGCAGCGTTCATCTTCCCTCTTCATTTCTTCGCCTCCACATTCCCCATCCTTGGTCCTGGACGATCTAAACCCGCAGGACGAAAGTACATCCAGTTTGGACAGTGTTCATGGCGTCATAGAAAGAAGTTGGACCTCCTCGTTCCTAACGGCCGCTGTTGCGAATGTTCGTGGGGCACGACAATCTGAATTCCGAGCTCGTTGCTGTTACTAGTAGCTATGATGACTTTCTCCCAGCATGGAACTGATCAAGCTGGACAAAATAAGATTCTATACCAACTCACAGCCAACTCTTGGTTAGTGTGCGTCACAGTGCTTTCCGGAGCAAGATTCTTCTCCCACTGAAGAAAGTTGACGAAGGAACCACAATGACGACCCTCCAAGCAACAAGTACAGTCAAGACTGCGATCGAGCAAAGAGTGGGTAAGGTCCGAAAAGATCCTCGGGTCTTACCCGCATGTTTTTTTGACACAATCACCAACGCTTAAAATTGTTATGTTATGTGTCTTGCCGCGCCCGCTTGAAACCCGACCCTCACCATCCCCAAGATGCTGACCTGGCTTCTCTCTTCCTGGTACCAACCCTCCTCCCAGCCCCCGTCGTCTCCTAGCGAGGAAATCCTCTGTGACACTACACAGCACCCTATTCTTTCGTCTCTCCGTGAGCTGGTCGAGAGTGGCGGGGGCGAATGGCCGCCACGGGCGACATACCGGGACACCTGGCCCATAGAGCTGCGGGTGTACGATTCCGTTTGGCGAGAAATGGAGCCTTTATTCCCCGCGCGGGAGTCATCGACCGACAACGCCCACAATCGACAACTCATTAACGCTTTTCGCAACCATATGCAGGCCCTGCTTGACGAGCGGATAAACATGCGGAATGTCCAGTCTGCGCTTGACCGCGCCGCATCTGACCCCCAGTCCTGTTCACAGGGAGCCTGGCTCGGCATATGGCTTTGCATCTCCATGCTCCGCCATGCTTACCGGTGAATATACTTCCTCCTCGCCTCCGAATAGCTCCGTTTCTGACTGACCACCTAGCTGGGGCGTAAGTCCCATCGTGAGTGAAGCCCAAAACGAAGAGACGCTTGATCTTCCCGAACAACTGAATGTCCCATGGAGGTGCCTGCAAAAGCACTTCGGCACAACATCGCCTGGCGGCTGCATGACCTCGCTGATGTACGCCAACCTGCGAGCCGACGACCGGTTAGAATACAGCGTCAACATCGGTATGCCTGAAACCCATCAGAGCACCGAGTACTGGAACACCAAACTCATCTGCTCGATGGAGGAACGAGTGAGTTTCACCTTTCTGCGTCAGTCGTGTCTCAGGCAGCAATAATACAGACACTTACTATGTACCACCTTTTCGCTCGCACAATCGCTTTCCTCGACTCGGGAGACCTAACCTCCGCCACCGCCACGCTCAAGTCCGCAAACGAGGTGCTCAAGACCGCCTTCAAACACTTCTTCGCGACGCTCGTCGACTCTAACCTCGTGCAAAGCGTATGGCTTGCCTATGTTCAAGGCTACCAAGGCTGGACGCTGGAAGGTATTGACGGAATTTCTGGCGGGCAAAGTTTATTATTCCGCACTCTGGACGCGTTCCTTGGCATTCGTCCGTTTCCGACATCGGAAAAGGAGTCACTGCATCTCCCGACCCAACAACGCGCATGGCTCAACTTCCTTCGCGACTACGACATTCGCGCCAAGGTCAAGGAGAACACGTCTGACGAAGCGCAGGAAGCCTTGACTACAGAGCTAGAAGGCTTGGTTAAGCAGCTTCGGGTAAGGAACTATTTTTTTCAAAGAAGGAAAGCAGATCTAATCTTGGTTTCAGTTATGGAGGATGGGTCACATGCGCCGTATGCAACCCTACGAGTCGGTTCGACGGCCCGAGCGGAAGACGATGACGGCTGGAATCTCTGTTGTGGATGCGGAAAACGAGAACCTGATGATTGAGCATTTGAAGAAGGAACTGGGTCGTCGTCTTGCAGAAACCATTTAAATAATATATTTACATAATATTTACATAGAATATAGATAGCATGTATTTATTCTGTTATATTGGATTCCTGACTCAGCATGTATGTTCTGAGTCAGCAAGTTGCAGCCTCGTATATTCTGAGTCAGCAAATTAGCCACAGACATCACGAATGCAGATGGTATATTATGATAGTATACTATATATATATAGCCATGTCCATGTATGCTACCATCAGAAATTCGGCGCCAACAGTCCAAGCAATGCAAAGCAACTCGATGAGCGTGATCAGTCCATGGATAATGTAATAAAGAAAGGTCTCTATGATTCAGAAAGGATCGTGTCGATAGAGTTGTTCAAAAACTCTTTTCGAGATGTCAGGTCCGCATTCGGGAATTTCGCAGTGATCGCTTCTCGCGCGGTTCTGGAGAAAACTGGTGAGAAAACAGAGGACAAAAGGAGTAGATCAGCTCACTTCTTCGTAACGGTCATGAGATCTTGCGTGCTCAAGTAATGTCGCAGAGCATTGAAAAGTTCGTCGTCTGAGGGATTCGGGTTCTGGCTAGGGCCCGAGAACATATTGGCTGTTGTCGCCATCGACAGTGTCGACATGGGCCGTGTCATCGGCGCAGCAGCGGGCATAACCGGTGGGGCAAATCCTCCTTGCGACCCATTGAAACTGCCGCTGTACATGTTCATGCCGCCCATCATCGGTCCCATCATTCCATACATGCTCCCAGTGTTCTGATATGGCATTCCCATCATCGGCATCCCTCCACCATAGTCTGAGCCTGTGACTGAGCCAGGTCCGCCACCAAATGGCATAAACGGCAATTGAGGGACTGGTTGCAGCGGAGCTTGATGGGAAAGATTTGACAAAGACGGCTGAGACCCAAGACGCAAGTTCGGATTGGATCCATTGTGCGAGGTCAAGTTGGTGTCGCGGTAGTAGTCGCCGGCCTGAGACGCTTGCTGATACGGGTGTGGCGACTGTCCTCGGGAGCCTGGGGCACGTGATCGAGAGCGAGGCTTTCCGCTGTATCCAGTCTCTTCAGAGTGTCTGGAGCCAGTTTCCCATGCTTCCATCTCGTATTCTACCCAAAAGCATTCAAAAATCCCCCTTGCTCCATGAAACAACCACTTACCGCTGAACTTCTTGAGAGGAATCATCGAATCGTCGAATTTCTCGTCCTCGTTCATGATGACCTTCTTCTCCTTGCCTTCACCAACGACAAGACGTGTGTTACCCCAGCTGAATTCATCCATGCACCAAAATGAGTACACGGGGAGGAAGAAACTGTACACAGGGTACCTGAAAGAAACGTCAACTAGAAGACACGATGGACCGTAAAAAATCATACGAGAGGATATAGACCACCATCCATCCGACAAGCATGAACTCACGCTTGATAATAAAGATGATGGCCTCCAAGGTGTTAGCAAAAGTGTGGGGAAAACGCTGGCATAGCCTACTTGAAGACCATAAGTGACGGCGATCATGATGAGGGCGATCTCAGGGAAAGCTTGTCTCCGGAGGGCAACTTCAACAATGAGATACGCAAGCTATCCCAAATTATCAGGCAGACATTGAGTGAGCACAACGGAACGCACATAAACAACGGTTGCAGGAAGGATCTAACAGGGCAATCAGACAGGAATAAGCAGAAAAGCAAAACATACCAAAGTGCCCAACAAGTCAATGAAGACGAAGAAACGCATCGAGAAGCAACAGAAACCAAATAGCTCAGGCAAAAACACGAGCTCGCACAAATTATGTACTGTTGAGTTGATCCATCGTCGCCGTTGGGAAAACAAAACCTTCCATGACTCAGGCGCGACAGTGTGCGCAAGAGCATGTGGATTGAACTTGGTTTTGAATGTTGGGAAATGCTTGAGCATCAGTGTCGTCAAGTACCGATCTTCGCCGAGCGAGAATAGATTCTTCTTGTGAAGGGTGTCAACGTTGGGCTCTGCATACTCGTCGATGATGCGGTTGGAAATAATGATAGGTCGTCCCTTGTCGGCAGTACGGATGCGGTAGAGGGAGAAACACCCGGGAAGACACGTGACGGACCCGAAGAGCGACTCGAATGCTTTTGAAAGATGGTGCGAGATGTAATATTCGTACACCTGGATCATCGTCCACCATGAGCCTTCTTCGTTCTGCAGCTTGGTTTCGCCACAAATGCCTATGATACTCGAGTCGTCCGCGGCGGAAGCAACGAGTCTATTGAGGGACTCAGGAGTGACCGTCTAGAAACGAGGTTAGGGCCAAGTCAGCTTATATGAATAAAAAGGGCACGAACGGTATCAGCATCGATGGTGAAGATGTATTCGTAGAACGCAGGGTCGATGCCAATAACATTTCGCATCTGATGATAGATTTCCAGCTCCAAAGGCGACATGGCGGCATCAAAATGGACACGGTTCAGATAATGCATGAGCAGAATCTGACTGTCGCGTTTACCCCGATTACCCGGTCTGGATCTTTCAGTGGGTTTGCCAACCTTGACCACGACCATATACCTGAATTCTTCCATCAGCACTTCAATATCGAGCCCGTAAAAATACTCACGGAACAACATGGCCCTCGAACTCGTACAGTCCTGAGTAAACCTTGCCATAGTTGATTGCCTTCGACCCTTCTCCGACCGACTTGAACATTAAGGGCTCTGGATCAAGCTTTGGGTCAATCCCGAGAATGTCCAGGACAATCCTTGGCGTCGTTCGGTCATTCCCACTACCAATAATGTTGCCGTCACAGATAATGAAAATGAGTTTGCGCTTGTCGTCGTAGTTGAGAGCGGCAAGAGAATCTATAGTTTTCCGCAACGAGTCTTCACCCTCCGTATAACATGGCACCTGGCAAAGAACGAATTTATCTTGCAATTCCGGGAGACGTTTGCCACCGAGCTGGAGCGCAGCCAAGACTAAACGACGGATTTAGACGCAAGAGTTCACAAAAACATGGTCAACACGCACATTTAAGTCCCACCGAAGCGACTAATATTCCCGAAGCCACGATGAGGAAATAATTCTGGACTTGACACCGCGCTGTCTTGCGGAAATCATAGTCGCCAATATAAAACACGTTGTTGAGACACTGGAGATTGAGACCTCGCTTTTCTGGGTCCATTGTTTCGAGAACGGCGTTCAACGGTTTAGTGATGTCTTGTCCCGACTGTTGCCTGAACACCGCCACCAACTCTTGGTCCAAAAAGACGTAGTCAGGGTTGTTGGCGTTGAGAGTGATTGTGTTGAGATAGTCCGTCAAATCATAAATCTTGTTGTTGTAACGACCCCAGACCCTTCAGAGTATCAGTACGAAATATATCCAAGGAAAAAAAACAGCCCACTTGGCGATGTTGGTATCAGCTGCTTGATCTTTCAGAGTCCTTGACGTATAAACCAATGGGCCTTTGCGGTAGTGCTTCATTCTGGGGAGGAAAGTCGCCGTGTACCAATCATTATTGTGCAGCTTAGAGCCTCCGATGGCTTGTAACTGACCGCTGACGTGCATCGCCGTCGGTTCAGTCATAGAAAAATTCTTGTTCTTCAAGGACATCGTAGGGTCAGTGACCAATGTTGGGCATCCTGGGAAACGATTTAGCATTGTCATATCTGGCAAAGAAATATATGTACCAAGAACGAGGGGAACTGGGAAGTAATACGTCAAGTCCTGTCCCGCGAGGACTTGCAACACATCCTGACTGTTACTTTGCAACGAATTCGTGTCGCTATGGTCGCCTTGCACAAAATTCGTCACATCGTAGACAACGCCCTGGATTGTCACCCAGTAGTTCGCTGTCAGCGAATGTTCGGCTACCTCATTCAGACCCCAAACTTTGCCCGAGTCTGGGCAGAGAAGTCGTCCAAAGATTGCGATGTAGAAAATGACGGTGGCGTTGAGGAGGAAAATCAGGATGAAGATGGCGAGCTTCTCGCGCCAGGCGAGACGAATATCGGGTCGCTTCATTCGGCCAAGGAGTTTCATGAGGAAGGTCGGAACGAACCAAGTTGTGCCCCACACCACCCAGAGCCAAACGCGACGAGAACGACTTGAAGGGATTTCTTCCACCTCGTTGTTGGCGAGCAAAGCGTCTTTCTGGACGAAGCCACTCGCTGGAGGGTTAGGATGACCATCTTTCGATGGCATTGGCGAGTCAGGGTAGCCCTCTATCGTCCCGCTAGGACTACCCTTGTAATCAGACCCAACCCAGCCAGTCTCGCCCCCAGCTGCTGGGACACCACCTGCAAATGGGTTTGACATCGGTGTTTGAAGGCCACCTCCCCCGTATTGATCAGCGAAGTTCTCCACACTCGCCTCATACGCATGAGGCTGTCCGTGAGTGTATTCGGTGCCCTCCTCCGCATCGCGCTCGTCTTGGTCATCGCCACCTCGCTTCTCTTGGGCTCTCAATACATCCTCAACGCCTTTCCAAGCCCCGTACTCAATCCAGACCCGCCCGCCAGCCACACGATAGTCCTCCCCTTCTCGCCAGCCACCTGACCTTGCGCATTGTTCGATGCGTTCTTCAATGCTGCCTTGCATTGTGGGAACATAGCGCGCACAAAACTCCTCTGCATCAAAGTCGGCAACATAATCTCCTCCACTCACCCGCTGGATCATTGCAGGGACAAGTAACGCGCGTAGTTGTGCGCGTACTCGTTTCTTATCGAATGAGTTGGGTGAACCAGAGTCATTCGGCCGAATGCACGTGATTGTCCAAAGTCGGGTACGAGTTGAGCCATGCAACATTGCGGAGAGGGTGTTGTCAAGTTGCACCATAGCAGAGTACGTCTTCCCAGAATCCAGTCGTCTTAACTCCTCATCACCACCAAGTGTTGGCGCTCGTAATGGCCGAGAGGAAACTTGAGCCAACACGACAGTATTAGGATCGCGAGCATGAGGCTCTGCAGCGAGGGAAGGACCAGCGAAAAGTTTGGCGACGAATGGAACAGACGAGCTACGAAGGAGGACAACGAGTGCGGGATCGAGAAGGTCGGCATCGGCATTCACGAAACCACGCACATCATAGCTGCAATGGCCGGCATAATGATTGATACCAAATGCTCGAGGTCGTGTGGAAAGATTTCCAGTCCCAACTCCTCCAGCAGATGGCGGCAATGGGGCAGTCTCGAATGACGCGTGGGTTGAAAAGCGGCCAATTAACTCAGCCAAGAGCTCTTCATCACGATCGCGATCAGCTCCCTTGCCAGCCTTGAGATTCATACTTGCACGTCCAAGGACATTCAGTACCCCTCGCGCATCCTTGTCCGACTTTTTGGTGGGGATGACAGCAGGATCGTTGAGAGGCACTCCACGCAACATCTCAACACACGCTTCGTTCCCAACAACATCATCTGCGTCAGCAAACAACGCTTGAGAGATCCAGCCCTGAACAAGTTCGTCAGCGAAATTACTCGCAAAGACCTCGAAAGAGGCAGGCCCAAGCGAAAGGGGAGGTGATGCAAAGCCTGGTGTGTCCAGAAGAGAAATGACATTTGTTCCAGGTGGTGGTTCGAGGCGACGATTGGCAGACTCGAGAAGGAAGGAGACGAGGATTGCATATAAATCGCGGGAAAGACTTGTCCGCTGGATAGAGGCTTGCTCGTCGTTGAGAAGAACGGTATAAAGCTCTTTGCGGACATAAGCAGTCCTGTTGGTCAACGCAGCTTCAAGGTCGTCAGCGGGAATGCCAAGCAGTCTGGCGGTCTGCTGGAGGGCTTGAATGCCAGTTGGCGCAACAGTAGCAGCCTCGGTGTTATTGTCGGCAGGGATGAATGAAATGTTTGTTGACACCAGGATGGCCGAGAGAAGGGAGAATACAGCGGGAGTGTGTTTGAAAGAGAGAGTTCGGAAGGCTGCGCGGAGGTCCGACATGGCTGTTGTGTCATCGGAAAATGGACCAGAGGGAAGGCGATAGGTGCCCGACGATGCCAGCAAGGCATATTCAGATGGGTCCTCGAGTTGGAATTGGTCTCTTTCTGCTGTTGTCGCGCCGGCTAACAGCTGGTAAAAGGCGTGATATGTTCGCTCTTCATGGACCAGGCGGGTCAGCCGCGATTTATCGAGTGAAAAGAGCAGACATTTCGCCCCAGCAAATCGACCACGCTCGTTGAAATGAAGTTCCAGAAGCTTGGAGTGTCGCGAGGCATCGGGATTGGTCTGGGTCTTGGCATTCCCGAACGAATCGAGCAGCGTCGTCATGGCGCGAAGTTGGTCGGCTAATTTGGCCTCTTTTCGCGAATGGGTGGAAAGGCGGAGAAGCTGGCTTGAGAGCAACCTCATTGAAGAAGATTTTCCGGAGGAAGTTACGCCTCTGGTAATGACGAACTGGGACTCATTTCTTCGTCGCAAAAGCAGATACATCCTACACGCCAGCTCGTACACGTGTGGTTGTAAGGACTTTGGCGAGTCGATGGCAGGGAGGGATGTGTCTTTGTAGCAACGCTCTTCGTATTCGTGGGCGCTGGCATCGTTTACATTGGCCAAAGTTTTGAGTGGGTTGACAACGAGCAAATGGGTTGCCCCGATTCGTGTGAACGGCAAATCAGCACGAAAGCGAGCGTGGAGAACGTTGAGAACAGCGTCATCGTTGGGGTAAATGGTTGCCGACCCAGACGACGACACCAGGTCGAGCAACTCGCCCGAAGCCATCGCCGGCGTGGACATGGCGGAAAGGTAGAATTGGGACTAGTCACGTTATGACGCAACAAGCTCACACTCCATCCACATCAAAGAAATCTAGGGGACAAGAATTACTGTATGACAAAAATATTCGTATTATTTATCCCACTTCCCCTGCATGCTCTCGTTCCCTGTTTACCTCGCCAGCCCAGTTAGTTTGCTTTGGAAGTGGCAAATCTTCCACCCCTGGAGCATAGCCTGGGTGAACATCGTATTCTTCATCGACCTTCTCTGGAGCGCCTTTCGCAGTACTCGTCCCACTGGCAGCAGCAGCCGCTCTTTCTTGAGCCCGTCTCCGTCGCCGCAAAATCTTTTTGCGACTTTTGACCGCATGACGAAATGCGGTTTCGTCACCATAGAACAGCTGATATTCACAGAAGGCACAGATCCATTCATCGCCAGGATTCGTCAGCGACTCTCCTTCAAGTGGCACATTGTTGGCCTTGTTTCGTCCTCGTGGAAGATCGGCCGATAGAAATCGCAAGGGCAACGGCCACAACCCAGTCGTTGCGGTACTGGTATTGGAAACTCCAGAGTTGGGTAATCGCGAGGGAACATAGTTGCGTAGATGGTGTGGATTGGATGCATTCGCCAGGGCTGATCGTTTCTTCTTCTTGACATTACGCGGCTTGATGCCCATAAGCGAGGCAGGGTCTGCGTTCTCTTTGGGTATGACGGGGGGAGGGGGGGCATGGTAGCTGGGAGTCGTTGTCGTTGTCGTTGCGATATTCTTGGCCGAGCTTCGTTTCTGACGAGAGCTCTTTCTGGGCGGGGCATTGAGTTTGGCTGTTTTGGCAGCCTGCCTCGCGAGCTCTGCCTCAAATCGCTTTCGCAACATCAGAACCTCCTCTTTGGTCGCTACCAATCGTTCCGCGGCTACATTCGCTCAGTATCTTTTGTGGTCGAAAGAGGTGAAAAAAATTAAACGAACTCAAGCTGGGGCACGAATAAGTGAACTCGCACTCCATAAATGGGCGTTTGTCAGGATGACGGAATTTTTCGGAATAGCGCGCCGCTCTCGCCAATCGGGGGGCAAGTCGTTTTGAGCGTCGAACTCGGGGCGGATCGACGTTGACATTCTCCAGGAGTGGGTAATGAGCCGACAAGGCCTGATCCAGGGCCAGAGTATCGGCCAATGAAAGGGCCCCAAGCACTGCTGCTAGTTGTCTCTTCCTAGCTTTTAGTGTCTCCTTGTGTTGTAAAGCGGCCTGTGTAATCCTAGGCGGCTTTCCCTTGCGGATGCCGAGACCATTCCAACTCGGTGGAGGTGGTTCTACGGGTGGCTCAGAAGCTACAGCTATCTGCTCGTTCGGATTGTCAGGAGGCTCGTTGGCTTGGATTGCAGTCGGAACTTTGCGTTTTTTGGTATTTCCGGGCTGCATTTGCTCACTGGCATCATCATCTCCGTCGTCGTCAGCAGGGTAATAGCTGTCCCCATTGCCACTGCCTGGCTGGGTTTCGGTGACAGCCATACGTCGACGCTTTGGGAGTGGCTTGACCCTTCTTAGGGTCGGAAACTCGGGCACATCGAACAGAGGCGATGTCCCTCGATTCATCTGTGAAAATCGTCAGCGGAAAAATCAACAAAAACTAGGTGGCGGGTTTGATTTACATTGTCTTGGTTCTCTGCTTCCAGCCCGACGTCAACGTAGGGCTGGGACGGAAGAGAAAGGGAAAGAGGGAGAGTGGGCACCACAGATGTGTCGTGGCTGATGTAGTCAGTGTCTTACGCAGCCCAGAATCCGCTTTCAGCATGATGGGGTTATCCGGAAATATTCACAAGACTATTTTACGACTTTTAACAAAAATATCGTCCCCATTCGATTCGCGAGCGCAATTCGTCCACTGATTTCTCCAAGCGCGCAATGAGTCAAGTCCTCTATGTGTATTGATCGAATGTAGCCAAGTAAGTTCAAGTTGCAACTCACCCCGCAAATCGTAACTGGGCAACAGGAATACGCTTGCCGCGCTGTTCATATCGTGCCAACCCTTCTCTGGAGGAAAGCTATACACCCGCACCCTTCTGGATACTCTAGCACTCTCTCGCTCTACCCAGACCACTCGCATCGCTTGCGGACCCAGATCATATGCCGGAACAAACCAACGTGAGCGCGATTGAGGAAGAGTCGGATCTGCAGAGGGTGCAGGAGTTGAAAGAGCTTCACCTATGGGTACTATGTCCATGGATGGTATCATTAGGTCAAGGAAGACCTCATAACAAGCAAGGGAGCGAGAGTCATAAGCTAAGACGCATAATTTGCTTGGTGTAGAGATAGACGGCACCATTCTCTCGGAAAGTGGGTGAGGTAGATCAAACCTCAGAGGTTGCATTGATGAATCCAAGGCGTGTAGTTCGAAAGTATGCGTGCGTACGACGAAAAAGTAACCTTCGAAGAACTTCAGCGCAAGAACTGCATTGTACTGGAAACGGCCGTTAGATCATAATTGGGTCGAAGAGAAGTAAATACCAGCTCTTCCGCATCTCCAGAGTCAAGCAAAATGGACCTCGTCGTTCCGCTTGACCAAGAGAAAATGTCGAGCACATGCATCGATGAGGAGGAGAGCACTAACAACTGCCGTTCCGCATCAATAGCACGAATTGCCCATGAAGAAGATGAAAAGCTTCTCATGAGTATAAATTCTGCGGTGTTAAGGTCAATCTCGTAAAGCACGGTCTCCGAGAGCGTCTCCGCTGAATTCTACCAAGGAAGGTAAGCTTGGTAGCCAAATGACAGAGAAATGAATCACACCGGGGAGTTCGTTAGGCCTAGAATGATTCTATTGTCTTGGACACACGCAGCGCACGAGCGCCAAAGCATCAGATGTTTTGCCAACTGTAAGGTGGTGCATGGCTGTCCCTCAAAGCCAATATCCCACAATTTGACCATGCCACTCTGGTAGATAACGAGAAGCCACCGCTCTAGAAATAGATACATTCCTGTCACAGTCTCGCTTGTGGCAGGTTGGTAGACTGTTTGGATTTCTCGTGGGCGAGTCCATTGATGAGCAACACGACAAGCCGAGACAGCTATGCCTTCTAGAGCCCGCGAAGAAAGTTCTTCAATAGGCTGAGAATGAGATGGTAGGGGAATCTTCAAGTCTTCAAGTCTATGGAGGAAGGCGCGCCAGAGTGTTTTGTCACGAGAAAGTTGAGCGAAGCGACAGCATGTCTGTATTCAGGAATCCCAATGCATTCAGGAGCGTGGCAGTGAGAGTCGAACCTGGCGTATATTAAGAACATCTTCAACATCGAGAAAGTTAGAAAAGAGGAAGAGCAGGAGCTCATGGGGGAACATCGTCAGGGACATGAAGTGGACATGAAGCAGGATTTCCGTCACGGTCACATGTTTTTCTAGATCTGCAGTTACTGACGTTTCCTAAATAACACTTTCGCCTTCTCATTAGGCAAGCATGCTGAGGCAATATACTGGTTCTCTGGCCGCCCCTTGACCTCGTCTTTTGGCTCCAATTTGATATCGTAGTTGAGTAAAATATGGGCCAAGATTGCTTTGAGTTCGACAGCAGCAAAATGACGCCCTGGACAAGAATGAACACCATGCCCAAAGGCAAGATAGTCTAGATTCGTCGTCACTGCAGCGTATTTTGCGCTTCCAGCAACGTCGGACGCGTCCCGCAACTTAGAGAAACGAAATCCGTCGAACACGTGCGGATCAGGGTACAATTCTGACAAGATATCAATGTTGGCATACTTAGGATATGTAAGTAACAAGGAATACCTGGATCATGGTGTAGGCTCCAAGTTGTTGCGTGAATATATGTTCCTTGTGGGAGTCTTGTGCCGTCTGAGAAGGTAAATCCATTGGATTTGACGACCTTTCGACCCAATGACTCTGGTTATAAATTAGTTGCAAAGCATGCTGCTTCAAACACAACACTCACGGGTTCCGATGCCATGCAGTCTCTGAGACTCGCGGAGGAAACTGTCAAGTTTATACATTTTCCCCATTGAAGCCCTCGTCCAACCCTCCTCGTTAACGATAGCCTCGATTTCTTCTCGCAAGGGTTGAATGTAAGATTGGTGCGTTGCAATGTCAAACAACATGTGAACAAAGGTCTGAAATTGAGCATGTTGGTTTCTAAAGAATTGGGAATGTTTGCACATACATCAGTTGATGTCCGAATAGCAGCAAAGTTCACGAATATAACACGTTGAACCAATGCTTCTAACCCAAGCTCGTCGCCCTGGGCTTGGTCGATCAACCACGAGATGAGATCGTTCTATATCTGGGCTTAGGATTTCGGAAGCGATAGTATTGTGAGGCGTACCGGCCTTTCAGGCCAATCTTTTCCGTGTTCTTCCAACAACCTCAACCTCTCAGCGACTAGTGGTGTTAAATGCTTGCTCGCTCTTCGCATGTTGCTTCTGAGGGAAGAGATCCATGGACCCAGCGTTGGTCGCAAGAAGGCAGGTAGGAAATTGATCAGTTGAGCTTTGACAACCACGTCCATCGCAACGCCAATATTCAAGGCTAAATAATCCTCATTGCGACCTGCGCAATGTTAAACTCAGCATTGAATAGGAAGATTTTAGACATACAAAGCGGCAGGCCAACGAACATTCTGTTCGAAGTCCTTGCGATAACCTGCATCATGGTGCTATAGGCTGGAACAGCGAGCCATTGGTCTAATAACTATCAGCTTCGGTTGATAAGCAATGCGTGACCAAGGCACCATTGCCCTGCAGTACCAAAAGGTCCGCAAACGAACAGACTATCTCGTCGCGCACGTCAGGAAAGCGGCTGCCGACATTTCGACTCAATGAAGTTCGGATAACCACTGGGTGGTATGGGTCGCGTTCTATTCCGCGACCGAGAGTGTAACGCGTTTGGAGGAACTATTTCAGCGAAATCAGAACGTAATCTTATCAACTTGGATTGGAGACGTACTTCATTGGTCGACTGGTGGAAAGACAAATCCTCTTCACGGGCATTGGCAATATCCTCCACTAACTGTTTACCGCTTACTAAAACGCTCCATCTACCAGTTCTCAGCCCAGTTATCTGTAAAACAAGTCAGACCCACCGATCAATGAGGGCGATGCGGAACATAGAGGCTGGGAATCGCTCGTATCCCTCTTGGAACATCTCCTTTGCATTGAAGACGTATCGGAAAGCACCCAAGTATGATGATAGGCTTCCAGAGGGCCCAATCGTTGGGAGAAAGTCAAGCTATAAATCGTAAGTGAGTGCTAACTTGAGTAAATGGATAACATTTGGCCCCGCGTCATAGGTTGTCCACAAGAAGAAGGTTAGACCAGCTAACCCAGCCAAGCTCAGGGCTATAAATGGCTGTATTTCTGTAGGGATAGCGGCCTGCATGTAGAGGAAGAAGAGGAGAGGATACAGTAGAGGTCCTAGAGGAAGATCAGCGAGCGCATATGCATCGAAATCAAGGCACTTTTGCAAATTGTTCAAGCAATCAGACAGAGACTGATCGGACGACGCGTCTCAGGTCCGAGTCGTGTCGCATTCTTTTACAACGCGTTGAACATCTCGTTGTGCCAAGTTCTGTTGAGAGCATCATGTCGTAGGCTCTAGGCGTCGTTGTGTGACAGTCACGTTACGGCTTGAGATGTTACAGTGGACTGCCATCATCGACCCTAGATGTTCGACTCCGATTCCGGCCAGTTGCTAGAGAGCTCGGAATTCCGCTCGGAATCCGGCTCAGATTCGCTCACACAAGCTCGGGAAACCTAGCGCTCAGTCATCCGGGTGCTCAAACATAGTGGCGAGTTCGGTTTGATACGGGCGTGTCTAAACTTACAAACTTCCCGGCTTAGGAACCCAGTTCACGCATGATCACACAATCGATATAAAAAGCAACCGCAATCTCCCAGACAAGCCTACCTTCTCCCTGACCATGAGCTTCTGCAAAGACTGCGTTAAAGGCAAGCCCGCCCTGCAATTCGATTTTACAGCTCATCCATGTAGGCGTGACCCACGAAGGAACTCCCGAAGGCACGTCCAACTCTCGTTAAGCACGCCTATTACTATTATTAAGCTCGTTCAAGGCAAGATCGAGAAAATCGGTGGCGTGGACTGCTATATTGCTACGCCCACCGTCGATTATCCCAAGGACAAAGTTGTCTTACTCCTTACCGATGTCTTCGGTCTTGCCCTTGTCAATAACCAACTGCTCGCTGACGGCTTTGCCGACAATGGCTTTAAAACCATACTTCCTGATTATCTAAATGGCGATCCCATTCCTGCCGACGCTATGGGTCCTGGGGTGAGTGTGGGACTTCTCCAACATCTCCGCTGTATACTTCTATCATTGTCCAGAAACAATTCGACATCGGTGCATGGTTCAAGACTCACGGTCCTTCTGACACTCGTCCTCCTCTCGACAAAGTTATCGCTGCCCTTAAATCCGAAGGTGTCACATCCTTTGCTGCGGTTGGCTATTGCCTCGGTGGGCGTTATGTGTTCGACTTGGCCTTCGACCACATTATCTCCGTCGGGGCCACCGCACATCCATCATTGCTCCAGATTCCAGCCGACCTCGAGGTACGATTGTCTCCCTTCGAAATGTCATCTGAACTGCTGTTAGAAATACAAGTCGACGGCCAAAGCTCCACTTCTCATCAACAGCTGCACAGTTGACCAACAATTCCCACTTGAGGCGCAAGCCAAGGCAGACGAGATTCTCGCAGACTTCGCACCTGGTTACAAACGGGAATACTTCGACGGCTGTACCCACGGCTTTGCTGTCCGCGGGGACTTGAGCGATCCGAAAGTCAAAGCGGGCAAGGAGGGTGCTTTCAAATCAACGGTTGAATGGTTCATTAAACACGCCTGAAATGGTGATACTATAAGGACTGCTACCCTGTCTATTCGTAATATGCTCGTTGGTCTCTTGAGATTCAATCTGTTCCCGCTATTTGACGCGATTTGGCTTGAGCTCAACGTGCACGCGCTCTCATTTCTCATTTCCATCATCATCACCCCGTGACGATGGTGTGACACCTCAGGAACGTGACCGCGATGGACTCGTTAGTTGGTTCTGTCCTTCCGTCTCGATCACCTCGTCCGGACTATTCGTACGCCCCACGGAGCATTCCCGCTTATGCCGTCTACGGGAATGTAAACCCAGGACCTGACACGAATCGCTCCCTTGCTGGCTGGCCTACAGCAAACCCACAGTTGCAGAAGACTCCCACTCCTTTCGGCCAATACCCGTCGCAACAGCAGCCCTTTATTGCTGTTGACCCGTTCAACCAGGGGAAAGCTTCTCGGTTTCGTCCTTGGCGCAAGGACAACGCACCTCAAGATGTTACCCAGGCTTTATCCCCGCACACATACGGGCCATCACAGTTTCCACCTCAACACCCCAGCGTTATCCAGCCCATCTATGCCCCACAACCACGACCTCAGTTTGTTGGAGCGACTGGGCCAAATCAGGAGCCTGTCGTGATTTTACCTCCGTGGTCACGCTCCCGATCTCATCGGGCTCGAAATTCGCGTGAGCGTGGACGTCGTTCACGCTTTTCACGTTCCCCCTTGAGCTCGCGAGCTTACTCTCGCAATCGCTCGTCACGTTCCCGGTCACGGTCTCGCTCTCCCCGGATACCCATTGTGGATCCAGTCGTTGTCGTTCCACCTCCTCAAACTATACGTTCACGTTCCAGGTCACCTTCTTATCAGGGGCGAGGGCGTGGTCGTTCTCCTACTCCAAGGCCAAGTACGCGGTCCCGGTCGAAATCATACTCTCCAAACCCGCCTTCTTCTGCATCCATTCCAATTCCAACGGGGGTACGGTCCCGGTTCCACTCTTTGCAAAGTCGTAGTCGATCTCGTTCCCCTCAAAGACATGATATCTCCCAAAGCTCTGCACACACTCCACCACCCATCGCAAGTCCCGAGTCGCTTTCATATCATTCCAGTGTTCGAAGATCTAGTCACTCTCGACGCTCCAGGGAACAAACATCGGCGGAAATGGCTGCTTCAGAAGGACTACCAGCCAGATCGCCACTCACTAGTAGTCCACATCGTTCGCAAATTTCAATGGCAATGCCTCTTCAAGGCATCACCCCCGGTCCCATCATAGAGATCAGGCGATCTTCAAGCACATCAACTTACTCTAACTCCCTTCCACACCCCGTGACCACTGGTCGTAAAAGCACCTACAACAGTATGCTCAACACAATCACAACATTTGCACTGTTCTTCATATTTGTCATCATCGACGAAATCCCTCGACAAACATATTCCTATTTCCTCCTCCGTATTCCAACCCTCTATCTCTCTCGAGTGACACGAATCTTCGAGGAGGCTCGTCTTAGTTTGCCTGATATCAAGCGTATGGCCAGGACTCAGGCAGAAAAATGGGACGAAAAGAATCCGACCCCGTTGCTGCTTATACATCAAGACTACGCAGTCCTGCCACGCAGTCTCCTCCACTTCAAATCATCTTGGGATAGCTTCATCGACTCGTTGATGCGTGAATGGAAAACACTCAACGTGATTAGCGTCCTCCTTATGTCGTTAGTTATCGTTTTGCTCTATTCCACCCCATTTGTTGACGTTCATGCAGTGCTATCCTCACTCTTCTCCAAATTGACGCTGCGTCACACCCAATAACTCGCACAACGGCACTCTTCTCGCTCATCTGTTCGTTAATGAGTCTTCTCTATGGATGCATCTACATCATCCGGTTCGGTTCAATGCGCAAGATCCATAAAGCTGTAAGCTTTGGCAACGACGCTCAACAGAATGTGGGTTTCCTGTGGAATGTGTGGATCATGCTCGCCATGCCGGCTATCTGGCTAGCCTGGTCAATCATCACCTTCTTCGCCTCAATTATGTCTTTTGTCTGGCTTACAGGATCGTCACATGATCCCATCGATGTTGTCCTTTCCGTTCGGGCCGCGCTAGGTCTCCGAATCGCGCTCAGCGTCGTTTTTGGGTTGGGTTTGTTGTACTTCGCCCTGATTGTAAAGGAATTCCATCGATACGGAGACCCACTAGACGCGGCTTGGCAACGGGCTGTTCAAGAGTGGGCAAGAGAATATGAGTATCCTACTAGGCCACCGTTTGTGACACTCTCGCAGCCATATGGCAGGTATAAGCCGCCACTTCGACCTAATTTCACTACTCCGCGAAGCCCCGATGATTCGTTGTCACAGTATCCACTCCAGCGTGAACCTTCACTCATTCAGACCCGTTCACCAACAAGTTCGCGGCGCTCTCGTTCACCCAGTCGGCCCCCTCCAACTTATATCAGGCAAATAGATCAACTCGATCAGCACGAGCTTTTTGAGGAAGTTGTCGCAGAGCACGATAAAATCGCTCCTGAATTGCCTGCCGCATTCTTGAGGTCGTTTGTTGTCGATGAGGAACCCATACTCTTGCCGCCAACTACCGTGATGCATCTGGGTCGACAAGAGGACAGCACTCACTTCAACAGTCATGCCCTCAAGCTGACGCAGGCGCCATTGGATATATCCCAGACGATGCATAAGGAAGACTGGGATCGTTTTGTGGTGGTGGGTTTTCCAAAATTCTTTGGGGACTATTTTCCTGATTATTTCTCCAGGATGTCTCGAGTGCTTGGAAAGGTGATTTGACCCTTGTGAAAGCACCTGGCGATCAGTATTCATATCGTGTTGTCGAACCACCCCCACCTCCTCCTCGACCTACAGCGCCAACTCCGCCATCGCCGGCTCCCAAATCTCCAAAAACACGCGTTAACTGGACGCGCTCGTTACCTGCTTCACCGGATGAGACAATCAGTAGTCAGGGTCCGCGCAAACTTGCTGCTGTTACCGAAGAGGATGATCCGTCGACCCCAACCAGGTTGAACGCATCTCCTGCTACTCAAAAAGACGACATGATCTCGGTTTCGAATTCACAGTCACCCACCAACATCTATATGGGTGGTGTGAGCATGCTGTCGGATGGACCATCCCGGACTCGGACTCTGTCTTCAGAGCGTCCCCAAGCACAAGTCGTTCAAGAGTTTATAAATCTGTGGAACGAACGATATTTCTTCCCACGAAATCTCAGTGTGCGACTTGCACCAGCAGATCGGTGGGCGGAGAATGCGGAATTCGACGTAATTATGAGCCATACTTGGCGACACGTTCAAGAGGAAGATATGGCATCACGTGATCCTCGACCAAATATGAAGTCATCATCTCCGGTGTCTGGTAGTGAAGTGGGTGGTGGGGGCTCCAAGTTGTTCAGGACGGCAGACGAGAATGACGAAACGCTGAAGCAAAGGTCAATTCCTTGATGACACAGTCACGCAGATGAGTCGTAACCAATGGATAAGTAATGCTGTGGTCGTACAATGCTAAAGACAACTATTTCCCCCAAGTAGATAACGATACAGAACGGATGTCCAATGCCAAAAGTTCAAGGGAATCATTTGCTGTGATGAGTGGTATCCGAAATACTGTCGTTCACAAAGGAGACGATGCGGGGTTGATGTAAAAGGCTCATGGGCGACGCGACGTTGTCCGCGGATTCGGGATGAAGCACAATATCACCGTCAGAACCCGCTTTAACAGATTCGTCTGTCCAGGACTTGCTGAATTTGCCAGAGTCGTTTGGGTCGCCGTTACTCCTGCGAGAGCGCGACTGCGTCTGCAGATTCACTGGTGCAAGAGGAGTTTCGTCGAATAATGTGCTCGTGGTGAATGTGTTCTGTGTGTGGCTAACACCATGGATCCAGGGCATTGTGCTGAATTGAATAGAGGTGGAGCGGTTAGGTCGGTCAGAAGCGGTGGCGGTAATATTGAAGAGGGAGGTGACTACGACGGGAATGTTGGCCACAATCAGGCTGAGGGTATCCTATACCACAAAGAGGTTAAGATTACAAAATGGCCAGGAGTGAGCCCAGCAGACCTCGACAAGAGCAGAGAGGACGACCTTAACGCCACCATTCTTGAGAATTAGGACTGCGTGAACAAGCGAGATCTAGGCAATTATTATCGGCTATAACCCTCGGCAAACGCATTCACAATAGTAGTAACCACACAGGTTGAAAAAATGAGGGTTAATTTCCGACGCAATGGCTTGTCAGAGAGATTGCGGAATAATGGAAGTGGAGAAAGTAGCAGAATTGAATCAGCAATAATATCGGCTGAAAAATAGGTAAGGGCGAATCCAAACGCGGTTAAAGCGGACTGCACGTACTGACAAGTTGTAAAATAGCGACTTGAAGCGTGAGTTTGCATTGAGGGTTGGCAGTGTCCTTCCACGATGGTTCGGGCTCACAAACCCACAGTAGCTGGGCCATAAGGACAAAGAATGCGATGCCAAACGCGATCGCTACATAGACGAAACGCCGCCGCCGCACTTCCGATGGATCCACTCGGACGATGCTGAACAAGATACTCAGCCTTGAGCCCCTGCAGTAGTCACATCAGTTTGAGTCCATACAAGCCGGTTAGCAGACCATATAACGGCGTAAAATGCCATAGCCATGAGATAGTATGCTAAACATAGTCTAAATTGTCAGCTCATCGGCGTTGAGGATAACCACATACCTGAAATGCGCGCTGATTGAGGTAGATCATTGGGGATAGGGAGCTGGTAGAGAAATTGGGCAAAATTCGACCAACAAGAGGGTGCCCTACATGAAGGAACACGGCGACAACTTGAATAACGAGTGCTAGGCCAGCAAAAAGCACACAAATATCATCGGCCCATAAGCGGTCGCGTCGTATAAATAGACTGGGCTTGGGCTGAGAGAAGGATGAGCGCTTGGAAAAGGGCTGTACCGATAAAGTGTAGTCGCAAATGCAAAGAAACTACAGGTCGCGGAGGTTACTAAAACAGTTGAACCACATGTCCTAAACAAGTTGGAAAACCCGTACTCTTCAATTGCACAAGAGGGTCGTGGAGGCCTGGCATTATTGAAGGGTCATGGGAGGATGAAAGCGGCGCACCTGTGCCTCAGCTAAGTAGTAGCGACTACTTCGAACTCACATCATAGATAGTCGCGGGTTGATTATACTCTCACCGGATCACGCAGAACACATTTGAAATGATTCAATCCATTGTTCCGGTCGCGTCGGCCATGTGAGGTTCGATGACATTCATACAGCACTGTTCTTGCACTGTTCCTTCTTCTCCTCTCAAATTGCTGGACGTCTTGCTAACAAGTATCCTTTATCATGATGGTCTGGAGCGGACTTTGACTCAACGACCAATGCGAATAAGTTTGCCTCGCAAGAACTTTTAGACCACGCCACAATCTTACTCTCATGTGCTCCAGCTTGCCGATCCATCTCCACATTTCTGATCCGCTAACGACTCGGTCACCACCAGGTTTTGTTACGCTGCTTTTTAAAAGTGTTGCCTGTGGCCATGATGCTTCTGGTTTCTCCTACTGTAACTGTCTTGCGACTCTTCTAAAAATGCAGTCCCACGCAATTTCTGCTCTATTCCTTGCGCTCCTTACATCTTTAGCAACGGCTACTCCGACCCCGACCCCAGAATATTTAACTGTCACCGCTTTGGTTGGGAAGAACGATCGTTCTTCGTTTGAGTGGGTGCAGTGCAGTTCTTCCGTTGATAAGTTTTTAACAGACATATTCAAGGTGTTGGGCACTGACACCGGCGTTCGTTAAAAGCAACTCTACTGGAACTGTGGGTGCATTATCGTATGCCCATCTCGGAGCGACCACTTCAAAGAGCAGCTACACGCTGTTTGCGCAACACACTGACGCTGGCCTACACAACGCTCCTGCTGCTCAGTGAGCGCCGTCATAATTATCTAAACAGTCAATCTCATGTCGCAAAACAGATACGTTTTCATCATGACTGGCAGTGGAGTGTTGTCTTTCCCAACCGATAATGGCACCTTCACTGGACACTATAAAATCTCCGCGGGCGAAATTCTGATTGCAGCTGATGTAGCTGGGACCAGCGTCCAAGGACACAAGTGCGTTGACTATGAAACCTCAGTCCGCATCATTCAGTCGTCTTTTAGTTCTGTATGGGAGGCCGGAACTAGTGCCATCCAAATGCCCTTCGCGGATGGCATCCCTAGCCACACCGTGTTATACGACGGTGGCTGCCGCAGACCACACATGTAGAGGAGGGTTGCGTCGACAATTTGCATTAATTTGAGGCATAGTGTACATTGCGCTTAATCAACTACGGCGAACTGTTATAATTGACATCCAACTTGTGTCTCAGCTTACTTGCTCAGGCAACAGGTATAACGCCCAGCTTACGGAGCTTGTACCGGTGATGCAAAGCTTGGAAAGTAACAAAGCCTTGGATAGCCTTCTCATGACAAGAAGCCAGTCTCCCAGAAGGATCGGCCTCCAGAAGAGATCGTAAAACCCGCGAGTGACTCACTGTCGTGGAAGTCACGAGCGATTCCAACATTTCGGATCCTGTGATGTGGTGCAATTGAGCGATCTGTTCCACGCGGTTGAACTCTTGGTCAATGGCTTCTTTGTAGTAAGACATTATATCCCTGAAGGATGAGTGAGTGTAGAAGCAAGCAGAAAACAATGGCGTACGCGGTGTTGATGTGGACAATGATGCCATCTGGAATAGTTTGGAGATAGCTTGTGAAATGGAGGTCCGGGGGAAATGAAAGCAAATAAAGAGAGGTGGCCACTGAAGTCATAGTCTTCATGATGGTTGGGAAAAGAGGGGTATCCTTTTGGACTGTCCACTAATCGACTGATAAGTAAACAAAAATGGAAAAAAGATGTGGTAATAACAACTCACTCTCAACCCTTTCTCGCTAGCCATCTGGCCCTCCAGGTAGTTGCCTGTCATATATGCCTGATGCGACATACGCAACATATCTCCAACGACGGCAGGATACATGTCTGCCAGCTCACAATTGACCTCGGTGATATGATCGAGTCCCTTGTCGAGCTGTGAGCGACCAGCGACTAGACGAGCCCCATATTCGACGAGACTCTGAGAGGAAAAACAGCAGTCGTCGACACAATAATATTGACCCATGAGCAACGAGCCCAAAATCGCGACTTTGTGTGGCACAACCGCAGGACGCAGCCAAACATAGTGGCCAACGGCTGCACCGATTCTGATATGACTTTCTTGAAGAGTCGACGAGAGTTTATCGCGAGACAAGTAGCCTCGTTTGTAAGCTTCAGCGATGCATTCCAACGCAAAAGGCTCGAGGGTTGGTGTATCGTCAAACGCAGAGAGACGAGTCACGTCGATGTTCAACAAGGAAAGAACGTCTTTGACGGCTTGTGAAATCTAAAAGAGCTTTCAGCTTGTTTCACCCCCCGATGTTGCTCACTTTGATGAGGTCCATTGTACTGCAGACGTTGTAGGGTCTGCTGCATATTTATGCAGTTGATCAATGGGTGTTCCGAACCTCTAGAGGAAAGTCAGCTTCGGATGACCATAAGAGCAATGTAATACACCGACCATCGTCGGGAATCGGAATTCTGCCATTCGCGGTAGTGGAATAACTTGAACTCGAACAGTGAGATCTAGAGGGTCGCCGCGTGACGTGACAGATGTGACAATTGCTTGTGCTGAACGTCGACTGTGTCGTTGGTGGCACCCCAACCTGCATGCCAAATGACGAGTTATAACAGGACGCGTAATGCTGAGGTATGCCTAAAACGACATTCGCCGCAATAGACCATCTAATTCTTCACTAGGAGCTGCTCGAGAAGCACGCCTCACACCCACCGTCTTTCGCAGTCCATCTTCATCCGGAGCACTGGATGCTTAATAATGTCTCCAAGTTCTCGTATAGCACTCCAATTTCGGTTTGTATTTGCCACTTGTCAGCGTTCTTCTCGCTCAGCAAATGATAGAGCCTACTAGATGACATCAGAGCTCACCGAATACCAGTGGATTTTCTCGACATATTCGATGCGGCTAGGGTTCCATTCTACGAGGGTGCTCTATTCTGCTTGCTTGCATATTTGTTTCGCTCACGCGGTCTAGGTTGCATGATCGTCGAGCTATTAGACTATCGACAGCAACAGAAGGGCAGCGAATCGCATCCTGATAAACCGGAGCGGACACGTGTGGTGCTCTATCCAAACGGAGAGACGCTGTTTGCGGACATTTACGCTCTAAATCGGAGTCGCGGGGGGAAATGGACTGACCGCGACGCGCTGGAGGTCGAGGCACGCATCTTGGTAGGTTATTTGCATCTCTCATCGCCTTGTTTGACCAAAAATGCAGCTTGCGACGTCACAACCTCTTTGTCTCGTTCCAGATCCTCACCTTTCTCGAGTTGTCAATCACGTTATGAGAGTATCGACTCCAACGGTTCCCAACTCGTTGAAACGCAAAGCATCCGTTATGGATCCAGAAGAAGATGAGGTGGAGAAAGCACGCCGTGCCAAAATTATGCAGTTTATGGCGCCACGACCTGGGCGGACGCATGCTCAAAGGTGTGTCGATAGGGTAAATATAACTGTTCTTCATCATCCTGATCTATGCAGCTATCGAATATTGGAAACTATCCAGCGGTCTCGACAGGCCTCTACTTCAAAGCCGTCAACTCCTGTGGCTCCTACACCACAACCCTCAGACCAACCTGTGCAACCACCGTTAAATGCAAATACCGCAGCATACCCCGCTATTAAAAAATTGAACACAAGCGCCACACCTAAACCTGGATTTCCGAATGGTTCGCCTCATGGTAGTGCAACCCAAACACCTTCACCGAGTCATAAATTTGCGAATTCGCCAGCTGCCGAGGCAAAACGTGCACCTACTCCCCTGCAGCAACAATATACGCCAGCTCCCCAGCCCCCTAATCCACAAACTGCTATCCAACCACCACTACCTCAGCCGTCCCAACCACAACCCCCTGCTCGCCCATCAAACACTCCGCGACCTCCGTCTGTCGCTTCGTTTCAACCAGCGGTGCCTGGACCTCAATTTCTCAGTCAGCCTCCCCCTGCTCGTAATGCGCCAGATGGACAAGCAAAGCCTGTTCATCCCAACGGGGTTGCCCCCACTCCTCCATTCGCAGGTAATCCATATCAGCAGCACGTATATCGTGTCATTCCACAAGTGCCACAACCTCCGCAAGCGACACCGACACAACCCCCAGTTTCTGTGAATGGACGAGCAACGCCACGGCCAGCTAATGCCAGTGCTGCTCAAATTGCCCAAGCCAAAGCTATGGCCCTGGCAGCACGTGCGCGTATGCAGCAGCCAGGAAATGCGCATGGTCAGCAACTCAACTTCGCCTACCATTCACCCCATCTTCGCCCTGCTGGGCTCCCCAACGGCAACGTTACTGCTGCACAAATGCAAGCCGCCCAAGCCGCGATGGCATCAGCCCAAGCCCGGGTTTCTCCATCGCCAGCAAATGGTGTTCGACCACTGCCAGTGGAAGGTGGTCAGCCGATGACGCAACAACAACAGATCATAGCCTACCAGAACATGCTACGTGCAAGCGGCGGTTATCCGGTAATGAACTGGCAGCAAATGGCTAGTCGGCCAGGCATGCCGATGTCAGCCAACAACCAGCAAATGCTCCAAATGCAAATGCAGCAAGCTGTTGGTATGATGTCTGCTGGCCAGATACCGCATCACTCAGTCCCAGTTGGGGGTGCAGTCAAGGGTCCGCCAGGCCATCCAGCTCGATGATATTCTTCCCATTTTATCCAGCATGCATATGTTTATCTAGAGTGTACTTATTATCTTTCCGGACTTTCGGTGCAAATTGTACTTTTAATACACGTGATTCCAGCAGACCAAGACCAACAAAAGTACATCTTGACGAGTCCAAACAATGTTGGTCAGTTATATAGCCTCCTAGTCCTACCGTCGGGCAGAGCTTGATCTTCTTATTCAGTGCGCCTTTCTCTGGAACGGAGCCGAGGACCCGACGGTGTTAAACCTACGTCGGTTAGTAAGAAGGCGAGTGAAAATTCATGACGCGTTTCATAACAGAAACCGCGACAACATCATCGATTTATCCAATCGCAAACCGACATCGGCCATCCATCGACTCCACACGAAAGAATTGGTGCCCGAAACTCGTCTCATGCAGGCTGGCATCATTTTCGACAAAATCAGCCCATATGCATGAGATTCGAGAGAGAGAGAGAGAGAGAGCAACAAAACGAAGCGTTTCTGGGCTTCCCTGCCAGAAAAAAAAAACCACCAGACACAACAGTGTCTATCATCTACCAGACACCGGCTCGTCGTCCTCACTTTCAGCTTCGGGCGAGTCATGGTCCCGATCATCCGTCTCGCGCTGGGTGGCAGTCCGAGAAGTAGGCTTTTTCATGCCTGTGGTTGCCGATTTCGCAGAACCACCACGGGCATCCTCGCGTATGCGCTTCTTGACCTACGGAAAATATCAAAGGAGAAGTGATTGCATCGTGTTCAAGACCGAACCCACCATCTTCGCGTAAACGAGACCACAAGCATTACACAACGTCCGCGGACCTGGTAACGCGCGATAAATAAAGGCCTTGCACTTTTCACCCTTAGCTCTCACCTAATGGGCCCCGACGCCATTCAGGCGTTGCTGTTACTCCACAACCCAGACATGTTTGCGTTCCACCCGCATGCCGCGGTTTGGTTGACCCGCTAGCATCACCGCCCGGTGAGTCTTCATGCACCTGGAGATTCGTCAGCTGAACATAGACACAGACAAAGAAGCTCGATCGATGCTTACCTTGGGTTTAGAAGGCGAGGTTGGCGCCGGGACGCTGATATCATTTACACTGGCAGAAGCAATTGGCGGCGGCCTCCTAGCTCCGCTCTGCGGCGACGACTTGTTAACCTTGCTGGTGGTACCTTCATTTGGAGAACTTGCATTTGGTCCTTTTGTTTGAATGTGGTTCGGTCGGGCTGGCTGCGCGGGGGAGCGCTGGGGAGGTGAGTGTTGTTGTTGCTGGTAAGAACCCGAATGTGGCTGCTGATCGTCTGAAGCAGAAGAAGTGGTGGAATTGGAATGGATGCGCTGCAAGTAACCGTGAGGCGTTGTGTGTTGCGTTTGCTGCTGCGCAACTGGCGACATCCGTGCAATCGGAAATGGCAATGTACTTTGACTGTTGAATGGACGGGTGGAATTACCACCACTGGCGTTGGCGTCATCTAGCGTCCGGGCAGCATTGAATGCATCGTCCATCATACGGTTGAGAGTCGTGGTCACGGTGTCGCTCTGTCGTCGAGATGCGTCTTCACCCAAGGCAAGCTTGGTCTCCTCCATAATCATATGGTACGAGTTCATCAACTTGAAAAAAAAGGCTAAGAATACACGAGAATCCGATGGAATGGCAGAAAAGCACCTTGCGGAAGTCAATCTGGGCGGAGAAAGAGCTGGCAGAAGCTGGTGCAGGGATTGGCGGAGTGGTGGAATAGGCAGAAACCGGTGAATACGCAACAGGAGACTGAGAATACGAATGGATGGGATTATATGTCGAAGGACCTGGTTCTGGCTCAGGCATCAGTGTTGGGGCTGTTGAGATAGGTGTTGAATCGCGTCGCCGTTTCAGCAAATTATCGTTCTGAGATGGCTGGTGTGGCTGTTGTTGCGGCATTTGTGGAGGAGGGCTTGGTTGGGAAGAATAAGAATGCGAGTGCGAGTGCGAGTGCTGATGGCGGGGCAATGATTTGGGAGGTGGGGGAGGTAGATGGTGCATGGGAGGTGGTCGCGAAACGACTCGACTCGGCATCTGGTAGCTTGGGCTGGCCAATTGGTTTGATTGGCTGTTCCGACGAGGAGACAAAGCTCTCGGCAGGGGATATGTTCTTTGAGAATGCGACGCGGGATCAGAGCGAGGTTGGGGTGGTGGTGGTGAATAAACAACATTCGGGGTATTGCTTTCCGGCGGCGGCGGCGGCGGTGGTGGTGGTGGTGAGTACTGTGATTGAGAGGTAGAGCTCGATGGATGGCTCCAAGTCCTATGTGGCTGGGGAGGAAGGCGTGGCTGCTCGTCATTAGATGCCGACCGTGTACCGGTACTATACGTTGTCTGTTGCCTCGTTTCTGTTGGAGGTGGATATGTCCAGTTGTTGTGTGACCAATGTTGCTGAGAGGTCTGGGCTGGCGGCGTTGTCGATGAGGAGCTCGCATACGGATAAGTTTGTTGTTGTTGTTGTTGTTGGCGTTGTTGCTGAGCAGGAGTATAAGAGCTGGGTGGATGATGAGCATATTGATTTGCCTGTAATGGCGAGTGGGGATGTGACTGCGATGAGGAGCCAGAGTTGGAGCGGATAGGTCGTTGAGGTTGTGTCTCGTAGTTCGACGGAGACTGGCTGGGGTTTCCGTACGCCGGGTAGTTATAATACGGGTAGCGGCCGTCAGAAGACATGCTCGTCGTGGTCCGAGTTGGGACTTGGGTTTCGTGGATAAGCGTTCTAAGAGGAGAAAATCGATGCGAAACCAGTGATTGGCACCACTCGTGCTGGGTGAGCGACTATATGTGAGTGTGTCACCGAGATGACCACGAGAATGGTCTCGAGGCAAGACGATGTAGAGGTGGGTAAAATCACGACAGATAGACGGACTCGAGGACTGAAGCCCCAAATGGAATGGCGCGGTTTGTGTCTTGGTAAAAATTGTTCACGCCTGGAATAAACAAGGGAGGAAATAAATGAGTTATATTGACAAGAAGGAGTCAAAGGTGGCGAGGAGCGCAGACATATTTCATTGGATGGCTAGCTCTTGTCTAGTTTGGTGCTCCTGCAAGCCAGCAATAGAGGAATCACGTACGAAGGATCGAACGATTTGGCACGTCGGGCTCGGACTTGATACCTATTCAATCTCAAGCCATGAGTTGATGCGTTGCCGGGGTAAAAAATAACAGGACGCACTTGAAAGATGCCTCGGTGTGGAAGAGCAATTCAAGGCGGTTATTAGAAACCTACAAAACCGGCGCGAGGCAATGAGAAATGATCCGAGTACAGAGGAAACATGACGGGAGGAGGTGTCGCGTGGTCAGGACGCGTTATCAGCTTTAAGACGGACGTGGCAGCCAAGGATGATACCCCAGGGCTAAATGAGGTGGGTTTCCCGGCGCATGGCGCCCATTGGTTGAGTAAGCAGCTCCATGACGCGCCGGATGGTGGAAAGAAAGTTCAGACTCACCACCAAGGTTGATATCAGAGACGCGCAGGAGCAGACTAGTTCGACATAAATGTTGTGGGGGTAAGAGGCAAAGTGGGGAGGTAAGCAAAGGTTAAAGTAAGGCAAATGTGTGCAGTCGTAAATAGCATGTTTTGCCAGCAACTAAGATGTTGACGGACCTCGACGTAATGCCCGGTACCTAGCGGAGACTCCGCACAAGCTAGTAAGCCAAGGGTGGTTTGGAGAGTCACTTGGAACAGGTTGCTGGTGAAGGTATGATCGGAGAGGCAGTCGTGCCGTCCACGTGAATAGCGAGACAAAATTCATCCTCTGCTACTTGTTACTCTATCTCGCAGGTTCATCGGGGGTCGCTCTGAAAGAAGTATCAGACAAAGAAATACCTCAAGAAGACTATGTATGGCCAGCGAATGGGGAAAATCGGTTGCAGGTTTTCACAGTGCCCGGCACACGGCCCGTGTCTCGACTCTGATAAGATTTTCTCGGGAAACTGTCCTTTCATTCACAACGGCATACTTAGCACCTTGCTTAGCACAATCATTTGCTTCGAACTAGGTGCCTAACAGCCCCAAGCCACTGTTCCAACTCTTTCCCCCATCCTCCGATGCGGCGCATTTTGCGACCCGTTAAGTCACTTCCAACACCAAGTCCCATCTTCGCAAAATTCAAGGTTTCTCGCTTTCGGACCACCGAGTGGTGGGTGATACACCACCAGATAATGCTGTCTCTGGAGAAAAACACTTCGGTGAACCTCTCGTTGCAGCCAGGGCTGCAAGGCTCTCCTAGGCGAAGTAAGCGGCGTAGAGTTCGCAGGATAATACGAGGGAGGTATTGCAGGAGGGGTGGGTCAAGCCCTATATAAACGTCATGATTCGTGAGGAGAGTTCTTCTCTCAAAAAGACGTTAACTTACAGATCCTGTCCGTCGCGTTGGTATCGACTAAATCGCCCAATTTACTAGAATAGTTTCCATCCACTACCCAGCCTTCCGGAGCGGCGTTGAGGGCGTTTTGGACCTTTTCATGGAACTCTGGTCCAGTAGAAGCTTTCCAACCAGGGTTCCAATGAAGCGTGTCGAGAGAGATGAAGGGAACACCAAGGATTTCTGCCAGTTTTCGACCAGTAGTGCTCTAAGTAAAATAGCAGTAACAACCAGACGACATGAAAGCAAGACGGTCAGGACATTCCTTGCCCGCACCTGTGTCGAAAAAAAGACGTTCAAGAACCCCGTAAATCTCTTGGCGAGCTTACCAGAGTTCCCAACAATATGAACTCTGTATTTTCCGTCCGCACCGATGAGTGCTGGGACTGCCAGAGTCATGAGGACAGGAAGGAAGCAACCTTGGAAGCAACTGAATTTGGAGTCAAAGCAGCCGACGGTCCCGATAAACTGATTCATTGATGGCCACGGCGTCTTTTATTCTGTGGACAACCAGACCTTCGACAAACCTCCCGAGCCATCCAAACAACACTTGATGCCTTTGACTGGAAATATGAGCCAAGAAGGGTGTCCTTGTCAATTATTTGGATCGTGACGCAGCATATCAGACCGTATTGGGACCGGGATCGCATGAGCATGGAAACGGCGATGAGGAGGCCAACTTCAATCTAAAGAGCGACGACCTTGACCTTTGCCTTTTCCACCACCAACTCTCTTTTCATCCATATAAAACACTTGCCCTGAACGACGGCATCATCGCTGCAAGTGAGCTGTTACACGTGGTCCATCGTGATCAATTTCCCACACTCAGCAGCTCTCTTCCCTGGACCACGACGACCGCTCCCCAACGTCGTTTGACGCTCCACGCTCAACGCCCGTGACGGACCCAAAATTACAAGATGACACGCTTCGGGGACTTTGATGTCCTATGTCGCGATACCCCATCATACACTTGGTGTAACCTCTTCTATCGCCAAGTTCGTGGTTATCATTTCTACTGCTTTCTTTGACTAACTCAAGAATCCCTTTTCCTTCCGTTCAGGTACTCAAGAAAGCTTCGGATATCCTCACAGATGCGTCCCTTCCAACCGCCTCGGCAGGTCTGGGCGTAAATCCAACGTGCTCCATTCCTCGAATGGGTCACGATGGTTCACTAGGGAACATTGCCAACATCGTCGTCTGTGCACTAAGTCTGCTGTTTACGGGCGTGCTCATATGGGCTACAAATAGGCGGAAAGCTGCTGTCGGTGAGTTGTCCTTCATTGTTTTCCCATGAGCGTCGTTGGTTTTCTTCACACTGCATGGGGCCATCCAGTCTTGATGTCCCCAAACTTTGCTTTGCCACGCTTTCCCTGCTGCTCGTCTGTTGATCACCCATCTTCCAGGACGGATAGAGCTCCGGACATTCCTTCTGTTATATTTCATCACACTACCATTACAACTTATCACCACTGGTACGCAAACCATCTGTCATCGAATCTACAAGCCTCATCATCATCATCAGGCTCTTTCCTCGAGCAGGGCTCAACATCATTAGTTGCCCTCACCGCTGTACATGCAGGGTTTGTAGCAGCTCTATTTTGGGCTCTATTAGCAAACGCCCTCGTCGCGACGCAGGTTGTTGAAGACGGCACACCGAGCAGTTTAATACCCTTTTACTTCTTTGCCGTCTGTTTCTTCGCGGCAACGACCTACATCTCTTTCGATGTAGCTCTCACCATCACCTCTACATTTGGCCCGTCAAACCCTCCATCGGCGCTCCATAGCATCCCGCTATTTGTCTTCACAAGTATATGGCCGGCCGCATCGACCCTCATATACTTTGGCATCATGACTTATATTGTACTGGCGGTCTTGAACGAGGTTCGACCGATGTGGTTTTACATCCTGTCTGCGGCTCTTTTCGTCCTCAGTCAGCTGGCCTATTTTCTGCTGAGCCGAGTTATTTGCAAGGTAAGGTCATGACTTCTTCGCAACCGACAAGGGTGACATCGACTGTAGGGATCATCACAAAAAATTGACGGCTCGTTTGTTGCCACGATTCTTGAGACCGCAGCAGTCGGTGTGCTTTATCTTGCTTGGAAGAGCATCACAGAAGGTGTGTTGTTGCATGCGTTTGCCATGCTCCCGCTTATCTAATCACTTTCCCAATAGAATCGTGGGATGAAGACCCGTATTACGCTTCATGATGATCTCTTATACCCCGGCTTTGCTGAATTGTCTTTTTGGCCTGCGCTTTCTGGACTCAATCTATGCAGTGGCCTCACGAACGCAACAGATGTATTCTTAGTGAATCGAGCTTGTGACGACCTTTGTGATATACGTAATATAATTCCATTTTATTCGACTTAAAGTCCAATTTTTGGGGCTCGTGGCTTGACTGGTGTTGCCTCGACAAGCGTGACGCCTTGGATTCGCTCACGCTCCTTGGCAGCTTCCTCCGCTCGTTTCTTTTGCTGACCTTCTACTTCCTTGCGCTTTTCCTCTGCCCGCTTTGCAGCTTCAGCCGTATCACGGACACTCAACGTCGGTGTGAAACTCCGTTTCATGCTCACTTCCCGTTTCAACACTCTTCTCCGCCCATCGTCAGCTTCGACGCGCTGGCGCTCTCGTTGTTCCTCCTCGGCCAAGGTCACAGAGAGTGATCGTGACCGAGCGCGATCGCTAACGCTCGCTTTTGGGTCTAATGTCGCGACTGTCGAGTTGGTTCGGGAGCGCGACGTGTTCGCTGTTGTCTTGGTCCGTTGGAGCTGTGCAGTCGGGGGTTTGGGCCCAGGAGCATCCCACTCATCTGCATCGTCTGTGTCGGAAAAGGGCGAATGGGGGAATACCTTTTCGCGGAGCAGCGATATTTGATTCGCCAGTATTGTGCCAAATCTCGATTATGTGAGTCAGTATTTCCTCTTCTCGACCAGATGGTATGCAACCGACCTGGGCTCGACAACCTCCACGCAAAAGGTCTGCATCCAATCGCGGTCCTGTGTGTCGTGCCGCTGGCGCAACCCGGTGTCGAGTGTGCCCATAAGTTGCCACATAGACAGCTTGTCCATAAATGCTTCGAGCCGGTCTTCCAATGAGAGTGGGGGCGGTTCGCGTTCACCAATCTTGCGGCGTTTTTTCCGAGGAGATTGCGACATGTCTGGTGGTGGTGATGGGCCAGAGAGAGATAGCTTGAAAAGATGGAGAAGGATCTGAATCTGAACTCTACCGAAAAAATGAGAACATGAACATGAGGCAAATAAGACGCACTCTCTGCGTTCCATCCGATCAAGCCATTTCGTTCGCCAGGTATCATCCAACCATGGCTCCTCCAGATCGTTCTCGCTCTTCTCGTGTGTGACCGCGTACCACATCATACTCTCCTCCTCCTCGCCCTCGCCGCCCCCATTCGCCAGAATATGCGCTAGTTCCACGTGATACTTGCTGTTCACAGTCCGTGTCGTCAACAACAACCGTTCCAGTTTCGAGTGTAGAGGATGGACTATCGACGCGTCTGACTGGCTGTTGGCGCGTTGTAGAGATGGTACGAGTAGTTTAAGGGGCATTATTGACTAGAAGACGATAGTTTGAGAGATATGGGAACTGTAGGATCAGTGTCTACCTCGGGGAGCCACAGAAACTGGAAATATGTCCTCGCGAGATAATCGTCACATGCTTCGTTCTTGGTTTCGAGTGGGTAGTCGCGCGAAATGCCCTTTTCCTGGGAGGCAGACCATGCTAACCGGGGTCCGTCAGAGAGTGTGTGTTGGAGAGGAGTGAACGACATCTGTCACGACGTGACGCCACGCACGACGTGACGCCACGCGTTGGGTATTCAAACAATCACCAAGAAAGTAGCTACACAAGATACAAGCAATTATATCAAGGAACAATGGGATGCATGCTAGCTAGTTATCAAGTTCAGAGCGGTGGAACAAGGCGCGTGAGCTCAAGGTGACCTACGATGTTTGAATTTACAGTTGCCTTGTTCTGAGCTAGAGATTAGTACAAGTTCATAGCACAAGAAGCAACGAACTATGAAAAGGACACTTGGGATGTTTCGTGCACATATGCCCATAACAACAGTCTTGTCCAAAATGGCATTCCTTGCCTACTTAAAAGATGAGTAAGCGTTGACAGTTGAAAAAGCTGACCCTTGTTGAGGAAGGGACATGGTGCCCGTTTGGCGCCGTTGGCAAAATCGTTTAGTTGAGCGGGAGTAAGGATGTAGTCATGCGCATGTGGACAGTGCGAATTGAGACAGCTATTCTTGAGGTAGTATAGAGTACAAGGGGGCGGGTTTTCTGGCGTCTCATTGAGCTGTGAGCCCAACGAAGATAGAAATCGGCCTACGTTTTGACATTGCCTGCCATGGGTCAATAACAATGATCCTCAGTGAGCAAGGGGAACTGACAAGCTTTGGATCCAATTGTCGGGTTATTACAGGCGGAGACGGCAGTTGTGAGGACATAGCAGGCCCCAAACCTACATTGCCGCCTAGCGGCGCCTTTGTCACACTAGGAACATCTTCCGCCAGCTTTTTTGTCAAAAAGAGGCCATCGATCGTGAGAGTAGGCAGCTGAAACATCGCAATCCCACTAGCCATCTCATTGTAACCTTTGAGAAGCATCAACTTCTCCTTATATCCCGCAGTTATCTGCGATTGTAAGTTGGCTATATAGCCGTTGTCGTGGCAGCCTATGAAGAGTGAGGTTAAATTTTGACAGACTTGCATGCCTTACCGCCAAATATGACCTTGAACGTCTGCGACAAGCGAATTTCGTCCTCAAGGTAAACTGCGTCTTGTGAGTATATGGACACATATGCAAAGCAACAATTCCACCCTTCAACTTCGCATCTGCAGCTTCTTTTGTGCTGCCGACGTCGACCATGATAAAACGCTCCGTGGCCTGGTTGAAACCAACAATAAAGTCCTCCAACTTGCCATTTACAGCGACATGACCGGAGCGCCGAAAGGCGTTTAGAAGCCCTTGTCTATTGAAGAAAACGTACACCCAGAGCTGATATGCTCTAGCGCCATAACACTTCGTAAGGGCTTGCATCGTTCCGTCGGATAAGCGCTGAGCGGCCGTGTGCCCACCCTTCTGTCCTTGTGAGATGAGCTGGGTGGAGAAAATGGCGCCATCGCCGTCAATAAGCATGACAACCCGGCTGCCCTAGAGTACCCCTAAACAAAGAGATCGAAGACGTGAAAGAACGGTACCTGGTCATTAGTAATTCGGGCAGCTTCATCTTTTTGTAGTTGAGCATTTAGTGTCTCGGCATTATCCAGCGCAGCCTTGGCGGCCTTCAATTCTGTGTCCACGTCTGCGTAGGCACGCTTGAATGCAGACAACTCTGTCTGCAGCTTCTCGACCATGTCGCTGTAAGCCTTTTCGTTCGCGACGAGATGAGTGACTTCGTCTGTGATCCTTCAGTTGGTGTCGGAAGCAAGCAAAGGATCACAACCTTTGAGGTTTTCTAAGCAGCGCTCTCTGGAGAGAATTAGAATGGGGGCAAATCCCGCCTGGAAAAATCGCCAACATAGGGTGAAGAGAATGGTTTTGTGCCGCAGTTTGAGCTGAAAGCCGTTCCATGTTGAGCTTGGCTAGTTGTAACACGAAGTCGTTAGGGCTGCCAGTCGGTCATAGGGCTAATGGAAAGTCTGGGATAGTAGATAAGAACAAGGAGATGACTGTTGGAGAGAGGGACCGTAACGTTCGTAACGCAACTCAAACTGGAATTTCCGAATCTTCACTGTTAAGAGAAGACATCTAGAGCTCGACAGCTCCACTCAACATCGACTACACATTACGGACACACTGGCAGTACATCTTTATATTGTTTTTGTCGTTCATCTGAGTCGTCATGTGACCGCGGACATATTCTCTTCCCAGTCCCACAATGGAGCCAAAAGCTGTAAACATCGTTGCCATTCGCCATGTTCGCTCGAGAACCACCTTTTGTCGCCCAAGATCCCTTCACGAGGCCCATTCCATGGCCATTCACCTGGAAACATAGACGAAAGGCAGAGCCGACGGACATCCGAGTCGAACACCGTCCCACGAATGTTGAATCGGTTTCTCAGCACTTTGCACCAGATGGATTCTGGGAAAAGAGAAGGGTTGCTGTTGCACGATTGAAGCGCGCTGCTTCTCTCCCGCGAATGAAAGACGGACGACGGCTACCTTTTTATCATCGAGCGCCAGTGGCAGAAGAAGAAGGGGCGGAGGCTGAAGAGTCCAAGGAGCAATATCTTCCAGCTGAATCAAGTTGGGTCGTCTCTTACGCCGTCCAACCACCTGCTGGCTATGTTGAATCCCACCAGGTTCCAAACGGTGTGTGGTTCATCAACTACCCCAAAGTATCGACGCCAGTCCCTTCTAATGTTCGTTGGTCAGATAACATAGGCTTTATTCCAAGCCAAGCTTTCGAGAATCAGCGGCCAACAACAGGGAAATGGCCGTCGCTGGAGCAGGGTCAGGTACATGGTGCGAGGTTTTCTACAATTTTGCTTGGGATCTTACACACTGAATTTAGCAGAGTTGTTTGCAAGGCATTTAGCAGACGGAGTAGAAGCAGAAGCCAATGCACCGTCAAAACTCCACGAAAATGTTACTTCCGCTTCACATGCAATTGATGACACTGAAAACAATGCATCCACCCAACTCGCGACGGCGATCATGCGTTCCTCGACTCCAGATACTCCACCACAATCGCAAGCGCGAGGAAACTCACTTCCCTCACTACAAGACCTACAACATGGGCTTTTCAAGTCAAATATCGCTAGTGGTAGCACCTCGGCCAGCCGCACGATGGCCATGCACCAGCTTACTGGCGGTCCAGAGGCCCATGATCCATCTGTGCCACATGGTAATCTCAGGCTAGGGCGAAACCGAACCGTTTCGGGAGAGGAAAGAACGACTGCGCGGGAATTGATGCTTAACCGCCTTGGAGGACGAATAACGCGTGAATCGGTGGCAGAATACAAACAAGTCTCAGTTCCAAATCCCGGGTCACGTAAAAGACGATCACACGCGGGAGTTGGCGCTAATGTGTCGGCATTAAATGTGAATGAGCAGGAAGAACCACTTCATGATGCAATGGCTTCCAACTCAGACGACGACGACGACGACGACGACGACGAAATAGTTTTATTCCGCTCCGACACACCACCAACACAACCGCCACGCATGCTATCGCTCATCCGCGAAGACTCTAGATCGTCAACATCCAGCACAGTCTCTACGAGTCAGCAGATATTCTCAGCATCCACTTGCTGGACTCACAGTCATTTAGGTTCAGCTTCAATCTCATCTGTCGAAAAAGACCGAGCATTTACTGCCTCGGACTCCTTGTTCGAGATTACCGTCATTCCTCCCAGTCCCATCGGCTCATCTGATTGGGTATCTTCGGGGTCAAGCATCGCAAGCCCTCCAACATACAATGGGTCAAGTTATGGTCTTGGGGACGCTAATCCCCAAACGCAGCCTGGTCCTGCTCATGTAATCCAACCACCGCATCGGCTGACCCCACTTCGACGACGCACATCTCTCCCACTTCCTGTGACACAGCGTCCTCCCAAGCATAACATCCACACGTTGCAAAATGTTGTCTTTTTCGCCGCATTTGTTTTCTTCGACTTTGTCCCTCGTCACGCATATATGCACTTCCTTCTCCGTATACCTGCACTCTATTTCTCACGAGTTGCCCGTATCTTTGAAGATGCACAACTGACGCTACCAGATATCAAACGGATGGCGCGAGCGAAGGCTGCCCAGTGGCACATGGACACGGCTACTGCGCATGGTGATATGGTTGTCCCAAGGACCACTACAGAATCAGACGACACCCCACTACCACGAAGTCTCCTTTTGTTTAGAGCTTCATGGGAAGGTTTTATCGACACCCTGGTTCGGGAATGGAAGACTTTCAATGTGATCAGTGTGCTGCTCATGTCGTACGTCAAATTAATCCAACTCTATCTCATCTTGACTTTCCAAGAGCAATCTTGACTCTGCTTCAAATTGACGGAAGCTCCCATCCAATAACACGGACGACGGCATTGTTCTCGTTGATCTGTGCACTGATGAGCTTGCTCTATGGTTGTATGTTCATCATTCGCTTTGGCACAATGCGAAAGATGCACAAAGCCAGTGGGCTAGCACAGGTGGGTTCCAAGTCAAGTAACTCGTTGTTGCATTGACAATCCCAGGAAGCCCAGAATGGTAAAGCAAATATTTGGTGGAATATTTGGGTCCTTCTTGCAATGGTACGAACTGATATAGTCCCTCTGGTTTCTGTTCTCACATCAGCCAGCCTGCCATCTGGCTCTCTTGGTAAGCCATGCTGGAGTAATCCCGCTACTCGACTCAGATTTGATAATAGGTCCATCATAACATTCCTGGCCTCAATCATGTCGTTTGTCTGGCTCGCAGGAAGTTCCGCAGACACTATCGTCCTACTCTCCCCTCGCGCAGCCCTCGGTCCACGTATTGGCCTCTCCTTCGTTTTTGCCCTCGGTCTGTTGTACTTCTGCATGATTGTGCGGGAGTTTCACAAGTTTGGAGACCCGTTGGATCGTGAATGGACCCGCGTCGTAAATGAATGGGCCGCAGAGCCAGCGAAAGAGGGCATGAGTGACAAAAGAGAACTGTCTACCAATAGCGATCAACCTCAAAGTATTCGACGACATCTCGGACAGCACTCAGAGCAGGTGGTGAATAAAACAACTGTCCATCTTCAAAAACCTTTCAATCGAAGCGTTCCTACACAAGTCATGCCAGAAACCTCAAGCTACGTCAAGGAAAGCTCTCTTTCAAATGCTGCCATTCCACATGGGTCGCCGTTGTTGACGGACACAATGGCGGATTCGGCTAGCGACGCAAAGTGGTCACAGTCTCCCGTCAAACAGGAGGAGTGGGACCGCTTTCGATTGGTGAGCATCAAACTTTGTTCTAGCTTTTCAGGTTCTAATAGTCAACGTGTAGGACATTTCCTCCGCATCGAGCCAGTATCGAGGAGTCATCCAAGTTTCCGCCCGTCCTCAGATCAGTTATTCGAAGCAGGAGAGTAGGCCAAGTGAAACCAATCCGACACGTTTTCAGCCGTTGGCATTATTTGCCGCGTCAGCTTCATCATCAGACACCAACCCTCAAAACCACGCACTTCGAGTGGATCAGGTTCTCGATCTATGGAATGAGCGGTATTTCCATCCAAGAAATTTGGAAGCATTGCTTGACGGCAGTAGCCCTAACTATCATGTCATTTTATACGCAAGGGCAGTAGTAGAACAGTAGTCCAATCAGCAACTACATGTCACATGATCGCGACTGTCACGGCGTCACTTGTCAATGACACAGTCAGAGCTTCAAGTTACTTTACCCTCTGAACTGATCGAGACCATCCTCGACGAGCTCCGTGACGACCATACAACTCTCAAGTCATGCTCTATCGCTGCCAGCGCACTTTGTACTCCCTCTCAACGCCACCTTTTCCGTTCCATTTGGGTTCATCGAGCGAACTGGCAATACTACACTGTGGGGCAGCAAGCACTCCATCGTGGTGTTTCCACTCCCTCTGGCACTATCCGGCAGGCAGCGGCGGTATTATCTGACTCGCCACATCTGGCCCTCTATGTCAAAGACCTGACCATCGATTTGCCCGATTCAGCTAACGAAGACGCACCACTGGCGCGCATTTTGAAGGCTGTTGGGGCGAATCTGGGGAGATTTGTGATCTCGGGACTGGTGGTGAGGTGGAGTGACCTCTCACCATCGTTGGCGTCGGCGTTGGTGGACACGCTGGCAAGTCAAAATTTGTGCAGTCTGCATTTACTCAGCGTGCGCGGCTTGCCCCTCGAGTCATTACGCAGGGCCATCAAAACCATCGCAGCACTGTCAATACATGCATCGACGTTTTCTTCTGAGTCCCCGAATACATCAGACAACAAAGAACCACACCAACGATCTCTATCTCCCATTACTCACCTCATTCTAACGACAGGGCTTCTAGAAATGTACGATATCATACTCTCACCCAACGGCCCTGTTCTTGCAAACATATCGAAACTATTTTTGCGGGTGGACCCTACAGTGGGTCTCAATGCAGATCGGCTGCTCAAAGTAGTGGCAGGAACACTGCAAGAACTCACGCTCGATTGTGGTGGTGGATCTTCTTTGCCTTGCACTGTTACTCTCACTGACAAATTCAATCAGAATCTGCGCAACCAGTCTACCTCCCAGACCTCCCTCACCTACGTGCCCTAACACTGCGTCTCTTTCGCGGCATTGCTCGCCGTCTCCCGATGGGTCTGATTGACACTCTGTCAGACCTCCCCTCAGTTGACTTGACGCTTATTTTCGTCCTCGAGACGCGGATTACGGAGCCCCCCTGGGACTCTGAACAAGTCGTTATCCCGTCTCCCACTTTTGATCTCGGCAAAGCGCATTTCCGCGCTCTTTTCCTCTCAGGCTCTGAGGCTATCGGACGAGGTCGGGCGACCAGGTCTCGGTGGAAGGATTTAGCTTTCGAACAGTTTCGCAAGGCAATGTTGCTCGCATTTGGACACTACACTACCGACCAAGGGTTGGATGTGGAAAGGATTGAAGAAGGGCCATATGTGACGAGACTGCCTTGAAATTTTGTATGATAGCTACATTCCGTCCAACCAACTTTCACTTGAGATGAACCAAATCCCCCCACTGCCAATACTGAAAATACCATTATTAACTCCAACCGTCCTTCAACTGTGCTTCAAATGCTACGCCCCATGCATCGACTTCTTGAGAGCTACTGCTTTTTCAACCTTGTCATACTATGTGGGAAAATATTCGAGCCTTTACCAACATCTTTGTTTGAAGTTGCCGTTTGCATGTGCTTATTTACACTCTTTCTCTCATCTCAAAAAGGTTTCCAGCTTAGCCAAAACAAGACCTAGTGGCACCACTGCGGCACCGCCTATTGTCTGAGACTTGCCGCTTGTACTTTTGGTCTCGTATTTGTGGCTTGCAGATAAGCCGTTGCTAGATTCCTCAGGGGGATTGTTTCGTGTTAACTGGTTTATGAGGGTCTGGGCTGTTGGTACACCGAGGAATCAAGTATGAGCCCCTTTGGCCCAGTGGTAAGGCGTGTCACTCGTATATCGGAGATGACAAGATCAGTTGTTCGAATCAGCTAAGGGGCATTCTTTTGCCTGTTTCGTGTCTGTTAGTCCCCTACACAAACAGGAAACCGCTTTTTAGGATTTGTACTTCGAGTGCTGTCATCATCATCGAGCACTTGGTTTGTTTGAAAATTTGATTGACTTTTATTGAACATTTCTCTCTACGTCCTGCTTCCTCCAGCATCTACTGCCAAAGCAACACCTCTATTGTCGAACGGTCATCCCGCTATGTGACCTATAAATGCCCGGAATAGGTAGATGTAGACACATCGGAAGTTGGTGTTTCTTGACTTCGTTTCCACGAGAGCTCAGTCTGTGTCAATTTGATACGGACAACTTTCGTAAAGAAGGAAGGCGGTATCGTGTTGTTCTCGTCGCCTGTGGTTAGAACGTGATGGCCGTCAGGGGTCGGAAACAGTTGAACACCAGCTGCCAGTAGCTTTTCGACATCGAGAAAGATACAGACAGGAAAGTGGGCACCTCGGCCTACACAATTATGTCGGCTTACGAAGGGGAGAAGGGAAAACAGCAGACCATAGATAAAATTTTCTTGGGGACCAACTCGGAGGAGATGAATGAACTGGTCATCGGCTTGAGGAATCCCATGTTGAGCTGTGACCGGTCAGCAAGAAGAGCCCAGGGTAATGAGGACTTGACCTGCTAAATTACCAGTTCCATGGTCAACGGCAAATACGGCCAAAGGCAGCTCTTGGGTTGTATTGATCCTTTTCATGGAGGTATCTACCGACTGAAGTGTTTGATGAAAAGCATCTGGTGTAAAATAAAGTCCTACCTTGTTCGCGTGGTGTCGTTTGGCTCGAATCCACCAAGTTGGGCCACCAATACGAACGTCATAGTCTTCCACAACGCTCAAGTACTTGTGTATTCGTGTTGTGACGAGATATTCGAGGTATTCATCCAGCTCTTCAGGATCCAGACGGAGGGCGCTTGAGCAATTTTTCTGTGCAGGTCGGGTTGGTCGGCGCTAGACTTTGTCTCGTCGCAACATACCACCTCATTGACCCTGATATAACCATCCGGACGAATAGACAGCCTATTGGAAGCCGCTCCATGGCGCAGCAGCCAGGTGAGGTGTTTAGATAAGAAGGATTCCGCTGCAGTAGTTGAGAAACATCGACGAACTGTTTGAGAGAACATATTGGTGCATGTCAAAAAGGATTAGTCACGCAGCCTTCGACGTGGCGAACAATCCATAGGTCACTTCCTACCATGTCCCACTCACATACCCATGCTCCTGGCGAGACCCACTCTCATTCCCATGGACCACCTCAGCAACCACCCCAACCGACCGTGGACCCTAAACTCCAGGCTCTAATTGATGCCGACTTTCAGCCTGTCGCTTTGAATCTACAGGATAGTGTACTGGCTCTTTGTGGCTCTCATTCACTCGAGAAATGCACCGAATGTGGGGTCGACTACGTGAATCTGAACCGAATGTCTCGTTTGCTCGCCCAGAATCCGACAGTCCCATTCCCTCCACCGCCGCAGATGGTCACTAAAAACCTTTCGACTATGGTGACCAGCACAAAGGACGAAGGAAATGTGTGTATGACTTACTCCCAAGTAGCATATATCTCATTTCTGCCCAGGCCTTCTTCAAAACTGGCAAATACGTTGATGCCATTCGCAAATACACCACCGCATCCTCCTATGCCGTTCAACGACCACCCTGGGAGCAGAACGGGCTCATGCGAGAAGAGCTCTCCATCGTCATCTCAAACCGCTCTGTCGCTTTCCTGGAGGCTAAGGACTATATTTCCGCGTTGGCGGATGCGGAGCTCGTGATTCAGTTACGGAGGTCTTGGGGCAAAGGTCATCTCCGGAAAGCCAAGGCATTACAGGCTATGGGCCAGTTGAAGGATGCAGCGGAGGCTTTGAAGTTGGGCCTGGCATTCGATCCTTCGAACGCGGTAAACTGATTCAGCAATTCCCTTCTCTTCATATATTGACTATCTCTACAGGAACTTTTGAGCTTTCTGGCCGAACTTACCACTGCTCAAGAGTCGTAGTTTTTTACTGTACTGTACACTATTATATATTCTCAGATGCACAGAATAGTAACACGATCACGTGTGTCACGACCTCTTGGTTGCTTTCCCGTCAGCCATGACCTCCGTCGCCTCTGTTACCCGCCAGCTCGCCGCCATCGACCTTAATAATGCTCGCTCTCAACCATCGACACACACCAAACAAGCCAGCCAGCCCAACGTTGCCAAACTACTCACCAAATATGCCGCACCCAACCTCCAACAGTCTCAGAGCACATCCAAGCTCCCTTCATCTCGTAGCGACCTATCGAAAGCCATTCTCGACATCGGCAGTTATGACGGCGGTTTGGAGCTTGAGAATGAAAAGCGAGGTGACGTCGTCACCGGAGAGGCGGCGGAGGAGCTAGCCCTCGACTCCAGCCTGGCCAAGTGAGTTCGCATCGCATATCCACCGGTTATCATCGACATTGACCTATGAAAAGGGCATATCCAACACAGGAATGGTCGCTACACTCTTTCGATATTGGCCGGCCATTAGGAAAAGGTGTGTTGTCAGCAGGCAAATTGTTTCCAGTTGAGCTCACGCTTCGGATCCAGGCAAATTTGGGCGCGTTTACATGGTCCGGACAAAATCAGCGCCAAACTATATCCTCGCCCTCAAAACTCTCTACAAGTCGGAACTCATCAAAGACAAAGTCGAGAAACAGACCCGGCGTGAAATCGAAATTCAACAAAACCTGCGCCACCCAAACATTCTTCGTCTTTACGGCTACTTTCACGACGAGAAACGGATATTCTTGATGCTGGAGTTTGCCGGGAAAGGCGAATTGTACAAACAATTAAGCAAGTACGGCAGCTTTTCTGAGAGACGGAGTGCGCGGTATATCGGCCAGATGGCTGACGCCTTGATTTACTTGCATGGGAAGCATGTCATCCACCGCGATATCAAGCCCGAAAATCTACTACTTGGGATCAATGGGGAGCTCAAGATCGGAGACTTTGGTTGGTAAGTTTCTCACACTTTGGGGGGTTGCGTTTTTCTAATCTCCTGGTAGGTCTGTGCACGCTCCAGGGCTTCGCAGAATGACCCTTTGTGGTACCCTCGACTACTTGCCACCGGAGATGATTGAGGGCAAAGAGCACAATGAGAAGGTTCGAACCATTCTCCCGTGTCCTGCTTCGTGGCTCAAATGCTTTGCAGGTGGACTATTGGGCACTTGGTGTCCTTACTTACGAATTCTTGCTCGGCGCACCTCCATTCGAAGATCGCAATAGCGTCAACAGTTAAGATTTCCTAGTCATAAACCGCCAATGCTTACGCCCCTTAGACACGTATCGAAGGATAACAAAAGTTGACCTCAAGTTCCCACCCAACATAACGCCTGACGCAAAAGATTTAATCACCAGAGTTAGCACCACGTCACCAACACTTTCCCCAGTACTAAAATGATCTTCAGCTTCTTCGGTACGATCCTCAACAAAGGCTACCCCTGACCGAAGTCCAAAATCACCCTTGGGTTGTCAAATTCCGCCCCAAAGAGACTTGAGACCGACTTTTCTGTACAGTTGTGACACCTAAATTCATGGATGGAAGATAACGTTCCGCAATACTAAGAAACACAGTAGATCGAGGCCGGTGCGCCATTGCTACCTATCCTAGTTGTAAACGCTACGCCGCCAATATACTCGTTGGTTCCACAGCTGCCCTTGAATTGCTGCACCGCGAAATCACCTCCAAGTTGGTCCGCGCGATTGTCGCCTTGATCAAACCAGACCGTCCGACCGTTGGTTCCAAGCGTTTTGTTGGCATGTGCACACATCACGGTCGACACCTTGGACCCACGTATTGCCCACCCGGAAACGAAATAGTTGGATGGGCATGTGTATTTCGTATAGCCGCTTGCCCAGTCATTGGTCACGTGTCGCTCGTCGAAGACGACCTCCGACGCATGGTCTGCGTTCCAGAGTGAACCAAACCCAACATCAGTGCATAGGCCACGACTCGAGCCACGAGAGAGGCCAATCAGACGGAGATTGTCGGGACATTGCGCTTTCGAAGCACCGTTGTCCCAATCACCCAGGTTCGCACGGGCAAATTGCGACTGAATGAAGTCTCCGTGATCAAGACTAAGTTGTTTCCACTCTGAGACGGAGGCGATTTGCCCAGTGGCGGAGGCCCCATTTGTGAGTTCCTGCCAGCCGGAAGCCCGCCAGTCGTCGCCGTCAAACAACCCTATGCGCTTACCACCACCGGCGAGTTTTTCCCAGTTCATTAATGCCCAGCCATTGCCAGCCCCAGTCGATGCATCGAGGTACCCAACTAGAAGAAATAGTTCATGAGTGCCCCCATGGCTAAACGAGTGTGAAACAAACGAACCCAACGGCCAAAACGCGTAATCAACATCCGTTTGGACGAGGTAGTCGACGAAGTTCTGCCAGAAAGCGTGGTCTAAGTCAAGACTATCCGCACGGCCTTCCATCCCAAATTCACTGATCCAAACAGGGGCAGTATAGTGCATAGATGCAGTCAATGCAACGTATAAGGCCGAGCTTTGGAGGACAGAGAAAAGATCGTTCCGACTGAGATCTCGGTAGCGAGGATCGCTTGTTTCGCCAATGCCTGTTGCTCCGCTGTGGTTAGGGCCGGTGTACGAATAAAAGTGCGCAGAGTAGACAAGCTTGAACTGAGATTAGTTCAGCCGACAGTAAACAACTCAAGGCCAACCTTGTGAGGAACCAGTGTAGTATGCGAGAGTTGAGCAACAGGAATGAGAGTCGGCCGACCGTGCGAAAAGCCATCGACAGGAAGACCAACCCAGTTGATGCCCTCGACGATGATGAGGATATCAGGGTTGGCGGTCAGAATTTGGTCAGAAACACGTTGAGACGCTTGCTGCCAGTCCGCATCCCCGCCACTCCCCCAGTTTGGATCAGTGGTAATGTCCCGGCGGACTTCATTATAGAGGTCTGCACCGACCACCCGTTTGTTGCTCTTGTATCGGTTGACCATGAAGACCCAGTCAGCAGCATAGGTCGCGAAGCTCTGCGACTCGTCCCAGCGCTCATTTCCATCCACTCCACAACACCAAATACTTGTATTGGTGTGGTTGTTGATGATGACAGCTATGCCACGGGCAGTTAGGGTGGTAATAACAGCGTCGTACACTTGCAGACAGGTCATGCCCTTGAATTGCGGGTTCGCTGCAACCCAGTCATCGTTCACAATTGTGTTGTCGTGAATCATGGCGTTGGAGAACTGAAGGCGAATAGTGTTGATTCCAAGCTCGACGAAGGAGTCGATGATCTTGTCAATTGGGACATATTGCAGACCGAGCGGCATGGTATGTCTAGAAGCAAAATGTTGTAGTTTAGACGAAACACACCAGACAAGGACTAACGCATTTTCGCCTGAGTGGTGGTTTGCATCGTCGTTGATGTCTCCAGACCCCTCATAGGTACCACTTGCCCCATGCCAGTTCCCACCACGCAGTTTGAAGCGATTTCTGTTTGCGTCGACAACATAGCGTCCTCGAGTGCTGAGTGGACCGGTCCAAGAGGGTGTATCCCGACGATCCAACCGAGTAGCGCAAACACAGCTGGTCAAGAGACAAAACAAGAGGCCAATCACGCCAAACACGGGTCGCATAACAATTGTCGGCTGGGGGAAACCTCCCCGCAGCTTCACTTTTATGAGAACGGGTTCATATTCAAGAGCACCATGTGTGTTGGCGGCCACAAGACAATGGATTCTCTGCCAGATGGCGGCGAGGGTGATGGTCGTAAACAGGTCAGATGTGAGCAGTCCTATTCTTGGAACAGAACCAAAAATAAAAGTACAAGTGCTGCTTTAGACTAAAAGAGGAAAGTAAGGTACTAGTAAAGAACTTGTCATGGAAGTGCTCTCCAGTGTAAGGACGTATTTCCTAATGAACCTGCAGGCTCAGATGCCGGCGGTGTCGTGAACGAGGCAGGGAACACATATCGTGCATCTGGTCTGACAACCGAGGGTGGTAATCGAGTCGGTTGGATATCAATGACGTCTGGAGAATCCGATCGGGTTGAGAGACTGTCAGAGTGCCTGCGATGCCTCCGAAGATCACGAGTGGTGGTTTCCACTGTTTTCTGTACCCTTACTTCCACGACGGGGGCCTAAAAGACTATAAGTCTTCGTTAATCACGGTGAGAGTTTTACTAACCTGTCTATGCATTTTGATCGGAGGACGATAGCCATAAGGAAACGAAGACATTGGAGTTGTTACCACATGATCATGGTGAGAAGTTAGGGGAGCTCGGTGAGGGAAGAGAGCATAGTATGCGGCAAGATGGTGGGTCGAATCTGTATGTGGCTGGATGGCAATGCCAGGGTCACCGGCATGCATTTCGCGCAGAGACTTTCTCGTGTTTAGAAGAACGAGTAGTGAGTTGGGGTACACTGTCACTCAGATGAGGCCAAATTAAGACAGCAGATAGATGACATACGCTTTCCAAGGACGAAATGCAACGCAAGCGGAATGCCAGTATTGTCAAGGAATAACCACTATTCGCAGGTCAGTCTAAGCGGTGCATTTGAATTGTAAAACTGACCAAGAGTAAGGTAGCCATGGTCGTGAGACTGGCAAGTGCGTTAGTGGAGAGTGCGGCTATGGCATCATCCAATGCACTTACAAAGTGACGAAACCGTTTTCTAGCGTATATAGTGTTAGCTTATTGAGAACACTGTCCATTCTGAAAGGTTGTGAGTATGACATCAAAAGAAGGTGGGGGCCACACGCACACAGACGAGGTCGATATTCTCCGGATTTGACGTAGATAGTAACACAGGCAGAGGGTGATTATAGCATCGGTGGCGGCTGAGAGTGTCAGCCCGGCTGTGAATAGGAAGTGGGGGATTCCGTGTTCAAACGCAACCCAGCGTCTGATCCGCAACATCTCTGCCGTAGCGGCGACTGCGGCACCAACGCGTAGAAAGGCAAATAAAACCTAAAAATCGATGAGCTGCATGTTTTTACCATCAAATGATTGGACTTGCGATTGGTGCAGTTATGAACCAGTTTCCCGCGCTTGCTATATACGGATGAGTGGTGTTCTAAAAGACAAGAACAGGTCCTACAGCGATAGATCTTCGCGGCATAAAATCTTGTTAGGAAACGTTAGCATGGACAATGACTAGTTTACCAAGAACCCACAAGTGTACAACGCAGGTTTGCAAAGCCTGGAGAGAGTATCAGTACGAGGAGGGCCATATCGTATCGGGCTCACAGTTAAAAGGATTGTGAGGGCAATGGACCAAGGAATGATTTGACAGAACGCCATATCACCGAAATGGACAATGAAGTAGTCGATAAAGGACGCAATGATAAAGACGGTTTGGGCGACATCGAGTGTCCTGAAGAGAGAGAGGGAGATCAAAACGCGGTTTGAAAGGGCAGAAACGTTCGCACCAGACGCCCGCAACCAACCCCGTCTTCAGCCTTGACTCGTCGGGGTAGAGTTTGAAGAATATTATACACTGAACTGCCACGATGCCGCTGAGCCTATGTAAGCCAAGTCAGCGCATGTTAATCGGGAATAAAACAGAGCGCACAGAAAAGCCACGCATCCACCAACGAGAATAGGCCCGTATGCCAAAGCAACTGTAGCGGTAGCTGGCATAAATGAAGAGCGAGCACAGTTAAAATTCTGTGGGATGGGATGTCGATCAGCTCCCTTTGCTCGACTGCCAAGAGAAAGGGTATGCGGTCGAAGAGCGAAGGGACAGAATTGTTTCCGTGAATCGACGCGTCTTTAAAGTGGATGAACCTACATATCAGCGACCAGCGTGACTGAATGTAACCGAGACGTGTTAGATTAGTTTTCAGAGCTTCTACGGAGCACTCGACCAGCGGCATATGCCTATATGAGGAAGACCACCACTCTCGACAGTTACGTTGCTAAAACATAGAAGCTGCGTTTGAGGTTGCTTTGGGAGTAGGGCCGTGTGAAGTGGCGTTAGTCGGCTACTGATAAAACAGGTGGTAGTGAGAAGCGTTGACTGGGTGACCAGGACCTGCGATGTGTCAATATATTGGCGAAGTTCATTTTTTGCGGTCAATTCGGACAAAATGGCGGGGCAAAGACGGTCAGTCGCGCCGTCTCGGAACTGAAGGCAGAAATAATCATGTGACTGACTGATGGCATTATCGACTCCTTTCCAGCAACGCGTCCAAAAGTTAGCGACTGTCTTCTCTGTTCGATACTCTTCGCGACGAATCGATCCCAAGGCGAACTTCGACTCATCGCGTCGTCGGGGCCCACAGAAAGAGGGAGACTTCTTCTACCGCGTTACTCGCGAGCTATCTTACCTGCTCAGACATGGCGCACTTCATGAGCGAGTGCCCATTCGTCCAGATGGCTACGTGAATGTGGACACTTTGGTAATGCTCTCCGTTGTCCAACGTTCTAATTCTAAGGCAGGACTGCAGCTCAAACATCCTCCCATGCGTGGTCTGGGATTGAATGAATTACGACGCATTGTAAGCCAGGACAACAAGTCTCGCTACAATCTTCGGAGAGAGATCGTCGACGGAGTCGGTTCATGGTGGATACGTGCGAATCAAGGCCACTCAATGCCGGTCAGACTTGAATGCGCATCCTGTTGCCAACACTCAACTCCGCAGGGCATTACACCGGAGCTGGAGCCCATCATGTCCTCAAAAGACATTCCCATGGCGGTTCACGGCACAACGCTAGCAGCCTGGACACTTATCTGTATGTATTTTACACTGTGGTCTTCAGTCTAATCCAAGACAAGCCCTCAAGCGAAGAGCGGCCTTTCACGAATGACTCGGAATCACATCCACCTTGCGCAGGGCTATGTTGGCTCCGTTATCAGTGGTATGAATTTTTAACCTCAACCTCCAATAGCACTCACTCATATGAAGGAATGCGGAAATCGTCTCAAATTCTCGTGTTCATCGACGTCTCTAAAGCACTTGAAGCTGGAATCCCTTTCTTTCTCTCGAGCAACGGTGTTGTACTCACACCTGGTGACAGCGACGGCTATTTGCAACCCAATTTTTTCTCAAATGTCCGTTACGCCAACCCCACAAAGTTGGCTGACCCAGTCCCTGGTTGGACCGCCCTACCGCGAGCAACCCGAACATCTCCGACCCATTGAGCATTGGAAGAAACATCACCGCCATGATATTAGTTGATTCAACTTGTAGTTGGTATACTTAAAAGCAGTTAGTACAATGTGTTAAGTTGTTTTTGGTAGTCTATCGTGCGGGTATATTGAACTTTTTGCGTTCCTTTTGGTCCCACTGGAATATCGGCAAAGGATGTGCCTCGGTGTTGAGCACCCACTTGTCCAGCGGAATAATTTCTTGCTCGATGAACATGAGGTAGAGATACTTGAGCCTGAAAAGGAAGAATCAGCATTGTGAATACGTGGAAGTTCGGGGATGTTCAGCTCACGTCTCGGCCAAGAAATAACTGCAAGACCCAGTCAATGGACGTTCAAGGATGGACTCTAAAATCACGAACCTGGGCATCTCATCCATATGTTTGGCAGGAACTGCATCGACCTGAGAAACACTTGCATAACCACGCTCCAAGCGCGCATGCTTTTCGATGGCCTGAAAGACCGCCCTGTTAAGCATATAAGTAAGAGCGCTAGCACAGTCATTGTACAAGAGCTGACCATCCACGCTCTCGCCATGCCTCGTCACCCGTTGTTCGCCACAGCAAGTAGAAGCTTTCAATTGCCTGGAAATCACGATTTGAGGCGTTCAATACTGACTAATGACAACTTACCTCAGGCCGCAATAGGTAGGTGGTCTTATCCGCCCTGTAATCCCTGGTCGATGCATCCGATTGGGGTTTGGTTACCCCCAGTCCCGGTGGAACACCCCCAGGCCTTCCAGCAGATTCCCATTCTTGGAGATGAGTGACCCATTTATCATCTGCGGAATCAGAACGCATCATTGTCATCTCGTCGGGGCCCAGTCCAGTAGCTTGATCCGCGTAAGAAAGCCAGCAGGTAGTCGCGATACCCTCGGCCGCCCATTGATGCCGTTCTTTTGTCGATTTCGGGAGATCGAGGGTATGAGCTCCGAGCGTCAACAGACCAGGGAGGAAACACGAGAGGTGCTCAAACTTGTATGTCGGACTCCCACTATTTGTGTCGGTCACGTACAAAAGCTTTCGATTTGGCGTTACGTAGAGAAGCGTATCAATTATCGAGTCCACAACACGAAGGTCTTTTAGATGATTAGTGGTCCGAGATTTAGCAAGCCGACACAAATGCGCACAAAGCTCTTTGGTCTTGGGCTCTGACTGGCCCGTTAGCAGCCATTGCTTGAGGAGATACTCGTGTGCACTGTCAGCGTAGGCACCGACAGAGAAGTGCTCTAGTACAACATATCAGCAATAGACAACCAAGTGAATATGCCTAGTTACGATTGGTCGGTTTGCCGGTATGGGAGTCCCATTGAGTGGGAAATTGGCCCTCGGTAATATCAGCGTGGTACATTAGTTCCATGACTTTTTCTGTCTGATGAGGGTGGTATCTAAAGGAAATTGTGGATATTCAAGGCCTCACACACACCTTTTGGTAATATTTCGCGTTTCCGGTAAGATGCGCTAGATATTTGCTATCATGATAGTGAGATAATCACGGTTTTCGTTCCTTCAACTTCGCTCACAATTCCATCTGGTTGCTGAGCGCTTCAGCCCACAAAACAGAACCAGTCCATCCTCCGCGGGTCGCACCACTGTTCGAGCTTGACATGTGTGCCCTAGAAAGAGAGTTGGACATACGTTGTTGGATTCACGGCAAACATGGGAAGTCCCGACGGTGTGTTGAACGCTGGCAAGAGCACAGAACCAAGCTGGTCTGCCTTCTCAAGGAGTATAGGCTCCCCCGAAAGCGCATAAGCCGATAGCAGTCCCCCCAGATAACGTATAATCGTCTCGAAGAAGCCCACATAGCCATCCGATGCCATGTAGAAGTTTGTCTTGGTTACGACCTTCAAGCCTTCTTCGAACAGGTCGTAAAGGCCCATAATCCACATCGTGTCCAGCGAATCAACCACGGAAACAGACCAGCCATTGAAGCTGGGAAAAGGTATTAGGCCACGCCTGTGAGAACCAGAGATGACACACTTGTTAACCGTTGTGCCCGAAACCGGTCGCAACTCGTCAAAGCCCCACGCATCCCGGTGGTAGGCAGAGTATGCGTGGATATAAGCCTCCTTCACGCTTTGGGCACGCGCAGACAGCACCCCCGAGTCCAACGGGATTTGAGGAGTGGTGAACGGAGGGGAATGTCGTGTATAGTCGGTCAGGAAAGGCGCAAAGAGCCAGATGACGAGTATGAAGCCCAAGAGGAGAGGAAGCCATCGAAGCGCAGGTCTACTATGAAGCAGTCGAAGACTCTGAATGGATAGCAGCCTGGGCTTGGGCGGATTCACGTCCCGGACATGGAAGGGCAGCATCGCGGTCCAACCAAGCCGTGTGCGGTGATTGGGATCAGCGTCGATGGGTTGATGAATTGATCTCGATCGTGATGACGATATGATTGTCTTTCGCACAAGACCAAAGGTATTGAGGGAAACTTCTTCGCATAAGCCGTCTAGCTCAGTTGGTTAGAGCGTCGTGCTAATAACGCGAAGGTCTTGGGTTCGATCCCCACGATGGCCACATACGTTTTGCACACCTTCTAGGCGTTGCAAATTTGACCTATTCTTCTTCAATGACTTCGCTTTGACGTCCTGCATAGGCGCCGCTTTACCCCCGTGGATCCTTTTTCCTGATTTCCCTATTGCACTGCGACGATACAGCATCGGTGCTGACTGGGATTTTTGACCAGCGTTCCTGGTCCTTTTCGTTTTTGCTCGTCTTCCATATGCTATCATGCCAATGGCCAGCGACTCCCCTAAAACCCACAAAGTCGTGTGAATTGGTATCATGTTTTTGTTCCTCCAGAGAATAATAGATACAATAATGGTACAAGAAATTTATCATTAGGGAAATTGCCCATACCAGCGACTGGAAGGCTCTTGCTCTTGTACTGGATGTCGCAATATGTCATCCGCTCTGTCCTCTGGAATATTATTCAGCTGGGCAGTTCGCGCAGCATACGGATCGTAATAGTCCGATTCTTGACTTGACTCCTGCAGCAGATGAGTTGTTGACGGTGAACGTCGCGGAGCTGAGAGTATCGGTGACGGCCGTAATGACGGTCGAGTTATTGGGCTATCAGTCGAAGCAGAGTATCTCGTTACAAGTTGGAGAGGCTGGAGTTAACATTAGTCAGAGTTACCGAGCCCAAGAGATTAAAGGAAACGTGCCTTCAAACCGTTGTGCCCAACCTGCGTCATATCCGAACCAGCTTCAGCGACCAGCGTCGAAGCAGTAATTTGCGATGCGGAGGTCATGGCCCTGTCTAACGCCGGTGCCTCGAACGATTCGTCGTCGTCATCCGGATAGTCTTGGTGCCGGGCTTTGTTTCGTCTGCTGGAATTAGAAGTGGCGGCTGGAGCTGGGGAGTAAATGAGTGGAGTAACACCTGTAGGTGCAGAGTGCGGGTCGAATTGTGATTGGACCATATATCCGCGCTGCAGCCGTATCCAGAGGTATTTGTTTCGGCGAAGCAGAAGCTGGGCCGTTGTTAGTGATTAGGATAAGATTCAGTCTCGCTTACCCAAACAAGTCCCAGTAGCAAAAATACTAAGACTGCAGCAAAGGAGATCGCGACGATAGCCCCGACACTACTAATTATCAAGACATTGATGTTCACAGAATAGAATAGCTGACCTCAGGCTGGGTGAGTGGATCGGAATAGGATCAGAAGGTAATGATGGGCTTCCCGAAGGACCAGCACTTGCCGACGAAGATGAAGTCGTTTTGCTCAGTCTGGATACCCCAAGCACCTCGGCCGAGTGAATTCCGAAAGTTCCCGGGGATTCGCTCTTCAGAGTGATCGTATGGTTCCCTTCCCCAAACCCAGTGGCAAAGTAAAGATGCACTTTGGAATGGGATACGGATCGGGTTGCGTTGAAATACTGTAGTGTGTGGCCTTCTCGTTGGACGCTATATGAAGCGTGACCCGGTCCAACACTCCCAAATATTGAAATTGCATCGCCTGTGATCTGAGATGGACTCGACGATAACCGATGCGGACAGGCACATACCCTGCAGAGGACATCAGTGTTCATTGTAGGTCGAAGAACTACACGAGCATTACCGAAAATGTGTAATTGACTGATGCATCAGGGACGGATGTTGAACTTGCTGAGCGGTTAGATCGAGGTAGGCGTAACAGTTTCTGTTACGCACTGGAGATCAGCTTCCATATTCCAAGTCCCGTGTGGGAAATACACAAATGAAGGGTCAGAACTAGCAACGACAAGTGGCTGAGGACTCGGAGAGCTCGAAGAATCTTGTGGGCCAATATCGCAAGTGATTTCTACCTGGTGAACAGCTGGGTGAGAGACATGAGCATTGACCATCTAATGCCACGCACCGACTCGATATTCAAAGTTACCCAGCCTTTGTTTGTTATTGTCATCGAATGTGCTCCGTGGACTAGCGGTTGGCTGAATATTGGAGTTGTCAACCTGTCCTCTTCACTCCAACCGTTCAGGTCACGGGCCTTTCCATCTAGCGAGACAGTAAACGCTCCGTGGGCCCGATTCCTGGAGCCGACGACTTGAACCCATTTCCCGGGAAATGTTAGGGTTGCTGAATCGTTGGGAACCCCAGTCCACGAGAAGTCTGCGCCCTGGGTACTGGAACAAGTTCAATTAAGATATGAACATATTGACAACCGGTCGCTTACTCCTTTTGCGACCAATCGCCAGTATAGCTGATCAAAGGGCTTGAATGCTTAATCGTGATGTTTGTGGCCACCATGAGTTATGAAAGAGAGTCTAGAATGAACGAAGGTGAAGGCAAAGGTCAAGGACCACCTGGGCCACGAAGGGCGATTTGTGCGGGAATTCAGCAGCAAAGAGTGAGGGACACGGCCACGAAGCAGATGATGCATGACACAAGCTAAATGGCTTGCATTTTTAATATGATGGACAGGCGAGTGGCGTCAACCCGAACCCCAGGTCAAACTTGAAGATGCTTCCTCGGTGATGTGAGGCATGCGTCCACATCATCCATCCAGTCGACGATGTTGAGCTGATTGGGAGCTTTTACTTCGTTCATTTTCACTGACCAAGTGCAGATGACAAGGATCAGACTCAAGAGGCAGTCCCATTATTAGAGGAGAAGGTCCGAGGAATCGATAAAAGGTTAGCCATGCAAGGGTTGATGTCGAAGGCAGAGATGAACAGCCGTCAAAGTGATATATGCAGTGCTGGATAGATTCCCGCCTCTGAGGCTCCAATAATCTTCAACACTTAACAGCCTCAAAGGTGTCCAAGGAATTTCAAGTCAAGCAAAGTATGTGACGACTACGTGACGCGGAAACCTTCACCCCACCAGCCTTTCCCCGCATGCTGCGTGGCAGCACCGCGAGAGGGTCCTACTTACGCGCTGTCTGAGAAAGTACGGGATAAACGTGGCTCACTTACTTCCCGATTCTTTCCGAAATCGGTCATTCGTTTCTGTTTCTACATCCCACCATGACCACCGTCACCCGTCGTTTGTCCTCTCGTCGTGGCTCGACTACTGCTTCAGATCCATATGCCAAGAATGCACATCTAAGCAGAGAGTCTTCCAGCATTCTTACGATTGTTCGTGTCACCAATCCACCACCCGCACCCTCGCCAGGACCGCTTGAAGCCCCACCTTCTTCCCCTCGACGATCGCATAGACGTCTAGGAAGTAATCCAAATGTCCAATCAACAGCTCAGGACTCTTCTCCCCCTCCAGGTCGTGTCAGTTTTGCATTCTCTTCGTTCAACCAAGGCCAGCAACAAGCCAATGGAAATGGTCCTCCGCGCCGCCCAGCCTCTCCCCATCGAGCACCATCTGCCCCATTATTCACGAATACACGCCTTAACCCTGAACAACTCTTGGAAGTGGCGAAGCAGGCAACCAATCCACGCCCTCAACCTTCACCAAACACAGTTCCCGGATCCCATTCACCTGTGCTGACGCCACGTTCTGCCTCACCTCAAAATGTGCAACATTCAACTGTTGCTCCGGCCACCTTCACGCCTTTGCCGTCGGATATTTACCTTCCTTTTCTGGATCGACCTGCAGAAGTTTCGGCTCTCTTAGCTTCCCCACCCTCTGCCAAATTATTTGCCCTCCTTGCACAGACGTTCCCCAAAGCGATCGTCAAGCGCTCAGATGACCAGTTACCTCTAAACACGGCGGAATGGACATTCGAGGACCTTTCGTATTGGTTGACTAAAACCACGCGTGAAGAAGCCTCAGACGCATTTTGGGTCCAGACTGCTCGAACCTGCATTCTATTGCATTCAGAATTGATTTGGGAGCGCATGAGAGGTGCTCTTGGAGTTCCACCGGAGTTGGATATCGACGTCAAGGAAACGGAATACCAAGATGTGTTTGAAGACGATGATGAAAGCGATGATGCAGCCGAAGATGGAGGTAGAAAAGCATTTGGGCATTGGGAGGATTGGGATGCTGTTCTGGATTCTCCTATCTTCGACCGTCACTCGGGAGGCTCATCTCCCAATGCCTCGCGAAGGGCTTCGGCAGCCGCGCCTGCCATCTTCACCCAGGTTCCCACTCCTCACGAGACCGAATATTTCTCTTTATCCCCTAATGACATGGGTCTTAATGACAATGATGTCATTATCGAACCTGTCATCGCGGTCTCCGAACAGTTTTCTGCTAGTGCTAACCCACCACCTATGTCTCTGCCTGCGTCACTTTCTGCAGAGAACAGTGGATTAGGCGATATTGGAGAGGAAGATGAAGACGATGATACCCCCAAAGAGGAGCGTGAACTTGAAGCAGAGCCAGTTCCGGAGTACCCCCAAGTGTTGGGACTTCGGATATCAACACCAGCTGCCCCCCTGCTTCCTAATTCGCCTAGCATTCGTTCGGCAACAACCGGCGCCCACTTACGCTCACCTTCCTTTTCTGCACGCAATACACACTCTCCGGCAGTTGTTCGCTCCAGTTCTTCATCGTCTAGTCATGTGACTGGTCTTTCACGTTCGGGATCAACGGGCAGTCTTTCACATAACCGTAGAGGGTCGTTTGGGAGTGTTCATTCTTTGGGTTCTGACAGAGACGCTCCATATGACCCTGTTGCGGATCGTTCGCCTGGGAATCCAATCTTTCCAAGCAACTTTGCAAGATTAGCGGTCGGACCAACCCTTGCAGCCAAGTAAGTCCTGTCTCCTGGGATTGTGGCCAGAGGGTCTCAAATTTTTGTAGCAATCCATCTCTTCGCTCGCCGGCTCTACCTCCACAGTTCAAACACGGCGCTTCCAGTCGAAGGCGGTCTTCGTCAGCCCGATCCGAAAGAGGTAATAGGTTTCGTCGTATCTTGGGACTTGGAGGAGATGATTATGCGATCACTGTGGCGAGTGGTAGCAGCGCAGGCGGCAGTGTTCGTGACGGAGAGTGAATCAGTAAGAACTGACAAAACCAGTGTACAGTTTAGTATCATCGGACTCGGGGAAAGGGAATTCTTGGGTTTTGTTACATTATGTGTTTTCAGAGCAAAGAACAGTGTAGCTCAGTCAAACTAAAAAGGAAGAATTTTACTCGCTTTCTAGTTCCGCCTCCTGCTCTTGCTCCTCCTCCTCATGTAAGCCCTCCCAGTCTTCTTCCTCATCATCCGACTCTTCGTCTAGTGTGGATTGCTTTCGTTTCCCATTCACAACCGCATCATCTTCACCAATTGCCGCTGTGCCATCCGCGAGCGCAAGACATGTCAACCTCGTTTTATTCGTGTCATAGACGACGACTGGTAGTATTTCGGGGACTTCCTGCCCCGGTGCTGATTGAGCAGGTACAGACGCAAGGTCATACACGTGGATTTTGCCGTCAGAAGAAACAGTGCTGACTATCGTGGTCGAGGATCTTGGAGCGTTTGAAGGGAGTGCGATGGCAAGCGTTTGGACGGCTTTCACACTGAATAACAGGTTGGAATAGCATCTTGTTTTTGACCGAAAGACAAACCGGTTCTCATGCCCAACCATAGCTGCGATAATTCGAGGCGGGTCTTCTGGCTTGGTCGAAGCCATGTCGTATATCGACAGCCTTTTGTCTTCTGCACCAGCAAGAAGAAGCTCACCACCGTCGACGCGGGTGGTGAATAAGACATCTTGGAGGCGTGATGGATGTTGGATGGTATGGAGAAGGGTCATTTCCTTTGGAATGAATGGTCAACACGAGATCGGCAAAACAAGTCAATCATATTCACAGTGTTGTAGACGTCAATTGTTGAGCCTGTTTGCACAACAAAAAGAGTACCATTGGTGGACCATCGAACCAATTCTGCCTCTGTAAAAGATAGTGAGTGACGGGAATACTCATTAGGGCAGATACGCGCCTTTTCCGAGTTTCGTACTGGCGCTGCCCTTTCCTCTCATCAGATCCCACATCCTCAGTGTTCTGTCCTTGCCAACACTTAGGGCGACTTTGCCTGATGGATGAACAGCGACGCTGTTTACGCGTCCCTTGTGGCCACGAAGAGCCCGCAAAACTGCCCAGTCGCGGGCACGAAACAGACATAATGTCCCATCTTCGGATGCCGAAAGCAGATGAGATCGTGAGGGGAAGTTCAAGTGAGTTATAGACCCTGTCGGCAAACGAGTTTCAATTGGCAGCGAAAATATGGTGAAACCGACGTGCCTTCATGATGCATGAGCCCTCCAATCTCTTTCTTGCGGCGCAAGTCCCATACTTTGATAATCTCGTCTGCGCTCCCAGTTGCCAGCCATTTGCCCCCGTGTGGGGAGGCTGCGACAGCCTTTATCGCAGAAACATGGGCTGGGAAGGCAAAGATGGGTTTCAGGTGAAAGCTTAGCCCGGAATCATCGTAGGAGACTGAGCCCTCGAGACCGTAAAGCAGTTTTTCATACGAGCCTGCAACAAGCTTGAATTTCGTTGGAAGTTGCGGCTGCTCTGGCTTGGCTTTTTCTTTTCCTTTGCTCGTCGCTTTGTTTTTTGAGCTGTTTGGAACAGGAGAGCCTTTAACGCGCTTGGCTGAGATTGGTTTTGATAAGGGCTGGACGAGGCGCGCCTTCTTTGCAGGTCGTTCAGGCATAAGTACTCGAAAAAAAAAATTGATGGCGTTGATCGCCGGAATCCGACTTGCTCTCTCCCTCCACATGCGCGCCAATGTGACCTGCTTTACTCGACGCATTTCATCGTGGCGCCAGGCAATTCAGCAAAACAATGCCGCAATAAACGCATTCGTATACGTATCCCCTCCTTCTCCACCCAGACCGGAGAGCAAGCTTCCACTCGATGGCCTTGCGGTAGCGGTGAAGGATATGATTTGCACCAAAGACATGCCCACAACTAGTTCATCTGTTATGCTAAAAGGTTTGTCCATATACCACCCTCTCCCCCCGAGACTTAGCTCGGCAACCAGACTTCACTCCACCGTTTGACGCGACTATAGTCCGTTTGCTACGCGAGGCGGGTGCAGACCTTGTCGGGAAAGTGAACTGCGACGAGTTTGGGATGGGGTGCATATCTTCTCCGACCCTGGTACCAAGTTAACTGATCATAGTTCGTTGAATATCCATTCAGCCCACGGACCAGTCATTAATCCATTTCAAACAAGTAATCCTGTGTCTCGGGAACAACCCGAGCGCCGTTCTGCAGGGGGCAGCTCTGGTGGGAGTGCTGCTGCTGTTGCAGCAGGTATGTGTTACGCGTATGTGATTTGCACCATTTTATCTACTTTTCTCTTAACGAAGCAGTGCATTGTCGACCGATACTGGTGGATCCACACGTTTGCCTGCCTCCTATTGCGGTGTTGTTGGTCTGAAACCGTCTTACGGTCTTCTCAGCAGGAAAGCGTTGTCTTCTCTGTCCGCCAAATGCTAATAAGAGATTTAGATGGGGCGTTATATCCTTCGCAGACAGTCTCGATTGCGTTGGCATTATGGCAAAGACCGTCTCAGCTACGCGTCATATATTCAGTGAATACTTACCCAACGGCAAAATTCGTCAAGACTGAATGACATAGATACGTTGAATGCGTACGACGCTCAAGACCCAACCTCTGTGAATGAAGAATCACGTAGAATTGCGTCCAGGCAAGCCGTTCGCGCATGGTCAGGTTCCTCGTTGTCAGACTTGAAGATCGGCATTCCACAAGAATATTTCCCTCGAGAATTGGCACCACAAGTGTCTGGTCCAGTTCGCGACACAATTGCTGCTCTCAAGTCTCGTGGAGCGACCGTAGTACCAGTATCATTACCTACCACGCCCTATGCCTTGAGCGCATACTATGTTATTTCCAGTGCAGAGGCCAGCAGTAACATGGCGCGCTATGATGGTGTCGAATATGGTTGCTCTTTTTTTTGTTCTCAAGTTTAGGCAGCATGTTGACGGCATCCAGGAATGCGAGTTGCGTCAAAGAACGATGATCATTTCCCCAATACTGCAGCTCGATATGCGGTCACCCGTACGGCAGGCTTTGGCTCGGAAGTCCAAAAACGCATTCTCCTAGGAACCTATGCACTCTCCGCTGAGTCAGTTTCATCACGATCATGGGTTTCGCGGCAGCTTGAACAGTTAAACCAGGGCTTTTGACAACTACTTTCTCCAAGCGCAACGAGTGCGTCAGTTAATCAAAGACGATTTCAACCGTATTTTCCGCATCCCGGATGTCCTTGGTTACTCGGAAACAACTGAGTTGTTGACCAATAACGACGAAGGTGTTGACGTGTTAATCCATCCATCCGCTATGCGGACAGCTCCTCGACTCGATGATATTCCGACAGCTGAGAGTCTGGATGCTTATGTACAAGACGTGTTGACAGTCCCAGCATCGTTGGCAGGTCTTCCTGCCCTCAGTGTTCCTCTCCAGAGAGACTCGGATGAGTGGCCGGTGGGAGTGAGCGTTGTTGGTCAATGGGGAACCGATGAAACTGTCCTTCGGGTTGGCCATTTTATCGAGAGTCTACAATGACGCAGTTCCACAATACATAAGTAGCTACAAGTTCAAGTCGAAATAAAAGGACAGAAAAGCTAAAACCCAGCAAATTCGATACAGACATGATCCCAAAAGTGGAATTGATGACTTCAAAACAACGCTGCTCCTACTTTTTCGAGGAAAGTGACTGGAGGATCTGGTGGCAGTTCAGTCTCTTCGACAGTTGGAATTCCCTGATAGCATGTTAAAAACAGTCACAGGAACAAAAATAACCACACCGTGACAAAATCCATTTCCAAAGGTTTCCATATCCTGGTCCGATATAAAATCTTGTAGCCAAAATACATCGCCGCGAAGATGGGAATATTGATGTCTGCCCAATGGGTTAGGTCGCAATCCCCACAACGCAGCACGGGCTTACAAGCAGTGAAGAAAATGGACGTATTGAACTTGAAGAAAACAGCATAACCATTCATGAGGATGAAGAATACGGTCCACCCCATGCCCCAATAGGCCAAATAAGGCCTAGGTATATGAGAAACGGGGCGGTTACACCAAGAGTATGGAGAAAAGGCTTACTGTAATGCGTTGTTATAGATGTTCTTCTTCAGATCGAAACCTTGCGCAGTCATGCCGCGATCTGGGAATACATTAAGCACGATAGCGAAACTTGATTAGCGAATAGACATGCGGAAGAAAACGAATATGAGGTTAATGGTAAACCACCCAATGAATCCACCAGTTGTGGCGATGTTGACAAACCAATTGAAGACCTGGCGTGAATGAGTGTCAACTTGAGCCCCATAAACAAGAGCGCCCACAGTTTCAGCGCCCATCGAAATGTTCATGAAAGACAGCAGGGCAAAAGCAGACTTTAGAGAGGCCCGTTAGCAATACTCTCAGGAAAGGTGGCAACTCGTCACCGAAGCCAATACGGCAGCGATAGGCAGCCCCTTCTTTGTGGTGTACGAAAGGAATCTAGGTGCTTGACCACGGATCGAGAGACCGTAAAGGACACGGGAGCTGCAGAACAGAGTGCTGCTTGCTGCTGAGAATGCGCTGGTGAAGATCACGGCGTTGACAATATGCGGGAAAGCTTTTGGAGCAAGTAAGATGCGGATATGGCGCAAGAGAGTGACACTACCCCGGACGCCTGCACTACTTAACGCAATGACAAAGGGAGACTGGGCGGCCGTGCCAACTCCTGGTCGACGTTCAATTCCGATGAGCGGGGTAGTTGAGAAAACTTACGAGACAGAAGGGCGGGATTGTCATAGGGAACAAGCATGCCAATGATGAGAATACCGAGCATCTATTTGCGGTAAGCCGTCTGAACAAGACGACGTTTTGGTTTACATAGAATACCACGATCCTGTAGAAGACTCTGCGAACAGCCTTCGCAATGTTGCGACGGGGACTATTGAAGCTCAGTCTCGATTTTTCGGAAATGGGTTTCATGACCTTTCTGTCTCAGAAGCAGCGATACAAACCAGCTCCATCCCTTGGAAAGAGAAGGCAGCCTGAATAACAACACTGAGAATTGCAAGGAATCTGTCTGCCCCCAGGTCGTTCACTAAATGCGCGCGATTAACGGCACCAGGGTTGATCCAAAACTGGGAAAAGATGGAGGGGTGCAGAAACTGAAAGAAAACAAAGAGAAACCTTGAATCCGATACGTTCATGGCTAGGCCCCCCACCAAGATCGAGAATAAGACCAGCGAAAAGGATGATGATAATGATCAAAACTTGTCCAATGGGATGAGATGAGGACCTGAAGTAGCCACGATGACCTACGCTTAGTAACGGAAAAGAAGAATTCCGCTGGTAGAGCAGATGAGCAGAACTCAGTAGCGCCGTAGTTCTGGGACTAACATTCTCCAAAGTAGCTGAAACGAGCATCATAGGAACGTCTGAGGATGACATCAAGGGAGGTGCACTCACCGAACACCAAAGATGTTGATGGCGCAAACCAGGATGACTATAAGCTAGTTGCAGTGGATTGAACATCTCCCAGCGCAGCCAGTTTACAAAGCGCACCGCAGTGTAGATGGCTGCATGGTTTACCTAATGGACGTAGAGTAAGGAACCCACAATTCTGAACATAAAGAAGAAGCCGCACATCCTTGTCCCAGAATGTCAAAAGAATCACAGCTGCGTTGATCTCGACTGGTACGGATGTCCTGTGGGCGATATGAGAAGCCTCGAATCAAAGGAGGGGCAGAGGAGTACGCGTTGGAGTAAAAATAATTCTGGTTTGGAGTTGATTGTTCAACGGTGATTACCCTGAAAAGATCGACGCACCCATCCGATCGCGAAACCTAACGCAGGGTCGACCCATCTCGCCGCTAGCCAACACGAATCAGAGATGGCGGCTGGAGACAGTCGTTGTACCATAATGGGGGAAAGTACCCGATATCGGCTGTCAGTAATTAGTTCAGGCATGATTGTTATGCTGAACGCCTACAGCCCAAGTAGTCATCTCCCCAATGCAGCAAAGCGAGCTGGATGGGAAGAAGTATCAGTATCTGTAGACTCATACGACAGTCATTGACGGACGAATAAGCAACCGACGCGACGAGAGTGTAAGCTACCAAGGCTCCGAGAGGACCTGCCACTCTGAGCGCATCACCAGAGCCGAGAAACAGGCCTGGATATGCATAAGGAAGACTGCACAAATGAAGTTGGTGAAGGCTTGCCAGTTCCGATTGTACCAGCGATCTTAAGCGTGTTAGCGGCAACATAGTAAATATTCGGGAGAAAGTACAGCAATCCTGATAGAATATGAGCAGGGAGCCTGAGGAAATGTGGACAATACGCACATCTGAACATGTCGCTGCTTTAGACGACGCTGGAGTTGGTCGACGTCATGGTAGTCCCAATCGTATCTGTCTTCGCTTGCAACTTTGTCCACGATTTCCTGAGAGGACTTGCTGGCCCGCCATTTCTTGTCCATGTCAGAAAGAAGAAGAAGAAGAAAAGGAAGGGAGAAAAGAGGAAAAAGTCAAGGCGCCACGGAAGTAGAAAGAGAGGGACGGTGCGAATTCATTCCAGGTCGACAGCATATCTTGTTAGTGATACAGGTAAGAATGCGTTGTGATCAAGCTTTGATCTCGCCAAGCCTGCGACGTTTGACTCCGAATTCGGCGCTGAGTAGCTTCTGCGCACTTGAGACGTTAAAACTTTTTGTGCCTGCACAAAAAAGCAGAGGGACTGAAGCCATGGCTTCTCAACTGAAACACTGAAAATATAGGTATGCAAGCGGACTATATTTCGTTGCCAGCGACAATGCCTGTCGCGGCAATTGAACAGAGTTTCTTGTCACGTGTCCATCTATTACGTCGTTGTTCTTGGTCATTGACCATGACCTCGCGCCTTAAAAAGCGACTCGATAATCTCGGTGTGGATGCCCACAGTGCTCGAGCCAACGAGAACTTTTGCTTGGTACTGCTTCATACTCTTCTGGTTTCTCTTTTAATTTGCCACATTCAGATTGGGACACCACTACCTCCCCTCGAAAAGTCCAAGGACACTGGTGAATTTGTTCCACTATGGAAACAAGAGGGACCTTGCTCACTGCTTCAAGAAACGATATGACTAACTCAGGATTTAGGTACGCGACGAAAAAGGTCGACGAAGGTTACACGGCGCCTTTACTGGAGGTTTCTCGGCAGGCTACTTCAACACGGTTGGGTCGAAAGAGGGTGAGTAATTTTTGGTTAGGTTTCCCCCCGTATTGAACATTTTCAGGATGGACACCTTCTACATTCGTTTCTTCTCGAGGAGACCGATCGAAAAAGAAGACTGCTCGGCCTGAAGATTTCATGGACGAGGAAGACTTGCAAGACTTGAGAGAAAGTCGGAACCTTGTCGATACAACGGAGGAAATGGATCTTACGAAGGCGACGAGTTTAGGGCAAGGTGACGATGAACAAGAGTGGGTGTTTTCCTTCATTCTTGTCGAATCAGTGATGCTCAATATCATTGCGGCAGCTCTGTGGCTCGTGCTTTAGAGGCATCAATGCTCCCTACTGCCAAAGATTCTGCAGGCGCACGCATTCTGAAGAAAATGGGTTGGCGGATTGGACAGGGAATTGGTCCTCGAGTCACGTTGCGCCAAAGAAAGCTCCAAGATCTTGTTGCCTCCGGTCGTCGATTTACTGAAGCCGACCTCGTTATTCAGGAAGAAGAAGAAGAAGCCCAGAAACATACCTACGCCCCGCGAGATATCTCTGTGTTGGCAATGGAAAGGAAAGACAACACACATGGCTTGGGTTATCGTCCAGGCATGAGCCTGAACGAGGGGAACGCGAATGCTCCCGTGGCCGGGCCAAAGCTTGCTGGTATATGTCGTCTCTAATGTCATTCTTTTGACCGCTATAACTCATTGGTAGGCGGATTCGGTCTGGGTGCTCTGAATGATGCGGACGAAGACGACCTTGATGTCTACGAGCCTGGCAGCACCGCTCAGAATCGTAATCGAACTGCTTACGACATCATTGATCGCGAGGAGGAAGAGAAGATTTCGATAGGCTCGAAAGCTGATCGTGCTGCGAGTTCCCGAGTTGGACCGGCGCCTCCATCCCATGCTTTTCAAGACGGCAGAGCAGTGCTTCCTGGGTTCGTGCTGGCAAGCAGCCCAGTATCTGAGGATCGATGGTTTGTGACATTTGTTTTTGCAGCCCGTTTTATTCAATATGATTTAGGTTTCCGCCACCTGAAGTGCCGCAAGGGTGGAAGGCAGACCCCAGGCGAGTATGGAATAATGAAAGTCTGGAGAAGCAGCCAGAAGTCCCTCCACAATCAAGTTCGGGTAGAAACAAATTTTCTGCTGATCAAGTGAGTCCAATATGCCATCGATCGAGCTAAATTCAAGCCCTGCATAGCGTGGTTCGATGTTGGGAGAAACGCCGTTACCATCAGCACCGCGATCGGTTTTCGAGTACATGTCGCAGAAAGACCGCGAGAGAATTCAAAACATATCTTCGAATGCTGAGCTACCATCATTATCACAAGAACCTGGCCCTCCTCCCCCTCCAACAGCCATACGAATACCCCGGACTGAACCTCACATCGCATTGGCCGCACTGAATGGTGGTTTCGTTCCTTTCGCAACGAATCCTGCAAAACAAGCGCGCTATACCGCTTATCTCCAGTCACAAACCGATTCCCCTGGACCCCCACCTCAACCGCTTCCTGGCCAGCCTCTTGACGAGTATAACAAGGAGCTTGAAGACTACGCGAAAGCGGCTGTCATCTTCAAACCCTTGTCTGGTGCTATGGCTGGGCGTTTCACCTCTGCTGTCGTCGTTGAGCATGGCCCACAAATCACAGAGGGGTTATACATGCCGTCGAAGGAGGATTTGGAGAAGAAGGAAGAGGAACTGAAGAAAGAACGGGAGGAGAAGGTCAGCCCCAAAGTCCACGCTGCGCGATTGGGGATGTATGGTCCAATGACCCGAGAGACTCAGTCGTGGCAGCCGGCGCGCTTATTATGCAAGCGCTTTAAGGTGAAAGACCCCGAACCAACAACGGAAATGCAGGCAGATGAACAAGGGAGTGGATTCGGCCAGCCTTCCACCTCGGCTGGCGTTTGGGACCAGGTTAGCGCCGCTGCTGGTGTGGGGTCTGCCGAGTGACAGCATTGGCAACTCGACATCGACACCAACAGGAAATTTGAGTAGTGGTCCACGTGACTTGGCAAATATCGGACTGGGAGAAGACGAAACGCAGGGTCGGGATACGCTTACATACCAACGTCCAGCGATGGATGTTTTCAAAGCAATTTTTGCCAGCGACGACGAGGACAGCGACGATGATGCCGAGAAAGCTGAAGTGGACGATCCAACACCACCTGCACCACCAGAAATCACAATGGCCCCTGCGACCGAAACTTCCGTTGTAGACATGAACACTTTCAAACCCACTTTCATTCCTCGCGATGGCAAGGCCAAGAAAGAATCGGAGAGGACAAAAGAGAAAAAAGAGAAGAAGAAGAAAGACAAGGACCGGAAGACACTGGTGTCATTCACGGAAGAAGGAGAGTCCCTGCACATTATACCCAACCGCCCAAAGAAGAAGAGACGGAAAGAGAAGGAATTAGAAGAGGATGAGTCGATGTGGGTCGAAAAACCCATTCCCGACGTCTTGAAAGAGCATGATGTGGTCACTACGACAGCTGATGGTTTGCCCAAAGGCCGCAAAAGGGCAATCGATTTCATGTAACAACATTGAATGCGAAGATACGTTACAGAAGACTATCAGACGTGGACCTTGGCTTGCGCTGAAGCTGTGCTCATCAGTGAGATGGCCAGGCTGTTGGTCACCTGTGCCCATGCAGTTTGGAGGGCTTGCAATTGCGCAGGGGTGACTGGGTATCCCTCAACAGTTGCCAGAAGGGTCTGAACTAGGTTGAGCCTTCGTAGAGAGAATGAATGAGGGTTAGACGAACTATGAGACGAGTACGAAGAGGCTCAATAGCTTCATGCAGCGGTTTAAGTTGTGCTCCGGGGTGGGTCGTCTTGACGACGGCATCGTTCAACTCATCGGCAACGGCGCCTACTTGCTGAGCAAATGTCGTCAAAGCGGCATAAATGGTGACTTGGTCAGCGCTGGTGATGTCTTTGGCATTGCTGGTCAAAGAATTCGTCGTGCGCGTGACCTGGTTGGAGATATGGTTCAGTCGCGGAGCGAGCTGTGCGACGGCTGAAGAAATGTCTTTCTTCCACTGCCGTACGAGACATTAGAATAACTGAGATCGGTCAAGAATCGTGCTGGCTGACCTGTTTTGAGCCCGGTGTTTCGCCAAAGGCCTTCTGCAAAGCGGCAGAGTAGGTCTTGATTTGGGAATACCAACCGGCGGTAATTTGCTGGAGGGGGGCTAAAGCGAGATTGACATCGAACGAAACCCCAGGAGCCGAAACGGAAGCACTAGCAGCAATGCTAGAGGAGGAAGGGGTCCTGCTACTGCGGCTTGAGCGTGAGCTGGGGATAGCCAGTCTTTTGGGCTCGGCTAGAGAGCCCCCCGCCAAACTGCTAGCAGCTGAGAAAGCGGCCGAAATTGGGCTGGCCGGGAGGCTAGGCGGCGAACACGGCGCTGAAACGGTCACAGTAACCGTGACGGGCTTTGGGAAAGGCCCCAGGGCGTTGACGAAACCGACAAGAAGGACAAGCGAGAGGAGCGAGGAGAACTTGAACATGGTGAGTAGTGTCGTGAAAGTCGTCAGAAAATGCAAGGTTCGACTGAGGCCCCAGCAAGCTTATATGGTGCTGGAGGTCTCAGACACACCACTTGCCGCGCGGAGGTTTCTGTCTGACTCTTCACTCGGATGAGAGCACCGGTCTTAGAACAATAATTTAGCGTAGTCTTGATCGTCATAGTTCAAGTCCAAGTACTTGAATCAGGGTCACATCTGAACAGTACAATGTACAATTAAATTTAAAAAGCTATATGACTAAGTATGTAGGTGTTACTAGATAAATCGTTCAACTAGAATGTGCAACCAGCAGCGCTTTCCCCACCCGTAAAGCCCGGCGCCTTGGAATAGAGGATCTTCCCGCCCTTCTTGAACCCTTCAATGACCTTTTGCCCCCCATTTGCGGACACCATCCAGCTCATAAACGCCTTGGCCAAAGAGTCATCCAGTGAGACCGCATTCCGCAAAAAAGTGCGCCGGATTAAGCAGCCGATCAGACTCGTCATCGGACGAGCAGATGTAGTAGGTCAACGCATTCGTGACTGATGCTGGCGAAGATAACAGAGTCCCTCGATCCGTAAGCGTGTACTCTCCCAGAGTGGCTGCCGCTGCCACAGCTTGAAGTGGGAAGCGAGGATATTGGTGATACCACGTTGAATAGGCGTAGCTCCAGGGTACTTGGCCAATGGCGATGAAAATCTCTGACTCTTTGATGTTCGTCGCCGATTTGTCGAAACGGCTTAGGAATCGCGTTGGGTTCGATGCAGTCGTATCCGTCGCGGTCTTGACAATCTTTTGGAAAGCCTGGAGTATCGTGTCTGACGAAGAAATGCCCGCTGGGTTCGATCTGAATTGTGACTATAAGGCAAGGTAAAAATGTAGATGTGAGCTTACGGTGGGCCAACGAAGACGAAATGGTCACGAAATCCGTACTGGCGATCGACGCTTACACCAGAATCGAGCGAAGCATTTTCCGCAGCCACGTTGTAAGTGATTGCGACGTCTGCTTGCCGTTTTGCCATGTAATCCAACGATTGCGTCGTGTCACCTAAGTACCAGCCGACCTACAACAACAAAGGGTCAGAAAGACAAGACCCCATATAATAATACAACAACCTGGAATGGCGCGACTTTCTGGGTCTTGACCATATAATCGATGAAGGCATCTCCAAGAGCTTGCACAAGACCACTCTGACCAGCGCCACCATTTGCAATGCGAAGTCTAATATGGGATGTATCCGCGAAAGTGTAAGATCCATTATAGACAGCGGCTGGAGAGAGAGAGGTGGTGTCAACACCAGTCATTATTGGGGTGGAGACATTGGAGGCCTTCGGATGGTTGCTCTGAGCGAGGACCCGCTGGTTTGCAGCAGAGACAAGGGCTAGGAAGAAAGCGAGGACGACGACCATGACAAACTGAGGCAAAAGCTACTTAGTATGATGAACTTATAAAGGGGACGGAGACATGTAGTATGAAGTACTCCACATGTACAGTTTTGCATTTTCGCTGTTCTTTGAAGATTCTTCACGCCCTCTTTGAATTCAGAGACAGTCGATATATGAGCCTCTGTCGTCTCGCTCGTCTTCACGGGAGACGGCATGGCATATAGATGAGCGACGGACTCGTGGTGGTTGGCGATGAGCCAATGACCTCGCTTATCACTCGTCATCGCAATCACTTCGCCCTTGGGCGAGGCAATGGATTTGCGGCTCGCTATTGTTGATGGTCGCATCTTGCATTTGCGAATGCTTACCGACAGTGTTCTTGGAGGCTTGGAGTCAAAAACAACACAAAACTACGCGTTGACGAACACGTCCCGTCACACATGTGACGGGACGAATCATGCGTGACTAATATCACACGCAGACAAGTCCCCAAAAGCACAAACAAAACGTATGTGGCCATCGTGGGGATCGAACCCAAGACCTTCGCGTTGCAAGTGGACTATGTTAGAAACCACCATATTAGCACGACGCTCTAACCAACTGAGCTAGACGGCTTGCGAAAGACCAGTGATAATACCGGACATGACGAGATAGTGAATATGGACAAGGCCAATGCAAGCCTGAATCATAAAAGCTGCTTGGAGCATTTCTTTCATACCATTTAGACCATAATGTAGCGTAATGCCGAGTCAGGGATCATTGCATCAATGATGCGACCATCGGCCACTTGGCGACCATCTTGTGGAATCACCACCAACGGCCGAGTCGGCGCAGGAGCGAAGATCAGAAAACACAGAGTGAGCGCGCAGCAGGGTATCCTCCGAACGCAAAATCGTCGCCAAATCAAAATGGCACCAATCCTAAACCAAAAATGGGTACCCGGTCTGGAATCGTTCTCTCAGGCTTTGCATCATGACGATCGGAAACACCTACCCACCTATATCTGAGCCTCCAGCGCGGTCAAGACGGAGTTTCTCAGTGCTGACGCAAACGGAGTCTGAATGCATTCTTGGAAGCGCGTGATTGTGGGTCCAAATAGGTTTCATAGAAGCCTGCGATAAAGCCCTCGGCCTTGAATCCAAAACGATTGTAGAGCAACTAGAAGAAGATTGTTTTTCCCAAGAGATGACTGGTGAAACGACAGGCGGGGGACATACCATGGCGGAGTTTTTGGCAGACACATGAAGCGTAATGTCCTGGTGCGGATTCAGCGTTATCAAATGGTACAGCATGGTCCTAGAACAGAGAGAGAGTCAGAATTCAAATCTCTCACTTCGGCCGCCAGCATACGTCGCGATGTGGGCATTGTCCCAGCCTGCTCTGACGGTGAGATATGTTATGTATGTCTCCCGCGGAGAGCTCATGATAGCGACACCGACAACAAGCCGACCATATGTGGCGACGATCGTACACCGTTCTGGTGAGTAATCAAGCGAATCGCGCACTGCAAATGGTTGAATTAATCAAATATGAACCAAACCAAGCTAACCATCGATTCCCGACCAGAACGCGCGCTCGAGTAGATTGTGGACTTGCCCGAGGTGCCACGGCTGCAACGCAGTGTACATGATGGGTGACACCATGCTGGAAGGAGTTTCTCGTTCGGGACTAGCACGAAGTTGACCTTATGGAAAACAAAAGACAGAAGAGATGATAGTTACTGTGCGAGAGTGAAATGCTGACGAATATCGCTCATCAGGCTCATCCAGGGCGTGACCGTTTCCCAGTCTACAGACACCAGACCAGGCGGATTGACTCCCATTGTTGGAACCCCTTGTAGACGGGCAAGAAAAGAGTTTGAGTATGGCGTACTTTTGATAGATTCGAGAGCATGAATGACCGCACGTGTTTGTTGAGAGGTCGACGCGTCTGAGGATGGCATTTCAGTGCAATTTGGCGAAGATAAAATGTTGAATTGGTTTTCCGCGACAGTCGCATGGTGCTGTTTCTACCGCGGAGTTTTTCGTATTCCTTTCAGCAAAAGAAGATCTTTTTTGCTTACCTGGGCGAGCTTTAGTTTACGTATGGCGATGGCTTGAGAGATGGCCCAAGAGCCACCCTGGACGTTGGCCGTCGCGGTAAGGAGCGAAGAGACGTCAGACCGTGTTAGGGGACGGAGCGTTTGGCCCTATTGTCGGTGTTGGCCGAAACTTCAACGACTAAGAGACCTAAGAGGCGTACATGAGCATCCACCTGGGATTGTTTCGCTTGGAGAGCAGCCCTCTGGCGAAGAAACTCCGGGATTATAGAGTCAATAGACTCTTCTAACGGCGTATGGGCATCATCATCCTCCAGCGCTTCCAGAAGGGGTTGCAAAGAAAATCTAGCTTTCTGTTCAGGTATCATTGTTGTCGCAGTAGGCTGTCCATCATTCCCTTTCCTCCGTTTCTTTCAGCCAATCAGGGCACAGTCTGGAAAGGAAATGTATGATAACGAAACCTTGCGAGACTTGTTGCGTTCCTCATAGTCAGAGTCGTCCTTGAACGACATGATGGCCAGATTCAAAAGGATGACATCACGCGACAAGAGACCAGTTCGAAATTTCCGAGGTATATTGGGTATTTGTACTAACTAATTACCGACTGTGCTCCTCGGCCGAGTTACTCAATTCCTCCAGCTCTGCTTGGGTATTTGACAAAGTCTCTGCCGCAATGGCATGGTAGATTAGCTGCGCCTTGGCGAGTTCGTTTAGATGCTTGATGGGTTCAGGCTGTTCAGAGAATTAGCGAATCGATGGTAGAAACGAAGTTTAATGCACGAACATTCTGCAACACCTTTTGCATCAAGCTTATGGCGACCTCTGTCTTCTGGACAAGATCGTCTTCAGCATTTTCTACCTCAAGCCTGGCATGCTCTTGCTTTGCAGGACTGGCATTCTTCAACCTGATGAAGTTCAAGAACATATCGCATTGTTTGGACATACGCACGTTTGTTTTGCCCCATCCAGCTCCAGGCGGCTAGTACGAACAGCCTGGCGTGCTTTCATGGCGACATTTATGGAGGTATTGAGTGTCTGTTGCCAGGGATGAAGATGGTTCAGCCTAATCGCTTGGTCCTTTCCGCTCGATTAATTCACGTTGCCTCAGCTGAACAGTAACAACACGAACCTGCTCAACTCTCGCAGCCGCAACTTTGTCCATACCAGCCGCATAGACATCCAAAGCATTTCCCAACTGATCCTGCCCGCTCTCACTTGTTTGCAACAAGGCCGAAGCGCTCCTGGCCGATCTGACTAAAGCATGCGGCAGAGTCTTATGTTCCGGTGTCGGCACTGGTGGTGGTGGGGCTGGGGCGGGAAGTTTGGTCCCCTTGAGGTTGGTCGCAGCAAACGAGGTAATGCCATGGCCCAGAGAGGTGGAGAATTCTGAAAAATTCTCTGACACAGCGGACGGATAGTCGTATGCCTCCGACTCGAACACTTTGGTGATCTTGAGTAGTGTAATATGTGCTTGTCGTAGAGCGTCAACTCGCGTTTCGAGCTCCTTGTATTCTGGAGGTCCTTCTGAGCCACGTTTAAAAGCGACTGTTCTTACCTTGAGGCAACTCGGTGATTTCATCCTCTTTCACTCGTCCTAGGCGCTCCTTTGTCGCTTGGACGCTCGTTTCGAAACCTTTGCGCAATTGTCTCCAGTCCATCGTGCTCGTCAGAATCAAAAGCCAAGAGGTTCGAAATTGATCGCCGTTGTTTATGTTCAGGGAAGGTGCTACACCAAAGCTACTTGCTACAGGGGTCTAATCGGAGCTACACTTACATTAGTTAGATGTTGTCTATATACCAGGTCGTCTTCCTCGAACTGTGAGTCCGCCATCCCATTGTCCTATAAGCCACCCCTCCTCCTCAAGTGATCGACGAACAGCAGGCTTGAGAACACTAACTTGACCTGCAGAGTGAGTGCCTCTACCTGTGATGACCCTCAACGGTTTGTCTGCACCTATCTTAGCTCGTGGTTTGCATGGGATATAAGGAAGGGAAGATACCTGAAGACCATATTTGCTCCTCCAAGATCTCCTTCACAATTGTGATTGCTTCAGCAGCTGTGAGACCATGCAAATCCACCGTGTCGTGATTCCGAGACGAGAATCTTTTGGCCTGCACTATTTCCCTTGCGCCATCCAAAGCCTCTTGCCTTGCTATTTCAGAGTATTTGCGGGCCTATGTCAAGTTCAAAACAATACGAAAAAAAAAACGCTCCCTCCTACCTGCTCTGCAAAATATAGCGCAACTTCACCACCTCTTCCCTTTTTGTTTCCCTTTCCTCGCTGCCACATTCTTGCCGCTTCACGCAAAGACTCGTCCCGTTTCCTTACTGCATCTCCTATGCGCCGTCGGTAGGCGCCAAGCTCACCCACATCTCCTTTACCACCTTTTCCGTCAGCATTACCGCCTGCTCGTGGCCGAGACCGACTTCCATTGACATCTGTGTGGTATGTTGGAATGTGCATAGCATGCGAATATGGCACGTCCTTCTGAGCTACTCGTCGACGGGGCGCCACGGCCTGCCATTGGTACGGACTGGGTTTGCTCGTCGACGGGGCAGGGGCAGTAACCGCACGTGCTAATTTTGGTGGCGGTGCGGTGGGTGCTGGCCCATTGGCAAGACTGGATGCACGTATCTGCGGCGCAAATAATTTGCTAGGGACAGGCGAATGGTAGACACCCATCTCGAAGTGTCCCTGTGACGCGTCAATATCAAGTTCGCGCATAATTCGAACAAGCTCTAAAGCGTCTTCGCCACGGCCTTGGGCAGCAGCAAGAGCAAGCTCGACATCACTACAAAGACGGGTACGGCCATTTTCGTCGAGATCCTCATGTGATGGTAAGAGGAAATCGAGGAGGCCGAATAAAGTTGCAGTGTGTTCGCCCTCGTGTTGCTCAGTAGTTGTGGTAATAGCAAAAAGGGCAGCACATAATGCGTTGTATGGCGTTGAGGCATGTTGCGGCGAATGGAAATAGCGTTGGAAGAAGGCCGGCTGGTGCGGAGGAAGACACTTTGCAACATGGGTTGAGATGGATGCGAGCTGTGTCCACCGATCATCCACTTGGAGTGCCCTTGTCGTTTGCATTGGTCGGAGGTTTTGCTGTTGTCGAACATCTGAGACTGTGATTTTGTTGCCTTTGTTCTTCTTGGGCTTGCGCACGATAGACTTCTTGCTCTCTGATGTCTCCCAAGCCGTCTTGGTTTCATACTCTCTTTCATCCAAGTCACGTTCGCGCATTTCCCTTTCCGTTTCCTCCGAAAGAATGGTCGCAATAACCTCCCACATGTCAATCTCTTCGTCCGGAGCAGTGGCTGTCTTTGCCAAACCCAAAGCATTTCGAAGGCGCTCTTCAGGAATATGTGGCATAGTGGCTATGAGGAACCCGAGAGGGGAGTTGAACGAGGATGAGTCAGAGAACGAAGTTGTTGTAGTTGTAGTCGTGTTTGTACAGAAGTCGTGCAAACTCTCGTCGGATGCTGAAAAGTCAAAATCGTCGCCGAACGTGGACTGAGATTCAGCGTCGGCTTGTTCGGCGAGGAGGAGGAGGTCCTTTCGAAGCTCGGCAATATGATGAGAAGCAGAGGGTGAAGTGAGGTCGATGTCTGCAAACATGGCAGCGAGCAATGAGGAGTCGAGGGGAGGGCAAAATTCTCGCTATATGGCAGTGTTTTGTAATCGTCCTTTACAGTGTAGCAAGTCAAGAGATCGCACCTGTAAAGATTCGAATATAGTGGTGGATTCCATGTTGAGTGGGGAGACGACAGAGGTACAAAGGTAGATGATAAATGGCAAAGTCGAGTTAATCTGAGTCCGGATGTCACCGAAAACGTGTCGGGTCACGGTGTGACATCATTCATAGCATCTCACTCACTACATACACTGCTCCTTTCTTCTCTACTATATAACTCGTCGCCATGCTGTTCTTACTTTCGGTCGCCGCTTGTTTCTTTCTTGTTATTATGCGTCAGTCGTCTCTCCCGATTCTATATGAATTCATCAATTGTCTGTAGTCAGCTTCCGATACCGAGATACTCTCCTTCCTCATGTTCCTTCTGGCATTCGGAAACTCCTACCTGCGACATTCAACAACTACCAGCCTCTTTCGACCTTTGAGCAACAGATTGGAGCTGGGATGACTTCTAGCGACTTTGATATTGAAGCCAACTTGCATGGAGGTGATTCTAGAATGGGACTAGATGAGGCTGGAACTAGGGAGGTTATGGAGATCATGCGTCGTGAGCGGGTCAAGTAAGTCTCTACGTCTTCAAAATCTAGCTATGCTCATCCTCTATCAAGCTTTGACCAAGCACGACTTATCCGCCACAACCGAATCCTGGCACAGAATGGCATTGACCCATCAGGTGCGTTCGCTCCATTGTCTGTGTAGTCTGAATACTGATTGCTGTTGCTAGGCATGCCCATTGACGCCAAAGCCGTTACTCGTCTCTGATTACACACTCTTGTGTTCAACATAACGTTCTCTTCTCCTTGCTTTCCAATGTCTCCAGGACCATTTGTATCCTTTCTGTACAGTATTGAATGCGCACACCAGTTTACTCGTAATTGATCTTGCCTTGAATCTGCAATCCTAATAAGTTACAAATTTGAAGAGAGTGGGCGTCTTAGAAGCCGCTGCCAAACAATCAACAAATCGCATCACCAACCACGTCTTCTTTGCCGGATTCCAATCACACTCTTTCTTACCTTTCCCTTTCATGGTTGTACAACGAAAGGCGCCAATTGCGCCAGTTCCTACCGCCTCTAGACATAACTCCTCCCATGCCGTCCCCAAAGCCAGCAAACCGAAACAACCCTCCACATTGACAAATGGGTCCAGTGCTGTTGCTCCAAAGGAGCCACAAACTTCACCCTCATCCCAGAATGTTCGTTTTGCTCCCGCCGCCTTTGCTCTGTCACCCATTCATCCACAGGGCGCGTCAACATCATCAAAGTCCCATTCTAAATCGAAACACAAAAATCGACACCCCGACAAGAAACCACCCAAAGTAATTGTCTGGCATTGCTATTCAACGCGGCTTGTGACTGACATCCAACCAAATAGTCTTCTCGAAGTATCCTTGACCGACTAGGCCTGTTGGTGCTTGGTCTGTTCGTATTCTACGCATTCAGGACCTGCCCCCAAGACACACATCTTTCAAACCCCATCTGCCGCTCTCTTTCACAATACCGCACCCATGTTCTTGAGCCCTATGTCATCCCTCAACTCAACCGAGCCATATCACATCCCTCCATTGCGCCGTACGTTGTCAAAGCTGAGCAGATCGAGCGCGAAACAGTCCGTCCTATCGTCGTTAAGACTGTTCAAGTAACAGGGCCATATGTGGCTGCCACCAAGCGGATTACTTGGGACAAAACAGCAGTTCCGTTATTCAATGCCTACGTCGTGCCCCAATATCACAAGCATGTCCTCCCACAATGGAATAAACATGTCGTCTCGCAATGGAGGAAGCATGTGTCCCCACAACTCCAGCGCGTTCAGCCACACTTTTCTCGGGCACAGCGGACTATTCAGACCTCTGCCATCGTCGGCCGCAAACTGTATATCACCCGAATTCAACCAGCACTTGTGAAGGCTTACGCTTTGACCAAACCTTACGTGGTCAAAACCTACGTCATCGTCAAGCCCCGCGCTCTTGCCTTTTATGGTGCACTATCCGCACGCACTGGAGAAGCTCGGCGAGCTTATGTCGATCCACATGTTGTCCGTATCTGGGAGAAAGTGCTTGAACTCAGTGGGGCTGGGCCTATCGGCAGTCCAGTTGTACCAGCTCAAAAACCAGCGGCAAGCAATGTTGTCTCCAGTTCAACGGAATCAACCATCCAGCAGAGCTCGACACCAGTCCCGCAACAGGAAGAGACACCGTCGGTACTGCCGTCTTCGACGCCTGCAGAGACATTAGAAGTTGCCCCGTCTGCCGAGACCACGTCTACCGTTCAGGCCACAACTTCTTCGAGTGTCATCGAGCCGGAGAGTACCGTTGCTGCTGCTCAAGCCGAACCAGAAACTTCCTCGATTGTTCCAACCACTGCCACGACCACTGCCGTCCCTGTTGAGTCCGTTGAAGCAGAGATCGCTGCCGCCTCTATTGCCATCCAATCTGCTCATGGAATGGAATCGCCCGTCGTCGAATCAATGCTGGAAGATATAAAAGTCAAGGCACCAGCTCTAGCTACCCCCACTCCACTTCAAGAGGATGAAGACGACGAGGATGTGTCCGATTTCCTTGATGACCTCGGTATCTCGCCTGATGTGCCGCCGCCAGAGGAAACCTTCGTCTATGAAGATGAGGATGTCGAGTTGACCCCTGCCGAGATCATGGCCCTGAAGCGCAAGCAAGACGAAGAGCAGCGTGTAGCCAAGGAACGCGAAACAAGGGAAAAACGCGCGGATCTAGAGGGTCGAATGGCAAAGAGCAATGCAGAGCTGACTGCGCTGTCCAAGCAGAAGAACAAGGAGCTTCGCAAGTCACTCGTCGCCATACGTAAAGCTGCTGTTGCGAAATTGAACGACGAGAATTCCACAATCGGCAAATTGATCCCCGAGCTCGAGAAGGAAACAGAAAAGATTTTCAAGGGCTTGGAGGGATACTTGAAGAAGGAACTGAAGAGCAGCAAAGGCATCGTCTCTGAACGGATTGACAAATGGAGTAACGTTGTTGATAAAGTCGAGGAGAGGCTGGGAGAAAAGGTACAGGTGGCACAGAACACGTTGCACGAGTTCCATAGCGATGTCAAGGCCCGCGAATTCGAGATGGTAAGAGTCGAATTTCTATTCTCACAACGGGGTCTGATCTTGCGATCATAGGGTATGGCTCTAATCGAGGAGGTGAAAGCTGCCTGTGGCCAAGCTCAGGCTGATGTTGGATTGGAGCTTTCATGGTTGCATGATGTAACTTATATGGACTGGCAAGTCTACCACGATCTTGCCCGAAGTGAGTGTCGTTGCTATCCTGCCCAATTGTCGACTGACCGATGCATAGTTGGGGAGAAGTTTCAAGCGGAGGCGTCAGAGATTCAAGCCGGAACTCACGCACATCCTCCTTCTGACCCATTCATCAAGAAATATGGGGAAATCGAGACCTACATGGGTGCGGTAGTCAGCGGGATTATCGACCGCGTTACGGTTCTGCGTGGTGAGGGCGAGACTGCGATTGCCAAGGCCGCGTTGCCTCCGAAAGCATCGGCGCCAGTTCCCGAGCCAGAACAGCCAGAACCAGAAGTGTCCATCTTACCAATAGATGACAAGACGCCGCCGGCGCCGACAACAGACCAAGAATTTGAAGCAGATCAAGTTATCATTGGAAAGAGTGCAGAGCAGGTGGAGGAGGCACTGAGGCGTGCGTCAGACACTGATCCGTCGGTTCACCAGGAGCTGTAGGGTGATTTCTGGTTGGCTGTGGGGAGTGTGAGATCGCCGCTGCGACCTCTCCGTGGGGGCTGTGTGTGGCGGACGGCTTGGAAGAAAGCTCGAGACCGAGTTTGTTACTGTCTACTGAATACCGCAAACATATCTGTACGTTGCGTCCTTTCGTTATTTCCTGGTCGCCATTCCTTTTTGTAAACTCACGCTACCTCCTTTATACTCCTGCGTACTCCTCATTAACTTATTCTCTGACTGATGAAATGTACTGCTGACTGTGAATCAAACAAGCCTCGATCCGCCTGAATCGCAGGACTATTCGGATATTCGGAATTCAACAAGAAAGTCACAGAAAAGCGGCAAACAAAAGGCCACGTTATCGCGATGGCGGCCAATCTTCTCTAGATGCGGATTGCCACGCGAGCGGGAAGGACAAGAATTATATCGACCTGACCGCGCATCAGCTAAAGGGAAGCCCTCCGATTTCCGAATCTTGAACTGCCATCTGTCTTCCGCTGTGTCGCGTAAAAGCTTTCTCCAATCATATGTTTGTGGACTTGACTTGGGTCTTTGTCATCGCATCGTTCGCGTGGGAGCGGTTTGCCACTTACCAGTCGTCCCGACCGGATTTGCCATACAAGTAGAGATGACACAGTCGGCGTCGACGTAACTTGTCACCGTTTGGTCTCGGTCTGCAATCTGGTGTAAGACCTCGTGGCATTTTTCGCGCGGAGAGCCGCTATAGAGTCCTCCCAACTGAAATGTTGGCACACGCATCTGGAGTTTTGTCGGTAAGGACATATTGGCCACTAACTTCCGAGCGGTGACGACCGTGACAAGCAAACATCGAGGCGCGGAGAACACAAGGGGGAACGGACTGATAGAATTTGAAAATCCCGGCGTCAAGCAACGGCGGAGGGAAAAAGGCACCAACTCCAAGAAGCAGAGATCCCCGTCGCACGGTTTTGAATACTTGTGTTGACACAGGTTGACGGGGGGGGCAGTATTTTCTGGTTCTGGGATCACCTTCGCAAGTTTTTCCTTAGAGAAGGAAGATTGCGTCAGCTGTACATGTTTCCCGATGGACCCACAGAGCAACAATGGCAGGAGCAATGGGTCAGAAAGGAACGGATTGACGACGAAAGCTTTGAGAAATCCTCAGAACGATGATGTAAGCGAGTGGACGTGGATAAATTTTCGCAAGTCGATGATTACAGAGACGAGCCAACGACCGCAACGTTTCACATTCGACACGAGTTTGAAGGTGTCCGACAAGAAAAAGGAAGCGCTGTAGTAGTAGTAGTGGGTAATAGCAGGTTGTGTACAAGGGGGAGAGGAAAATGGGACAAGTAATTTTTCAGGATACGGTTTGGTCAGACTCTCTCCAGCGCAAGTTGGATTCGTAGAATTGAACAAGCTAAAACGATAAGCACGTGATTGCATTGGGAGACGAGACTTACAAGTTTGGGAATCTTCTCGTGACAAATTTTGGACTCAACACGGATGCGCTGGCCAGTCCGGCTATAGAAATGAATAAGTAAGCTTCGACCGGATAGTGAGTGATAAACCCACAGAGTGAAGTAAACATATAAAATATTGTCGTCGGCGCGTTCGACAGTGTCGACACGCTGGATGAGGTGGTCCCACGAAGGCGTATCGCGATACTCATCCATATTGCCGAGCTCCTCCTCTGAGGGTAGTTGTTCTGGCTCTTCGTTCTTTTTTGTTGAGCGACGTGGTTTCTTTGAGGGATGGTCTTGCTCTTCCTCCTTGGCTGCGTTTGACTTGCGACCACGTTTCTTGACGGAGACGCTTTCGACATCCGAATTGTCTGACGCCGCAGATACTTTACGAGCTGCGCGTTTCGCCGAAAGTGACGTTTTCTTGTTCTTCTGGTCCTTCCAATATGTCTCAATTAGCTCCTCGGCATTACTATGAGGATGTTAGTCGACAGCCGTATGGAGGACAGCGAGCAGATTTACGCATCCTCCTCATTGACCCAGCTGTCTTCATCTCGCCCATATCCTTTCCAGCTGACGAAGAAAGCCATTTTGCCCTGCAGTTTTTTTTTTAGTTGGTGCAAAGTTGGTCACAGCGCGTGGAACGCGACTTACTTTCTCTAGACGGCCTTTTTCGTGGTTGAGGATAGCCTCTATCTCGTACTCTTCTTCATCCTGTTCTTGCTCATCACCCTCAGGCTCGCTTTCGGGGACTTCCTCCTCGTCCTTTTTGCTCTTGGCTGGCGATTTGCTTTTTGGCTTCTCACTGTCATTCGCGTGCGACGGCGTGGGGGACGTGGCCATACTTGCGTGAGGTGGTGGTCGTTCTGAGTGAACTTGTCACACGTGGTCACAAGCTTGTCACGGTTGTTGGATGGTCAAATGGATTGCGAGTACAAGATATACAGCTTTTACATGGCGTCATCGACGTCTAGGGCTAGCACTCCGGCCCCGAGGACCCCTTCCCTTCTTTGGACCAGCAGGAGGCGGACGAACAAAAGCATAGTCGCATTGGATCGTTTGCTCCAACAACAGCGAGCCCGAAGCTCCATCGATAGCTTTCTGGGCGTCATTCATCGTCTCATACTCCACTAAGGCGTATCCCTAAGGGAGCGCAAGTTAATGAGCTATTTGGCAAACGCCAAACACACCTTGACATAGCCTGTCCTTCGGTCCAAGTTCAAGTGTAGGTTCTTGATCTCCCCAAACTCTGCAAATTTGTCGGTAACATCCTCTTCAGTAGCCTCCTCGTGAACATTGGTGACGAGGACAATCCAGCCTTCTACAGCTGAGGTAGACATGAGCAAAGTGGGAGGTGAGCTCAGTCGTGACTCACAGCGAGCAGCACGAGTATCGGAGTCTTTTGCAGCCTCTATGCGATCATAGGTCGGTTCAGTGGTGGTCATCGTCTCATTTCCACCTAGTAATTGTCAGCCAATGGGTGTAGATTTTGGGTCTGAATGTACCCGTGTTTTGAAACCCTCTGCCGCGTCTACGGACGGAACCACCTCCCACTGGGGGAACGCGTCAGACGGTTCATCCTCGGGAGGAATAAAGAATTTACCCTCGTCAATATTCATCTCATCGTCGGACATGATTTTTGGTGGACGAATTCAGGTGAGTCACGTTCTGATGTCACGGGAGTGAAACTCCCTTCGCGTTGGGCGACGGTCTACTGGAACAGAACATGATCATTTCGCTCATCCTAATCATTTGGAGAAGACTACTACTTGTAACCTATCGCTGATTGTCGTCAACAGAAGCACCCTCGATTGGTTGAGTCTAAACCCTGCGAGTATTTTTGAGACAGCTACAGTCACAAATACTGGAAAAACTCTTTCACAGTGTAGGGTTGGTGTTGTGGCCTCGTGGTTTCAGTTGATGTAAAAGGTACGTCAGTGTGTCTCGTCGGACCTATTATTTCTGGCGCTCTCGGCGTCAGCTCCAGTCACCAATTTTTTTTCACGCAGTGTGGTAAAGTGTGACGGACGTGTCAAGATTTTTTGCGACAACATGATCTCAGATCCATCGTTTTCTCGTGAACATCTTCGTTTTGTTACCACCCAATTAGGTGCCTGGACCCACCAGCGGGCATGCTTCCGCTCATAAAAGCCCTCACCAGCCAACTTTGATGTCCCACTGTATTTTTCCCTCTGTATTCCTAACTTGTCTCGTTGGCTATGAATCCTCACATCCATCGCCCGTGTAGGGTCTGTGGCCGGCCCACTTCCCAATGGTGCAGTCGATGCAATAATGCCCATTATTGCTCGTCAGAACATCGAAACGCTGTACGTCGACGTGCTACAAACCACTCGTTGTTCAACGCGACTAAAATTCTATATGATAGGACTGGGAGAATCATCGGGGAGACTGTCGGTCGACACCTCTGTTAATCGCGACACCCCCTCCCATCGTTACTGAAGTGGTCCGGGTCCCTGCCATTTTATTTGCAGCAGATGAAGGTATGTTTAGATGTCCTCTTCTCACCTTGCTCAATATGGACAACTGCGCCAGATCGACCGCGGATGGTCGAAATAGACTGTCGCCCTCCCCATCGACCATCGCAAGGCCTTTGCCCCATTCCAATTCTCCAACCGTATTTCAACTCGGTGCCTGGTCAAGTCGTCATTACTCAAGGTCTCAACGGCGAAGTCCTACGTTTTCCGTTACATGTCTTCTACTCTGCGTCAGCCCTGGGTATCGGGTCACCAGTCAACCACGCTGTCCACCACATCACATCGGGAGCTGCCTCGCGCCCTTGGGCAGGCAATGTTATTGCTCTCAAGTTCAGCGGCTCGCGACGGCAAGGCTATATCGCGGCTGGATCCAATGATCTTCCTGCGCTTTCAGCTTACTTTTTGTCCTACTAGTCGATTAGGTTGGTGCATGACTATCTGGTCTACTTGCCATTGACACCCCGTTTAGATCAAAAGACTCTTTCTGTAGCATATCGCCACCGCCTTTGCTTTCACTTTGCTATCGTTGGACGAGGAAACTTCGTCACAAAAGTACTACCACTAATGTCGTCATAGAGTACTACTCGGCTGTGGTAATAGATAACTGCCCTTGCGCTTCGTTCTCAACTTCTTCGACTTCACGGACAACCTCGACGATCTACATTGTTCGTAAGTAGCCGACGCAGACGGCAATCTTGGTTAAACATGTGCTGTTGGGACTCTTTGGGACTCATCGGCCGATCAGCCAAGCATATGTTCCTAAACTTTTCTTCCGCGGGCCCAAAAAAACCAAAGGCAAAGTGGAAATATGATTTGTTGTTGGGAATCTGTCGTTATCGGCGCTAAGAAAAGCTCGGGCAGACGAATAGAGATGCGGTGTGTTAAATACTGTCATGCAGTAGGAAACAAAGACAAGCTGAAGATAAGCAAGTCGAATGTGAAGCTGCCAGCCAACCATGTGTACACCGGATGATGTAAGCTATTGTTTGATCCGATTCTTGTGCTTACTTACCAGTACACCACCACGAGGCTCCCAGCTTTCTTTTTAGGAACGGCTTCAAACGAGCGGACCGAGATTCTAGCTCAACTCGATGTCAATATACGGCTCCTTTAGCATTCCCACCATCCTTTGTCGACCATCAACAACATGCTTGCAATGGTCAGCGGACGGCCAAATTTTCTTCCTCTCAAAAACAGCTATCTATGTTCTTGTAGGCTTCCGTTTGCTGCATGAGACGCTTGCTGACGCGTTTTAGACGCCGGAGGCGGGAGTTCATTCTGTCAAGCTTCCTCCCGGCGATGGCCAATACTCTCATGTCAGATGGTTTTCGACAATGATTGATTCCAATCTTCGGCATGCCTTTAGCTGGTGTTTGGCATCCCAAGGTTCGTGTGGCATCTAGTCCTATTCTTGCGTTTATATTCTACCCATAGCATGGGGCGCGCAATCCCTAGGATCACTCGATGTTGGTCTCCGGTCTATCACTCTTTCTCCGAGCGGCTTGTCCGCCAATGCGTCGCAAGTTCTCCTGTTCTCCGATCACAACGATCATAAGCCATTCTTGTCAGATGTGTTGCAGCCATTTTGAGCTCAAATATGGACATTTCGCTCTGGCATGGCATGCAGAACACAATCACAGGAGAGTGGGTCAAAGTCGGTCGTTCTCATATGGCCTCGAAAAAGTAACAAACGACACTGGCAGATATGCGATATTCCCTCATTGATTACGGAGGCATTGGCTCCAGCGTCCCGCTCGATGGATGAAAAGGTTCTGCGGTCTCAAACGACATGTATTCCGTCTGTTCTTGCGCTTTGTCCAAGACTGAACCCCAAAAGGTTTATTATGGTCTGCTCAGGCTGACTTCGATGTCTGGCCTGCTCCGGCTCTTGATTCCTCCTTCTTGGCGACAGGTACACGCGCTGGTACCATAAATCTTTTCAGGTATATATAGCGTGTTTCGCTCGTCATTCTGGCGACTACATGACCACATTGTTGCCAGATTCACCGGAAGATCGTTGGAGCACATCTCCACAGTGCAGGTTGCAGATGAGTGGATTACTCATCTCGCCTTTTCACCGTGGAACACACCAGAAAAGGGCGAAAGTGAGATTTCCCCCAGCTCTACCTACTATTCCTCACGGACAGAACAGGCCGAGTCACTTTGATCTACGGCACAACCAGTGGTACCGTTGGATGTGTAAGAATAACACAAACTCTTAGGCCGATCTCGCCGTCTCTTAGCTTATGCCTTACTTATACCATCGAGACAAGCGTTCACAAAATCGAACGACTCTTTGAATCTGTTAAAGTCGGTATCACGGCCTTGGCTTGTGTACAACCGCGAAGACACGTTCGTTATCCGTTATTGATGATGTGGTCATCCGCTCAGTCAACTTCACAGTCCGTCATCGTGAGAGCCACACCAGGCGTCATCTCCTTGTGGAGCGACGCAAAGGATAGCAAACTTGGCTGGTCCGGTTATCGTCGTATTCGCCTTTCCACTCAAAGGTTGACAACGGGATCATCATCGTTGCACGCTGTCTCTGGTCTTTACTATATCGCTCAAGCAGACGCTCTCCTGATCTCATTGGCTGACGGAACGATCCATGTCATTGATTCTCTCGAGACAGACCCCAAGCTAGCCAAAAGTGGCTGTGAGCTATCAAGTGACCAGATCTCGCAACTAGCACGCTCCGCGTTCAGGCAGACTGATCGAACAGCCACCTCGAGGGCTGACGTGAACCGTGTGAGCGGCTTTGTTCCTTTTGACGGCAACAGCGCCATTGGGCTATGGATTCAGGAGTAAGTTTCAAGCTATGTGCTGGGTCTTTGCGGCTGCTGTTCTTATGTTCATTCCGCCTCCCCATCAAGGTCCTCTCAACCAACTGATTTTGACTACGTCTACGATTCGGTGCATCAAAACATGCTTGTAGGAAAGCACTTCTCATGTGGCTCACTTGAAATATTTGCCGTCTAATCCATCGCTTGCAGCTGCTCAACTCCGCAAAAAAAGCCCGCAAGACGAGTTTTTGCGTGAAATTGTTTCACTCGTGAATACGAATAAAGCGTGTAAGTCGACTTACTCAAGGCGTTGCTACATCTTGCTGTTTTACTGTGATGGCTTGCTTGTGCCAATGAAACTGTGTCGAAACTAATGAACTCGGTCTTTGACAGCTTCCGGTTCAACTCCGCTTCACTTACTCCGTTCCGTTTTCTTGCGCTCTGAAGATCTCCTCGAGCTCCAAGACCGTCTTATCAAGACGCTACTCCAAGAGGCTGAAATATGTCCGCCACCCCCAAAACTACGCCCCTGGCCTATCAATGCACCAAACCCCGATATATCACGCGAATTTCAAAGAAGCTTGAGGACTTATCTTTTCGGTTGTGACATCCTTCATTCGTTGCGCTTGAAGCTCTCGGTTTTGGATTATTGCTGTGTATGCCTCCTGAATGGTTCTCTAGACATTGCTGACTGGGTGGTAGCGTCAGGCAGATAACGCGTCCCAACGGGCTGCGTTCAATGAAGCGGCGAATTATATCCTCCAAATCATTTCAGCCATCACGATGCGTATTCTGTGTCGCCATATTAAAGCGGTTTCAGCATGCCTACAAAGTATGTTGAAGCCGAGTGGGACGGATAACCAACAATTTAATATCTATCAAGGCGACGATGGGCCGTTTGTCATCCGAATCGCAATGCAGGCAGCTTCGCCTAGCGCCCCACCCGTACTCCGAGCAGAGGCAGCCCGACTACTGTCTACTTTGCCTGCTGCACTTTCTGGTCCATCGACACAACGAACCGCCATGGAAGAAACGTGTCAGGCCTGTGGACTGACCTTAAATATGGCTGGAGGTGGTGGGTGTGATTTAGTTTGTCCGAATGGGCATTCTTGGGGTGCGTCTATAGCCAACGGCGAACTCAGGGCTGACCGACTTGAAGTTCGATGCGCAGCTACAACCTTCATCCTATCGACGCCACACGTGCGGACTTGCACCGGCTGCTCAAGAAAAACCCTGATGGCCCCATCCGAGGAGAGCGAAATTAACGTCTTGCCTGTACCCCGGCCTTCACAAAGTTGGGTCGTTGAAGCCTTCTTGAAATCTGTCATTCGCTGCCTGTTTTGTGGGAATAATTTCTGCGTTCTTTATTGAGGTCGTGTATGGCCATGAATATTTTCTTGTTGTACAGTACCATTCGTTGAATCTTGTTTTTACGATTTGATGTTTCATCACGTGAGCGCGAACTATCCCCAATTAATTCCGGATCACGAAGCACATCGACTTGGACGCGACTCAACCTTATTCCGCCACAACCAACCCGCTCGAAAGATATACCCAATGCCGTTGGCCAAGGCATATATATGATTCATAATCCGGCATCTTCAGCCTTTTGCCCTGAGCTACAGCCATGGCCTTCCCCGAGGACGGCCTGCTATTGAAGACTCTTGAACAAGTCAATGAACCAAGTCTCGATCCACGGGTCAGCTTAGAGACACGGAAAGATGTAGACGACACGGCGACTTTGACTCGACAGCTGAGCAATCTGGCTCGTGGAAAGGAGGTGGCGGTCGTTGTCGAATCGGGCTCATGCGCGGAGAAATCATCTGAGCCACTATACGTGAGTTACTCCCTTGGCGTATATGCATGTGTCGAGCCAGATATAGGTCGAGTTCCAAGTCGGAGACCGTCGAAATCCCATGTGCTTTCCCCCTTCGAAAAAATGGGCGATTACCATTCTAGCATGCTACTCCACCTTCATCGCAGGTAGGTGTCTCCCACTTTACTTTCGGCTAACTTTCACATTCTACAGCGTCAACAAGCTCTGCGTACAACTTAGGTCTCCCATCTATGATTGTCCGTCATTGCATGGCTCCGCGTCATTCAGTCCCTCACTGTTTTATTCATTCAGTCTGATCTTAATTGTACCGAATTCCAGGCCATCGTGGGGCTGGCGGTGTTTACTCTCGGGTTTGGTGTCGTACCTCTCGTTTCGTCAAGTTTCAGCGAGGAGTTCGGTCGGCAGCCGCTCTACATCGTCTCCGCCGTTGGATTCACCTTGATGTATCTTGTCATCGCCCTGTGGGTCGGAGCGCTCAGGTTCCAGAATTAGACTCATTTCTCACACCAGAGCCCACAATATCCGGACCGTGATTGCCGCCCGGTTTCTCCAAGGAGCGTTTGGCTCGACATGGGCCACAATGGTATATCGGCATCTCAGCTTTAAGGCTTAACAAATGACCAGTGTCAGGTTGGCGGAACAATTGCAGGTTTGCGGTCCCCGGCGTGTGTGAAGCAGTATGAGGACTGATGTTGTTCTCGAAAGACATCTGGACCCCGCAAGAGTGTGTGTGATAATCTTGTTCATTCAGGTTCTGATGTTTGACAGACGCGGCCTGCCTATGTCCATATTTTCTGTGGCTGCTCTAGGCGGCACAGGCCTCGGTCCCGTAATTTCGGGTTGGATAGAAATGAATCCCAAGCTTCAATGGCGCTGGATAGAATGGATCCAAATGATGTTTGTGACCTTACGTTGCTCATTGAAGGAACCTGACCTGGACATAGAAACTGCGGAGTCTACTCGCTCTTTGTTCCCCTCATCTTAACCGAGACACGCACATCAATCCTTCTCACGAGATTAGCTAAGAAACTTCGAAAAGAGACTGGAGACAGTCGGTACCGCGCACGTATCGAAGATGAGAGAGCAAATTTAATGGTCTTGATTTTTATTTCGTGCACAAGACCAATCCGTGCGCCTGTTTTGCCCTCAGTCAATTCGTCATCTGACCCTCTCGTAGACCTTCTTTTCACGGAGCCGGTTGTGTCCAGTTTCAGCGTGCGTGAGCATTCACATGAAATGGCCTCGAGACTATCTTTCGCTTAGCTGTGGATTGGTTTCCTATGGGGCGTTATGTTCTGTATGATTGAGTCGGTTGCTCGAATTCCAATGCTGGCCCTCTAACATGCACCGCATAGGTCCATTCCTGGCGTTTTTAGAGATCTACACCATTTCAATGTCGGCGAAGAAGGAACAGTATTCACGGCAATAATGCAAGTATCGTGTCTTTCTTTGTTGACTGAAATGTTCAATTTCAAAGTGTTGGTACATTGCTTGGTTTCGCGGCAAATTTTTACCAAGAGAATCTGTATCAGTGCGCTCAATTGTCCGCTACTTGGATGAATTCACTCACAGCCCTCCAAAGCAAATATGTCAAGACGAGAGGACCTGAAGCGCGTTTAATATCGGCGTGTGCCGCAGCCGTTGGGCTCCCCATCAGCATGTTCGTCTATGCTTGGTGTTCATATGCCAGAATCCATTGGATTTCCCTGGTGATGGCTCTAACGGTACTTGAATTTGTTGTAAGCCACAGCCACCTTCACTTTCAACCATTCAGATATATTTCTGGGCGACCTTCGTTGTCTACCTCGCGGTGTTCAGCTATCTCGCCGACTGCTATGGCCCTTTTGCATCATCTGCACTTGCCGGCCAGAGCCTCTGTCGTAAGACATCCCATCCCCATCGCAATGAGCGTTTCAACGACGAACTAACAGGAAATTTAATGGGGACTGCCTTCCCGCTCTTCACGAAACAAATGTTTGCCCGCCTGGGGTACAACTGGGCCAACACGATGTTTGCGCTCATCGCATCTTTGATGATGCCTATACCATTCATTCTCCTTCACTATGGACCAAGGATACGTGCCAAGAGTCGATTTTCACGAGTCGTGCTGGAGCGGGAGATTTCTGCAGAGTTCAAGCCCGAAATCGTAACTGAAGCCAGATAGGACTGGCTTGATGCAGATTTTTCGTTGTCTTATTTGTCCCGGGAACACTAGTACTGGTAGCAAACGAGTTCTCTTGTGAAGGGGAAATCTTAATACGGAATGAAATGCCCTGATAGAAGTCATTGTGTTTGTACAGATGCTTTCTTCTACTATCCCACCAATGCTTGCAGACGTAAAAAGTCAGGAGTGCCTGAAGACAAGATGAATCAATAGACATCTCGAGAGGGCGATGGACCCACCCCAGCCAGTCACAGGGTCCCAGCCGGCACCCGCGGTGAAGCCGCTAGAGTTTCACAAGTCCTGTCAGGAGAGAACTTTCAAGAAAAACACGGGAACGTACGTTTGACCACATCCAGGGTTGGAACTACGATACGATGAGAGGAGCATGATATACCAAAAAAGGGCATGCTTACCCAGAAACGATGTCGTTAAAGCCAGTCGAGGCAGTAGAGTAGATGAGGGGGTTCAGGAAGCCAAGAGGCGCTTTGCCTTCGGAGATTCTGAAGTCGTTCAAAAGCGAGACGATGGCAGCGACCGTCTGGAGCACGAGAGTGGGTGAACTTGTCCACTGATCTGTCCAAGGCCACTCACTGGAGAGCTTGCACTGGTTCCACCGACAGAGCTGGTTCTCCCGCTGATGACAACTTGGAATCCATTGCTTGCAGCTGACACATCCGGATATGCGCGGCCACCAGCGTTGTAGAGCCCGGCGAACTTGGTGCCCAGCCCAGTCAGGAAAGTTGAAACAGCGGTAGTTTGGTACGAGGGTTGTGAGAAGTATCTTGTTTCGTGAGTGTTTTATTATGGTGATTTGTACTAAGGAACATACCGCGAGAAGCCTCCGCCAGAGAATGAGATACCGACTTCAGGACTTTCAAATGGTTAGCTAGCGCGGTAACCCCCCAATCAGGTTGATTTACTTGACGCGGGTCGTTCCTCCAACTGCAGTGACGAATGGGCAGCTGGTGGTTGCTAAGCGTATGGTCAAAATGTTGGACAAAAAACTTACCTTGCCGGGAAAGCGGGTTGGAAGAGGACCTTGTTGGTTCCATCATTAGTTCTGCAGCTACCTGCACCAACTCTGATAGGAGATTAGATCAGATACGACAAGTGGGGCTAGACGAACCCTTCATCTCCAGAGCTGAACATTATGCTTGCTCCCCTAGCGCCAAGTTGAGCAAACAGGTTGCATACCGAGGTAGCATAGTCAACGGGAACCTATTATGATGAGGGTTGTATCATCTGAAAACGCGAAGCTTACTGTTTGCTCGTCATCGCCATAACTTGTTGTCTAAGAACGTCAACAGTGGTCCTCAGTTGAACCAAGAAGACATACGAAAGTCTGAGGGACGGTCGTCTGGTTGAGAACGAAGTTCAACCAGTCGAGATACGGCTCGTTGGTGTTGCTGGTAGTGGCGGAATCGGCGATGAATGGAGGAGAGCCACCGGTACTGGACGCAAATTAGCTTAGGCACAGCTAGAAAGCATGTTGAATTGCCTATAGTAGATGTTGGGAGTTGGGAAGGAGATGCCTTCAGTATACTCTGTACGATGATTCAGACATGACAATGTGACGCCCAGTCCAGTCCACCCGTATGATAACAGTGACTTACGAACGTCGAGATTCGCTTCAACACCAGGATCGGTCTGGTCATTCAAACCTCCGTTGAGTTGAATGTGTGTGAGCTTGGCACCGGCAGCGTCAGTGCGGAACCTGGAGAAGAAGGTTTGGAGGTCGGCATCGTTGGCGAACTCCTCCAGGTATCCTGCAATACCCAGTTTGTTGGTTGCAGTAGCCTTGGGGACATAGTTGGTCGTGTTATACATCGCTCTGAGACAGGCGGGTGTGACAGTTGACCCACAACTCGCTGGGACAGCCAACGGGGAAATTTCGGCGGCGAACGAGGCCGAGTTGAGAGCAGTGATGGGGTGGGCATCTTGGATGAAGCTCGTTGATCGCATGGCCCGCATAGTACCAAAGTAAGTTGTTGGGGTAATAACGTCGATGTGGGAATGCAATTCTTGTGGGAGAGAGTAGGACATGGTGCGGACGATGTACTCGTCTGATTTGGAATTGTAATAGACGCCATACTTGGTGTCAAGCATTTTCTCTGCCTTGCCAACTGGAATGTGGAGCGTGATCCACTCGCCGCCTCCCGAGCGGAAATGAGCATTAGCCGGGTCGATGTCGTGGTATTGCAGCCAAGATTCAACGGCCTCGATGGAATCGGGATGGGGAGCGACAAGTGCGTCGACTTCCTCCTTGGAAAGATGCTGACCATACCTGATAGTGCGCCAGTCAGGGTTTGTCGGATCAAAAGAATCGTGCGGCTTACTTGTGGTGGACTGGGTCGCTAACTTCATAGAGAGCTTTGATGAGCTCATCGATCTTGTCCTGCTTCAACCCAATGCGAAGCTCGAGGAGATGGTCGGCAGAAGGGGCAGAATGGTACTCCCAACCACCAGGGGTCTCAAGCCACGCATGCTTTACAGCCGGCTCAGCAGTTGCCCATCGTTTCGAGGCAAGTGGTTTGGCTGCGGCGAATTGCGCAAGACCAAAGACGAAAGCCGACCACAGCATTTGGGGAAGGGGGGTAGGAGATCCATTCGTCCCAATGCGGGCTTTATAACCGCAAGAAGGAGTCCGTTATCTAGCACAACGCGATCTTCCAGTGAGCATGCTGTCGGAAGACCAACATATTCTCATGAAATTGCGAAAGAACTTTGAGAAGTCCGGCCAGCATATGTAGCCGTACAGGCCAACAGCCACGGTATCCATGTGGGCAGGCCGTGTGCCAAGTCTTCTTCCCCGGAAACAAAGATGGTTGAGTTTGAGTTGGCACCGCCGCTCAACGATAAGCGCGCAAACGAACATTGAGATCGGCAAATAGCAGAACACCATCAGTCACGTGTCGATGAATCAAAAAAATTATGATTTGGATACACAAGGTTCGTTGTAGTACAGATAGTAGTGTCGGCATTATATAGGTGCGTCATTCTCTCCAGGGTCTCCATCCCCGGGCTGTATCGGCATTGATACCTCCATCTCTAAGTTCCGCAACCGCAGCTCTACCAAAAACTCTTTGTCGCGGATTGCTTGGGACCATGTCCCAAGCATGTCAACTATGACTGAACCAAACCTGATACAAGCAGCCGCCACAAAGATGGCTGGGTATACCTCCATGACTAGCCAGAGACGTCAATGTCAAATCTGCATGGGTGGAAAGAAACCTACAGAGAAGCTTGCTGTTACTTGATACCAACGGCAAATATCGTCGGACTAGCACAAACACTCCCCCCGGAAGGAATATCATGCCCATCAGGCCAAACGTGAGCGGCCCAATGACTTGCTTGGTGGCAGCCACAGGTTCAGGATGTGTCCAGCCATTGTTCATGATCTAGAAAAATAGTGTCAGTGGATGTTGGCAGGATTCAAACGCCACTCACGTGCTGGAGGCCTCTCGTGATGTTGTTGTGTGGTTGAGCGAGTATGACATGTAGCATGATCTTGCTGTACAACAGACCCATCGCCCATGAGTCTACGATCCTGACGCGAGGAACAAGTGTAGGGTCCAGCGAGAGACGAATGGGAAGGACGATATACAGGTCCACGACTAGCGAGACGAGAGTGGGAACAACAATACCAAGGAAGAGCGCCATGTAGGTTATTTTTGCAAGCCAGAGCAGACCCCGTTTGATTACCAATAACCATAAATCTGCCCTAGGGTCATCACCACCTCGACGTTGTCTTCGTTTATCCAGCCGGTCGACTGCCCGGCCGATCAGGTAACAACCCCACAGTAGATAGGCTCCAATGATGAACGAGTACCCATCATGCACTTCCTGCTTCACAAACAAGGCGAAAAATCCTCGACCTAGTTGGATTGGAAGAGCAAACACCAGCCCAAGGAAGATGGCTCCGATGACCCAAAGAATGGCCACGAAGAAAAAGACTCGGTAGCGGAATTTTGGTGGAAGATAAACGACCATATAATCTTCGTGTGGATGCCGTTTGGCTTTGACGGCCTCTTGGTCCTGCATTATCATAAGCTGCGCTGCTTCTTCGTCTATAGGATGCCCGCTTTCTGATACTGCAGCGGTCGCGCGCATTTCTCGCGGTAAGGCAATGTTGTCAGACGCAGGCACCCGACGGAAAGATCCATCACGAATATTTTTGGGGTCCTCCATGTCGATTTCTGCTCCCAAAATGGCATCTGACCATGTTGCGACTGTGAACTCCTCCTCCAAATAGCGGCCGCCAAAGAAATACGACGAGAGGCGCAGTCGACGAGCCAGCAGCTTCCATAATGCCTTGGATACACGCTTGATGCCTGTGCGGGGTCTGAGGTAATGCATTGTGTATGGCAAACTTAGGTGGAGGAAAATAAGGTCCAGTGGCACGTCGGATAAAGGTTCCCTGAATATTGTCAGACACAAAGAGCAGAGACTTGGATAGGATACCTGTTCTTCCATCGGAACGGTAGGATAGACTTTTGCCCTACGTATAACAAGGAAGCAACACTGCCGACAACACAAGCAACAACTACAGAGTACATGATGCCGCTGATGAAGATCTTGCGTAGCTGCGTGAGCGTAGGTCGATCAAGAATGTCGCGGATGGGGTGAGAATTTTGATCTTGTGGGTCCTTGATGAACCACATAGCACCTTTCCTTAGGAGGGACCGACAGCCAGCTAATAGCACAGCGAAAGAGTACCTATAGGAGAGGGCTCAGAAATGATAAAAATATGAAGAACACTCGTACATGAACATCGTCCCTGCCACCCAATGATAGAACATGGCGGTAAGGGGAGCAAACTTGAAATATTCGATGCGCGAAGCCATATTCGCTTCAGGAAACAAGAAGACCGTGCAAAGATCGAGCACAATGCCGCAGCCCAAGGGAAAGGTCACCAGCTCGATGAATATGAAAGCAGCAACCTATCGTCGTCAGACCATGCCCCAACTGAAAATGCAACGAAAAACCTTAACAACAAGAAGTTGCTCACGGACAGCGGTCCTGACTGCTCGACCAGCAGACTTCATATTCCCAACCGTGAGCAGGTTCAGGTAGAGTGCAACGAGAAAGATCAAGACCAGGTATCCTAAAAAGATGGCGAATATCCTGTCTTTGGCACCATAGCCCAAGGCAAGCTGCGTCCAACCCTCGCCAAGGTGCAGGGCATTGACACGTACTTCTTTGCCTAGAACAGCAAAGTAAGGTTCCACAGCGTCTATAACATCTGATTGATATTTGGACAAGACAGAGGGCGGTGACGGCGCAGGAGACGGCGCTGGTGCTTGAGCATTCCAAGCCATGATATGCTCAAATGGCTGGTCCAAAAATTGCAGCAAGGGTTCCAACTGCAGAAAAATGAGTTTAAGCGCATGTGCGTTTCAAATCCAAACCATCGATTTGCTCGTCTCGAGTGCCCTATCAACGGTCGGTTGTCCAAGGACCATGGATGTGATGAACAAGGCGACGACAAAAACGACGTTGACTAGGCGGAATAGCGTCCTTGTAATGAAAGGAATGAGTAGTGAGGCAATGATATACATCACCGAGTCCACAATAGGATCCGTGAGGAGTCGAATAGCACGAATGGGTAGATGGAGAATTTTTAGGAGCCGGTGAGGATTGAGCTTGAAAAATGTTACAGCCTCAAATGTGTCAAGAGTTGAACGGAACGCACCACAAGCAAAGCAGTTGATTTTCCCAATGTGAACGGAATCCATACAAGAAGCCCGATAGCGGTGTCCAAAACGAATATCATTAGTGCAGCCTGGGGAGCTTTTTGAGTTGAGCACAGACAATCTCATGAAGGGCTTACGTTTTGTATGACTCCAAAAACGGGACCACGCATGCCAATAGCTGAGTAAACATCAGGGAGGTGAAAATGCATGGAAACAATAGTCAACCTTCCATGGCTCCGTCCATATCGTCTTCCACATTACCATCAAAGTCATCACCTGCAGCATCCACGATGCCGCCATCAGCGATTGGAGGCGCAGGTCCTTGATCTTGATCTTGAGCAGGACCATCCATTTCTCCATCCCCAACCTCAGCCACCTCGTCGTCTTCAATTTGGATGGCTTGCCAAACTGGAGCATTCGGATTGAATGCAACTCGTGGAGGTCCTTCCAAATCATCGTCTTCGTCTTCTCCCTCATCATCTTCGTCCATTTCATCATCATCCTCGTTGAATTCATCGCGGGGGCTCGGAATATCCTGGAAAGGCGAATCTGGACTTGATGTGCTCCTCAGTTCCGGCGTGTTCCGGCCCGGGCTTGGTGTGCTTCGATCAATCAGTTCACCACTATCTGAGTCGCTAACAGACTGCAGCCTGGGCATCGTCGAGTCTCCCTCTTTGGCTACATCATCATCCTCTGCCTCCGACTCGGAGCTGAGATACCGCAAATGTTCAAACTCCGCATCCGGCTCCTGATCCACCGCTTTAGCTTTTCCTTTTCCTTTTTCAACCCAACGTTGCGTTGCTGGTCCAGGTTCAGAATCATCTAGTTCCAATTCTTCTGGAGCACGGTATGTAGCGAGTGTCGGTGAGCCTCGAGGAGAACTTGGGAGAGAGATCGCAACTGGGTCAATACTCGGAAGTTCGGGTCGCCGGGGAGATTCGTCGTCGAAAGGTCCTTGCTCGCGAACAACATGCGATCTATGGTTTGATTGCTCCACCATGTCAATCTGCCTCTTCTTGCTGAGATGCCGGGGTTGCTCTTCCTCCTCAGTCAATAAAATGTTCCTCGCCAAACGCCTCCGCCTCAGACCATCGCTCGGGGAATCAGGCTCCAATCTTGAACGGGGAGGCGCGGAGAAACTACGTCTTGCTCTATCTCTTGGGAGCTCCCTGGGAGATCTGAATGTGAACTCAAACTTGTCCGAATTCGTGAGATCGGCTGGTGCAGTTTCATCATGCAGCGGTGGCATTGGCTTTCGTAGCCGTCGTGCTGGGAGGGGCCGGATGGGGAGTTCATCGTCATCTATCCGACGATTCCGAACGGGTCGCTGTCGTGCCCGCTCCAAATTTCGCAGCACGTGTCGTCGTCTTTCTGCTAATTCAAGGCGGTCCATCACCATTGCATTCTGTCGTGGGAGGGGTAATCGTTCTTGTGCGGGTGGGGGTGCTTCTTCTAGGACTGGAGGTGCTTGAGCCGGTTGTTCTTCGTCCTCAAATACTCCCGGTCGTGCATTTTGAGATATCCATTCTCGCAGCAAGAAGACAGCAACAAAGGTAAGAACCACAAGGGAAGCAATTATCTGGCCAGTGAATATGTCGGCGGAAAGAGTTTGCCACAGAGGATGTGCAGCCACTCGGCCGAAGAAGCTATCGGGTGGAGGTGCTGTAGGTGACTCGGCATAGAAAAGCATGTAGATCGGGCTACGATATTCGGGGGCATCAGCTGGTCGTGGACGGTCACTTATCCACCAAGCACTAAACAAGAAGGTGAGATCAGAATGACCGCGAAACCAGACAAAAAACGCACGTTGAATCACCCATCGCAAAATACATTCTCCAGGTCATCACTGTTGCCCAAGGAAGGACTGCCAGCCAGATTCCCGCCACCACGACGCCTCGTAATGCAAAAAGTAATGCAAAGAAAGCTTGTTGAGCAACACGTCGAAGAACTAGCACTGGCGGTAGGCGAGTCGGCATGTCGGTCGCGTACACTGATTCCAGCATATTTGTCTTAGTAAGACAAAGACAACGGAAATAGAAGGACAGACACCTTTCGTGAATGAATATGGGTGCTTACACACATCGCAAGTCTTCTTCTTGCTATGAGCGAGCCAAGTCGTCAAACTGACGCAAAGTGAGTAGGGAAATCAAGTCTAGACAGTAGATAGAAAACAGACCAGTCTTGATGAATATAGCGAATAGTACCAGAGCATTTGCATGGGTAAAATAAAGGTTGCTCGGGTTCTGCGGGGGCACTGCATATTCTACAAGTGTCTGAAGAAGAATCAGTTTAAATTTATTGACATGACTTGAGAAGGGCGAACCTTGTTCCTCAGCTTCCTGCATACGGTGGGAGTAGGAGAAACCGTTCACTGAAGAACTCGGTCGTTCGCAGGCTGGGTTGAAGTGGATGGAGTAGGTTTGTGTAAAGGTGAAAGCGAGGTTTAGTCACGTGTGACACAAATTGGGATGTACAAGTTGCTCGTCGTCGCAGTTACATAAGTACTACTACGAGGACACTGTGGTTGTCCGGATACTTTTCTTCAAATTTCTTCACAATTTTTTGGACAGTTGTGGATAAAAGCGTAAGTAATCCGTCTCTGATACAACAAGATAGGTTACATGCGTGAGTTAGTTAGTGTTCTAGAATCCAAAAGATGAGTGCGTGTGGCCCCTCGGCCCACCAGGGAATCCACCAAACCCACCGGCACGGAACCCGCCGCCACCAAAACCACCGCCACCATGAAACTGCGCAAACAACTCTGACAGATCCATCCCGTTCATGCCATTCATCCCATCAGCCATCCCATCCTCGTCTTCTCCATTATCGTATCGCTCTCTTCGGTCACGATCAGAGAGCACTGCATTAGCCTCGACTACTAGCTTGAACTTTTCTTCGTCGCCACCCTTGTCCTGATCAGCCATGTTGCCTCAGCAGGAAGTAGTGGTTGACACACCTTGTCTGGGTGGTGCTTCAAACTCTCGCGCCTATATGCCTTTTTGATGTCCGCCTCGCTGCAATCTCGGGGAACGCCGAGGATCTTATAGTAGTCTTTGGTTTTGCTGCGCTTCAATGCTGCCTCTGCTTTCTTTAATTCGGATCTCAGTGCTTTGACATCCGCCTCTCCCGCACTCCCATCCATTCCCGCTTGCTGGATAGCAGCTTTGAAGTCTCCTACACACCGGTCGTATTGTTCCAAGTGTAGATGTATCCGAGCCCGTGTTCGCAAAGCCTTAAATGACGTTGAAACAAGCTCGAGCGAAATATTCGTATCGGCCAACGCCTCTTCATGTCGATTGAGCTCGTAAACGGTCAGTCGCCGCATATAAACCTCGTTGATAGCTCAACACACTTTAAGGAGCGCGGTGGCTCGATTCGACAACAGTGTTGCCCGTATTTGACCACCTTTGGACTCCTCTTCGGCTTCTCCGACACGCTGTAAGCCATGACGTGAGCTGTGCAAGGAAGGAGAGAGAGTAGAGTCATATACCTCCAGTGCCTCTCCATACTTTCCCACTGCCTCCTCTAATCTACCGGTTTTGAATGCGGCATTTCCCTCGTCTTTGAGCCGTTCAACATCCTTCACTCGTTTTCGCAGTCTTTGGGCTGGCTCATGACCAGGATCACCGCGGAGAGCGGATTGTGAATGTTGTAGAGCCTGAGGCAGCTTCCCACTAAGGAAAAGCACCAGGCCTCGTGCAGTCAATACATCCGGTGAGCTGGGATTCAACCGTAAAGCATCACTGGGGAAACAATAAGCATGGGCAAAAACGGGATAATCGACAACACACTTTGCAGCAGAGTTGGCTGAGTCGAGATTTCCCCGAGCCAACTCAAGCTCGATGCGCCATAACCGCCAATCAATCGGTATCTCGCCGCCCTCGCCCTCGATACCCTGCAAACACTTGTCAAGAGCCAGTCGTGCGTGTGCCCAATCGCGTTTTGCTTTGGCGGCTTCGAATGTTTTGAGATGTCCTTCAAGTAAGTTGATTTTGCTCTGGAGTTGTAGTGCTGGGGCGTTCTTGGGCTCGATGGCTAAAACACTTCGGAGAGTGGAGGAAGCCGGTATTATTTCACCGAGCGCGAACTGACACCTGGCCAATCGAAGTAGTGTTTTTGCAGAGGGAGATGCTGCTTGTATTGTAGCTGCTTGTTGGCAATCCTCGACCGCAAGACGGAATCGCTTGAGACCCATGTGAGCAGCGGCACGATTGGTAAGATAGGATGGCTCGGTTGGATTTAATTCTGGACAAGAGAGTCAGAACAACTCGGAGAGCGTTAGAGTGTCGTATACCTATTGCTTGAGTGTAAAGACCGACTGCGTCGTCGAATTTTTTAGCCTTAAAAGCCTCGTTGCCTTGTTCCTTTATCTTCTCCGCACGAGCGATAACGTCTTCGGGCGATTCATTAAGGGAGGGTAAAGTAGATTCCGTTTGGGGGGAGCTGGGTCCACTCGTACTTGACGCTGGCATCGGTTCTGGTTCGTTGCTGGAGGAAGAGATCGTTAGCGTGTGGAAGTGGCCAAGATGAATAAGGGATCTACTTCAGAGACTCTGCCTGTGGGTTTGGTTGCTTCTTCGCCTTGCTCTTGTTATTCTTCTTTGGCATGGCAAGTTTTGGGTACTAAGAAACGCTGAGTGTCCAAATAGCCTTTCGCACAAGGAGGCAATTGATGGCGTTCGGCGCCTTTTGGCCATCAATTATTATTATTTTTTTCGTTGATTTTTTCTCCCTCAGTTACACGTTCGAAAAACTCGCCATCGACTGCATCGTGGATCGTAGTTGCGCTACGTCCCGACTCTAAATCTGGGCAACGGCCATGGCCACGTGCGGGATTGGCCATCCGTCTTCCTTCAACTGCACTGTGTGTCCAGCCAAGGTCTTGTTTTTTAGGTTCTCCTCACTCTTTTCACTTGACTAACGTTTAACAGTTCTTCCCACCACCACCACCACCTCCTCCTCCTCCTCAGGCTCACTTCAATGAACGCGGGGAGCTTATCCCGTATTCCATTGTTCCCACTTCGTTAATTTCGACGCGATTTCCCACTAACACGGTATGTATTGGCAAATCTTTACGCGGTCTACGACTGTTTTCCTTATTTTACGCGCCCCCGTCTCACCAGTCGAAATTAGACCGCCTTTCTCCCCAAAACGATTGAGATGTTGGAGGAATTCGATGTGGATCTCGAGTTGGAATACCCGGACGACGAGGTTCGTGAGTCTGTGCTCTCATATCCCGTTTCCTGCGCGTATTTTCTGGATGGACCATTCACTGTGCCGTCACCATCAATTATCGTGGGTCCACTCAATTGGCCAATCTGTTTTTCTCGTCCCTCCTCTTTTGTTTGACCTCGTTCACCCATGCGACATTGTAGCCGGTTATGTCCACTCAAGCCCCATTACAGCCTCAGCAAGCTGAAACGCGTCCAAATTCGTCTTCTGTCGGACCCAAGATAGCCATTGTCGCTCCAAAGCCGTTGGCGACCCCACAGAGCGCAAAATCGAAGGTTATTTCGATGTTGTGCCCCACAGACGGCTGCAATGGAATCACGCGCATGCCTGGTCGACGATGTCTGTCGTGTATCCATAACAGCTGGTCAAAACTGCGGGCAACTCAAGTTGTTGGAGGCCAACCCACTGCGATAGAACCTCTACTCAAGCCACCAAAGTCGCTTCTCCGCAAGGGCGTCAACTCAGGCGCAACAGAGGTGAAACCCAAGAGAAAGAAGAAAAATCTGAATGTGCGGCTTCTGGTAAACGTTCCTGGCTCTGATAAACCAGAGATTGTGGTGTTGGATAAGCCAGTGGTTGAAACAGTTGGATACAAATTGACACTACCAGACTCAGAGTCTTGGAGTGGAGGCGGTTGGGATAGCGATTTGACGGACCTCACTTCAGACGACGATCAAACCCAGGTTCAGGTTAGTAGTACTTATGTTTTTCGCAGGCCGTGATGATTTACCGAGCCCCAGCCTGTAGTTGAACCTCCTCGAACGCCCTTCAAGATTCGCATCCCTGCTCGTTCGCCCACTAAACCTCCTAAACCCACTCTGGACTGTCCGTCTGATACGCTACCCCCAGTGCCGGCGGCTCAATCAAATTTCCAGCAACGTCACTGTACAATTGCTCGTTGTCGCGCGCCACTACCACCCATTACCGTTTATCGCTGGAAGTGCTGCACTTCTTGTAGGACACACTATCGACAGTATCAACGCGACCGCCTTCAAGGCCTACGAGACACTGTCGCCGCAACCCTCACACTACCTTTAGCATCTCGGAGTACCTCGCAAGAGCATTCGTCTCCTCGTACACCTGACAGAACATTAGAAATGGCAAAGGAAGTGGAGGATCATTCGAAGAACCTCGCGGACGTAGAATCCTCCCAATCGACATTAAACATGTCGGGTGAAGCGCAATTGGCGCGTTTTCCGGAGTTGTATGTGCCGCAAGCCCGTGTTTGTCCTACTTGTGATCATATCCTCCCTGGCCAGAAGGAATACTCACTAGAATTATGTGTTGTCTGCACTCGACGCGGTCAGCTCAAAGTGAATGAGAACCTGAAAAATGTCTTGGTCTATCCAGCAGTATGCCTCTTATCATCAATTCCACCAAAAACTAAATTCTCTCCTAGATTCCGGTTCGACAGCCGGGTCGGTGCAAATACGTCGATTGTGGATCACTTATGCCTGATGTTGGCATCCAAGAGTGCCAACAATGCATTCGACGCATGCGAAAGCTACCTGGACGGCCTCCAGTGCGGAAGAAGAGCTGCAAAACGCCTCCTCCAACACCGACACCCCCTCCGAAATCCATTGCCACCAAACCAGACGAGGTAATTGATGTTATATTCTCAAGTTGCAACGTTAGTGACCATGCTTTCAAGGAGGGCCGATCAAACAAGAAACGGAAGAGTTTTTCTCCATACCCTGTCTATCAATCCCGAGATGCTGTGATCAAAGATTTTGGCGCACGCTTCCAAGGTTTTATACGAGCTCAGTCTTTCTATACCGTGATGCGCAGCGGCGGCCTGACATCACCAACAATGTTCGACTTCAGTGGGGAATACTCTGTGGTTGCGGCAGACCTGGATGTTATCGGCCGTCGTCCTCTAGCAGAAGCCCACGCGCGGAACGTCAAGAACGATATTGAGCGTGTCTGTGGCATCCAATTCAGCGCTACCAGCTGGGTGAGCATCTTGGGCTCACCTCGTGGCGTTGTGAATCGCTTTGCTTGCGCCCATGTTGTCGACGTACCCGTTTCAAGACATCTTACTTCTCCACCCAAGACGATGCAAGGCGAACTCGAAGTTGCTATCCTTCCCGACGACTCACACAAATATTTTCCGGGTGAGAAAACTATTATTCGCTTCCGTCTGGTTGGATAATATTAGTAATATCTTAAATCCAATTTGTTATTTTGCTACACTTTTTTTTGAGTAGACGACATGTACCTTACTTGCCACGGCGCTAACTTGGAATAAACTAGACCCTTCTTGCTTAGTCTTTCGGTGCGTTAATTCACGAAAGTACTTTACCTTCGTCTTTTGACATTTTCTAGGGATGACCAAACTGCGCACAATGAGTTTCCCTCGTGCCGCCACAACAATAGTCTAAAGGAACGCTTCCTAGTTTCCTACCACCATCACAATGGTTCATTCGACCGTACCGTATGACCCCGCCATGCGCGTTGGGATGGGGTTGGTGCATTTCATTCATCTCGTATCGTTGGATTGACTCTCGTCAGGTACAACTCATTCACTCAGGAACTCTGCTCGCGAGACGTAGTTACAGCCAAACCAGCTCAGCTTCCACCCAATTCAAAGGGACCGTCAAACGCAAACAGTCAGGTCGCCAGCTCCAAAGTCTCTTTCAACGAAACCTCGCGGCCTTTGAATGAACAAGCACGAGTGACCGCTAAATTCATCACACGATTCCCCGACCTGGTCCAAGTCTTAGGCGTTACTCGTATTCACTGTTTACTTCCTTCGAAGGCACTGATCTCACAAAATCACAGCTGCATCCCACATCAAGCGCGGACGACAATACGCCGACTTACTCAATGTCGACGACTTCAACGACCATCACATTCATTATGTTGTACATGTCCTTGTAACTCAAGAAGTCTCGAGTTCTATCGAGCTGACCGAGCTCAATGTCATCGCAACTCTACCCAAGAAAGACTTCTCCGCAATCTATGGTGATTGCTTCATCTCAGGGTTCAATGAGGGCGGGGAGTTCATTGCACTTATCTCCCTTAAGCTTGAAGAACCTTCCAGCGCCAATATCAGAGCTGTTAAGAGTTATTTGGAGGGACAGATAGGATTCGCAGCTTCACCGCTCGCTACAGTCGACCCCAAGCAATTACCCGATCACGACATAAAAATCGTCACGCATGTTCGAGGTGGAGACAATCTTTCTTCTGGGCAAGACCGGACGCTGCGCAACATAAGAGACGAAGCACTCTTTTTCTCCAAACATGCATTCGCCCATCCTGTGCGGTTAAGGTTTGTCTGGTCTTGCATCATCATTCTATTGGAATAAATTGTCTTGACTAGTCCCATTTTGACGAAGTATACTACGTTGATGGGCTTTCACATCGCAAAAGCTCAGAATAACTTTATGGGTTCGTCTTTACCCTAAGCTCTACTGAGATTTATAACTGTTGCTGGGCAGTGCCTGAATACGAGGAGCACGGGGCTGCGATTTATGCGGAAGAGTTTCTAGAGGCATATGTGGAGTACAAAGCTCTAAGCCAGAACATTCAGCAAGGCAAAAAAAACTAACATCGTCCCTGCTTCTTGGCTGATGAGACTCTTCCAGCCATTCACAATGTCGAACAAGGTTTCGCCTCTCTCGCCCTTCAACCAGCCGCGTCAGAACTCGAAAAGTTCTCCGCTGATGCTAAAGCCGGCTATGAAGCTCGAGAGGACTGGGTCATCCAGTCAAAGGAATCAACACCCACCACCGCACCCATCGCTCTGCCCTCGTCGACAACGATCTCGCCGCCTAAGTGGTTTAACGAGCTCTCTCCATACCCAGCAACAACCCTTGGGCTAGGGCAAGCGTATCGAGACATTCAGCGCGAGATGATCAGGATTGTGGAAGAGGCAAGTAACGATCCGTTGAGACAATCTGGGATACTCGTGAACATATTGGTAGCTGAACGCAATTTCCGACGACCCGGAACTCGTCACTACATCGGCGCGCTTCTGGGACAATCGCTCCCCAACCGTGTTAAAGAAGTTGTTACCGGTGAGATTACTAGTACATATATGGTTGACGAAGCAGCACTGAATGGCAAGTAGACGGTAACCGATCTCCGGAAGCAACAGCTTCAAGTCGAGCGTGAACAAGCCCTAAAAGTCTTGATCCATGAGTCCAAAGAACTAAAACAGGAAATGGAAGACCAACAAAGTCGCATCAACGAGCTGGAGGCATCAAAGGGAATCCTGCAACAACAAGTCGTTGAGCTAGAAACGGTGGCACGCAAACTTGAGTGAGTAACAATTGCAAGTCATCACAGTTGAATTTCCTACGTTGTTAAAATGGTACAACAGCCCTTATAGCGGATTTTGTCCCGTGGAGCTGAACAAGCCTGTGCATTTTGTCGTAGTCGCGAACTCGAAGTCGATGGACTACGATTTCTCCAACGGACGGGGTTCATTTAGAGTCCACCAATATGACACTCACTCAGATAATCCTAACCAAAAGGAAAGAAACTTCATCCTATCTCTTCAAGACCTTGGGTTGATATTTTCTTAGTTCGAGGTTGTCTCTGGTGGGCCCAAAGGCTATCACATCCGACATCGTGTTACCGGTCGTTATCTGGGTGCTAGTCGAAGCGGACAAGTCGGGGCCGGAGTGTACATGGAAATGAGCGACTTCCCTTTGAGCCACTTCATATTCGAGAAAGTGAAAGACGATGTTGTGATGTGGGTGCCAATGCTCGTTCATCGCTCAAAGACTCGTGCTTACTGTGGTTCTTCGTAGAATTCGCTTGGGTGAACAACCTGAATTCGTGCTCAATGTTCAGAAGAACTCCCAGAATGAAGGAAAGCTCTTCGTTTTGAACAATGACTCGGAGACGGGACAGCCTTGGATTCAATGGCGATTGAAGCCATTCTAAGTAATTTTACCGTAATAATGTAGACTCCAGTTTGTGACCCTAAAGCTCCAATGGTCCATCTGCGGGCCGGCCGGCCGCTGATCGTGATGCGAGACACTTCACCCCAACTTCACCCATGAAGCCGCCTCAGACAAACAATTACGGGGTCTACCCTCCATCAAAAAGTCGTCCTTTTAAAGCATTTCATAGAGCGTCTCAACAGCCTAGTGGAAGCCCTTAGACTCAGGTGCAAACGTTCTCTCGTTTTTTTTTCCGCGACTTAGAAGCGGCGGCTTATTTGAAGAATGTCTGGAGGACACTACTCGGACCTTTTGGACGTCCGCAGATTCAACACTTACCACATCCATTATCTTATCCATTGCGACTCGCGAAACAACACATGAAGCGACCGCTGCAGCTGGTGTTCTCAATCTCAACCTGATATCATTCCGAACCTCCCAGCAGAAAAGCGAATCGTACAGAAACTCGTTTGTCTCCGGCTTCAGCTGTGAAGCGCCAGATCGAGTCCAAGCTCACCAACGATAATGCTAATGAGGAGGTGACGGACAAAGTAGCCTCATTGTCAACTGGATTTGCGGTAGTGGTTTCATCGCCCTCGAACCCCGGACATTGCAAAAGTTATCAACTTTCCAGAGTATGCGCTTGTGCATCTCTGTCTCCTCGTTAGCCCTTCGAGTGTTCTTATAGTCTCTCCAGCGCTGTTTTGACGCGATACGATACTCTTCCGTCTTTCCAAGTTGCTAAGATACAGCACAATCTTATGGCAGTCCAATTGCACATTTAATTTTTACCGCGCGCTCTTGATGTTGCGCGCTCTTTTTGGGCCGGATTTAGTGATTTTCCCGGTAAATCACGGATACCAAAAGATGGCGCGGTAAAAGTGTCCGCGCGCGCTCTTTTTGGAAACGCGCGCACTCTTTTGCCCAAATGCGCGCTACCTTAAAGTTTGCACAATCCTTTATGGCAGCAGATATGTATGGTATTAGCATAGATACTCATACTCTCAATGCCCCCCCTGGTTGAGCAGCTCAGCTTGAAGCTGACCATAGATCTGGATATAGACACTGTATGGTTGCCATTGTCCATGAATATGTACTAGCCAAAGCTTGCAAGCCTGTCATAACTAGTACTAATTCCTACTGATTCAGAACTGAGCATCACTTGCTATCAGGCTCATACCCAGCCCTCGTTGCAGAGCTTAATCCTAGAGCGTGTATTTCAATCTAAATAGTATCAGTTTTGGGGAAAATCAAAAAAAAGTGTGACAAATGTGACGGTTTTGGGGAGGTGCGCTCTGCAAGAGGGCTGGCGCAAGTAACCCGGACCGAGCACCGAAGCGGTGCAGTTATCCCCGGTTGGTCTCGCTCAACCAAATTGTCGCGCGTCGAGTACTGCGTCTACCCACCCATTCACCGAGTCTCCCGCGTCCGTCGACGCGTCCAACCCTCCGCTCCGGTCTCTGTACCGTCCGAGCCCACGTCCCGGAGCCCCAGTCCATCCCCACTGCCCCCCAAACCGACTCGATGACAAGCGCGGGGCATTGTTGAGGATGAAGCCCGTAGATTGGGCAAGGGAGAGGTTGGCACGGGCAAGGGGACCGCGTCGAGGACACAGAGAGCAGCCCAGGTGTCATGCATGTCATGGGCCATGGCGGTCGGCCACGCCAAACTCGTCTGCGTCACAGGCGCATCCGGGGATAACTGCACCGCTTCGGTGCTCGGTCCGGGTTACTTGCGCCAGCCCTCTTGCAGAGCGCACCCCCCCCAAAACCGTCACATTTGTCACACCTTTTGATTTTACCCGAAAACTGATACTATTTTAGATTAAAATACCGCCTCTCGGATTAGCTCTGCAACGAGGGCTGGGTATGAGCCTGACTTGCTATATATAAGGGCATCTGCACAGTGAAATAGCCCAGACCGTTGACAGCAGGGACAACGACAGGAGGGGGATTAGTTGAAACAACACTGGCAGGTGAGATGATGATCTTGTTTGCAGCCATTGGCCAGTCGAAGATTTCGTTGTGTAGATGCCCTTAAATATATAGTGAGGGTCTAGGTTGCTGCTGGTATTCCTGGCTATGGGTGGCCTCAAGCTGAGCTACGGAACAGAAAGAATTCCACAAATTTGAAGGTAGCGCATTTTCTTTCATTTGGGCAAAAGAGTGCGCGCGTTTCCAAAAAGAGCGCGCGCGGACACTTTTACCGCGCCATCTTTTGGTATCCGTGATTTACCGGGAAAATCACTAAATCCGGCCCAAAAAGAGCGCGCAACATCAAGAGCGCGCGGTAAAAATTAAATGTGCAATTGGACTGCCATACAATCTAACTGGTTTGCCGCTGAAATTTGCGACGACCAACTTGAAGTTATGCACAAAGAATACTCATAGCAGGGTCCTCCTTGACGCCTATATATACCGTAAATGCGGACTCCTCCAAACGCGTTGGCTCCCTACGCTGCGAGTTCGATTGGCCTTGACCAGCCAAGACGCGATTGCCAAAAGTCCTGATATCGATCCAGCGAAAACCTGAGACTCTATGCTGACTGGTGCCCCCCCCTCCCGTCGAGTTAGAGCAGTCGATTAGAATCCGCTCAGTGCTGAATGGGAGGTCAGCACCCCCGAGCCCAACGAAGATAGCTCCTCCATCAATTCGACAGAACCAAAAGGTGAGCTTGCTGGCAGTGAAGAGAGCCTATTTTCAATCGATGCACAGTCCGAAGTCGTTGGTGGAACTCCGATGCGATATGCTGTTATGCATTGTCCTTCGGGCCAGTATTTGACCACGGCGGGAGACATGGGGCCCTATGGTGTTCGCATGACGATGAGCACTACTCAGCACTACTCCCACTCTGCTCACTTTTGAGCAAGATCCAAGGACGTGGTTATGTGAGCATTAGATCATCTTCAAGTGTGCTCCTATTAACTTATGCTGATAGGATTCGGTTGGCCGTTCATGTGGAAGGGGGCTGCCTGAGAAATGGAGTCAAAATTATAGCATATCGAGGCGAGAAGGGTATCTCTGACCAATGGCGTCTCAAGTCGTTTGAGGACCTCTCTCGATTCCATGCCCACGTTTTTCTGTCCTATCCTGTCAAAGTCAATTTGTTTTGCTCTGGCGATCAATTGCTTCCGCGGTGGCTGTAGGAAAAGGAGCTAGATATTGCAAGTTGGTCTACATTGTAAATAAGTCAAGTTCATCGGACGCAGGCGGGCATCAAGCCATAATTAAGGAAGGACTAGATATAAGGAGCTGTAGGCTGTGAAGGAGGGACAAATATATGTAGACACAAACCAAGAAAATCAGAGACCAGTTACAACAGAGATTCGGGGCAGGTAGATCTTACAACAACGTCGAGTCCTTTAATCGTCTCGCATTTCCTCCTCGATAGCGCCGAAACCTCTCCACATCCCTGGGCCGTGGTAAAACTCGGCACTAGGGGACGAGGGAGTTGGCGAAACTGGACCGGCAGGAGCTGAATAGAATACATCTGCGTCAGGCAGTATTGGTTGTGGTTGGATCGTCAAGCGTGTGAGGGGCGGACGAGCTGGGGCGCTCAATGGAACTTGTGGTAATGGGGCATTCGGTGGGGGTTGTGTGGGGGCAAACAGTAAAGCAATGGGACGTTTGCTGGTCAAGGGTTTGCGAGTGCGAAGTCTAGGCGCGAGTTAAGATGATTGATGAATCATTCTGACGAGTGCAACCCACCGATTACTCAGACTGCCACTGCGGATTCGACCCACCATGCTACTCTCCTCCGATGCCACATTCAAGCTGCCACTTCGCGAGCGGGGGGAGTTGACTGCAGCGTTGTGGGCCACGTGCCACGCATTGCCAGCAGCCCGTGTAGGAGATTTGAGCTTGATCGCACTGACTGGAGACACAGCGTTCGTGATGCTTGAACGTCGTTTTCGTGGAATTGGCGAGCGGAGGCCGGTCTTTGTGTACGGCATCGGGGACTCCAGAATAGGCGAGTGTGGATGGTTTTCATCGTCGGTCTCGTCTTCAATCGGATGATAATGCAGCCCAGAGTTGAAGAAGAGGCTATATGGGCTCAGGGTGTGCGTCATGACGTGCGTTTGGAGGGAGTGAAGGTCGGGTAAAAGAGAAGGGGAGCGGTCGTCGGGTGGGAAGAATAAAGTGAGAGACAAATCGCGAGGTCGGCTATTTGAACTGTGACGTGCCATCAGATCGGCTGTGACTCAGTCAAGCTCCACCTTCACATCACCTCACATTTCCCGCTCACAAATATTCTCCGTGGCATGCGACGTACCACAGACCATTCACAGATCCACTCAATTCGGTGTGATAGTTGCCTTAGCTACCGGAAAACGTTGCACAAATGCATCTTTGTCCGTGAGTACTGAAAAGTTCGAGCAATCACGTAGTTACGACCATGCAAAAGACGTGTAGATCAACTCTGGAAGATGTTCTACACATGGGACGCATCTGGTTGAAGCCTTCAGTGAAGTTCAACTTATTCTCTCTTCAGGACCCACACGATGACTCGAATGCCTCCTTCCAAGCACAGGCAAGTTGCAACCATCGCAGCAGAATTCAAGCTATCAAGTCCTTATGATGATCTCATGCCAGCCTCTCAAACCTATAGTATCAAGCATCTGTGTTCAATCTCCTACTCGCGAACTGCTTGATTAAACAACGTTCAAGCGGAGAAAATCCCGAACGTTTGGCCAGGGTTTCCAGTCTCGCACTGCTGAAGCTGCACGACAGTGCCAGATCCCTCGAAGGTGATACACTGGCCGATTCCATTTGAGCCGTCCGTGAGCTCAAATGTGCATCCATTTCCGGCAAGGTCGTTCCCCTGAGCGAACGAATCGCATGCCGCGCAGTTAACTTTGAATGTGGCAGGTGTATCACTAGCAAGGAGCTTAGAACCTGAAACACCGATGCTCTGGGCTTCTCTGCGCTGGAAGGTGAAGAGGTTGGGCTGGTTGCCAACGTTGGCGGTGAAAACTTCGTTGTCATTAGGCTGGTCGATGGTGAACTTGTTATTACCATTCAGTGTTGATGATGCACAAATAGCAAGACAGCCACTTACCCAAGCGACATCGCCCTGCTGAATGAGCCCTGCAGAGATAGTGAAGAGGTCCCATCTAGTTTTGCCTACATCATCGGCAGCCGTTCAGTCGATCCAAATGGTCTACTCAATAAAGTACAAACCAGTGGGATCAGCAGAGGCAACGATACTCAAACCGCCGAGCTCTGGAGCGTCGATTAGCACACAATTCACTCAAAGGTCGATGCCCCTACGTTGGAGAGGGCAAGTATTTTGGCGCTTATGTGTGGCTGGCGCAGCGAACACGACAGACGCCATAGCGGCAAGGAGAACAAACGACGACTTGACGAAGAGCATGCTGTAAGAAGAAAGCAACGGGGGAGAAAAGGTAGCACTGGCAAATGGCGCCAGGCACAAAGCAAAGTGAAGAAAGGAAGGGAATGAAGAAACTCTACTGATGGTGGACCCTTTATACGTTTTCTAGAATTAATTCTAACTCGGTCGGTGTGCTATCCACAGTCCAAACTTGGGCATTTCGTATTGGCCTATTTGTTACAGCTATTCTGGGCTTGAAATCCCGCCAATAACTTGCAAGTATCACCAAGCTGTTCATCTTAGACTTGCGCTCAGGAAGCAGATAGATTCCCTTCCACTCGACATTGGGCGGGGTTTCTATTCTAATATGTTTGTTGGGTTTTACTGAAAGCGAGGTGGGCGTCGAGAAAGAGATGTCATCGTTATCTGATTCAAGTTTAAATGATAATTATTTAATGTTGATCATCTAATCAAGCCACAGAGAAAATCCCAAAGGATTGCCCAGATTGCCAGCCTGACATGGCTGTAACTGCACGACGCTATTTGCGGCCTGGAAGGTGATACACTCCCCAATTCCGTTCGATCCGTTTGTCAGCTCGAATGTGCATCCATCTCCAGCGAGATTGTTTCCCTTTGCAAACGAGTTGCACGCTCCGCAGTTGACTTTAAAGGTCGCAGGTGTTGGGCTGGCAAGCAGCTTAGAGCCAGAGACCCCAATGCTCTGAGCGCCACGGCGCTTAAAGGTAAACAAGTTGGGCTGGCTCCCGACCGCGGCTGTGAATACTTCGTTTGCGTTGGGTTGCTTCTTGCTGAACTGCGAGACAATGAGGAAACATTTCATTGCGAAAGCTTTCGTGAAAAATCACCCAGGCCAAATCGCCCTGTTGAATTAATTTGGAAGATACTTATGGTGAACAAATCCCAACGAGTTTTGCCTGCCAGTGGGTCACGTTACTAAGCAAAACAATTGATGTGGAATTGGTCTGGACTGACCATTGGGGTCTGCGGAGGCCGTCACACTCAAACCGCTGAACGCTGCAACCGTTGAGATCAGCCTAGCAGAAGAAGGAACAAGTGTTATACTGTTGAGTGGACAGACGCTCTGCCGCTTGAATGCCGATGGCGCAGCGGAAACGATTGAGACTACAATCACAAGGAGACCGATGAGACCAGTAAGTTGCATGATGGAGCTTGAGGGGAGACAGGGAAGGGAATGAAAGAAGAAAAATGTGGTTTGTTGACAGGAAGAAGGAAAATGTTGGCACCAGGCCAAAGTGCAAGAAGGAGAAGAAGTGAGGAGAATTGACCCGGGCCGAGGCTCGAGCTCTTGCTTTTGAAGCTTTGGTGTGCACGGCGTAAACACGGAGACTCGGGCGGGCAGCGGGCTCAAGATGACATTCATGAGCTACATTGATCCAATGTCTATACTGCAAACTTCTGGTTGCATGTACTAGAGTTTGGCGCCTTGGCGAAGAGTCAAACTGAGAGAGTTGGGCCCCAAATTCGTAGAGTTATGCTACATTTCGGTCAGCTGACACAGCGTTGCTGGGCCCCGGAAGTGTTGAGAGATTTGAGCGATGATATATGCTAGCTTTCTGTCTGGGGGTGTCCAACCGTCGTTGAACTTGAAGCTTGAAGTCTTGAAAACGCTGACAGATGATGGCATCGATAATTTGTCAGACATCAGTTGCAATCTTATCTAGGTACTGTACATGGATTCCTGTTGGATTAATGATGAAATAGACGCAGCGAAGTGTGAGCAAAGACGATCCCATGTTCATCTGCCGCCTTTATGCACTCAGAATCCATAACACTCCCACTCGGCGCCGCCAAATAACTGACCCCACTTTTCCGTGCCCGATGAACATTATCAGGGAAGGGGAAGAATGCATCGCTGGAACACGACACGCCCTCAAGTTTGACGGCCCACTCTGCTTTCTCTTCGCTAGTAAGCGGTGCAACAGTTCCCTCAAACATACTTTCCCATTGTTCCTTCTCCCCGCCCTCGAGAACTTCACCGCCAACGAAGAGATCAATCGCGTTGGCTTTCTCGGCGCGCTTTACGCCTTTCTTGAACGGCAAGGACAAGACACGGGGGTGGTGGCGAAGCCACCAAATGTCGGCCTTTCCGCCAGCAAGTCGGGTACAATGAATCCGAGACTGTTGGCCAGCACCAAGACCAATGATGGCACCATGCTTCGCGTATGCGACGCTATTGGATTGGGTATATTTGAGCGCGAGGGTAGCAAGGATCAGGTCGGTCTGAGCGTTTGAAGGCAGCTGTCATATAATTGAATTCGAGGTAAAGTGGGACAAGAAAGGGACCGACATCGGTTTTCTTCGTGACTATGTTGCTGAAAAGACCAGCATCAATTTTCGCGTTGTTACGTAATTGCTGTAGGTGCACGCCATAGACCTGTTTGGTCTCAACGGTATCAGGTACGTAGTTTGGATCAATCTACCATTTGTTAGTCGGGTTACGAGCCCAGTAGTTTTATAAAAAAAACCTCGAGGACACAATATTTCCCTCCCTTCTTCTTTGCCAAAACGTCTAGTGCCTCTGGAGAGTACCCTGGAGCGATAATACCGTCAGAGACCTCCCGCGAGATAATCTTGGCTGTAGCGAGATCGCAAGGGGCTGACAGTCCAATGAAGTCGCCAAAAGAGGACATACGGTCTGCCCCACGTGCTCGAGCATACGCACAAGCCAATGGGGTCAGTGCCTCCTTGAGATCATCAACACCGTAGACTTTTTTCTCGGTCTCATCGAGTTCGATACCAACTGCGGCGCCTGCTGGAGAAACATGCTTGAAGGAGGCGGCAGCAGGAAGACCCAGAGTTTCTTGAAGCTCTTTCACAAGCGCATATGAGTTGAGCGCATCGAGCAGGTTGATGTAGCCGGGGGACCCACAAAGCACTATGTGTTGTAAGAAGGCAATTCGACTTGAATTTTATCGGGACGCACCCTTAAACGGCAGTTCTCCCTTGGTAACATATGCTTGTGCCGGCTTTTGATGCGGGTTGGCGCCATATCGGAGGGCGATTCTCTGAACAGAGCCAGCAAGTTTGTCTTTGGGAAGTTCGGCTGAGGCATATTGTTCCCTGAAGTATCCGCTGATAGCATCGTCATATTGGGCTGTCATCTCAAACGCTTTGAGAGCGAGTTTGCTTCGTAGAGTTTGTCCAACATCTCCCCCTCCCGTTTTCCATGCCTCCACAAACTCGGAGTAGTCGGAGGGATCAGAGACAACCGAAACTCGAGCATGATTTTTGGCTGCTGCACGCAAGAGAGTTACGCCTCCAATGTCTATTTCTTCCACCGCGTCCGCCAGAGTGCAGTTGGGTTGAGCAATGGTGGATGAAAATGGATAAAGGTTGCAAACGACGATAGAAATTGGTGAGATTCCTTGCGCCTCCAGGTCCTTCTCGTCAGACGGGATCGAGCGAGCAAGAATTCCACCGTGAACAGCGGGGTGGAGTGTTTTGACGCGCCCACCAAGCATTTCGGGCGCCTTGGTTATATCGGAGACATCTCTACACCAAATTAGAAAACATGTTAATGTGGGATTAGTATACGCACTCAATGGCAATTCCCGCGTCTCTGATCTTTTTCGCTGTACCGCCAGAGCCCAAAAGCCGAACACCAGCTGCATCGAGAGCCTTGGCAAATTCGATGAGACCGGTTTTATCGTAGACCGATAACAGTGCTTGCTATAGCGTGAATGGCAGAAAAGAAATCACGGCCACCATACCGATGGGCTTGCTCATCACGGCTGAAGAAGAAAAATAAACAAGAGATTTTCGGTTCAGGCAGGCATAGCGTGACATCACTGATCGCGGCGTCGTTCTATCCTGTTCCATCCAGCCACCATATCGATTCGCAATTTGGAAAGGCCAGGGTCGCTATGTCTCTTCAAGTGAATCTCTCCAGCAGGGAGATTCACACGGCATACCAAAATGTCTTGAACTCAAACGGCATCGACTGGGCGATATTCACCTATGAGGGCGGCACCAACGATTTGAAAGTACAAGGAACTGGCGACGGAGGACTCGAGGAGTTGGAAGAAGAGTTTTCCGACGGTCGGTGAGCCCAGTTTCCTTTCAAGAAATGAATTCCCTTTCTTACGTGGTATAGGATTCAATACGCCTTTGCTCGTGTCCTTGATCCTAATGTGCCTCACGATGTTGATGTCCGCTGGACCTTGAATACTGACCGCTCGACAGAGCAAACTTCCCAAATTTGTGCAAATCAACTGGTGCGGCGATGGTGTGCCAGAACAGAAGAAGGGACTCTTCCATACCCACTCGAACGCAGTTGCAAGTTTTCTGCGAGGAACTCATGTTGTGCTCAACGCTCGAAATGAGGCAAGTCACTGAAACTTGAACTAGACCTTTCTCCTGAATGATGTTAGACCGATGTTGCGCCCACGCTGATTATGTCTCGAGTCGAAGCCGCCTCCGGAGCCAAGTATTCTGCTCACAAGGAGACTGCCCGTAAGTTCGAGCCCATCGCTCCAGTAGGCACCAACTACAAGCCAGTTGGCACTCCGGATATTGCTGCTATGCGCAAGGCAGCACCGCCTTCGGCCCCAGCTGTCTCAAAACCCGCCTTCGGCGCGCCGAAATCCGCCGCAAGTCTCTATGGGCGCTCAGTCGACAAACGAACGACCGCTCTCGATGATGATTGGTCATCTAGCAGTCAGCCCACTGTTGCTCCTGTAGCCCAGCCGCCTGCCCTTCCAGCGTCTTCCCGTCCACCCGTTTTGCCCACTACTTCTCGTCCACCCGTGTTGCCCGCCACTTCGAGACCCGTTGTCGCCGCAACAGTGAGTCGTAGCAAGTCATAAAATGACATTCACTGACTATCTATGAGCCCGTCGCCCCTACTGTGGCACCAGTAGTGTCGTCTAACGTTCCAACCAAGCCTTCTGAAGATGATCGGATCGGGCCCGTTGGTACAGCATATACACCCGTCTCACTCCCTGCCCCGAAGAAACTCAAGAATCCATTTGCTCAATTTGAACAGCAAGCACAGACGCAATCGCCCCCGCCTCGCGCAGCACCTACAGGGAAACTCACTTGGAGTCAAAGGCAAGAACTAGCGAAAAAACAACAGGCAGAAGAAGAAGCGCGAAGTCGGGAAGCTTCTTTTGTCCCGCCTCCCGTAACCACTGCGCCATCGTTCGCCAAACCAACGCCAGCCGTTGAGAGCCCTCCTGCCCCCCGCGCATTTGTCCCTGTGCCACCCCCACCTCCCAGGTCTCCAGAGCCTGAACCTGAGCCAGAATGGGAGCCTGAAGAAGAAGAAGAAGCTGCTGTAACCGCTTTCTTGCTTGCAAAACAATCGTTGTGTTCACGTGACTCGCTAGCCATCTCCACCTCCACCGCCGCCACCACCGCCACCGCCACCGCCTCCCCCGCCACCGCCTGTCTTCCAGGCGCCTCCACCTCCACCCGTGAGTATCCATGTGTTCAAGTCTTCAGAACATTTGAATCCTGATATTCTAGGTTCGCGAGCCAACCCCTCCAGTCAGTGTTCATGGCACACAAGAGTCCTTCAATCATTTCTCAACTCTCAACTACTAGATTCGAGAACCAACTCCCGAACCAGAACACGCTGCTCTCGTGTCTGGTCAAGGATTATGCGCGGTTGTGCTATTTGACTACGAGGTCAGAGATAGTTGGAAGTTGGCATGTACTGACTCGTATCCATAGGCTACAGAAGAGAATGAGATGAATCTTCTCGAAGGCGAGCTTATCGAGCAGATCGAACAGCTAGACGAGGGCTGGTGGAGTGGTATTGGGCCCGGGGGCAAGTCAGGATTGTTCCCTGGTCCGTTTGTTCGTTCGATCGTCGGATTGAGTGCTCAAATTTCCGTCAGCAAACTACGTTGAACCTGTGGAAAGCGGTCCGGTTGAAGAAGAAGCGCCACCCCCGCCTGTAAATCCCCATTTTTTGACTTAATATTTCTATTTTATTGACAGTCGTTAGCCTCCTCCTCCACCACCACCACCACCACCAGTGAGTCTTCGAAATTTACTGAAAGCATCGTCTCATGAACTGACGAACTCGTTAGCCTCCGCCGGTGAGTTTCCCGAAACGATTGAAAACACGTCAAATAATATTGACCGATGTAGCCACCGGCCGCACCAGCTGCCCCTGCCCCTCCTCCTCGCGTTCCAACGCCCGAACCAGCTCAAGACCAAGGACCAACTGCAATTGCGCTATACGAGTTGGTCGCGCTTCACAAATCCACAACGCAAACTGACTTGCTTCGTAGTTACGATGCAGCTGAGGACAATGAATTATCATTCAAAGAGGGGGATCTAATTGTGGACATTGAAGCAGCAAGTGAAGATTGGTGGCAAGGTCGTGGTCCCCATGGTGGTGTGGGCCTGTTCCCTGGTCAGTCTACTTGCTTTTTCTTGGTAAAGTGCTCTGACTTTTATGGCAGCCAACTACGTAGAACTACAAGAGTAGCCGGTGACTGATTATTATTATTCTTACAAGGACTGAAACAAATTTTTTACTTGGTGCCGCGACTGACTTGACCATTCCCATCCATTCCGTTTCCTGCCAGTACTGAGCATTAGGAAAGATTTCTCCGTTCAATAGAACGATTTGAATCTCCGACATACTTCGATGCATTATTGTCCAACCCTCAATTTTCATCGTGTTCGGCTGTGGGTTACAATCATACCTCCCGCCAGCGTCGGGAAAACCCAAGGCACACACCGTGAGTTAATCCATCTTCTCTATGGCAGGCACACCATAGACTCCGACTTCAAGTTGGATTCGAAGATACCCTCCAAATATGTCCGTTGTTCTATCTGCCGCGCTCTACGCGCGCAAAGGCAAAAACGTGGTTGCAGCGTGGTCGTTCTCCAGCCGCAATGCGCCTACTTATCGTCAACACCCCCGCCATCCGTGGGATGCTCAGCAATTCGGCCGAAAACCACCTCCCCTGAAGATAAAAATAACCGTCACACGACCACAAATACGGCGTTCTGGAATGCGTCCGACGAGAAGTCATCTGTTGGGATGTCTATTCAACTCTCCAGGATGCACAAAAATCGACTCAAATTCGTCCTCCTTCCGTCTTTGCGCAGTGCATGTACGGATAAGTACTGGTCACATGATTGCGACCAGACCACGGAGCTATGCCGGGGCCGGGAAAACTTCTTGATCGCGCCCACAGATTTTCTGGCAAACGCAGGACTTGTGGAAGAAGCAGAAGAAGTTCTAGGTAATCCACGCCATCAGAGGGTGAAACCTTGTACGACATAAAAATCGCGGCGACCTCGTCTTCTGCCTGCCTTTTTTTGCAGCCGACCGTATCTCGAGCTCCGAGTGATGTCCAACTGTCAGACAGCAAAATGAGATCAGCTTTGGTTTCTGGGGGAGCACAGTGGCTTTTCTTAACCCAGAGTGGACTGTTGCCTTGTTTTTGGATCACGCTTCGGCATCACTGTGTACTCCACTAGCCTTGAAAGAGGGAATTTCCCAAAGCGGGGTTTTTAACCTGACCATCTTCCCCAGATTTACGGCAATTCCGTCTTATCAGGCGTCGCTTCTGGCACATCCGAGTCCTATATAATCAAGTGGAACGGGCGGCCGAGCAACTCCTTTGCTTTCCTGCGCTTACTCTGCCTAACATGCATTCACGCTCTGGAAATGGTCCTTTGGCGACCCCACAATCTAGACTGTCGGTGAGCAGCTCCTTATCTGGATTGTTTTTAGCTTGTTGAAACTCTCTAGCGTGCTCTGGGGCACCGACGCCGACGGACTATTTCTGTTGTGTCTGTCTCCCCAAATACCACCTCCAAAATCATGATTGCTGTAAACAGCAGTCCAAGCACGAGCACCAAGACAAACGGGAGTGCATTAGGGTCGTTTACCCTGACTGGGTGCGCTCGAGACGCGTTGCTGGATGTCGCTTTTCCCAAGCTGGACGACGATGGCTATGACGAGTACGGAGAGAGTCTCGATTCTCATGACGCGTTTTTTGCGGCTCGTGACCGTGATGATGACTTGCCTGGCCCTCTTCGTCTCCGCTCAGACAGCAGCTGCACAGATGTCTCGATTCCGTCTCTCAGCAGAACAGCTTCTCCCTTCCAGGAGCAGTCGTCCATTCCACCAGGCTGGGGTCAATACCCCCGTGTTCGACCACGAGCCGTCACTTCTGTCACACTTCCTCCAATAGCCGGCATCCACCCCATACTCGAATCGCTGGAACATGGATCACGCGTCGCAACAGGGCCAGTTATGTGTGCTGCCTGCGAAAAACTCGGTTCTAATTTCCCTCGCTGCAAACACTGTGCACAAATGTGGTGCTCTAGAGAATGTCGAACCTCACCATTTCATCGATGTCATACCAACAAGGCAAAACAAGCCGCGGTGTGATTTGCGATGCAGAGAATTCTTGTGGCTAGAAATACAATAGTACATTGTGTGTCTGTGTGATTAGTTGAGGTATACTTTTTTCATTCAACTCTCCATCTCGTCAAGCGACACACATCCTAAGGATTGGGCCCGCTGATATAATTCCTCCCGCTTGATTTCCTCCTTGGTTAGATTTGCGAGAGTCAATAAAGACTCGGCAAGAAAAGCCTGCAGCTCGTCGTCATTGCTACCGCCTTCCTCTGCGGCAGCCCTTTCGAAAAAGCCAATGGCCCGTTGCAAGCCATCGCGAGCGTCTTCAGCATCCTCCGAGTCAAAGATATCATCCCAGTCACGAGACTCGCCCGTCTCTTCAATGTCCTCGACATGGGCAGTTCCGTAGACAAGCCAACATCGACCACGGATACGACCGATAACAGCAGTCTGTCCCTGGGCAGGAATTTGGCCAAGTACGTTGTCCGCCCAGGCTGCCCATCGCATTCGTTCTGAAGCAGCGGGTAGCCGCTCAGCCACTCCCAAAAATTCAAGAGCAATTGTGAACAATTCGGCAGCTCGACTGAATTGGGGTGAACTGGAGTTGATAGGGGTTGGTGTGACAGTATGTGGCATAAGGAAGATGCCTCGAGTGAAGTGATCCATGGCCAGCAGGAGGAGCTCGTGGGGTACAGCTGAGGCAAGCGATATTCGTCGAGAGGCAGGTGGTCTTCGCATTTGGATGGCCGCAAAAACAGAAGCGCTTGGTGACAACCATTTGGGCTCAACGACGGGAGAGGAGTTGTTTCGTTGCTGGGTTAGAGCAGCGTCCGCAATACACAGTAGCACCCGGCCCCAAACGACGTTCATTCTCCAATCTTCTGGAGCTTCACAGCCGCGTCCACTCGTTCGGCTTGGTAGGTTTTCTCCCATCTCGAAAACATCCAACGCAGCGAGCCAGTATGTCACCGAGTTTGTCGGTTCACCGGAAAGTGCGACCGATGGGTCTTGAGCAATGATATTGGCGAAAAGAAACAGCGTAGTTCCCAGAATAGCGTGGAAGGCAGTTGTGGGCTCGCGGCACTTGCTGCGAGGCCAATCAGCACCAAAAAAGGAGGTCTGAAACGTGTGCTCGCACCATTTTTTCCGTGGTCGAGGGGCAAGGGAAGAAAAGCTAATGGGTTCGGGTAGTTTGGGTTGGGGCTGGGTGTAGAGTACGGATGGGTCTTGATATAATAACAGGAAGCGATGGCAGAGTCGCAACACCCCACGCAATAATTGAACACTCTCAGAGAAATTGTCGTCTTTTAATAGACATAAGCATCAACTTGGACGCACAGGAGAGCGAGGACTCACTCTCGTATTGTTCTACTGCACGCGCAAATGATGACTTGAGATCTTCCCAATCCTCGACCTTCTCCGGTACAAACTCCTCCTCAGACTCCATTTCAGGCGTTGGCTCGGGTGTAAGTTCGACGATGTAGTAGTTTTCTTGGTCTTCGTCGGATGTGTCTTCCGAGCGCTGCCGTTTGGTTGGACGGTGATTGTGGTCTGAATCAGACCTCCGTTTATGGGTTTCACGACCTTTCCATAGGCCACGAGGGCGTAAAGGGAGCGGCGCCTCTACCACCGGCAACGGATAATAGTTGGGCAGCATATTGGGGAGGGAGTAGTAGCAACAGCATGATCCCAGTCTGCCAGTTTTATTCTCCGGGGGCGCGGTATTCTGGCCAGGCGTAGGCAGCGGCCTAGATTCTCCTCATCTCGACCTGACGGGACCAATCAGAATTAATCGTGCTCACATCAAATGTGTTTCTGCATATTTTGTGGCCAGACATCTCTACAGAGGGTTAGAGAACACGCTATAGACTCGAATACATGGCGCTCTGTATTATTTGTGCGCGGTAGGGCTTGTAAGGAACGAGAAAACGATGTTCCGAGAAAGCCGAAACAGCGTGACACGAGTCGATGTCACACGCCTAGACCCACTCATTGGCTCCATCAATCACTCACGATTGGCTACTCACCATAGGACCCTGTTTATAGCTTTGCTTCCTCGGAAGTGAGTTGTGCTGTAAAGCTACCTATAGCTACCTATAGCTCACAAACAATGTACCATCGTCCGAGAGGAAATGTAAACTGCGTGGTGATCTCGATTCCGGCTGGACCCAACAATCTCAACTCATCAACCAGACAAATCTCGACCCCAACCGAGTCCGGATAAGGCGAGACCGTCTGACGTCGTCAGTAGCGATTCGCCCGCGAGAAATTGTCAACACAAGGACCTCGAACGCCCGTCGAGGTGAAGAGGAATTCGTCACCCAGGATTGTCAAAATTCGCTGACGTCGGTATAATCCATGAGCTCTGCACCGAGCCGTAAGTATGCAGTCTGTCTGTGTGGGAGCATCACATTTCTGTCGCCCCCACATTCGACTTGTCACTAGAGGCGCCAAAGAGGCGCCAAAGGTAATCCGTCGTGAAGGGCTCGAGAACAAAGATGGTTTGTTCCTCTTTTTTGCTCTCTCTCTCTCTCCTTTGAATCAACTAGCGCCCACACTAGCATCTGTCAAGTGAACAAATGAGCGCGCCGATTTTGAGCGGGATTCCGAAGTTTCATAGTGGTCGCTGTAGACCTGACACACGACGAGTCCACTCAAAGCTCGGGCAATCAACTTCGGCATAGAGCTATTTGAGGCAATGATTAAATCTCTGAAGCGCCTGCGAATTCAAGAGGGGAGATATAAGGGCAAAAGCCGTTCCTTCGACGCTCCCGAACTGACTACCCAACCACACCCATAAAAATGAGTTCTGAAGCCCTCGACATCGCAGCAGGCCCATCTACCCGGCAGCAGCCACAACTTGAACATTCAGAGAAAGACGCCGATTGGATAGACCAGGAGCACATCACAAAATTATCCCCGACAGAGTGGTTGTCGAAATGGGAAGAAGACAAGCTGCAATGGGTAGAGAGCAGGAGGCAGTGGCAAACGAGGACACCAGAGATCAAGCCAGAATCAGAACTAGTGGAGCGAAACGATGGGGAACAGGAGCAACAAGCTGGTTGGCGACGACGACTATTAGCCACCATCACTTCTCATTTCCACCAACAACCTCGTCGTCGCGATGCTGACAGGGCGAATAGTCCATCTTGTTCTGAGAGAGCAGTCAGATAGAGGGTGCGTACCATAGCAGTTTACTTGTAATAACATCATGATTTTCTTCGGACCGAGCCCACGACTCAGACGGGACGGGTAATTTTATCAGGGGGGGGAGCGGGAAAGAAGAAGGTGAACGGAACGAACTGTCACACCTCGCAACTTTTGAACCCACCATCCCATGCCTATATGTGGCTCAGAGCCATGCATTCTTCTGCGTGCCTCAGGGTCGAGGTGGCCTTTTGGGAGTAATTACATCTTTTGGCCGATATGACGGTCGAGATTGTCCAAGTCTGGTGGATAACCTCGACCGTTATTTCCGCAAGAAAAGAGGTTCAACTTCCCGAATCCGCCAGTTGGAAGGTTGATGTCTGTTGACCCTGTCCGAGCTCTGCCTTGTCGCAGTGCAAATCACATCTCGTGTTCAGCCAAACTTTGCTGCAGCGTGCCTAGGCTGTGTTTGACCAAAGGTATGTCGTGAATGCCTTGCAAACTAAAACCCGCTCATCCATCTGTTTCTCTTTGAGGCCGGACCAACTTTTCATTATCGACGATCTGTTTCCTGCCATCCTCCTCGGAATAAAAAAAGTGTCCATCATGCGCTTATAAGCGCGTTGAGTTTTCGTGCCCCGCCAAACTCACTCCCCATTCCTCATGAATATCAACCAGTTGCTATGCTCGCCTTCACCCTCCCCCACGTCGTCGACGAGCGGCAAATCTGGCTCTGGTAGCATGCATCCGACTCACAGCTATGTCAGTCGCGTCTTTGTCGCGTTCAATAGAGCAGCGCACTCATTTGTTTATAGCAATCGAACCCAAGCCCGCAATCGAATGCTACTCGGCAGGGCATCATAAGTACGCTCCTTCCACTGATCCTTCGCGTGTGCCTGGCGCTTCTTCTCACATCTCACTCTAGACCGATGTACCAACTGTCGACAACCAGGACACAATCGCAAGACTTGTCCCCTTCCTGAAGTTCCCAAGCCTCCGCCATTACCGCCAGCTCGGCCAAGAGCTCGTGGTTGCTGCGCCCTTTGTGGTCGGGAGGGCCATAACCGGACTTCATGTGGGCTAAAGCCTCCCAAGTGATAATGACCACAAAAAAAGACATTGTAGCTTTCGACGGATAGGACTTGGACTGCATGATTTTCACCCCTCATGCCACCACGATGACTACTAATGTTCCTTTTCTCCACCGATGTATTACTTTGTACCAGTTTGGAAGGACTCGCTAAATGGACAGAGACAACAGACAGTTACCGTCAGTAGCACAACTTCGAACTGTTTACACCACGCGGACCTGGCATTAAATAGAATCTGTATTGCTTTTGGTGTTTTACAGCGGTCTCCTCCTGTTAGTCAAGGGCTTCGATCGCTTGCGCTTCTTTCCCTTTGCGAAGGCATTTGCGCTCTTCAAGTCACGTCCCAAAAGATCCTCCTTCCTCACCTGGTAAATCCGCACCTAAAAGTCATGTGGCGTTAGCGAGGCATGAGCAAAAAAAGAGCAATCGAAGCCACGAACAATCCAGTTTTCAGTCGTGTAAGCTTCGTCTAGATAGTCCAGCGTAGGCCCAACCTTAGGGACATGCTGGTTACGGACACGATCCAGAGCATTACCACCGCCGAATAGCTCAGCGAAACTGAAGCACAGTCATTAGCATCGCCAATGACCGTCGAGTCCGAAACTTACCGGTAGTATGACATCTTGTACATGAGTGAGTTCTTCATCGTTGTCGATGCCATGTCATCGACGCGGTATTCCCCTTGTGGCGTAAAGTAGTTGGGTTCTTGGATCTCCTCTGGCCAGATTCCTTGGGCAATGCGAACCATCCACAAGAATTTGTTGATATCATCGCCTGAATAGCCCAGCAGACCGCCGAATATGATTAACACGTAGTCGACGTCATGCTTGCGAAGGATGGGATACGCGACCTCCTCGGTACTGGACATGGCCTTGCCAACTGTAGCAATGTGCGCTGTTGATGCTGAGTCAGCGAGCCTCGACAAAATGAATACCACAAACTATTGTTCCACGTGTTGTTGTCGACCAGAGTTGGGCGGTCAGCCATTCCAGCAATTTGGTAACCGTAGTCCCACCAGCTCATGACGACAGCAGTTTCAGGTGTATTCTGCCTCAGCCAATAGTAGGCCTCACGGAAGTCATCGATAATGTGCTGACTACCATCGGCATTTTGGGAAGCAAGAACGACTGAAGGCGAAGAATAAGCACCAGAAGTGGCCCAGGTACAGTGGTGGACGAAGAATGCGAGCATTCCAATAGCATTTAGGATCACGGCGAGACGAGTATCCAGTCCGTAAATTCCCTTGGACCGAGTTCCTTCGGGCGCAGCAGCCGCAACAAGGTCGGTGAGCGCTCCTCCTGATCCGGAAGTAGATACTGCCTTTTTGAGCTTTTTTAACGGAAGACTCGCCATTAACAGGGTCGGCTTCGGCAGTTTGGTCAGCGTTTTCAGGCTCCCCGGCGTCGAGATATGTGTCCAAAAGGGTGGAGAAGGCGACCGCAGATGCTACGCAAACAACAGGAGTAAGCGTAAGCATAAGACGGACCATGACTCCAGCGAAGTAGCTAGCCATGACTGCGTAGATGATGACGAATACATGTTCGTCCCGTAGCTTATGAAAGCAAAGGACAACACCAGCGGGGAACAAAAAATATGAGGAACTGGAGATCCATAAAGAACGAGGGCCATGCTGTCGGTTGATGTTCTGAGACGGAAGCGATAATCGGAATGTGCCTGAGGAGATAATGAGCAAGAGATTAGATTCTTAATCAGATTCTTCTTTACTTTTTGGCGTAACCCGTGTCCCAAAGGGAGTAGAATCGTCCAGTCCACGGAGCGATCTTGCCGGTATACGTGAGGCCGATGATGCCGACTGCACCGAGGACACCAATGGAGATGGCGGAGATGAAGAGGAGGTCTTGGAACTGCTTTGAGGAAACATGAGAGCGGACAAGTTGGATGAATGCGACTATTTGGAGTAAGCCGAAGACACCTGAGAACTGCATCAAAGGACTAGGTGTTGTGAGGAATGGAATACGGACCCAATGCTGCCATGTGTTCACTCGTGGAGACGGGCTGGAACCCAACAAACGGCACTTGCATACTCGACAAGGTGCCGATAGCATACCAAGACGTATACGCGACGTAGAGTCTGCTACTAAAGCGGCCCATTAAGATGAGGACCAAGCTATGGAGAGGAATCATGTTGGTGATGAAAACATATCCGCCTATTGACAATTAGCACTGACGTATTAAGGCATGGCCAACATACCCCAGGCAGAAACCATATAAAAGTAGAAAACAGCAGCGAGTGTACCGAAGAGGGCGCTGCCAACTTTTAAGGCTTTGATCCACAGATAAAACGTGAACATCAGGAGAAAAATTGCAATAGCCTCATTGTCGTATGACCCTGCGACTGAGCGAGAAATGTAGCCAGGTACAATTCCAATGAAGGCAGCCGCGAGAAGTCCGGCGCTCTCATCTTTCATTTCTTTCGTAAACCTTGGGTATGAAATTAGCAGAATAGTGGTAAAAATATGGCGACGCACATGTAAGTGGACCAAGCGGTCAGGGCGCTGAAGCCAGGCGCAAGCATCACACAGACATTACGAATGTCAACGGGAATGTTCAGGGCATGCAAAAAGTTATAGATGACACCACTGGTCGCCATGATTCCGGGGTAGACGGTCCCGCCAACCACACGCCCTAGAGGATACCAAGCAGTTGGGTCGAACCAGTTCCAGAATTCCTGACAAAGCTTAAGAATACAGAGGTAGTTAAAGTAAAAGACAGACATAGAAGCCCTTGTAGGCGAGGACACGAGTAGCGCGACTTGCAACCTGATTGAGCAAAGCGTTTAGAAAATCAAGCTTCAACGTACTAGTTGAACCAAGGATCACTTGTGAAGAGTTATCAGAGACAGCAGAAGGGAGCTGAGACGGCTCACAATTCATGGATAATACTCTCAAAGTTGATGACAGCGAAAAGACGGGAGGCAATTGCAGCGCCAGAGATGAGGCAGAGCGCAACAATTTTGAGAAGCGACGCGGTATTTGTAACGGTTGCCGACGATACAGAAGGGAGCGGATAGGCTAAGGCCGTCATTGAAGACAAAGCCTCTGGCTAGAGTGGGTAAGTTGTCGCGTGGGCGGCAGAGGTCGTCGACGTGTCCGAAAACAATTGTGTGACCGTTCGCGTGACGCTGCTATATTTACTTCTCACCCCAATTTATCGTCGTTACTGTTCTTCCAGATTCTCTACCCCTCCAACCCATTGTTTGGCGTCAAATTCGTTTCTCTCCACACCACGGCGAACCTCTTCATCCCAGTCGCTTCGAAACACCACATAGAACTCCGCCAAACCGACAAGAAACAAAGCCACAACCTGTCCTATCCGACATCATTAGTTACTACCTTTGCGTAACGGAAGCCGACCTATCCACAGCCCCTGTAAACCGAGGGCGGTATTTCTCGAAAACGCGAGCGTGATGCCAAGGGGAAGAGCTAGCAAATAATATGCCACGCAGTTGAAGAGTGCTCCCAGATGTTGCCGACCTTGGATTCTCACTCGATGTTCAAAAAAAAAACAAGAAGCACACCTTGCCCTCGGAGCACTCCTCCACACGATCCCGCAAGACCGTCCGCGACTTGAAACGAAGCTACAAGGGGCATCACCTTTGCGACAAGCCTCACAACATCAACATCGTCACTAAAGAGATAGCCATAGCCCTTCAACCTCTTTAGTTCCATCCCTACACTTGACAAAATACGCACATCTTTCGTAGCCATCATCAACACAAGGACAACAAATCCAACGATCACACTAACGAATGCCGAAGCATGAGCCGCATGTTTTGCGCCAACAGCAGACCTTGCGCCGATAAGATTTCCGACCCTAGCAGACGCAGCAACTCCTTGACCGAACGGAATAGTATTCAAAACTGCAGAAAATTGGCTTGACGTGTTTGTCAGCGCAATAGACAACCTACTTTGGTCCGTGGTCATAATAACAGACTGCGCTGCCAAAGACAACGCCCCCAAACGACCTGCAGCCAAGGCCACAATTTCAAATGCCGCCCACTCGGTTCCTACCATAAGAATGCCTGGTATCGCAAGCTTGATAAATCCATAGCAGCTTCGAGGGTTCAAAGCAGCCCAAGGTCGAAGTCCTCCCCAAGTTCCATTTGCCCTATGCACTGGAGACGACCATGTCCACCACCCCAACAAGATAAAGCAGAGCCAGTACATTGATGATACTGCAACTGCTGCTCCGAACACCCCCAGCCGCGTATAATGGATCAAATAAATATTCCCGACAATGTTGATAGGGAAAACGACTGCAAGTACTTTGGTGGAGCCGCCCATGATTCCTGGTTGTGGATGTCAAGGATCAGCAATGCCGAGTTACACGAACCCACCTTGACATTGGAGGTATTTTTTTAGGCTTTCAAATCCTGATCGAATGAGGGTTAAACTCTTGCAGCGTTGATACCAACAAACCGATATATCCTGGCGCTCCAGCGATCAAAATGCGAAGGAAGGTTTGGGTGTCGTGGCTGAGACTTGCTGATTGTCCCAGTGCGACAAGAATGGGGTGCATGAACCACCATGTGATGGCGACCGGGATGAAAAGGACCCATAAGATAACAACGCAGCGCTGAAAGTGAATTGAGAGTGCAGTTATGTGACCTCCTGTGTATGCTTGTGACCCTAACGTGTCGAGTGCGGTGGTCCCGCCCAAGGCAACACACCAGCCTGAAAAACTCTGCGTCATATTTGATGATCATGTGCAGGCAACCTCTTACCTGTGACGAACGCTAGCATCTGGGCGAATGCAGCAACAGAGAGCTCATCAGGCCCAAGTCTTCCAGCAATCAAAATAGAGGCGGTCTGAATGGAATTTTGCAAAATATACGACACAATAACTGCGAGATGTTCGAGGTTGACGTTGCAATCAGTCTAGAGTGGGCAGACCTGGGATCGAGTCTCGAAGCAGAGACCATGAAAGGGCCGTTAAACCTGGAGTTCCTGTTGTTTCCAACTCGACTTCGCCAGCGGGGGTTGGGCGAGGGCTTGGCAGGAGGGGGTCAATCTCGTTTGGTGTCTGCATTGTTTTTTCCTCCGTTGCTCACTAACGCCTTTAAACACTGCCGAGTGGGCGTCAAGTGTCTTATCGCGACTATGCAATTCGGCATGAAATACGACGACTGTTCGTGGAATCGGGTGAGTAATAGCATGCGCTCGGAAATACCATAAAATCAGTTGACTTACAGTCGATCGCCTCAAGGCAGAACACGAGTAGATGCCCCGTCTATACTCAGACGTTCGACTGAAATTTCAGCCTCTTGTTGGGCTTCTATTTGCTGTTACCTCACTTATCTTGCTCCATTGGTGCCCAAAGACACCGAGAACCCTCGCCGATGCGATTGTACCCAAGTCTAAGCTTTACGGCTCTCTTGAATCTCCCTCTGGACGGACCCCCTGATCCGAATAGTGCATGTGCGTCTTCAGCTATATTTCATCGTCCAAAATAGCACAGCCTAGCCTCGAATTCCCCCCTCATTCACTTGAAAATGAAGGTCATTCTTCCCCTCGTCTTTGCTTTTACCCTCTGCGCTGCACATGGAGATCACGACCATGAAGACCAGATGCCTCTCGAATATGTTCGATTCCCTTTTGAACCCATCTATCGTGGTCGCAACGGCGAAGTCACAGCAGACGCCATCTTCTCTGGGATTACAACATTCGCCAAGCTCCCTTGGGTCCAATGCCTTACCCGCGAAAGCAATGTTCCCTTCGACATCGCCTTTATAGGAGCACCATTTGTAGGATTTACTACTTATTGAGCTCAGCTAATCAACATTGCATAGGATACCGCGACTAGGTCAGTGAACTTGTTGTCAGTCTGAAAGGTTTTGTCATCCATGCACTTGATGTAGCTATCGACCCGGTTCGTCCCCGCACTATACTCCGTGTTGTGACTGACGCATAGTATGTAGGCGCTAGGTTTGGGCCGTCCGGTATACGCGCAGGCAGCCGTCGCTTGACTTTATATGGCGGGTACAATGTTCCCCTTCAAGTCAATCCTTTCCAGTCTGGCCTCAGAATTGTCGACTGTGGAGACATCCCTGTCACTCCCTACGACAACAAGTATGCGATCCAGCAAATAGAAGAGTCAGTGCTCGTGTTTCTTACTTTGAGTACTCTAGATTGACCTCTAACAGTGGGCATAAAGCGCTTCTTCAACGTGAAGCCTTCTCACCCTTGGGCCATGACTCCATTACTGGAGAAGCCCTTGTGCCTCTCTCACTTGACGGCAAAAATCATCCGCGAGTCATCACACTTGGCGGCGACCACACCATTGTTCTACCTCTCTTGCGTTCCATTAACTCTGTCTATGGCAAAATTTCGGTCATCCACTTTGATTCGCACCTCGGTTCGTTCAATCCGATGATAAATGCTATTTAACCTCTCCGCACAGATACTTGGAAGCCGGCAGTATTTGGTGGAGCCCCGAGCGACCAAGCAGCTATTAATCACGGAACTTATTTCTATTGGGCGTCTCAGGAAGGCTTGATAAAAAACGGATCGTCAATTGCAAGTATCTTGTTCACTTCCAAGTTCACTGGCACCCCCCACTTTCCTGATTCTTCATCTTGAACCTTTGATCCTAGTTCATTCTGTTTTAGCACGGGGCGATTCGCACGACATTGAGTGGGCCAGAAGACTACGAAAATGACGACAACTCGGGCTTCCAGCGGATTGAGGCGAGAGAAATAGATACTATAGGTTCGTTTGACCTGTTTTCCCCTTATTCATTGGGTTGAAATGCAGCCGTTAGGTACCGACGGTATAATCAAGAAGATTCGCCAAACTGTCGGAAACAACCCTGTGTATCTGTCCATCGATGTGAGACAACCAACCGCAACGTGCCCTCTCCAAGTTGCTGACGAAGTTCTAGATTGATAGTATCGACCCAGCGTGAGCTCCCTTCCCACCATTCCAACGCTCAAAGCCAGCTTACACGCGTCAAGGTTTGCTCCCGCGACGGGGACGCCTGAAACTGGTGGCTGGTCAGTTCACTGTTTGTCCGAGTTGGAGCATACGTAGATCCGAACCGAGCACAGGTCAACTAGGGAATTGCGGACAATTCTCAGAGGATTAGAGGGCATGCATATAGTCTCGGCTGACATTGTCGAAGTTGCTCCCGCATATGACAGTCGGTCCATTTCTTCCAAGCCAAGTTCTTATGATTGACGCTTCGTCCTAGCCAATGCTGAACTCACTACCATGGCCGCAGCTGACGTCCTCTTTGAAGTGCTCAGTGTCATGGCCAAGACCCCTCTCGGTAAGGTGGCAAAGTCAGCTTAAATACGTGGTTTTCTAGCACGATTGACTTGATATGAATACACGCGTCGTGCAATCATGCTTCATAATCTAATCACATGACCGTATCACATTGATCCATCACTGGATTCCTCGACCGTTCTGACCGGTCCATGGAACCAGTGGCGAGCAGAAACGACCCATGAAACCGAGGCGAATATGAATACCGACATGACGATAACAACCGCATAATCTATGGTGGCCGATTTAGCTTGTCCCTGAATCCGAAAGAGAATGTATACTCATGCTTTCTGCATCGACCGCTTTCGAAGGAGGGAAAAGGAGGAGTACCACGACAAAGCTAACCCACGCTACAGCGACTGCACCGATTGGCACTGCCCAGCGCCCCAAGGTGAACGATCCAGGCTCCAGCTTATCGCGCCCTGATGTTATACGAAGAAAAATGGGGGCAGCATAAGACGTGTACTATCGAGAAAGCATCAATGCCTGATAGGTAGATAAGATAACACGCACTAATCCAATGACTGAGGCCCTGGAGAATAGCTTATTGTCAAAACATTGGAATCAATTAAAAGTTAACTTACCCTGCCAACGATGTGAGGGCAGTGACCGAGAATCCGAGCAGACCGATGATGGCCGACCAAAACATGACGAACCAGACGGCGTAGCCCGGCACCGCGTATCTATTCATCTTCTTCCACCAACGAGACCCAGGCAATGCGTTGTCTCTGCTCCGGTGTTGAACAAGCGACGGGGAAGATGACTGTGCATATACATTACCTTGCGAAGGCAAAGACAACACGCGAAGCGTCAACCCCTTGAGCAGCTCCAGTGACATACTGAACTAGGAAACAAGTTAACAAGTGGCAGAACCTAGTTATAAGACAAGATGGATGCCTCACCTACAATGATGAATGACCAGATCGCAAGCATTCCCGACTTTCCAAGCACATTGAGAAAAACTTGTCCCATCGGAAGTGGAAGGGTCGTGGTTAATAGATCATCAACCGATAGGACCACAAATGAGGTTGCGATTAGTAGAAGCCATCCGAAGCTTGCTGTAGCTCCAACTCCCACCTTACTCGCTTGATTAATCAATGCAATGACGACTAAGCAGAGAACAAACCAATATAGCAATTGGCGCCGCCCGCCCAGCATTTGATGTCTCCTCTGAAGAAAGAACCTGTTATCATGCCAAAGAACTGGACGATCATAAACAATTCACCAGAGATGTGGGCAGCCGAATCATCTGGGAACGAGTAGGTGTCGATATGGAGTTATCAGGAGAAAAATGGTGCTTACAACCAGTCAACGTCCACATGGGAGCGGTGAAAGCCAGCATAAATGCCCACCCATCTAACAAAGTTGGTGAATGTAAAATCGGAATAAACGACGATGCTTACTGGCCGCCCATCCACTGTGATTTTCGAACAGCGTAAAGGCATCCTTTGTGGAGACTTTATTGTCCCCGGACGCAACCAGGAGAGCGATAATCGCCGCGATGGTGGTACCCACTATAAGTGGTACCAAGATAAGCAACGTGGTAGTCGTACTTTATGACTGACCATTGACAACTACATAAAATAGATTCAAGCGAGCGAGAATCTTGGTTGTAGTTGAGCACACAATTCCATGAGAGACCAGGATGGCCACAAGGATTCCATAGGTCGCCCCAAGAGAAAGAACAGTTTTACCGTCAGTACTGACGGCGATGGCGGTCGTGATCATCTGTGCGCATGTGAAGTCGATGGAACAGACCAAAGCCACTTGGCCAGTAATATTAGCCTAGTTACTGTCAGGCTCAGTCCCGTCCTTGGTTGATCATACCCATCCTGGTATGGAATGAGCACCACTGCAACATGAGGTAGGTTTGCACCTGTAATCCAGCTGGCCAGTGGAGCGTGTTTTTCAGGTGCCAGTTTCGCAGAAAAGTAGTACAATCCAGCACTTGTCCTGCCAGAGAGCTTATATAGAACAATTTGAGTGTAGCTCTAGTGACGCACGGCATTGAAGAGGCCATTTCTGCCATGCTTGGAGCCACGAAGAAACAAACGAAGAAGCAGGGAATGAACCATCCCCATACAAATCCAACGTGTCCGCCTTGCTTGTGCTGTTAGAGATGTTGGCCAGTTCGCCGGATTCCGCACCAACCGTTGACTAGTCCGAACGACAAGGTCGAGGATATAGAGGCGACGATTCCCTAAAAGGTTTGTCATGTGTTTTTCGCAAGTCAATGCTGGCTCACCATGATACTAAAGCTGAAAGCGCATGTCTCTAGGAGCGAAAATTCGCGTTTGAATTCGCTCTTGTAGCCCAGTGCGGCCAACTTTGCTGTGTCTACATCGAGAACATAGACATCGGCGTCAACTTTTTCAGAGATGACTGGAGAGTCTCTTGCGGCTTTCTCGGAGCTCATGGTGTCGTTTGCAGCCATACAGGGTGGTTTTTGGATTGCCTGTCACTACCAATCCCAGGTCAGGCTAAGAGGATAATGGTCAAAGATAAGGTGAGTATGGATTATGTTGACATTCTGCATCTAGTAAGACGCCCAACACGCGACCGGATCGGAAGATAGGCAACTGCGACTGTGGAGAACCCAACGCATCGAATATTGAGAAGGAAGACCCTTGCGTTACGTCGTGTGACATACGTTTCACGACCTTTCGGCGTTCGCGACTTAACCAGCGTAATCGCAAGTTTGCGACGGAAGCAAGGCAAAACAAGCATATTTTGTTGTGCGCCGATGTCGCTAGTGACATGGGAGAAGGCTGATAGAAGTCCCTTCTTCCCATACTTCCTCAATGCAAATAACCTAATCGCCACGCCTCTCCCATAGACTGTCTGAATGTCAACACAACACTTGGATGAGGAACTACGCTCCACGCAGCGCGTTCCAGTTGAAACTGCTCTTGGGATAGTAACCGGAGCCCGCGCCGCCAACGGTTCTGCCATTTTCCTTGGTTCGTTTTACTTGAATAGATGGATCCCAGGCCTTTCAGCATTGACTCTTGCTGCATAGAGGTGCCTTACGCCCTGCCTCCCGTGAGATTCCAGGACCCCCAGCCATTACCACCGGATTTCCGCTACCAGGACAAGGAATATACGAGAGAGTTAAGTTGTAGGTGAAAACGTACTGTGAACGACAATCGATCTCATGAGCTTTAGACTGCGTTCAGCCAAAAAACGACGGCCAAGCGAGAGGTATTGCCAATCAAGTAGTTGCACGCAGCTCATCCCTTTGCCATAGGTACCCGATTCGAGGACAAAGTTGGTTTCGGAAAGCCTTCCGAAAATCCGTAAGTTTTCAAGTATTTGCTATAGATCGACCACCGATAACGCCTTAGTCTTTTTCTAAATATCGCGGCACCTCCCTGCTTTCCCGAAACAAAAGGATTTCCGGTCAAGGTGTACATCCATGGCGGGTATGCAGAAAAGCAAACCGTTGTCCAAGTCTCACGATCTCCTTATCCGTAGTTTTCTCCAATATGGTTCTCCGCATGGACTCGGTTCACAGGCCCAGTACATTTCAGCGGAACGTTCCGAGGTATGGGTCAATATAGGCTACCGATTGTCCGTGTTCGGTTTCCTGGCGAGCGACTCTCCGCCTATCAGTGGTAATTTTGGCTTCAAAGATCAATGGCTGGCACTCTTGTGGATCAAAGAGAACATCATTTCCTTCGGAGGTATATCACTTTGTTGTCCCAAGTTTCTAACACCCAGCTGGCCGATAGGTGATCCAGAAAACATTGAAATTAATGGTCTCTCCGCCGGTAAGCTGCTGCTCCGTCCCGCTGGTCATGATCCTAACCTCTCTAGGTGCACACTCCGTCCATCAACTTCTCCATTTCGCCTCCCACCTTCCTGATGGCGTGTCGGCTCCGTTCAGTTCAGCAGTTCTCCAGTCCAACGCTATTGTGTACGTCTACCCCCGAATCAATATGGTGCACTCGATAACCTCATAGAACAGTTGTGCGCCAAGAACGCCAGCTGAACTTCGCCCCCAGTTCCAAGCCCTTTGCAATGCACTCCACATTGATCCATTCTCAACTGACGCGCTCAGCCAACTACAGCGACTTCCTGCGGACAAAATTGTTAACGTTATTGAAACAGATGCACTAGGCATCGAGTTCGGCACGTTTCGCGGCTGCTGGGATGGGACATGGCTTCCGGAAAAGCCAAACCCTATGCAATGGCAACGCACAGGTGGGTTTGCGCACGGTTTGAGAGCCAAAGGCGTCAAGAGCATTGTTATCGGCGATTTAACTGAGGAATGGTACCTCTATTCTATTGCTCACCCTGTCAAAACAATGTCGGACGTCGTCATGAATCTGGAACGATATTTCTCAAAAGACATGGTCGCAAGACTGATGGAATACTACGAGAAATCCCCTGCGAGCGTCCAAAAACTTTTTGGGGATGTGCTTAGTGACAGCCAAGTGCATCTACCAGTCAGAATTCTTGCGCGAGACCTTCATGATGCTGGGTTCCCTTTCCTTCGTTATGAGATTCGGTGGACTCCTGAACAATTACGTCCAGAAGGTACGCACCCTAACATTTACTTAAGTCGAGGCTCTCTAAATCGAAATTAGGTTACGTCACTCATGGCTCTGACCGAGCGCTATGGGCTTTCCGCGTGCCAGACTTAACTGAAGCACAAGTAGAAATCGCGAGATCTTGGTTGGCTCGAATTTCAGAGGAAGTGGAGGCAGTGGAGAGTGCTGGTAAGCCCTTACGTGGGCCTCAGGATATTCTTGCTCTTGGAGAAGACCGTGCGATAGAGTGGTCTGAGGACAGTCATTGGTACGAAAAACTACGACTGTTAGATGCACTCCCACCATATTGAACTTGAATCTCGAATACATTGATTTGCGGTCACGTGCTGGATTGTCGAGTCAGAAAATTTTGGATGTTAGCTCGACGGCTGATGGCACTCAGCACACGCGTCCTCAAGTGCGACCCGGGATCGATATCGTTTCCCGCTTCTGCTGCCTCCCCTTCTTTCTCATCGTCAGAAACTCAATCAGCATTAGAGCTTGCTGCTCATGAACTCGTACAAAACCTACGCCCGGTTGCATTCCCTACAGAGACGGTCTACGGACTAGGAGCACTAGCACTAGACGCATCTGCCACATCGAAAATCTTTTCTACCAAGGGAAGACCGGCGGACAACCCACTGATCGTGCATGTCTCGTCCTTCCCAATGCTGCAAACATTATTACCTCCAGAGTATATCCTACCGGCTACGTATACCGCGTTAATCAAACATTTCTGGCCCGGCCCACTCACTTTACTTTTCCCATGCGACCCTAACACTATCCCACCAATCGTCACTGCAGGACAGCCAACCGTGGCCATTCGAATGCCGTCTCACCCTGTTGCCCGTGCCCTGATTGCGGTTTCCAACACTCCGCTAGCTGCGCCGAGTGCAAACTCTTCCGGAAAGCCCAGCCCAACAAAGGCGGAACATGTCTATGCGGACTTGAACGGCAAGATCAGCCTCATTCTCGATGGTGGGGCCTGTGATGTCGGGCTTGAGAGTACAGTCGTGGATGGTCTCCAAGCTGACGGAGAAATTCGTGTCCTGCGACCTGGAGGAGTGACGGTGGAGGATATAGAACGCGTATTGCAGCTCGAGTTAGAGTCGATCCCAAAGGTGTTGGTTCACAAACGCGACTACCGCGACGAAGTGTTGGAGGCGGCTCCGACAACTCCGGGAATGAAATATAGACACTACTCTCCCGCAGTTCCCGTCAATCTTCTCTGCACTTTGTCGACGCCACCCACAGACATTAAGCCGGTCAACTTTGTCTCATATCTCGAGTCGCTCAAGACAGAAGGAAGAGCAACTTTGAAAATCGGAATCCTCTCTCCGACGGACTCACCTCTTGGAAAATATTCACTGCCTATAGACGGATTCGAGTGGCTTCGATTCCCGTTGGGGCCGTCGGCTGATCCGGCCAAATCAGCGCACCTCTTGTTTGACGGGCTGTTAACACTCGAGCGGCAAGGCGCAGATATGATCCTCATAGAAGAAATCAGAGAAGAGAGGGAGGGCTTGGCATTCATGAATCGCGTAAGAAAGGCGGCAGGAGAGTGTGTCTGGTTGCAGGTTCATGGTTAAATGCACGTTGTTTCCTCCGTCCCAGGTGATGTGTTGTTAACCACTATGACCAGGCGTTTCCACCGGAGGAAGGTGGACTCAACACTCTCAAATTGGTGTCGGCACCCTCAAATGCAGGCGACACCCATACAATGGACTGTAACAGACCTGACCTTACGTCGCAGTTGACCGACACAAGGACATTTTTTAAAACGCCTGCAAAACGTTCAAAAGTCAAGCTCAGGCTTGTTCTTCCACGCAACAGGAGTGGAGTTAGTGGTCGTTGTCGTGGTCTTGGTGGAGATGCGCCATGACTAGAATTGGTACTCGTTTCGTGGGTTTGACGGTCGAGATGAAGAAGAAGGTTCTTGGTGGATGACCAATAGTATACTATCAGTTGAGGTCATACTTTTGAGTAAGGCTATTATGTACCCAATTTGACTTGTTGACATCTTGCCTTTCTCCATCAACCCAGTTAACTTGTCGCCGTGGCCGCGTATCTCAAACGAACGACGGGTCAGCTCAAATCAATAATGTCTTTGGCTGCAATTAGCTCTCCCGACACGGTCGCGCGTGGTGTCATGATGGGAGCATATGGTGCCAGGCCGGTCAGCCCAACCTATACAAGCCCAGCGCCAAACTAACCATTTGTTTTTCTCCCAGTTCCGATGTCTCTCCTACGTGATATCGTCAAGAAACGAAAAGACGCCAGTAAACGCAGCGATGCGGCTTCTGTAAAGTCAACAGGCGCTCGTTCTGTTGTTGCATCTCTCTACTCGCTCGCGATCGGTGGACAACGCGTAAAGAAGCGCAGAAGACCTGATTTCTCGACGTTGGGTTTGTCTTTGGGTCATAGCTGAGTGTTTGAATTCACCGTTGGTAGGAGCGCCAGAATGGTATTCGGAGGACGGCAACCCACGTTTACCTTCGGACATGCCTGGGACGACCACAAGAACAGACTTGCCGGCCTACACAATAGCTCATGGAACAGTTCTGGCTCTTCGCATTGAAGACAAGAATCATTGGTTATCATTGGTCTTGTACAGTCACGCCAAGGAGTCCTCACTGGCAGCAATGTACCACAACGCAGGTGCGCTGGATCTTGGCCAGAAAACGGCTACATGCATATCAGTTCACAGCCAAAATTTGTGGAGAGGTCCGAGTTTGTCTGGAGAAAACAAAGAATATTTCCAGTATTGAAGTCTGGGTCGGTGATCTGCGGTCACCGTCAGTATTTTTGCTTATACTAAGACAGATGAGTGCTGTCGCGCCTGCCGGTGAGCTGATAAGCCTAACCGCAACTGTATGGAATCGTTCTATGGGAGACCCGCGACATCCACAAGGGGCAAAAGTAGCATTCAAGGACAAGTTTCCTATGGGCACCTTCGTCTTTCCATTTGAACTACCACCGCTCCCCAAATTTGTGCCCGTGGCTCATCCAGATAGTAGCGACAATCGAAAGGTGAGTACAGCACCCAGCCTGACTCAATTCAAACAGTATATTTAGGGATTCGTCCCTTTGCCTCGTAGGTCCATACTACTCTTTCCGTACTATATTGAGCTTCTGTCAGCTTCTGGAAAGATAAGGTTTACGGTGACGCATTTTACCAAACAACAAGCATTGACTCTGACAACTATTGGTTTCTACATCAGTGCGGCGTTGGGATACGACGAGACTCGGTCGCAGGAATCGACGAAGATATGGACATGATTCTACAGTACATTCCGCTTGCCCCTCCGCTTCCTCGCAAATCTGTTCCGTTTCCTTTTCTCGCATCCCGTGAGGATTGGCCATTCAAACGCGAAACTCTGGGTGGATGGGTGCTGACTCCGTTCGGTGGTCGCGGGCGGATTGGGTTGGAAATGGTCGAAGTCGAGGGTCTGGTTTGTACTGTCAATTGTTACTCCCTCGCGTTTGTCTGATTTGCTTACAGCTCGGGATCCAGGATCCGTCCATTGTCACCGCTGGCCATAAACTCGAGTTTGTGGTCATTTTGTGGTCCAAGAGCGCCGATGCCTTACAGCTGCTCGGTCAGCCGGCAGCCATTAACGTATCCTACTGCATGGCCGATTTCATGCCTTCTTCAGAGGCGTTGCGCCCACGTGAGCAGAGTCGGACAACGCGGAAAATCGAGCAAATGTGCCGAGGGCGAATTTGGTCAACAGACACAGGTCGTCCGTCGGAAGGCGCTCCAGAACTAGCGCTTGTATCTCCAGAACACATACTTCAGAAAATGTCTGCTTCCCGCGCTACCCCTCTAAAACCTCCCGCTCCATCTCGAATGCAAAGTACATGGTCGGCCGATGATCAGGACGAAGACGATGGAAAAGAGGTCGAAGACATTGTTCAAGGTGATCTGGAGGATTCTTCGGAGCATTTTGTCCGTTTGGAAGGAGAGATAGTCGTGCCGCCATGTCGTCCAGTGAGTTATCGATATACCGAGATTGGTCGCGAGGTCATCAGATTCTACTCTGGCGTTACAAAACTCTGATTTCTTGGCACAGTACACCCTCGAGCTTCAATTTGCTCATCATCTATATTCACATATCTCGCCGACTGGGCCAGGCCTGTTAGCAGAGGTACCCGTGTGGTACGTTGCAGACCGCCCCTTGCGTGGTGGACCGGCAACTCTCAATGATGACCCGACATATCTCGAATCACTGCCGCTCAATGGTGCCACAATCCCCATACCTTCCGATGCCATTCGGTGGCCTAAAGTGATAGGCAAACACGCTGTTTCTAGCAGAGGCGGGCTTGCAAAGCTGGGGCAGTCCTTCTTGGGTTTGGTTCCACCAAAGAGTCAGCAACATGCTGATCCATGAAGCTGGACCTTGATTAGACTACATCCAATAAGATGAAATTAGAAGGAAACTTGGAAGCTTGGCTTATATAAGAAACGCGTCTGGTCGCAAAAGTGTGACATGCCTTCGTATTGATCGTTGACACGGTTGCTGCCAAGTTGCTGGGGTATTGCCTTGCAGATCATGTCGAGCACATGGCTCAACCTGGTTCAACTTGTCTCTCTTTTCTTCAAAGTTTTTAACGTTCTTTACTTTCACTTCCCGCCTGGCGAAACATGCGGGCCCTTTACTTGATTCTAGCGTCTTTATGGTGAGCTTGTTGTCGATATTTGACCATCGCACCCATCCACGAGTAACGCAGGACAACTCATGCCTTGATCCTGCAGACTCCGTCGCCATTTCTCGCGGCTGGACCCGCCAGGATTAACTTCACGAAGGAAGCTGGAGACCCGGCTGGGGCATTTTTTAACCTGATGACACCAAACCAAGGCATCCGACTGGTCGAGGATGTTGATCTGAGTGTGGGGTTCGTTGATGTTGTTATCAACGCTCCTGCTGGGTGTGTCCCTCCGCAGAATTTCCCTTGTTCTATCCTCTCATGTTTTTACTAGGACATACGAAATCGCTGTGTTCAGCAATGGAACGTATGTCCTATCCTGAAATGAACAACACTGTCCAAAACTCAACTCAACCAGAGACGGGCCAGCGAACCTTGCAACTTCAAAGCAATTTCTGGTCGTCGATGCCCCTCAAATTCCACCGCCTCAACCTTCGTCTTCAGCCCCACTACCCAGTTCAAGTTCACCGGCGCTAGTGTCATCATCCGAACCCCAATCTTCGACCCTGATGAGCACGAGCAGTGTAACCAGCTCGAAGGCAATAGAGAATGCTGCGTCCACGTCACGGCCAGTGGATGCATCTTCTTCGAATTCGCTGGATGGGGCAAATCGTTCATCCTCCGAGTCAGCGGTCCCTATTGGGAGGTGTGTTTTTCATCTTTTATTTGTTTTTCATTGAAACCTGAAATCACAGCAGCTCTAGCAACACCCTTGCAACAGGGGCCATTGTCGGGATTGTGATTGGATGCGTCCTCCTGCTCGCTGGGATTATCCTGCTGTTGTGCTTATTAGCACGGAGGCGACGCCAACGAAATAGAACCCTTTATGATGACGACGGATCTATGGTGCAAGCTCCACCCCATGGCCGTGCATCAACCATCTTCGCCAACCTACAACCAGAGCCATTTATCGCGCCTTCCTCTCAGTCCTCCCTTTACAGTGGCAGGAGTGTCCGTGCCCACGAGCGTCAGCAGCGAATAACCAGTGAAGTCCGCCTTTTGCGAAAGCAAATGGAAGAACTCCGCCGGTCTGGTGCATTAAACAGTATCAGCTCAGGCACATTTTCGACATATGCTGGGCCATCAGGCAGGCCGCCTTCTTCCACAGCTCCAACTTCGCCTGGAGGCTCTTCCGCAGACACCATAGCGAGCCATCTCGAACAATCGCGCCAGTTAAATGACCACCTTCAAAGTCGTATAGTAGAATTGGAGTCTCAACTACAATCTGCTTGGGCTATGGGGCTTTCCGATGAGCCCCCTCCAGGCTATGTTGCTTAAATCCAGAGCTTTACCGCACCCTGTACTGCTATATTAGTGTCACATGACCTCGATCTTATCTCACGCACGACGTCGAGGTGCATCGTGGCTTTTCGTTTTTTCTCTCACCCAGGACAGCTCATCAGCCAATGGATGGCCTCTATGAACTAGCAAACCGGGCTCAGGATCTTTGGACGACTCTGAAATCCGATCCCAAGCAGCTCAACATCAGCCCATTTGACTACAAGTCGGCGCTTTTTGTACTCGGCGCTACTCTCGCCGTTGGTTGTGCTTTCAGCCGCTGGAGGCGCAACGAGAAAACTCACAACAAACGACATTCGTACACCCCCGGATCCAAACGTGCTTTTGGAGGTATGTACATATAGAAACTTTCGGTATATGAGCTAGCTTGAACCTACTGACCAGACTGGGCCCCACAATCATTTTCCTACCCCAAGTTCGACGCATCAAGCTATCCGCTCAACGAGATTAAGCCACCAATGTATCGGCCATTTCGGTGGGGTGAATATCAGTGGGTACCATCAACATTCTAGCGCGACTTTGATTGTCGAACTACACAGTGTCACGATGGGCATTCGGAGCATGCACTGGGGTGAATGGATTGAGGTAACACACTCATTTCGTGCAATTTGTGTTCTAAAGCTCAAGAGCTTGATGACCAATTCGAAAGTTACTATCGAATCCGCAAGCATCGCTTGGAAAGTAAACCCCGAGAGCTTTTGACGGTTTTGCCAGCCTCGGTTAGGAGCCACGATGGAGAAGGCGAACAGGTGCACATCGCCGGCGGTTCTGCGGGCGGTATGTATTTTTAAGATGTGGCAAGGGGAAAAAACTGATGTGTCTTGTTTCTAGCAATTGAACTTGTCCATGAACTAGCAGAATATCTCTCTCGTCGTTACCCAACGACTTTCCAGGTCGAAAGACATGACAAGTCTTTCCACAACTACCCTTGTGGGTGGGATGGTCTTCCGCCGATCAAAGCTGTGAAAGTTTCTGCTGTCGACGAGAAATTTGAACTCCCGATGCCTTTACCTCTTGCTTACATTGGTCAGGAGACTCCAGATATAATTCGGCAAGGAGAAGAAGCAATGCGCATCGCGTCACTTTTGGTTCAGGATGATCTAGCACTAATGGTAGAAGGTACCAACGGGGGCTACTACTTCCAGGCTGGTGCGATACTCGTCGGAGGCTTTTGGCGCATGGTGGACAAGATTGGCAAACGCCTCGACGAAATCCACATCAGCGGGCACGTTCCTCAATGTAAGTCCTTCCTAGATTAAACGTTTGCTTTGAGCTGAATCGGGAGTGTCTTATCAGACGCCGAGAAACTCCAAGTTTCTCTCGAACGCTTCTTCCGACGACTTTCAGTCGACAAACCAGTTGTACGAAACAACTATTTCGTCCAAATTTCACCTCCGTCCCCAGCCAATTCAACTGTTGATCCAGATCAACTTGCATGGGGCGAATATGTCCTTGGACCAGAAGAGACGTATGGTGGTATTAAGGGCACATCAGCCCCCATTCCTCCGCCACCAGTGGTCACCCCACAAAATCTCCGCATGAGAACGGAACGCCAAACTTTGCGTCGTCTTCCCCGTAGTGGAGCCATCGTCTTCACTATCCGTACATATCTTGTACCAGTGGAAGAGCTAACGCGAGAGCCTGGTGTTGCTGCTCGATTCGCCAGCGCGGTGCGAAGCTGGACGGAGGATGTAGTGGAGTATAAAGGCCAGAGAAGGTACAGCGATGTGTTGTTGAAGTACCTCGACGAAATGGCAGCAAAGGATGAATCTGGGGAAATCGAAACGAGGCCTTATCCTTTCTGAATGATGTCTCCATAGTTATAAAACATAGGAAATTTCCCCATTTGGACTTTCTCCCAACCTTGATGGCAGGTGGTCAGTTTCTCGGAAACCCCTTTCAACACTCATCTCCGATACAGTCAGCTTGGATCCGACGATTGATTTTTTAGCTGGAACTGTGGCGGGAACTGCTGGGCTCATCGCCGGTTTTCCATTTGATACCGGTATTGTTGTGGACGATGGCTTGAAGCAAGAGTTATTAATGTTGCACCTGCAGTTAAAGTGCGACTGCAGACTCCTGAATTGTCTGGACACTATTCTGGGTCAACATTGCGCGCTATTGCAACGATAGTAAATGAAGAGCGTGTGTTGGGCCTATATAAAGGCATTGCTTCTCCGCTGTTGACCGTCGCACTTATGAATGGCCTCGTCTTCGCATCATACAACTTGTTCTTACGGTTACAATGCCCGGCTTCGGCCGAAAGCGCAACCTTAGCTCAAATCACATTGGCGGGTGTTGGCAGTGGCATCGTCTCTGCCGTTGTAACGACCCCCACCGAGCTTATCAAGGTCTCTTCTTCTCCTAACCTGGCGCAAAAACAGTCTGATTCCTCAACCAAAGATCCGTCAACAACAATGCGTCGGTCACACAACTGCGCGTGGAATTGCGGTAGGTATCGTAAAATCTGCTGGACTTCCAGGCCTATATCGAGGCCTTACTGCCACAGCCCTCCGTGACTGTGGGTATGGGGCTTATTTTGTCTCGGTTCGTTGATTTAGTATCATTGTGAAGGACAAGATGCTCACATTACCAGTATGAGGCAACCTGTCGTTTACTCTCGACTCCAGGAGAAACGCGACAAGGTTGGCCTGTTTTAGTTGCTGGTGGCGTTGCAGGCATCGGTCTGTGTCCTTTCTTCATCAAGGAATGCAAGTTGACTTCATGATTAGCTGGCTGGTTGGCTACCTTCCCCTTAGACGTCGTGAAGACTCGCATTCAGGGTACCGGGCTCGTAATAGAGCCTGCCCTGGCTCCTTTACTTGGCACAACTGTTGCCCAGAACTTGAACACGATGAACACAAACCCTTACCAAAACACATGGTCCGCAATAGTGAATTCCTATCGCAATGAAGGACTTGCTGTCTTCTATCGCGGTCTGGCGCCCACTCTGATCAGGTGTGTTCGGTACCATACACAAGTTGCCCGCTCATCAGCCCATCAGAGCTGTCCCAGTGAATATGGTGACTTTCGCCGTTTTCGAAGCAGTAATTGGCGCATTTTCATAGAGCCCTGAACAATTCTAGACGATATCATTAATTATAACTAGCAACTATACATAGAAACTTACTGCACTAGTTTTTGAATCAGTATAATGCGCGTGGTCTTGGTTCAAGAACACATCACATCACGTGGTCGCCAACTTTTGCCCAACGCGACCATGTCGCGCCCACCAAATGTCGCCAAACCCAACTCCAATTGGGATCCAGTCCTACTTATATCTCAAGTACTGTCTTGATTACTCGTTTTCCCTTTCTGACTCAACCTAGATTGTCTCTATGCAAAGCTTGCACTACGTTACCCTAGCATTGTGTGTTCCACCTTTGCTCAGTCTCTTCGCTGAACCTGGGTCCTTAAAATACGAGGGCGGCGCCGCCAATGTTGGTGGGTGTGAAATGATGAACCATTTCAGTGTGCTGACCCATTCTGGGTAGGAATGGTAATGGATTGGAGGGAAATGGCGGGTAGGCCGACAGTGCGGGGTATGCAAGGGGAGGAGCGTTGGAATTCCTATACGGGCGTATGGAGTGGAGGGCGGAAGATCGGCTCCGGTCTTCGCACTGACCAATGGGACGGTCGGATAGATCCTATGCGTGGTTGGGTCATTGCTTTCTGCTGGCTGGTTGCTTGTTCTGCCGAGTACGCCAATCGACTTGCGCTCCAACTCACCTCATCTTTATCTAGCATATACTACCTCTTCGTTTTAATTCGACGACCACGACTCATCCTCGACTTTGCATTGACACTGGTGTTTAACCATCTCGTCCTAACGACCTACTATTCTGCATCCCTGCCGACTTCTTTGTTTTTCTGGCTTGTCATGCTAGCTGGGTCTGCCTTAATGATCATCGTGGCCGAGCAACTTTGTGTTCGACGGGAAATGAACGAGGGTCTGAAAGTTGCAATAGTGCACGCCGATGACGAGGCTGAGGAGATGGAAATGGGGTTATTGCCTCACGAGACTGAACAAACAGCGGGATAATTACTGACCTTGATTTTGTATTTTTAGTTAGACATCGATTCCAGTCGGCTGATCAAGTGACCAACTCGGTTTTCTTTTCTCCCCCTGCTTCCATGCCACTGCACCTTGGCAATGGCAGTAAAGCGCTCTTGTCTCAGCCACCAACATGTAGTGTGTCTCCGATGTGTTGTCAGTGCATGAACCCCAGACTTGTAGCTCCACTAATCATGATATCGACGACCTCCCCGAACTTCAACTCCGCCAACCCTTCCTGTGGGGACCTTCTGCCTAAAAGAAGCGCTACCGACGACTCCTTTTATCTCATCCGTCTGCGATCCTGAAAACTCGAGGCTCGGCTGTAAGCTCACATTGCAAACACGATGATAATCTTGGTCGGCTCTTGGAGTCAAACAAAAACAGCAAATTTTTGTCGCCTTATGCTCCTAAACCTTCGTCCACGAGAGAAAGTCGACTCCCATTTTTGACCATGATCGACCCGTGGTATCCCGGTTTTTTTTCGTGGCTTGTCCGTTCTCCTCTCGAGGCAAAACTACTTTTGGGATCACCGAAATGATCTTTGCTTTGCCGTCGCGCAATTGGATCCTAGCTAGGCTTGGGCGGACGCACAGTTATGTCCGGGTGGGTGTAATCCCAGCTCACCTTTCACTCTGCTCCCCCTTGATCCTCGGGTACATGGTTTGTCTGATACCAACTTGTTCAATTCCATCTCCGCAACACGCTCGTTCAGCCAAACTACGGAGATACCTCGCGAAGGACGGTGTCAACGTAATTAATCAACCGCTCCCGACTAAAACCGAAAGCGTGTGGGGATGTGTACGGCAGACGGTCCGCCAATTACCGACCTTGACCTCGTTTCGTCCCTCTCAGTGGCACCGTTTTCATTTCTCAAGCAGCAAGCAAGCAATTCCATATCGCTAGTTGGCTATGTTTCACCTCTTGACGTTGTTGAGCCAGTGACGTCTACGTGCATATTGAACGCCACTTCCCAAGACATGGTAGCATTCGACACGCCGTGCTTTGTTGACTCTCATCCACGCCAACTGCCTGTGCCAACAACCTAGGTTGATCTGATGACATGAGAGGCAACAACCGCAAGTGGCCTTCAAGTCCCGGGCGATTCCAAGCAAGAGGCTTCAATTGTGTCCTAATCGATTTGGTCCGGTGGATAGAACCGGGATCAACCCTCTCAAGATGTGATCATTCCTTTATGCGGAATATGCCCCCTAAATTCGGGACCGGGTTCGAGTTATTCTGGTACGAGGAACTGTATCGAGCCAGTCTCTGCGGTCATCCGACAATCTGATTGTCTCAGCAGCGCGCTTGCCAACTAATAATTGTTGAACGAAGGTCAGAAGTTGGCGCAGTACAAAACTGCTGTAGAGCTTCTCAATGTTGAAGGTCAGAGGTCTGTTGTAAAATGGAAGAAGCGCTGATTGACGCCCTCGACTGGTAGTGTAGGGACACTTGCCACCAACTCTAGAGATCGATACAAGCCTCGACGGACAACTGCGAGCCAGTTTCCACCTTGTTGTTTGCATGCAGGTGAATGATTACGGAGCTAACCGACGCGAACAAGCCTACAGAAGACAAAACGCGCTGGTTAAACCATCGATAAAGTCGTCATGTCGGTCCGGGGACTATAAACAGGTAGACAGTGGTGATTCGTGCCGCAGTCCGGTTCACCTGGGAGCGCCCACATAGCCCCACGACTAGCGCCATGTTTTCGGTTCAAGTCATCAGATGTCGGCCCAGGCCGCGTGGGCCGGAAACTAATGGATCAGCACGGGAGGGCGAAACGTTACCGGGTGTTGAATCCCAGGAATACGGCACGACAATTAGCATTTGAACCACTCATTCATATCGACAAGATAGAGATGAACAAGTGTTGATGATGCTCATTGAACGTTGCTGGGGTCCGCGGTTGTTAGTGGGCAACCAGTCGGGAAACGTGGTAATAGTTGCGGTCAGTCGCAGTCAGACTCGTTATTTCCAATAGAGCTTGGCTGTCGAGTGATTCCCACTGACGGTGCCAATGCTCACTTTATTCTCATCGTCAGTGAGTCGGAGGTTGTAGTGCTCGAGTGTGAGCCTAAGTGGGAAAGGTACCAGAAACGTAAACAGAGTGCAGCGCACGAAGAGAAAGGAGGTCCAAAAGAGACGCAATGAGTCAAATAAATCTGAGATTGGGATCTCGTTAAGCGTCAGCCCTGCATTTGTATAACCACGAGGCGGGACATCCGAAGTCCTCTTAAAGCCGAAATCAGCTCGGTCGCTTATTCTTGGTTGGCTCTTGACTCCATTCCACCATGAACGTCCTTACAAGCATGCTCTCCCCGCTGGGCATGGGCTCCGGCACCGTCCAGGACACTCTCGTGCGTCCATTCTATTTTGGTTTACTCTATAGGTAGCTTATGGGCCCATAGAAACTTGTAGTCATTGGCGGAACGATGGAGACTGCCCGCCGAGCCTCTGTCTCAGCGTGGAATGGGTTTGTGGACTGTAAGTACGCGTCCTGGCCACGCGTTTCGCTGTTAACAAGTCAAACCAAACAGCTTTCTTCCTGACCGCCCATTTCTCTGAAGAGGACTACCCTTATGACTGGTATGAAGTGGCTGACTGACCGACTGACAATCAATCTGAATGTATTTCGTAGGCTGATGCATTGGTTGTCGAAGCAGCCAGCTTGGGGTCGGAGTCGCGAATTCGAGATTACGACTCGTTCAGCGGGACGGGGAATGAACACTTCGACCACTGCTGATTTACAAGAAGAGGAAGAGGACGAAAGTGACGCCTTGGAGCACGGCAGAAAACGCCGACTTGTGGCATTCATGCCGTCTTTGGGTGAGTGGGTCCCGTTACATGTCACATCACGCTAATGTCTGCATCAAGACACCACCCACACTATCTACTACGTGAGTCTCACCACACACACACAAGCACAAGCACTGCCGCTCATTTACTCTCTAGCGTGGCCACTGGCTTAGGGTATGTTGTCTGGTATTCATTTCGGGCCACATATCAATCTCCGCTCCCCCATTAGATTACGCGAACCAAGCGGTATCCGGATTACGGAGGAGCCTCTCTCAAGATCAGGTACACCTTATTGGTCCTCTCTTCCCCCGTGTTTACCTGCATTCCGACAGTGTCGTGGCTCGCAACAATGACATCCTCAAGAAACTTGTCTTGGAGGCCCGAAGGGATTATGAAAAGGACGCCGAGCATCGAGTTCACATCTTCCTTGCTGACCCGTGCGTGATTTTTTCATTGGTACTCGTCAGTTTCTTACAATTAATGACAGCACTTATGGCTGTTGGAGATGGAATGGTGCTCGTCAGAAGCGGCCAATGAGCTCTATTGTTCTCCAACCTGGGGTAAAAGAGATGTTGTTGGCTGACTGTAAAGATTTCTTGTGTTCAGAGGAGTGGTATGCTGAACGCGGTGCGTCATCATGCTTTCCCCTCCGTCCTTTCTGACTCCTCCAAATAGGAATTCCCTACCGTCGCGGGCTTCTTTTGCATGGAGTTCCTGGAAGCGGCAAGACCTCTCTCATCCACTCGTTGGCAGGTGAGCTGGGTCTAGATATCTACGTCGTATCGCTTTCTGCCAAGGGGTCAGTTGCATTTCCTCCACACGACCATCTATTCTGAAAAGTTTCCAGAATGAGCGACAACACTCTGACCACCTTGATGGGTAACGTTCCCTCGAGGTGTATTGTCCTCCTAGAGGACCTTGACGCTGCCTTTACGCGCTCTGTCAGTCGTGATGCCAACTCAACGGGCACCCCAACTTCCACCACAACCAGTACATCGAGCACTGCGAAGGATAAAGAGGCTGAGTCTGACGGATCTACTCTTAGTTTGAGTGGCCTTTTGAACAGTCTAGACGGTGTTGCCGCTGCTGAAGGCCGGTTCGTTCATATCCTTTCCTGTTCAGGCACTCGCTGACAGAATTTCATAGTCTTCTCTTCGCCACAACGAACCATATTGAGCGCCTCGACCCGGCCCTTAGTCGGCCCGGTCGTATGGATGTCTGGGTGAACTTTACCAATGCCACGAAGTGGCAGGCCGAGGGAATCTTCAAATGCTTCTTCCCTTCCGCCAGCGTCACCGCCTCTGATGAGAAAGCCGATCAACAGCCTTCCGTTGATATTTCACAGAAGAATCTTCCACTTCCTCGCAGAAAACGTGCTCAACATGCCATTCCATTGCTGAGTGAAACTGAGATCGATGAGCTCGCCAAGCGCTTCGCCGAGGCTATTCCTGAAGATGAGCTAAGTGTGCGTCGCTTTATTTTGCTCCAGTCTGTTGATATATCTAATGACCAAACAGGTTGCTGCCTTGCAAGGTTATCTTCTTAAGAACAAGACTCGTCCACGTGAGTGCGTCGATGAAGTCGGCGTGTGGATCATCCAAGAACGCGAAACCCGGGAGAAACTGAAGAAAGAAAAAGCCGAGGTCTCTTTTCCTCCTGGGTCCGAGATGAGATCAACTTGATACTGACGTGATTGACTTTTATAGCGCGAAGCCAAGGAAAAGCTCGAGGCGGAAGAGAAGGAAAAGAAGGAGGTCTGTATTTGAACCTGTTGTGAGTGAACTCCGCTGATCGTTGCACAGAAGGAAGAGAAGGCAGTGAAAGAGGTGCATTCATTCATATGTTGATGCGGCATTGTCTGATCGACGTGGTTCAGAAAGAGCAACAAGAGCTTAAAGCGGTTCGTCTATCTCTAGCGCTCGAGTCGTTACTTAACTAACGCTTTTTGAAGAAACTTGAAGCTGAAGAGGCTCTTCTCAAATTGAGAACAGCTGCTGTGGCTGTCGTGCCCGCTGCATCCACTGCATCTGTCACCACTGAACCCCCTGCAGTCACATCCCCTTCCACTGACTCCACCGCAGAGCCAGTTGTCGTAGCCCCTGTTGTTGGGACTTCACCCTCACCAGCTCCGGCAATGAGCAGAACCGAGTCGACTGACTCTTCAGGATCAACCTCCAGCTCAGACTCGGAAACGACGTCTGGTGCTGAGGCGGACACTGAGTCAGTCACTTCCGAGGAAGAGCCTGATGCGAATACGGCCGATGTCTCCTCCAACACCAAGGAGAAATGGGTGGCCGTCAAGCCACAAAGCGTTGCTGTGTCTGACGCAACACCAGAGCCATCACCGTCTGAGACCACCATCGAAGCATCGTAAAGTGCTCTCCACACCTTTGCGTGAACACTCTCGGACTGCATAAGGCTTGGTCCCCCTTCCCAAATATGGGATGCCGTCGGTCACACGCATTGCCCTCTGCCGTTCTTCTGTTGTGGCTCTTTCCTCGGTCGTCTCGTCTGTGTGATTCCGGGTTCGTTCTCGTGCTTGTTTGATAGATACTACTACTTAGCTAGAATGAATGGCATATCGTTTAGTGGCAATGGCTTGGTTCGGATTCTAGAGCGAGAGCGTATATTAAAGCCAGTAAAAATGCGTGAGGTTGTCGTGCGTGGGTTACGTAAAATAAACCAAAAAAAAAAGAAAATCTATGTTGGCTTCACATTCACGTCTGAAAGTGTTTTGAATGCCTCTTTGTAGGCGTCTAACAATGCCTTGACACGAGCCCGTTCTGCCACCAGGCCCTCGTCTTCGTGGAGCATTTCCTGGAAGAGCTGTGGCTTGTACAATGACGCAACTAGGCGGTTCTGGACATGATATGCGGTGTGGTTGACTAAAAGGTGCATGATGGCCTTGGGCACCAGGTCTTGGATACTTTGGCGGACGATGCCAAAATACGACGCAATCAACGAGCGAATGAGATTCGTCTCCATCTCTTCCCGCAGCGTCAGATGATTCCCTTCTGAAGGTATCTGTGCAGATTTGTCAGCATTTCGTCGCGCGATCAAGATGAAGAAAATTCACCGCTTCAATGTGTTTCCCGAGGCTCTTCATATCGAAGGCAGCATTTGAGCCATCAGCTCGTTGCGCTGAGTTTAACCCGGATGCGATGGCCATCATGGTTGTACCCTCCCCGCCAGACACATCCCGCCCAGTTGGAACAACGCTTGTCCCACTCCCGCTTGCTCGTGGCTGATGATTTGCTGCCGAGCTTGACACAGGCCCCGTCCCGTTTTGGCCAAAGAAGTAGTTTAAGAATGTCTCGCGTGCAGAGGGGGGCGACCCGCGATGGGTTTGGGTTTGAGCCACGGCTGAATGCGGCCTTTGAGTGACAACTTTTCGCGCCGCTGCTGATGGAACAGGTGCAGTAACCGGTGTAGAGCCTCCGGTTGATGTCCTTCCGCGATCGTGTAATGTTGAGGAAACCGACCGCTCGTTGCCTCGAGATGAAGGGAACATCCCGTTTGGTAGACCATTTTCGTCGGACGAGTCAGGCTCGTCGTCAGTGCCGGTACCATTTGTTGGCTCGGTCGAGGCAGGTCGCAATGGTGCTTGACGAGATGGCGGGGAGCTCGCTTGTTGGGCAGCCACAGCTGAGCCAGAGATAAATGCGGGGTGGTTGGTGTTTATGTAAGCTGCCTGGATGGCGATGAGACTTTGTGTATATTCAGATGTTGGCCCAAGGCGTTCTCGTAACAATTCGGAAACGACTTCTATCAGCTTTGCATGTAAACCAGGGAATCGCTGTAGTTCCTAAGTGCGCTGTCAGTTGTTTTTCATGACCTCGGCAATCTGACCACACCGTGCTTGTGCAGTTGTGACATATTTTGACGAGCTCTTCGTAGACAAGTTCTACACAGCGTAAACTTGGTGCTTCCAAGAGCTTGATTTGAGGTTTGACTAGGAGATCAAACGCAATTTCAGGAACGAATAAGCTTGGGCGCGGTCCTGTTGAGTTTCGAATGGCAGTGCGTATATCCTGGTTCTCGAGATTATCGGTGGCGTCGATCGAGTCAAGGGCCAGACCGAAAACGTCGTTGAAAATGTAATATATTCGAGCGCCGCCAGACAACTCTTTGGTTGACACGTCGACTTTTGTGCCCTCGATGGAGGCAACAAAGTCCCGTGCAAATTGGGTCATGAGTCGGAGAATCAATGCTCCTTGCTGGTTCTGGTCACCGAAGCTATCTGAGTCGCCGAAAGAATTAAGCTCCTGTTGAGCCTGGCCCATGAGTGTGTTGAGTCGTGCCTTCATGTCCGGGAGCTTGTCGCGAATATGATTCATTAGAACCTCCGTGCCATGAGCGTTGAAATTGCCACTTTCAATGAACACACCTGATTCAATGTGCGCGCCAGATACTTCGTGCCATTCTTATGGGCTATATTCCTATATGCAGAATGGTTTTTGAAGAACTCCGTCTCACTATCAAGCGCTGCAGACATCGACTTTTCGCCAATGATGTCCTGTTGACTTCGATTGACAACCCCGATGAAACCGAGCTTGAGAGGGTAGACGCGCCCAGTAAGAATGTCAAGCGCGTTTGTGCCTGCATCCATCAAATCAAGCTTGCTGAGTATACCGATTGTGCGTCGCCCCTGCGGGTCAACTTGGCGCGCAAGCTTAAGAGATTCTGAGTTGGCGAGGTCGACATTGGCAGGGGAGACAGCCAAGATGACACTATGACGACAATTACTGAGTGGCTTCCAAGTTTAGTCGTCGCCACGCACCTATTAGGTTTGGAAATATAGTCGGTGACGAGGTTTCGTATTTGGCGCTCGATGTCGCTCGGTTGGTCACCGACAGGAATCTTTCGAAGGAGTTCAACAAAGGACAATAAACAGCCAAAGCGCAAACACACACCTTGGTCAATCCAGGCAAATCCACTAGTGTCAAATCCAGGACGTCTGGACTATATATCCTCAATGAAATGGGAAGCTTGCTGACACCCTTGTTCTGCCCAGCGACCCGGAATGTCTCTTGTTCGATTTCCTTCCGAATCTCGCCAAAGTCGGTGAACTTTTTGTCAATGTGAAGGAATTGGCCCCACTCTCGAAAGGTGGGGCTGCCTGGTGTGTCCGTAGCGGTTGATTCAGGAGTGTGAATAAGCTGGAGCACAAGCGGTCGCCGTGTTACAATCCCCTGGCCTCGGGGGAGAAAGTCGCGACCGACAATCCTAAAAAAGTTGTTTGTAACTTTGGTTGAAAGTGAATACTTAGCAACTCACGTTTCGAGTACACTTGACTTGCCCGCAGATTGGCTTCCCACCTATATCGGGCCAAGTCATTCTTTTGAAAAGGTTTTTGTGTGGAAAAGACTTGCGACTACAAGCTGGGGCATGTCTAGCTCACCACCTAGAGAACCACATTGAACAAAAGGAAATGCAAAGGTAGTACTGCAGCCAACCCAGGTTGCTAAACGTGTCTTGAAGCTTGTTCACGAGCTTTATGAGGTCGGTGTCCATGATGGACAGAAGAAAGAAACGCGTCCGGCCAACTCAACGCGTCGTCACGGCACCAAAAACTCGATCACTATAATTACTTGGCCAGTGAACTACATGGAATTCAAAAAATTGAGTAGTTCTGCTCTGTTTGCATCCCCTTCCTTATCCTTCTTTACCTTGAGCTTGATCTATGTGGCGTTTCAGTACACAATTGAACGACAAGGGGGACAGTCATGACCTTTTTGCCAGTTAAAACACTACGCCGCTCTTCCTTGTCTTTCTTTCGCTCCTTTCGACGTTTACGGTGTTTTCTGTCCTCTTCATCCGAACGCGATTCGTCACGACTCTTGCGTTTACGCTTTGAATGATGCTCAGTGTCGCTTTCCTACGATTCCACCAGAAACAACATCTTGCAAGGTGAATATATCTCCACTTCACTGGATGCTGGAAGGCGTACCGATGTGGCATCCCTTCTTCGCCGTTCTCTACTTCGACTGCGGGTATAGCGGCGCTAACAAATTCTGGATTAGAGATTATTTGCAGCAGCCAATATAACGCACTGGACGGCGCTCGGGACTTGTACTACGGGAACGACTTCTGTGACGCCGACTGCTGGTGGAAGGCGATTGACCTCGTCGACTGTGGCTGACTGAGCCGTGTTCCCGGTGCCTTTCCCTGCTCTAAAACCATTCGGAAATGGCGTGGATGTGAACGAAAAGCGTGCTTACGGATTCAATTCGACGCGAGGAAGATGTTTCGTGGTTTGGCTGGGGGCCGGTAGTCCGTTCTTTATGACAAGAGTCGCCCAAAGTAGTCAATGAATGAAAGATTCGAGGTCAGGCAGAAGGTGAGATTCACGGGCAATAACAATAGGTGTCAATGCCTCACCAGAGGGAGGCGCAGTTTGGTCCCAGCGTGAAGTGTATCCCATCACAGTGGCCGAACAAAACGAAAGCCCACAGCGATAGCGTGACCTCACACAAAGTGTCTCTTGTCCTTTGACCCCTCCCATTATTCTCCAATGAACCGACCTGTTGTGGCTACCCGATCCGCTCGAATCACTCCTTCCGCCGTTACGAGTACTCGGACCCCAATCTCAAACGAGGGTCAATGGACTCGCAGCAAGTCGCGCTCGCCTTCTCGACATGGCGCTGGTACTCGTTTGGACCCATTCAATGTAGATGCGTCTTCAAACACGGGACAACCCTCAGTCAAACGAAAGCGGTCCCTTAACTCTGTTGGGAACAGTAATTCACCTGTCATCATGGACGACGTTGACCGTGGGCAACGAATCAAGTCCAAACCACTCCTGCATCGCACAATGCCTCCTTCTGCCTCCTCTTCGCGACCTCGTAAAGACAGAGAGACCTCTGCCAGACCACGGAGTCATCTCGATAGCTCACATCACACCCAGCAACTTCCCACCGTCAACCCGACAATACGCCAGGTCGACACCAACACAACCAAAGAGCGTCAGGACGTGGCCACTGCTATAGAATTCGAGCGCATGCGCAAAGAGCTAGAAACGCTCAAGAAAGAGAGTAAAAAACAAGCGAAAAAGCAGAATAAGGTTTGCCATCCTCCTTTCAACTTCATTCGTGCCTACAAACTCTTTTTGCAGACTATCGAGGACCTTAAGGCACAGCTAGCTGCGGAGAAACTCGTCTGTATCCTCTTTTCCGTGCTTATCGCCTGTCTAAACCCTTATAGAGCCGAGAACAACAAGAAAGGGCTCTCACTGTTGTTTCGACCAAACTTTCCAAAAACGAGCAACTCGTTCAAACGATAGAGTCTTCCCTACAATGTCAAATCTGTATTGAACTACTCTCACGGCCTCATCTGTGCGTTTTCCGTCCAGTGTTGGCGAATTCATTTGAGACACCTCTTTAGCCTCGTGCCATGTGGCCATATCTTCTGCTCTGGCTGTCTGGAGCAATGGTTCCGTGCCGCACCAGCAGGAGAAGACGAGGACGATGACATGGGTGATGATTTTTTGCTTCATCGCGAAAAGAAATGCCCTACATGTCGTGCAAGGGTGGTAAGACGGCCAGTTCCTACTTTTATTGTCAAGGATGTCGTCAACACACTGCGGCCAACCCCTCCTTCCGCTGGTACTGAAAACGATCCATGGAAGGGATTATTCTTGGAAGACTATGATTCAGACGGCAGTAACGACGATGAAGACATGGAAGATTATGATGGGTATTCTGATGGCGGATCAGAAGATGCCCACGCTGCCGTGTTCGGCCACTGGCCCAGAGATGAGCTCGCTGCGTTGATGTTTGGCGCCAATCCGCTGGCTGGATACTACGGCTCGAACAGCGGCAGCGATGATGGCATGGGTCACGGCTCTGAAGACGACGAGTCTGGCTCGGGCTCCGAAAACGAGGATGATGACGAAGTTTACTCAGACGCTGAAGAAGAATTGTTTGCGGCCCCTGTCGACCGTACCATCTGGCCCCAACACAATGTCCAAGACGCTTTGCATATCGGAGCAATCAACAACAACCCATGGTATCCACCACTCGCTTTCCAAGAGGAAGAACTAGAAGAGATCCAGCCCCGGCGGAGGAGGCGTAACGGTTGGAACTGATTCGCACTGTGCCTTTTATTACAAGTCTTGGGGTTAGCAATGCATGTATTATCATTATTGACAGTCTTTTTAAGAACACGATAATGCCTCGGTTACTGGTTCCTGCCCAGTTTGGTGCGCTTGAACAACGAGAGCCTCCGCAAAAGCGCTGAATTCACTTCGACGACAGGTTCGACCAGGCTATGGGCGTCAGTCAACTGATAATTGCAGGGGTAATGCTCACCTTGAATGCATATATCACCGTTTGAAGCGTGGTAGAGTCGCCTTCTACGGACTCTTTGAGAATGACGCGCAAGACACCCTCACGGGCATCAAACGTGCATCGCAAAGCTCCGTGTATCCGCGTGTTCATCGCCACTTGCCAGAGTGGCTCGCGACGGAATACTAGGAATTTCAGTTTATAATCACAACAAATATTGTCTGTAGGACATACGCAGCCTCTTATTCCCGCTCACTTTATGCAGTAAGAGCTTCAGAGAGCCTGGTACTGCGCTCGAGAAAGCTGCGTCGCCACGCTTAACAAACAAAGTCAATCCCCGAAGAGATAGCAATGCAGATTCGTCCTCTTCGCCAGTCGTTGGTGGCGGCTCTAAAGTGGAGTGTTAGACAAGCCGCTGCTTTTGACCGAGGCCTACTGACGGGAAGTAGATGGGAGGCAGGCATTCGGAGTCGCTGCAGCGATGGCATTAGGCTTCTGGTCCGATTCATCCGCAGTTGCGGCAGTACTTTGACTCGTTGCTGCAGCCCAAATGGGTTTGGAGGACACGAGTGTGGATAGATTTGTCGTTGAGCCAGCATTGGCAAAGAAAGGATTGGATGAACCCGCAAATGTGGAAAACGCTGTTGAAGATGCCGAGCTTCGTTGCTAGCAATGATGAGCGCACTTTAGCGACAGAGAGTGTGTATGGTGTGCTCACTGTGGTCGGAAACAAGGGGACAAATCGGGGAGAAGCCGTTGTGCGAGTGAACCCAAATCGGGGCACAACAGCGTCGGATGAAACGGCCTCCGGCGTTGGCGACCTTGGATTTTCTTCCGAGTTCTGTGGCTTTTCACTGGCAAGGGCCTCGGTTGCGGCAGGCTCACTGGAAGACGACTCGAAGCTATTCGCTACATCCGCCTCCAACAGCGCTGGCTTTGCGATCTCGTCTCTGGGTTGGGCTATCTCTACAGCTTGGAATTCTGCATCAGTTGTTGCGCTCGGCTCCGCTTTCTCAGATGGATCTTCTACGATAGGTTCCTGGGTTCAACATTGAGGCTTTCTCGAGTTTGGCGCCGAGGAGAGACTGACAACTACCGACTCCACAACATTCTCTTCTGCTGCGTCGTGGTCGGAAACTGAGCCACCGCGGCGTTTGTTGGGGTAGATGGAATAAAGATTCTTGGAATATATGAGGAGAATGAGACGGTGTGGTAAGTCATCGCAAACCAAAGGATAATCAAGGTCCTGTTCGAAACTCGCCTGAGGAACGGTCTAGATGAATGTTGTAACGTACTGGAACGTCATCGTGAACGGGCTCGCGCTTGCGCTTCAAAGAGACTGGATCTGCTTCGGTAAGGTCTGGTTTATCTTCTGCTTCCTCTTTCGCATCGAGCGAGGCAGCAGAGGTGGAATCAACCAGCGATTGAGCTTGATTGACCGAAGCAGCGCGTGCTCGCCTGTAATTTCGTCTAAGTCATTGAAGTTGAGAAAATCCTGATGGCCATACGAAGGAAGTGGGCGGATTTTACGGGCGAAAGCATAGCCGACGGTTGCTGAGAACGCGGCAAAGCCAGTAAGGACAACGTTCAAGTCAGGGAGCATTTATGGGGGAGTGTTATGTTAAGCGAAGCAATGGGGGGTTATAAGCAAGTCGCGCACAAGACGCGTGATGGCCATAGTCCTCGAGGACTAGATCCATTGAACACGAGGCGACTAAAAACTTACTTATCTCGCACTTTCGCGTTCTGTGATCACCGGTACCGGTACCGGATGGTAAGCAGTTAGCCACCCAATAGCAACGCACTCGTTGACGAAGCTGAGAGAAATTCAGTCGGGATCACGTGGCCTGCTGCTAACGTGTCCCAAATCCCGTCTTTCCCATAAATACGAGAACAGCCGACTGTCTGTTCTTCTCACTCATCCACCATGCGGTATCTTGTTGGCCTTCCCCTTCTACTCCCTCTCGTATCAGCTGGTGTCTTCCCGAAAGACTCCTTAGTTCAGATGCTCGATGCAAAGTCCTTCAAGAAGGCGATGAAGGCCAACAACGTTCGTGTTTTAGTTGGACCTCCCACATAAAGACTCAATAACTCCCGTAGGAATCAAGTATGGTCGCATTTGTCGCTCCTTGGTGTGGAGTGCGTCACTGTCGCTCTCGATCTCTATCCGAACACAGCGCTCATATGTAGGATAGCATTGTCAACGTATGGCGCCAGAGTACAGCAAAGCCGCGCTGGGACTACATCCATTAATACCCTTCTACGCTGTCGATTGCGACGCCGACCAGAACAAGCGTCTATGTGCAGAGCAGGGTGTTCAGGGCTTCCCGACTGTCAAGGTAAGCACCATTCATTCAACTCCCACACGCACTTCTCACACTTCGGAAGATGTTCCCTCGGGGTGACAAAGAAACTCCGGTTACTTACGAGGGCGAACGATCTGCCTCTGCTTTCTATTACTTCGTGACCCGTCGCATCCCCCCCACCTTCACTAAGCTCTACAAGACTCAAGATATTCTCCCATGGATTGAGAAGGTGCCACATCTCGTTGAAATACCCCTGTCTCACGTTAATCCAAATTCTCAGACGAAAGATGAGAAGCGAACCCTTCTACTCACTAAAGACAAGAAGGTCCCTCTGCTCTGGAAAATCCTCTCCAATAAATATGAAGGCAAGATTCAATTCGGTACCCACCGAGACCGCAAGGGAAAATCGTCTGTTGCTCTCGGTTTCGAGGCTGGAGAGAAGAAGCAATCCAAGGTCCTCTTCTACTCGCCCGGCTCAACGAAACCATTCCGATATGAGGGCCTGAACAAATTCGAGTCGCTCAGCAAATTCTTTGATGCCGTACTGGACGGCACAGCGGATCTCACCGTGGCAAATGCTGAGGCCAAAGCAGAGGAGGAGCAATACGAGCCTACCGAAGAGGAGCTAGAGATCCAGCGTAAGCAGGAGGCACAAAGGATGGCTCTGTTACATGGTGGTTTCGCGGACTTGGTCGACTTTGAACAAGCAATCCTCAGTGGTAATGCCGACAGCTATCATGACACAAATGGCTTTGGTTCACCTCCACCATTAAAGAAGAAGAAGAAAGAGGAGGCCGCTACTGAACCAGTCGACAGCGAGCCAGTAGCTGAGAAGGTAGAAGCTGTCCCAACAAATGAGGAGTCCAAGGTCGCAAAGGACGAGGCAGAGTTGTAAGATATGAACACATCTGTACTGATATATTATTGATTTGTTCTGTTGTTAATGGAGGACTCGTTTGCGAAGCAGTCAACTCCCTAAGAACACATTCTCTAGGCATCCAACGCTGAATTAGGAAATTTCTCCTCCGCAAGAGAAAGTGTGATGTCGGACGTATGGCTCCGCTTCATATATACCCACAGTTGATGTGCTAGTAAGGTTTTTAGTCGTCGATATTTCAAGTCAAGAAAACTCACTTTTCGTATTTGTGCCCCATCCAAGCCGTCTTTCGGGGGGAGCGACCATTTCCGCCGCAATTATCTTGCTTGAATATGATGCGAGTGACGCCGACGCCCCCTGTGCCTCTCCTCATCCCGTCCAGGATTTAAGGCCCACACATATATTGGGGGTTGTCGTAGATTGGTGCAGACCGATGATGCGCTGGGGCGTGGCAGCTTCCCAAGTAGAGCTATGGTTGGTTGGAATGGCTTGAGTGGCAAGAGTAGCTACTAGCAGTGGGTTCTGGTAAACGAACTAATCAAGGGCGTCTTGAAAGCAAGTCCAAAAGAGTCAGCGAAGACTTTGCATGATGTCGTTGACGATCGGCGACAATGGTGGTGTGACGTGACAAGTGTCACAAACATCGACTTGAACAAGCATACCACTCGCAAGGGCGAAGATGGCCCGTGGCGGTCAAGTGGGAGAGGCTGCTCCGCCTCTACTTCCAACGGTTTCCTTTCAAAAGATTGAAAACGATGTTTCGACTCAACCAAGCGGAGTCCATGATCACCAGGCAAAAACTTTTGGATGTGAGCTTGCTCCTTTCTGGTTCGATACTCAGCATCTTATTCACGCGTAGATAATGATGGCTCAGAGTTCAACCGTCCTGACCAGTACATCCGGCATATAGGTGCGATTCACAATGTTGCAACACACCAGCAGCTCACATTTCACGCTTCAGAACCTCTTGAAGCCGACCTTGAGCGCCAGGTTGAATATGATATGGACGAGCAGGGTGTGTCGCTTGTTGAAACGCACTCCCTTATTAATACCGTTCAGATCAGGAATGGCTCGACGCTGTCAATGCTGAACGAAAGAAGGAGCAGATAGACAAAGTTAGCTACGAGGTTTTTGAAGTTGTCATGGATCGTTTGGACAAGGAGTGGTTCAATCTGGTTCGTCCGTCGCGCTTTCTTTTTGCACCAAGTTTCGATTCTAACTTTTCGCAGACGAAGCGCGTTCCCAAAAATGATTTGGCTCTCCCTTCCGAAGACTCAACTTGCGCTGTCTGTGATGATCCAGAAGGAGAGAATAGCAATGCGATCGTCTTCTGCGATGGTTGTAATCTTGCAGTCCACCAAGGTGAGTAGTTGAATGTTAATGACATCCAACTGACCTACAGATTGCTATGGCGTACCTTATATTCCGGAGGGTCAATGGTTATGTCGCAAATGTACCGTTTCCCCTGAGAATCCAGTGGTACGCCTTCTTCCCACTGCCTGCCACCCTTGAACGTCTCCTAGTCATGTATCTTGTGCCCCAACGAGGGAGGCGCATTCAAGCAGACGACCCAGGGAAAGTGGATTCACCTTCTCTGCGCAATCTGGGTCCCCGAAACCCGTGTTTCCAACGACGCTTTTATGGAGCCAATCATCGGAGTCAATACCATCCCCAAAAGCAGATGGAAACTGGTGCGTTCTCCTTCGTTGAATACGGACTTTGCTAAGCGCCTTTTTGGTCTCTGCAGAGATGCTCCTTGTGCGACAGCCGCCATGGAGCTTGCATCCAATGCGCCAGACCCCAGTGTTTTCTCGCCTTCCATGTCTCTTGTGCCCGACAAGATAAACTTCTCCTCCCTATGAAAAGTACGCAGGGTAGCGAGTCGGCCACGCTCAGCGCATATTGTGAAAAACACCTACCGGTACTTTTTCGGCTCCTCGTTGATAGCATCCTCATCTGATTATCTTCAGCGAGAGCAAGCACAGCTTCGCGAAGAAGCATTAAAAGAGGAGGAGGAGCAAGAGGCAGCAGACTACAGCAATGCCAAACTTGCCAAGTCTGCACGAGCTTATGCAAAAACCTACAAACCCGGACCGCCTCTTGTTCCTGCCTCCATTCTTGAGCGAATTCAGATCTACGTTAATCGAGTTAACATCAGGAAAAAGCCCGAATTTCTTGCCATGATGTGCAGATATTGGAGTCTCAAGCGTGAGGCACGAAGAGGTGCACCGTTGCTGAAGCGACTTCATCTTGAACCTTGGACTGCAAGCACAAATACGAACATGGACGGCGAAGAGGAAAAACAGATGAAACTCGAGGTAGATTGGACTTTTCATGTGACCATCCTATCGTCGTTCAATAATTTTTTTGCAGCAACTCCAACATCTGCGCACAGACTTGGAAGCACTGAGAAATCTGACAGAACTCACACGGCGGCGCGAGACCCGAAAGCTCAAACAGGCCGAACTAATCAACGAGGTCATTGCTCAAGCGCTTTTCCCGCATATGCCACGCCTTCGAGCCGCCTTCACCAAAATTGTCGCGTAAGCCTATGCTGTTCTTTTGTTGTCATGTACTGAGAGCCAATATCAGCCTCGATCGGTCTGAATACTTCAAAATGCCAGTCAAACAATCTGAGGTTCCCGACTACTTTGACGTGATTACGACTCCGATGTCCTGGAGCATCATCGAAGAAAAACTGGAAACCTTCAAATATTGGGACCTTCAAGTGTTCAAGGTTACTTTGATGCGGCCTGGGCAATTAGCTTTCTGAACAGTTCGCCTAGGATGATGTTGACCTCGTTTTAAACAACGCACTCCAATACAACAAGCCTGGTACGCCGTATCACAAAACCGCCCTGCGAATCCAAGCCGCCTCGGTCCCGATATTGACCGAGTTATCTAATCTGTGCTCTTCGCCAAACCTGCGGAGTCCTAACGAAGATAATGCTGAAACTGCTGCTTGGGTACCCACGGCCATCGGAGATCTCGAGCCTCCCCTTGAAGTTCTAGACCTCCTTTTGTCGTCGGATGCCATTCAGGTTGAAACAGATCTGCTGCTTTCTGCTGACCCTATAACATCCCTCTTTAACTTCGAGCTCGCCCAGCAGAAACCCAACTTGGAGGCGATAGCAGAAGCTGAGCGCAAAGAAGAAAGGAAGCTTCAGGCCAAAGCCAAGCGGGAGCAAGCCAAAGCGGACAAATTAGCCAAGCAAGAAGCGGCCCGAGAACGACAACTAGCTCGGGAGCAGGAGAAAGAGGCCGCCGCTGCCCAAATAGCCAGTGCCTTGGATCCAGACGAATCCACCCATGAAGCTGCGTTAGCTCTTGCCAGTCTGTCCGCGCCAGTAGGAATACGTGTGACGCGTGGTGCTCTGGCTCAAGTTACTGCACAAGTTGACCCAGAGCCTCCCGTGCCGATACCCATACCGGACAGTATATCTGCCCCGCCAACAACCCGTAGAAGAAGGAAGGCATCACCTCAAGAGCATATTCCCACTGACTTCGATCCGGATGTAATGGACAGTTTCGTCAAATTTGGTTGGAGTCCACGAAGGACTCGCCAATCAACCCAATCAATTGGACCTCCTCCACGGAAAAAAGCACGTCAAGGTATCAGCACTCTCGATTTGTGGAATGATTGTAATTCTAAACATTGTCAGACTCAGGCCCCTCGAGTTTATCACCAGTTCGTGCTCGCGATTCAGTCGGTCAACAAACCTCAGCTGGCGACAAGCCGGCACCTGCGCGACGCGGAGGACGTAAGCGATCAGCTGTAATTCCACCACCAAAGGTCATTCGAACGGACACTGGGGAGGTCATCATCGAAGAATTGGATACTCCAGAAATTCGAAGAGAGAAGAGTGCCCGACGTAAATTGGAAATACAGATGAAGCGCGATGCTGAAGCTGTTGCCCTCGCTAAGGCAGCGGAGGCTGAACCGCCAACGACAGAACAGTCCGGTGCCCTCCACGATGCTATAAACGGAGATGACCTAACGCCAGATGAAGACGAAGAGGATGCTGATGTCGCAGCTGATGTTGAAGACAACAAATCAAGTGATCTTAGTGATATCGAAACGGAGGCCGAACCAGAACCACAACAGATGGCGCCACCAAACCAAGTTAATCAGCCTATTCCCGAGACTGAGCCAGACGGAACAGCGGAGTTCGCCCAGGGAATTACGCTGCGCATTGAGAGCGAAGCTGTACCAATGGAAGAAGACGACCCGATAAGCGGAGAGCTCACCCCATCCCCCCAAGAGGATGTAGAGATGGTTGATGTTGAGGAGCCCAAGGCAGCTCCAAGTCAAAATAAAAGGAAAAGGGGACGTCAAATCGGTGACGAAACTTGGCCCGCGCAGTTCAAAGACCTGGGACGCATTACTCTCCGGGAAGGGGCGTCGGTCGAGCCAGGGACGTTGGTTTGGGTAAAAATCGGTCCGTGGTGGATATGAGCTTGGATATCAACGACTAATGCAACGCAGCAACCTACCCTTGGTGGCCAGCTGTGGTCTTCCATGACAATGACCCCATGGTTCCCCCAAAAGTGCTGAAGGAAGCTCGTCGGAAGCGTGAAACTTCAACGAGGAGGGGATTCCTACATGTTGTTCGGTTTTGGGATAAAGAGAGTAATAGCAATTGGTGTGTTTCTCTCGTTTATAACAGGCGCGTGGTGCTTAGTAATCACAGGCAGTCTGCTTCAGTCGACCAGATGCGCATGCTATGCGAATCAAAAGGTTACCGCCGTGTTGCGCTTCCTTTTTCTTCGACTGCTGACCACCAAACAGAACTGGACGAGGAACTATGTAGACCAAACTCACAGCTGCAGAAATATAAAGGGCGGAATCGAAGCGATGAAATCCAGGCTGCTTACAAGTGAGTTGAGACCAATTCTCTACCTTTTTTGCCTAATCTTTGGCTAGTCTAGCTCTCGGGGAAATGGAAAGTGGGGACGAGAAATCTCAGTTTCTGACACCTATCTGATGCCAAATGTATTATTAATATCAACCCATCCACATTTGTACTATACCTCCTCTTCAAGCCCTACCCTCCGGACAAGCTGAGTGACCGAAAGAAATGCCCTCAAAGTATGGTCCTGCAACAGCGGTTCAGAATTCTTGCACAGAGACAAGACAGGAATCCAAACCTTTGTGGTTACTAACACTGACTGACAGAAGCGAGTTGCCGGTCGCGCAGTTTTCGTTGTCTTGTCCAGCACACTTGATAAAGTTCTTTTGGCTGTCGTCGGTGATGTGAATCTCGCCTTGAGGGTGTTGGAAGCCGAGGAAAAGAGGCGGGACGGTCGGAACGGGATCATTCTGGTTGGTCATGAAGGTCACGCCAACCTCCTTGTCGAGCAGGTCAGCCCAAGCCTGGTTGCCACCTCGAGGGAGGCCGAATCCGGCAACAGTAACCTTGACCGAGGGGTCCACTTTCTGTTTGAGCCACAGGCCAGTCATGGTCCCAACAGCGGCGCCTGGGGGGAAGAAATGAGAAGGCGGAAAAGGTAAGCAATAGCCTTCAAGTTATCGCTCACCGAGACTGTGGCCTGTGACAGAGACCTTCTTCACGCCCGTGCTTTCTAACGCCTTGAGAACACCAGCAAGAAGTCCATCGGCCGTGCGCTCAAAGGTATCCTGGAATCCGCTGTGGACTTTGACACCGACTATGAGGAGAGTCAGCCAGATAAAAGGACGGAAGAAAACAACATACGAGTAGCAAATTGCGGGAACCGCGTCGCATTCAGGTCCGCCATCGTGAATTTGACATCGTTGATGATAGAGACGATGTTCTTCGAGTCCGTGCCTTCATGGGAGACAACGATGGCGTTATCTGTCGGGTCGTGGGCAATGAAGTCTGGGTATTTTTGGATAAGCCGGTGGGGAAATAGGAATCGTGGTTTCGAACGGACATAGCGGAACAAGGCCTTCGTCTAAATGCATGTCATGAACAGGGCAACTCCAACAAAAATGGGAGGGAACGCACCTCCACCCGACTGCAAAAAGTTCACTTTGCCCAATGACTTGCAAGGTTCGCTGGTAATGAACGCCTGTTACCACTGGCTTGATAAGAGCTGACAAACTCTCGTACCCACACGTCCAAGAGGTAAGCGACTTGGTAGAGCCTGGTCGATTTCGGAAATCACGCCGCACAACATGCAAGATCACTCACAGTAAGCCGCTCGAGCAAACTGAGCGGGTCGAAGGAGAGTCGATTTGACATCATCGAGGGAAATGGCCGGGGAGTCTTTTGTAGTAGAGTCCGCCGGTTTGTCGAAGAAGTCATCCAAATTTATCCCAAAGAGCGGTGCGGAGAGGACAGAAGGAACCAGCAATAATAGCGTTGAAAGGGCAAGCATGGTCGTAGAAGGAATAATTACGGTGGCCCAGCCAGACGAAAGAGAAAGGAAAGAAAGCAGACGAGCCCACGGGGCAACGAGAGAGAAGGAATACTTCGCCAAGAGGAGGACGGACAATCAATCTTGACAGGAGTTTTGATGTCGTCAGAGGAAACGCGTGTGTTGTCATGTTGCTGAGTAGGCTGAGCACAGCAACCAATGCATTTCTAACCAAGGACTACATGAAAACCCAACAACCAAGCCATGCTATGAATGTGAATGCCTCAGGCCCTCGGAATCTGAGTAAGAGGGTAGGCCATGCATACTACTCAATGGAGGCACACCTCCCAAGAACCCTTTGACGGCAATTTCGTAGTCTGGCACCTCAGTAAATGCACGATGCAAAAGCTCGGAATTAACGTTGGGAACTGGCTGAGCGACCTCCCTCACACGGCGCTGCAGCGTTTCCGCCGATGATAATGATGTCGACGAGAGATTACGCGGTGTTTTAGGGTCTGGGCGGGTAGAAAGCCACGCAGGGTGAGAGAACGAGCTCACAGGCTCTAGTGTCGCTGTGAATATTCCGCGTAGTGAATTGCTAGCATGACTGGGATGCGTATATGTCGCGATTCCTTCAGCAGAAACAGTTGTTGGGGTCGATGGGTGTTCGGGATGAGGAATCGGAGTATTGTGACCGCTGCCTTCCACCTCTGCATTGGTAGGGAATGTTACTCTGGTTGCGCCTTGAGAAATAAGAAGCTCAGCATTCACCCAGTCGAGGAAGAGGGGGTGGTTGGGATCGGAAATAAATGGATGGTCTGCTATGACTTCTAACGGCGCTGGACATGCTCTTTGGCCGTCCACAATGATGGGGGAAACACCCATTTGCACCCAAGGATTGGTGACTCGTAGAGTGTTGGCTTCCGACAAGGCCATATTGGCAACACGGTCCCTGACATGTTCCATATAGCTGGGTAATTCGCTCTTGTCCTCAAGTCGAGATGGTGGTTCAGAGTGACCTACAAGGAGCTGTCGCGCAGTGGTGGTATGGCTTCTGGATTCGTTGAGCAGATACGAATCAAGAATGGTTATGGGAAGTGAACAAAAGAGTTCTGATATGTGCCCATCCGCGTTAGTGACCAGGACACTCCAATGTACGACATAGGATACGTTGACTGGGTCTTGGGAGTGACTGGGTGTGCATTGAGATGGAATCGGGAGTTTCAGCGTTGTGACCTCGAACGGATTAGATAAGATATATCGATCATTCACACATAACAAAATGAAGCTCACAACGTCATCCTCTCCTTGACTGGGTTCATTCGGCGGCGAAGGTGTGGTATCACCAAGGCGGCTCGGTCCGGCAACGGGTTGGGAAGAGGGTGTGGGAACACGTGATGCAAGTGAGAATCGCGAGTCTTTACGGTCTTCATGTTCAACAACCTGGACTGCAGTTCCGCCCAGAATTTCATGGACAACTGTTGCGACCTTTCTTGTGTGGCTGCCTTGACGGCCATGGAGTTTGGTGGTTTCGCGAAGAGTTGTCGTTATGCTCAAGACCCCCACACCTTTGACAAGTGGGGTAATCTTCAACAGAGCCACCAGCTCATCACCGGCGGCCCATGCGACATGCGGAATGGCGATATAGAAGAGAAGCTTGTTCATCCAGGCTGCAGGCAGATAAACATCTCCAGGGAGGTGAATGGAACAAAAAGACGCACTGTACTCGATGTCGCGTGTCTGTTGATATTCTAGCGCGGTTGGAGCTAGGGAACGAATAAGGTAGATTGGAGCAACAGCTTGAATGTTATGGCTGAGTCCGGTTCGTTGGGCGACTGCTCGTAGTTTGTAGGAGACCGATGCGCCACCCATAGCATCGGTTACAAGACTGGATGGCAGCGAACCACCAAGTTGGAGCTTGAAGGGAAAGAGATGACGACCGGCTTTGAGTGTGTAACTGTTCTTCTTTGCACCTTCGAGGAATGACCAATTGTGTTTGCAGACTACGTATGTTGAAGTAGGATTTCCCCCGGAGGAAAGAGAGTCTTGTTGTGGTGGTTGAGCAACATATGCCTTTCCCCGAAACTGGAGAGTAATCGAGCGCACTGTTGTTGGCTCGCGCAGTTCAAGAACAACGTTGCCTTGCAATAAAGCTGGCTCGCTGTCTGACCCGGTCCCGCGAAGAAAGAGGAAATCGTGGTCGACAGCGATTTCCATTCGCTGGGAGTCTTGCTGCTCATCGACTGTTTTGGGGCGAAAGAAGTGCATGTCGCAATGGTGCCCGCGGCGTATAGTTTTAACATGATCATAGTCTAAGGTGACTAAGGCTCGGAGACGAAGTGTGTCCCCGAGCCGGATCAAAAACACAATTGTTGAGGTCATTTTTTTCACAGGCTCCCAAAGTTCGGACTAAACCGCCATCTCGAGCAACTGTCCTGTCCACTCTTTCCCCTTCCTTCCTGGCACCGCAAACGCTCGTGCTTTCGTGAAACCCTTACTTTCGTAGTATTTCACCAGCCCATCCTTCCCCGCTGGCCCTCTGTAGCAATCTAGTCGAAGCCATTCTGCCTTCTCTTCTCTCGCATATTGTTTTGCAACCTCGAGGAGTTTTTCGCCAATACCGCGACCGGAAAAGCCTGGTTTGACGAGCAATGTCTTGAGAAAGGCTTCGTTGCCGGGCTTATCTTGGTCCGTCACAGGAATATAGTCGGACCGGAACGGGGTCATGACTAGCCAGCCAACACTTTCCCCGTCGACCTCCGCGACCCATCTTTTTGCACCTTTCGCGTCTTCCTCCGGGATGCTCTTGATCACCTTGTTCCTTATATCATCTCCCCACGGCTCCGCCCCCCATTGATCCTCCAACCCTTTGCTCACGAGCCATTCGACGCGCGCGTTGAAAGCGGCGAACATCATCTCGAAATCCTTGTCGTTGTAGGGGCGAATCGTAGTCATGGTGGTTGCGAGTCAAAAGTAGTACGCCCGCAGTATGTCATGTGGGTTTTGGTGGAATCAGTATCAGTTGTTATCGTCGACTCCACCTCGCCGCATTCTGTTGATATTTTTCTAGCCATGCTACTGCAATATTGAGCTATATTAAGTGGAAAAAAACCGCACGCGACGCGGTCACGTTATCCCGAAGTCAAGGTAATTTGAATTTTAGTATTTGTCGCTAATCATGGCGATGTTTTCTAGTTACAGCACTTGTCTACGAAAAGCAGCCCTGAGGATGGTACAGTTTGTCCAGGGAGTTTCAAGTACGAGCTCCATACACGTCTTTCGCTGTGACGCCGGCCTGTCCCTTGCGAATATTGGCCTGGGCCCATTTTTTGATTCGGATGGACTCGATCTGGATAAATCCAGTTGTGTCTGTCGGCTCAAAGCCACCCATCTCGTCCATCGAGCTCTGCCTTTCGTCATATAGTCCCTCTTCGCTCTCACGTCCTTCAATGAACACGTTGCCCTTGTACAATTTCATGCGAACGAGTCCATTTACCGTTTGCTGGCTCGCTGGAATGGAACTGGTTACGAATTCCCGTTCTGGCGTGAAGAAATGGCCGTTGTAGAGGATCCGGCTGAAGGCAACCGTGACAAACTGGTCTCGCAACGCCCTCACGTTGCGGTCGAGTGTGAGGCCTTCAAGGTCAATGTGCGCTGCCCGAAGAATTGTTGCACCAGGCGATTCGTAACACCCTCGCGATTTCACGCCGATAAAGCGATTTTCGACGATATCGATTCTGCCAATTCCGTGTTTCCGTCCGAGAGCATTCAGGGCGAGGAAAATGTCAACAGGATCCGTATAGGTCTTGTCCGTAGTGGTCACTTTCGTGGGAAGACCAGCGCTGAATTCGATTGAGATGCGTTCAGCAGTAGCGGGGGCTTGCTCGGGATCAACAGTAAGCTTCCACATATCGGTGGGGGGTGTTGTATTGGGGTCTTCAAGAATGCCAGCCTCATAGGAGATGTGGAAAAGATTCTCATCGGTAGACCATGGCTTCGCAGCGGTTTGTACGACGGGAATGTTGCTTTTGGCAGCATATTCGAGCAGGGCTTGCCGACCAGGGAAGCGATTGTAGAACTCTGTCCGAATTAAGCCTGTCGGTTCGGAAGCCGATCTAAAGCTTACCTGGAAGACGCCATGGTGCGATGACTTTGATATCGGGTTTCAGACCGTAGAATGCAAGCTCGAATCGAACTTGGTCATTGCCTTTGCCAGTGCAGCCGTGTGCAACGAAACTATATTCCGTCCTTAGACAATTCATTATAGCAGAAGAGCAAAGTGCGCACTTGCAACCCTCTCGGTCAGCAACTTCAATCATGCCTCGTGCGATGACTGGACGAGCGAGGGAGGTACCAAGTAAGTAAACATTCTGTTGTAGATTAAAAAAGCGAGGGTGTGATAGGTTAGATGAACGAGCCTCGTAGATGCAATTGGCTTGGACAGCTGGATAGATGAGCTCGGTAACGAATTCACGTTTCAAATCCTGAAACCATTCAGATCGGGAATAGCAATGGCTAAAAAACGCACTTCGAGGAAGAACTTTTTGGCCCCAACTTTAAGGGCTTTTTGCTCCGCGGCAACAAAATCCTAAACGAGCATCGGTGGTCATGCGTCTTCAGCGGGAATCCTCACTTCTTCCTGGCCAACATCGGCCATGAACGCGTAGACCTCGTAACCTTGCTCGATGAGCCATGCCAGAATGCAAGATGTGTCTGCAAATGAACCAATGAAACACGGTTTACTACGATGTGGATTGCGAACCAAGACCGCCCGAGTATGCGAGAAGAACGCGACCTTTGGAAGAGGACATGGTAGTTGGAAGGGAGGAAATCAAATGAACCGATTGACTCGATCGCCAAAATTTTGCTGCACAGGATCATGACGAGACCCGAAAGTCCGAAGGTCCCGAAATGACCGAACTGCAAATGCCAACTGCTTCCTATTCGACTCCATTTGCGTCGAGACGCGTACATTCCGTCTGAAACTGGAACATTTCAGAGTTTGTGGCTACCTGGATCCAGTGGTCTATTGATTATTAACACGTGAGTGGATTGATGGACATCCACTTGAACTGGAACACCAATCGAGTAAGTATAAGCGTATGTGAGTGCTCACACGTAGCAGATGTTCCATCCGGCTGACTCGACCCAACTCTCAGCTGTGAAGACTTACTTTCATCAAAGCGGCAAATCAGGTTCAACATCCGATTCTCGAGATACAACTCCGCGATTCGAGTCTTCGAGACAGAGACATGCGTTCAACCCGCCCAATGTGACTCAGAGAGCCACGACCCACCTGAGTCAATCGACAGAACGTTGACACACTCGTGTCCTACTTTTCAACCTATGCAAAAAAACCTTCTCTATCCGCGGGAATATGGTTCATGCTGTTGAAGTCATCAGGCTAGAAGAACAGAAAGTCGAGGCAGAATCGGCTTCATTACAATCAATCACTCCTTGTCTCTTCGTAGCCTGGGACCGATGCCGTTTTGTGGGCGTCCGTGTGCTTTTTTTTTCTAATCGACATAAACGTTCCGCGCATTACGAGTAAGTCGTTTGTTCAGTTACTGTACTCGCTTGTATAACTACAACGTAACGCGTAACTTGCCCTCGGTCCCGTTGTACTTTATGCGTTGCGTAACGCATAACTTTCGTCTGGTTGTTCATCTTGAGAGTGTTACGGAAAAAAAAATTCAAGAAATACAAAAAAAAATATCTATGCTTGTCCCTCGCTTTCGTTGTCTTCAGTCTCGCTTGACTCCGTGTCTGATGGGCCCTGAGTACTTGCAGTAGCTGGGGTTAGCCAGATGTTCTCTTCGGCAATGAGCATGTCCGGTACAAGTCGTCCATCGTCATTACACTGAGCTGTAGCCACGGTAAGTGCCGATGGGAGAATATCGACAGTGATATTCAAATGATCTTGAATGACATCAACCGATGCAATGGCTGAGTCGTCGCCGTCTTCTCTGTCGTAGCTCTCGGTGGGATCGACTGCTGGGGAGAAGTCATCATCAAGTTCACCAATAGCGTCGTCAATCCCATAGACAACCCCTGTACGTGCACGAATCTCTGCATTCAGTTTCACTCCCGCAGGTGAGCCCAAGAAGTCTTGAACGGCGTCGTGTGCTGCTTCACTGTTGAGGCATTGCGCAGAAAAATTGAATGCCTTGGCAGGACATCGTTCCCATGTCTGTCCACAATCAATTGGTGCACAAAAACTAAGCAAATAGAAGAAACACAAACTTTCCGAATCAATTTTTCTCCTTCAAATGACTTCAAAAACTCATACACATTGACGAGACCACGGATTGAGGCATCACACAGCTCAGGTAGCCCTGTCACGAACTTCACATCCTGGGGCGCCACTCCATCGCTCAGTTGCTGGCCATGTTGCTGAATCATGAAGTCAAGGAGAGATTGTTTAAGGCGATGTTTGATGGGACGCTGTAAACCAACGTCGGCGGGCTGAACCATCCCTGTGCAGTTGGCTGGCACAAATATTAGAATACAGTTTTCATGTGTGACCTGCACATAGCATCGAAAGGCTTGACTGGCGTGGACTGGGTAAACGTCGATCCATAAGATATATTTTTGAGAAGCGGGGAGTTTTTGTTCCTTGATGATACGCTTGACGTAGGGATCGATAACTTCCTCCATAAACTCTCTCATCGTTTTCAATGTGCTGAAGTGGCTTTTGCCCTCTCCACCCGCAAACGCGAAGTGAAAGTGGTACTTCTTGGCATCAGACATTCCTTCCGCTGTCGATTTTGGAAGGGAGAGCGCTGTTTTGCCAGCCCAGACGCAATGAAAGGGTAGGATACCAACAGGTGTGCTAGCAACCATCAGTGTATATGCACGCTTTTCGTCCTTCCCCGCAACACTGACTTGTCTAGACCCTCTTGTAGCATAAGTCATCGTGTTGGTGGGCTGCAGATAAATTCCCTGTTGGTCGGCGTTGATAACAAGCTGATTGCAGTGTCAAAAATGATGAGCTGAGAGGGGAAATACCGACCTCGTCTGGGATATTGTACCATTTCTTAGCATATGCGATGCGGTAGAATGCCTCAAGACATTGTTGATCTGCATCGGTAGGAAGCTTTGCCGCAACCTGAGTTCCTTGGCGTGGAGTCCATCCCATGACGCTGCTATAGAACGAATGCATCCATCGTTCGGAGACCTTGAAGCGTTCGAGCAGAGCAGGTTGTTGACGTTTGATCTCAGAGATCATGACCACCCGACCAACACGAATGTTTACAGGAATACCACTCTCGCGCCAGGAGAGCAGCGTCGTCTTGACATTACTGACAATCATTGGGAATGGTGTCAAGACGCCGACACGGCCAGAATGCACCAGCTTTCCACCATTGGCAATCGATGCCAGGACATTTGGCTTCCATCGATGCTCTGAGACAACCTTCCAGTGACCAATTGTACCACGGTGCAGATGTTGAAACATGGCCCCATAACGATGCTGAAGAAGCTGAACGCAAGCCTTAGGACTCCATAGCACCTCTCGCATAGTAGCATCAATGATTGGCCAAAGAATTGGGTTTTGGTAGTTGGTCAAACGAGCTTTTTCCACTACCACACCACCCTTGGATCCGTTGCGTTCCTTCCGCCACTTGCCCTGGCCCTCACGGAGTGAGAGAAGCAAGATCACCCGATGCGATTGAGTCATGCACATCACTGATCCCACTTTGGCATGGCTTGTCGTTCTTGTCACTCTCCACCATGTCCTCGTCACCCTCCTCCACCACTTCTGCCTGCTTTGCGGCCTTCTGCCTGTCCCGAAACTTCTGCGACCTTATCCTCCCCAATTCGCGTTTTCTTTCAGAAGCCTCCACCTTTTTTTGGCCTATCTTTGCTTGAACCTCTAAGTGTTGTTCATGTCGTGCGCAGCAACCATCCGTCGTGTCTCTGCTGCACGCTCTTCTTGCGTTGAGTACCTCCCCCAACCCAACATATCCTTCAGTGATGCTTGTTTCTCTCTTCTAGCTGGCTTTAGGCCCAGGGAAAGTGTCGTCTGGGATAGTGGGGTGTGCGTTGACTGGACAAGTCTCTGAGCCATCTCTGTTGGCTCCGGAAGCTCTGCCTCGGAGTCTGACCCATGGACTTCAATGATGTTATCTGTCTTCTGGCGCTTGCTCGTTTGTTGATCTGGGGCAGGAGTGACTGAAGGAGGACGAGGCCGTTTTGAGCCTGTGGCAGCAGTGGTTGTTCCGCGGAAGTGAAAGCCAGAGACGGCAGTGGAGCTTCTGCCAACCACTTTTGTTTGACTATTGGCGGGTTTGGGCTGCGCTCGGGTACCCAGAGCCTTTGCAGACTTAATCAAGCGCTCAATCCATGCCTCGTCAATTGTTTGGCGCTCTGTATCGGTAAGTGACTTGAACGTGTCTTTCAAAAACTTGATGAGATCGATAGTGAGCCGACTACCACGCTCGTCGAAAGTGATTAGCTGGCTGGGCTGCCCATGACGCTGATTATACTTGACGAAGGCCACCTCAAGACACCGTGTGAGGGCTGGGAAGTACCCTTCATCGTTGACCAACTCGGCGTCAAGGCCAAAGGTGTATCGAGATTGAGCTGGGTGGTCGGGCAGGGATATGGGGAGTTCCTTAAGGTGTTTCTGGAGCTGGTGGATGCGGTGGATATACTGGCTGGATGGACCAGTAGTTTTAGCAGCCTTGGTTGGAATGGCGGCCATGGCACAGTCGTTGTCAAGGTCAAAATGCTGTTGCAAATACACAGTTAATATTAAAGTCTAACTTTCTTATATCCCCCGTTACTCCGATTACTTGGGTTGTAGCTTTGGCCCAGCGTAACGCGTAACATCGACCTGGTCGTCCACTTTCTGGTGCGTTATGGTCACGTGACGGTCGTAGTTATACAAGCGAGTACAGTATTGTTCTTTCTTGTTTATAAGCCCTAGATACGTCTAGACAACCCCTTATCGACCATTCAACTTTCCAAATGTGTATGTGTACCAAACACGAGCCGATAGGACGATGGGCGTCTAACGACTGCGTGCTCCAGAACCTCAACAGCACTACGATAGAAGCACGTAGGTTCAATGGTTCTGGCAGATGACTATTGTCTCTTGGGAGCACGTTCAATCCTGACCCTGAATTTCCAGCCCGTTCCTCCTTGGCTTACGTGCTCGTTCTTGCATATAAATATCGAGCGTCAGGTTGCCACCAGGCTGTCGCATTCTATCCGCCAGACCAACATGTCTTCCAACCCACAGATCTCGTTTCCTGCCGATTCAGAGCTGGACACCCAACTTAAAGTTGCCATGGATAACGTGTGTATCGTCCCAAGAACTACGCGACGTTCTAACGGTTCTCGATAGAAAACACCGGTCATGCTTCGCCTCACCAGCGATCTCACATTCGCCTTCACAAATCCTCAATCAGGTTTACCGGACTCGTTGATTCTCAAGGCTGGAGAAAGGTGCAAGGTTATCATTCGCAAAAGAGCGGAGGACCCGAATCGACTCTCGGTATGTTCTTGGGTAAACCTCGCTGTGGCCGAGCGCTGAACATTGAGTGACAGGGAGTCGGGGCTCCCACCTATCTCTACAAAGTGAACTTGGAACAAACGAAGGACGTCAAGAGATTTGGACCAGACTCGGATTTTAGAATTCCAATGTCACATTTGCAGTTTCTGCGTCATGATGGAGTCGAGGTAAGCAACGATCCACTCGAGTTCCTTCCAAACCTTTACATCCCATCAGATTAATCACCGATACAAACTCGCTCGCCCTTGGACCTACAAGTACACCCAAAATGGTCAGAAATTCACCATAGATATGGAGCAGGGCGAAACAGTGATTATCCGGGAGGGACCATTTTCGAGTGTCTCTGGCACGGTAAATATTAGACACAGCGCACGAGTTTCTAGAGTCTCACCTTTTACAGGCCCAAAATTTCCTACAGCCTGGTCCAGCCGTATACGGAGGAGGCCATTACTACAAATGTGCAGGCCTCTTGATCAAGAAGGTCCGCGTGGAGTGCAGAAGTGAGCGTAGTGTTGAAGCAGCGCAGCTTAGTTTAATTCAATAAATATCGACTTGTGATGAATACGTATGCAAACAAAGAGCGTGAGTTGTCGTTGACTGGAACTTTCAAAAGCGAGTCACGAGATCAGGTCACGAGATCAGTGACGGCACGGACACACCTGTGACACACACACACACACACACACACACAAACAAGACACTACTTGCCGCGTTCTATGTACACAAAAAGATGCCAGAGCGCGATGATTTAGTCTCAGTAAACCTCTCATTGCTCTTATTGTCGACATCAACTAATTTGCCGCAGGTATTCTTTACTGTGGACCAGGAAGAGCCTTGGCGCGTCGACCTCATTGCCCGCCTGGCATTCTGGCGCGCTAAAGCCAAATTCTTAGAAGCTCATGGCTTTGAGCTATATGAGATCTCTGAAATGCACAGCACTAGTTTTGTTTGCCAACCGCGACAACTACCACAAGTAAATCCAGGCTTTCCGTATGCCACCTTCGGAAATGATTCAGCGTCCATTGTCATGACGGAATCGGTATGAAACCCACCGACCGTGTTCATTTACACTCATCTTCTTGAACTCTCAGTTTCGAATGGTTTCTAAGGGTCTTGCCGTATATGCCACCGATTCTCTCCAACGGGAAGTCGTTCTCAAGCTAATTCAAGACGGGAGCGGAGAACACCGATGTTTGCAGCGGATCCTCTCGCATCAGCAGCGCATTGCTGAGGACTTCGTGCCTGGCCTCGTTCCAATTCTACAGCTTATACCGCTTGACAACAATTGGCTGTTGGTAATGCCACAGTAAGCACTTCATCAGTCACTTCATGGGACAAACTCTTGCAGGTGGGGTGATAGATCTTCAAGCGGCTGGTTTTCGCAGTGCAAAAGACATCATATTTTACCTCGAAGAGATGTTAGAAGGGGTAGTTGCCCTCCATCAGCTTAGAATCGTTCATCGAGTGCGTGCTTACAGCCAGTGTGCCGCTGACCTATTCATGTCCTAGTAGGATCTAGCTATCCATAACCACTTTGTCAACCATGTCTTGACACACGGAACCAGGATTATTGATGTACCAAATAATATTCATTGGCAGCTTCAAAAAAGGGGGAGTTCTGCGCTATGGTTGGCTCGATTTCGGCTATTCTGTTGCCCTTCCTGAAGATTCTGTGATGAACAATTGCCGTTTTCCTTGGGAAGCCTCGTTTGCGGGTGCTTTTTCGGTCCCTCCCGACTTATGGCAGGGAGAGTACATATATAACCCCTTCGCATTCGATGTTGGCACACTTGGAATTTTGTTCTGCTACTACTTTGAGGTCTATTCGTCTCTAGCTCCGTCACCTCCATACTGACAGCATCACCAGTATTTAACCCCTCGTATTCATATACTTGCACCGCTACCTCGATGGCATGACGAACCCCAATGTTAGCTCGCGGTTAACCGCACAAGAGGCTTTGGAACTATTGCGACATCTCAAGGATCAACTCACGGAGGAGCAACTCAAGGTCGAATGCCCGCTCCTCGACGAGGATGTGGACTTGATGGAATTTGATCGCTGGAAATCGCTGCCTCCCGACTTTATAAAAAGCTGGGCTCATTTGCGATGGTCACCCAGGGTATCATGGACGACCCGAATACTGCGCTTTATGTGCCGGTCTTCGCTCGTTATCAGAGTGGTCCGTTCTGCTCGCCGGGCAATAGACAAGGTGTTAGGAAGAAAGTATAACGTATTCCAAGTAAAATAATTGGATGTGCTAACTTGCTTGCTTCTCCAACCTATTATCTTACCCCTCTCCTTCGACAATCCCAATTTGGTGTGCATCCACACACGGACATTGCCTCACTGGTCGCAACCGTTTTGATGCAAAACCCAGTGCAGATCTGGTATTTGGGACATCGTGAATTTCTCCCAGTTCCGAAATTCGCCTTCCACTATGGGTGTTGTTACCATGTCGACTCAGTCCCAACTTGAAAGTGCATGGCGGGTACCCACGGTCACGCCACGCCACCGTGACACAACGATCTACAACAATACAACCACCTCCATATCCACAAGAGGGATGCCAGAGTATGATGACCTAGTCTCTGTACACTTCCCGTTGCTCTATCCGTCGACATAAACCAATTTACCTCAGGTATTTTTCACCGTTGACCAAGAAGACCCTTCGCGCGTCGACCTCATTGCCCGCCTGGCATTCTGGCGCGCTAAAGCCAAATTCTTAGAAGCTCATGGCTTTGAGCTATACGAAATCTCCACAATACACAGCACTAGCTTCGAATGCCAGCCGCGACAACTACCACAAGTAAATCCAGGCTTTCCGTATGCGACATTCGAAAATGATTCCGCGTCCATTCTCACGACAGAATCGGTACGAAACCCACCTACTGTGTTCATTTACACTTATCTTCCTGAATTCTCAGTTTCGAATGGTCTCTAGGGGTCTTGCCGTATATGCCACCGATTCTCTCCAACGGGAAGTTGTTCTCAAGCTAATTCAAGACGGGAGCGAAGAACATCGATGTCTCCAGAGGATCCTCTCGCATCAGCGGCGCATTGCTGAGGACTTCGTGCCTGGCCTCGTTCCCATTCTACAGCTTGTATCGCTCGAGAACCATTGGCTGTTGATAATGCCACGGTAAGCACTTCATCAGTAACTTTCTGGCACAAACTCTTGCAGGTGGGGTGATGGATCGTCCAGCGGCTGGTTTCGCAGTGCCAGAGACGTCATATCTTACATTGAAGAGATGTTGGAAGGCGTAGCTTCCCTCCATAGGCTTAGAATTGTCCATCGAGTGCGTGCTTACAGCCAGTGTACCACTCACATATTGATATCCTAGTAGGATCTAGCATACCAGAACCACTTTGTCAACCATGTCTTGACACTCGGAACCAGGATTTTTGATGTCCCAGATAATATTCTATGGCAACTTCAAAAAAGCGGCGTTCTGCGCTATGGTTGGCTCGATTTCGGCTATTCCGTTGCCCTTCCTGAAGATTCTGTGATGAACAATTGCCGTTTTCCTTGGGAAGCCTCGTTTTGCGGGTGCTTTTTTCGGTCCCTCCCGACTTATGGCAGGGAGAGTACATATATGATCCCTTCGCATTCGATGTTGGCACAGTCGGAATTCTGCTCTGCCACTACTTTGAGGTCTACTCGTCTCTAGCTCCGTCACATCAATACTGACAGCATCACCAGTATTTAACCCCTCGTATTCATATACTTGCACCGCTACTCGATGGCATAACGAACCCTAATGTTAGCTCGCGGTTAACCGCACAAGAGGCTTTGGAACTATTGCGACATCTCAAGTATCAACTCACTGAGGAGCAACTCAAGGTCGAATGCCCGCTCCTCGACGAGGATGTGGACTTGATGGAATTTGATCGCTGGAAATCGCTGCCTCCCGACTTTATAAAAAGCTGGGCTCATTTGCGATGGTCACCCAGGGTATCATGGACGACCCGAATACTGCGCTTTATGTGCCGGTCTTCGTTCGTTATCAGAGTGGTCCGTTCTGCTCGCCGAGCAATAGACGAGGTGTTAGGAAGAAACTATAACGTATTTCAAGTAAAATAATTACTTCAATGCACGTCACCTGATCGCGCTGGTACTGCTGACTAAGAATGCTGACTTTTGATTTACTCTTCCCATTGCCTCAAGGCTCAGGACTGGTACATAAACTGTCGCCAAGTCCTGTCTTCTTAACAATATATATTCCTCCCACGGTAACAAATGACAATTTACGCGATATATGGGTCACAAACCCGTGGATTGTGTAGCTTGGAGGGATCCTTCGTCAAGAAACCGAGACGCACTCCGTCAAGATACGACCTGCCGATAGTGAGTCGTTTCAATGTCACAAGAGCTGGTGGTCTAACCATTGCCGAGATAGATTGCCGGCAAGCTGAGAATTCTCGACCTTGAAATTCCAGAACTACAATCTTCAAGTTCCCGTGGCAGTGAAAAAGATTGCGGACTTACAATCCAGCCAGCACCCTTACTGTATGCCAGCTTCTGTGCATCAGCCCATTGGAAAAGGAACTCGTCTGTGGCTTGGAACTGTGTCGGAAGCCCCCATTCTGTGCATTCCTTGTTAGCTAGGGAAGATACTAATCAGGCGAAGACACCAACCTCCAAACCAAAGAGGACTGTTGCTCAAAGCTGCATCTGCCTGGATGCGATTCAAATCTACCAATATCGTCAATAGAACTCATGCAGTCCATAATGTTCGCAGTTACTGCATATGCTGGTGAGATATGCGTCCGGGTTGGCGTCAGCAACACCCTCGAAACGGTTAGCAATGAAGAGAACGGAGGCAGTCCATTTACTCCAAAACTGGAGAAGCGCTTGGTTTCATGCGATTATGGCCCGAAAAAACTCACGAGTAGTACAAGTGATTATCATAGCCTTGAGGTCCGATCTGAGCATCCGCCGGGTTGGCTGGGTTGTTGTGCTGCCAGTTGATGTCCATGAAGCTGGAACACAGGTGTCAAAACCTTACAAGGACGGGAAATAAATAACCATACTTGGTAACGAGTGGACCGCTTCTTCGTGATATTCCACTGATTCCTAGCTTCAGAATAATCGGGACGGCATCCAACAACACCGAGCGAACTTCTTCGGTAAATAGTTGGACAGTGTCATTGATGTGCGGAAGAAGCTGCGAAAAGTTGCCATTGACTGGCGCCGGCAGAACAGGGAAACCAGGAGCAGGAACCCCGAGTAAATATTCCGTGGCTCGAACCACGCGAACGAAGTTTTTCTGAAAGTCGCCATATCCAGGTGTTTGACTAGCATCCATTATAGGCTCGTTCACCTACCGAGCACAATAATTGACTGTGGTAAATGAAGTAAGTATCACCTACCGCTTCGATTGCAACAGCGCTCGCAAAAGCAGGGTCAAGATGAGCCAATGTGGTCATCACCGAAGTCCAAATCAGAGCACGATGGTAGTTGAACGGTGTCTGTCAGTAGCGTTCAATGATGAGTGCAACATCGAGTCTGAATGCCCTACATAGAACTCCACGTCACTCGTGCATCTGAATAGCTCATCAATGGCGTTAAGGAATTCATAAAACAGAATGATTCTCACCGGCCAGTGAACATTTGGTTCGCGGTTTGAACGCCTGTGAGACATTTTGTGAGATGGTGCATGAGAGCGCCGCGTTGACTGACCTGGCAGCGCATGGTGGTCCAGGATAACGACGATACCGGCATCATGAAGAAGTTGAAGGCCACGTCGCTGCATATGACTATTGTTCCAAGAATAGACCTCGCCCGAAGATGCAGCGTACCAGCTGGGCGAGGCCGCCTCGGGGATAAAACTCTACTCGACGGTCAACCAAGGCCTCCACGATCCAGTAGCCCAGCTAAAAGTGTAGTCAGGGATAGCCACAAACAAAAAAGCAAAAAATTTACTGGAATGCGAACGGTATTGATGCCAGCAGATTTAAGTGCTTCGACGTCACTTGCTGTGAACCATGACTCCCTGCGGGACTAGGGATCGTAGAAGAGGCAACACCAAGATATACCCACCAATGTCCTTTGAATTTCGCATCTACTGTGTCCGGATAAGCTTGGGCAAATGCGCTTAAGTAGAAGATTGTCGTGAGTAGCTGGGGCGCGCATATCATGACTAAATACTCACAATTCGGTTGCAACGCAGGCTGAGCAGTCGTCACAACGCTGACCACCCATATCAATCCATTCTACAGCCAATGAATGATGTGATTATGAGACTGTTTCTCCAAGCTAAAAACCTTGAGGTAACATCCAAGATTCGAGAACAAGCCTTTGGAGATCGTCGACCAGACAGTGAGAAAAAATACAGCAGAAGGTATGGTCGCACCAGGAGCCAAGATTCACGCCATAGATATGGCTGGGAAACCCGGGGAGTGCATTCACAAGCGTAGTCGTAGCTACGAGTGACACGAGGTTCCAGAAAAGTGCGTTCATCGGGAGCGCGAAGCATTGCCAGAGCAGTTCGGACTCTTGTACCGCTGTTATGTCCGCACTTATTCCCTCTGGCGGAGTCCACAAAAAGCAGCGGTCACATTGGCAGAGAAAAGAAGAGATTCGATTGTCGGATGTCGGTTCACCGTCGTACGTCTTACGAGGTTCGGAGTCAAGATCAAGGTTTGCCTTTGACGGCACGTGATGATGTTGCCATCAAACCGCACTTTCTTCCGCCCCACTTTGAGTTCTGTCCAACACAGCGCATTCAATATCATCTATCACCGCAACGTTTCCCTAGGCCCACTACTGAGACAAATCAACTCATTATCGGGGCTCCGAAAGTGGTAGCAGCTTTCCTCGCTCCTTGCGTTGCATACGTCATGTGCTCCCCATCCCGTGTCAACATGAGCGGCCCAATGGATGTTATTTCGCCGCTGGCGTTTTCACAATTTCGAGTATACTCAGTGTTTTAACTTTCTGTTCATGGACTCGTTGGTTGCCCCTCCAAATACTTCGCTGTTACCGCCTGACCAAAAATGACCGTCTATTCCTGGCCTGTGCACTACGCTCGCCTTCCCTTCTGTCCCTGATTCGGACCTTCCAAAGATCAGTCAAACCTACACATCATTCAAGCGGACTGTCACAGGACCACCTGCGACCAGTGGGTTTCCTCCAAGAGTTTTTCCTCGCACGTTCTCTCAACGCTTTAAAGGTGGTATCGGCGAGTCGGTTATCTCGCGGCCATCTCCCCCGGTACCCCCAACATGGCTCTTGCAATCGTCCTGGGTCTTGCCTCCCTTGCACTAGCTGCGCCTTCCCTCGTCGCTCGCCAGGCTATCACGTCTTTGACGACTGCTCAAGTCAGCGCCTTCAAGCCATTCTCATTCTATGCGTCTGCTGCCTATTGCTCGCCAGCCTCAACCCTCGCCTGGAATTGTGGTTGTGAGAATCTGTGAATTACTCTTCTCAAGACTCGCCGTAACTTGTTCTGCAGCAAATTGTGCTGCAAACGCTGGTTTCAAGCCTGTTGCATCTGGCGGGAACGGAAATTCTGTGCAATTTTGGTATGTGGGCTATGACCCCACTCTTGCGACTGTCATCGTTGGGCACCAAGGGACGGATCCTTCCGAGATGTGGGTCTGAACTCAACCCGCTCGATGCTTTTTTTCGATCATCATCGTAGTCTGTCTCTTGTGACGGATGCTAAATTCTTCCTCAAAAGTCTGAATTCAACATTGTTTCCTGGCGTTAGTAGTTCTGTTGAGGGTCACAGTGGATTTGTGGACGAACAAGCGCTGTATGCAACCCGTGATGTTGTCTTACTCGATGCTCATCTTTTTTCAGAACGGCGTCGTCGGTTCTTGCCGCTGTAAAGACTGCCATTTCACGGTTCAGTGCAAAGAAGGTGACCATCGTTGGTCACAGTCTCGGTCTGTCCATTTTATGCTACTACTATTCCACCGCTGAACAGAATAATAGGTGGCGCGATTGCTCTTCTGGACTCGGTCTACCTCCCACTTCATATCTCCGGGGTGACCTTCAGGACGATTACATACGGCATGCCACGTGTTGGAAACCAAGCATTCGCCGACCTCGCCAGCGTCGGTAGCACTGTCACGCACATCAACAACAAGGAGGATCTCGTCCCGATCTTGCCTGGTGTGTAGGTCTATTTTCCCACAGACTCAAATCGAGCATGTTTTTACCCTAGGTAGAAGTTTAGGATTCCATCACCCGACAGGTAAAGATTTTATGGTTGAATGGTGTAGCTGATTCACCTGAGTAAATTAGGTGAAATCCATATCCAGGTACATAACTCCCAAGACTTCAGGTGTTTTCAATCGATGCTGATTTGGACAGGACTCGGGTGTTTGGGATAGCTGCCCTGGTAGGTCAAGCCTTCTGCCTTTTGTAATTCAATACTCAGGTAATTGCAGGTCAGGACAACACCAGCGATCTGTGTACCACAGGTTCATTATCTCGATGTTGACTGATCTGCCCTTCTGAGAGCATTGTAATAGGAGACGTAGGCAATATTTTTGAAGGCAATTCTGACGACCATGACGGTGAGTTGTTTCCTGGTCAGCTATGACCTCCATTCACGTCGCTCAAGGTCCCTACGACGGAGTAACGATGGGTTGTTGACGAGCAGATCATGTAAACTTGTAGATGTTAACAATCGAAAGCCTTTGTATCACGTTCTTCCTTGACCTTGACCTCACCACTCACTTTCCCTTTCGTCAGAAAGTGCGGCCATGTTTACATTACGAGTACTTATGTAATCGTCTATCAATATCTGTCGTCCGCGTTTCAGGACCTCGATCTTGACCCTTGAGAAATTCTATTTTTGTAATGAAATTCGTAGTCTTAACCCTAACCCTACAGCAAATTTTTGTGACTCGAAAATGAATGCTTTTTGGACTTCGTCCTTTCACAGCTGACTTGCTTATGTAACTCAGGCTAAAGTCACGACACCTTTCCACGCTTCTCCTTTACCTCAACTTCACCTTCTTCGTGTTGAGCGCGTATTTCTCAGTACAACAAATGTTGGTATTGCAGGTACTACTAGTACGGAGCGATTAGTCAGTTTTCTGTCCAATCTGACTCAAATACAGTCCTTCCAGTTCCATCCTCGTTCAATGTTGCATTGACAGTTTGGTCTTCGTCAGACTCAGACTCACTCGGAGCCGTGTCACTTTGGCTCAACGTGGAGGGTGTTAACGAAAGTGTTGGTCGAACTGGTGCTTTGCGGCCACATTGCCCGTCACCTCTGGAATCCTATCGTCGTCAAATCTATCGCATTCGCTGTCAATTTACCATCTATCAAGGATTTGTCGCGTCTTCCCGCTTCCCGCGTGAAACCAAAAGTGTTGGACACTTGGGATGTTTTGTGGGACAGATTCTTGAGTTTGCTGGACTACAACCTCAAACGGGTGCTGAGAATGTGCGAGTCAGTGACAAGGTATGAGCAAAGTTAACAAATAAATCTACCTGACTGGTGTGTACAGTGTTATTACGACCACACTTGAAATTTCCAAAAAAGGAGTCTGGTGAGTTTCCTGATGACTACCGGCACCGGCAAAGCACTCAAACAATGTGTCACAGTGGGTTGTAAGGCCACTTTTTGCGATAAAGGATGTCAACGCGCGCTGTGACCACAAAACAAGGAGGATTGTAGTACAGAAGAGAAAATCGGGAGAGTAAGTGTTGGATTTGAAGTACGATATCGTGCACTGACAGTTACTGGAGTTACTGGAGGGAGCTGGAGGGGGCTGTCTTATACGGTCTGCACGCACGCATATGCATTGCGTGGTCCAACATGACGCTGCTTCTGTTATGAGTGCCATCAGAGAAAAGGCCGCGCTCGCGTTGAAGACTCACTCTAAGGGGCGAAGTAAGCTCTTCGATTATCGATCGGTTGTCGATGTCCCTGTGGTGGAAGTCATGGTTTCTGACATGTCAAAGCTGGCATTCGACTTGGAGACTGGTCTTGTCGTTGGGATCGGCGCTGAACCTCTCGCGAATGTGGGTGTGTAGTTCATAGTGATTCCCAGGATTATTCTACTCAGGCTGGCTACAGTCCGGATCGCATGGACCGCCACTGGTGCCAGTGGGAGCAACTGGGACAACGTGAAATGGGCATGGGTTTTCCAGTGAACAAATTTAAGTACTAAGTACAAGTACTCGTGTTTGCTATTTATTGGCCTTATACCCAAGTAAGTGATGACGTTGACAAACACGGGACATACATCTCCACTGCTCTCCTTTGCCGTCGGAAACCTTTTGTCCATTCGCAAGGCTTGGAAGGCAGCGTCCACCTTACTCGGGGCTAATCTAACAGCCACATCGCGTCTATGAACAGGCCTCGGCGACAGCAGGCCGGGATTTGCTCAACGAGGCTTCACACGGCATGAAACGACCGTCGTCGCTGATTCAAATCAAGTAAAGTAGCGGCACTACCTTTCGCCAAGGGTCACTATAAAATGTGGCTGCCGTTTCTTCATTCTCCACCCCACCATGCCCCGTTCTTTAGCCCTCTTCTTCGTTGCATCGGTTTTGGCCGGGGTGTTGGGGCAGAATGTGACCGTGCTGCGTGACGCGCTCTCTGCGAGTGGTGTGCAAGCCGTTTACCCCACAGACTCGACCTATTCGTCCGTCACCAAAGCTTGTCAGTCTCGCTCAATTCAGTTTCCTTGAATTTGCTCTCAAGACGCGTATTCTAGTCAATAGGCGATATACGGTCTCCCCCGTAGCAGTCGCCTTTCCAACAAACGACCAACAAGTTTCGGCCGCCGTTGCAGCTGGTCATGCTCAAAATATACCAGTCGTGGCTCGTAGCGGAGGCGTACGATCTAGTTCTTCCATACTTATCCCTTCTCACTCCTCGCCTAGCATTCTTACATCGCCAATGGGTTGGGTGGAACTAGTGGAGCACTGGTAGTCGATCTCAGCAAGATGAAGTCGATCTCGGTTCGCTCTTCCAATAATACTGCTCTAATCCAAACTGGAAATCGACTGGGTGATGTCGCTCTCGCTCTGAATGCCGCTGGCCGTGCCCTCCCACATGGCACTTGCAGTTACGTTGGCATCGGAGGCCACAGTGGATATGGCGGCTTCGGTTTCTTCAGCCGAGCTAAAGGTCTGACGCTTGACACCATCCGGTCCGCAACTGTAGTTCTGGCGAATGGGACGATCGCTTCAGCGTCTTCGACGGTCAATTCCGATTTGTTTTGGGTGTGTTTTTTTTCTGCGTTGTGGAATAGCTCATCAACTGAAAATAATACGACAGGCAATCCGTGGTGCTTCCCCCTCATTTGGGATTGTAACCTCCATCGAGGTCTCAACCTTCCCTGCTCCATCATCAGTCACTGTTTTCCAGTACGGATGGGACAGTCTTGACATTACCACTGCATCGAATGCGATCTCGGCGCTCCAGACCTACGCAACGACAAACATTCCCGCCGAGCTTGGTGCTGAGCTTGTGTTTGCACCTGGCTCCTCCAGTTCTCATGTTTACATGGGCTTGACCGGCGCATACTATGGTTCTGGCGATCTGTCTGCCATTCTTTCCCCTTATCTCTCCAAGCTGCCCAAGTCTTCGTGGTCAACAATCACTCCCGGAAGCTACATTGCCAGTGTCACGACCTTTGCTAGCCCGGACCCACTCAATACGACCACCAGGGCTGATGGCTCTGACACATTCTACACGGCCAGCGTTATGACGCCTCAAGGCTCACCGATGTCGGCGGCTGCAATTAAAGCCTTCGTTACCTACATGGCTGTCCAGGGTTTTTCGGCTTCCACAGTACAATTCTTCTATTCAACTCACTCCATCGTTCTCATTTTTTACAGGACTGGTTTGTGGAGGTAGAACTGTGGGGAGGGTCAAACTCTCAAATCAACGCAATCGCACTTGATTCGACAGCGTTCTCCAAGCGTGACACGCTATTCGCGATCCAGCTCTACGCGTCGTCCAGCAATGCCAGCCCACCCTACCCATCAGACGGCGTGTCGTTCATCAAGAACATGGCCAACTCTATCGTCTCCAATAGCCCTTCGGGATGGAGTTACGGGTGAGAACATCCATTTGTGGCGGCAGATCGTCTCATGTTGACTGTTTCTTTCAGAGCTTACTTGAATTATGCTGACGATCAACTTGCGAATGGTGCGTCTTCCTCAATTTGGTTGCCTTCTCTACCCTCTTGCTGATGGGAAGACAGCCAACTCGCTCTACTATGGATCGCACTATTCACGTCTCCAGTCTATCAAACGAAGCATTGACCCAGCCAACACGTTCCGTTTCCCGATTGGCGTCTCTGTGTGATCGATGACTGTTGGGCTTCGGACCGACGGACCTATGTTAATCTACTGTACCTTGCCGCGATAATCCGGACTTTTTTAGCGTAGTAGCCTCGAGGATGCAACCAAAATGACGTTGGGCGCTGTGTAGATATCAGCAGCCTATCAGGCTGTACACAAGCCCGGCTCGGGTGGAAAAAGTTGTTGTTGAGTTGTTGACGATGTCGTGAGACTTGTCCTCTCTTCCTTCTGACCTTGTCAGATTCTGTCTATGGATGTACCAGGCCCGCTTTCTCCCTCCTTGCGAGGTCGACCACAAGCGGCGCCGTTAGGTCCTCGGACACGAATTGTTTCAAGCTCTCGTTCTCATCGAGAGTCAACCCAATTTTTACGCGAAGCTGCTCCCGTTTATACCCCGCCAGACTCGGAAACGAAATTAACTCTGCCCACTGTTGTAGAGAGAATTCACGAAGCAAACGAAAGTCAAGAGGAAATAACCCGTTCAACACCACCACCACCTTCTTCACCCAGCATACAGGACACGACACTACTCAATGTCAAGGCTGTACCTCGAGTTGCAGCGCTGACCCCCCCCTCCCCAAATCAAATTCGAGTCAACGCCAGTCCAGTGGAAGGGATTGCCTTTGGATGCCGCGCTATGTGTGTCCACAGTGATTCGTCTTCTGTCGAATGATTCATGTAGTCATCTAGGGACTCTGGACTCCAAGGAACTGCAAGAGATCGTTTCGCGCGCAATTCGAAGTTCATCCCGCGAATCCTTCATCCGTGTCCTTCCAATCAACACTCTCGACAGTGCCTTGCCCGATGAACTGACGCGTCTGGACAATCTCAAGTCAGTGACCCAGTCCAAATACCGGTTTACTGTCCAGCGTCGCACAATGCTTCTGCAAGCCCTGCAGTCTTTCTCGAGCTACCACGACAAGGAGGGTATCAGCAAACTAACTAGTCAGCTTGCCCAGACGACGAACGAATGCGACCAACTGTTGGGGGAGCTGCTCCAGGTGCGTATGTGCTCCTTCAAGTTAGAGCTTAGATCAAACTCTTCATATGTAGATAGCCGACCAAATTGCGCAAATCCACCGCCTCCAAGATACGCATTCGGCTAGTGCACTGGCAATTGCTCTTCGAAAGGTTTCTCTCCCCTCCTCTTGTGAATGATGTCTCTAACGACATCTTAGCTTAATAGCAGTTATGGACGACGAACCGCTGATTTGTTGAAATCAAAAGAAAAAATACGCGCACTTGAGGCGGAACTTGGCGATGCTTGGCAACAAGCGGAAAAACTAGCGAAAGAGATGGACGAATTGGAGGTTGTGTCTGACGACGACGAGGCAGTAATCGAGGTTGCTGAAGTTGTTTCCCTTAACCACCGAAAATCCCCTTCAGGTTCTTCCGGTCCAAGTTTACAGCGCTCTCTCGGCGAAGTCATCGCTTTATCACAACCAAGTTCACCCATAAGGATACTCTCTTCCCCATCTCCGACCCAGACGAGGTTACCGTCACCCTCTTTATCGGAACTCGAGGCATTGCCCGAAACTCCCCTTACCATAGCTATCCCGTTAACCGACTCACGCCCATCGGACACAACCAGTCTTCGTAGCACAAAAAGCATAAAGAGTACAAAAAGCACAAAAAGCATCAGAAGCACTCGTATAACTCGGAGTCAACGGACGATTGACACAAGCCGCGTTAGCTCTGTTTCTGCTGCGCGAAGGCGTAGCCAACGCACATCTTCAAGTAGCCTCCGAATGCCAAGCATCAGAAGCGCCCACAAGAAAGGCTCTCACCCTCCCGTGCCGTCTCTTCCTTCCTCCACAAGCCCTTCAACTCCAGACCGTCGCTCGTCACGAGTCGAGTCTTTCCTTGACTTTGGCTCCCGAGACGTGACTGACGAAGATACCGACGAAACCGAGTCGCCAATGGAACAGAGCGCCATTGAAGACATACAAGTAGTTGCACGCACACCTCCACCTCTAATCCAAACCCAGGATGATATCCACGTAATGCCCAGTAGAAGTGCAGCAGAAAGAGACTTGGTTGCAACACTACCGTCACAGTTCTCACTCGACCGACAGCACCCATTTGCAAACGAAGGTGAGCGTTGTTGTATCAAGCTTGCGTAGCTTTGCTGATGGCCATTGACAGAATCTGTAAACCACTCGATCCCATCTATGTGGCTTCTACGAGAGACGCCCACAACCATTGACATCAGTGAACGCGGCGAATCGCCGATGCGTGACCGTGGGCATGTAAAGGGGTCTCTCCAACGACTAAAATCACTGACGAAACGATACTCCTTACCTTTTGGGCCTGCGGCCATCCAAGCGCGGTCCAAGTCTGCTCGTAACGTGACAGGCTTATAATAATGTCTTTTATTATTCTGCATTTGTAGCCCCTTCATTGTATTTTACATCACGTGTATGCCACAGAAAAACGCTACTCAGAGTTGGTTGCCAATGCCAGAGCTCCAGCGTTGTCGACCAGTGTGAATTTCGCCCCATCGCTTCCTGATTGTGTGGCTCGGGCGACAGGTGGCAGTTTGTTGAGATAACCTGCTTTGAGTATGCTTTTGGCCAAGGTGTTTATCTGAAAGCTGTGTCAGTGGTTGACTTTAGGTTCATCCTGGGGTGCACATTGATTTCTACGCTGGACGAAATATGAGAGAGGACACTCGTGAAGACACTGGGGAGAAAGGTCATATTAAAAGCCTACGAAGTGTGTGGGGTACCTGGCAATTCGCTCGGCGGGACGTGAATCAGGACGATTGACACCGGCGAGTAAAGCAGGACGGAAGACGATGACTTCGTCGTATCCTAGTTTCGCTAGGCCGTTTTCTGTCAGGCCTTTGCTCCTGAGTTCAGTTCAGTTGTCAAAAAACCCTTGCAGTTCAAGTTGACCTTGGATAAAGGAAAGATGATTTGGAGTTGGCCCCGGCACTCTAGCTAGATATTAAGACAAAATTGATGAACGGGGCTGGTAGGGTCACCGAAACGTAGATCAAGCGTTGTGGGTAGTCGCCTTGAGCTGCCCGTGCCGCGTTGATAACATATCTAGAAGTGTTGGGTCGATGACCAAGCAGGAAAATAAAGTCCTGACTCTCTGTCAATCTTCTCAAATGCCGCGGCGCTTCCAGCTGCTTTTGCGGTTGTCCCGAGTCTATATATAGCCACTGAGCCACCCTTCATCATCGGGTTACCCCTCCTGAAGCACACACGCGATGAAGACCACATCCCATTTGCCGTCCTTCAGACCAGAAGTATCGAGATTTTCGAAGTCAATGGTACGCTGCTCAAGCTTTTCTTTGCCAACTGCGAGTTTGTCCGGGTCCGTCGTTTTGCGACCAAACTCTCCGACCTTAGAGAAATAGGGACTTGCGAGTAATTCCTGACAAGTTACGGTACTTGCTCGACTACGATAAGTAGGAGCCTAGTCACCTTGAGGATACAAGACCCAACTTGGCCTGTTGCGCCAAGCAATAAAGCGGATGGAGGAGGCGGAGAAGACATATCTGAACACGTGAACGCGTGTAGCGATCATCAATCTTAACCCCGAAAATGTCCCACAAATCGCGTTTACAAATCGACTTTCACTCTCTCTCCGGCGTCTGCCTCCGATGGGTATGACTGCCCGTGCCTACCTTCTTTTCTCTCTCCTAGCCATCCAAGTAGTCTACGCTCATGAACACCACGACGAGTTACCTGACGAAGAGTCGGATAAACCCACCGATGCGATTCTTTGGCTACACATTCTACTGCAAATTCTTGTTTGGGGCATTCTCTTCCCTGTGGGCATGGTTCTGGGAATAACGTGTGTACTTTGTTCCATTTCTTCTGACCTGCCTCATATCAGTTCGTCATAGCCGGAGTCGTTGGCACGTCCCGTTGCAGAGTGTTGGCTTCGTATTGACTGCGGGAGGCTATATCCTGGGTCACTCACATGGCGGTCGCATGTTTCTTCCCTCGGCCCACGGAATCTTTGCCAATATTCTTCTCGTGCCTATTGCGACACAATTGGCTCTTGGAATCTACCTCAAGCTGCATATTCACGAAGCCTCAATACGCCCCTACGCAGTCATTGCTCATGGAGTTGTCGGCAAGGCTTACCCCATTCTGGGTTGGACACAGATGCTGTTTGGCGCGATGACTTATCGCGGCTATTGTCGGGGCGAGGAACTGGCCCAATGCCTTGCTCACTATATTATGGGCTCTGGTTTTATCGCCTATGCGGTTATCATGGCCATAATACTTCTCGTTGGCGAAGGCTGGGTGCGTCGAAGTGGGCGGAGTCCAGAATGGTGGGACTCGTGGGTCATTTTCTTGTGGGGTATCGGTACGTGCCTTATTTTCCAACACGAGTCTGCTGCTGATTTGAACAGTCAACACATTCACTGAGCATCGGGGCTCCCATTGGTCTGTCAAAGATATGCAACATACGTCTGTCATCTTACTTCAGTTTGCTTGAATCTCTGCTCATACTTGATACAGAATCTTGGGTGTTCTTTGTCGGTTGGTCCCTGGTTTTAGTCACGTGTCTAACATTTCTTCAGGGTGGGCTGGTGGTCTGTTGGGCATAATTCTCGCACGCAATAACAAGGTCCGTCCCTGGCTATACTTCGTCACTTTCTTGTCCTTATTTGAAGCCCTAGCGAAATGTGGTACCTGCTTTAATGTCGGGTCAACTTGATCAGACTGATGCTTTCTTTGCTCATTCCCAAGCAGATTAATCCTTACAGGCTGGGCCATGTCCGAGCACGAGCAACATCTCATGATTTCAACCAAAGTGCACGCCATCTTTGGGTACACTCTCATGCTGGCTGGCGTTACCCGTATTATCGAAGTCGTCTGGTTTCCTGGCACCTCGAGAGCAGAGTTGGTCGATGATGACAATGTCAGCGATCATACCCTTGCAGACTCTGGTCCTCGCTTCCTTCCTGCGGCTGATGACAACAAAGCCGCTGCGTCCAAAGCTTTCCGTCATCTTCCTCCATTTGTGCGTGATGCCCTACATAAGCATGTGATCCCATCTCACTCGTCGTGTTGTGCAGTTACTGGTCGCATCTGGGTATGTTCCTTCCAGTCCTCTTGGACCATTCAAGGACGATTGCTAGGGTCCTATTCATGTCTGGGACTGACGAAGAACTCAAATATGTTCACAAAAACGAGATGGACCATGTCACCTACATTTTAATCATGTTCAGGTTTGGGTTTTGCTTGTCAGCAAGCTTTGATTCGCTGAAACGGCCTCGCAGTATCGCTTTCCTGCTTTATACGCTGATTGTTTTCGTTATTGGGCTCTATCCGACTACAGGCCGGAATGCAAACAAAGAGGACAACCGAGGCAACCGCATTGAGTTGACGACGGTGACGACTCCTCGCACCAAGTGGTATTCGCGTGTGCCAAATGCGCCACAAACTCCCACTGAACCATTACATGTGATCGGAGAAGAGGAGGATGATTAAAGTAGATATGCTCGATGTAATTCTGCTGTGTTGTTGTCCTTTTGTACTGCCTTCTTTATCGCGTGACGTCACGCGCTTCCTTGACAGCAATGTTTCTGTCAAACCATGACTGCCTTAAAATGCCAGTGGGCTCTAGTAGCTCGCTCATTCCGCACTCTCCTCCCTAATGAGCTGGACTACATCGGTCGTTACCACTGCAACAGCAGACACAGAGCCTTCTGTGGTCCTCGCGTTCGAAAATCCATCGTACAAATATATCTTCAACGTTTCCGAAAACGCAAACCGGGCTTTCACGCAGAAAAAGGCACATAGGCGGAAGACTAGAGTATTCTTCTTCACTCAGTCCTCTGCAGAACGCATGGGTGGTCTGGCTGGTAGCTAATCCTGACTCGTTATAATGCCAAGTTGCTCAGCGTTTTCCAGGCATGCTCATGTCGTCCGCCGACCAAGGCCTTCAGAATCTCGATGTCATTGGCCCTCAAGGTATGACTCATGCCGTTGCTTCGATGAGGTTTTACATCTATCGGTATGTGGTTTTGTCACTGGCCTTCAGTCCATTGACTGTTTTTCCTTTTAGCAATTCGATGAAAGTAAATGTCCAAGACGTCCCCTTGTCGAATGATCTATCAAATACTCCACCATTCACCTACCAGGACAAGAACATCACTGCTTACAGTTTTCCAATAGTCCACTCGTCGCATGAACTGATCAATCCAATGCCTGTCGATTCTGAACAATCGCCTCTCTCTCGAAAGCGCAAACGTGAAGCCGACCCAAAGGCTGACCTGGAAGAACTGATGCGGGAGGAGCAATTCTCGCCCTCGAAACTTCAAGGCGCAATGGCTGACGAGTGGCGGAAGCTGATGATCAAGACGATGTTTCCAGCCTCAAGTGTGGGGCCGTCGCCTCCCTCATCGACACCAATCAAGGGATGCCCACTCAAAAAACGTCGTCGTGGACCAAAATTTGAACCTATTTTTGTTTTTGAAGAACCGGACCAGGTATTAGTTTGTTTGTACGACGACCAACTTCTGACTTACACTTCAGATTGAAACCCATACACGCCCGAGGATCCCAGCTGGCTTCCATAAGCAGCTTCCCACATTTGAGCCTTGTTGGCCAACTCATTCACCACCAGCTTTGGCCTACGTTGTTATCGGACCTGTTGTTCGAGGCAAGTTTGATGTTGAAAAGTCACTGGCTTTAGGTGTGCCTGTGAACCGTCGCTCGTGGCTGACAGATGGGCGTTCGATCGTGGTCAAAGTACGCGAGGGAGATGAGATCGTTGAGAAAACTGTGCAACCGGAAGACTGCATTGGCCCGTCTGAACCTCCACCGGTCAGTCTTTTCTTGAAGGCATTGTGCATCAATTGATTGTCATTTTTCCAAAAAAAGGTTGCTATCGTTCTGGATGTACCGTCTCCAGAATACGTTACATCGCTCGTCAACACGTTTCAAACCTCGCCTTTCTATGCTCAATTTCGTTCTATGCATCCAGCAGACACGGCCAAGTACGCAGTCCGCCCTGTCTTTCACCTATGTGGCGCCGGAGTCCTCGAAGACCCTCGCTACGTTGAGTTTATGAACGGTTTCCCGCCCACAGCCCACGTGAGTTGTGATCATCTGGTTTTGTCTACATTTTGACGAAGAGAGCAGCATATTATTTCTTCTCGCGAATACGGCCGCGATCCTATCACTTTCACAACCGCATCCTTCAATCAGCTTCGCCTCCATCAGCTCGACCCACAAATGTTTCCTGTGCCACACTTCTCGCTTACTCCGCTCCGCAGTTTGTCTGGTGTGCTATTTTGTGCCCCGTTTTACCTCCTCTCATCGCTACCGCAGCCATCCACGATCTTCCGACACAAACTCTGCTTATGGAGCCCAGCTTACAAATGAGCGTTCGTCCAGCGGGGGCTCCCGAATATGGAAGGTTGCCTGCGGAACGGAAGGATTATTTCCATCCAGCTGCAGCCAATCCCGATCTGCTGATGCTCTCGCCCTCGATGCTTCAAAAATTTGCCCAAATGCAAACAAAGGTGATGGAGATAGCGCCTCCAGCACTCCCTGTTCGCGGTGCCGATGTCCAAGTCATTCCGTTAGGAACGGCGAGTGCCGTGCCAACCTCATCCCGCAACGGTTAGTTGTTTACTATAAACCCTACTTCCGAGTTCATTCGTTCCAGTTTCATCAACTCTGATTCGCATTCCTTCACGAGGTTCGATCCTCCTGGACGCAGGCGAGGGCACTTTTGGTCAACTTGCTCGACATTTTGGCCCTGAGCTTGATGATGTTCTTCGCGACTTGCGTTGTATCTTTGTCAGCCACATTCACGGCGACCATCACATGGGCGTTGCGAAAATTTTACTCAAACGACGACAAGTATTAATTTTCGGTGCTTTCGGCTGTCACTCGCTTGCTTACCCTTTATAGCTCAATCCGCAACCGATGCAACCTCTTTATCTTGTCTCAATCCACAAGCTGCACTTATATCTACGCGAGCTATCCCAAATCGAGGATCTAGCCGTTGGCGATGGCTCTCCCAATGGCGTGGTTACGGTCATTAGCGATGCGCTACACTATAAGCAGTCGGGCGAGTATGTCACGCACGGAATGTGGGCAATTGAAGGCGCAGAACCCTGGACCGACTATGAGCGGTAATATGCATTGTTACTTGAGGCCGATAACTGATTAGATCCAGTTCCACCGCTGCTTGCATGCGACTTTGTGTTGCTCTTGGTCTGCATAGTTTCACCACGATCGACGTCTTCCATCAAGTCAAGTGTTACGGCGTTTGCATTCGCAGTCAAGATGGCTGGAGTATTGTGTAAGTATAAGCTCCAGATTAACAATCTTGCTCAACACTTCGCCCAGTTTTTCTGGTGATACTCTACCCACCCCGTCTCTGATCCGTGGTGGCAAAGGCGCGACTCTACTCATTCACGAATCTACGATGGGTGACGGAGAAGAAGAAATGGCGCTTTGCAAAGCGCATAGTACTGTTGGACAAGCGATCGATATCGGGCGAAGAATGGGCGCCGAAAACATCCTGCTGACTCACTTTTCTGCCCGATATCCAAGACTCCCACCCAAGTCACGTGGTGGTATTGACCCAAGCAACATCAATGGCTGGCCAGGTAAACGCGAGCCAGTGGTGGCACTGGCGTTTGATCATCTACACCTGACACTGGGAACCGTATCAAGGCTAGCAATGTACTTGCCAGTGATTCAGCAGGCATTTGCAGAGACGTTGGAGGAGGATGACGAAGAAGAGACAAAGGTTGCGCTTGCTGCTGACAGACACCATTAATTTGTATTCTTGTAGATTTGGCATGACTATGGTTTAGAAAAACAAGTGAGGACGTGGTCTCCGCCTGCTCCTGTTAGGTTGATTGTGCCTCGAACCCTGAAGCCACGGTTGATGTAGAATGCAACCTATTATAAGTAGCTTATCAGTAGAAGGTTCGATGCTCGAAAAGGAATAGACATTTGGTGCATTCGAGGTCTCCAAACACATCGGAGTGCCTTCTGCCTTTGCCTGGAATTTGTCGATCAGCATAGGAACGCGAGCAGATTTACTGTTGCAATGCCTTGGCTTCGACAGCCTCGATAAGAGCGCCAGCAAGACCTTTCTTCTGGTGGTTTGGGCTTGTAGCCAGAATAAACAGGCGCCAGGAGTTAAGCTGGGTGTCTTTTCCTAGACACTCAGTGCTCCAAGCCGCCATCCGCGGGACGAACTGGTCAACATTGAAGGTCCATTAGATTGCCGCTGGGTGATACTCACATATTCTGAATACCATGATTTGAGCTCTGGCGAAAATTTCGCCTCTAGCTCGTACCAGCCTGCCGCACGCTGTTTCTCGCTGGAGACGCGTTACCTATGAAGATACCAGCATGACAAGGCTTGAATCATTACGTGATAAGATAGTCGGTTTGGGGTGGGAACCAGATAGCAACTGCGCCAATTTCTTGTTCGGCAGGACCAGCAACCCAAAGCTCTCCTTCCGCAACTGCAGCGCCCAAGGCAGCTTGGTGGAGAAGAATGTCCAAGGATTTGTCGCCGCCGACGAGAGAGTCTCCAAAAGTATCATACGTGACCGACCGAAAAGCATTTCGCATTAAAAGAGCGCATTGCCCGATTTCTTCATCGGAGGGTGTCTCCAAACGGCGAACGAAAACCATGAAGTTGTGAGTCTCTTCAACCTGAAGGTAGCATTCGTCACGTCACGCATCACATCCCACTGTTCCTTGCCTGGATGGCGGACTCTGAACCGGAGGGCCCGCGACTCCACCCACCACTCCAACATTCCGTTTCACCTAGAGACCTTGAGCCGGACGAAAAAGATCTAGAAAAAATTCGTCAATGGCAGGAAGCCCGCATCGAGAAAAAACTGCGTGGCGAATACGAGTCGACTGTAATCCAGTTGCAGGATATTGTCAGCTGCCGGTTCTGATTCATTTGAGGGTCACTCACAACTGCCTAGATCAACAACAATGCATCCACTCCTTCCCAAATATCTTCGGTTCGTGTAGAAGGCGGACAATACTACACTCGACCCTCTTTCTTGGGCTCCGTCATTAGCCCTCTCCTGCCGCCTCCGAGCGAACCAAATGATCTTGAGACGGTCACCAAAGCTGCCGGGAGGATTGCTAGTGCTCTTTTGGCGACAGGAATGTACAGTTCCGTGGATGCCAAACTGGAACGAGCCAAATCACCTATGGCTGCGCCGTTCGACGTCGACCTTGTTCTAACCACCCGTCACAAACCGCGGTATTTTCTCAGTGCGAAAACTGAGGCGAGTGAAGATGAGGGGAGCGTGGTATGCCTACTGTTTCTGCCTGCTTCCAACATCGTTTAGTGTTGCACAGAGCATCGTTGGTCGCGTGGTCAATGCCTTTGGTGGCGCAGAGATGTTGGAGGCAAATTTGACGAGAGGAACGACGACAAGAATGGCAGCTGATGCAAGCTTGATTTTCCCGCTCACCTCTTCGTTGAATACTTGGGGACAACTACAAAGCTACGTGTTTGAACGCGACTATTCGGGTTTTGCTAGTTGCACCGAGGCCGTCCGTGGCGCCAAGGCTCTTGTCAGGGTGAGCTAGGTTAGCATGCCTCGCACAAACCGATGGGTTTACTGATTTTTTTCTTGGTTTAGAGCGGATTTCCCGCCACTGGAAAGCACGAATTTGCATACGAAGCTGTGGTCCGCCATCTCGGTAATCTCAAGCCGAACGCTTCCATGAGGCATGTTCATACTGTCTCCGATTAATCGCTGTGTTGATATTTTTTCTGTAGCATGAGGGAAGCTGCGGGTCAGAGCGTCAAATCCGCTCTTTCGCATGCCTTTGTCGTGGATACCCGTGACGAGAATCTAGTACCCACTCGAGGCTTTTATTTGCGAACAGTTAGCGAGCTCGCTGGCCTTGGTGGCGACACAGCATTTCTCAAGTCGGAGACTCACAGCCACCTATCGAGACCTATTTTCCCTGGTACTGTACGTCGCAACGAAGCAAGTCACATCTGCATCCTCATAATCTCCAGTCATTGTCCTTCTCCGCCCGTTCTGGTGTCCTATGGGGTCTAAATGGAAAACCAAGTCTATTTCCTGACCGCTTCCAATTGGGAGGTCCTTGTTCCGTGCGCGCTTTCCGTTTCAATTCCTTGGGACCACGAGCCAATCGCCTTCCGCTTCACCCCGCTTCAACATCGATTTCTTCCGCGGCTGATTCCATTGGCGGTGAACTGTACTGGTCTGCAGGCGTCAGTGTTATTTCAGACTTCCCAACAAAGCCGGATTGGGCATTGAAGACTCATGCGTGGATCAACGCAGGAAGGCTAGATGACTTAAATAAATGTGATTTCCCTCCGTAGTTTGGCCTCAATGCTAACCTTTACCCAGCTCGTCCGATTGCTGAAACTGCTCGTGGCATGTTGACACGGCCTTCCGTGTCAGTAGGGTTGGGTCTGATCTATAATTTTGCCCCAGCAAGGATAGAGCTCAATTTTGGTCTCCCCCTCGTTGCAAATAAGAGTGACGGAACACGTCGGGGGTTGCAAGTTGGAATTGGGGTAGAGTTCTTGTAGCACAATCGAATACAATTATTTCATGCCACCCTCCCTTGACGCGTTCATCAATCTGATGATCAAAACGCGTCCGTCACGTGTGACTTGGGAGCTGTTGATTACCATGGATGTCCTACAAAACCGACTGGATTCCTTCGCCAAGCAACGCCGCAACAAGCTACGATGGCCGCATCCGAAGACTTGGAAGGCCACCCCGGAGACACTTTCTGAAGCAGGTTTCTTCTTCGACCCGAGCAACGAGGACCCAGACAACGTTACTTGCTTTATGTGCGGCAAACAAGTCACGGAATGGGCGGATGACGATGACCCATTTGACATTCACTGGCGGAAGTGTGGCCAGGTTTGCGCGTGGGCGAGTCTTAGATGTGGGCTGAGCCATGATATGGACTCGCAGAATCGGTGAGTTAGGATCGCTACTCGCATTCATTCGCCAACGCGTCCAAGCTTCGTCTTTCCCGATAAATCCCGTCTCCCAACATCGAAAGCTATGGAGAAGACCCGCCTGCAGACATTCTCAGGGTGGAAGCACGATAAGAACAAGAAGCACATGGCAACATCGAAAAAGGTATGTCCATCGCCTTGCGACGGGCTTTGTTTGGCTCAGCAGTCTATAGATGGCCCACGCAGGGTTTGTGTCAACTCCCACCGAGCCTGGAGACGACACTGGGACGTGTTTCTATTGCAATGTTGCGTTGGGAAACTGGGATGAAGACGACGACCCTATGTGTGTATCAAATGGGTCTTACTACTGATGCTCAACCATTGGGTTAGGCAACACCACTTGGACCGCGACAAAGCATCCAACCCTTGTGCCTTCCTTGCCCTGGCCTTTGATTCCGCCCCATCGGCAGCCAAACCCAAGTCAACTAAACGCGCTCCCAAAGCATCCTCGCATACCGAAGTGATATTCCCCACCAAGACTTATGATGGCTCTGAAGATGAATCCGCTGCTCCACACCCAGCATCAACTGCCAAGACGCCGCGCAAGGCAGCGTCAAGCTCGACAACGAAGACACCACGAACCACAACGCGAAGTGTCTCACGTAATACCTCCAAAGACCGAAATGCGCTTACAGAACAAGAAGAGTCATCCCCGCCTCCACCAAAGAAGCGCAGCCGATCTAAGTCTGTCTCTCGCCGCAAAGCACCAGAAGTTGAAGAGACTGAAGGAGAAGAAGAAGATGTAAGAGCTCCTTCCCCTACACCTGCTCGCCAACGGAGAACAACCACGAAATCAACTACCAAACGCGCTCCAACCGTTGTTGATGACCCAGCTAATCTCTTTGATGATGATGAACCTGCACCCATCATTGCGCGTAAATCATCTAGAAAGAAATCAACCGTCGAGCAGGATGAGCCAGTTGTTCGACAAACATCGCGATCAAAACAGAAATCGAAAGCAGTGTCCGATGATGAGGCTAGTCAAGTGAAGCCAGTGGCTTCGACCTCACATTCACGGACTCGCTCCAAAGGCGGAACAAGGAGTAACTCCCGAGCCCGTGCTACTGAAGATGAAGATGAATCATCTGATGGGTGGTTTGAAGCTGCTGTTCCCCCTCCGCCACCAACGGCCAAATCTGTGTCGCGGTCGAAGGCCAAAGTCGCAGAAAGCGGATCGGCAGTCATATCTCGCAAAGAACGGAATAAACAATCGGATGATCAGACCGCACCCACTCGGAGAGTACCGTCAAGGTCACGAAATACCACCGTTGAGCCGGAAGTGGAGCCTCCGCCGGTTCAAAAGCGATCAAGAACAGTTTCGAAGACGGAGGAAGGCAAGAAGACTGCTCGAAAGGCTGCCAAAGTAACGACTACCCAAGTCGAAGAGGTATTTTCGGAGCCACCTAAATCAAAATCAAAACCGAAGGGTAGTGGCTCGCGACCACCATCTCGAGCCAAAACACCAGCACCACCTTCACCAGTCAAGGAGGAAGATGTTGAAGCAACGGAAGTTGAGATGGAAGAATACCTGCCGCCTGTGGAGTCGGTAGCTCTGTCACGAGCTAGAACCGTTTCTCATTCGAGTTATGGTGAGCCGGAGATTGCAACCGCTAAGACAGTATCTCGCCCAGCCTCCCGAACTGAGACGAAAGTCACTGCTGCAGCAAGGCCATCTTCTCGAGCCAAGGTCAATCCACCAACAACGGGCACTGAGAACGACACCAAAGGCAAGGCACCAAGTCGACCACCATCTCGAGCCAAAACCGCGACGGAAGCAGAGAATAAACCGAAGGTTGCTGCGCGCGCCCCTTCCAGAGCCAAAGCGAATAGTCCTGCGATGGATGACTTACCAACGTCCGACGAGGCGGCCCGCCCACCATCCAGAACGAAATTGTCCGCGTCAAAACCGAGTGCTTTAGGGTCTCGGCCAGTTTCTCGAGCTAAAGGGGTCGATGAGGCTGTGGAAAACAAGAAGCGACCTCCTTCACGGACTAACAAACCTGTTTCCCACAAAATGGAATTGGATGAAGGAAATTCCGTTGTCGATATTTCTGACGATGACGATGAAGTGCCGCCTCCACCTCGAAAACCTGTCGTTGACCAACCGCAAACCACGAATGATGACGATGTTGAGATGGCAGAGGTAGAAGAATCAATGAATGCAGAGTCTTCCCCGCAATCACCCCCAGTCACACCACCGCGTCAACACCCGCAACAACAAGAGGCTACACCAATGAGACCGATGCCAGAGATAGAAGAAGCAGCGCTGTTTATTCCACCATTGGCCACAGACCCATTTGTTAATCTCGACTCGCTTACAGAGGCAGAACTGGACATGACAGTGGAAGACTGGGTTCGTTACCAGATGGGGCTTGAACGAGAACGATTCAAGAAGGATGGTGAGCGTATGTTATTGTTGTTTGAACAACGGGCGGAAGAGGTTCGCCGTGCCATTGCCTCGCTGTAGACAAGAGTGCAATTGTATTTTTCTGAGCTTAGCTGCTGACATAATAATTGATCCGCCATCATCTCTCACCCCATGATTGTCCTGGACGTTGCACACCTTATAGAACGACAAAACAATGTCTCTGTCTCTCACTCGGGCTCTGTGTCGCAGTCGGTCTTCATTCTCAGCACAAGGGCCAACAATTGTGCGGTGATTTGATTGCCGACACTTGCCATTCAGAGAACAATGTGTTGACGAGACAACACCTACACTTTGTCCTCAAGAAGCGCGAGCAATGGCGTTCTACTGCTTATTGTCCCGCCTCGAAGCTTATAAACTGGTACTCGGGTAAGGTGGAGCTCCAACAGAGCTAGCCTCGTCTCACGTCCTTGAACGAATACTCATTACCTCCTTCACTCACCACTCCACTCTTTATTCCTTTAACGGTGCGGATTCCCATCTTACCCCTTAAAAGCCGGGCGCTCACTGAGGTGTTTTATATGACAGATGTCCCGAACTGTAGCCTCCCCCATTAATAAGACCTTCGCCTTCCTGGCAAACCCTGCCCCCGTTGCGCCTGTTCAAGTAGTTCTCCCACTACCTGGCACCCAACCCACCACCCGCCGACGATCCAACTCCGCCATCATTGCTTGGGCTGCTCTTGTTCAGCCAGGCTCACCTGCTCCACGTTCTCCTCATCGTCGTGGTTCTAGCTGCTCTAGACGGCCATCGATTGTCTTTAGACGGCCTTCGATTGGCAGCTCGTTTGTGATTGTCAACCCTACTACACCAACAACTCCCTCAGTCAAGCAAGTTGACCTCACAAAACTTGGATACTCGTCTGTTTTCATCCACTGCCCCATTACGCCTTCTACGCCATCGCCTTTCCTCCAAAAAGCCGATAATTACGACCACATTCCTGTTCCCCCAGTCCCAATTTCCCCACCGCCACCAAAAGCCCGCAAGGGTCTCCGTCATTTTCGGTCGCTGTCTGCGTTGACTCGTAGCCGCTCAAAATCCGTCTCCTCTGACATGCCATCGACCCCCAAATCCAGCACTCGGGCCCAATTCTTCGCCGTCTCGATTGCGAAACGCAAAAAGGCCCAGTACAAATATGTTCGACCTGCTCCCCTTGCAAACGAGCTTGCCATGATGCAATTCACTGACGGCGGCAGTCTCGAGTCGCATGCGAAGCGTGTCATGGCCCACCAGGCCAAACTTACTGGTCCCAATGCTGGGGTTGGCGATGTTTTCCGTGATGGAAACGGCGGGATGTGGTGGGACGAAGATGAAGAGTGGGAGTATGCCCATTTACTTGGAGGCGAAGAGCGGCTTGAAGGAAACGGTGAATGGATCCGGTTTGACGAGCAGGAGAAGGAAAACAATGTTTCCTCGATTGCTGGCGAGGAGCGTCGCGGGAGTGTTTCTACTCAAGACTCCGACCTTGAGCCACGCTACATCGTCCAGCCTGAAGAGTTAGCTGACTACGTCCCGTTGACACTTCGCCGTCCGGGCAAGTCAGTTCTTGCTCTTCCTGCTCGTCGCACTGCTAAACATTTAACCAAACCCGGTTATATCGTTGACGCGGCTTTCGGTGCGGTTACTTCCCCCGCCAACACCAAAACGAAAAAGGCCGGGCCTCGTCGCAGGCCTACTCCATTGAAACTTGTTGGTCGTCCTTATGCCCGAGCTCCGAAGACCGCCGATGGCCGTGGCTCTTTTCTAGCCTCCTCATTTACGCCTGCTCCGCTCCCCGCATCTACACCGTTGCCATTGTCACCTGTTACCTCTACCATGGCTGCTAAGGCCAAGCCTTCAACCCTCAACATGCGCTCGCTTTTCCGGCGCCGCGATTAAACCCAACTCCAACGACCCTCCTCTAAGTATCAGCGAAACACTTACCTCTTCTCACTCAGGTTTTTATGCCTCATGCCCTCGATTTCTTGACGCCCTCCAAATGTATCTCCTACGACTTTGTATCGATGTAGCTTGTACTTAGTGTACCTGTTTCTAAACTCTATAATGGATTTGCGCTTTTGATTCGGAACTTTAGCCGTGTAGGCACTTATGTTCTCGCCCTCGACAGGCGACGACAGGGCGACATGGTGATGGTCAAACTTTGATCCCGTGACGTGATGTGGTGTTCTTCTCTCTGATTCAGCGATTTCCGACCTTTTCTCTCGCGGCAGAAACACGCTCGTTGCTCTCTCTTGGTGATTTCGCTCATGTGCTCCAACGAAAAATAAAAATATGGCGCGACTCTGCAAAATGTTCATAACTGGTTTTTTGTTTGACGGCATTTCGAGTGTTCCCTCTTCTCCTCTTCTTACCTCCGCCTCCGAGTCCCTTCTTTTGCCAACCATGGGCAACAGTACCTCTACCCTGCCGCCTGCATCCCAGCCAGGGTCTCCTCTCCAACTCTGCCTCAATAATGTGCTACCAACCGCTGCAGTGTCATATCCTCAAACATTCCTGTATGAGCCCATCGCGGTAAGTTTTGCTCAACGCTTGACGCGCCACTCGACTCAACTGACCATCTTCTGGCCAGGTAAAAACGTATAACACGCGAATTCCCGTCATTCCAGCCGCGGTGACGCGTCCTTCAACGACTAAGGATATTGTGGGCATTCTCAACTGTGCTGCTGCCAGCGATGTCAAGGTACAAGCTCGCTCGGGTGGCCACAGCTATGGCAACTACGGTCTGGGTGGAGAGGACAACGCTGTTGTCGTTGACATGGTCAACTTCCAGCAGTTCAGCATGGATAAAAATACATGGAAAGCCAAGATTGGCTCTGGGACTCGGTTGGGCGACGTAACCAAGAAGCTGCACGATGCTGGTGGACGGGCAATTGCTGTGAGTTGGAGTTGTTGCTCCGATCTGTTGTTCATTCGTTGACTGATTGTAGCATGGAACTTGTCCTGACGTTGGTATTGGAGGACATGCGACGATTGGCGGCCTGGGTCCTCTCTCGCGGTGTGTTCTTCTCATCATGATCGCCGTGGCCTCCATTGCTCACTTGGACACCTTAGACAATGGGGAGCGGCGTTAGACCACATTGTGGAGGTTGAGATTGTATTGGCGGACGGAACAGTAACGCGAAGCAACTCGACTTACAAGCCGGATATTCTATGGGCCGTGAAAGGCGCCGCCGCTTCGTTCGGCGTTGTGACTGAATTTGTGGTACAAACACATCCAGAGCCAGGTGTGAATTTTTGATCCTCTTGTTGACGTCAGACTGATCTCGGGGCAGGCTCTGTCGTTCAATATTCCTACACAGTGCAGTAAGCTCTGTCCATTTGACGAAACATTATCCGGCCGCTGATAGAAATTTCCAGACTTGGTAGCCACAAAAACATGTGGCCGACGTTCGCTGCCTGGCAAGACATCGCCTCGGACCCCAAACTCGACCGCAAGCTGGCCAGTCAACTTATCATCCTTCCCTTCAGCATGATCATTAGTGGAACATACTTCGGCACCAAGGCAGAGTACGACGCACTTGGCTTTGAAAAGAGACTCGCAACCAACGCCACGAATGTTGCTGTCACGACTGCCGACGATTGGCTCGGTACCGTCCTCAACTGGGCAGAGAATGAGGCGTTACAGCTTCTTGGTGGAATTGTGGGTTAAGCCTCTGTTTCAGTTTGGCGAAATGCTAAACAACTCGCCAACAGCCTAGCTCCTTCTACGCAAAGAGCCTGACCTTCAACCAAAACAACCTCATTCCACGAACGGGAATCAAAGACTTCTTCGACTACCTGGACAACACCGCCGCTGGCACTCTGGTGAATCCCCTCCTGGTGTCGCCTACATCACGTTTGCTGATCAGTTCCTCCTCCAGCTCTGGTTTGCCATCTTCGACCTCGAGGGTGGTGCAGTGAACGATGTTGCTCCCGATGCCACTGCCTATGGTCATCGTGATGCTCTGTTCTACTTCCAAGCCTACGCCCTCGATCTGATCAAGCTTTCGGACACAAGCATGAAGTTCGTTGAGGGCATGATCAATACCCTTTCTGGTTCGATTCCTGGCAAGGGTCTCGGCGCATATGCCGGCTACGTAGAGTGCGTTTTATCGACTTTCTTTAAGTTGAATTCTCTCTTGACTGACTTGCCTCCAGTCCGCTACTTGACAACGCTCAGGCTGAATACTGGACGACGAACTTACCCAAGCTCACCCAAGTGAAGAAGGTTCTGGATCCTCTGGACCGCTTCCATAACCCACAAAGTGTACCCGTCGCTGCATAGATACCCACCCATATAAAATCAAAAGCATCAACTTCAACTTTAACATATCTCCTGAGTTCATGACTTTTCAGCCGCTCGTAAGCAGAAACCAGAGAACGTGCTTTATGGTATGATAAAAGATTACATGATGCAAAGAGAAAAATAGAGGATGAAAAAAAGGACAGGCTGTTCAGGCGCAACTGGCCACATAATCGGCAAAGTAGGGATGAATCAACGCGCGTTTGGCTGCAAAGCGGGTCAATGAGTTTCGGCAGGACAAGAGCGGAGAATGGCATGCCTGAGATGCGTTTGGCAGGGTTGTAGGTCAGCATCGCCTGGAGAGAGTCATTAAGCCTCACAGAAAAAGAAAAAAAAAACACTGACTGCTAAAAGGTCGATCCCACTAGTATCTAGCTGACTAACGACTGTTTCGAGGACTTGGGGAGACCACTGAGGGAATGTGCTCTTAAAATCGGATAGTTGTTGGACCCCTGGCCAGCTTTCTTCATTCGGTGTTCCGAGAATTCTGACAAACATTTAACACCAGCTGATAATTGCCAAGGCAGGAGTATACTTGAATATTTTGAATATTTGGTCGATCTCAGAGTCGCCTGGGAAGAGTGGCTGACCATTCATGGCCATTTCTGCATAAATGCAACCAACGGACCTGGTGACAGGTGAATCAAGATGCGCCATGACCCACGCGTGTTACACAAGGGACGCACCAAAGGTCGATGCCGGTTGCGTAGTGTCGAGAGCCAAGTAGAACTTCTGGAGCACGATACCAAAGAGTGACGACTTCATGCGTGTATGTCCGCATTGGCAGGCCAAATGCACGCGCGAGACCAAAATCTGCAAGCTTTAGGTTGTTCTGTCTGTCGATGAGAAGATTCTGTGGCTTCAAATCACGATGGAGAATACGACGCGAGTGGCAGTAGACAAGGCCGAGGTTCAGTTGATACGTGAATTTCTACGCGTTTGTGAAATTCACGTGACCGTGTTGTGAAGAACCGACCTTTACGAGGGAAGCCTTCAGTGGCGTGCCTGACTGGGAGGCGTGCTCCATAAAGCGCTTAAGGTCCATTTCGAGATACTCGAAGACCAAGAACAATTTCTGGTCAGCATGCACGATGTTGAACAGCCTGCCCACCTGTCAACACACCCTCCAGCCGATCGAATATATTCGCTCACCGTACGATGTTGTCGTTCACGAGCTCCTTGAGGAGACTAATCTCTCTGATAGCAGTACTCGGCACTCCCTCGTCCTCTGCCTCCAACCGAATCTTCTTCAACGCGACGATAGTGTTGGTTTCAGTGTCGCGGGCCTTGTAGACGACGCCATAGGTTCCTGGTGGAGTGAGCGAGATAATGCGAGCGTGTTTGGAGAGCACCTTCGCCTGGGATAGTGTTAGAAATGATGAGTGGGAAGTAGCAACGACCAACCGATTTTTTCGATTCTGACATACCTGGAAGTATGCCACTGTGTCAGTCTCATTCTGAGCCTAGACGTAGCACTCACCTGTCCATAGCGAGAAGCTAGCGCGGGGGCGAAAAGTCGGGAGGCAACGACGCGGGTGGTGGTTGTCGGTGTGATGCGATTTGATTGTCACATCAAGACTCTATTGTGGACCAAAACCTTAGACAGCGAGCGCTTTTTTCAAGATCTAGTCTAGGGTACAGGTCGCACAAAGCGTGTTACAATTCTTGGTCTGTGCGCTACACTAAACTGGTCTTGGCCAGTTTATATTCTCTTCTCTGGGACGCGTCAAGTCAATATATTCGCCAGGGTAAGGTTCTTCACCTGCGAGGGAAAAAATGAGCAAGAAGTTGTCCAAACTACCTTATTCCACTCACTGCGGTCAATAATGTCGATGTCATCACCGTCTGGGTCCTCGTTGTCATCTTCATCCCAGTGATCGCGAGCAAATGCCTGAGGATTTCGTTGTCGATCAACCTCGAGGTCCTTCATCATTCTGTTCATCGAGTCCTCTTTAATGTCTCGCAAAGATTGCTCCCGAGCAGCTCGAGCCCGCTCCAGCTCGGGTAAATACTCTCTGTTTGGAATAAGTTTTGCAGGCCGGGACAATCAACTCAGCTCACGTCTCATATTCTGTCCTTGACGCATCCACCGCTTGGAAAAACTCTTTGATACCGGCACCCGTCATACTGGAGACCCCAACAGTCTTCAAAAAAAGTAAGGTGCCGGACACAAGCAACAACACACTGATAGCGCACTTTGAGATGTTTGTAAAATTCGTCCAGAACCAAACTCATGCTGTTCATCAGACTATTCATATATGTTGGTTCGCCTTCGGAATCGCGTGTCCCACTATGGCTCGCTAATGCGGCCTGAAACTCTTCGAAATCTTGCATCCACTCGAGCGCAAACTCGTGTGGCTGGACATCGGTTTTGTTGAAGACGAGAATGAAGGGAAGCTTCGTTTTGTACATGATGCTACATGCGTAAAGCATGTTTGACATGAAGGTCGCTGGAGCAGTGGTTCGCGGCGTGTCGATGATATAAGCAACAACGGTTGGGAGAGAAGAAGCGACAGCATCGGTTATGATGGCACCGCTGGCAGACCAAGTGAATATTTCAATCTGACCAGGAGTGTCGAGGATGACATAGCTATAGAATCGATGAGATGAAGCGCCTTGAAAAGCCATACGTACTCGACACTTTCCGCTCTTTTTTCCACTAATCCCAAAACCTGGTCAAACTTTGTTGTAAACAAGTTCAAGGCGGTCAAGATACCACCATTCGGACCGAGGTTGTACCTTTGGAAGGGAATGTAACGCAGCCGAGGCGACTGTTTTACAAGCGGACTGACTGCTTCATCACCTCCTGGTAGTTAACCGTATCACGGATGTCGATATTGGCTTCGAATGGGACACGGGTTACGGCTGGATCGAGGTTAAGGATGTATGGTGGTTTGTTTTCGGTGTGCAGGTACGAGTTTATCCGTTGAACAAACGTTGACTTGCCCGCGCCGGCCATTCCAATGGTGATAATGGTAATCGGTTTAGGTTTCCCTTCATCAAATGAGTATGTGGGTTTGAGGAGTAAAGATAACGACCCGACCTTGAGACGGGCCCGGATTTGAGGACATGATGATGGTCAAAGCGAAGTTTGAAAGAAAGTCCCACGAGAAGGTTGTCTGAATATAGCTGCCAAATACAACCCGCGGCCCCAAGGTGCTGACGTTCTGCAGCCATCTCCTTTGTTCTGCGTTGGTTTATTTCCACTCAATTCTGTGCTAGGCAGTCTATGTACTAAAAAGCGCGTGTTTTGCTGAAAAATCATTTGCCAGGAAACAGGTGGTGGACTTGAAGGTGGATTTTCCGAGTCCCAAGACATGGCTTCTTGGACAGCTTCGAATGGCCAACTGGCTGGCGACTTTGCTAATTTCTCGGTTGTGATCAAGTGGAAAAGTGCGATTGAGGCGGGCTGGGTCAATGCCGAGTGCGATTCGATCGTGGAAGGAAGGAGACTCTCTTCAACAACAACAACATTTTAAGAATCCAGCCCCCGGCTTCATTCATTTTAACCTCTCCAGTTGTTCCGTCCTTTCATGAGTCTCCCTGTCGACATCCTTCTTGTGGTCCTCAAATATCTAACTCTGCAAGATTTTGTTGCCTTTAGCCAGGCAGGCTGAGCGGCCCTCTTCTCTCGCACAACAATTCCTCATGACAAGCACATATAGGCATCGAAGCATTTCTACGAAATTACTCAGCTGCGGAGTGTTTGGCTCGACCTTCTCAACCATCATGTCCTCCAGAGGAGTTACCCCATACCACGACTCGATGGACGCGATCCAACACAACTCCGTGTTTCCGAGTTACAGTCATGCATTATAGACGCACTCAGGCTTCGCCGTTTATGGACAGCCGCATCACCCCAACCTCTCCAACGACGCACATTCACAACCCAAAATGTGGGTATGTCCCAGGTCATCTCATTGCAGTTCCTGCCAGGCCGAGGCATGAGATGGCTTGTGTCCCCTCACTTTGACGACAACCAACGATGAGAGGATATATACGGCCCAGTGTTGGGACATCTCGCCAGCCCAACCACTTTGTGTTGCTCGACGCAGGGTGTCTAGTTTTGGCGGGCTTCGGGTCAATACCGACGGATCTTATCCTGGCGTGCTTGCTTTGAAGTCCCATAAGTAAGCCCTCGTTCCTCTCCTTTAACACCGCATCGACACTCCATAGCACGGTCGAGATCTTGGGAATAGACTTTACTGCCGGTCAAGGCTTCTTCGCGGTCCAGGTCCTTGAAGACGTCACCGAAACGCTCCATGTCTTCGCCAACTCCAAACTATTGACCAAATTCAACGACCAACGACTACACCTCCGCGATTTGCAGAAGCCACATTCCGTGATGGAATTGCGGAATTCCAATTTCATCGAGGCACGTAGTCTGCCCATATAGTCCTCGATAATCTTAACGCCGTGCTCGACAGCAACGGGAATGCTTGGACGCCCTCATTTCCGATGTCTACGCCGTGCTTATTCGCACTACGTCTCTTGAAATATACTCCATCACTTCCGACAGACCCATTTCCGAGCCATTGGCATCACATGCATGGCAATGGCGTATCGACAGTGTCTCGGTCAATTACCAGCCCTCCTACCAAAACAACACCATTGCTCCCATCAATCTGTTGGTTCGCTACTCCAGTCTGTTTCCCTGGCCAGTCAACGCCCTTCACCACTACGTCATCCCTCGCAACAGCCACTACGATGCACAACAAGACATTTCGCCCAACAATCTGCCCTACGAAACACGACCCGCCCTCATTCAATCATTTGCCTCTCCAATTCGATTGTTCGCACGATGGGACATGGTGTTGGGCAAATATGGCACCGCCCTTTGGATAGATTCGCACACAGAAGACTATTTTGCGAACAGTGTCGAAGGTCAGCGGCTGGCCGGAGTCTTATTCTCGATAAGCGAGGATGAGGGAGAGAAAGTCGATTTAAGAGAACTTGTAGCCTCGTCCCATGCCTCGACTGTTTATGACGTCCGGGAAGACGATGGCTGGATGAGGATCGCTGTCGATGATGAAGAGGGCAAGATCGCACTGGGAACAACGACGGGAGAAATCACGCTCTTGGAATACATTTAATGGCATTAGTACAGAGTGGATGAATTCATCAAGGACCAGGAGGTGTTGCGATGAGCACCTTTGCACAGTCAGAGAGCTTTATTTATGATCGTGAACTACTAACCGCAGACGGGGTAAGACCCAAGTCACGTAGACTCTTGGAGAAATCAGCCTTGGAGAAGGCCTTTCTGCGGAATAAGGATATGGTCAAAGTTTCGAAGGCTTGAATCAGCAACTTGCCTCGGGAAATGTTGGGCAAATGAAATTGTCTCGACATCGACGGACAAGATCTGCCCCGCTAGAAATTCGGCTACTTCTCGTAGAGCTATGTTCAAGATGAGTCGGAGAACAGCCCAGAAGAAAACAACATACGTGCATCGCTTGGAAGAGTAGTTGTGTAAGGTTGACCTCCAGTCGACATCCGTATTTGCAGTCTCGTTTCTTTGAAATCCTTGCCAGCAACCGTAGCAGAAGAGGTCGAGGCTACTGGGTTAGTAGTCGGACTATCGACAATCGCCTCTCCGTGGCGCAGTGCCTTCTCGCGGGCTGCCTTCTCTGCACGCGCCCTTTTGTCGGCCTCGATCTGGGCTTTGACCGCTGCCCTCGCTTTTGCATCCTCTATCTTTTCTGAATTTGGATCGTGAACAAAGCATATAAGGACCATGACAGGCATACCTCTCTTCTTCTTTTCCGCATCTTGAATTGCCTGCCGCTTCTCCATTTCATCTTTGAGTGCACCCATGTCCTGGAAGGAGTAAGATCAGGTCAATTAAGACATTTCTTGACAGACTTTTCCTGCTTTTCTTCTGATCATTTCGCTAGCTTTGGCTTCCTTGGCCTCCTCCACAGCCTTGTTCGCGCGTTTTTCGACCATTTTCGCGCGTAATTCTGCCAGTTTCTGCTTCTTTTCCTCTTCAGTCAAAGGCTTGATCTAACCAAGGTTGAGTAAGTAGTTAAACGCGTTATTTGGGGAAATTGACCTCTTCTGTTGATTCCTCGAACGACTGATGGCCACTCTTTTCTGCGTGGAACTGAGCCAAGGCAGTATTTCTACAATTCCATCGCTTTCTAGAGATCATGAGTGCCACAAAAGGCTCACCTGAATATCTTTCCACATTCCGAGCACTTGATGCTCTTTGCTTCAACATCACCAGCTTTAGCTCCGAGAGCTTTCAACGCATCAGCGTCCTCATCGTCGTCGTCGTCGTCTACATCCATTCTATTGCTTGGACGCGAGGTCGATTCGGTCACGGTGTTCATTTCCGGTATAGGCTGGCCGTCATGTTCCAGGATGTGGTCCATAGCTGGCTGTAGACCGCGATTTCCAGTCGCCTTGAGTGCCCCTGCCTATTTGTGATTACGGATAGCATAGCTCAACATTGGTACACACAGTCAACACGAGCAGCATCGAAACCCATTCCAATGAGAGCATCTCGGTCGCCAGCCATTGTTAGCAATTCGTGGGGGTGAGAGATCAAGATGACGCAGGCTCGGTTTGTGACTGTGGGTTTCTTGATTGGTTACACAATCATGCCTTCGACCACTTTCAATACCAGAACGTACAGCAGGAAGTCCAAGAGGAAGGCGGAAGAACCGAACAGCGACGCAAAACGGCGTAAACTTGACATGGACGATGAAGATGAAGTGGCTACCGATGTAGAGGACCAGCATGACATTCCCCAACGCGCTCCCCGAGACTTGACTCATATATTCGACTCATTGACACCCTCTGCAACGGCTTCTACATCTCCAGGAAAGCTCGCCAAGCGTATGCTGTCTCGCTCGCGAACAGAATCGTCGATTGCGAGTGGAAGTGGTTCAAGTTTAGATAGTATTGCAAGAGCTCCGTCTCTTGCTAGCCCTTCCAGTCAACCGGCCGAACCTAAAACGAAACAATCGCCAATTCCCCGCACAAAGAGCGCTGGAAGGACCTATGCTGGTGCCTCTCGCTCGTTTCTCGTTCCTATTCCAATAAACCCAGCCGCTCTCGGTCAACTGCAAGAAGACCTCGACGATGAATTCGCATCGCGAGAGTCTTATACTTCGTTGCGGACGCGATGGGGGGTCGACCAATCCGAAGATGACCCATTCATGTATGGCTCTCCAACCAAATCTGGCTCCAATGCTTCGACGCCGAATGCTTCACCGACAAAGAAAGGCAAAGGGTAAAGCGCGCCCCGATATCACGGTGCCCAGCATGATGAACCCTCTCAAGAGTATTACGGAAATGAGAAATCGTGGCGAAAGCCGGAGACTCTTGGACGAGGTGGGCTATTTGTGGGAGGGACTTGACCCGTCTGCAGGAATAGGCTTACGAAGATCAAGGTTTCCTTTATCAGTCCCGCCGGAAACTCACATCTTACTTTCTTAACAGTGCACTGGAAATTAATACCAAGCTTTGCGATTCGGATTTTGCCCGCAAGGCAAAAACCGCGGACTTTATTGGGCAAACTTGGGAATTTCTACTCGAGGCAAATCGCGAAGAAGACAAGGCAAGCCCTTTTGACTCTTATGATGTTGCAATCTAACTCCAGGCCAGGTTATGAATATTCTACTTGCATTTTTCTGTGCTCTAGTTGCACGAGATCCGGGATCTCTGGTGGAGCTAGTCCAGCGAGACTCGTCACAAGTGGTACAAACATTGTTTGCTTTACTTGCAAGCTTTCCGCCAAAGAGTGACCCTTTACATCTCGTCTCGGATGCGAACCAGCTACGTAAACTTGGGTTGTCGAAGAAAGAACAGAACCTTGTATGGCATCGCATCCAAATCACGCAGTCAGCTCAATCTGTTATAGGCCGCATCAATTCACTCTATGCTGAGGTCCTCCGCACTTTTCCCTCCCTTTACGCCGTTGTCAACCGCGCTTCTTGTCTCGCACACACTGGCTTCACTTCCTTCCGCTTCTCTAAAACCCACACCCGCTAACCTCAAAGCAATCCTCGATAACCTCAGAGAACATTTCTCTTCATTCTCTCCGTCGCTTTCTGCGTTTGTCACCATCTCGCAGCATAGTGAGAAGCAGAATGCGCTCGCTCACCTTCACAACCTCCTTTCCCTTTTTGACTCATATCTACTTAGAGGTTGGGCACTACAAGCGGAGGGCGATATTAACATCAATCAACAACAGCTAGAGGCTGCGAGGACTGATTGGTTTGCTGACGGCCTAACATCGTTCGCAATCCTTACGGAGGTGATAAGCTCGCGCTCTGCAACATCTGAAGTTGAACAAGGTGAGGGATTGTTTGTAGTTTGAATGGTGTTTGAACTTGTGAAGGGAAAGCGCGTCAGTGCACGCTTGTCACTCTACGACTCCTTGTTGGTTTAACGCATGCGGACAAGATTTGGTGCGGCAAAGTTGCAAGCCGAGAGGAGTGCCTTTTATTCATTATGCGAACAATTCTGCGGGGACATGTTGATCACATGGAAAAGGTCAAGAAACATCAGAGCAGCAAGATTAAAACAGAGCCAAGTTCATCTGACGACTTTCCTCGTCTGGACAATAGCTATCAAGAACCCACCATGCCTAAAGACGATGGATTAGATGCGCTGTGTCTTGCGCTTGGGTTGTTAACAAATCTAGTTCAATTAGAGGACGAGGTCAAGACCACAATTCGCGACATAAGTGGGTGGTTTCAGTTTAGAGACAGCATGGATTAATCGGGTTACAGCTTCATCCACACGATGCCGTCCAACCAAATGTCTCGAGAAGTGCCTTTGCCCAAATCGAATATCTGCACCCAGAGCACTGGTTGAGATGTACACTGACCTTGTTCTCACAAGTTCGGCGCCAGTGAAACAAGAGCCTTGCCTAGATTCAGGCCAACAAACGGACCTACTTGCGGCTGGAGAAACACGACTACTTCTCTCACATCTTTCTTTGCTGTTTGGGCTACTTATGAAAGACAACTCCACAAACCAGCGCGATATACTTGACTGGTTGCCGGAGTCACCGACAAGTTTAGCATGCGACGGGCAGAGTGGCAAGGTGCAGATGCTGATAGCTCACGCGAAGGAATTTTCTTACTTGTACGCGGAGAGCGGAGACGAAGGTGGTAGTGCTCGCGATGTTATCGTATTCCTAGAACAACTACAGAATCAACTCTGAAATCCTGCCGTGACAATTCTGTGACTTGCCAAACTTGGTGTTGAACCTACCAGCCACTGAAACTATGCCAGCTACTCGTACCTCGAAGAAGAAGACACCCGCGAACAAGAAACCACGCGAAATGGAGGCGGAGGAACAATTACTAGGTAGCGGGGAGGTCGCTGCGGTGGGGTCGAGTCACGAACCTCAATTACCACCCGAGAACGAAGCGGACCAGGACGTGCCAATGGAGGAAGAGCCTTCTGCTGCATCAACATCGCAAACGACTTTAACTATGGAGGAACGTAAAGCAAAGATGGCGGAGCTGAAACAACGACGGGCAGCATCACACAAAGCGAATCGGGCTTCATTAGTTGAAGAGTCAGCTAAAGCGCAAATATCGGCTAGGGATGCTGCTCGGCTAGAGAAGCAGCGCAAACTGGCTGAGATGCTCCGGACCAAGGCAGATGCAGAGGAGAAGGGCGAGCCAGATGCGGTCGAGCGGGCTAAGAATTGGGAGTGGACAATTGAGGAGAATGATAATTGGGAAAAGAAGTTAGCGAGGAAAGCAAGAAGAGCCGACTTTCAGTTCCATGGTGCGCTCGGTTGTCTGTTGTCTTTCTTTCCGGGGCTGATACTATATGGTAGACGATGCCCATGCAGCTCGGAAACGCTACAAGAAAGACTTGGACCTGATTAAACCAGATTTGGTGGCATACAATCGACAAAAGGAACTTGCGATGGGACTTGTGCCAGGGTCACTGACAGGATTCAACCCTAATGACCAGGTGTGTGCAGGTTTTGACGGGTTGAACGCCGTTAACGAAATGCTAGATGATTCCTACTGCGGCTGAGCAACAACAAGCGGCAGAAAATCTATACCGTGATGCAAATACCCTCATCTACGGCGACAACAAGCCTTCGGAAGAGCAGATCGACCGAGTGGTGTCCAAGCTGAATAGAGAGTGAGTCTTAGTTACTGCGCAACTGTGTGAATTCAATTGACATCATGCAGCACGGAAAAGAAGGCCAAGTTTTCAAGGAAACGGACCAACGAGGAGACTGGCGACATCACCTATATCAACGAGCAGAATCGGGTCTTCAACAAGAAAATTGGTCGATACTACGACAAGTACACAGGTAATGCAGCTCAGTTTGGCGGTGCGAGTCAATCTGATGCGTTTCTCTAGCGGAATTGCGGGCGAATTTCGAACGTGGAACAGCGCTTTAATAGTAGTGTAGAGTGTCTGAAGCCTGTAGAATTTATGGTTGGCATTCATTGACTCGGATGATCGCATTGTGACACCTTCCACTTCCACACTCACCCGCAGCCCTAGTCGCGGTTGCGATGTCTACGGCCATTATGAACGGAGGACGACCACACACGCCAGTGGATAGAGAGCTACAACAACTCTATGATGAAGTCCTTGCTGGATTTTCAGAAACAGAGTCAGAGACTATCGATACTGGCTATGGAGACTCTCCAACTTCAACCGCTTCCCCTAGTACTCCTTGTGAGTGGTCTTGATTTTTTTTTGGCACTGCCAGCTTATTTGTTTAGACTCGGACGCAAGTTCTGCACCACGCAAGGCCAGTCGAACTCCATCTGCTTCGGTCCGACGTCTTCCCCTTCCCCCAACACCCTCTTCTCCATCATCGCAACCCCCATTGATAATGCCGGAACCCGAGCCATATGGTGGAAATGCCCCTTCACCGCGACCAAGTGTTGAGTCTCACCCTTCAGGCACATCTGGAGAGCTCCTTCGCCAAGCCACCACTGGGAGTAAGCGCAAACTCCCCTCAGCCCCAGGACAACGACCAACAACAGCCACGAGGCAGTCCGATGCATCTTCTCACTATGGTGGAATGACGCGTCAGCAGTCTTTCAGGCCACCAGGTGCTGCAGCCCCAGCCCAGCCGGGATCGCCCTCCTACGACTCATCTAGCGACCCATACTACTCCCCTCGCTCAAATGGACAATTGGCGGAAAGCCAACAATACAGATTTACCCCCACTTGTGAGTTTGGACATTGTTGCTTGGATGTAGAGTGTCTTATTATTATTTATTTAGATAATGACCCTTCTTTCTCCCGATCCGACTCGTCGCAAGGTCTCAGCCGGAATACTTCCGCCAATAGCACTGGTGCATACCGTATCCCAGAACCAGAACAATACCTGGGTCTGGGACCTCCCGGCGTCGATCGCCGACCAAGCGAAATGTTGCGTGACCTTGCAAGTTACGCTCCGCGTGGACCATTGGAACTCCACGATGAAGCGGATGGCTACTGGGAAGAAGAAGAAGAAGAAGACGAAAACCGATTCGTTAACTTTGCCCTCTTGTCCCACTTTGCTGTCCAACTTCGTGACAAAGTCCCCAGAGGGACCCATGTCAAGGGTAGTATTCCATATCCACGCGCTTTCACAGGAAAGGACATCGTCAACACCATCCAGTCGCTCATCCAGCGCGAGCTAGCAGTCAACCATGGCATATCAACGGACGACAGACGGGCCGCACTCCAAGTAGCGCGGAGTTTACAGAGCCAGCTATTCTTTTATGAGGTGGAGTGGGGAGGCCATGTGCTTCAAGATGGGGTAGAGGATGTTTACATGTTTCTCGATGACCAAGAAGGAGGCTCGGACATGGCGCCAGAACGGGAAGAGCTGCCAACTGGGGTGGTCACAATGTTGACGAAATGCTACTCCCCCAGTTGTTCGGATGAAATGCCTTGTTATACCTATGGCTGTCCTCGAAAGGTGGGCATAATGGCTTGTTGGGGATTTCATGTGGCTTATCATCTGAATCTAGGGCAATCTACTGACCGCTCCTGCTGTCACTCCCACCGAAATACCACCAATTCCTCTTTCAGAGTCGTCTTGGGCTAATACGGTACCCAAAGAAGTCCTTTCACAGCTTCCTGAGAGTGAAATCAGTCGACAGACGTGCGTGCATCGTTTCCTTTTCGTCAACATTTTGCTGAATGTTTCTCTTGTAGGATTATCCACAAACTCATCAGCAAAGAAGCCCAATATATCCAAGATCTGGAAACGGTTGAAACAGTTTTCCTCCGGCCTCTTCGTTCCGCCATTCCCCCTGTCATCCCCCCGAATCAGCTCGAAGACTTCATCGACGAGGTCTTTGGGAATATTCTTGATCTTAGGGTGTGCAATGAGCGATTGCTGGAGGTGATGCGAGTCCGTCAGCGCGAGCAGGCGCCTGTCATTCAACGCATCGGTCAGTTGTTCATACCCAAAATTTGGTCAAGTCTCACTCCCTTCAGGCGATGTCCTTCTCCAGGCAGCGGCTGACTTTAGATTAGCTTACCCTATTTACATTGGACAGCATCCGCTTTCTGAAAAACGGCTCAAGGACGAGATGGACTCCAACCCAGAATTCAGAATATTCCTCGAGGTCCGTCATTCATATTTGATCCTTCAATCTCAACTGATCAACTTCTAGCAATGCTCTCGACACTCTTCTCGCTCTGTCCCAGGAGGAGACACAATACGCCTTGATCTGAAGCATTTCCTCAATAGGCCAGCTGAGCATCTCCAAAAATACCCCGTCCTTTTGGATGCCATCTACAACGAGACGGCCGAGGGAAATCCCGATGCAGACTACCTAATGGAAGCTATCGCTGCCATCAAAAATCTCCAGAGCGTTGCACAGTTACGGACATTCCAGGTGGCAATGGGCAAAGGCGTTGCGGGAAAGTGGGAATGGCACGACCTGGTAGCACCAGAAGTTCGTGCGGCCTTACCGAAGGACGTTCAGAAGCGGCAGGCCATCCTGTTCGAACTAATCAAGGGTGAAATGGCCTACGTGAAAGATTTAGAGACGATTCAAAAAGTGCGCGCTCTCTCTCTCTCATTTGTACTGGTCTATAACTTCCTTTCACAGCTCTATATCCACGGACTGCGAGAAGCCCAACCTCCTATTATTACCCCAGACCGTCTTGAACTATTCATTCAAGAGGTCTTCCATAATGCCGCTGAGATCTGTGACCATCATCGCAGGCTACTCGAAAAATTCCATGAAATCCAGCGGGAACAGCATCCCACAATACGAAGTGTTTCTGCGGCAATGATGGACGCGGCACTCAATTTTCGTGATGCCTACATGGAGTACATCCCCAATTACCCCATCGCTGCCTACCGAATCGATGACGAAATGGCCAACAATCCTGACTTCAAGAATTTTGTGGACCAGGCTGTCCGACATCCCGACGCTCATCGTCTTGACATGAAAAATTTCATCAATCGACCCATTCCGCGACTTTTGCGGTACGAGTTGTTATTGAAGGGCATCTTGGACGAGACGCCAACAAGCCACGACGACCGCAAGGAGATACCACAAGTACTAGAGGTCATCAAAGCCCTTGGCAAGGATACCGAGCCTGGTGTGGTCTCAGCTAAACAGAAGGTTGAGTTGTGGCGATATAATTCCAATCTTTTGTTCAAACCAGGAGAAGCGGTAGTATGTTGTGTCATTCTCGTACTGGTTCTGCGCTCATAGCATTTGCAGGACATGGATCTCCTCGACCCCAACAGGTCTCTGATCTTTGCGGGCAAGGTTTTGCGGCAGCCTGACAATACCATTCCTACACTTGAATGGAGTGGGTGGAGTGAATTATACGTCGTGCTGTTTGACAACTACTGTGAGGCTCTCCCCCCTTCCTTATGAGTTGTTGGTTGACGTCCGTCCTAGTTGTGATGACCAAGCCAAAAGACCGAGACGGAATCACCAAATACCAAGTCAACCGACGGGTGAGCATCTGCATAATATTCTCCACTCTTTTCTCACGTGCCTTCTCCAGCCAATACCCTTAGACCTACTCACACTCGTTAATTTCACTGATCCACCAACGCAGCGCGGTGCTGGCCTTCTTCGAAACTTGCGAGGAGACCGCCGTGACGACCCTGCTGCCGCTGCGACCCCGGAAAGCGCCGGAGATTCCCGAATGATGTACCCATGGACAATCCATCACAACGGACGACTTGGCGGGGCACACATATTGTTTTCAGAGTCGCCGCAAGCCCGCTCTGAATGGAAGCAAAAACTCGAGGAGGCTCTGGGCATCCGCAAAGTTGTACAGGACTCCAACAGGGTGTTCGAAATCGAGACACTGAGTGCCGATACGTTTTTGGTTCCGTCGGTCCAGATTGGGAGTCCGTCACCGCAATGGAACCAAAGCACGTCTTTCACCGGCAAGGTCACGTGTTCAGTTCCTTTCAGTGAGCGCTTCATCTTGCTGCGAATCGTGCTTACTAGACCGCAGACACGGCTGATGGTCGTGGCCTCGTTGCTATTGGCTGCGCGGAAGGCGTTTGGATTGGATTCCGCCACGATCCCCGATGTAAGTTGTGCTTGACATCCTATCTATCATCGACCCAGTCTTAAAATTTCCTTTTCAAGCGATGCGACGCGTATTGCATCTCAAAATGGTCACGCAGTGCGCTATGTTAGAAGAGTTTGGTATTTTCCTTGTCCTGGCAGACAAGGTGACTTTCCTTCAACTGCAGAAACGCAATCTCATCAATTTCCACAGTCACTGTTTGCCTATCATATCGAGGCATTAGTACCGTCTTCTCCGCACGGCACTGGCGCGTCACAAGTTCCGCAGAAACTGAACGGGACGAAGGACGTCCACTTTTTCAGTGTTGGGACGCTTCATAATCGAACATTGGTCATCTACATGAAAAAGAAAGGCGTGCGTATCGTATTCTGAAAATCTCAACATAAGTCAAGCTAATAGAGTTTGATAGCTGGACAGCGTCTTTCGTGTTTTAGAGCCCGTGAGCGACAAAATCAACGAGAGAGTGAAGGCCCCCGCGGGACTGGGTTCAAGACTTGGTTTCCGTTCAACCAAGTCAGAATGGTTCAGGATTTACCGGGTGCGTCCTGAGTTTTATGTAACTAGGTTACTCTAACCTGGTTTTAGGACTTCTTCCTACCCTCTGAATCGTTCGACTTGTATTTCTTGAAAGCACGGGTTGCCATTCTTTGCACCAAAGGCTTTGAGATAATGGACCTGAACGAGTGCGTGAGGTCAAAATTCTAATCATGCCTTTTTTCTGATACTGTGTAGCTTCAAGAGTGTGACCATCCCGTTGCGCGATGATGCGAGACTGGCACCGTTGTCGAAACGTTGTGACGCCTGTCGACCGATTGGCATGTTTCGCTCAGACGAAGACGGGTTTCTTCTGTGCTACAATGGTGAGGACACTGAGCCGATACTTGATGATTTTGTTTCCGACTTTTTTCGTTTAGAATTTGGCGTTTATGTTGACAAGCACGGAGAGCCTCGAAGAGGTGGGACGACCATCGAATGGGAAGGCAATGCGGAAAAGGTTGCCCTGCATTCTCCTTACGTTCTGCTTTTCGACTCTCGATTCATCGAGGTTCGCCACATTGAATCGGGACGCTTGGTCCAAATCATTCCTGGCAACGACATTCGGTGCATATGGGACGGGCGAGGTGTTGGCTCAAGCATTGTCGTAACCCCGGCAGTAGACGGCGAGCCGACAGTGCAAGATGCCCAGGTTCATGCTGTTATGAACGGCGTCGACCCCGCCCAGCCAAACAGACCTTCACGCGCACTCGCTCAACACGTATTTGAGCTAATTCCCACCATCCCGCTTTACCTGCCGGAGCAAGCCCCCGGCCAAAACGCTCCCCAACCGCAATATTTATCTCGCAACACTTCCTACTCACCACCCTCACAATCCCCCATCAGAGCATCTGGATCTAATTGGCGATGAGCATGTTAATGTCATATCATCTGTACACTTGTACCCTACCCACACGCATCAGTTTTATGTATATGGAGGAAAAAAAGAGCATTTTGGGTCCCATAGCAAACACACTGTCAGTTATGAGTTGGTTTGGGAACAAATCTAGTTGAAACAGCTGTGTGGTCCTAATCAGGCTAACTAAGTGAGTGCTACAGGGAAGAGGGTGTAGTGTGTGGGCCGATTTGGAAACTTATGAGAGTGGTACGGTGTATTTCATGGACAGTGATCAATCACATCATGCCCCATGGCCCAGCTGGTCTAACGTGAATCAAACAGCTGAACATCTCGCGTCCGAAAAAGGAAATTAACGATGCGAGAGGCATATCTCAGCGATTACACATGCTCTTGAGGTGGTTGAAACGAGCGCGATGCAAAGTGGGGCAAAAGACACGTCAGGAACGCGTCAAAATGGCGGAAACAGCAAAAGCTAACTGCCCCAGTGAGGCTCGAACTCACGATCTCACGATTGAAATTTCCTTTATTTGGGAAAGATTAACAGTCGTGCGCCTTAACCAGCTGGGCCATGGGGCAGATATTCAAGGATTGAAGTGCTTTACTATGAGCAGGTGTTAGCTGAAGCACTAGAGAACATTTTTTTAGCATTTTTCCATCCATTTTTCACTCAGTTGCTTGAAGACTCAAAGCAGCACTGCTTATTTGATGCTATACCTATCTACTGTCCGAGTTTACTTAGAGCTTAAGTTCGGCCACTGGCACATTGCTATAGTACTTGCGAAACTTACCGGCTTATAACTTGGAATGAATATAGGTTCTCTTGCATTGCAGGAGTTCAACCTGAGCTCAAGAGGGCCCGCTTAGTACATGTTACTTGAACTCAAGGTTGACAGAATTTGTGACAAGTCCCTTTATCAATTACCATGATGAGACGACGCCTACTGTCGACCGCTGCTCTTGACCACTGGATTTCCGTCCCCAAGCAAGTAACTCTACGGGACACCTTCAGCCTGGAAAAACTCTCGGACCTCTACATCACTCTGCCAACTCGAGACGGTAGCCGCGGCAACGCTTATGCTCCGCCGACTCTTTCGAGTTCACTGGGATCTGGTGCTCACTTGGCCTTCTTTCACCCTCGGAATCCCGAAACGGCCCTGCGTCCAGATGGCACAGATGCAGAATTTTGTCCCCCTGGCTTCGAACGAAGAATGTGGGCGGGTGGTCGCATGAGCTGGAATGTCCAGAAACCGCTTCTTGCTGGTGCTAGCGCTACTTCTGTGTCGACCATTGGTGCCGTCGAAAAGAAAGGCTTCGATAAAGGTTCTCCGATGGTGTTTGTCAAGCAGAAAATAGAGATCACCATGGACGGTCATGAATCACCCTCTGTGGTAGAAGAAAGATCACATGTCTATCTCCCTGGACCGCTTCCCCCCACCAAATCCCCACGGAAAGGTCAAGTAGTCTCATTTGTCCCGGGGGCGCCAGCCGTCTGACGACAAGACTACAGTCGAAGATCTTCCCTCTAAAGCGGATTTCAGCTTCACGTTCACTCCAACTCTGTCTACGCTATTCCGTTTCTCTGCGCTGACCTTCAACGGCCACCATATCCATCTGGACAAGGACTACGCTCGTTCCGAAGGCTATCCAGGTGAATGAAACGGCAAAACATTCAAGGGCCTGATCCTCACCATCATACAGAGAGACTTGTTCATGGGCCGTTGACCGCGCTCATGCTTCTGGAGACGACGATGATGCACACAGCAAACGCGAGCATTGCCAACTTTGAGTACAGAGCGCGAAATCCGATAATAGTGAATCGACCCATGACTATATGTGGTGCTTGGACATCGGGCCAGAAATCTGTTATTTTATGGGCTGTGGATGGAGAAGGTGTAGTCGGGATGACGGGCAAGGTTGGACTGTTATGAATATTTTTTGTCACTAGAACGGATCAGATGGCGCGGACCGGCAACCGCCCCGCTTGCCGCTGCACATGAGCATCGTTTTCGACCATAAGTGGGCCGACTGTCCAATGTCGCCGCTGCGCCATGTTGTCCCCTTATTTTCTGTTTTTCACAGCAACGATAGTACACGCAAACCAATATGCTGCGTGCCAGAGCACTTCAAAATCACTTCCAACACTATTTTGTCCACCAGGTGCACCTTTCTCCCTCTTCAACCACATGTATGAGCTGATATAGAGGAACAAGAGACAATATACGTCTCTCTCACAGACAAAAAAGCCCAATTTACCAGTGTTCAAGCAGCGGTTCAGTCTTTACCGCAGGATGAAACTCCTCGGTTCATCCTCATTGGAGCTGGCGAATACCTGGAAGCAGTCAACGTTACTCGAACGGGGCAGACGATTTTATTGGGCCAGTCTGACCATACGCAGTCCTGTAAGTTCACGATTTTCTACAAGAGAGTGGCTGATGAATCGAGCAGACGCACATAACCTTGTCACCATCTTCAACACCACCTTCATCAACCAGACCACACAAATCTCGAGCTTACAAGACAACGCCGATTCGGCGGTGTTGACTGTTGCTCCAAACAAGTATATCTTTGCGACTGCCCAGGAAAATCCGCTGATTTTGCTCTCAGATATGCGGCGTGGACAGGCCAAGGCATGAGCTATACGTCTTCAGCTGTTATGTTTCTTGACTCTCGACTTAGGCTATTACGGGGGCACCCCTGTCTCCATCCCTAACGAGTTTGGGTGCAAAGACTTCCGCGCGTATAACATCAACTTCGAGAATCGAGCGAACAACGGTGGTGTGGGGCCAGCATTGGCGCTCGGAATAGGCTTTTCCAACGCGTCGTTTTACGCGTCGACTTTTCGAGGCATGCAAGACACGATGTTCATCGGAAAGAACGCAAGCGCCGTCTTTCGAAAGAGTCAAGTGCTTGGCTCTGTGTTCGACCGCCCTTTGTTTGTCTCGTGAGGTATGACTAATTGCTGGCTAGGGACTACATCTATGGCTTCGGGACAGCGTATTTCGACGAGAGCCTAATGGGTACGCGTGGTGCAGGATGGTACATTTGTCATTTTTCCTTCCTTGACGATTGGCAAACCAATTTTCAAGCGTTACCGCTTGGAAAGGAACACCGAACTACACCAACACTTATGGGGCGTATTTCTCTCGATCAGCCGTCGTCCGCTCCCCAGATGCCAACGCGAATCTCAACCTAACAGGCAAGCAAACCCTGGGACGACCGTGGAATAATGCCAGCGTGGTTGTCTATATGGATGTGCGAGGTTTCAATTCCGTGAACCCAATTAACCTTAAGCTCAGTCATTCATGGACGAGACAATCAATCCTGCTGGTTTCCAGATTTGGTCGCCAACTGATCCACGAAACGAGACTATATATTACGCAGAACAAGGATCACACGGTGCGAGTTGCTGCCTTGATTTCGTGTCCAGTGAAGGCTTAAATGGTTTTAATAGGTCCTGGATTCAACGCATCAACACGCGTCTCCTTTGATCATCTGCTCACTGCTCAAGAGGCTCGCCAAAAGTTCTCAGTGGAGAAAATCTTCGGAGGCAAACCGGGATGGGTTGACTGGGAGTTCTGATGTCAAAGTTTTCGTACAGAAGTTCGTTACATTACAAATCAGTACATCCCAAATAAACAAAGTTAGGAGGACACTACGGAGAGAGGGCCTTCGCGGTGTAGAGAGATGATAAAATCTTCCAGTTCTTCCAATTAGCAGCCCATTCGGGCTCGAGTTGGGCTTCATTTGGAGAAGCAACTCTGGCCGCATTCTGAGGCCTTACGGCGGCGGTCAGAGCCTTTGGAGCAGCGTTTGCTACTGGTCTGACGCTCTGTGGGTTGTGGAACACATCCGTCGGATCAATTTGGGACTTGATTTGCTGCAATCGAGGGAGATTAGTGGTCCAGTATGCCTGTTGGCCATTGGACAGTTTGGGACTAGATATTCTAAGCACTTCATCGAATAAAGAAAACACAGCACGTACTCAACGTAGCCGGCATAGGCCTCGACGGGGAGATTAGGCATAGCCTTGTAAAGGGTATTGCTGATGCCTTCTACAAACGCGGTTGTGGTATCAGAGAGCGCAATAAGGCCAACGGCGTAGGTTTGCAGGTAGAACTGTGGCACATGGATCAGAACGAGAGGTTTTGACAGAAATTAATAACGCGTACCAAAACATCTCGATGGGCATAGCTGGTAGCGTCTTGGGCAACATCGTTGACAGCACCGCCAGCAAGGTCGAATATAGCGAACCAAATCTGGACCAGTTAGTTAGTGGAAGAACTGTGCAAGGGGATTGCCTTACCAATGTGCCCTTGGACGCTTCATCAAAGTACTTGAATAGATCCGTGATTCCTTGCTGGGGTATAAGGGTGCTGGGTTTGAATGCCAGACTCTTGGAATAGAAGGGGCTAGCCTAAGGAAGGGATGAACAAAGGAGAGACGGAGCCGTAGAAGTAGTATAACGCACAATGCCGCCAATAAGTTGCAGAGCCTCATTCTCAGCCCAATTTGCGACGATCCCCAGCCATGTGTCCAGCAGTGAGACTTCGACAGTTGCATTGCCGGACAGACGGCCAACAAAGTTGAGAGCGTTGAATTCTTCGCGAGAACCAAAGAAGGTGCCGGTGACGATCATTCCCAGCTGGAAGACGATTACTTGGGAAGCCAATCTGCGGTCAAGCTTAGGATCAGCGACAATGGACTGCCAAGCAGCGAATGTAGCGGCATGTGAAGCATGGGAACCAAGCCTGTGACACGTGAGCAAAGCAGTGACCCACAAAGGTGAAACACACAAGATCTTGTAGTTGTATACGACCGCATTGGTAACCTCCGCCTGAGTGCGGACAACAAACTCGGTGATGATACCGAACGATGCAGCAGCCCCTTTCGCTGCCCAGAGAATGTCTGGGTTGTAGGTAGAGTTGGCTCGCGTGATAGTTCCGTTGGCCAAAACAATCTCGATCTCGAGAACGTGGTCAAGTGCTGTTCCCCATTGGCGCGAAATGGGACCCAGACCACCGATAGTGGCGTGCCCACCTATTCCGACCTGAAGGAAACGACATTAAGTGAATATTCACAGCAGGGAGGAGACTAACTTGAGGGCAAGTGCCATGGGCCATGGCTCGTCCGCCAGCCTTATGGAGACGCTCGGTGACATCCCCAAGGAGGGATCCAGCGCCAATGGTCGCTTGCCAAGTTGAGTTGTCCATCTTGAATCCTTGAAGATTGACGAGATCGACAACAACAGCGCCGTCTTCGCCACCAAGGCCTGATGACTAGATTAGAGTTGATCGGTGAAGCAAGACAGTAAAGAGACGCACAATAGTTGGCGTAGCTATGTCCACCGCTTCGCGCCTGCACTTTCACACCACTTGCAGCTGCACATTTGACGATCGCGGAGACATCGGCCGCGCTCTTGGGCTGAGTTACGGCTGCGGGGGTAATGGGAATGTTGGTGTTGTATGGCTTAACGTAGAGGAGCTGGTAAAGAGCGTCTTGAGGGAAGTGCACCCCGCCTTTGTTGGAGGCAAAGACCTGAGTGAGGCAAGTCTGGAGGGAAGAAGGAGCGGAGGGTGCGGCGTTGACACCAGTGAGGTATAATGCTTGGAAAGCTGCCGAAAGCAGAGCGGCGCGCATCATCTTTAGACCAAATTACCACCCAAGTGAGAGAAGACTCCGCGATGCGGAATCTTGCAAGGGACGGTAAGTAGTAGTCACGGAAAGAGACGAGACCAAAGGTCAACGCGTTCCTAAATGAATAGTTTTGTGTTGGACCTGAAACCCAGAAATGGAAGCTCCTGCCGGCTGCCATGAGTCGGGGGGGCCACATGTTCATGCTTCATTGAGAGTCTCTGATGGTGCTACACAGTGAACTGGAATACGCCATGCGGCCTGAAAGGGTTAGATTTGTAGGCCAAGAGATTTGCATGGATGGAAGGCAGGTGTTAAAGGGAAATGATCACGTGGAGATCCTTAAATGAGTGACAACCCACGAAAATCTCATTGATTTCCAAGATTATTGCCAAGACCGGTTTGTTCAACAAGAAAACAGAACTACAATAGCAACGCAACGCTAAAGAGAACCCAACTCAGACCCAGGAACATCGAGGTGCCTCTTCTTCTCCTCAACGCACTGGACGACGATTGCGAGGAGGTAGGGGTGGTAGAATTTGCCGCATCTGCACTCGTTGATGTTGTCGTATTCGTGGAGGGAGTCTTTGAGACAACAGGTCGGACGCTCTGAGGATTGTGGAAGACATCGTCGGGATCGATAATGGCCTTTATGGTTTGTAACCGAGGGAGATTTGTCCCCCAGTACTGCTGCTGCCCATCGGTCAGACGTGGACTGTTCAAAAAAAGAAGATCAGTGAGAGAAGACAGGAAGAGCGAATTTCTGGCGTACTCTACATAACCCGCATAGGCTCCCGTGAGTCCAGGCAACGATCTGGTGATAATATCGCTCATGGTTTGAACAAATGTCCTTGTTGCATCAGATAATGAACCAATGCCTATGGCGTAGGTTTGCAAGTAGAACTGTGCATCCCGGTGAGCATAGGCAGTAGCATCTTGAGCAACATCGTTGATCGCGCCACCTTCCACATCGAAAATGGCGAACCAGATCTTGCCTTGCTTTAGTTTATGGGAAGCTTTTCACGGGAGACAATCACCAATGTTCCCTTATTCGCCTTGTCAAGATATGCAAAGAACTCATTAATTGCGCTTCCAGCTATGAGATCAGTGGACTTGAACGCCAGACTCTTGGAGTAAAATGGCCCAGACTTGTCGAAGTTCAATAAGCTGTGGTATATGCAAGAAAGGACCTACGATTCCGCCCACAACCTTTAACGCTTCTGTCTCAGCCCAATTCCCTACGATGCCCAACCACGAATCAAGAACCGAGACAGCGACGTCCGTCGAGTTCCCCGACAAACGAGCTGTGAAGTTGAGAGCGTTGAACTCTTCACGAGAACCAAAAAAGGTGCCAGAAATGATCATTCCCAATTGGAAGATTATGACTTGGGATGCTAAGCGGCGGTCAAGGTTGGCATCTGAAATGATAGACTGCCATGCTGCGAAGGTTGAGGCATGGGACGCATGACTGCCTAACCTGCGACGAGTGAGGGTCGCGAAATGAAAGTTGAAAGTACTAACAATAGCTTGTAGCTGTAAACCACAGCATTTCCAACTTCAGGATGCGTGCGGAAAACGAACTCGGTGACTATACCGAATGACGCCGCAGCACCTTTTACCGCCCAAAAGACGTCTGGGTTATGGCTTGAATTCGCTCTTATGATTGTTCCGTTAGCCAAGACGATTTCTACTTCGAGGACGTGGTCCAAAGTGCTTCCCCATTGACGTGATATCGGACCCAATCCGCCAATAGTCGCGTGTCCACCGATACCAACCTGGAATAAGTGAATATCAATCGAGGAAGAAAAGAAGAAAGGGTTGAACCTGTGGGCAAGTCCCATGGGCTATGGCGCGTTTTCCAGCGTTGTGTAGACGAGAGGTAACATCGGCAAGAAGGGTGCCCGCGCCGATAGTAGCCTGCCATGTCGTATTATCCATCATAAACTTTTGAAAGTAGACAAGGTCGACGACTACAGCCCCATCCTCGCCGCCGATACCTGGCTGAAGGTAAAGACAGTGGAATAGTGGACAACACGTGGTACACACCATAATTTCCATAACTATGCCCTCCACTTCGTGGCTGCACCTTGACTCCACTTGCTGCGGCACATTGCACGACGTTGGAGACCACCTGAACTGTCTTTGGCTGGGTGATTGCAACTGGCGTGACTGGGATGTCTGTGTTATATGCCTTGACGTAGAGTAGCTGGTAGAGAGCATCCGATGGGTAATGAACGCTGCCAGCACTCGTCGCGTTGAAAATTTGATTGAGACACGTCTGAAGTTGTGTTGGATTTGCTGGGGCTGCAAGACCCCCAGCAACAAGGCACAGGATGGCGAGGAGAATGGGCATTAAGTGACGCCTCTATGGGCGACGTCTACATTCAGGGTGAGACTCCTGTTGAGAAAAGAACGAAAGGGACACGATGTCGTTGCAGCTTGAAAATAAAACTGTGATGGCAGCGTGGGAACAAATCTAATCTTATCCCAACTCAAAAAAAAAATCAACTATGACGTCGCACATCGTCATCTAGACTGCTTTCTCTCTTTCGCCTGCCATGCCCCCAACCTATACTGTACGAATAACTTTCCACCGTGTGTTGTTTACTTTAGATCTGCGCTCGAATAACGCTTATTATAATAGGCGCGGAAGCCCTTCCAGTGGCAGATATTGGAACCCTTTCAAGTGATCCATTCGTGTTGGCCTATGCTTCCAGTCCAGAACACCTCGATCTCGAGCCTCTGACATTCCGCACGCCAACTATCCGCAGGACACGCGACCCAACATGGAACTCAAGCTGGCTGCTGGCCGGTGTTCCCGAGACGGGCTTTAAACTGTCCATGGTCCTTTATGACGAAGATCCTGGCGCCAAGCTATCACCAGACAGACTTGGAAAAGCCACCGCTCGCTTTGGACCGGATCAAATAAAGGAAGGCTGGGAGAGCTCTGAAAAGGCCTACGAACTCAAGAAACGTAAAGGCGACCTTCATCCATATATCCTCACCTACTTCACTGCGCTACTCCCGGGGGAGAAGCTGGCTAGACATCACTATGTTTTTGTCTCAGTGAAAGTGCTCAAGAAAGACGGGGAAACAACAGATAATTCGCGAATGTACACTTTGGGGCCAAGTGCGTGACTGAATATTCATGATCCGTCCAACTGATCGCAAAACAGACAAATACTCTCGACATTTCTCTCCCCTCATCGGGTCCATGGTAAACAAGCGGCAAGAGCCTTCCGAGTCGAACGAAACTGGCGGCGAGGGTCGTCGCCTCTCTGCCTCAGTCTTCATTGGCAACAAATTACAACTCACTGGCCCAGTCCCATCCCAGCTGCGACACCGATACGTCGGTTATAAACCCTTCATCGACTGGATGTTTTCTGACACGGGTATTGCTGGTCATTTGCTGCATTACAGTCTTCGGAAACAGTACCGGACCATCTATGCTTGCGACAAACGAACTATTTGGGGAGTCATTGAAGGTGGAGAGAACAAGAGCAACGCAAAACGGGCGAACGGACAAACGGAAATCGAGCCACCACAAGATACGATTCCAGGGGAGGACATACCAGAGTCTAGTGAAGCCATTTCAAGGCAGTTTCTGGAGATGACGGCTTGGGGGGAAGACAATAAGCTGTTTACCTATGTCATCACACTTGACGGAGGCGAGTGTTCCCACTTTTGAGCGTTTTATAGCTTGAACGTTCTCAGAATGGCGATTTACGGAAACGGGTCCCGAGTTCGCGATTGACCTGCTTAGTAAACACTCTATGCATGCGAATCTCGCCAAGGAGATTGCATACTCGGGAGAGTTTTTCGTCCAAAGGCTCGGTGGGGAAAGCAGCACATCAGTCCCAAATCAGGTCGACGGTGCTTCATCTTCCACGCCGTCGGACAGCACGAAGGTGGAAAGAAATCCGAAAGAATATGAGCTCGTAATCGACAATGACAGCGGCACGTACAGGCCAGACAAGAAGCTACTACCAGTTCTTGAGGAATGGCTTTCCGATAACTGCCGCCTTGGAGGACTCGGGAAAGTGAGGGCGATGGATGGGTTTGACGACGAGTTGAAGAAGATGAAAGAAGAGCGCAAGAAAGGAAAGACAGAGGAGGGGAAGAGCAAGCCAGCAAAGATGGTTCCCGTACGAATGAGTTCAGACGGAGCAAGCAGTATCAGCAGTGGAGAGTTGCATAGGGACAGTATCAGCGGGAAGCAAGTGGACGAGGCATTGAAGGAGATCAATATGGGACAGTCTAAGGAGTAGTAGTTTTTATATTGTTATGGGTATACCTTATTACTGTAGTGTTGGCGATTGGGAGAGAGGGATAAGAGAGGGATAAATTAGCACGTGATCTCAAAAGATTTCCTTCATGCCGTCGTCTGCCTCGACCAAAGCCACCGGAAAAAAACCTACACGGTCGGCAGTCGGTGCTCCATCGCAGCATAACCAACCGAGCCGGAAGGGCAAGAAGGCATGGCGAAAAAATGTCGACATCCAAGAAGTCGAGGCGGGGATGGAGGAATTGCGAAAGGAGGAGCGCGCCACAGGGACATACCTCCACAAACAAGAGGACAATCAGCTATTCGTCGTTGATGTCCAGGGCGACGATAAAAGTGCGTAGCCAGAGTACTTTCACCAACCTCGGATCACTCACGAAAAAAAGTGCAGTCCGACATATCGTCCCCAAGTTCAAGTCTTCCGAGCTGACATCCACGAAAATCCTCAAAGAGCGCTCGGCTGTGCCCGCTGTCTTTTCACGACCCAGCACCTCTTCATCCAAGAAACGGAAAGCACATTTAACTGCAGAGGAGAAGGAACGACTATTACGGATCTCAAAACGGCCGCGGAAAGGCCCTCTGAACTCGCTGGTGGATCCGACTGAGTTTGGCAACGGGAGTGCGAGTCTGGAATTGAGCGAAGCGGTGAAACTGAGCGGCGGCTATGACGCTTGGGCAGCTGTACCGCCGGAGGAAATCAAAGATGGGTTGGAGACGGTTCAGCCCAAGCATATCAAGGTGCTCTCTATCTATTTCGTGTTGTACTCTTCGACTGAACTTGATAGGCACCCAAACACTCGAACCCCAGAGATGCTATTGAAGTTCCTGCGATTGTGGACCCTCACCAAGGAACATCTTATAATCCAACTCCGGATGCTCATAATGAGCTGTTAAGGGCTGCGGTCGAAGTGGAGGAGAAAAGGGAGGCAGAGGCAAAAAAAGCTGGCCGAGGAAAAGGCCAAATTCGAGCGTGCAAAAGACAACTTCGTCGAAGATGTCCCGGGGGTACCTTCAGGCATGAAAGTCGACGAGCCAGTCAATGATAGTGAAGAGGACGAAGAAACAGAGGTCGTTCCAAAATCGATACCCCAGCGCAAAACGAAGGCACAGCGAAACAAGGCTGCGAGGTTATTGGCAGAGGTGCGTTTATCGCTCACCACTTCAAAATATACCTAAGCCACTCTTAGAAACGGGCACTTTTAGAAAAGGTTCGAAGGAAAAGAGAACTTGCACTAGTACAAGACATTCGCCAACTGCGAAAGACAGCGAACCAGACGAAAACCGCACGTGAGCAACGACAACGAATACGGGAAGCGGCATTGAAAGCCAAGCTGAAGAAGGATGGGCTGGCTGGCCAGAAGTTGGGCAAACATCGTGTTCCTGTTGGCGAGGTGGATGTGCAATTGGGTGACGACCTCAGCGAGAGTCTGCGTGGGCTCAAGCCAGAAGGCAACCTTTTCCGTGATCGATTCACTAGTCTGCAACAACGGGCGCTAATAGAGCCGCGGGTCCCCGTTATGTTAGTTTACCTGTCCCTCTTCACGCTTTCGCTCATTTCTTGTCAGGCCCAAACGACGAAAACATCGGATGGTGGAGTACGAGAAACATGCGTGGAAGCGATTCGACCGCGAGCAACAGTAGTAGTGTGTGTACATGGTAGCTCATGGCTTGTTTGTCTGCATTGGTGGTTGGGATTGTGGTTGTTGTTGGCCCCCAAGTAACGGCTCTCGTTCTAAGACAGGCTCGAGCTCGTCATCTTTGCAACACAGGCAGCCACAGTTGCACATGTTCTCTGTCCATCCATGGCCTGAAATGATGAGCCCCCCAAAGCTTGAGAGAGAGGGCATAACGCACGGAGGGAGGTCCAATCCAGACAAACCCCAGCGCAAACGTCGAAACAGGCAATGACTATTATGGAGCAAACAGAGTCAGACATGACCGGGAAGCCATCATTCTTTAGTCTATTGACCATGCCCGCGCAGACCGTGCTACTGGGTCTACTAATTGTCCCTTTATTGCACTGTTCAATGGTGTAGTGGTTGTAATGGCCCTAAACCGGGAATGTGGTTGGTCTTTCTCATCGCATCAACACTTGCGTGCGCTGGTTCAAGACTGTCCCCTCCAGAAAACTTGGTTTCCACAACCCGCCGTTCTGTAAAGATCTTGGCCGGCGTTTGGAATAATATGTCCGAGATAGGCCAGGCAAGCAATTGTGCAACCTACCGTGACTCGCCGAGTTAGTCTTCGGAGACAAGGGCATGTCGTCAGTCGCGCCTGGTGGCGAGCTGGCCACAAACTCACTTTTTTTTATTTAACGCGTCCCTCCAGTTTCCTTTTATTTTACGCTCACAACTTTCCCAACTCTGTTGCCTCACCGACTCTTCGAAATTCCTTCCAAATATGATTTGAGCAGTACACATGCGACAGACCTAGTAGGTAGATAACAACCCGCTGCGGGTATAACAAAAAAAAAAGGAGAAAAAAAGGGAACAAGCAAGAGCGAACTATACGAGCACAACACGACGCAGCAATAGTGACGAGAGTAAACTATGATATAGAGCCAAGGGCGGCCCGCTTTTGGCGAAATAAATAGGAAAAACCTTGCTCTTCAAAGGTGTGAAAAACATGAAACGAAAGCACTCGTTTCCTTCTCGCATTTCGCCATCCGTGGACCGCCTATTGCTTGACGAGATCCATCCCAGGTACGTCATCAGCGCTGTTGAACCACTGGCCAAAGTCTCGCTCAAAATTGATATCTGCGTCCTGCCGGAAAAACAAGTCGACGTCTTCCAGCGAGCCACCCATATTCTGCATAAAATCGGTCGAGAACAACGGTTCTGTGGGAGGAGCAGAGCCTGGGGCTAGCGACATAGCACCGCCACCACCATTGCCAGCAGGGTTCATTGGGCCGTTTGGATTCATCATAAGACCAGGAGACGGCGCCATCCCTCCTTGTGGTGTCGGTGGACCAGTATTCGAGCCAGCCGCCATTGGTGGGTTTCTTGGTGACGATCCAGGTTTATTGGTGTCTTTGCCCATTTCCTTGGCGGGAGAAGGCGGTGGGAGCATACTCATTGGTTTTCCTGTTGGTTGTTGCTGTCCAGGCGCTGGTAATCGGTTCGGTCCCGGCGCAAATTGGCCCGGCGCAGGCCCACCGGGAGGCATTGGCATTGGTCCAACGGAACCAAATGAGGGATCAGATCCGGGCGATCCGGAGTTGATATTTCCAGGCATTCGCATGTTAGGATGCATTCCTCCTGGTCGATACATCTTGGATGGTGTTGTTGAGCGATTGTCCAAGTTGTCAATAGAACACGCACCATTCCTGCCTGAGGCTGCATCTGGGGACTCATACCGCTGGGCATTCCTAGCATTCCCATCGACATTGGTGGCTGCTGATGGGGGAAACCATTCGCCATAGGGCCAGCTCCCATCGGTCGCATCATTCCATTGTTCATAGGTGGTGGTCCACCTTGTGGTTGAGGATACCCTGCGGGCATTGGGCCAGTTGGAATGGGTGGTTGTTGCTCTGGTGTTGTCCGTATCCTCTTTGCATTTGGTGGTGATGACCCGTCATCAGGGTGTGTAAGCTATGATTTGTCGTCATTAGCTAAACGCCGATCAGCATTAAAAAACTCACATCTTCGCCAGGAGATGTGCTATTTCGTTTGTTATTCCGGCGCGGCACCATTGTTGACGGTCCTGCCGTAGCATTGGGAGGAGGTACTTTCTGCGGTCCTAGACGCATCCGAGCCGATTGGATCATCCGTTGCTAGACGTGGCGTGAGAAGCAAAGATAAAAGAGACTGCGACAACAGACCTTCTCTTGCATTGTCAGCATTGGAATGCTTTTGTCGGTCAGACCGAGCTCATGTTTTATCACAGACAACAATTGTGGCGGGAGACTTTGCAACTCGCCGTTCAGCGCCATCTCTGCGTTAGCCATGTTGCCCGGCATGGGAGGTTGTCGTGGAGCCATAGAAGGACTTTGGTGGACCATTCCAGGCTGGGGGGTTGATGTCCTGCCTGTTGGACTTGGGGGACGGCCTCCCATATTTGGCGGATATGGGGCAGGAGTAGGTTGTGGAGCAATTCCTGGGGGAAGCATAGAACCACGATGAAGACCACCCATCGGAGGCTGCGACTGATTCTGGGGAGGTTGAACGGAGTTTGGCGGAGAATGGGCCATTGTAGGCGACTGGAAAGGTGGCCCTCCGTTGGGCGGTCTTGGGGGACCGGACATTGACCCTCGTTGTTGTTGATTAAAAGGTGCGCCAGTCATCACGCCGTTAGAGCCAGCAAAAGCAGTCGGTCCAGCAGGCTGGCCGGTGGGTTGGATTCCATTTGCCATCGGGCCGTTTGGAGGGAAACCACGACCAGCACCGTTGACGGGCGGTCGTCCTGGCTGGCCAGGCTGGGGCATCATGCCTGGTAAAGAATTCGAAGGTCGACTTCGCATAGCAGCTAGTTGTGCCTGATGCTGGAGACAAGGCTGAGTAAACAGTAATCAATAGACAACGACGGACCTGGGTATACAGCATCGCATCTTCTGACCCATTCCCATTCGCCTTCGCAGTAAATAGAACCCAGAACACACTCCACCACCTGAGACAGAGAATGAGTCGGGAGAGAAGAGGTGGCCATGCAACCCACTCAAAAAGTAGACCCTGCCGAGCATTGATTGGTGGCGACGAGTCTGACGGAATGTCTGCCTCGAGCAAAAGTTGGTTAGCGGTTTTGTGGAAACCCCGTTTATAGCAATAGTCGTAGATGTAGATGTTAAACCTGGAAATGAGGGTGTTAGTTGTTGCTAGACAGCGAGGAAAATATGGGGGACATTTTGTCGCCCTCCCATGATAAGGGCTGCGATGATGGTGAAGGGTCCGCTGGAGTTTGGACTGGAGCTGCAGAGTTGGGAGGTGCAACTGCAGTCATGGTGGGAGGCGACGAAAACGGAGCGAGAGAGTGACAGCTGTCGAAATCACGACCCAACACAGCTCAATTCGAGACATGTCCTATTCAAGCCAAGGCCTAATGCCTTCTCACAAGCGCTATATGCACATCGTAACCCCAGGCTATATGCTTAATTTCTACCAGTCGTCGAATTTCTCTCCATCCATCCTTGCCCTCTGCCTCCCCACCGACATAAACGAAGTCAGCAGGACTGAGCAGTGAGCGGAACAACGAGCCAATCAGAAACGCGATGACTGCAACCACCAACAGTGTTGACAATGGGTACATGCCTCCCGTCGTCCCTGCTTCATGAGGCGCGTCAATATCTCCCAAACCACCAGGCAGTTTCCGTGAGGTGTTCGGTCCACTACTAATATTCCCACTCCCTGTCACAGTGACTGAATTTGGTCCTTGTGATGCAAACCGTGCCATGAACCCAAGAATTCCACTTGGGGTCACTGGTTGAACAACTGGCGAATTATTCGGAGCATCGGGCAGTGGCTACCATGATTTTTCTTTTGTCAGTCGAACACTAATTGAATGGAATTAATTCACCGTGCCAGCAAGGTCTTGACCATCCTCGGCGATATTGCTGTCTTCCTTCGAATTCTCTTTGTCGCCCGTCACTGTCGGCAGATTCTTGACTTCCAGAAGCCCATCCGCCACCGCAACTGGTGATCTAAGCTGTTCTGAGAGTATTTCAGCCTCATTCATAGTTCTAGCAACACTTGTCAGCTTTCCTTTTCATCTTACAGGCGTGAAGCCGCACCGTAAAAGCACACCCATCTTCGATATTCGGTCATCGAGGAGCTCATCGCGACCCAAGGTCGTTAGCGCTTCCTTTTCGTTCACAACAGTGAGTTCTCTGTCGTCAACCAAAACAACACCATTGCTTTGACCTGGCGCAACCTTAATCTCGACAACAGCGCCACCCTCCTCGAGAGCCAATAGCCAGGGCGGTTTTGGTGGCGCAGTCCGCAATTCATCAGTTAATGGATCGCGAACGGTGGAAACTTGGAACTGGGCTGTTGGTAAAGACAGCCTCACTAGATGTCGTGTAGGTTTATCCGCAGTTAGTCCAGACGAATGCATTGGCGATGAGGGCATTGTGTGAATGGTTGTTGCAAGTGGTAAAACATCGACACTCCCGCCTTCACTGCAAAGCGGAATGTACTGTGTTCTAGGACCAACCGCGACATCAGCTCGCAGTCGACTCTGGAGGGCTATATTATATCCTTGGGGATATAGTTTCGAGTCTATAACAAGCTCTGCGACAAGCAAATCTGTTGGAGGTCGCACTTCGCCTTTCACGGTGAAAGCTGATGATGTCCGGCCGCGTAGTTCACGAATCGCGGCGGAGGCAGAAGTTGCTGAATCAGTTCGCTGACGTATCGCACTGCTCGACGACTCCGTACGTTGTCGTCCAGCATCCCCTCTCGCTGATTGAACTGAACCACTAGAAGCTGATGCAGCACGTGACCGAGATGGAAGTTGCAATCCTGCATTATTACTTGGAGACGAAGGAAGCCCACTAACATGATTCGATGACATGGAGTTGTCGTTTGAAGACGAAGGAAGTCCCTCCGGTCGCCCTGGACTGAGTGTTAATCGACTGGGTCGGGGAGTTTGATCTGAGCTGCGAAGCGAAGGAGACGCAATCACAGTCGGTGGCGGGAAGTTTAGTAAAATCGTGCTTCGATATACGCGGTCTTCTGGCAGGTATTTTGTGTGTACCAATAACCGCTGCTCATCTCGTCGGCGGACTTTATAGGATGTGACTGCAAACGGTTCATGAACATCTTTGTCAGAGATCACGAGACCAGCTGGGGGAAGACGTGTGATAGGGAGAGATGAGATGCTCTTGAAATACGTCTCAAGAGCGACAACAGCTCTGGGGGCGGCAGCGTTAATCATCGAGTTGAAGGCAGCAGGAATTGACCCAGCATAGTCCATGGCGATCATGTATGTGCACTTGGTTGAAGGAATGGCGTAGTTCTCCTTGGTATATGGATCAAGGGTTTCCAATATCCACGCGTCAACAAAAACGCGGCCAATGGGTAGTGCTGATGGATTGTACTTGCTACACGAGAAAGAAGCGGCGGACTCTGGGCTAAAAGAAGCAGAGACATAGAAAATAGCGTTTCGACCACCATTCGATTGTTCTGCTACCTCGCCATTTGGTCTTCTAGAAGACGGTAAATGCGCTCGAGCGAGCACTGAGGACAAGTAGAACCCGCGGTCACGAAACGGAAAGCCCGCCTTTGCCACAACGAATGCAGTTTGACACTGAGCCCCATATGACTCAAGGATGGTTGCGGAGTCGAATCGCTCGTCCCACTTTTTGCGGCAGTTATATTCGGTCACGATAGCGACAAGCTCCTCGGCGGACACTCCTTGAATGATCTTTTCACCCTTGTGCACATGGATGACGGGTGAAATTTCTGGATAGAGCTTTCGTCGAATGGCCATTGTTTTATCGTTCAAGGATGTCCAACCATCTGACGACCCGTGGGAATGTGCTCGTTGAGTCCAAGCCAGAGCTTCAAGCGCGTATTGCATCGGCAGTTTAGACGAGGAAGGAATCGCCTCTTCGCTTGTGCTACTCGCCGGTGTGATTGCAGCGACAGCTTGTTGGGTTGTTGCAGAGGCTTGATCAACGGCATAGGTAAAGAACCGGGTGAGAGGGCTTGATAGTCGTGGGGCAGTCGCCCACCCACTCACAGTGGCGGAATCACCCCCACTTTCTCCAGAATTGGCCTCCCACTCGGCTCGCCGCCTTCGGATGACACCGACAACGGGGGGTTGATCAAGAGGTATTCGTGTTGGTTTGACTCGTTTCCTCTTCGTCAGAGACTTGATCTCACTGTCAGGCAGTTCTTCGACATCCACGGCAACTTTGGAGCCATTGACCATGACAAGACCTTTTTCCTTGCCTGGTGCTCGTCGGACAAGGACTAATAGCCTTTCATCATCCACAAAAACAGCATCGTGAGTCAAGGTTAACCACAATCCACCGCCTTCTGTTGAAAGTCGATGACGGCGTAGGCACGAAATAGACTGTGGTGGCGGATCGACGACGATATCGAGCGAAGGAGCCCATGTGTCCATGTCACATCGTAACTCGCATTCGATAACGGGCAGTCCTGAAGCCCCTATCAAGTTGGTAGATGACTCTGAGCTTGAAGTGGAGGGTTGTCGAGTTGTGGCCGATTCGTACTCAATTTTGAAGCTGCTCTTTTCGTGATCGTACCGTATCTCATTGGCCTTCGCACCAGCCAGCCGCGTGATGAATGGCGGACCACCACATTTAATAGCGAACTCGCCAATGCCTGCTAGAGTACTGATCATCAGGTTCGGAATAGAGGTCTTATTGGTCCAGCCCTTGGGATCAGATTGCTCCAACAGCGTCAGCAATGTAGTAGTCGGTGAAAGGGTCTCAATGGCCCATCCTTGAAGATCGATTTGCGTTCGAATTACTGTGGGGTCCGCTGGAGGGATGTTTGGGAAAAGATGAGGATCGTCGGCAGAAAACGCGAATACGTGGATAGTCGTTGGTGATTTGTAAACGGTTCTTAAGACAACAGAGTCTCGTCCACTCGACTGAGTTTAGCGCAATATTATGATGTTAAATTGAAAACAACTCACTTGACGGGCCACGCAGGCTTAGTTTTCATATGCCACAGTTCAGTCAGATCATTGACATCTTCCAAAAGAACAGCGTCTTCGTGTTGCTTGTCCCAATATACTTTTGCCCCGGGAGAGACTATGGCGCCGTAGAGATCCCATAAACCGACTCCGACGAATGTAGCTTCTGCCCGATAGACAACCAGAGTTGGGTCGATGGAGTCAAGCTGAGAAACAGATACCCCTTTCGCTTCCGTAGCTTGGAAAGCATGTACGTCAGATTGTGGCTCGTCAAGCAAAAGATAGACACACTTCGCCTCCATTTTGCCTCAGGTTCTTGAAGAAGCGAGGAGAAATAGATGTAATTCCTCTTCACCCGTGATAGAATAGATTTTTCCGCTGCCGCGGACCTCTCTGTTGGAGGCCGAGGTATTGAGGGAGCAGAGGAAGTCGATCTGATGCTGCTCCCAGAATGTAACGAGGAGCTTGCGTTGAAGCTAAGATCAGCAGTACTCGAAACGTCTTGAAGAATCTGCTGCGAGATGAAATATAAGGACGGGTCACGTTCCTCGACATCTTGTATGGTCTGAGGTAGGCCATTGAGGCGCAAACCTGCCATGGGGCCTGATATTTCGACGACAACTCTGACTTTGAGAATAGAGTGTTCGTCTATTAACGGTGCGTGTGTAAGGCGTACGACAATCTGATCGAGTGATATTGAATCGTCGGTGGATGAAGGTAATGAGCTGCTGCGTATTGCGCGCACAGACCAGGGGAGTTGTTGGACTTCATCAGAGGATGCCTTGGTCGACACTTGCACATCCCAGCCTTGAGTTGCAGGTAAAACACACTCAATAGATCGTCGTAGCCGCCTGCCTTCTCGCAAGGCATGCAATTCATCTATTCCTTGTGATGTTGGTCCATGTTCGTCCTCTTCTGGTATTATGGCGTAGTCAATTGTGAGTGCTTCGCGGTCAACCTGGAAGCGGACCCGGTCTATCGCCACTCCATTTCCATAGCCAGTGATCTTGGGTATCCGAAGGCCTCGTTTCATGACCGTTTGAAACAGACCAAGAGCCATAGTGGATAGTTGCTGCAAAACTCCTGAAGAAGTGCCAATGCTCCAAGCGGCGCGAAGGTCGTGTTGAGAGAAACACGTTACTCGAAGTCGTCCTCCAGTATTATTTCGCTTCTTTGGTGGTAGTTCTCCACTAGGTGGAGGAGGAGGACTCAAATATTGAATGCACCACGCAAACACTGAAGGTGTGAACTTTTGGTTGACAAAGAGATAGCTCACGTACAAGTTACGTGGGATCTAACATATGGTGGAGATGGCCTAAGGTATGCTGGTTCGTCGGCAGAACGAGGTAGAGAGGTTGAAATGTCAATGAAGGTCGAAGCGTCATGAAAGGAACGCGAGATGGTGACTGCATCTCGAGGACTACAAAGAACGCGTTAGAGCGCAAACGATGTAGTAGCTCATCACATACTTTGCAGGCCAGCCCAAGGTGAAGTTGGTCTTACAGATGCGCGTGTTATGGTCGAATATTTCGACCAGGTGGGCATCTTCAACTGCTGGATCCCATTCCTGCCTCATCTCTGGCGTCGTGAGAACTGCTTTCCATGGTTCGAGCGACACTGTGTCGTCGCCAGTTGGGACATCCAAGACAAGTCTGTACACGTCGCCTCCAAGTTTCGTCGAATTACGGTGGACAACCACATCTGCTAACTCTGGAAGTCCGCTCATCCGACCCTTTCCTTTCCTTCCCGCCGAAGGGTCGCTTGAGCCAGAGAGTCTCTTCCATTCAGCAGATGAGGAGGAGGTTAGAAGTTGGCGGAAGTGGGTTTCAGCGCCATTTAAGGCGTTGTACCAAGACTGTCGCAGTCTGTTTCGAGTGAATCAGTATTCAACTGAATCTCATGGGTGAAAGGCAAACCTGGACCCATCCATTTGTCGTGCGATGTAATTATGGAACGCGCTAAGAGCGTTTTATTCCATTCGGAGCTAGGTCACACGGCGAATCAATCGAAAGTTATTCACCCCCCGCCTCAGCAGGCCCTGCCAATGGCTACTCGAGTGCTCAGTATACAATCACACGTGGTTTTTGGCTACGTTGGCGGAAAGGCGGCCGTCTTCCCTCTTCAATGTCTAGGCTATGATGTCGACGTTTGCCTGTTCCTTGGAGAAATTTGCCTGTCGCTCAACACGCTCAGGTCGTGAACACTGTGCATTTCTCAAACCATTCTGGTCCACATTTCACGTATCATCTGCCGAGATAGGCTGACTATGGCTAGGCTATGGACGACTGGGTGGCACAAAAACCACAGCCGCCGAGTTAACTGAGATCTTTCAAAGCATGGAGCGCAACCACTTGTTACTTCCAGATAGACTCCTCACAGGTTCTCTTCAGCCATCAACCATTCGATCCAGTGTTCAATTCTATCAGGTTACATTCCTGGCGCTGAGGGCCTATCAGCAGTTGCAGACCTCGTCAAGAAACTCAAGACTGAAAAGCCACATCTTATCTACTTATTAGATCGTGGGCAAAGGAATTTCTTTCCCACTAAGCAAACAATACTGACGCTATTCACAGCTGTTCTGGGTGATTCTGGCCGTATGTATGTCGCCCCCGACGTCATTCCCATCTATCGACACATGCTGGTGCATTCCACGGTCATCACTCCCAACTGGTTCGAAGTAGAGTAAGTTTGTTTTTCATTTCAGCCTATGTTACCTCCTCTCAAGTCCTAGTAGACTGTTGACTGATGTCAAAATACAAGATTTGCCTTCTTTACGGCGCGCTTTAACCATCCTCCACGAAGAATACCATGTCCCCAACGTGGTGATCAGCTCGATACCTCTGGCGGAGTGGCTCAAGGCATTGTTACCGTCCAGCATATCCTCTAGTTTAGACGGCAACTCTAGATACCTTCTCTGCATCGCCTCGGCTGCCACCTCGGAAGCGACTCAAACTCCAGCGGTCGTGCATACGCAGAGTGTTGAACTTCTTCCTGGCTACTTTTCTGGAGTCGGAGATCTCTTCTCGGCTCTTCTTCTTGCCCATTTTACTCCCGACAACGCATTAACCAGTGATTCCATACTAGCACGAGCCGTGTCACAAGCATTGACCAAAACTCATGCCATGCTCCGTCTTACCTATGAACATTCGGAAACGTTACCTGAGGAAGATAGGCAGCCAACCGATGACGAGAAGGATGCTGCCGACCCCTTGCGGAAGATTCGGCGGATGCGTGGCCGTGAACTTCGCCTCGTTCAAGGACAAGAGTTATTGCGAGGCGTAGGACTGTCTGATATCAAAGAAATGGTGCCATGGACTGAGTTTTGGGACTCAAGTACTTAGAACTAGGCTTATTTGATGTTTAATCCACGATTTTACAATTTACAGAGGTTGACTAATTATTTTCTCCGCGTCCGAGTTTATCCAGCGAGCGAATACCTTGCTCGAACCACTCCTCGCGTGATATCCAAAAGTCTGCTCGGTTTTTCATAATGTCAGCAAGGACTGCACCACCCAAGAAAACCATGTGCTTCCGACGAGGAGGATCTTCAATCCTGATCTTGAATTTCTGGGAGCAGATAAGGGTGGGAAGGAACAGAAAAGGGACTACCTACGTTCAACCGTGAAGGATCGCCATTCAAGACGCGAGTCAAGTACAATTGCTTCATCTCCTTCTCCAAACGACTGGGAAGACCAGGGTACATGCTAGAACCACCAGAAAGGACAATATGCTTGTAAAGCTCTGAACGGACATCCACAGCTGCATTTTGGATTGTCTGGAAGAGCATTTCTGGGTGAACGATGAAATTATAAGCAACAAATTCAAGGAAGACGACACACCCGCCATTCCTGGTTGCTCAACATCCACGAGATGTGGCTGGAACATGCATTCAGGTGCTTCGAATCGTTCAGAGCCCACTTTGATAACACGGCCATCGGGAAGCGTATAGTTCTCAACCAGGACGGTGGTCTCCTCAGAAAGTTTTGTATCCATGTCCAAATCGTAGCTAAGAGTTAGGGTGAGCACTAATTAGAAAAACAGAAGGGTATCGCACCTCACGTAACAAAGCTTTTCTTTGATCTCTCGGACCGTCTCGAAGTCCGCAGTACGGTTGAAAGCGTAGCCTCGCATGAGGAGAAGCTTGATCAGATAGCGCGTTACATCCCTTCCAGCTATATCCAACCGACGCGTCAAGTGCGGGAGAGCGAAACCACTGTAGACAGGGACAATATGCGTTACGCCGTCACCAGAATCGACCACAACTCCGGTCGTCAAGCCTAGCAGATTGAGCGTCGAGCATTCAGCCAAGGAGCGACGCTCACCTTGCGCATACAAAGTGAGTACTGCCTGAATCGCAATATAGACGCCGCCAAAGCCATATTCTTCAAACATAACTTGGCACATCCGCTGTCGGTTGACCTTAGGATTCATCGGAGGCTCGGTTAGCAAGACTTTGCGACCCTTGGTGTCAACCTTCAGTTTCTCGTCGAAAGTATAGTCCCAGAGGTATTTCATGTCTTCCCAGTTGCGTACGATTCCGTGCTCCATTGGCTGTGTGATTTGGAGGTAATTTCTGTTCTCTGCCGCCTCGTCGCCAACCATTATGTCCTTGATGACTGCGGATCCGACACGCTCTTCAGCTCGTAGTATTGGCCGCCCAACCACAGACGCGAAAACTGAGCACGATAAGGGTGGCGATCGGAGATGATAGACAGCATGTACCATGTTCAGGGAAATTGGACCCTGCATATCCAACTTTGACGAACTAAAACTACATCTTAGACTAGTAACCAAGCGATGAAAAGCACGCACCCCAGTGCCGTTGTCGACGACGAGCGGCAGGTCAGAGTCCATTTCGAAGGTAGATGAAGGAAAGCAAGCGTGGTGTGTGACACACTTGCTTTCGCAATATGAGCACTGTGTACTGCCTCGAGCTGACCGCTTCAGCGCTATTCTCACATCCTCAAGAAGCTTTTAAGCCTTGAATCTTCCCACCAACCTGACTTGCTGCTGTTATGCCTCCTACCTCTCGCTCTGATATCAAGCCCACGGAATCCCGGCGTTTGAGCAGTCCTAACGAACCTCCCGTCTATCGGGTGGATCTTTCATTGCCTCCAGAGCAACGATACAACGAGATATGCGTGGACTACAAAGCTCAATTAGCTGGTGTTATACCAATATACCAACAACTTCTGTCTGTGACTGGCGCTCCAAGGTTTCTTGACTTACTTGCTCGAACTTTACTTCGACGCGTCCATTCATCAGAAGAGAGTCGGGAAATTCGCGGTATAGCACGGGCCACAGGTGTTCCGCTGCATTTGGTCGTTGCGTTCAACACCTTTCTCGATTTATTTTCGGGTTGCTCCAGCGGCGGTGCACTGGTTAGTGACGCCGCAGACGGCCAAACCCGCGCTATCGTTCATTTCCGAGGCCTTGACTGGGAAATGGAGCCTCTTCGCCGACTCCTAATATGCGTGGATTATGTGCGTGATAGCCAAGTTGTTGCGCGGTCAGTGGTCTTCAAAGATTTTGCTGTCAGCTCATTCGCTATAGGGCTGTCACGTATGCCGGGTATGTCGGGGTACTAACTGGGGTTCGATATAGCCTATCCATCTCCCTTAATTACCGCGTACGCATTGGGTCACCTTCCTCAACAAGATCTCACAGGCTTCACCAAATCGCACTCCTGCTGGGACTTCGTCCGTCTATATCATCGGTCCTTCGCAAGATCCTCCTTTCGCCATCACCACCGCCCTCGTTGACGTTGCTAGCCAAAACCTTGCCATCAACTCCAAGCACTCCTTGTTACCTCACGTTTTGCGCGCCGGATGGTATCCTCATCCTCGAGAAGGATCTGGTCACAGCCAAACCCAGAACGTCATCCACTTTTATTGCTGTAACCAACCACGACGAGCATATCGAAGCTCTTTCTCCTGATGCCTGGCGAAGTATGCTTGACAAAGACGGCCGCCCTGGAGTGCATGGCAACGACATGCTCCTTCGAGACAGTATCGAACGCAAAGAATGCGTGATGCAGGTTTGGCATCAGCGCAGTCAGCGTCAACGCGCTCGTCTTACAGTGCAAGATGTCGTTGGCCAACTTGAAACGCAACCGGTCCAAAACGAGAGCACACATTTCTCGTGTGTCATGGATCCCAGTATTCAAGGTGGTGGCTTGCTTTGGGTTCGCGTATACCCAGAACCCATCGAAATGGAGCACATAGTGGTCTCGGATATGGAGTCTGATTGAAGTGACAGTAGTAGTACAATCATTGAGAGTGTAAGTTGACTAATAAAAATACAAATGCCCATACTCAGAAGGGGTCTCAGAACCATGTCTGACGCGTTTCCTTTAGGCGCCGACGACGGCGCCACCAGAAGAACAACGCACTAACAATGATGGATAAACCAACGCCGAGCCCGAGTACTAGACTCAGTGCTTCAGTGACTGCCGCGCGATGTGGAAGGGAGCGAGCTGCTGCTTTAGATGGGAAAGGAGATGCTGAAGTCGAAGGAATGAAGGTAGGGGGCGACATCGATGGAGGGAGACTCATGGTTGGGAGAAAAGAGGAGGTAGCAGCTCTAGCACAAAACGTGAATAACGCGCGCGCGACCATAGTTTCGACTAACCTGTTAGAGACTGTGAGCAAGATGGATCCGATGTCCAGTCGCGACACGGTCGTTTGCGGTATAAACGTGACAGCCAAAGTAGTGAGTTCACTTTCGACGAGGTTTACTATTGCGACCAGGCCGGCCGCAGAATTAACAATCCGGGTAGCAGACACGCTCTTCGAGGTAATGGTAAAGTTGGCTGTTGCATTGGAGATGACGGAGGTTGACAAGTAGAGAGCAGACGCTGCAGACGTATTCAACGCGACAATAGTCGACATTATTGGTATTCCTCGCACCTCTGAAAGCCATAAACATCTGCGGTATAATGTTGGCACCCTCAGGTGAAGGGCCACGCGTCGAAACGGTCGGGATACCTCCGATATTGGTCGTGTTCCTGAGTGATGTTGAGCTTATCGGCAACCTCGGACCGTTGAACTTGCCATGCCCCACTGCAGTCAGGGTCGATGAGAACAGTGGTCGCATTACAAAGGAATGGGGTGTAAATAATTTCGTGAGCAGTATTCGAGACGGAGACATTGGCGGAGCCAGCCACCAGCAGACCAAAACTGAGGGCAGCCAACAAGGAAGATATATCATTGCGTCGGAGAAGACGCAGCATCGAGAGATGGCTCTCAGTAGTGCAGGGTGAGTGAGAGAGAGAGCAAGAAGCTAAGCGGGTGCCGTTTCCGTTGTCAGGTCTGGGGCATGTGCCAGAAGAATCTAACCAATCTCGAGGTTCACTACAGCGACGTAAATACGCATCTTGGCGTTCAGAATGAAGCGCTTTGGCTGTTTGGGGAAGCCCGGATAACAACATGTAACAGACGTTTCTATTGGGTTTCTACGGATTCTAGATAGACTTGCTCTTGACCAGCACTGCAACAAACATGAGCCAACATACCAGGCAGAAAAACGGCCACAAACATTCAATCTCGGCGACGGCACCCAAAAGAATCTCTTTCTGCGTCTTTTCGTCTTTGATTGCGGCAGAAACCTTGTCTATGACACTTTTGGCAAGCTCTGCCTGCTCGTTCTCCTTGACCTGTTGCTCATATCGGACCCAGCTATCAAGCACACTCTTGACTTCAGCGGCAAGAGCGGTCTTTTGCTTCTGGACGAATGCCTCAGACTCAAGCACAGCGGTCTCCTTTAGTTATATATATCAGTATTAGCATCGGTACAAATAGGAAAATATAACGAGCCTTGGAAAGGGCAAAAAGGCTTTGAGTGAGTGCGACGACGTCCTTCATTTGGGCAACGTTGTCGATACGATCCTTAACAGCTTGGGTGTGGTCAGCACGGGCCGAGTCGAGAACACCCTTGATACGAGCAACTTGAGCATCAGCCCAGTCGCTGTATGGCTGGCGGATAGCCTGGAAGTTACATTGAGGTAACCAACACGCGAAAGGATGAGGTTAACATGCATACCCGTGCAACAAGAGTAAGGAAAATGAGAGAGCCGACAAGCAGGATTGTCTCTTCGTTGACAACGTAGAGTTCAGAAGAGATGGCGGCAGCGACAACACCGGTGCCAAGAACAGCGGTTCCCGCCTTTGTGATCAGGTTGGGGGACTCAGGAAGCTTGTTGATGATTTCCGAGGCGCGTTCAGATGGAGGTGGTGGGTTGGAAGAGCTGGCCATGGCCCGACTGGAGAATCTCGGGTTCAGCGTGTCATTTTCGGCATGGACTACAGACGCACAAATGGAGAGGAATGGCAGAGACCGCTCGCGGCCGAGCTTAAAAATAGTAAGACAAGGCCGAGTCCAGCACAAAAGACCACACCTGCAGCTCGTAGAGAGCTAATGGCGATTCTCGATGCCATGACCGGAGAGAGAAATGATGCTTGACCGTGACGCACCTTCCGATGTCACACTGCACCTGCTCAACTTGAACTTCAAGGTGTAGATGTCATTTGGTTCAGGGGACGATATTGGGGATGGAGAACTCAATGCTCTTTCTCCATCTCCTTCGTCATTTGCAACACCAACAGGCCCTTCACCATCACCAAGTCCTTCGCCTAGCATTGCTCAACCGTCTCATCGAAACCCGGAGGGGCTAGCTCAACGACCACAAGGAATAGTTCGGTCACGCACATTCCATTCTGTCCCAAAATCCCGGAGAAAGAACTCTGAAATCGATGCACTGGTTGTAGATCCTGATGTTCTTGCTCACATGCGCCGCTGGATTCTGGGCGTCGCTATCGTCGAATTTGATGTCGATGAGGGGCCTGTTATTACCGGCATATACCCGCCCCTTGTTATTGCGGATGCCGAGAATATGTGAGTTCAACCAAAGTAAATCATGATTCACTATTCTCACCACTTTGTAGTGCGTTCTCTGCATTCCCAGACTCTCCACAGTTCGAAGAAGGGACGCAAAGCCATTCGTTTTGCATCAGAGAACTTCCCTTGACCCTTCCTGGGAGAGAGTCATCCCCAGCAAAGGATGGGTTCCTCTACGGATTTGCTCATTTCACGCAACGAAAAGTCCACTCTTCGAAGCGAGGCTACGAACAGCGTTCACTTGTCATTCTTACCCGACATGCCTATCCCGCATTGTTTACCCAAATCTGCACGCTTCTTGGTCCTCTATTTCAAGAACATGGGCTTCCTATGCTTGAAGCTGCTTGTCATAATATCGCAATGTGGTGTGTACTCAAGTATATCGAGCGTTACCATCGCTGACACCGTCTACAAGAAAAGGTCTGACCCGACGCCTGGCCTCGTTACTGAACTTGGTTTCTTGGGCACAGTCTTAACCGTGGAGCTTCCACTGTCAGCAGACCAGCAACAACTAGCATCCAAATCCTTCGATCCGAAGGAATATGTGCGTTAGCGTGTTGCCGTCTCTGTCGTCTCCTCATCAACTCTAGATCTTAGCTTCTTCGAGTTGGTTCAGTCCTCCGCCCATTCTACTCTTTGAGGCAGCTCTTTCTCATCTCTGGTCAATTTGGGAATGTTTGGTGCTTTGCGAACCACTTCTTGTCTTTGGAACATCACCCGCTCAGACCAGCCAGGCCATCTGGTGGCTAAGAGACTTACTTCGGCCCCTTCCTCTGACTGGCGATATCAGGCCATACTTTACTATCCACGACACCGACCATGCGGTCATGGCTTCACGTCTTCCACCTACTGCAGGGCGAATTCTGGGTGTCACAAATCCGGTTTTCGAGCGGGAATGCGCTCATTGGCCACATATCTTAAGTCTTGGTCGTCAAATATTGTAAATGTCTTTCTATCAGCTTTTCAACCACTAAGGTTGTCCTAGACTAAACAACACAAGCCATAGTGCTTCCGCTGGTAACACTCGGGCACCCGCTGGACCTGCTCCAGGCTGGAAGACACGAAACCACACTCGATATATATCCAAAGATCGTGTCCTTCTAAAGCGTTTCGAAGAAGCATGCAATTTAGGCTCCGAACGTGACCGTATGGTAGTTTCCACTTATGCTTGACTGACGATTCACCATATGTACTAGGTTTGGATGCCTCCCTTGAGCTCAGACGACATTTTCATGCCCGTTCAACCGAGTTACTTGTCCCTCTTACACGCTATCTTCAAACCCTGATACCCACGCCGGCGGAAAAAGCTTCTGCCAATCGCAATGAGCCTCTTCGAATGCGACCATTTAGTGCTCCAGCCTTTTTGTCTTCTTTGAAGACGGGAAGTGTTACTCTTCCTTTCAGAAGCACGGCTCGAAGGAAAGAGTTCTATGAGAGACTATTACGGACACCAACATTCGGTGTGTGGCTTGGGGAGCAGGAAGGAATCGTTCATCGTGTACTGAATAATAATTCGGGTTGATTGATCACGTAATCATATCTCTCTAATCTTCTGACTCCAATGTCCAAAGTCTTTAGCCTTAACGGCAGGAGCCTAAAACTCGATTCGCGCGCAGACATAGAGCCATATATTTCCCAAGTAGACCCATCCCAAATCGAGGAGATCCATTTCGGTGGCAACACTATCGGCGTCGACGCGTCCCTTGCCCTAGCAGAATTTTTGCAAAAGGCCAACAACCTCAAGGTCCATTGTCTACCACCCTCTACCACCTCTCACTCCTTACGCCCTCTAAGGTCGCAGATTTCGCCGACATATTCACTGGTCGCTTGATCACCGAAATACCACAAGCGCTCAAAGCAATATGCGACGCGCTCAAAGACAAGACAAGCCTCGTCGAAATAAACCTAAGCGACAACGCTTTTGGCGGCCGCTCAGTAGAGCCTATGGTCCCATTCCTCATTGAAAACCGATCCTTCCAAGTGCTCAAGCTTAACAATAACGGCCTCGGTCCGGCAGGCGGAGTTGTACTCGCCAATGCCCTCCTTGAGTCAGCCAAGCTCAGTCAGGCCGAAGGCAACAAGTCTAACCTCCATACTGTCATCTGTGGTCGTAATCGTCTCGAAGATGGCTCTGCACCCGCTTGGGCTGAAGCGTTTGCTGCTCATGGAACCCTGCAGCATATTCGCATGCCACAAAACGGGATTAGAATGGATGGGATAGCTGCTTTGGCAAAAGGACTCTCGAAATGCCCTGATATGCGTGAAATCGATCTTCAGGACAACGCATTCATTGCCGACGGAGAATTGGCGGGTGTTCAAGCTTGGACAGAGGCACTGAAACAGTGGCCAGAGCTTCGCGTGCTCAATCTATCTGACTGTGTCCTTTCCAGCGACGGAGACGTTCCCACGATCATCACTGCTCTGGCTGGTGGGTCCAATCCCAAACTTCATACTCTCCAAATACAGAACAACAACCTCGAGTCCGAATCTTTCGAGGCGCTCTCTGGCGGCATTGACAAGATGCCTGAGCTCAAGCTGGTCGAGGTTCAATGGAATGAAGTGGACGATGACAACGAACATCTTCAAACCATTGCTGCATACCTCAAACGAAGGGGCGGCAAAATTGTAATAAATGATGAAGACGACGAAGAGGAGGTGGAGGCAGAGGGCTCTGCAGACAAGTCAGATGACTTGGACGAGCTGACAGAAAAGTTGGGTAAGGTAGATATTCAATGATTTCCTTTTTGGATTGGATATGTCGTGTGGTATATATGAATTTATTACAGCCTTGCTGGCAGTCTCCCGCCGCCAGTCAGTCGAATGTCCTCCCCATTCACATAACCACACTCGAGGATCCATCGTACGGCGTGAGCGAATTCTGACGGTGCACCGTACCTACGAGGGAAGAGTAAACTGTTGGCGGTCATTCCCTTTTCAACTCTCTCCGCCCAACGCGCTGTCATCGGAGTCCCGAATGGACCAGGCGCTAGAGTAACCACCCGAATTCCCCAACGTGCGCAATCGCGAGCCATGGGAAGTGCCAGAGATCGAAGCGCCCCTTTGGTTGCAGCATAGGCAATGGTGGAAGGCATTCCTTCGTACTACGTGGCGGTGAATGGATTTAGCTTCAAGACGAAAAGTGGAAACGCTTACAGCAGCAGAGCTGGATACTAAGATGACCACTCCTCGTTCGCCATCGCTTGTTCCAGCAGTTGGCTCTGGCTCAGGGGGGACACGAATAAGGTGCTCGAGGACAAGTCTTGTTAGGTTGAAGGGGGCAGTCAGATTTATAGCGAGATGCAGGTCCCAGTTTTCAATGGAATGTATTTTACCACGAGCGTCAATTATCTGACATTAGGGCGGAGTGAATTCACAACAGGGGTGTAAAAGAAAGACTGACTGGCTCGTCGATGCCAATACCAGCGCAGGAAATCACGCCCCCTAGTGGCGAGGACGTTTGTTTCGACCATTCCACGACAGCCTCTACTGCATGTTGAAGGTCTTCCAGCCGAGTTATATCAATTTGAAGGAAGAGGACGCGGTCTGATGGGAAGGTATCTTGTGGTATTGCTCGGTCCAGGATTGCGACGCGTGCATTCGCGTCGACCAAGTCGTGAACTGTAGCTAAGCCCAACCCTGAAGAGCTGGAAAATTCAAGTTGTGAGAGCGGGCGATCAGCTGCCAACGAAGCGACGAGGCTGTGTGTGATGTGTACTCACCCGCCTGAAACAACGAAAGTCCTGTCTGCGATCTTCATGGGCAAACTGTAGATGAAGTAGAGGAGAGTAAAGACAGAGGCGAGCTTTTTAAAGAAGTATTGGTAACACCATGCTCCTCGCACGCGAGAGCCAGGTGATTTGAAGCGACAAGTGATGTCGGGGTCAGCGAGCCTCCGACACTCTCTTCGGACACACCACAACCGGTTTGGCCCACGTCATTCAAGATCTGCAGCAATGTGGAGACGGGTTATGAATATGCGTATATTATGTACCTGGAACAAATAATAAGCAAAGCGTCAGGGGACGAGTAGTCGTAGTAGCACTTACAATAGTACTTGACAATTCTACAACTTGGCTGGAAGCCTTCCACCACCACTCAACCGGATAGTCTCTCCGTTCACGTAAGGACACTCGATGATCCAACGAGCAGTTCGAGCAAACTCTTCAGGCTCACCCAGTCGACGAGGAAATACTACCCCTTCATTTTCAAGACTCTTGCGAGTCTTCAGAGGCATTTTATCCGTCATGGCGCTGCGGAACGCGCCTGGTGCGATGGTCACAACTCGTACAGCATGCCGAGCTAAATCTCGAGCGAGCGGCAAAGTCATTGATCGCAGAGCGCCTTTTGGGACATTCATTATCGCTACCAATGCTTCAAGCAAAATCATACCTTTAGTCGCGGCATAGGCAGCCTGCCCTGGTTGCCCTTCAAACTAGAGAAACGCGTTTGGACCAGGATCACGGGAAAGATACGGACTTACCGCTGCCGCACTCGAAACGAAGATGATGACGCCCCGTTCTCCATCTTGGCCTTCTTCCGGGGCGACTTTGATGAGATGTTTGAGTGCCAGGCGCGTCAAGTTGAAGCTCCCAGTCAAATTGACGGCTAGAGTAAAGTCCCACAAGTCTAGCGAGTGCGGCTCATTGAACGCATCAATTATTTTAGCAGCCGTCCCTACTCCAGCAGAGTTAACTACGCCACCCAGTGGCGCATTCGTTTGTGATGACCATTTCACAATACTCTCGACAGCGGCCTCTATCTGGGAGACTTGGGTGATATCCACCTCGATGAACTTGACCTTTTCGTTGGATAGCAGGTCGCTGGAGGGAGAGGCTCGGTCGATGATGGCAATGTAGGCGCCAATTGATAGAAGGTCAACCACTGTCGCAAGACCAAGCCCTGAGCTGCCGCCAGAAACGATGTACGTTCGGTTTGCTGGTTTCATAATGCGGGATGTGGGTTGACCAACAAGGATTGGCCGGCAACGCGAGACTGGCTTAACCGGTTTAAAGTAAGTCGTGTCACATGTGACACGACATCTCCGAAACCTTCTCCGGTCCGAAATGTTGCCCTCAAGACTTTTTCGTAACACAGGCATACCGCCCCCACTCCGAGCCCTCATTACGCCACATCCTTCTCTACCTTCTTCAATCGCGGTTCAACTCCGCCTGCGATTGGCTGTGCGACCAGACTCGATTCTTGGGGCAGGCCAACGTCTGGCGCAATATTCTACTCCAGCAGTTGCCGAGCCCCAAGCAGAATCTCAAAAGGTCTCAACTCAAGCAGCAATAGCCCCTCGGCTGTCGCTCACTTTCACTTGCACTGCGAATGACTGTGGCGAGCGGAGTACACATGAATTCTCGAAGCAGGCCTACGAGTCAGGTATAGTGCTCGTTCAGTGCCCCAAATGCGATGTCAGGTAAGGTTCAGTACTTTCTCAGTCTGCATACTTGACTGATTCACCCCAGACATCTGATCGCTGATCACATTGGCTGGTTCAAGGAGAGCACCGAGGACGGCACACTGCGCACGGTAGAAGACCTCTTGCGCGCTCGTGGAGAGAAGGTAACAAGGGGAACGGTCGAATACACGCCTCCGTAATAAGGTGAGGTCAACCCATGCTCTATATTTGCTCTAATTATGCACTTTCTAGGTATACGCCCGCCTGTTGCAGCGACTTTTCTAATTCTCCAGACTGGTGCACTGGAAAAAAAAATGTATTATTACCATAGCAACATTGTAGCCTACTAGCCCACTCACTAGATAATAGAATATCACAACCCCCAATAAACTCGCCGTTGAGGTACAATTGCGGAATTGTCGGCCAGTCCCTATGAAATAGGATCACTACTAGGGACAAGTCTGCCAGCAAGAGCCACGCACGAAAATTCCTTGATCCCACTTCTCAACTCCTCGTCTTCCAACACGTTATATGTCGCTAGTCGGTCAACAGGAACCTGATGTAGCCCCAAGACCTGGATTGCTGCTCGAGAAAACCCGCACTGAGGATGTTGAGGTGTGCCTTTCATGAATAGGACCACTGGTGTGGAAGATACAGCCGTTTGGATTCTTGAACGCGCCTCATTTGAGAGGAAGCGAAGGCTTCCATGGCGGAGAAGTTGAGGGTGAAGCTATATGAGGTTGGAGGTTGTTAAGAGACATCGCAAGGGTTATACCGTCGAGCGCAGGGCTGTTCTGAACATCTCCAAGCAATTTGCTGACGCGTGACGCGTGATCTACTAGTATGGCTTCACGCGAATTTGCTCCATTATATGCTTCAACTGGCGACGGCGCCAAAGATCGCCTGGCCTTTTTCCACCTCCTCGAAAAACTCAAAACCCAGAAACGCACTGGGTGGGTTGACAACAACGTGTGTTTCTGCTACCCTTCCGGTCGCTGGAATAATCAGAGACAAAGATTCCCAATGCTGAAAGGTAATAACTCATCCGTGGCAGCTAAAAGCAACGTTCACAAAGGAAAACAGCATTTCGGACCATATGTATCGAATGAGTATCCTAGCGATGTGCATGTCAGACCAGCAACTTGACCTAGCCAAGTAAGCGCAGCAGCACTACTACTGTAGGTTTTTCCGTTCTGAAGCGGGCTGCAGATGTGTGATGCTGTGTTTGGTGCACGATCTCGCTGAGGCGCATGGTGGGTTAGATCGAATATTTTCCTTGCTTAGCGACGTTAAAAAGTCAGACAGTAGGCGACATAGCGCCTCGCGAGGCAATACCACCATCGGAAAAGCGGCGAAGAGAGGCCGTAAGTCTCGCTCGCGCGACGACTATAGCTGATCATGGCAGATAGGAAACCATTCACAACATTGTCCACGACATGTTGCATGACAGCCCAGCAGCCAAACGAATCGAAACGCTTTGGCAGGAGTATGAGGAGCGCAAAACGCCTGAGGCTCGTTTTGTTAAGGGTTAATCCTCTTCAGATCTCCGTTCTTGTGTTTGTTACTTATTAACCCTTTCAGACCTGGATCGCTTTGAGATGGCGGCGCAAGGTACACATTACCAGTCTAAATCTCGACATTTGACGCGTCCCCTCAGCGGTTGAATACGAACAAGCTCACAATGTCTCATTGCAGAGCTTTTTCGATAGCAGTGTACCACATATCCAACACCCTGAAGTGAAAGAATGGGCGCGGGCATTAGAGCAAGAAAGAACTCTAAAATAGAGCTGCTTCATGGTCCGGCTATTGCTGTCGTGAATATATTGAACGCACCGCCCGAGATTGATCGCCCTCCTGTTAAGGATCACATTGCGTTTCGCCCTATAAATCAGTCAATGCCAAGAACCTGCCGGCCTCTTTTATTCCCTTCTTTTTCCAAAGCTTTCTTACCCCTCCCTTCGCTTCAACCCTATTTTGTTTTTCTCGACGAATAGCATGGCCTATGTGCGTAGCGATTTGCTGCGGTTGTCCATGGTGGCTGACAATCCATGAAGCAACACCAACAACCATATGTCTCTCAGCAGCCTATGGGCAACATGGGAATGAAAATCGGCGGCGGAAATCGCAACGCCCTGGGCAAACCTCTCAACTCTAACGGGCAACGTGAGTGGAGTCACGGTCTCTGCGACTGTTTCGGAGACTTCGGCACCTGTAAGTGCTTTTCTCTTCTTGTGGTTACCACTTGCTGAGTGTATTCAGGCTGTTGCTCTTGCTGGTGCCCATGGTATATTCTCTCTCCCTGAAACGCTGATTCCTCGATTAACCGTGTTTTGAAGCGTTGTCCACGGTAAAAATAAGCAAAGAATGCGCCATCTCGAAAACCAAGGCTCTCCAGACCCAGACGGTGGCTCGTGCTGCTCTGGTGCGTATTTTGTCTGCCCCTCCCTCATCCAAATCTCACTCCCATATAGGCAGTTGCTGGGCTCATTGTTTGTTGACCTCCTTCTTCGGAGTTGGTTGCATTCTCCAGTGCCTCAACAGAGGTGAAGTCCGTGGACGATACGGAATTGAGGGTGGGGGTTGCGGGGACTGCTGTGCGAGCTGCTGGTGTGGTCCTTGTGATCTCAGTAAGTCGTTTCTTTCCATTTTGCTCTGCTTCTAAACCCCGTTTCAGCTCAAGTTTCTCGGGAGATCGAGCTCGAGGAAAAGAGCTTTGGTAAATATTGAATGCGCCACCCAGCCTACGCCCTCGCCGCTGTTTGTAACGTGCCATCCTCCTAGTCTGATAATTTATCTTGTTTCCCGCGTTATCATGCCTCTGAGCGCCGAAATTGAATCGATCCCTTCGCGACAAACACGGAAACCCTCGTGTGCACTACCATCAAGGATTGTCGAAGGAACTCTCTGTCACTCTGACGATTCAGTTGTCAGATTTTCAACGGCGGGCAACAACTTGTGCGGATCTGTCTATCTCCGCATTGCGTCCAGTCAAAACCACTCACTGCCTCGCTCTTTGCAACATGGCGCTTCCCGTTGCTAGACTTCAAGTCTTCCATTTCCTTTCTACAATTACATTTTTCCCTAAAAAAAAAGCCCAGAAATCCCAGCCATGTATACCCAGGAAGACGAACCACAAACCAATAGTCACGTGTATAATGTCGCAGACCACCAACGGAGTTCAAGCACCAACACTCATTGATGGGATCAAGGGTGGATGAGTTTTTGTGAATTTCGGAGGCGTCGAGACGGTACCGACGTCGACAACGCTACGAGGCTTCCCTGAAACCCAGGCCCGTACCAAAGGGTGCCTAGAGGTTGGTATGTGCTGGCAGGAAGCAAAAAGCTCGATCTGGTGAAGGAAGGATGGTTCAGTTTCGAAGGATGGCACACCTACGGAGTCGTTGGCATTACAAACGCGAGAGCCAAACGTGACCCACAATCCTGTAGGAGAGCAAGGGCCTCTAGAGCCCCAACTTTGAGCGAGAACATTGCTATAACATGATGTTAGCTGAAGATCAGTCGACTCTAAAGTCTATATACCATAGGCGCAAAGGGCAAGACCGGCGCGTGTTTCGTCCATTGAGTGCAAAATAACGCGCGAGGAGGGGGATTGTAGTGCTGTCTCGATAAACTTGCACAGTAGAGGGAGAGATAAAAGAAGGGCCTCTTTGGATGTGTACGGGGCAATAAAGTGTTTGTGCACACGGCTTGAGCAAAGCGCGGCTGGGTTCGGCGAGCTGGTTACTTGATCTGGGTTAATAGAAACGATGTGGGTGATTCCCAGATGGTCCAATAGGATAGATGATTGTTCGAGCCTCGAAGGCAAATTGCTCAAGTGCAAGAATCAGCGTTGACGGATGGTAGAAGAGGATTGAACAAACACACAAACTGAGAAACAAGCCGTCGGTTATGCGCATAGCGTCGACAACACGGATTCCATTTGCTATGTCGAAAGTCTGGCGTTGCAACCAGAGACGATAAGGCGCTTTGTTTGATGCGACTTGATACTCGCAAGCCGAGAAAACGAGCAACTGACGGGTGAAGTTATAATTAGGACGAGATTTAGGCCGACCTGGTTGAGATCAACACAGTCACAGATGAACATATTAGCAACCTTACACTTTCGAAGGAATTCGATGGCTCCCGCGGCGCTGATGCGGCGAGCAAACATGACTGGCAAACGGGTTACAATGGACGAGAAGACGAGAAGATAGTTGTTGTCGCGTACGATAGGCACAAACAACAGTTGCGCTTCGGGAAATACCCATGACACAGTGAAGAAAGACCTTGCCACCACTGCGAATTGCGGCATGGATGAATGCGCAAGTATTGGTCAAGTATTGCAGTATGTTGGACTCGTCGTTGTCTTCGATGGGAATAACTAGGTGATTTATCGGGGCGGCAGCTTGGACAAGATCAGGGCAAACAGAAACAATGTGGGTTATGCCCAGTCGTGCCATGGTTCGGGGTGATTCCGCTGCAGTGAGACTTGACACGAGATGAGTAAAGTGGTATGCTGGTTTAGATCCGGGCTGGCTGGCGCTTACTTGCCCAAGAACAGACGTTCGTCAATAATGGGGTCAAAACTCTCCATCCCGCTGGCGACTTCCATGGAGAGAATCATTGCAAAGAGATGGTAGACAGTGGTGGGAGAAGGTAAGAGAGATGCACGCCCAGAACACGCATCAAGAACGCCTCGAATGTCAAATAATTGTCTGGCGCATGATGGCGGTGTGAGGTCACAGTTGAACTAGCAGAAAGACTCTATGTAGAGCTATCTTGGCTACGTCCATGCGACCGACCAGCTCCACCAAGTAGGATATTGAATAGAGATGATGCTGCCAAGAGGGTTGGTGGTGGTGGGCGGAGGCAAAGTATTTCATACCCCGTTCAGGGGCTATCCATCTTCCATGATCTCATCCTGCTCTTCGCCATCTTCAGGCTGGGCAGTAGCCCACCAAGAAACTGGCCCTAGTCCTTGCTCTGCCATAGAAGCCTGTCAAAGTAGGGTGAGAAACATAACTGCACGGTAAAAGTAGCACGCACGAATATCGTGAATGGCGCACGAGTTTGGACCTCTTTTACGACTTGAACTCCTTCCGCCATCTTAACCGGACCAGGTTCATCATCATAGAATTCATCACCCTCAACTCTTACGCGGACAATCTCGCCCTTGTCAATCCACATGCGTTCTGTCACGGGGGTGTCGAGAAGTTCGGTTTGTTTAGCCTCTGCATCACCGCTGGCGTGCCAGAAATGAGCGCGTTCATTGGGATCGCTGATAAAGTGTAAGAAAATCTGTACACAATGGTTGGAGACACAAACAAGGCATTTGGGACAGGTAGATAGTGGATGGGAACATAGATGTCATCGAAAAAGTCCAAAGATACTAGAACAATTAGTGCGAATATAATCCAATGCGGTGAAACGCACATCGTACACCATTATGGTCTGAAGACATGACTTTTGCCAATAGCACTTCGGTTTGGAAAGGTCGAAATACGAGCATCCGAAAAACCACTGGCTCGATATCAAGAAAAGCGCATTTATTAGACAAGCCACGCACCTTTATACCACAGAAAACCATCCCCATACCGAACCTTGCCTTCGCCAGCTTCTGTGAGGTCGAAGACACAAATGCAGAGACCAACATCATGGAGAACACGGTTGGCGTATTTTTTGTTGAGTTCGGTCATGATTGCCAGCTCTTGCGGCGTGCCAAAGTCGGCGGGATGGACTGCTACTGTGTCTTTAAGGATTGCCAAATTGAACATGGTCGCATATGGAAAGAGATGGAAAGTGACGTTTTGTCCCGTGACGCCAAAATTTGCCCGCGTCTACTACCCCGGCCAACGAAACCTGTTTAGACCAAGTAATGGCAGAGGCTCCGACGAAACTAACGTTCTTTCCCGACAAGTCGTGGCGACACTTCGTGGCTGGAGGGTGAGCACAATGCCTGTACTCCGGTTTCCAACCAATCCAACTTTCTCAAAGTGTGGGGGGAATGTGTGGGGCAATTGTCACTAGTCCTTTTGACGTGGTCAAGACAAGACTGCAATCCAGCCTATTTCGCGAAAAAAATGTCTCCATGGCAGGTGTGAGTGGGGCTGGGGCGGCTGCCTATGCTCCACGACCAAATTTATTTTACAACTTCATTGAAACTGGCCATATTATTCGGTGCGTCTTCAACGTGCAAGCTATACCTAAGTTAACCTTTAACAGGGATATATATCGAGAAGAGTCGCCAAGAGCCTTGTTCAAAGGTCTGGGACCCACCCTTGTCGGCGTAGTGCCTGCGAGGTCTATCAACTTCTTCGTATACGGAAACGGGAAACAAATAATTGCCAACAACTTTAACCAGGGCCAAGAGAACACTTTCGTGCATCTAACTGCTGCTGCGACTGCTGGAATTGCAACTGGAACGGCCACGAATCCAATTTGGGTCGTTAAAACGCGTCTACAACTACAATCCGATGCCGCACGAAGCACAGGAAAGGCCATTGGTGCCAGTCTAGGAACAATACGAACGATACTACATGAAGAGGGCATACGGGGCTTCTACAAGGGACTTAGCGCGAGTTACCTTGGTGTTACGGAAAGCACCATCCAATGGGTGCTCTATGAGCGCTTGAAGCGCTTAACTGCTGGGACCGATTTAGAATGGCTCGGAATGGTGGGCGGCGCTGGGGCAGCCAAATGCGTGGCAACCCTAATAACATATCCTCATGAGGTTTGCTGACGCGTTACTTGAGATGATTTGGGGCTGAAACCGATTGACAGGTCATCCGAACGAGGCTGCGGCAACCCAAAGTTGACGGGGTCATGAAATACACCGGCCTTGTCCAAACGTTCCGCCTCGTTCTCGCTGAGGAAGGCGCAAGGTCAATGTACAGTGGTCTGAGCGCCCACCTAATGCGTGTTGTCCCAAACGCGGCGATTATGTACTCAATATACGAATTCATCCTTAGCTGGGACAAAAAGTGATAGTTTTACTCTATTCTTACCGTACTATGTATTAGATTTTGTTGTAGTTTAGCTTACTGCATGTAATTAATCCCATTCCCCCATTACTACTTTGGAAAATGGAATTAATTGAAAACAGAATATCATGCTTGAAGGGCAGCAGAAACAATTTCAGTCATCCTTGGAAGAGTCAGTAAATCAGAGAATCACGACGAAAGTGACGCACCGAATAACTGCCTCCTCTTCGTTCTTCCTTCCGATGCATTGCAATGATATTGGGGCATTCCGGAACGTCTCAGGCTCATCTGAAAAAGGCTGTTAAGACGAACGCTGCGTGTAAAAAAAAAGGTGACTCATGCAGTTCTCGTAGTTGGTCTGGTCATTGACAGAGCGAAACTCGTGGGCCGGCAGCTTAACGTCGATCGCTGGGTCGACGGTGGTGACTGGGAACACAGCGGCGCTATAGTCGCACAGATTACAGAATCCTGTGTAGTAAATGTAACTTCACAAGTGGTCAGTCACAAACAGCAGCGGGGAATGACCTACCCAGGCGTGTTGTGTTGACTGGGAGCAGACGGGCTTGCAGGGGCGATGATCGCGTCCACTGGCCGGCCAGTTCCAGTAGTCGAGACTGTGTCGTTCCAGTGATCAAGATGTTTCTTGATGAAGATAGTCCTTTCGCGGCAGAGTTGCCAATATTCATAGGTCGATAGATGCTTCGGCTCAGAGTCGAGGACCGTGCTCCAACCTAGCTTAGGTTCACCAGACAGACCACGTGCGAGCGCGATGTCGTGCTACATAGCTGCATGAGCTATAGAGAACCGAGAAGAAGAAATGCAAACCGACCCCTCCATCGGCATTGAAGAGACCAACTAAGAGTTTCCCCCCTTGGGCACTTTCGTATGGGACCCAGTCGATCACTGTGGACATGAGAAACAGGTTTAACAAGAGAGGGAGAAAACCGCGTGCCTTTGTGCCCAGCAGCTTCCAGCGCAGCTTTAGTTTCTCGGAGAGCACGAATATATGGAGGCATGGGGCGACAAACGCCGTCGTCCCACATAAGAGCAAAACAGAGCCGAGCACCGTCACCACCGTGATCTGCCAGTAGATATGCAGCGTCGTTCCAAGGAAGCCGTAAGGCAACCGGGTCCGAGAGCCAGGGCTTTGCATCAGCCATAGCCTGCATGAAGACCTTCAAACCGTCCACTGAACAAGTCATTGGACCAAGAACGCTGGTGATAGCTTCCTGGCCTTCCATCGAGTTTGTTGAGCCGCAATAAGGAATACGATTGTATGATGGGCGCAGGCCATAGAGACCTTGGAAAGCGGATGGAATTCGAATAGATCCACCCAGGTCCGAACCGACACCGAGTGGGCTGCCCTTCATAGCAATAAGGGCGCCTTCACCACCCGATGAGCCTCCGCAGGTCAGATTGCGCTAGAAAGGCATCAATGTCCGGAAGCAGGATGGAAAGATCATCTAGTACATTGAAGGGGTTAGATGTGGTGCCGAAGACATTGTTGACCGATTCGCCGAACATCAATGCTTGAGGCACATTAGTTCGCACATAAAGAACAGCCTGAAATATTGAACGAGACTTTCAGCATGGGAGGAGACGACTAACCCCTTGGTCAAGAAGTAATTGAGCGCAAACTGAGTTTTCCTTCGATACGTTGCCAATCCATCCAACATATCCCATTGTGAGTTCGACGCCCTTGACGTCGATCTGGTCCTTCAGACTAATGGGAACTAATAGAATGGTCGGTCAGACTGACAACTGTAATTCATGCGGCGGCCAACTCACGTCCACTAGAATCACAGTGCTGTTAGGAAGGGACAAACAACGAAAACGATAATAACAGACTGGAGAGGTCCAATAGTTTTGCCTGTGGCTTGGAAGTAATCATCGAGCTCTTTAGCTCGGGCAAGAGCCTGGTCAATGAAAATTTCCGTGAGACAGTTCACCTAGAATTCACGTCAAATCTTCAACACTGTCAGATAATGTTGGGAAGCAGTTGCATACGAGTTGGTGAGCCACAATGGCACGTTTATAGTACGCAGAGACTACTTCAGTTGCTGTCCATTCCCCTTCGCTGATTTTCTTCAACAAGATACTGACATTCACCGTCTCCGTAATTTCGACATCTCGGTGAGAAAGAACTGAATCAAAAGGAAAGAGGGTGACGTTAAGAGTCGCGGAACCTGGAAGCGCAGAGAGTTTGAGGTCGCTGGGAATTAGCGTAGCAAGAGATGCACGCTTTGCTGCAGCTTTGTCTTGCCAAGAGGCCATATCGCGTCCGGTTTATCTCAGTTGAAGAGATATGGTTTGAGCATATGGATAGACAGCCACTTGTAGATAAGGACGAGTACGTGTCACCTAATTTATGACTGTGAGAGTCTCTTCCCTGGTGTAGGCCGCGGAAGTGGGGCTCCGCGACATCAACATTTCAAGAAGTCCATGCCAGCTCCTTAACTGTGTGTGCAATGTGTGTGTGCCAGTGTGAAACATCTCAATCATCAACTTGAATCTTACCGGCGAGGAAATCATTTAGATTTTTCGGGGGTTCCGTCATGTTTTCAGAAAAGTCGGATTGAGTTGTGCGTCAACAAACACAGATGTCACGGTGACATCTGTATGTAGTTTCGCTGGACTGTCTATCTCAATTGAACTATCTTTAGTTTTCTCAGTGAGAACTGGAAACGGGTGGAAAAAATCTTATCGGCAGACATGCTTCCTTTTAATTTTAGTGCGACTTGGCCTACAAAATGCCCGAGCATTGATTATCTAGCATACTGACCTTTCCCTCAATGGCACAGATCGGAGCTAAAGAGTTTACCAGGCTGCTCAAGTGCATCTCTTTAGCTTTTGATACTCTGGTGCTCAACAGATATAGCCAAGGCCATGGATATGGAATTGTGGTTGGTCTTGGTATTGCGTTTGCTATAATTATGGGTCCTGTTCACTTTGACTCAGCGGTTATCCTACTGACAATTTCCCAGTGGGGTTAACTTGGATACAAGCGAAGTTCACTCGCATGAATCCAAATGCTGCAAGTGAATTTGCAGTGAGTATTCCCTGTCTTCAGTATCATGGCTTACTTGCATCTGAAGACTGCTGGTCGATCTGTTAAAGCTGGCCTTATCTGTTGTGGTATTACCAGTGGTATGATTCCAAAGTACACACAACTCTCTATTCATCTGGATAGCATGGACATGGAGTGCCACACTGCTCCAGAGCTCTACTGCAAGTGAGTGGCTCAATACTCTTGATATTTGAATGAAACAGTCTGATATTATAGCTTATCAATCTGGCCTCAGTGCTGCTTGGTGGTATGGTGTGGGGTTTGTCCATTCATAGTCACCTCAGTTTCATCTCTCATCACTTCCCAGTGGGACTATTCAGATTGCCATTTTCTCGTTTGTGTTCTAACCTTAGGGGTTCCTTACATGATCTTTGTGCAGTGTTATAGCCGCCAAAGTTAAAATGAATGCCAATGGTGCAACAACATTTCTGCAGATTGTTAAAGCTCGTTTTGGTGTGCCAACTCATCTTTTATTCACATTTGTGATTCAGACTTCTTGTCCACTTTCCATGCCCATTTAATTCTCTGTCAGTATGCATTGGTCTGTATCCACATTGTCTGTGGCTCCCTTATTCTTGGTGCTTCAGCAAGTATGTCCTTCATTGTCCCTTGTTATTATGCAGCTCAACAGTCATAGCTGTTAATTCACTTACGGGAATGTCAATTGAAGCCTGCAATTTCCTTCTCCCACTTGGTATTGCAATTTATGTCATTGCTGGGGGGCTACGAGCCAGTAGGTTATATTATTTGATTGATATGACACATTATACTTACAATATCAAGCATTTATTTGTGACTTTCTTCATACTACTATACTCTTGTGTGTTTCTTCATTTTATGTCTGTCTTGCTTATGTCATACCAGTATTATCCTCTATATCTTTATCTTCACAGCATATGGCACATCTGATATCCTTGGCTCACCAGGGAAATTATGGGACCTCCTTCAACAGGCTGCCATTACAGATCCTGTTGCTGGGAATGTGCAGGGTAGTTACACAACCATGCGATCAAATCCAGGTATTCTGTTTGCAGCATGTACTATTGCATCAGGTTTTTTCTGGTGTATTCTGTGACCAAGGCTACTGGCAACGAGCAATTGCATCTCACCCAGAGAGCACTACCAAGGCATATATGCTTGGTGCCCTTTCATGGTTGTCAGTACTTACTGTGCCTGTTGCTTATAGCCTGCTAAAATTATGTAGCTCAATTCCCTGGAGTTTTGGTACAGTCATGGGTCTTGGTGCTCGTGCACTCCAGTCCAACCCTGCCTTCCCAACATATCCTTATCCACTTTCATTTACACAACAAAGTGCAGGACTGGTAGCACCTGCCATGGCTGTGACTATGCTTGTAAAATCATTTTACTTCTGAAAGCGAAGAAAAAGTTAATCTTGCTATAGGGAAAAGGCGGGGCTATTGCAGTTCTACTAGTCACTTTTATGGCTGCAACATCTGCCTCATCAGCTGAACTCATTGCTGTCTCTTCAATCATAGTTTATGATATTATTGGAACATATATCAAACCATTATCAGGCAAACAAGTGATCTTTTACTCCCATATTATCATTGGCCTTTGGGCAATATGGATGGGTGGCTGGGTAAGACATTATTTTCTATTATAACAAGCTTTTGTTTAAGTATTTTTAGGCAACTATCTTGCATAGGGTTGGCATTGGTAAACATTATACTCAATTTATCATGACTAATATTCTATTTTATAGATCTGGGATGGGTAGGTTTCCAGCTATAAATATGGTATATATTATTTTTAACTAGCCCTTAGCTATTTTACATCCAAGGTGTTGCTTTGACACCTGCAGTTGTGCCTATTGGCCTGACTGTCTGCTGGAGTAAGCTCTCAGCCACTGCTGCCCTTGGGGGAACTCTGTTTGGCACTGTATGTGGCCTGATTGGCTGGATGGGTATGACATATCTCTTCACAGTTAGCTTCTATAGACTTAATCCTAATATAGTTGGGTGCTGGAAGATCTATGGCACAATTAACATTACCAACCTAGGTTTGTTTACCTTTCAGTCATATTACTATGTTAATAGCTAAGTCCTTGGTTTAGCTCTTCCATACTCTGCTATTAGTGGTTCTGCCCCTGGTCTTATCATGTCTACAGTTGCTACTTTGCTTCTCACTTGGATGTGTATGATATTTGCAGTGTACTTGACTATTGCTGACATAAACTCAGTCCCCGCAGACTACAACTGGCAAGGAACCCGAGCAATAACATCTGCATCTCAAGATGAAGATTCTCTTTCTGAAGAGAGCTCTATCAATGAAAAAAACAATAATCATAATTCCCCAAGTCAATTAAACAAAAACAATCCTGCTTTTGTTATCCCTGGTGCTACACCCATTCTGTCTCCGTCTATCAACCACAAGGAATTACAACAAGTATTCAAACGTGCAGCATGGCTATCAGGAATACTAACATTTATCATCACAATTGTGCTCTCAAGATGGCTGCCCTGTTTTGTCTGTACTAACTATTTTACCAGCTCATCCCCATGCCACTATTTGGTCAGTTTTATGTGTTTAGTCGCAAGTTCTTCACCGGCTGGGTTGCTTGTGTGAGTCCTACCCATTTCCTACCCATTGAATTGAAAAAAAAAACTTGAATAGTCGATCATCTGGCTGTTTTGTGCAGGAGCTTCCTGTATCCTATTGCCCATATGGGAGTCCCGGAGGGAGATCAAGCTCATCATCAGGGCATTGGGGGGCTCCGACAGCGAGAAAACAAGCCATATGTTACCATAGATTTTACTTGTACAGTTGTTACTGTTGTATGTACTCGATCTTCTTCGATCAATCAGTTGGCTCGTGAACGTTGTTAACGTTGGCCCGTGACCGTGACCGTGACGCAACGCGTTTGTCACGATAACCACCATGTCAGAACGCAGTCGACGCGAAAAGAAGTCGAAACTCGACAAAATCGCGGAATATAAGCGAGCTCGAGAGGGAGGAGGACACATCAAGAAGGTTTGTAGCCTCCCTTCCCCTTCCCTTCTCGTTGACGCGTGTCACCAGGATGAAGAAGATGTGGGTCTGTACGACGAAGTGACTGAAGAGCAGTACCGCTCCATTGTTGGTGCAAGATTGCAGCAAGATGACTTTGTAGAGGATGACGGAGTTGGTGGGTATACGGATAACGGCATTGAAGAAGATTGGGGTGGTCAAAACGATGAGGATATGGATTCAGAAGAAGAAGCTCCAAGGAGAAAGTCGAGTGCGTTAACAAAGCATATCTACTGCTAAGTCTATCTAATGTCACCAAGGTAAAAGCACGAAATCCAAACCCAAGCCACCGCCAAAACCCAAGCCGACCATGAGTGCATATCGGCCAGTCATCTCCAGCGAACAAGAAACGGATTTCATGGCGTCCTTAATGGGGGAGCTGGAATCCGTTCCTGTGGCCCCTTCGATTAAACCTCGGAAGCGGAAACCTTCTCCTTCGTCCTATAGAAGTCCACGCTCTTTTATGGATACCTCGTCAGACGGACCGATGGATAACTTGTCCAGCGACGACTATTCGTTCAGTCCACAGAAGAAAGCCAGGACAAGTGATGGCACTATGACTCCTGCAGCCGAACGGTTTTCCAACCTCGACGTTCAGAGTGGATCCGACGATTTCGACATTTCCACCTTCAATGATATCAACATGGAGTCGTTTGATGATTTTGACGACGAAGACTTAATGCTGGTTGATGAGAAACCTGCTGTCAAGAAAGAAGAGATCAAGAAAGAGGAGGTCAAGTTGGAGGAACTAGCTGCACCAGCATGGCTCTCGGTCTACGACGCTCTTGCGGTCAGTGCACCAGACGACCCACTTGTGGCCTCTTCCTCGTCTCATTCAACCTCGTCTGTGTCTGCCCTTGAGCCTGATGGTTCCCTCAACTTCTTTTGGCTGGAATACCTCGAGAACGATGGTCGGCTGTACCTTGTGGGCAAGCTGAAAGACAAAGTCACCAAGGCCTGGATATCATGCTGCGTGACGATTGAAGGCCTTGAACGCAATGTGTTCATGCTTCCCAGAACAAAACCAGATGAATTTGGCGAGATCCCTACGATTCTCGACGTTGCTGCAGATGCTGAAATGCTCCGGAAGAAAACGGGCATTTCTGGGTGGAAATCGAAACCAGTCCGACGTAAATATGCTTTTGGCGAGCCTGATGTACCTCGAGAAGAAGCTCAATGGCTCAAAGTTGTTTATGGATACAGGGGTGCGTACCTCTAACGTCTCTCAATAACTGTCGGCTAATATATCGCCAAGAGCCCCAATTGCCGATGACCGATGCTAATCCAACTCCTAATATCGCTCGAATCTTTGGCGCTAATACCAGTGCCTTTGAAATATTCGTTCTCAAGAGAAAAATTATGGGGCCCTGTTGGTTGAAAGTCAAGAATCCCAGGGTTGAGAATCAAAGTGTCAGTATTCACCCAACCGTTCATCCTTTGTCTCATAGCTCTCAGATTTCGTGGTGCAAATTAGAAGTGACGGCATTACAACCCAAGGACATTAGCACCCTCACCTACGATGACCATCAAGATGTACCGCCGCTGACTGTGACAAGTCTCAGTGTTCGGACTGTTGTTAATCACCATGAAAATCAACGAGAGATTGTTTGCGTCACCGCCAGAACATGGCATAACAGTTCGTCGCCCATAAATTCATCTGTTTAGCTGATCAGTGGCCAGTGCTTATCGACGACCCAAGGCCTCCGGAGCTGATTCCATGCACTTCACAAACATTTGTACGACCGCTGGAGCAGTTCCCTAAGGGTTTCGAGGCTCAAGCGAAGGCAAACAGCAAGGAAGCAATCAGTCCTATGAAAAACGAGCGCATGTTGCTCAACGGACTGATGAGTTCGTTTGCCTAACTTGAAGTCTTGAGCAGTCCTGATTGGTTTTAAGCTGCTCTTTATAGGGCAGATTCCGACGTCATTGTTGGTCATGACTTCCTAGGTATATCACTCGATGTGTTATTACATCGTATGAAAGCGCTCAAGGTCGACCACTGGTCGCGGATTGGTCGCTTCCGACGTTCGAAATGGCCTTCGATCGGGAGGCAGGGAACGAACCTCAGGTTTCTTGCTGGGCGGATGCTGTGTGATCTTGCTAGCGATGGAGCCAAGGTCGGCTTCCTCCCATTGTTGCACACCGATCTGACTTACTTCAGTCGATGATAACATCAACAACATGGTCTTTAACAGAAATGTGCAAGACCCATCTCGAGTTAACGCGGCAAGACATTGATCCTGACTCAACAGCAGGATACTTCGACGGCTCAGTCAGCTCCCCAGAACGACTCCTCAACTTTGTACGGCATTGCGGCATGGATTCCCATTACTATATGGCAATCGCATCCAAGGTCCAGATTCTGGCGTTGACTAAACAACTCACGAATCTCGCTGGCAACTCATGGTATGTTACTCGTCGTCGACACTCCCAACAATTGATCTGGAAAAAGGAACAAAACACTGAACGGCGGTCGTGCAGAGAGAAACGAATACATTCTTCTTCATGAATTCCATCGACTCAAATATATTTGCCCCGACAAAACATGGGGCAAAAAGACCAAACCTGAACCCCTTGAACAGGACGACGATGAAGGCGGTGGCAAGTCGACAAAGAAGAAGCGCGACAAGTACAAGGGTGGTCTCGTCTTCGAACCGAAACGCGGGCTTTGGGACAAATATGTTCTCGTCATGGACTTCAACTCGCTCTATCCTAGTATTATCCAAGAGTTCAATATTGATTTCACGACAGTAGAGGTCGAAGAACAATTCGTGAGCGCATTGTCCAACCAACTACCCCCACTGAACCTTGTCAGAACGAGCAAGGCGAAGAGCAGATTCCTGAGCCACCGGTTGGCGGCGAAATGGGTGTCCTACCGCGTCTCATCGCCAACCTTGTTCAGCGACGTCGGCTGGTGAAAGGAACCATGAAGAACCGGTCAACGCCTATGGCCAAATTGAAAGAGGTATGAAAAATAGTCAAAATCTGTATTGGATCTCATCAATCGCCATCAGCTGGACATTCAACAGCAAGCTCTCAAGCTGACAGCCAACAGTATGTATGGCTGTCTCGGCTTCGAATACTCTCGCTTCTATGCCCGACCCCTCGCTGCCCTTACGACCTTCAAAGGCCGCGAAATTTTGACGCAAACCCGAGCACTAGCAGAGAACATGGGACTTGATGTAAGCTGCAACTCGATGAGGCTTCTGCAATTCAGCTTTAACAGGTGGTCTATGGCGATACAGACTCAGTTTTTGTGAACACCAATGTTGTTGAGCTAGATCAGGCGATGAAGATCTCAGGAAACTTCAAGAAAGCCGTCAACGAGCAATATAAGCTTCTTGAAATCGATCTAGACGGGATTTTCAAGCGCCTTTTGTTGCTGCAAAAGAAGAAATATGCAGCTCTCAAGGTCGAAGATGGAGCCAAAACGTCAACAGAAGTCAAAGGTCTGGACATGAAGCGTCGCGAGTACTGTAACTTGTCCAAGGACACTTCTCAGTATGTTTCTCCTGCCTTCGCGACCTTCGTTGAAGACGCATTAAAAGATACGTGCTCGATCAAATTCTCTCCGGAGACCCAGCCGAGGAAGTCTTGCAGAACATCCACGATCACCTCACAGAGCTGGGTCAGAAGGTACGAGAAGGGAGGGTATCGCTCGACAAATTCCTGATTTGGAAGGTAAAAATATTTTGTCGATGAGTTGGTCCATCTGATTGGCCTTAATGAAGCGACTGGGCAAGAATCCTGAAGACTACCCCGATGCGAAGTCTCAGCCGCATGTTCAAGTCGCGTTGCGAATGAAGGCGCGAGGCGGCACGGCGAAACTAGGAGATGTCATTCCTTATCTCTTTTGTCTGCCAGACGGGGAACAGACGGCCAAGACAGCGCAAGCTGATCGTGCTCAGCACCCAGAAGAGTTCAGGAAACCAGATTCTGGACTCAAAATAGGTAATTGGACTGACATCAGTCATAGCAACAAGTAATACTGGACAGATCTCGAGTATTATCTCGGCCATCAAGTCCTCCCGCCCATCGAGCGACTGTGCGATCCGATTGAGGGCACTGACCGTGCCCGATTAGCAGAGTGTCTAGGCAAGTACGGACTGTCTATGTTGCGCTGCGTCTCAATTGTCATCAAGGGTTGGACCCTCAACGATACCGAACATCAACATCAACTTCCTCGGAGGAGCACAACTTTTTAAGCCTTGATGCTCGTGTCACAGACAGCGAACGCTTCAAAGATGCCGATCCTTTTGTGGTGCGATGCAGGAAATGCAAAGTCGAGAGTGACTTCGCGCCAATCTACGACTCAGAGGTGTGTTCCTTGAATTATATTTGATTGTTTTTTTCTGATACCTTTTAGCGGACACTTATTCAACCCAGTGGCCCAACCTGTAGCTCTTGCAAACAGCCTATAAGCGCCGGGAGTCTTCAAACCCAGCTTGAAGTACAAGTCCGTGCTCATATCAACAAGTACTACGAGGGCTGGACAGTCTGCAACGACCTTTCGTGCGGCCACAGGACACGCAAGATGGGTGTTTTTGGCAGACGGTGTCTTCAACGCAAGTGCAAGGGCAAGGTCGTTTACGAGGTACCTATTCTCGATCCAAGTACCATCGGATGACCAACGAGATTCGCAGTACTCGGACGCTCAGCTTTATAACCAGCTTGGCTTCTACGCGTCGCTATTTAGCGCAGAGAAGGCCTCGAAGATGGCTGTTGGTGCTGCGAATGCCGGTAGGTTCATGTTGACTCGGGTTGACTTGTACTAACTAGTTGACAGACCTCGTCAACGCAGTGATATCCAACAACTTTGCATTCTTGCAGACCATGACGACATGTATTGAGCGCTACCTCGACCAGTCTGCACGACGTTGGGTTGAACTGAGTGAATTATTCGGGTTCATGCAGGTCAAGTCATGATTTTTTTAACTTTTTTTTTTTTTTACAAATCTATTCCATTTTTCTTTTCTTTTTTCACTAATCCATTCCATTTGTATGTAAGTTAGCTATAGATATTACAAATCCAGAAGGAGTACAACGAAAGCAATGGCAAAGCAAACACAGGACTCGCCTTGTTCTTAAGGAGACTGGGAGATGTCAGTCGGCCGGAAACTCCAAATCTCCATCACACTTTTGCCAGCACGTTTGCACATGATAGCAATGACATCCCCGCCACCATCGTGAGCATCGAAAGCCTGCTGGACATTCATGTCACGCAAGAGCTCTTCCTCCGTCTCTTCACGTCCACCACCAAAACACACCTTCCAGACACTTTCACTGACATTGGTCAGTTCTCGGACATAAGCCCCTGTCCGAACTTCCCAAAGTCGTACACGTCCGTCGTTTCCAGCCGTGACAAGCCATCGACCGTCAAACTGAAGCGAGGTCACACTGGAATCGTGGGCAGCGATGCGGTGGATTGAGGTGTAAGTCTGCAGGGAGAAGGTGATAACTCGGCCGTCGGAGCCACCAGTGACGAGTATAGGATCCGGATGTGGGACAGATGGAAGAGACGGAGATAGTTGAAGTTGACAGACTAATGCAGTGTGCCCTTGTAGGAGTGCGACACAATTCCTAAGACAGAAAGTCAGCAAAAGAAAAAAAAGCAAGAGGTAAGGAATACCCTGTTAATGCATCCCAAACTCGGACGGTTGTGTCCAAACCGCCTGATGCAATTCGTACACCATCGAAAGCGACCGAATAAATCTGATGGAAATGCCCAGTGAGAACATGCAAACACTCGCCAGTATCCAAGTTCCAGACGCGGCAAGTAGCGTCATAACTTCCGCTAACTGCCTTGTTTCCGCAGACATCAAGGCAACGCACGCTTCCCGTATGACCACCCATGGTGCGGATTAAACGGCCACGCTGAACGTCCCAGACTCTCAGCGTAGAATCACGCGAGCCTGTGACAGCGATTGGCCTATTATGCAGCATTCGAAGACACCTAATCGTTGACGTGTGCCCGGAGAGAACATGAATTGGATAGCCTGAGCGAACATCCCATACTCTGAGAACCTTGTCGCAGCCACCACTGACAACAAGGGCATTAGGTTGGCCCCAGCCATCTGATGCTGAGCAGACAGAACTTCGTTTGCCGGGAAAGGGTATAGGAGTAGTCCCGGTAGCAGGGAGATCTAAGCCGAGTGGAGTTCGCCACATATTTGGGACTGTGTCTGGCTCGTTTGTCGATATTCGAGGACCAATCCAAGACCCGCCACGAGCCACTAGGCAAACCCCCCAGACTCCAGCATCGTGACCAACCAGAGTTCTAGCAAGGACACCAGTCCGGCTACTGAACACATGAATCTTGCTGTTAGCAAGCCCGACAACGACCCAATCTTGATTCAGCGCAACAGACGTGATAACGTCAATCGAGTTGAGCGCGCCGCTAGGCGGAGCTGGAGTAGGGACCATCCGATGAGCTCGAAGAACAGTGCCACCGTGTCGCCAGTTCATCACTACCAATGAAATGAGAGGAGACTTGAGGGGATATATATATGTGCTTACTAGTCGAGTAGGATTGTTTAAAGTGAAGGTAATATGATGAGTGTGGAGGTGGTAGCGGTGGCAGGGCCTTGCGCTTCGCCTTGCGCTTTTTGGAGGCGAGCCATTGTTGGGGTGGGTCCATGACAAACTGAGCAAATTCTTCCATTTCGACCAGAGGCTCTTCTTCGTCAGACATGACTGCTATCGCACGAGGTTCGCGACAGCTGAACTCCATCCGAAGACACATGCCACGCCATATAGATTCGTCAGCGACCATATCACGCCAGCGACGGCTGACTCTGCTGGCTCGGGCAAGAGTTTTTGGTTCATCGACAAAGCCGAGCACCATTAATGCCAATTCTATTGGGAGATCTGCGACGAAATCCCGCTTTAGAAGCGGCGCTATCGTTGTTGAGACGAAAAGTAGCTCGGAAGGCGTGAGGGAATGGAGCAACGATGCAAGGTATTTCTGTCGGAGATTAGGATTGTGTGGGAGGGTAACAGGAAGAGGAAATATGTCGGTTTCAGGGCCCGGTGAAGCTGCAGGAGTCGGTGGAGAGAGAACGGGCATGTAGATTGTGGAGGGCTCCATGTTGGTTCCGGTCAAGGTGTGTACTAATCACAACTTTCTTCATTACCCCATCAACGCCACATTCGACCTGCTTTCCTCTCGCGACGAATACCTGCTCTGATTCTTTTCTTCTGAGTCTTTACAGTATACCACGCACGTTGGCGTTCAAATCAGACGATTTTCGACCACATACCCATCATGAACACTAAGTAACCACGACGAGGAATGGAAGAGCCCCGGCTTTTTAGTTCTCGTAGCCAGACTCCCAAATACGTCTGTCCGGGGCTAGCCAACGCGATCAAGTAACTTTGGACTTGATAAGCTATGGTTCTCCTCAATTCCAGCAGCCATCTGAATCCGAGAGAAGGCAGCACCTGAACTCTCACCATACTCGCTCCCTGTCTTGCTTGCACGCATTTTCGAAGAACTTGTGGTGCATAATTCAATATTTCAGTCCCAGTCACGACAAGAGAAACTCCTCTTACTCGCGTTTTGGCCAGTTCCTGGTCGAATGCCTTATATTCGTCTGGACAAATGTACGAAGTAGGCGAAGAATCGAAATGGGACTGTTTCCAACATCCTGGGCCGATAGAGGGACGGATTTGTTGCACAACATATCTGCACTAGCAGTAATCGAGAATTTTTTGAGAAATCTTCCGAATGATCCGAGTGCTATGTACGACGTGCAGCCGTTTGTCAACGTCGTGACCCGAAACGCGTCCGTCAACAAAGCCAAACACATTTGTTGATTTCCTTTTGGGGACGTGACTTATAAAAAAGCGCGTTGTGTGACACTCCTCATCCAAAACTTGTTGACTTCCCCTACCATCTAATGGCCCCAGTCGCGTCTGCCATCGAAACTCCCAGCAAACAGGTACGCGTTGCCACACCTCACCTCCACTCTATGCCTTGCTCACTCCCCACCGCAGGCTGCTACCAAACTCGCCAAGGTTGCATTAGAGTCTCCCATAAAGATGCCAAAGCTCCAACTCGTCGACGACAAACGTCGCTCTTCGTCTCCGGACTCAGACCAAGAAGACATGGACACGCTCCGACAAAAGTTCGTTGGCGATGTCACCCTCCCTGAGAGTGCGTAGTGGCTGTCGTGTGTGCTTGCTTGACTCTACTAACCTGCCACCCATAGGCGAGGAGCCTCTACTAAAGCCGTCGCGTCGTCGCTTTGTCCTGTTCCCTATACAATACCACGAGGTTAGTTCGACGCGTTAATGGGCGGTTGTCCCTGGAGTTGACGCGTCTTGTTAGATTTGGCAAATGTACAAGAAGGCTGAGGCCTCGTTTTGGACAGCGGAGGAAATGGATCTATCCAAGGACTTGTACGACTGGAACAACAAGCTCAACAACGACGAGCGCCACTTTGTCTCACATGTCCTCGCTTTCTTCGCCGCCTCTGACGGCATTGTCAACGAAAATCTGCTCGAGCGGTTCTCCAACGAAGTCCAAATTGCCGAAGCGCGTTGTTTTTACGGATTCCAGATAATGATGGAAAACATTCACTCTGAAACGTACTCCCTCCTCATCGACACATATATCAAGGAGGCCGCCCAGCGCGAATATCTTTTCGACGCCATCGAAACTATTCCCTGCATCAAGCGCAAGGCTGAGTGGGCCATCCGCTGGATTCAGGATGAGAAGTCGACATTTGGGGAGCGTCTAGTCGCCTTTGCCGCTGTCGAGGGTATATTCTTCTCGGGTTCCTTCGCATCCATATTCTGGTTGAAGAAGCGTGGCCTGATGCCGGGGTTGACCTTCTCCAATGAACTCATCAGCCGAGACGAGGGCATGCATACCGATTTTGCTTGTCTACTGTTCACCCACCTTCGTCGTCGCCCACATCCGTCTGTGTTAGAGCGGATCATTACGGAAGCTGTTGGCATTGAGCAAGAGTTTTTGACTGGTACGTCCTTGTTAATTCAATCCTTCACCAATAGTTTCTTACCTTTGAACTAGATGCCCTACCCGTCAGCCTCATTGGCATGAACGCCAAACTAATGTGCCAGTACATCGAGTTCGTCGCTGACCGTCTACTTGTGGCGTTGGGCAACAAGAAGGTCTACAATGTCAGCAACCCCTTTGATTTCATGGACATGATTTCGCTGCAAGGCAAGACCAACTTCTTCGAGAAGCGGGTGTCAGACTATGCGAAGGCCAACATTTCGAATACTGGCACTAACGCAGCACAAACGGCGAGCAAAGCCTTGTGAGTGGTTTGGCTTTTTTCTCTGGACAAAGACTGATCATTTGCAGTGTACTTGACGAGGATTTCTAGAGGACTGTTCAACGTCGAGCATTGTTTTTTATTCACGTGGATTTTCGCGTTGCACTAGTATTGTATCCCATCTCACAGCTATGTACACTCTATCTTAACCTGTACTATCAGTCGTCGCTGCAAAAAATAATCTTTTTGCCCATCATGTCACGTGCACCTTTTCATTCCTGACGACGATCATCTTGCCAAATTGTTGCCAACGTGGTTTTCCTCAAGGGCTTTGATCAAGAACGCGTATTTGCTTCCGTCGTTGTTCAATTTGAATCCTTCGTTTTTGGTGATTTTCCGCTCATGTGGATTGTGACTGGCTGGGCCGCTCGTCCGACAGTTCAACATGGGTGATCACACCTCTCTCTCCCTCTCTCCCACCTCAGTCCTATAAGAGGCGTCTGCGGCAAAACCTCTCAACCAAGTTGACGATGGACGGCCTTCTTCAAACTCTTGTCATTCTTTTTGCCTCCGTGTCTTTGGTAGCAGCCGCCCCTGCTCAACAATCCAGCCAACCTATCACTTCGCTTTCTGCGGCTAGCATTGCGGCTTTCAAACCCTATTCATATTACGCTGCTGCTGGCTATTGCTCTCCCGCGAAAACCCTTGCATGGAACTGTGGAGGTTGGTGTGTTGACTAGCGATGTGCGATGTGCTGAGTCTCTGACCAGGTAACTGCCAAGCGAACCCGACCTTCAAGCCTGTTGCGGCCGGTGGAGATGGCGACGCCACCCAGTTCTGGTAATTGTCTGATTGCTGATGTTCATGGTCCCCTAAATTGCTAGGTTTGTCGGCTATGACCCAACACTTGCAACTGTCATTGTTTCCCACCAAGGCACCGATCGGTCGCAAGTGTATGCACATCTTGTTGAGCGGTGTGATGATTCTCAATGAACATTAGCTTGCCTTGGCTGACGAATGCAAACTTCTTCCTGAAGAGTTTGGACCGCGATTTTTTTCCTGGCGTCAGCTCATCCGTCCAGACCCATAGTGGGTTCGCCCACGAGCACGAGAAGTAAATGATCTTCCTATTGCTCGACGCCCCAGTTCATACCTTATATAACCAGGACAGCCCCCCAGATTCTTCGTGCCGTCAAAACGACAATCTCCAAGTTTGGCGCGAAGAAGGTCACCATGGTTGGCCACAGTCTAGGTAGGTTCTCTTGCCTTGCTTTGTCGTATTTTACTCATGATTGCCAGGCGGCGCTCTTGCCCTTCTCGACTCGGTTTACCTGCCCCTCTATATATCCAACGTCACTTTCCAAACCATCACCTATGCGATGCCTCGAGTATAAGTTCACTTGGGAATCTTTGAACCATAGCTTACGCCCCCTAGGTTGGCAATGCCAACTTCGCCGACTTGGCCAGCCGTGGCAACACCGTCACCCACATTAATAACAAGTGCGTAACACCATGCACCAATGGGAGAGAGACTGAAATGATTTTCGTAGGAACGATCTCATTCCGATCTTGCCTGGTTTGCTGTCCCAACATCAATAGCTACTTTGTGTATCGACCGCTTTTTTTTTAGGCCGGACTATCGGGTTCCGTCATCCCACAGGCGAGATTCGCATCCAGGACTCCGGTGCTTGGTATCGCTGCCCAGGTAGTTTCTAGTCTTAGGCGCCCTCATATGCCGGCGGCTAATATAGTGACAGGAAGTGACAACACCAACAAACTGTGCACGACAGGAGCTGTTGGAAGCATCTTCGAGGGCGACCAAAGCCAACATGATGGTAAGCCCTTCCTTCACTTATTTTGTGAACATGACCAACGTCTTTGCAGGTCCGTATGATGGTGTGAAGATGAGCTCGAAATGTCCTAGTGTTTTGTCATCGTAACGCCAACTCTGTCGAGTAGTCACAATCATATGAGTTTGCTGTTTGGAGATTCATGTTGAACGTTGACCTGTGAACGACACAAAAAAAAAGACATCGCCTAGTGATGAAAATTTTAGCTCTCGACCTGGGAGTCGAACCCAGCTTTCGCGCGGCCCAGCCTAAGAGATGACAGGCGCGTGTACTAACCGATATACTAGTCGAGATTGGCAAAGATCGACGCAATAAACCTAGGACCCCCATTCCATTGTTAGACTTTTCGGTTCTAGGTATGACCTCATCATCTCACCTCATGCTACCTGCCACCATCTACCAGTTCAGAAAACAGCGGGGAGTAAACCTCGGTTTGGTCCAAATCTACTTTCAAAGCTCCAAGATGAGCTCCTTTAGGCTGTTGGTTTGTGCTGGAGCGCTGGATTACGAGCCACCCATTTCGGAATGCTGTTGATCCGGCACACAGCGACCTCGACATCGCCAAGGGAAGCAATGCCCGTGCTGTCTTGGAAGAGCATTACGATAGCTGGATTACTGAGGCAGACTGGGCTTGGATTGTAGATCATGGCTTCAACACGGTCAGAATACCTGTACGTTACCACGACTTTCAAGTGCCTTATAGCTATAGCTATGAGAATACACAGATCGGATTCTACCATTTGTGTGCCATCGACCCCTCTGTTCTCGTGGACACAGACTTTGCAAACCTAGACCATGTTTATTCTGGCGCCTGGGTTTGTTTCTCTGTTTGTTTCAGTGGAGTCCTTACCACTTAATATCAGTCGCGCATTCTACAAGCCATCGAAACTGCCCACCGTTTTGATCTCGGTGTCTTGCTTGGTTTTTCATATTTTTTCGTCCTCCGTAGTATTTCTTCTGATTCCAACCTTGTAGACCTTCATGCTGCGCCAGGCAAACAGAACCCAGACGCGCATTCGGGCACGTGCAACCCCGCGACCTTCTTCAGCGACCACCGCAAACAACAAAAGACTCTGAACGTGATTCGCACTCTCGCGCTGCAAGTAAAAGGGCTGCCGAATGTGGTCGGAATCGAGCTCCTCAACGAGCCACATCCCACCTCTGACGACGGGCTGAAAAAGTGGTACACGGAGGCATTCGCTGTTCTGGCGGATGTCGGGTCTGAGCTGCCTGTCTACATCAGCGACTGCTGGAAGCCCGAGGTATACGCCGAGTTCATTAAATCCACCGAAAAAAAGCCCTCTTTATTGGTCCTCGACCATCACCTCTACCGATGTTTCGCAGCAAACGACACTAGGACATCTGTGGCAGTGCACACCAAGGCACTCTCAGAGGACAAGACGATTGCGCGGATCGCAGAGGCACTTGACCAAGTTGGAGCAGGCTTGGTCATCGGCGAATGGTCTGGCGCACTTAATCCGGCGTCTCTCACTGGCTCCCCGAATGAACGCAAAGAGTATATTGCCTCCCAGCTCGCATTGTACACCGCTCGTTGTGGTGGTAATTATTTCTGGACTTACAAAAAAGCAGGGGATCAACCTGACTATGGATGGTCTCTTCGTGATGCCATTGATGGTGATCATTTTCCGTCTCGAATGGGGACATTGTTGGTCAAGAGTTTTGCGGGCGACCAGACACGGTGGAAACAAGCACGAGATCGCTTTCGAGATGCAGCCTATGGTATTGGCATCCGTGATCCAACCCACTTGATTTACAATTTCTTTTTTACAGCTGCCCATGTCGCCTACTGGTCGCGGTACCCAGGCAACTACCACCATGCTCGGTTTAGTGAAGGGTTTCTCCTTGGATGGGACAACGCCTACGCCTTCTTGACGTTCAATAATAGCACCGACAAGGCAATTTCGGAGCTCGGGTTTGTCGGGGGGTTGGCGCATACAAAGACGAGTGACTACGGTGACGGCTTCTGGGAATTTCGTAGGTATTTCGCCATCGATGCTGTCCATTCTTCATGTCATCTGGAAGGACACGGTTTCGGGCAGGGCGTGGCCGCGGCCAACAAAGATTTCTGCGACCATTATTGCAGGCCATTACACAGGGTGGGGTGGTGAAGCGACCGGGAAATGCTGATACTCCCCGCTTTCGTCGATGATCCAGAGGTCTTGGTCAACAAGCTGAGAGTGTTGGCGGTGAATTTCGGTCTCTGTTGGTTGCGCCTTGCGTCTCAAGTCAAGGATGCTGTAATTACGATCAAATCATATACCAAAAACTGAATAAAGCAGACATACAGACGGCATGCCACCACATTCGAAAGGGTGAGGGCGTAGGGGAGACCGACGCCGTTGTGATCGCTTTGGGGACTTGTCCAAGTTCAGTCAAAAGACAAGAGAGGGAGATAAAGAAGCTAGCTCACTTAAGGTAGGTCCCCAACGCGCCAGCGTGGATAACAAGCATGATCACGAAAGCCCCCAAGCCTTGCCTGATGAATGCCCTCCCCAAAGTCCCCCGGGTGCTGTGCGTCCGTAGACAATACTACGGCAAAACATTTAGCAAAAGTGAGGAGGGAAAGGTGGGGTAAAGGAGGATTCACAATCGCAATGACCATCAGGGAGAGAAAATCCATCAGGGACGATGCACCCTATAGAGCTCATATCAGCTTTGCGATCGGTTCGAGACCGTTAAACACACCAGCGCAGCCTTGAAAATTCATGAGCAAAATGCAGACGAACGATCGGCGAGGGCAGACGACGCACCACTAAACGGAGCAGGTTTGGACGTTGTGAGTAGTCTGGGAAGCAGCCGGTGTCTTGGAGAACGATGAAGGTGATGTCGGGGAGAGTTGGCACGTCGATGCATAAGAAAAGAATGTCGCTCGCAATCAGTCCGAGATAGAGAAACAGCAAGATGGCCAGAATCCCTTTGTGGCGACCAGCAAAAGCATACGCGCGCATCAACATCACGGCTGGGGACTCTCGAGTAAGCAATGTGTAGCAGAGTGTAGCAAGGCATATATATACCTGGGGCGAAAATTTGCTGCAAGAAACGAGTCAGAAAAATGGTAGGCGAGGAAAAGCAGATTTGCGCACCAGAGGGAGTAGAACAGCAGTGGCAAATTTAGTTAACGAATGGCAAAGCTCGACGTTGTGGTCCGGCAGGTAGGAGAAAACGACCAACGGCCATACGAGGAGCTGATAATATCTGCAAAGGAAATAGGCGATCTTGATTGAAGACCATTTGGAAGGATAGATCTTGGACGGTGTGAGCGTGAGTACTATTTATACCCTGGTGTAGCATACCAGGTCTACTTCTGTTGGAAGACTGGGACCAATTGGTCAGGGCTTTAGGGAACAAAAGAAGTTTAGCTGAACACACCAGTCCAGCCATTCGTAGATGCTGATTGTGTAGACTGCCAGAACAGAATTTCGCGAGGCGGTGATGCTCTGCGTCGCCCGAGAAATCTCGTCGATGATGGACGCCATCGACAAGCCGGGCGGGCATAAGGAGAGAGCAGGCAGGACGTCAGTTATGTTGGTCTTATACTTCATTTTGCTTCCGAACTCTGATCTTGAATCATTAATTCGACAGCTGTTTCCCTGACCGATTTGATTACTGAGGTAAACGACGCCTTCAGTTTCCCGTGTGGCACCGTGACGAAGAGGAGCGGTGGTGAGAAGGAAACGTCGTTGAGTTAATGCGTCAACTCAATGGCATTGACATTCGCAATGCGGACTCACCTTTTTTGCGGCTTGCCATGGCCAGTGGTTGGACATTGTTAACTCTCCTATTAGGTGCCCAAAAGGAGTGGAGAGGGTAAAGTTTGACCGACATTCCAAGTCCATGGCCCAGTTGACGGTGGCGAAATGAATGTACATCTATGTACATGTCCAGAGGTATGAAAGGGTATTTCTCGGCAAGTCTCTTCCTTTTTCCCACGCACGCTTCAACGCTCATAATCAGAGGTTAGATTGCGCCATCAGATGCACTTGGTCAAGTCAAAGTGGCCTTCTAAGGCAGCCACTCGTCTAAAATTGGTCCAGGTATTTATGCTACAAAAAATAAAATATACTAATACGGGTCAAGTTCCAGCGTCAAAGCGCAAACGAAGGGTATATTCGCCTCAGATTCCGCGCGAAAATACTCTCCGCACACACTGGACACTTATTTCGTGTCGAAATGGAGTCTGAAATGCACCTTTTTTAGAACAAATGTCAGCGGAGGTGGTACACGACAGTAAAAAAAATCAAACGCACGAATGGCAGAAAATGTGACCGCAAGGTGTCGTGGTCATGTCCTTGGGGAAGTTGCGACATTGAGGGCATATTATTCCCGAGGACTCATCGTCTTTGTATCTAGGCTGCCAGTTGTCGTCGACAGGCTTGGCCGGCCACCCAGAATACACAACCCCAGCGTCAGCGACCTCACCAGAAGTCAGGAGTGTGTGCTCCAGAAGCATGCTGCTGTCCTCCATCGAAGCACCCGAAAGCAGACGAGAACCGGTTCGCAAGGCACATCTAATAGGCGCGAATGAGAAGCAGATATATTTGAGCGACCATTGCTTACCCGTTTCCGATACTGAGGCTATTCAGGGCAAAGTTTCCGCGCGAGTTGATATGCGCCACAACCGAACAATCGTCTAGGCTGACGTTGGCACCCAGCTGTTTGAATGTGAGGACGGGTGCTAACAGGATTATTAAGCCCTTACCTGAACGAGATCTGGTTCTGTCATAAGCCCAGTATAACCACCAGGGTATAAGGCGACATTTTTGCCAATCTTTGCACCGAGAGCTCGGAAGTACATGACGATATATGCGGTGCCGGTAAGCGGGGCAAGCAGACCGCCATTTCCGTAGCCTTTATAAATCAACCGTGACATTGTGAGATGGAGTTGCCACCGCTGGCAGTAGCTGCTCTTGTCCCACGAGTAGCGACCGTCCTTGCGTCGGCCAATGACGATCCACTTCGAAACGATGACCCAAAGAAGAGCGATCAGGACTTGCAGGTTCAGAACAACGACGAAAGACATGGCGATGAAACCGTAAAGATACCCCGGACGGTACCAGTCCTTACGGTAGATGTGGAAGTGTTTGCCGTGGTGTAGATGGACTACTCGGAGGACCTGAGCTGCCGCCACAGCGCTGATTGACCAATAAGCTGCTGAGAGCGTCGCAACAAGAATATTGGTCGAAAGAATAACCCAGTATGGCATGACCCAGTAGTCTGCTTGACGTTGGTAGAAAGCACGTCCGAAAGGCGTCGTAGTATCCGAATGTTCCGACTTGGTTCCTTCGTCAAGACATTCTATCACGTGTTCAAATGAGATTTACCAATAAGATCAAAGAAGCTGCATACCAGTACCAAGCCACGTAGAGCCGTCCTTATAGTCTGTGTCGCGCATACCAAGAGCTCCAGAGCCCATAACTGTCTGCCGTCCAACCTTGCAGCCTGGCAAAAGGATGACACGGTCCGCAATCATTGCTAAAAGAGCATAACATCAATATCCAGATCAGCCCTCCGACCGAATGTTTCGCACCTCCATCGCCAACGGTAATGCGGGCAGAGCCGATGCGATCTGTCGTGAAAATTTCACTGCGGGATCCGAAGACAACGTCGTTGCCTATTTCGAGCAGTTCTGGGTCGGGACAGTAGATACCTGACCCAGGCCAGTAGACCCGTTTACCGATCGTAGCCCCCATGGAGCGGTAAATGATCTTTTTGAGAAGAAATTAGTCTGAGCTACGATCAACACGCATATAGGGAGACGTACTGAAATGACCTCGTAGTGAGTACCGAGAATTGAGAAAGCCGACTTGAGCGCAGATTGTGAAAGCAACACCGAGTTGATGTAGCGACGCAAATGCACCCACTGCGTCATGTCGGCTGTTACCATCTCGCGGTTGAGACCAAAGGCGCGTTTGACGAGAATGCCGCAGACCAGACGCAACAACGGAGTGATAACAGCGCGAACAACACGCGAAAGAGCATGATAAGCAACGCGTTCGGGAGACGAAAACCAATAGACCACGGCTTCGACCGCGTTCAAGTTATCAGCGAAGGCCATGTCGACTCGGTGAACCATCAACCAGATCGCGACAAACCAGGGGATGTCTAGAAGTTTTCCAATGTCAAATTCTCTCTCTACACGATAGAAGGCTCACAGGAAACGAAATGCACGAGAGCAATAATGGGCCAGGCAATGAATAGCTTTAACCAGCCATTGGGTTCCGCGATGAGAGTCCTGTTAAAGGCAGCATATGATCTCGGAGACGGCGAGTCACGACCAGACGAATGAGGCCCATAAACAGTGTTGTCTGGGATGATGGAGCCTGGGGCAAGTTGAGTATAGCTATTGACGAACGAGCGCTCGCCGATGACAATGGGGTCTAATCGGAAGCACCCCTCGCGCTCAACACAGAAGCCACGAATGACCGTATTTCTGTCGACGCGGCACCCATCTCGGAAGGTGAGCAGATCATACTCTCCCAGACGAGCGCCTTTTTCGATCGTCACATTCCGGCCAATGCGAGCCCCGAGTAACCGATAGTACAAGCGCTCTAGGCAGGGATGCATCGAGAAAACGCCGCGACCAGCAACCCGAATGCTTTGATTCACAATCCAGTAACGCAGATAGTAAGTCGACCACATGGGATACGTTCCTGGACTATATTTGCCAATAATCAGCCATTTGAAGAGGATGGAGGTCAGTGGTGCAATGATGCGCGTGGCCAGACGCGCAACAACAATCGAAGCTAGCAGTGCACCAAGTCGTCCCCAAAATGAACCGACGTGTGGCGCCAGCAGCGAGAGCATCAAAAGAAGGATAGTCCAGGTCATGGCCGTCTTGAGCGGATAGAACAGCACGACTGGTAAGAGCTGAACTATCAGAGTCAGCGGGTGAGCCTGGCCCCTCGTCTTCTCTTGCGATACCTCCACGTCCTCCTCATAGTCGTAACCCATGTTGAGTGTCGCCTCGCTTGTTCGAGCAGATATATTGGGGCCAGACTGAGGGTCTTTAAATGGGTTTTGGTTCGAGTTGGGTTTGTTTTCCGACTCGATCATAGACGCAATGCCTTGAATGGTGCTATTCGCAAAGAGGGCCTGAACACCAATGGCAACTCCCGTTCGTCTCCGAATCTGATGAGCGAGCTTGCCAAGAAGGAGGGAGTTTCCGCCGAGGAGAAAGAAGTCTGCATCGGGAGTGATGAGCTTGGCATCAGCCAACAGCAAGTTTCCAACTATGTCGCGAACAAGCCTGGCATGCTCACTTAAGGCAGCGGCATGACCACGTGCCACTGCGGCTTCCATCGCGCCGAAGTCCGGAGCGCCGCTGCCGGCTTTCGGAACCGATCGTTCGCCAGGAACAATGTGAATCGGGGCCGGAATCGCATATCCTGGGAGTTGCCGTTTGAGTGCATCAGAGACATCAGATGCATCAATCCCTTCGACACACACAAAGGCCTCCAGTGAATTGTCCCCACGACTGCGGAGGGCCGCATCCGCAACACCATAGACTGTGCGAAGCGCCTGAACCACGGAATCGAAATCGACTTCGACGTTCTGACATGGAATGGGCTCCGAAAGGTTCGATTGGTCCGCAGGAAGTGTTGCCTCATAGTGTCTGGATACGGGCGATACCGAGTCGGAGAGTTTTCCAATCCCCAGCCTATTAGCCAGCTTGATGCGAAGCGGCTTTCCGGCCTGGTTCTTTGGCACATCCTCCATGTAGACGATCGCAAAAGGCCATTTGGACGGATGGAGGTGGTCCCTGTAGAAACAGATTAGACGGCTTGATTTTGAACGAGAGGAGTTATGCTTACTTCAACAGATCCAAGAGCTGGTTTAGCCCGATTCGAGGTCTATCGGGTTCAGCCACGATGACTACACCGATAGTCTCTTGCAACACATCGTGTTCAATTCCAAATGCCAGAGTCGTCTGAGAAGGTTGGTGAGAAAATGTTGGATTAGAAAAAAAAACTACCTTAACGTGGCCCTTGGCTGCAGTGACAATAGCCTCCTCGACTTCAAAAGGTGATATAACCTCTCCTCCCTTGTTAATGATTTCTTTTGACCGACCCGTAATGAAAAGGTACCCCTCCTGGTCCATATGACCGCAGTCACCTGAATCGAACCATCCTTCGGTTGTAAATGTCGAGGTATCGAGGGCTTCGCCAGGTTCTACTTCGTAACCCTCAAACGTAGGTAGACCACGAACACAGATTGCCCCGGTCTTGCCGCGGGGTAGCTCATGCTCAAGATTGCTTGGGTCCCTAATCGACAGATGAGGTCCACATGCGACGCCCGAGCAACCAGGCCGGTCGAGTTGGTAACTGATGGGAGGTGAAGCAATTGGCATACATCTGCCGAGTTATGTTGTGAGGTAGGGACGAGGGGTGAGAAGGGAAGAACTTACTCGGTCATGCCATACGATGGAAGGATTACAGCCCCAAAGGTGGACTTTAGGCTCACCGCAAGGGACGGGAGGAGTCCACCAGCCGCATTAGCAATCATGCGTATTCGAAGGTCCCGCGAAGGAACGATCTCCGCGGGCTGTGAAGTAAGAATTGCATGGTGGATGGTCGGCGCAGCGTAATACCTGAGAATGAAGTTATTATGTAAGAATAAAGAAGAGAAAAGGGCCTCACCAGCTTGCTTGCAGATCGCGAGCCAGCGTCCAGAAGGCCATAGCATCAAACCCCGCACATATGATAGCACTTCCTCCAGAGAAAACGGGCTGGAAATGGGATTCAGACAAAGAGACAGTACATAAACGAAGCATCTAGTACGTACAGCGAGAAGGTTGCGGACAATACCACCGACATGGAAAAGAGGCATCATATTGACTGTTCAAATGGAATTTAGTTTTGATTCAGAGACTGAAAGAATATCCTTTACGGTTGACATCGGCTTCGCGGAGATCCCAAGACTGAACCACAGCACAGGTGCCAACGACGAGAGAGAGCAGCGAATAGGGAACGACCTTCTTCTTTCCACTGGTACCAGAAGTATGAAGAATCAGACTTTGGTCGGCCAAGCGATGGAGTTCCGTCGGTTGGCAAGGCGGCGTTTGAGTGGGTGAATTCATCGCAGCCATGTCGAATAAGCCGCAAGGCCCAGAAAAGCGTGGTTCAAGGAATACAATCTCGCAATCCAGCTCTTGTGCAAGTCGATCGAGTTCAAGACGTGACTTTGCGTCGCGTGTTGTAAGGATAACGCGTGCTCTTAACCGGCGAGCATCGTCAAGCAACTCTGTAGGAGTACAAGCGGCGTTGACTGGGGCAGCGGTATGGTAGGCAGCAATGGCAAGGAGGGCGACCGCGTTTTCCGGCCCAGTAGGGAGGGCGACCATCACTCGTTGGTTTGGAGAAAGTTGGCGCTTAGTGGGGAGCGCAAAGTGTTGGACGAATGAACGAAGTGTGTCGTGGTTCAGCGGTGGTCGTGAAAGATCTGGCGAAAAGATAGCAGGCGCCGATGTCAAAGGAATGCAGTCGAGGAGGGACACAATGTGCGAGTTGGAGACATCAGTGGCGAGGACGTCACCCAGTGAATCCAACGACGATGGCTGGGGGAGGCCACGAAGGAAGTCGAGGGGGATCATGGTGGGTGGGTAGAAGCGGCGAAGCAGACGCGATTGCATGGCATTTGAAGCCTTATGGTTTGGGTTGGTTCAAGTCCGGTTCACACAGATTACTCCATCAAAATATGGTTCCGCTGTCGGAAATTGCGGAAAAAATCGGTAAATCTATTCCGTAAAGTTGTCCGCGTCTTCGTCAGGGCTACCAAGGGCCGTTGGCTTGAGAATTCGCGGTAATGGAAGTGGGGGAATACCTGTTTTAGTGGCATAGCAGCGATAGTACCATGAGTTGTTCATAACAACCAGCGTGAACAGATCCAAAAGAGCACATGTCATCATTGAGAAATCACGCGGTGAAACCTATTTTTATAACCCAACCCTCAACGCTTGCAAGACATTGGAGACCATTGTGGGCAACATTCTCGACAACTTCCAACTCACACCTGACACAACCAATTCTCGTCAACTCTTCGAACAACTTCTTTGCGCGCGCCACTCGTGAACCTCCATCTCCCGATAGCATCTCAGTTTCCGTATCCTTCTCACCCACTATAACCTGCACCGGCACTCTAACAATCGCTTCCCAATCAACCGCGACCCCAAACAACTCGTCAATGTTACTGACACCCTTGGGCCATAAATGGTCGGTTACTGGCAGTGTAATTGATCCTGGAGCGCCGATGGAAACGCCGAGCAAGCGATAGGGGTACAAATAGAGAAATCGATGCGCAAACTGGCCACCTCCGCTGAAGCCATGGAGGAAAAACCGACCGGTTTCGATGCTCCAAATGCCGGCAGCTTGCTCAAGCATCGCCAACAGGATGTGGTCGAAGCGGATGTCATGATAGATGATGTTCTTGTAGTTGTGCAAGTCCGTTGGTTCAATGATACCAGCTGGAAACAATGGGCAGAGGACTGCAATGCCTTGTTTTTCGCTGAATGTCTTCAGATGGTTGATCATTCCGCCTACATTGCGTCTTGTTCCGTGAACCGCAACCAACAACGGAAGACGAGTGCCGTTAAATTTGTGTGCAGCAGGTATGTACAAGCAAAACGAGAATCTTGGGTCAAACGTGCTAGCAAAGAAGGGCGTTTTGCCGGAAAGTAAACGTTTGGCAGATTTGTCGAGCTCCACCATCGACATCCCGAAGAACGCCAGATAAGAGATGAGCAACCAACAGCAAGAATGGGTTGAGATCTAGAGTAAAACGAGGGACCCAAGAAGCAGGGGTGTTGGTGGTGGTGGTACTGGTAACCAGTCAACCTTCGTGAGAACTATGCTTGAAAGTATCGATATCTATGATTGAATTGTAAAGTAACCAGCACGTTGTCTCACTGGCCTGCTCACTGGCCTGCTCACCGGAAGCGACCATCGAACCAGCTCAATTTTATTGACTTGCTGTCCGCAGTTGAAACGCCTCCGGATTTTTTGTCGCCCGGCCTCACGCTACGGTTCCTTGTAACCATTGACTTGGGCTATCGTTCGACTCGGGCAATCCTACAATGCGCCCAGCGCCACCGCAACGAGAAACAGCTGCAGGTTGGTTCGTGGTGGATAGGCTCGGGTCGGCGATTCACACTTGCGGTACACTTACATACAGTCTTGGCCACCGTAACAACAGTCCGCTGCCAAGACCGCCTGATCTGCGGCCCGCGTGACACACCAAACGGACAGGTGGCGGTGCTTTGCCGAAAATGACAATCTAATCTGATCGCCGATAAGAAGATCCTGTCAAGACTTAAATGTTTGCTCAAACAGCTACAAAACTCTAAAATGTACAAGTACGATAAAGGCAGTAGCAGCATCTAGAGCCCGGCAGTTTAAGTTAAGTTTACTTTAAGTCTCCGTGTCAAGCAATCAGTGTTAACTCGCGGGTGCGCTGTTTGGCGAACACGTCTTTGTAAGTGTTCCATATGCTGAGGCATCAGTCAGTGTACGTCATGACAGGTGGAGTCGGTGGAGTGACGACGATAAGCAACACGCACCGTTCTAGCTCTTCGATGTAGAGCTTCTGCACGGACATCACTTCCTCGAGTGTTGGATTTTCGCTCCGTATGACAGGGATCGGTCGACCGACTAATTAGCCAGTGTTAGGCGAAAAGGTAAAGCAACATTATGAATACCACCACGCACTGACGGGTACTATCTGCCGTCGGTATGGCATCAAACCAAGATTGTCTACGAGAGTTTAAGTCGAGGACTTGCGTTGATATTTTCGACTCACAATTAAGCAGACCACGGCCATGGAAGAGAGGTAGGGTGAATCCAAAAACGGACTTGAACTTTTGCTGCAGTTTGTAGATGGTCGTCCCAGGTTCATTCGGCATTTGCTCGTAGATCTGTTTATTTTGGCAGCGTCAAGACCAAGATAGTAGCTTCAAGTGACACGGAGACACGAACGTCGTTTTCGCCAAAAGAAAAGACAGGAACCAGGTCTGCGCTGATAAAAGTTGAAAACACCGGCAGGAAAGAAAAAACAATTGACTGACCCATGACGAATAGCAAGCTTAATGAAGCCAAGGCTGGATTCAATCAGTGAAAGATGCTCCAAAGCGATACGAGGGCATACCGCCGCCTTAGAGTCAGATCTGCAGTTCCTGGGTGGGCGCTCAAACTTTCTGTCGCCCCACCGACGACAATGGTGATGGCTGAGCCAGGACCTGCTCGAAGAATAGTGGAGCAAGACCTTTTACTGACGCTACAGATGCCCATAGCAAGCAACATGTCACGGTATAATGGAATGTGGAAGTTGCTGGCGAGAGTGAGCAGATGCGGTCGGATACCAGGAAACGCTGTCGAAAACCCCGTCGCTGTGATTAGTTTAGTCCAAGTAAAGAGCGATGCATTATGGGAATTTGCACCTTCTGTCGCAAAAGTCGCAAGCGCACCCCTGATTTGAATTGTTAAAACGACCCTCCGAAATGGAAAGTGCATACATTCCAATGATACCTAAGTCTCATGAGAATGAGTAGGAACAAGGGCGAGGTATAAACGCACCGTGTGGGTGGTAGCCAAACACATAGGGTCGGTCGGGTGGAAGGTCGGCTTCCTGTCAAAAGACAGGCTGTCAAGCGAAATTTTTATCACGGGCGCGGAGACGCGCCTTGAGAAAGCTATAGATAATAACGCGGTTAGCCAAGCAAAGATAAAAGTACGGTGAAAACCATACGAAGCAGGGTAGTAGTCCGCAAAATAGGTCCACATCTTCAGGGAGCGGAACCATTGACTACTCCGGGTGCCGTTTTCCGGGCCATTGTCGATATAGTTCACCCAAACGTGATAGACGAGGATGAGAGGCCATAATGGAGGGAACGAGCTGAACAAGGGAGATCAGCAGTGTTGGAATGTATGAAAAGAGACATACCACAGGTACAAGAACAAGGTTGCACAAATCGGAATGGCTATGGACCAGAGGGCAACGGCAAGGGTCTGTAGGCGACGTTTTCTGGGTATACGGGCAGGCACGAAGCTTGACGACGATCAACTCCAGTTACGGAAGAAAACGGGGGAGTCGAACTCAATATTTGCCTGCAAGGCGGTTGCAACTTTTGGAACGATGGGCGCGGTAGTAAGCATGTTCAGCCTATCCTTGAGCGAGTTAGCGGAGAGTGATCGCGAGGCGTTGGAGAGCCGCCGGAGAGACATGGTGGCTCGGAAAGAGGCGCGTCACGATGATGGCGTGTTATCGCAACAGCCAAGTAAACAGGAGAGTTCAGTGAAGAGATAATGATGAAAGAATTTCTACGTGTAGCTAGCGAAATACATTTTAGGCATACAGATCATCATCCGCCGTCTCCTCGGTGAAGCCCGAATTTCCAGAGCTTGGGGCGGCAGCGTTAGCAGCAGCACCCTCTCCTTCTGGAAATTTGAAATTATTGCCGAAACCACGAGTTTGTTGAAGGTTTTGGGCGAACATTTCGTAGCGGCGAATATCCTGGTCTGACACTGACCGACGGGCGAACTTCATGGCCTCCTCGAAGTGTTCCCTGTGGAAAGTGAGTAAGTAAGGAAGCTTCATAAAAAAGATAACGGCTAACACTGTGATCTCCGGAACTGGGTCCTCTTCTTCAACGTCATCTTCGACCTTCATGGCATCGTCACCAGCAGCCTCATCAGCCTCCCGCTTTTCTCGCGCTTTACGAATATCGGCTTCGATACTAGCACGAATCGCCAGCTTCGCTGCACGCTGACAAATTTCTGTCAAGTCGGCACCAGAGAAGCCATGGGTGCTCTTGGCCAAGAAGTTCAAGTCGACTTGCGGCGCGACGGGTGATTTCTTCAAGGCTGCCTTTAGGATGTCCAGGCGCGACCTTTCGTCAGGGAGAGGAATGTAAATGAGTTGGTCAAGACGACCAGGACGTAGCAAGGCAGAGTCGATCTGGTCGGGCCTGTTGGTGGCACCGATGATGAAGACATTCTTCTTCGAGTTCATGCCGTCCATCTCCGTGAGGATTTGATTCAAAACCCGATCTCCCGCACCCCCAGCATCACCAGAGGATCCACCACGAGCCTTGGCAATAGAGTCCAACTCGTCGAAGAACATAACACACGGGGCAGCAGCGCGGGCCTTGTCGAAAACATCCCGGACATTGGCTTCCGATTCACCGAACCACATCGTGAGCAGCTCAGGTCCTTTGATTGAGATGAAGTTGGCATTGCACTCGTTGGCGATGGCCTTGGCCAGCATGGTTTTACCAGTACCGGGAGGGCCGTAGAACAAGACACCTTTGGATGGAGACATGCCATACTTAAGGAACTTCTCTGGATGTTCGACGGGGTATTGAACCGTCTCCTGCAGCTCGAGCTTGACTTTTTCGAGGCCACCAATGTCGTCCCATTTGACGGTCGGGACTTCGACAACAGTTTCCCGCAAAGCAGATGGATTTGAAATGCCCAAAGCGAAGCGGAAGTTGTCCATCGTCACTCCCAGCGAATCAAGGACCTCAGCATCAATCGTGTCCTCGTCGAGGTCAATGAGGTCCATCTTCTCACGGATTTGTTGCATCGCAGCCTCTGAGCATAGTGATGCAACATCAGATCCAACGTAGCCGTGAGTGTCAGCAGCAATCTGGATAGATGATTGAGATTAACAGTTTAACGAGGGGAAAAAAACAGTCTACCTGTTCCAAGTCTACATCGTCCCCAAGCTTCATGTTCTTGGTGTGGATGCGGAGAATCTCGAGACGACCAGTAGGGTCGGGAATTCCAATGTCTACTTCGCGATCGAACCGTCCGAATCGACGAAGGGCGGGGTCAATGGAATTCGGTCGATTCGTGGCGGCCATGACTACAACGTTGGAACGAGCTTTCAGTCCATCCATAAGAGTTAGAAGTTGGGAAACCACACGGCGTTCCACTTCTCCGTTCGTCTGTGTAGATTTTGAGTCCGAGTTGTGAGAAGAATTTGAAAAATGCGCACCTTTTCACGTTTAGGCGCAATCGAGTCGATTTCGTCGATGAAGATGATAGCCGGCGAGTTCTTCTCTGCCTCCTCAAACGCCTTTCGGAGATTGCTTTCGCTTTCTCCAGCCATCTTGCTCATGATTTCGGGGCCGTTAATCAGGAAGAAAAATGCACCAGTTTCGTTTGCCACAGCGCGGGCCATAAGCGTTTTGCCAGTACCGGGAGGACCGAACATGAGGATACCGCGGGGAGGCTTGATGCCGATGGATTTGAAGAGTTGCGGGTGGCGAAGAGGGAGTTCAACGAGTTCCCGTATTTGTGCCATCTGTTTGCGGCAACCGCCAATGTCATCGTAACCGACATCCGCAAGGTTGGACTCCTCGTCTTCACGTTTGACAGGGTCACCCTCTAATACCAAGAGTTAGCTTGCCAGAAAAAGAGAGAAAGCAAGCCGACTGACCCGTATGAATAACGGTGTCTTGGGCAACAATGCAAAACTCAGCTGGGTCCGTCTCGATAACCTTGAACTCGACTGTGCGCATCCCTCCACGGACAAGGAAAGTATCGCCCTTTCGGACGGGGCGGTAAGCTGTATCCCTTATTAGTAAACCCCACAGAAAGTCAAGTCTCTGCGGTACCTTCGAGGAAATATGGTTTGAGGTAGACCTCGAAAATGTTGCCGCTCAAGCCTTCGATAGAGTCATCGAAGGGGAGGATGTGAACGCGTTTGCCGTATTTGATGTCGAGGCAAGAGTGGACATTGACGAGGTCGCCTAACTTGACTCGCAAGTTGTTGCGAGCTACCTTGTTCATTTGGATACGTCCCTCCTCAACTGCGTCGTCCGAGAGACAGATGAGGACAGTATCCCTCCGCTTCTTCCCGCTGCGATGACAAGCTAAGTACGCGTCTGAGTAATCGAATGGATTACTTACCGAACAATGACTGTGTCCCCACGAAAGAGACCAAGGGTCTCCATAGTCGCTGGATTAAGAGTGGCGACTGAAAACAATGAGCTACAAGGGAAGGCGCCGTACACTAAGCATACCAGAGTTATCATCACTCGCTGCTTCATCGACTAATAAGCGATTCGGACTGAAAGCCGGGTTAGCAATAAACGCGCGGGATGGGAAAAAGAAACCTACGATTTCTTAGGTCTGAGAATGGCGGTAGATACATCGTCTGGACCCGGTTGGGGTGGAGCGCCGCTTGGGTCTGCCATTATTGTAGAAGAAAGTTGTTGGTGGAAGTGAAGAGAGGGACGCGCGGCCGTGACGTGACTAAAATATGGGTAACGTGGCTTCTGCCAGGTTCTGTGGGTTTCTCTACAAGCACAAGGTTATCTGTAGTCGATTTATATCTCCTCCTCGTCCAAATCTAACTCCTCTACAGGATAGTCCCCAACTTTGATTTTGTTTGGTCGCACAAATGCACCAAAGTTCGGTCGGCAAGTGAAGTATCGTTCACCGTTTACACTGCCGACGCGTAAACTTACCTGGTTAACGCGTTGAAAGTGAAGCACTCACGAGCCATCGTTTTTGCCCATAGGTTCGTCATATTCCACGCCAACCCAGACCCCTCCACCGGTTCCAAACTTGGTCGGACCCACAAACTGTACTCTGCCGCGTTTACTCAACCCAGGTTCGGTGGATTCAACTTCGCATCGTGAGCCAATTGGGATATCGACTTGAGCGGTAGCAACTTCTTCGGTCTCGCTTTTTGGTGCGAATCGCCCGACCTTGTTCTTCTGTTTATATGCCAGCACCGTATCTAGTCGTGATCAATCTACCTGAGGTGATCACAACTTCAGTTGGTTCATTACCTGTCCTGTTCGCATATTCCTCTTGACTCAACTCGAATTTATCTGTTTGGGTCACGTCTGTCAACTGTCCAGTCCACGAAGTCGATGGGTTTGTGTCGTCAACCTACAGCACGCTGTGGAATGGAAATCATAGATAATTGAAAATGACCGAACCTTGAGTACATGCCAATCGCGTAGGCCATAATACCCCACTGGACGCAAGTTATCATCCAGGGTTGCCACCACGGAACGATCCTCGAGAGAGCTGAGAATTGAAATTGCTTGGTTGGCGACTGGAACACCAGTGATCAACTCCAGCTTATTCTACAACACAGTCTGAGTCTTGCTTGATAACCAGGGCCTTCAAGACCTTCAGCTGCTCGACCGAAATGTGTGGATCGATGCGGCGCTCTGACCGGGTATCCGCCGAGACGACCCAAACATTTACAGTGGACATGATGGGTGAAGCAAAGAAGGTTGTTGATCCAAAACGGCCCGGGATTGTACTCTTGGAATCAGACTCTCATTGAACCCTTCGCCGACCCATTGCTGCCCAATTCTTTCCACCATTGCGATCCACTTCCATGTTCCCCCTTTTCTCTACGTCCAACCTTCTTGGTGATGACAGACAGCCCCGAACTGATTCCCTTACGCCCACCACCAGGAAATTGTTTTTCCGCTTTATTCTTCTTTTTGATCCTGGAGACAGGTTCAACCTCCTCTTCATCGTCACCTTTGCTGTTACCCGAGCTCTGATTCTTTGGTGGCCATGACGCGCTGTTGGCTTCCCACTGTTTCCGATGCAGTCGAAAAACCGCCATTGTTGCCCGAGCATCTGTAACCTACAGGATATGTCGGTGAAGATGACTCAAAAAGCTAAACGTTGAAACGTACGCTAGAGTGTTCCCCGCCCTGGATCGTAGCTCCAAGCTCTTGTTTTACTAAATGCCGAAGCGCAACATACTTGCTTTTGGAGACTTTAAATTTACTGGCGTAGACCTGCGTGTCCCGAGTGTACGGTCGTGGATGAGTAAGAAGAAGTGCCTTTAGATCGTTGTGGACCGCATGGCCGACGAGAATACAGTCCTTGATGAGTTCCGCTACTCGCGATTGGATCTCCGCAAAAGGCTTTGCTTTATTCATGGATAAGAACAGTGTCAAGAATTGTGAATAGTAAAAAAAAAACTGACCATGAATCATATCCGTCTCGCGCACTCCACTAAACTCGGTCCTGTAGTCTACAACACGTTCTCGTTGCTTGACAAACTCGTCGAGGAGAACGGCTCCGAAAAAGTTGACGATGCTAACCCGAGCGAGTGATGATTCGACTCCTTCAGGACCAACCCCCACCATCTCACAGTCTAAGGCAAGGTATTTCCCCGGCCTAATTAGATGAAGTTGAGATGCGTTGGGGGAAACTGAAGAGGGCAAACGCACTGTCGTTGCGCGTCTGTGTGCCCCATGTGCCCGAAAACCATTTCCCGCAAGGCAGACAACGATTCACTATTCTTCGAATCATAGCTCCCCTTTGGTTCCTCAGACTCTGATTCAGCTTCTTCGGTGGACTTGATGGCGGAGACTGGGCGTTGGTTGGAAGATGATTTTGGACGCAAAGAAGATGAAGAAGAGGAGTGTTCGATTTTACGGCGTTTTCTAGGCTGATGGTCGACAGACTCGGCTTTTCTTGCTGGCTTAAGCTTCTTTTGAAGTGCGAGCCAGTTTGACGAAGCAGGGACTGAAACGGATTTCTTGCCAGTGGACATGGTGTGCAACAAGCGACATAGTAACGATGTGACAGAACGCGATTTTCAACTATTTTACGCTTTCACCTTCATCCTCGAGCAGGGCCAGGGAAGCGGAAACGCGGAGCTGTTTGAGACGCTCATCCCCTGCCTTATCGACATAGCCCAGACGCTCACGACGGACTGAAGAATAGGCGTCATCGAGGTGGTTGGCGTACATGTCCAACATAGCGTATATTCCGTCCATCCCTTGGGAGCGCAGTTCCTTAGCGGCCAGAATCAGCTTCTTGTAGCTTGTCTTCTTGAACTCCTCCACACGGAGTTCTTCCGCCAAGACACGGCCAACTAGATTCCGCCATGGACAAGTGATCGTCAACGCGTCCCAGTCGACAGTCATTCCAGGAATCTAAAACGTCTGGCAACTTGTTTTTTTTTTTTTTGATTCGCTCTGCTTACCTGCACATCATGAACCAACATGCAGACCTCAACATCGGGAGGGCTGGTAGCCTTGCAAGCCTTTATAAAAGCTTTGCGGTGCTCCTCTGAAGAGTCTGAGGCGAAAATAGCGTTGTCGCCGTCCATCCGAGAGAATTCAAACGCTCCGCCCAAAAGAACCTTGTTCAGTCCAGAATCGCGCTTCAAGAAAATTGGAGTATACTTGTATCGAGATTAGTGCTACTCACCGTCATGTAGCCACGATAATGGAAGGCAGCGTTAGGAATCCAGCGCTTTTCAGCCAGCTCAAGAATATATTCGTTCCAAGCCTTGCAAACTGTCCTTATATGAGCAGACACGCTAAAATGGGCCTCAGTCCTTACCAAATCTATACGAGCCCCAAGTGCATTGAAACTGCGATGTCTCCAAGGACAAGATCAGTCTCTGGAGTTCGAGTGGCAAGGCAAGATGTGGCGGCATTGGCGTGAACGTTCTTGGAATATCGGAGTCGCTTCCATTATCTTCAGAAAAAACCTCTGCTTCTTCACTGCCTTCCTCATAATCGTCATTGTCGAGCTCGCCGTCAGGATCAGCCATATCCGATGAGGTGTGATGTGTCACCAGATTGCCGTGACCGCCGTGTCCGGACCGTTCGGGCCTGGCAGGGTCGCTTTTAACTGCCAGCTGGTGCAGGGAATGGCAGACGAGAACCATGTCTTCTTCTTTCGCGTCCAACCCACTGCAGACAAAAAATGATTTGTCACGGTTTCTCCTCGGCCTCCTCGATCCTCTCGCTTCACATACGTCTCCAGGAGGGGCGCGCATTCACTTAGGCCACACCGCAACCCATTATGACGAAACGGCTGCCCAGCTCGAAGGGTTTTCGCGCCCAATATGGGGACTAGCTTCCTTTCTCGCTGGTGGAGGGGAGTACCCTGGAACTCACCGCTGGGTTGATGGTCTCCAAAATGGGTGCGATCCTACTCACAACGAATTTTGGGGTGACATGCGCGACAAAGATCAAAGAATGGTCGAGTGTTCTGCCCTCGGATTCGCTATTGCCGTTGCCGGGAAGAAGTTATGGGACCCTCTTAGCCCAGAGGCGAAAGCTAATGTGGAACGATGGCTTGGGGGAATGAACGATAAGGAGATGCCCAACACGAACTGGCTCTGGTTCCGCGTGCGTTATTTTGAAACACTTCTCGCGCGGAGTATCCTCTGAAAATCCCATGCAGGTCTTCGCTAATCTTGGTTTGTCTCGCGCCGGCTCCCCGAGATTTGTAATCATTTCAGTCGTAACCGTTGAGCAGAGTATCTGATCAACATGCATGCCAGGATGCAAAACGCATGAAGGCGGACATGGACCACCTTGACACATTCTATATCGGCGATGGGTGGTCTCGCGATGGTCCTGAAGGCGTTGTTCAACTCGATTACTACTCTTCATCATTCGCGATTCAATTCGCGCAACTGGTCTATTCTAAACTGATGGCCAAAGAAGATCCCATTCGCTGCGAAGAGTACCGCAACCGAGCGCGACAATTTGCTTTGGACTTTGTTCATTATTTCGATTCGGAAGGTATGGGTCCACGATTTAGTGGCATTATTCTCAGTCCTAACTCTGCATATTCTAGGTCGGGCGATTCCATTTGGACGCAGTTTAACCTATCGCTTTGCCATGAGCTCGTTCTGGGGGGCTTTGGCGTTTGCCGACGTTGAGCCGCCAGCACCATTGACCTGGGGTGTCATCAAAGGACTCCAACTTCGCAACCTCCGCTATTGGACCAAACAACCTGGAGCCTATAACTCGGACGGAACTTTGACGATTGGGTTTTGCTACCCCAATCACAACATGACGGAAAACTACAACTCTCCCGGCTCTCCTTACTGGTGTTGCAAGTCATTTGTGACTCTGGCTCTTCCCGAAACCCACCCATTTTGGGCGGCTGATGAGGAAAGCTATCCGCCTTCGCTTCTTGATACGGTGAAAGCCCTGAAGCACCCCCTTCACATTGCCACCAACCTCGGCGGTCATTTCTATATTCTTTCTTCAGGGCAACAATGCTCTTATCCCGTCAAGCAGGGCGCTGCAAAGTACGGGAAGCTAGCATATTCTTCAGCGTTTGGCTACAGTGTTCCGGTCGGAAGCGGTACCCTTGAAGAGTTGGGTGGCGATAACACACTAGCGTTGAGTGACGATAGCGGCGAAACTTGGAAATGCAGACGGGACACGCGAGAAGCTCGTTTCGAGGGAGCTGGTCAAGGATGGTTGCGTTCAATGTGGTATCCCTGGAAAGACGTGCAGGTCGAAACTTGGCTTGTCCCTCCCACCCCAGCCGCCCCACTATGGCATCTGCGAGCCCATCGTATCAAAACAGGGCGAAATATTTGGAGTGCGGAAGGTGGCTGGGCAGTCTACGGACAACGACCAGACGGCCGCCATTTGGATCCTTCGTCAGGAGAGGAATTTGGTACTCTGAGCGAGTCTGGAGCAGCGCGAGCTACTTCAAAGGCCGGTGTTTCCGGTATTGTCGATATGAGCACCACCCAAAGTCTCAGACCTGGCGTTGCGCTGAGAACGGATGCGAATACAAACCTGATATTTGCTCGTGCTGTCTTACCAACCCTACGCGGTGAGCATGAGGCTGGGCAAGCTGATATATGGCTCATCACAGCTGTGTTTGGACTCCCTTCTGTCGGAGAAGCCAACGGCGCCGCTGCGGGGTGGACCTCAGAATGGGACAGACGGCCTGTCGTTCCGGAAGAGATTCTTGCATTGATGCCCTGAAAGTAAAATGTACAATAACTATCCCAATCAGTTTTCCAACCTAACAATGAGCTCGAGTTCCGGTTGTTTTGACGGTGCCTCTTGGACGAGGACTATCTTGTCTCGCTCGGCTCCCGCTGAGCACGTCAGGTAGCAATATTCGCAGGGGGTTTTGCCAGACGGAGGTGATGGTTGTGGATGGGCAGAACTGGTCCGACACCAACGAAAATCACAGTCGAACTATGAAATATTAGCGGAAGGATTAGGTAACCCTAAGCATAAGTACCCAGCTGTAGCTCGACTCGTCGACGCGCCATTGTCGCACATAGATGTCACAATACATCGTAAACCGTGCGTGGCACATCCGTTTCCCTCGAGTGAGAGTCAACCTCAAGTCGGGAAAACACGCACCCACAGTGACACACGTCTGTTGTTGAGATGGTCACAACGGACATAAGTATAGATTCAAAAAATGAGAGCACTAGGGGGGGTCCTTTGGCTACAGCAAGGCTATCAACAAGCTAAGAATGGAAGCCAGGGTAAAACTGATAACATTGTTGTGGTCAACTGCAATGGCGGCGCGATTTGGAGCCTGAGTACCACTACTCGATGGCGTACTTCCGCTCAAGCTAGCCGAAGAAGGGCGTGGGCTGCTGAGACTAGGACTGATAGGTGGCGGTATAACAGTGGGTCCATTGGATGTGACAGACACTTTGGTGGTGAATGTCGTGGTAAATGGTGGTGAGATTGAGGTGACAGTCGTCGTAACAGTGATAATTTGAGAAACTGAGTTGGAAGATGACGAAGCGGGAGGAGACGAGCGAGATGCAGATACTGATCAGCCCATGAAGACAGCGAATCAAGATAATTGGATCAGACTGACCGGGACCACCACCGACTGGACTGCAAAGTTGCTCGAGAATGTCGGAGACCTTGGTTTGGTCTGCTTCATTACAAGATGTGGCACCAGCACATTGCAGCACTGTCGATGCAAACGAAGTTTTGCACAGACACACAGCATCGGTGCTAGTAAGGTGAGTTGGCTGTTTCAAACCGTCCAGCTGTTTCGACCCACGTAGAGCAGCCGACTTTCGTTGCAGCTTGATTTGCACAACCAACAGCGCATTGCGGAAGTGCTGACACTTGGGCTTGAGCTAAGCCAGACACAATAAAGAGGACAAGTAAGACGCTAGCCATCGTCAAGAACTCCAAGGTTGTGGAGAAGCGAATATGAAAGACTCATGACTTGCGTGGTGGTCAAGAACGGATCACTTGCTCACTCACGGGCACGTGCTACTCTAGTGATCGCGCCAAAAATATCGTATCGCAAGAAAAATATGCTACGGAGCGACAGCGTACCTCGGTTCCTACACACCGACCCAGAGTAAAGACAGATGGTTCTACATCCCGTGATGCCAAAAAAAACGGAAGGAAGGATGGAAGTCAACTCACGACAATGATTGGTACACGGGTTGAATTATTCGGGTGGTCATGCGGCGTAAAAACAAGAACGAAGCGTAGAGGGAAGCAATCTAGTATAATGAACTCACTCCAGTCAGTCCACGAACATTCGTTCCGTGTGTAGTCCCTCTGAGTATGCCACACTTTCGAAGATGATTTGGCGCCAGACCGCAATTGTGACTGCCACGGCCTCTTCCTCCAGAACCTGCGGAAAAAGATAAGATCTTAATGATCAGAGCTAGCCACAAGACACACCGGTTCAAGACCCTCAATCAATTTGACCGGCCCTTTGTGATCCTTCAAGTGTTCAACCACAAACATGATTAGCTCCTCCGCCTCATCCACATCGCCAAGGTATTGCGTCATCAGTTTCTTCACAAGTGGCTCGAACTTCCGGTCAATTGTGCTCTGAATAGACTCAGTAAAGAAACTACAAGAAATGGATTGTTGGCTTACATCAGACATTCCGTCCCATCGAACTGGTGCTTTGAACAGGACATCTTTGTCTGAAGGTACGTTGGCCTTGATGCTTTCTAGTCGTTGCTGTATTTCTTCTGGCGTAGCCTCTGCTGCACTGAAGTCCAGTTTGACCAGAGGTACTTTGCGTTTCCGCACTGTTTCCTCCTCATCCTCTTCCGCGCCAAACACACCCTCCCGTTCTTTTGTTGCTTCGTCCTTCTTAGCTACCAATGCGCCTAATGACACATTGAGCTTAACAGGAGCCCCGTCTTCAAGTAGCATTCCCGCCCGACGCTGCTCTTCCATCAAAGCTTGCATTTCACCCATTTGCCGAGCAAGAAAGTCTTCGCTCTCGCGTGCAAGATTTGCTGCTTCTTCTTGTTCAAACGCGAGACTTGCTGCATCAGCGCTTTGTTCTGCCGTCAAGTGTCGGGCCCGCATAGAGCGCCATCTGGCCCGATCTGTGTAGAAGAAATCGTCACTGTCGTCGTCGTCCCAGTTATCCAAACGTGATCCCATTTCTATCCGATCTCGAGCCTCTGCCTCGGCAACATTTCGTTGCCGAGCTATAGCACGCTCTAATGCATTTATTCGAGCGCGCTCACGTGGTTCATATCTTCTTTCCCGCTGGTTTGGTCAGTAGGCGAGTTCAGAAAACATATTGCAATGATTACGCACGTCTCGAAAAGATGCCTCTTCATCCCGTCGACGGCCCTCTTTCCTTTCCGCTTCCAACTCCTCGTCCGTTGGCGTTGCCCGTTTCGTTGTCTCTTGTTGACGCACAAATTCCACCGGTTTGCTATAACTTTGTGCCCCTGTACCCATTCCCTGATCTCTGGATGGCGCACTGCTTTTCTGCTGCTGTTGCTGCTGCTGTGGGAGGGCTTCATCCTTTTGGCGACCCCACTCGCGCATTTTCGGCCCACTCGGTGTGATACTCGACAGTGTTTGTTGTTGTAGTTCCCGCAGTTTTTCTCGTTCTCGTTTTGCCGCACGTTCACGAAACTGAGCGATCTCGGAAATAACAAGGCCGCGTTGGGTTTCAGGGAGGTCGGCTTCTTGGAGGTCGTGAAGGTGTGGGGGGATGACGTACTTTTCCTTCTCTCCTCCAGCTGCAGCCTGTCGAGTTATGTCGGCGACAACTGCATCGATGCTTGACTTGGATGACTGGGCAGCAGCAGGGTCCAGTGGCCGAGTAGATGCATAAGCGTCAAGAAAGGCGCGAGAGTTTTTTCGTCTGCTTTTATCTGGGGATGATTTCAGCAGAGTTAGGGCAAAAAGAAGGATAGAGGCTACCAATAGTTTCTTGTTCGCACAACCGTCCTCTAAAGCAGGAAGTTCGACACCATTTAATAATGCAAGAGCACGCAATGCCCCATCGGGTTCCTCGAATTCTGCAAAGCCAAAGCCCTGAGGCTTGTTGGCCGGTGTGATAAGACGTTTAAAGGACTTGATTGGCCCACATGCGGTGAGAAGTGCATTCAGTGTCGTGTCGGTTATTCCTCCCGAAATGGACCCAACAAAAAGTGTCGTCTGCTTTTGCGGCTGGTTCTGAGCCTGCTGCTGGTAAGCAAGGGCTGATATCGATGGTCCCTGGCCATACGAAGGCAAAGGTGCCCGCAGACCAAGCCCGAGCCGATTGGGTTGTTGCATGGTTGGGTGAAGTAAGGAAATCCAAGTCACACCTATAACTCTTTCCCTGATTACTCACTACTCATCTCCAGAGTCCAAGGCTTTGCTGTTGCGACGATCTTATCTATTCCTTCTGTAATAGTAAAGCTTTGTCCAAGTAGTAGGTCATGCAATAAAAACACCCCTCGATCAAATATTCGACCCACCACAACTCTTCTTTTACCGTCATCCTCCTGTTGACCAGGATTGATTCATCGTGATTACCTGTTTACCTACTGCCTACCCGCCGTCTACAATTCACTCAAGTAACCTTCCCGCTATGCTTGCCTCGACTATCCTCGCTGTCTCATTTGCCTCGTCACTTGCTGGTATTCCTTGCCTAGTCGACAGCGCAGTACTTCCAGCTCGCCCGCCCCAGCTTGCCTCCCCCCAACTTCTGCACCGCGCGGCCACCCAAAGTCAAGATATATTGAAGAGTGCTGCTATAAACGAGTTCAAGCTCTCAAACCATGTGCGTCCCTATACCTCGTTCAAGGCGAGCTGTTTATTCTATCATCAGAGCCGCCAAAACGTTCAAGCGCATCCCGCTGGCAAGAGTCGCAGACAACTGGCGGTACCTTACGGTGAACTTGGTCGAGTTGATATTACGGTGCGATCCCAAGGAGTTGATTTTACGCCATCTGACGCTTCTGCAGACGCCTAATAATGGGACAGATTTAGTCGTCGGACACTTGGTTGCCAACATTTCGTCAAATCCTATTACCCTCGATGCATCGTCTTCCAAGTATACGCAGCTCGAATTGTGGATTTTGAACTCTGACAGCAACCGTTGCTCATTACGAATGTCTTCTGAGGACGAAATTCTTTGCGCTTCGTACAACCCCACGTCTTCTGAGCCCGAGCCCTTGACAATGACTATCTGCGTCAACTCCAGCACCACCAATATTTCCTCTGACGAACGGAGTCAAACCTTCTCCTATGATCAGTCAACGGGAATAGTCAAGCCCATCTGGGTCAGCTCCAATACCACCGGTTCTGAGTCGAACTATGACGACGAGAGCGATGCTGCCGATGTAATCCTATTGTAACCCGTTTTGGTTCGTTTCTGACATTCTCAGGAGGAGGACGATGCCGATGACACCTCCCTGGATGCTCGCGATGTTCAACAGCCTATAACTGTCTTTCTGAAGTTTGTTGTCGAGTCTGGGCCAACTCCAAATGCAGCGGAGGCAGTAACTTCAACATTTCCCGATGATTCCAGTATCACAAGTGTTCAGTCTACGTTTACCACATCATCGTCCCCTACAGACACGCTTATTGCTCAAGCAGTGATGTCCGACTCGCCGAGTTTGTCAGACTCCGGCTCTCCTTCGCCAATGGTTCCTCCAACGGCCTCCTCAGCAAGCGTGACTGCAAGCGCGATGAGCCAACCTTCCGTAAATAGTATGGACCAGGTGGTTTTCCTCGGTGCCTGAACACCCAAGTGTCAAGTGCAATTGTACTTATACCAGAGTAGCTCCAAGTTGTATTCTGCGTTTTTTAGAACAAGCATCTTCACGAAAAAAAAAACAACTCACAATCAAGCTTGTCCATAGATTACCTTTTTTGGAAGGTTCAGTCAAGCCACTTCGTGACCATGTCTTTCCTTACCACCAATGTGGATGATATTATATGTTCTTCTGCTTGGTTTCTTACCCATCTGCGTCGTATTTCCAAGACATCCCACGTATGCAAGACCTCCTCAACTTGCACTGCTCAAGCTACAAAAATGTCGTTCACGAAATCCTTTGTCTTTGCAGCGATTGGGCATTTGGGGTGCTTCGCACTGCCGTGAGATCTACTTTTTATCCCGTCTCTTCAATCATCGACATGGAAATACTAAAAGACAGACAAACACAGTCTCAAAGATTCAAACGCTCTACCTCTAACCTTGGGTGGCATTCGGACCGTTGTGCACACGCTCGTACTCATAGGGCTCCGGGTGAGAAGCCCCCGATAGACTTTGCCCAAATCGACTATAAATTCCGCATCAACACACCTTCCTTACATCACCATGCCCTCGACAACTGCTAGTGAAGAGCCCTACAAGTATGCTCACCTTATGCTCGTCTATTCCACCACCAAATATCCCCCTCTTGAACCCTTTGAGTCTTGGCTGAGGCAAACGTGGTAGAGCTGACGCCAGAGTTTGGTTCTGACATACGCGGCTGCAACCTCGCAACCCTCAGCCCCGATCAGAAAGATCAGCTTGCTCTGGAGGTCATACTTGAACCTTTAGTCTACATACTCAACATAACGCTTGATTAGATCGCACGTCGAGGAGTCATCGTCTTCCGCGATCAAGTCGATTTCATCGACCGAGGTCCTCATTTCTATGGTGCAGGGGGGCTAGACGCCGCCTGTTTTGGACAGCTGACTAAACAGCACAGCCACCGCTCATAATCTCAGACCACCGATTTTTATTTACGTAGGCCTGCGGGCAGAGAGTGGACGGACGTCAATTAAATTTTCACTCAATTACTACTTCATGGTCTATGGGCTATACTCGATTGCGAAAGCGATATGTAGACGCAGCTTCGCGTGCACGCAAAGGTCGTATGCGACAACAGCACGAAGATGTCCCAGAGCAGACCGAGGTACTGGATCTGACACTGTCAGATGAAGACGACGAGCCGCACGACAAGGACACAACAACTTGGCAAGGCGGTGTGTCGCATCATCTGAATGAGTGGTCAGACACGGAGTGGGAGTGGGAAGATGATAAGAAAGATGAGGAAGAAAGCGGGGAAGAAGACGAGGTCGAGGTCATCAGCGATGGTACAGAGACTTTGGAATGTCTGAAGCATCAAATGCAAGTGGAAATGAATGCGATTAAGCAGCTCACCTGGAAGGACTTGGGTCTCATGCAGACGCGGAGCAAGCAGGAGTGGCGGGACTTGACGAAGAAAACTTTGGGCGGTGTTATTCGGACAAAGGGTGAGCCAGCAGACAGCACCCAACGGCGGCATCGGCAACTCGAGCGCGAGGCTGACATAACAGCAACAAGCAGCAGAAAAAGGTCGATATATTTCCTGGTCTATTGGAAAACAATCTGAAAGTTATGCAGTAATTCAGCCAACTCATTTCGCAATTTCTTTGGAAAGAAATATACCCCAGCAGCCGAGCCTCCCGCTCCTGCGCCTTCCCAAGTACCTGCCTTATCTCTCCCTCCTCTGCCAATAAATCTCTCGTCGCTGGGTCTTCCGCCGAATGCACTGAAGGCATTGCAAGCACAATATAGGCGCTTTTCGACCACAACCGCCACTGGGTCTGGCTCATCTGTACCGTCTTCCACGACAGCGCCATCCCCAACGAGTTCTGTTGAGCTTCTCGACTCTCCTCCCGTGCAAACTCCCGGCGTGCTGGACGATGATGCTGACATCTTTATGGGAGGATACGTGTCTGATTTCGATGAAGAAGAATCAGAGAGAGAGGCGAGTGACGACGACGACGACACACCTTCTGAGATTCCACGAGTCTCAAGCACTGCTCCACCCCGAAAACGTCAGAAACTTGCTATCCCTGCCCGAGAAATGCGACGCAGAGCAAAAAAGGCCAAAGTCGAGCGTTTTCAAGAGGGCTTGACACGGATTAGCAAGCTGATTGTGTCGAAGAGGACAGAGTTTGCAGGGGGGCTGCATGGTCTGCAGTCAACGCGAGCCCGTGCCATCGAGAGCTGCTTGCGAATGGTGTTGGATAGTGGTCGCACATTGACAGATGCGTCAATGCGGTCAGCGGAGAGTCACGGATTTGCTGCCGATTGGGGAGGCCGACTTCTCCGTATCTGGATTCGCATATGGTTGGATCAAGGCTCGCTACCGTTGTCAGCTCGAGGGTGTCATGCGAAGACACTGAGCATTCTCGATGACCCAATATACCGCGACGAAATTCTCTCGTATCTCCGTTCTCACAAATGGGCCACAAACCCCGAGAAGTTCTCTGCCTTCATCCAGTCCAACCTCATCACAACTGAGTCCCAGAAGTATCTGCGTGAACTCATGGAGGATGAGATTCCAAAAGCCTTTCGGAAGTATGTCATCAACACACTTTTTCCACGAATAGGCGTCAAGGTTGGGCATGGCTGTACGATTTCGTTGAGAACGGCACGCGAATGGCTGGCCAAGTTTGGTTGGAAATATCAGGAGCACAAGAAGGCACTGTATTATGATGGACACGAGCGTCCAGACGTTGTTGCCTATCGCCAAGATGTCTTCATTCCCAAGATGCTTGAATTCAAGAAAAGACTTGTCGAGTATGTTGTTGGGGATGTCGAGCGACAGGTTGAGAAGCAAGAGGTGGGACCAGATGGCAGGATGCTGGTCTTGGTACCGCATGATGAAGTAACTGCACAAGCAAACGATGGTCAGAAGATGAGCTGGGGACCAGAGGGAGAACAACCATTACGAAAGAAAGGGAAGGGAAGGGGATTGCATTATAGTGGGGTCATTTGTTCCACGTTTGGACATCTGAAAGAGGCGGGAGAGATAATGGAATATGGCAAAAATTATGAAGGGTACTGGAATGGCGAGCGGTTTGTCAAGCAGGTGTGTATTCAATTCAGCTACAACATTGGACTAACGCCGAAACACTATAGCTCAAGGAAAAAATCATTCCTGCCTTCGAGAAAGCACATGGCCCACGATATCAAGCTCTATTTCTCATCGACAACTCCCAAGGGCACTCGGCTTATAGCGAGGATGCTCTTCTCCCTCAGCGGATGAACCTCAATCCAGGTGGAAAGCAAGCACGAATGCGGAATGGGTGGTACACAGTGAACGGCCGCAAAGTGATTCAGCCGATGAACTATCCAAACACACATCCAAATTCAGCACTGCGTGGGGTCCAAAAGGGAATGAAGGCGGTTTTGGAAGAGCGAGGCAAATGGCGTCATGGGCTTCTGCGTGAATGCAGGTCGCTTTGCGAGACAGAGCGTGTTGATTGCTGCTGTCGGCGGATCTTGGAGCTCGAACCTGACTTCAAAGCCCAGCGATCTCTTGTTCAAGAAACAATTGAAGACGCTGGCCACCTCTGCATCTTTTTGCCCAAATACCACTGCGAGCTCAACCCGATTGAGTTCTTCTGGGGTGCCACCAAACGGTTCCTTCGTGAACGATGTGATTATACATTTGATGGTCTCAAGTCCACCTTTCCCGAGGCTTTGGAGTCTGTTTTGGTTTCGACAATCCGTAAATGGGAGCATCGAATGTGGAGGTGGATTGCAGCGTACAATGGTGGACTGGACTGCAAGAGGGCACAGGCACAGGTTAGAGAGTTCAGTTCTCGCAAGTACAAGTCCCATAGACGAGTACCAGAGTCTCTGGAGAGGAGCTTAGACACATAGCTATTGTTTATTAGCCCATACGACACGCGTAAATGGTAGCTGATGTAATGCACGTGATATTCACGTGATAGCGCTCATATTGAAAGTACTAATTTTTTATTCTTTGGGTTTTAAGAAAATCTGTCTAGTGGGATTGTAGTACTATCCAATCTAAGTGTTTTCACTAGAGGAATAAGAAATTGATGATCACGTCATCGAGCTCATCGACTTGTCCAAAACAGGCGGCGTCTAGCCCCCCTGCACCATATGCCGACTGGGGTCATCATTTTGGTCTACTGCATGTTATTTTTCTACTTTTCTCTACCCCAACCTTGTTATCAGGCACATTTATCCCACTTCCGGGCATCCTGAAGGCCATGCAGAAATTCATTTGGTCTACAATGCTGCCTTCATGTTCCAGTCACCCTTTAACATTCAACAGAGATGGCAACTCTCGGTTTAATCTCGATGGCCTCACAACTACCGTCTGGCATTCGGGTAAGCAATACTTAGCTTGTGTCAGCAGTTTAGCTAATATCCTCACCAGATTTCTCTTTTGAGCTCCAGCCTCCCGGTTTGCCCACCTTCTTCCTTCTCTCTTAACACAAGACAGGTGGTGACACCCTTTATTCGTCGCAAGTTCTCAACTTCCGGTCTCTATCCCCAATCATGAGAGATTTCTTGCGTACGCTTAAGGCAACCCATTCTGGCTTCGATTCTCTACGATCTACTAAGGGTGGTGTTCTTCGTCGAGATGCTATCGAAACAATTCATCCCGTTGTTCGCTGCCATCTGGTCACTGGGGAAGAAGCGCTCTATGTCAACAAGCAGTTCACTCATCGGATCGCTGGTATGAAGGAGGAATCTGGTCAGTCCTTGGTTAGCCATGAATAAACTCCCACTTTTCTTATCGTAGACTTGCTGCTGAACTTCCTCTACGACCATATCGCAAAATCGGGAGATCATCAAGCTCGTATCAAGTGAGAGCCTAGCTCAATGGTAGTTCTGCAGTTGAAACCCCTCGGACAGTCTTGACGATAAACTTAGGACAATAGAGTGACCGCCCATTCAGCTATGTCTGATTACGCGCATCTGAAAGCGCGTCGTCACGGAGCCCGTATTACTCCTCAGGCTGAGCGCCCCATCCCTGCATTGGTGGGGTAAATGGTTTAAATGGCTTGGGTCTCTTGAAGTTGTTATTCTGTAACGTGTGAAAGATAAAATTGATGGCATCTGTTGTGACCTCGACGGGTTTACTCTTCCTTATACGACTTTGACGTCTTGTCCATCATCGTCGTTGCTCACAGCGAGCTCGACTGCCCACACTCATTAACCCTACACTCCTTCCCAACAAACTTATTGCGTCAATGCTTCGTGCAAACCATCACCGTCTTGCTCGCGATTTATCTGACTTGTTTCCCTTCGCCGACCCTTCAAAGCCAAGTAGTCCACCTGCAGGTGGAGACGGTGGGAATAAGAGCAATAGCGGTGAGCTCTATTGGCCGCATCCTCGAGCTCTGTACTTAGTCATATTAATTGCAGCTCCTCCCCAACAACCCAGTTCATCACCCCCCGCCCCAAGCTCCACTCCTTCCAAGGGCAATAACAATAATGATGGGAAAGAGCAGAACAACAATCAGAGTTCAAGCCCTCCGCGCTCGACGACAACATCGACCCCAGAACCAGCATCAAAGACGTCTAATTTGACGCAGTCGACTTCGACTCCCCCACCCTCGTCGGCGTTGCCATCTAGCACCTCTCTTAAGCCTTCTAGCACCTCCAAGACGACTCCCATTGTGGCTGGAAATAATGTTTGTGTTGTGCTTGACTGTTTACGGTACCCCTGACCATCCTTCCAGGTCAAGTCCCAAACCGACAGATTCTCAACTCCCGTCGGCGACCTGGGAAGCATGACCACTGCTCCTGGAATATCCGAATCCCCTTCGTCTAACCCAGTCGGCGCTTCCGGGGACATCAACGTTGGTGCTGTCATCGGTGGTGTTGCTGGCGGTATTGCCGCTGTTGCATTGATATTCTTCGTCTGCATGTTCTTCATCGTGTGTTCTGTCCCCTTTTTTTTCTTCTTTCTGACTCGTTTCTAGCGCCGAAGACGCAACAACAACAGCGACGAGTTTGACCCCGTCTCATTCCGCAAATCGGCTTCAATGATGAACGAAACTTCTGACCCGTTCAACCCTCGTCCTCCGACCATGATTGAGCGCAAACTTACTGGCCATAATGTTGCCCCATCGGTGTCCAGTTTCCAAGGAGCTAACATGGCTGGCGCTGGTGCTTACAGCGGGCACGGTTCAGACGAAGGACATCAATATGACGTATATCAGCAACAGCCCTACCAAGCCCACCAGCCGATCCAACCTCGTCAGCAGTACACCTATGGTCAAACTTACGATAACGGTGCCTACGGACCAGAAGGCTCTGACCACGGCCATGATGTGGAATATAATGGTCCTTATAGTTCTGAGCCTCATGCTCAAGACATTTACGCTGCCGAGGCGTATGCCTACCCCCACGATGATCAAGTCGTTGTCAGTCCTGGCATGCACTCACAGGAAATGGGCCACTACAACCACCAGCAACAGCAGCATGACGCTTATGGCGGAATGTAATCACAGGCAACTTGATTTTGATTCCGGCCCGGTGTCGCTTCTCTGCTGGCCTGGCTCTGCCAGCAAGTTCTTTCAATTATACCTCCTTAACCCACCCCGATTGAACATATGCTGGATCCGGTTATGCAGTGTTGTTTCACACCCCCCAGACTGTTCACAAATACCCTTAATTTTCTCGACACTGTCCTGTTCATCTACTTCTTGTTGTTTTCATCTTCCCCCCACCCTGCCACACCTAAACTGTACGGATATGCGCTCTTGTAACCGTGGAGCGACAGCCACGAACTTGTCAATCTATGCATGTTCTTACCTCTGCTTCTGTTAGGTCTGAGTCAAAAGTTCAAAATGACGGAGCATCCGATGGTCAGTAAGCGCTCGTAAGCTGTCATAATTGATGTTTTCAGGTGGTGGACGAGTCAGCGGCAGAAATCAACTTGGGAGAACAGCGAGCTGCGCGACCGAAAATCGTCATCTGCCGGCTCCGTCAAGATCGAGGTATCCACTCGAGTCTATGTTTTGCCACTCTGCAAATGTTTAAAAGGCGCAGAACTTCACACTCTAACATCTTGACTGCAATGACCTCCCGCTCCAGCTCTACTGCCTCGCTTATCTCCCAGACCACAGCGTCTTCTCATCCCAAATCTGAGCCCAAAGACTTTGGTGCCGCATTCAGCTCTCTCCAGTCGATATATGGCTTTGGAGGGACAACACCAAGCCCTGTGCCAAAGTCGACCAAAGGCCGTGGTGATCAGCCTCGGTTCGCTGGTCCTGCCACCACACTAAAAGGCGAGGTCACAGAAGCCAAGCCAAAGGAAACGACAAAAGACTACGGCGGTGCACTTGCCGAGCTCCAGTCGTCATTCAGCTTGAATGGGAGTGCCCCTACCACTATCCCTTCCAACTCCAAGTCGGAACCCGCAATTAAGTCGTTATTCACTAGACTTGTTCGTCCCTCTTCGAAACCCACAAAACAACAACCCAAGGATGCGGAGCACATCTCATGAGTCAGTTTTTCGACTACTCGGTACTCGTTCGTTTGGATTGTCATAACAGACAGGATTGTACCAGATCCGAAATGCTCGTTGTCCTGTAGATTACTAATGTCTGCTTTTTGAATTCGTTGTCCTACGTGTAAAAAAAACTACTAGGTATCGGCTATGGATCATGTTCTGTTGCTTCCTCTGAACTCTCTTCTGAACTTGCACCCTCGGTTTCTTCTTCCTCCTCTTCTCCACTCTCTTCACTCTCTGTTTCCTCAGATTCATCATTTTCGTAAAATTTGTCCAGATCCGTCCATTGGGGCTTTGACGCTGAGGTTGGGGTCGAGGACGACGGAACTTCCCGAGTAACACCATGTTTTGTTTGACGGGTAGCCGGAGAATTGAAGACAGGAAGTGGTGCAGGTGGCGGCTTGTCGTCCACCGTATCACGTAGAGAAGATTCGACGCCTCGCTCTAGCCAATCAGGGAGATGCTCGTCGCTTCGCATTGGTTTATGGGTGATCAAGGTTAACGAGCCAAGGTGTGCATTGGGAACTGTTTGGCCGTGATTGAAAATTCAGTGAAAGCATAAACTCGACGGACCTGTGTCATCAGTCGCATCATCGACAACAGCAACCTTTCCTTGGAACAAAATAACGCGTGCCTGCTCTCTTCGCAGAACAACACCTCCACGAGTCTCGAAAGCGGAGTCCCTCGCGACCACAGACTCGGGAAGGCCCAGTCCAGCGAGAAGACTGACTATCATTCGTGTGCGGTCCCGGACATCATAATTGAGATCGTATTTGGCCAGAGAGAAGACATAGCCACCAACAAGCGATAGCCTTTCGTCGGTCGGACACAGGACGAGCAATTTCGCGGCAAGTGTGACGATCTGGAGTTTGACGATGGGAAGTTCGGTAGCAAAACCCTTGGCACATTTACGGAGTACATCAGGCGCCCAATCAACAATGCCTGAGATCCCAGCGCCTGGTTGCCCGCTTTCAGAGTACTGGCCAACGAGCCAAATAACACAGGCACGTGCTTGGGAATGTCGAATGTCTTCGACGCGACGGGCGAGATTGGATATTATATCGAGGGGCAAGCCAGATGTTGAGTTGGTTAAATGGGATTGTACGAGATGCTTCAGAACCAGCACCGCGCTGCTGACAACAGCGTCTATATGCGTCGTCAGTGAATTAGCACATCAAGGTTAGTGAACTTTCCTCGCGGATTATTAAGCATGGTGATGAGGGCAGTTAGACATTGGGGTGTACTGTCTGGGTTTTCTTGCGCGCATTTACCCACAGCACGGATGGCTGCTCTGACGACCTCATCATCAGGGTCGTCGGCATAGTCCTGAAACCTTGAGACGAGCAGCATTAAGATGAAGGACGTAACAAACAATGAACTCGCGCAGAATCGATTGGTATGTTTCCTGGGTTGCAACAATGAGAAGAAGCTTTATTTTGTCCTGTTTGACACGCCCCAGATCATCCGTTCGAACCAGAAATTGGAGATAATGGGGAGCAAAAAGAGCCTGTTGGGTGAGTGCGTTTTGTGCGATGCAAGGTAAAAGGAAAACTTACTGGTCGAACACGAGCCAGGGCGAACAGATACCCAAGGACAACACGCTCAATTTCCCTCGACGTGTGCAAAAGCCTAAGAAGGGGTTGTACCACCCGAGGGTGATACGAAGGGGGAGAAGCATAATAAAACACTCTTGTGACAGCAAGTACGACCTAGCCCAGATTAAGCAGTGAGACAGTGACGGAAATGGAGGAGCAGACCGCGGCATTCCTGCTTTGAAAGAGCGGTTCAGCAGAAGTAAGAAGGAGTTTGATGTCAACGTCTATCTCGTCTTCGTTCGGCCGTGTTAACATGGTCCTGGCGTAGCGCAAAAGGAGATTTAGAAGGCTGATCTGACCCCATTCGTCAACGTCGACGAGCATTCGGCAGAGACGTCGATATTGCTGGTGTAGCATGTCCAATCGCGTAGGAATGACTGCCTCGAATGCGACTGCGACGCTTCCGATGGACAATGGAGAGCGATCGCGGAGAAGGGTAGAGATGATCTCAATTAATGCAGTAACATGTGATGAATCTAGCCTACCAGTATCATCAAGACAGACCACCGAGTTGAAGCAGCTACTCACTCGTTGCATTTGGGAATGGCCAGAGCTGCTGCCTTGCGCACGTAAGGGCTCATATCTGCCGCACATTTCTTGATGGCGAGGATGACAATACTTCCAATCATTGGAACCTTGATTCCGCTCAGCACTCGGAGTGCCATAGCTCGAATGAGAGGATTGCTGTCTGTCAAGTCCTTTTGAAAGGTGTTTATTGACAGTAACGCAAGATCTGGCTCCTGCTCCGCGTATCTTAACAAATAAATGTAGACCAGTTTGCGGATTTCGAGGTTTTGGGAAGCGACATTCTTGACCACTTGAGCAAAATACTCTGACACGTTCCGACCTTTGGAAATAAGCTATTTGACTTGAGCATTGACCTGCAGTCACAATAGCAATGTATTCTCACCGCGATTAACCGCTTCATGGCATCCAACTTTTCTCGGTCGCTGGAGGAATCTAGCTGCTTGCGAATATTCTTGCCCTTATCATCGGGCTCAAGGTAAAGGGACGAGCCACGCGTAATAGAGAGATCACGTGTATGCTCTGAGAAGGACTCGTGCAGACGCATCCCCAGACGAGATGCATTCTCGGAGATTGTGTTGAGGTAAACTGCGGACATGTCATTTCATGTGACCATGCGTGACGGTGACGTCGGGATAAATCGTGTTGATGCGTCGGAGCTTGTCGGAGGATGGATGATGTTTCGATGTTCAGATGTTTCCCGGATCAAATTGCTCTTCAACAGTCCCCAATCCCAAATTATTCCCGAGCTTCGCCAAACTCTGCTACACAAGCTCTCCCCAGTCGCTCAAGGATCAAGTGTAAAGGCTATGTATGCGCCGACCAACGCAGGGAGAAACTAGCCGTCGCATCGATACGACTGGGGAAAATGGACTCTTCAAACTTCTGCAGACACAAGCCCGGACAATGAACTGCCACATTGTCGATCCCTTCAAGTCGGACACAGTAATGTCAATCTAAACTGAATGCTCTGGACCTGGCCGTGTCGCCTTGCTTCTTTCGACCATGACCAAGTTTCTGATAGCCCTCAGCGGATTTTTCGCAACTGTCTTGCAAGTGAGCGGTGCCACTTCAACATGCGTTGGGCAGTCAGAAGCCCGTTCACTTTACCGTGCACATAACCCTGCCACAAGCGATCATCTCTATACTGTCTGTTCAAAAATCGCCACCTGAAGTCAAGTCTTAATTATATCCTTGATCTAGGTTGACCTATCTGAATCCCAAAGGGCTGTGGGCGGCCTAGGTTTCGTAGCAGACGGCATAGCTGCTCTCGTATTCACGACACAAGTTCCTGATAGTGTCAGGCTCCATCGTTTCTATCATCCCGCCAAATGTGTGTGTTCCAGCCTTGAGCATAGTGTTGTTTGCTGACACAATTAGATGATCACTTCTATTCCGTCAATGAAACTGAGGCAGCCAATGCAGTCGCTGGGGGTTACGTCTCTGAAGACGTCCCCGATGTCACTCCGATCTACGTTTATTCTTCGCCTCTCTGCGACACCATGCCCTTTTATCGTTTGGTCATGAAAGACTCGGACCATTTGTATACGGTCAATGCAACAGAGAGAGACATTTCTCAACAGCAAGGATGGACCTTCGAAGGAGTCGCAGGCTATGTCTATGCTCTCGGCGCGACCGTGTCAAGCACTAGTCGTGTTTCATCCGTCAACACGAAAGCACCCTCCGGGTCCTCCTCTTCATTGTCGACACCCAGGAAAAAAACTCCAATCGGCGCAATTGTTGGAGGTACTATTGGCGGAGTTATTGGGCTTATTGTTGTTGTCCTCGCCGCCTTTTGGGGATGTCGAGGCCGGCGAAGACACGACAAATCGAGCAGTCACTACGCAGTAAACCCTCAACTCCAGCATTCAATGACAGGTCCAGTTACATCAGTGACTAGCTTCCACGCCACCTCTCCTGCTCCATCTTCAGCTGGTTTCGCAGGTGTTGGGATCCACCAAGAGCCGGCCACGCTTCCGATTAAACGTCATCCTCGGCCTCCTCCTCCACAAGTACAGCAACACCAAGATAGTGGTGTTCGATACGGAGTTGTGGAATCACCACCTGAATACACAAGGGATTGATGGGTAGTAACCCCTATTTTGGCGACTCGGGCCGAATATTTCTAGTGACAAGATGATGTCTACGTAACGTAACACCAATTGTTTTTTTTTCGAAGGAAGAAACCTTCCACTTAAAATTTGAGTTTTGGTCCTGGGTACAAAAGTGAGTATCGGGAGGACAATATAGTGCAACTTGGTTCTTGTGTGAACAGAAGAACCAAGTTGCACTCACGTCACACAGAATACGCAAATCCGTGGATCCATCAGATCCAACGCTTACACAACCAACTAAATCTCGGAGGCTAAATTTTTTCGTGACAATGGGCGCTCAAATCGGAGTTCAATGAAGCCATGTGTAAAGTATCTGACTCGGGACTTGGGCTCTTTCGGCCATGACCAAGTGTCTGGCGGCTTTCAGCGCCGTTTTTTTCTTCGCTGTAGCTAACGCAGCGGCGGCTAGCTGCTCAGGGCCGTCAGATGCGCAACCATTGTACCGCGATTTCACCGTCTCTGGAAACGATCACCTCTACACTGTATGTCTCAATTGTCGACAAATACTTATGGCACTCAATAAGAGTAGGTTGACCTTCCCGAATCGCAGAGAGCCGTCAATATCCTGGGTTTCGTGTCAGAGGGCATCCGAGCCCTCGTTTTCACCAAACAAGTCGCTGGCAGCGTCAGACTGCATCGCCTGTACACTCCTTTCGAAAGCGCGTTTATTCTTATTCGTCTTGTTGACTATCTCATCCCCCGTAGACGACCATTTCTACACCACAAACCAGACCAACGATGTCACGAAAGCGTTGAGTCTAGGTTATGTTCTGGAAGATGACCCCAGCCAACACACACCCATCTATGTCTATCCAACTCCTTTGTGTGGCGCTGTTCCATTCTACCGCTTGCTCAACCTGGGGGTCGTTAACGAAACTGTCGACCATTTCTACACGGTGAATGAGACCGAGAAGGACACCATTTTGAAGTATGGCTGGGTGCTGGAGAAAATCGAAGGTTACGTTTTCCCATTCGATGCGATCTCTATTACTGCAACATCCGGGATTACCGGGCCGTCTTCTCCGATGATCATGCCGCACAAGGCACCAACCCCTGTTGGGGCTATTGTCGGCGGCACTGTTGGTGGTGTTGTTGGTCTCGCGCTCATCGTCATCGCTGCTCTATACGCCCTGAGGCGGCGCCAGAGAGCCAGGGATACTCGACTTGGCGTCTCTCCCATCGACGTTCAATATTTCCCGTCCATGTCCAATGTCTCCAGCTCTCCTGCGTCATCATTAGCTGGCTCTGGCGCGGAGGCTGCCCCGCTTTCAAGCAAGCGCTACCCTGAAAGAAATCGTCAACCGACCGTGGTTAATCAGCATCATGATAGCGGTGCTCGATATGTGCAGCTCCCACCAGACGAAGAAGAGTTGCCTCCCGGATATACCATGAACTGAAACATAATTTAACTCCACATTCCTTCAAGTGGTTTGGACTAGCTATGCATGTTACCACGTATTCGGCTTTCACGTGTATACCAACTGTAGTGTTAGAGTCTCTGGGAAATGAATATCCATTCGATCGCAAAAAAGACGCAGTTGCAAGTCAACGGTATTTCTACTTGCCGTTATATTTGACGACGAATAACCCTCGCTCAATGGAGTTGATGACGATGTAGCGACTCTTGAAGTACGGATAAACGCTCCACGATCCAGTGAAAGTTGCCTCTCCACCCACGTCGTCGTCCTCCGGATGCACTTGAGAAGGATGAGAATAGGCAGTCTCGCAAAACAAAAGGGTCTAACCATCAAAGAAGGCGATTTCCTTGAATGCGCCACCTGTTGGGTCCTCGACGACGCTGCTGACATTAACAATGCGTAACCCGCTGCCGTAGTTGCTTTCGTATGCCCAGCCGTTGTGGACATAGAGATTATGGTCGATGGACTTGACTGGGGAGCTGTAGTGGCCAGTTAACACAGGCTCTTCCAGGTTCTGAATGTCCCAGATGTAGGTAACTGTGTGTGAATTATTGGCCCAACCTAGGGACGTGTTAGACCCATTCTACGAGTATCAAGGATAGATACCCCGTTGATAAACCTCATCAAGTTCGTCGTCCAACAACAAGTATCGCTGGTCTTGCTCGTCTATAACCCAGCCTTGATGCGAGTAGCTGACGCCATAATACGGCGTCGTCGACACGATTTCGGCGTTGGATGGGTCAGAAATATTGTAGATGGTGAAGGAGTCTTCATTGAAGGCGTAGCAGACATCAGTTCCCACATATTTGGCATGTGGACCAGCATAGGTCAAGCACTGGGCACTAAGAAGATCAGGAAATTATATGGATGTTACCGAAGAGCGAACGTACTCGTGAACATAGCCATCTTGCCCCGCGCATCCAACACCAGTGGGCTTGGTTGGGTCAGAAACATCAACAAATATCAGACCAGCAGCACAGGAGCTAGCGTATGACTGAATAGAGCACCGAAGGAAGTCATTAATACTTACTGATTGCGAGGAATTGATCCAACAGCCATAATAAGGTTCTTGCTCTCATGCGCAACGATGTTGTGTGATGGACCAAGCGGCAGTCCGTCGTAGTGTGCCGCCATGTCAACATCCAAACGGAACTCTCGTGGTTCCGCGGCAAGCGACACATCGAGAAGCTACATGGTTAGGGTTAGCAAGTCCTATCATAGATAACGATTCTGAGTAGATACCTTCGTTAAGTCAAAGACCTGAATGCCATGGCCCATAGCCTCACTTCCGATGTAAGCATGGTCTCCGATGACTTTGATGTCCCTCCAGACACTCGTATGTGTCTGCGTGGCCAATCTGCCTAGATACACAGCCTGGCCACTTGGTAGGATTTCCACAAATGCAGTTCCGTCCGTTTGACCGACTAGCGCAAACTCGCGGCTATGTGAAGACCAGCCCCAGATATCGTTGCCAAATTCCGTTTTGCTTCCGAGTTCAGCATGGGGGGTGAAAGAATATAAATCCAGATTGTTACAAGAGAAAGTGTTGCCCTCTTCAGTGCCCGCGTAGCCGTTTACACACGGGGTAAACTCGTCAATGGCGTGGATATTGAGGTACGCTCCAGCGTCCTTGTCAGCTTGCATTTGGGCCACAGAATCGGCCAAGAGACTCATCATGAGCCCATGGACTTCCCCAGAAGTGTAGGCATCAGGGTGAGCAAGTGGGATGTGGACAAAGGGCGCTTCTTCACCACGAGGAAAGACGCGCTGATTAGCGGCGAGCGGTAACAACGAGACGAGGGATAACAAAGCAATGTGCGCCATGGTGGCCAGAATCAAGACGCGATAAGGTGCAACATTTACGTGGGAGAAATTGAGTGCCTCGGTCCGGAATTCCCGATCGTGTTATCTTTGCTTATCTAAAGAAACCCAGCAGATAAATTAGGACACCAGTTTTCTCCTTCGTTCTCCTACTTGCCAAATGACGTCCTTCAACTCTTGTACCACGTCTCCACCAGGACCCCATTTCTCTGTGGGAGAATCTTCCGCCTGTGCCTGTTCTCTATGTGCTTTGGCCAACTTTATCCGCTCTTCTCGTGTCAACTTCGACCGTTCACGCGTGTAGGTCCCAACTTCTGCCAAGCTCTCAAAAACTTGCTCGACCCCTGGCCGTTCAAGGGGTATCGTAAATGTTTCGGCTGGAGGCTCCGGCGCATCTGGTTCGATGACCACGGTATGGACCACTGGTGGGTCATCATCACCGGATTCAGGCTTGTCTGACTCGTCTGCCTCATCACTAGCATCAAGCGCTAAACCAGGCATCCCCTCTTCTTCAGACTCTGTCGGGTCAAGCGGGGGCGGTCTGGGGGCTACTATATCCATTAGGCGGTCTCTTCCGCGCTCGCATTCCCGCAAAGCCAGACCTAGTTCACGTCGCAGTCTTTCGTAAGCTTGCAACGCTCTAGGTTCAGCTTGTCCAGATGAAGTCGCCTCTGCGCTGAGCTTAGAAAGAGAGAATGTGCGTGATCGCTTTCGATGAAGGGGTTGTTGTACGTTGTCTTCGTCGCGTATCGCTGCTACACAGTCTGCCAACTGTTCTCGAGCGTCATCCAACGCTGCCGAGATTGCATCCACGTGAGCAGCAAACCGCGTTAATTGGGAAGGAACTGGTGCAAATGAGGAGAACATGGAGGAAGTGGCTTGGCGAAGTGCGGGAGCTATATCCTGTGACGATTCGGATTCAGGGTGACAGAGAGCTGCTTCTTGGAGTTGAGCCTCTTCCAACGCCTCTGTCAAACGAGAGGCCGTGTCGACAAAAGTACTCGTCAGCAAGGCTATAACGGAGCGGACGTCTTCCCAGTAACCTTCATCGTCTTCATCCCCAAACCTGAGTGCTAAGAGATGAGAGCATGCGTAACGTTTTGATGCCAATGCTCCGTCCAATGCATGATAAAGCGCTGAGAGACCAAGTGGATTACGCATGGTCTGCATGGTGGTGAAACGCGATGCGTGTGAAATAGTGGACGATCCCGTGAGTGGGGTTCGAGGAGGTGTCAACTTGAACACATCCATGCCGGATAACCGCCGTCTGCGATGAAGTTCTAGAGCTGCGATGCCAAAGGGCTGGTGTTGTTCAGCACCCTCTTCTACAACATTGACCAGAGTTGAAGTAGCTGGGGGGGTGTTTGGAGCACTGTAGCTCTTGTGCGTAGACTGCGACGTGAACAGAAGAGATAAGTCAGAACGACGTTTGTCCCGAGTCTTCAAAGCTGGAGATCCATAGAGGCTGCTATATGACCCATTCCATGTTGTACGCTTAGATTCTGAATGGGTAGCCGTTTCGGGAGGGGGAGGAGAATGTCGTGGTGATGGTGGGGCATACATTTCAGATAGCTGAGCCAGCTCGACTGGGGCGGTTAGCGCAGATAGAAGATGGCGAACATTGTCGCATTGGGTTTGGGTCGTATGCAGGGATGAATGAATAGCAAGGCGAACAGATGAGACCGGAGAAGGAGGACTACATGATCTAAATTAGCGAGTTTGAGGGTGCAGATAGATGATACCCGCACCTCTCTTCCTCTTTCTCCAAAAGCGTGAGGGTATTTTGGACAACAGAATCCCATAAGTCGTTCGCAGTTATTAATTCGGACAGAGCCGCCATAGTCTAAAGCTAATGAGACCAGTCGAGAAGGAGGTGGAGTAAGCGTACCGCTGCCATGTCGGGTTTGGCATTATCTGAGTGAGTGTATAGGTGTAATGTGCCGCCCACTATGAACAAGAAAGCGAGCAAGTATGTTCCAGTAGCAAAGAATACGGCTGCAAAGAAGAATATAAGGGACATTAAAGAGTAGTCAATGGGCTCCGGATGAGGTGGGTTGTCGAGCTTTAGTTTTCCGGGAGGTGCAGGAGACCCAGACCGACGCCGCGAGTTGCCTGTGGGGAAAGATGTTTCGAGCAGGGACGACGATATGACGTCGTATTTGAACCGCTCAGCAAAAACAAGTGATTCTTGTGGTTGCGGGAAGAGGGCTTGAAGCATCTAGAAAGTAGAATTAACTGCGTTGACAAGTATAGAATGAACAAGGCAAGCCGCACAGTGACGAACTGAACAAGCATAACAGGTCTCCATTCCTCCTCCTCGTCAAATTCACAATATTCTGCGTCGAAATCGTGAGTGAGCTCAGGCAACGAGCCTGGCATTAGTTCTGGGGGTTCCCCCGCGGCTGAATATAAACTTGAGACCAGCTAGGAAAAATGCGGGTGCGAGGGAGATACCTCGTAAGTATTGTTCAAGGGGGTGGTCGTCAAATAATGGTTGTGCCATGGGGGTGAAGGAGAGAGAGCTCAGAAAACAAACAGAAAGAGGAAAAAGAGAGAGAGAGCTGGGTAACCAACTCAACTCGTGACATGGTGGACCGAGAAGATTATTGTACCTCTCAATAGAATCAGCTGCACAAGCAAGCATTATATTCAGCTATACTACTACCACGTATAACCAGCTTGTGAAACAGAGGAGTTTCCAGCACACAAAATGTTTATAACTTCTAAGCATGGCAACACCAGGTTGGCATCAAACGTCGGAGTTCTCTCCATGTGACAGGCAAGTGCTCTTCTCCTCCTCCCAGTACTATCTCCCTCTTCATCGAGGTCCACACTCTTTTACGCCCCCATTCGTTCCGAAAAATGAGCCATATCAGGCCTCGTGGCCATATACGCCACGCGAACAGAGCTGCTGGCTTTCCAAACTTTGGTTTTGATTTCCCGCCGTTTGGCTGTACGCCTTGCCTTGTTGTACCCAAATTCTGCTGTGCTGATTTTTTTTAAATTAGCCCACGAGTCCAGCTCGTCTGTACCTGGAAATTCGATTTCATCCAGTCTTCCTGTCAGTTCGTCTGTCGGACCGGCTTCGTCGTCAATCAGCCCCTCGTCAACTCCGACTCCATCGTCAACCGTTGCTCCACCCTCTTCCTCAACAACCTCAACTACCACCTCTCCTATCCCTGTCGTCCGTCTTTAGGTTATTACTAGAACGTATCAGCTCACTTTTTTCAGTCGACTACATACACTGGTTCGGCTCTTCACAACAACTTGACCAAGATTGTAACGCAGACCAACATTGCCACCGCCAAACAGGCAGTTGCGTCTAGCTCGTCCAGTAGTGTACCGGCTCCCACCAATGCTCTTGTCGCACCGGTCCTTGGAGGTGTCGCGGGTGGCATAGTTGGCCTAGCTCTGCTTATTTTCTTGATTACTTTCTGCATTGTGCGTTTGATCCACTTGGTCCTAAACATAAATCATTAACCTTTCCTTAGCGTCGCCGCCGCAAGGATGATGAGGCTATCAACTTCGATCCTGGAGCCTTCCGTCGCTCAGCAATGCTCCTTTCTGATCCTCCTACCCATCAGGACACTATTGCGCGCGGTTTCAACCCGCCAGCCATGGTCGAAACCCATCCCACCTACATGACCCAACACAACTACGATCATTCGCCTGGTGCCACCCCCAACTCTAGCAATCCTCTTGTGTTCGAGGCCCCGTTCTCCCCTATCTCACCTGGAACCGCGACTACGCCAATCGCTCCCTATGACCATGCAGCAACTGGTGCTCCCCCTGCTTTAACTCGAAACTTGTCGGCTGCATCATCTAATTCGATGCACGGTCCAACCCAGTATGCGCAATATCCGGCTCTCACCAACCATGGCCAAACAGGACAGTTGGCACCCCAGTATGTGGATATGGAGAGGACCAGCGTCACTCCTTTCCAAGCCGCTCAATATGCTGAGATTTCGAAACAACTCCGAACCGAAGTACCCAAGGGTCTTGACACTCCCGCTGTAGAGGAATTTGTCAACACAATGCCCATGACCCCAACCAAGAACGCAGAACTTCCTCCCATCCCTCAAGATCCATTCAGTGATGACAACGAGCAGGAAGTTACTCTTCCGACGGTGCAAAACCTCTCGTTCCCAGCCCCTCCTTCGCCCGTTGCCACCAGTGCCTCGCGCTACCGCATCGACTCAATGCCCCCCAGCCTTCCGGAAATTATCGTTCAATCACGCGTTTCAGTTGGCTTTTCTGAGAATGGAGACGCTTCCTCTGTGACCGGTTTCCCGTCTGGACAAACTGTCCTGATGAAAGGCGCAGACACCCCTTTGAGTGGGCGATTCCCGGTGACCCCGAGCCCTTTGGCCAGCAGCTTTACCGTCGCCACTCCTCCTGCAGCCCAAACCACCTTCCCCGCGCGTGCTGCTACCAAAGCGCGGCCTGACACTGTTTATGACCCCGAAGATGCCTACGGTGGCATTTGAGTAGTCGATATTTCTTCCTTTTCACTTGTGCGATGCGGACTGGTCTTCTGTGTCGCGTTCCATACTCAGTACGTGACTCGTAAATAATCCAAGAGCGAGCAGGCCAACGTTGCTATACCCTTTCTCTTTCTACGATAATTGAAGAAGAACGCCAACTGTTGTTTTTTTTAGAACTGTCTGATTCCTGTGTCGTTCAACAGCCATCATGGCGCCTGAGCGGCCGCTGGTCGTCGAATCACCGACGAGAAATGGTGTCACGAGTAGGGGTGTGTCCCTTTGACCCATGTTTGAGCACTCTCCTCCAGGCGAATATCAGACTGGCCGCCCCCAAACGACTATGTCCGTTCCTTTCAATCGACGAATTCTATCTGCCACGACTTTCGGGGTTTTGGGTTGTGCATTTGGGCTCGGGCTTGCCACGTCATGGGTTTGGAATGGCCAGTCTCAACGCTACTCTCCTGAATGTGTCGCGCATTTTGATGCACCACGACCATTGTTTGACCTCGAGGCTGCCCCAGTAGTGGTCACCATTACCAAAACGGTCCAGGCCTCCCAGCCGGTTCCGACACCCGAGCCGCCAGAATTATTGCTAAAGGGGCGTCCTACGGCAGCATTCAAAGGTCTCTGTCTAACTCCCTATCTAATCAAGTGACTGATCCTCGCATCCAAGATAACTTACTTCCCAACGTTCAATACGTAACCACCTTCCCAGGTTCAGGTTGGAGTGCGTATACCAATAGATCATTATTGTCACCGACTGAAACTTTTGGAGCTAACGATGTGCTCTTATATGTCTGTGCGCTGTCTAGAGCCAGAGACTTACTTGACCGCGGCATTTATAGATGAACCTTCTCTACCTCGCTCTTATTACTGAGCGAGTGGCTGTAATCCCGTACTTCACCCCCACCCATGTTGGGGGCAGCGCGCCAACAATCGGCTTTGGCGAAATCTTTGACATTCCGCGTCTGGAGAAAGCATTAGGGACGCGTATCCTGGAGTGGCACCAGGTCAAGGTGTGTTAAATGGGTTTTGACTCGTGTGCCTTGGACACAAATGGTTTATAGGACCCTCAAAGCGAGACCATCGACACTATGGGCTGCTGGAGCGTTTGGAAGGGCGTTCAAAGTTTCAACACCGAGTCTCATTTTACGAGTGCGACGATGCGGCTGAAACTGGGTGGGTAAAGTTGAAGGAAACGGTTATCGATCGAGTGGCTCATTGCATGACTAGATGTCTCGTATACCACAGCTCCCCGATGGATAAAGTTGGAGCCTGGCAACGATGGCGATCCACATGCATCATTTTGGGCTCTAGCAGCACTTGCTTTCCCTGAGACACGGTCAGAAAACCTGCAGAGCCCAGCACTCTCTCCCATCAACAAAGCTGCTCTTGCTCCCGACGAACACCTACTCTGCTACGACTATCTCTATTATGTTGGCGCAACCAACGTACGTGACCCTCACCAAGCCAGGCTTTCTGGGTTTACTTAGACATATATTCTAGACATACGAATGGGAAGCAGATTACAGCCCCGCTTGGAGATTTGTTGGGCGGCACATGCATTGGACGCCAGAAATTATGAAGCTTGCTGACCAATATGTGCGAGACGCTCTAACTGTGGCTCCGTACGAGCCAACCCCACCGGTACATCGTCCCTCTTTAATCTGAATCCTTCTAGTGCTGATTACGGATGGCGGCAGTACATATCAGTCCACGTCCGACACGGCGACTTTGCTGGTTGGTGTGAAGTCGTTCTCAAGGAATGTTTCGCACCACTCTCTGCTATCGCTCGACGGGTAGAAGAAGTGCAAGACGAGATCTGGGAAAAGGAGCGCTTGATCGTGGACCGCGTCATTGTTACGAGCGATGAACCTAATCATGAATGGTGGGAGGAGGTAAACGAGCTTGGATGGGCTCGACCTGATCATTCTCAAACAATTGCGCGCTACGGAGCTTGGTAATTAATCCTTGGTCTTTTTCTGTCTGTTGCGGTTGATCACAGGCAAAAATAGGCATCCGATTCTCATTGACGCAGCGATTCAATCGGGAGCGACGGGTTTTGTAGGCACAGATAGGTCAACAGTATCGACCCTGGCCCGCAAACGGGTAGCAGCATGGAATAATGGCCCTGTGAGAACAGTTCGTTGGGGCTCAGCTGGTTTGTGCCAGGCAAAACCAATCAATCGTGCTAACTGACCATTTTAGGCGCGGACGATCATTAATAATTATAATTATAGTAGTGTAGTAGTACAAACAAATCCTAAAAGTATACCCCCACCCAGCCCCTCGACTTGATACTGATTTCGTCCTTGCCTTGCTGATCCCCATACCAATGAGTCCATTTTTTGTCCTCTGTGTCGTCGCTATCGAACCGTTGAAGATTCGTGGCGGTATAGGATTTCGATGAGAGCTCAAGACGCCCACGGTAATTTGCGTCTTTATAGGTGAGGTACATGTCCGCATTCATTGAGGACATGTGAACATTGCTCATTGGGCGGTGCACGTGCTCATGGTCCACGTAAAAAATGTCGCTGCGGCCAGAGCCACTGGTTGTCCTGAGACTGACCGCTTCAGGTGTGGCAGGGTCTTCTGCAGAAGCTGGGTGAACGCGAATGTTCATGATACCCGCGCCACGTTGAGTGGTGACTTTGGTGGCGCCGTCAAGCGCAACATCGCCAACGATCCAGCCCTGGAAAACCTCCAGGGCCATGTTATTGGCGCGGATGTTGTTGTGTGGAATGATCATATTGGTGCTGTGTGGCGTGTAAAGGGTCACGAAGAAGTCTTCAAGGTGGATGAAAGAGTTGGGGTCGAACTGGACATGGGTTAGAGCGTGGGCCCCAACACGCAACTTTTTGAGTGTCGGAGGGACAAATATTCGCATATCATAGCGGATGCAGGCATTGGCAGTAGGATGGGCAGTGACCAGGAGCATATGGCTGTCTTTAATGGCCCCGTCTTGGTCTGGGGCGTGCTCTAGAATAACTTCATCGAGCAACTTCTTGTCGCTTGCGCGGAGAGTCAAGTCATACTTGATCTTGGTCGAAGTCGGCGCGCCTTCCAGCAAAAGAATTGTCCCGACACAACCACCACGGACATCCATGCCGTGGTCATTGTTCAAGCCCATAGGAACTTGAAACGTGGTTGGTTGAGCCGAGTAGATATATTCGGCGTCAACACAACCCAGAGAAGTGCTGAACACGGGCATATGCTCAAGACCAGTTGGGGTAGGCTAAAGTGACGCGTCAGTCCGAGTGGTCAAGGAGAGTGGAAGCGCAGCACTGTAACAGCCCAGAGGATGAGCTTAACGGCGTTCCAAACGGCCAAGATAGCGATGACAATTCCAAGGGCTTTCCAGAACAAGGTACAGCTAGCAAAGGCGGTTTCAATGCAAGGTCATAGATCAATATGACCACGCACTCCATGCCACAACAAACACAACATCCAGTCTTTCGACGCGTCGGCCTTGGAACGCCGATTTCTGTGTCGAGCAAGCGGATGCCTTCGGAGTTCTGACCTTCAGCATCTTGGTAGTTGACTGGGTAAGACGGCGGCGCCGAAAGAGCGACTCGACCATCCTCTTCCGTCGCAACTTTACTATCTGTGTGCGTTGGCTTGTCAACAAAAAAAAAAATGAAGACAAATTTGGAACCAACAGTTATCCATGTTTTCCTTGAGCTTGAGGGCAACCATGACGCTTGCGAACAGGCCCGTAAAGGTGAGGCCCCGCGGCGCCATATTGAGTGGGAGGAGGAGGAAAGAAGTGATGTGGTCTGGCCATCACCGACCAGGTACCCGCAATTGTTTCTCACACTCGGTCAACTTTGTTTGTTGGCGCTTCAGATTTACAAGATAAATACGGTTCAAAAGTTCCAAGAAATTTCCGGCCAAGCATCCACCATACAGTAATTAGACTGGATTTTCAGGCTGTGAGCCAAGAGAAAAATTGGCAAAACTTGCTTTTGAGTGGAGAGACGCTCGATGAGTTTGCGGTGGTGGTGCAGCGAAAGAAGGAGCGAAGCGGACAGAACCAGAATGCGAACCACCAGAGCCATCAGATCCAGAACTTTTCCTCCGCCTCGCTCAACACATCATCCGCGTCACGGTTGAACTCCTGGGTCGTGTCAATTTTTATCGAAATATTCGGTCGCTGGGACGTGGTCTCAGTCCAAGCACACAGTATGGTCCAAAAACACACACTTTGGAAGAGATTGAAAGGGTGGTATTCTTTGGCTGAAACTCGCGCAAAGACAAGGACAAGTTCTCGCTCGTAGTGTGGACTCCGTCAGCTGCGCCACGAATACTGTTTCTGGCGTTGAGGGTCGCAAGCAGCGAATTGCAGTATACTTTTAGTTGTGAGTGTTTGACACGAATGCCAAGAGAGAAGAACACCTACAACGGCCCATGCAAAAGAAAAAGAGGATATAAATGAACGTATTGCCGGCAACCGTGATCTGAACAAAAAAGTCAGCGACGACAAGGATTCAAGTTGGGAAAAGCTTACTGAGATGAGAGAAGCAATTGCGCATATACTGGCCAAAGTCAATCAGAGAAAATTCAACGCAGCACTAGGCACGAGAGAACCTGGTGATTAGGCCAGTATTGACAGCCCACATCATCTAGTTCATAGTCACAACGCGTACCGCGACTTTAAGCCGAAGAACGCACCAACTTCCTAATCATAGTGTCGGACCTAGAAAACAGCGTTAAGAAAAGACAAATTTCCAGATCCAACAATTACCGGTGGAAGCCAGTTCGAGAACTGTGAAGAAGCTTGCAAAGTGTCGCAGCTATAAGAACATCTCCCGCAGCTGCTAGCGAGTTGACCGTAATAGAGAGCGACTAGAATGTGTCAGTGAATGAGTTGCAGGCAACAAGAAATCCAGACCTTGAGTTCAGTCAACTCCGCGAAGGTTTGAAGTTGCAGACTTGAAGGCGGTGAGCTATGACCATGGGGCAAATGAACGAATTACGACAAAGCGACATAGGCTGGCGCCCACCAAGTTGAGTAGAGGGCGAAACGGGAGGTAACTATGACTGACCAAGAACAGAGCCTTGGCCCCGGTGTCAGCTTTCGAGGGGGTGAAGAACGACATACATACCGAATTCGCCCAAAACAAGTATAAGCTAATACAGGACTTGAGTTGAATGTACCAATACTTGGCCAAACAACTTACTGCGGCGCCGGTGAGCCAAGAATTGCGATTGCTGACTGGACGTCACGGTGTGTTAGTTGACATCATAAGAGACTCGCAAGGGCCACATACGCCTCCAAATGCGGACAGTCAGGAAGCTAGTCATCAAGGAGGTGGGTCGGCGATCCCGCCAATCGAGAAGAACGAACCTTTGGACGAGCAGAGCCGTAAGACCCTATCAAGCATCGTCTTGACATAGGACTTGGGAAAAAAATTGCAACGCACATTGAAAAGAACTTCGACCTTGTTTCACCGGTCAGTGATAGTCGCCAAGCACCGAACAAAAACTAACCAGTAAGCTCCTAATATACGAGATGAGAGGAAAGGAAGCATCGAAAATGAAGGTAAGCACCATACGATCTGAGAGAGTTCTATCGGATTGTCGTAGTTGGTAACGAGATAGGTGTAGACTGAAGGAGGTTTCATCGACGAGAGCAGCCAAAAAAACCAAGGACTCGCGAGTGTGTGAGATGAGACCCTGGTGGACCGTGTCGAAAACCATTACAGCAGCCACCTAAGCAAGCCTTTACTCCAGATCATCATTGAGCTCGAGCACATACCAGAAGTTTCAGTGGCCATCGGTCGTTCTGGTGGGTATAGTACCACCTTTTCAGAGATTAGCGATGAACAGACAGCGGCCCACAGTAAGTATACCAGGCCTGAACACAGGACACTTGAAGGATATAAGCTACGTTGGCTTAGCGAGGGTAACATTTCGTACCTCCGTGAAGCCTGCACTACCGGTTGAGCTGTTCGAAGAGAGAAGGGCACTGAAGCTCACCCTGCAGCAACCACAACACCGATGAATGCGGCCCCAAGTCTAGGCTAAGGTTAAGGGAAACGAGAGGAGGGAGGATCGACCAGCAACAAACGTATTGTCGAGATGGAAAACCATTGGGGGAAAGAAAGGCACTGATGGCCTTTTCAAAAAGCAAGCGGGCTTTTTAGACTCGTGGCGGGCGCGGCTTCTCAGCCTGAATAAGATGCCCCAGAAGCCGGCCTCATCGCGTTGACGAAAGCGAATTTGTGGTGGCGGACACCGACAAGTACCTTAAGCTCCGACGTCATAAATTGAAGGTACGTTGCTTTCTTTCTTTCTCTCTTTCTTTCCATTAGATGGAGGATACTTAGAGAAACCGGAGAAAACGAGTCTAGGGAACCGAATGGCGGAAGAAGCTGGCGCTGGAAGTTGGAAGCAAGAAGGTGTAGCGGAAGCTGGACGTAACGAGCCAGTCAACCACGAGTTTTCGAAAAGAATGCTCTTCTTTGTCAGTGGCGCTGGGTAGATGACGAGCTTTTCAGGCAAAGCGTCCCAGGTTCCTGAATGATTGTGAGCAAACAAAGTAACAAGTCACGCGTTCGTTTGTGATGCTTCCCCAAACCGATGTGTCGAGACCATCTGCGTTGCCGACTGCGAACCTTATTCCTCGTGCAAACAACCCAGTCCTTGCCAACAACCAATCGGGTCTCCCTCAGCAAAACTCCAAAGAGTTTTTGACCGCAATCGAAGAAGAGTGGAATAGAAAGATTGATGTTGAGCTTGAAGCATTGCTTGATGGCATGGTGGACCTCGTTGGTCTTGCCTCGATTGGCGACAAGGACAAGTTTCGCATAGCACAAGAGGCTTTCCAGGCCCAGTCACGTGCAGAATCTATGGTACTGCTTTTATCTAGTTTACTTTCGATTGTGACTGTTCTTCAGGTCCGTGCGGCCAACTCACTCTTGTCCATCACGCATTCAATGAAGCTTCTTCTCCTGCTCTCTGATGAGGCGCAGATCACAACGCGTCGCGATGAAGAAATAAAAGTCGTTCAGCAAGAGAAAGAGGCTGCTCGCGCCCAAGTCGTTGAATTGCTCGACCAACTCATTCAACGACCAGAATTGGAATACTGATAATCCAAACGAATACCATTAAACCGACGAATGCTAGGCTATATAGATAATGGTAGGGTATGGGCATGGATATGGTACAAGTGAAGTGTTGATGCTGACGAGGAAAGCAATGTCGACGAGAAAAAGGGAATGTGTTTGCAGGGGGATAGTACAACAAATTTCACGCTTTAGCGGAAAAGAACTTGAACGAGAGTCGTACCACGGGTGTGTCCGTCCGGGTCATCAGCGATCATAAAGAGAAAAATAGTAAGGAATTAAAAGTCTAGAGCCGACGTTTAGTTAACCGCACCACGGGAACTGCCCTACGAACCTCTAAGTAGTTGTGATGATGAAGCAGAGTATCTCAATGAAATGTCGTCCGAGGCAAGCTTGTCAGAATTTCCTAGGTGAATTGTACCACCCGCGCGATTACTGCGTTCTAATAGGTCCTCCCATTTGGAGGCCTTCTCTTGCTCTGTTAGACCTGCCGACTTCTGGCCCATCTCGCGGAAGGTCAATGGTTCCTGGGGTATTCTAGGGATGGAAGTTGCCCGTTGTTGGTGTTTCAATCGCTTTTGGTGTGAAGATGAAGATGGTGCACTGCTTGTTCGCCAGTTGTGGCGACCAAAGGTGTCGTCGTAAGCTCCAGATCTTTCGCTGACAGACGAAGTAGAACGTCTCGAAGGGGCGGGTCCGAGAGAAGTCAAGAGGCTTTCAACTCGAGGCCTGTCCATGACGGGTAACTGTTGCTTACGTGGAGAGAAGGCGTTGATGGGGGCTGCTGTCGAGAATTCCGGGATGCTGGGAGCATCACTTAACCGCCGTTCATTCGTGTGTACGTTGGGGGTGGGGAGCCGACGCGGGGGGGTGAGGGAGTGAAATAGGAATGTGTTCTTCTACTGGTGTTGCTACGAGCTTTGTGGGTGACCAAGTCGCTATTGGTTTCACATTGTCATCCAGTGACTGCGATCTGAAGTCGGATTCGAGCTTGTAAAGCTCTTTGGGAGGAAGGATATGCTTTCCGATGACGACGTTGGGCTGGTGAGGTAAAGGTGGGATTGCACTTTCTGCTTCGTATGATGAAGTGGAAGATCGACCGGAGCCAGTTGTTTTGTGGAAGTACTTGGAAGACGCGACATCTGAGGACGAAAGTGGGGAAGAAGACCGAGTGGTTGTACTTGTTCTCGGTTGTGACTGCGAAACGGGAATCGGAGGAGGCACTGGCAAAGTTCGAGCAGAGGGACGGTGCGTTACGCTCATTGACGTTCGAGATTCCATGAAGCGTGACAATGCTCCTGGCTCTTGAGAGTGACCATCCGAAGACATCGCCATGCGAGCTTCTAAAGATTGTTTTGGGGGCAATTGAGGAACCGGAGGCACATTATTTTGGGGCATCGGTGGCATTGGTGGCAAGGAGTCACGGTCGTATTTTTCCTTCAGTCCGCCAGTGCTTATGCGCTTCATCAGCTTCCATATTTTGTTGCCCCCACCAAGTGCTGGTTCAGACCGCCGAGAGCGTGGTTCGTTCGTAAAACTGGTTTCGTGAGCCATCTTGATGGGTGATCGCGGGAACTCTGGGTCATCCGCAGGACTTTCCTCAGTCCCGACACGACTGGCGCTCCGTGTTGATTTCTTTCGCCGATCGCTTTGTAAACTTGGACGGCCACGCAAGTCGTCATCGCCATCTTCACGCTTTTTTGACCAACGCTCACTAACTTTGCGTGTCAAAGTTCGTCCAACGCTGTTCTTCGCCCGACGCATGCCGTCTAGCGTGGGAAACGTGTTGGGCACACCATCCCAAGAGTCTTCTGGTCCACCTACTGCTATAATTCGCCCTGATGTAGAGCCAAAGACAGTATAATAAGGAGTCCCAAGTGCGGGAGATTCTTGACCCTGATGACTGCTCGGATGGCGTTCAAATGTTGGTGAAGTGGGAGAGTAATTCGGTGTTGTCTCTCTACTCCTTTTATACGCTGCAACGACGGCACCGGCCGGCGTCAGCGGCCCATTTCCGCCGTTAGGAGACTCGGATCCTGACATTTGCATTGTGTCCAGAGGCAAATCGAGACTGAGAGTTGGAGGAGCTTTCCGTGAGACAGACAATATTCGCGGCACCGGTGAAACTTCATTCGGCGTTGGCGTCGTTTGAGGTCTCTGAGCGCTGGATCGGCGACGTAGCACATTTTTGGGTCGCTTTTCCTTGTCCTTGTCTGGCGCAGACGTATGATGACCAACTAAAGCCAGTGCGACCTCTCGCTCAGTCTTTTCCACGGATCTGTGCTTCGCATATTCTCCACTCTTTCTTGCAACCAGACTAGGGTCAATTTGACGCGCATCCTCTCCTCGTCCTGTAGCGTCGTAATGTTTGCGACGGATTGAACGACTATCTGAACTGGGTCGCCTATTGTCCTGTTCACTAGTGCCCTCCTCCGAATCTGAATGCAAGCGCGCTACCGAAACTGGCTTAGAAAGTAAGCGCTTCATATCCAGAACCAACTCTGGTGTTTGCAGAGACCCTTGACGTTCAAGCCCACCCGTACCGCGCTCGGGAGTCCGCTGGCTTTGTTGAGAGACATATTGTGCGGGTGCCCGAAATGCAGCCGCCGTCAAAAGCTTAGCATGAGGGTCCGAGTTTTTGCGATGTCGATGTTGCATGGCCAAGGGAATGTGGGAGTTGGAGGGAGTAGAAGTCGATTTAGCACGGGGACTTGATGAAGAGGAAGTGGTAACCGGAGATGGTAATACGGGGCCATCTTCATGGGGGAAGGGGAGTTGTTGACACTCTCGGCTATGGGAAACTACAAGACAAAGTTTAGTGCACAACAACAACATAGAGGATGGAGGAAGAGAATCTGTTCCAACCCCAGCCATATGTATACCAATTAGTTAGCTTGAGGACAAGCGGGCAGGAAGTAGATAGAATACCCGCATCACCCTGAATAGGTTACTAGGCGGCGACGAGGCGACCAACGACACTACCCAGATATGGCAAGTCAAGTGGATACAGCCCTTGGCGGAGAGCAGAATCATACGGAGAAAGACGGAAGATCATATGGAGCAAGATGAAAATGCTTACCACCAAGTCGTTCCCGTTCACAGTCATCGCTTCTCTGTGGTTTCTCTGCATCATCCGAATTCTCTGGTGAAGCTTTGTTGGGACGTAACCCTTGACTGCCAGTTTGCGAGCCTGAGTTTGAACCAGTTGTTCCCAATGGTGACACTGTCGGCGGTGTCAATAAGACTGGCTTGATGAATGGACCCGAGGGGTGATAGGTTTTAAAGAAGACTCACGTGTGGACAGCTCAATTGAAGTTTCATGTCCAGATACCGCTGCTGAAGTTGTAGGGTTCATCGGACCGATCGCTCCGGTGTTGTTGGGACTGAGTGAAGTGGAAGTTGTGGCAGATTGAGGAAGGAGGGACTCGGGTGACACAGGCGATATTGGGGATCGTGCAGCACTGCGCTCTCTCCCTCGCGCGATAACTGCCCGAGCACTGGCAAACGTTTCTGGACGTATCGCTGACGCTGGAGAAACACTTCTTGAACTACTGCTGCTTCGAACAGTATTTTCTGAACCATTTGCTGCTCTACGAAGAGCAGCAGATGAAGGGGCGTATACAGAAAGTGCTCTTCCGGGTGTGACCGGCGGGGTCACAATGGAGGGTTGAGTCCGGGTCAGTGTCGAACTACGGAGCCGTCATACATGAGCTAAGGGAATAACCAGTCCACTTACCTCTCTGCTACCTTTTCCACACTCTCGCTGGACTCAGGTAAGGCCAATGCTTCTGAGAGCATGCTGCATTTCGACCAATCAGCACAAGCACACAAAGATAAAATTGGAAGCTGACCGGCCATTTGCCCTTCCCACACTAGTATTTGTTGACCCTGGTGGTCGTTTCACGGAAGAAGATGGGACCCTACTATTGCTGGAAGCTGACGCTATGCTTGAAGTCCGTGACCGAGGAACAACTAATTCAGGCTTGGACGATGAGGAAGACGTTGTTCGAACTCTGAGCGAAGGTTGCACTTGTTTTTGGGCGGAAGCCGCAGTGGCTCGTGAGAGAGACGAATTTTTAGAGGGTAGATGCTTCGTTGTGGATGTGGTCGTTGCGGCAGACGATTTAGAGGAAGAAACCGTCCTTGTGCGACTGGAAGAAGGGGCATTGGTGGTGACAGAACGCGCTGAAATGACTGCACTAGGTGGTCGCAATTGTGAGCGAGGTGGAGGCTCAGGAGCAGCCATGGCTGTTGGACCACGAGAGAGGGTTATCAGCGTGGAGCCAGTTCGATTTGCAAAAAAACCGAGTCGTGGTCGGATGTCAAGTAACTTGTGTGTCAGAGACTGAAAACGTCGTGGTCGTTCGTTGGTATCGTGCAAATGGCGTGAAAACTGTGAGGAACAAAAGAGTGGTGGATGAAAAGAGCGGGTAGAGTTTTTACGGAATGAATTGAGACGTGTTACACTCGACGCGCCAATAATTGATCGCACCTCAAGCTTACGTACTTCTTCGACTCATGCTCCGATCGAACGATCGAAGACCGACGACTGATGCCCAGTTTTTCTGCAGTTAAATTGCTCTCAGTAGACGCACAACGACTAACCTCGTCCTCGGAGTTTCTCCGGAAGAAGATGGTTCAATGTGACAAGCACCCCCACGAATAGATTATTTGGAGGTCTACCAACCGGTATAACGCGAAATGTAATCCTAGATTGTCCATAAAGTCATCACAAGAACAGCGTAGATGCCATGACAGATGCAAAGAGTGAAGCAACAATGGGCCAAACCCTTGTGTATGATGAAGAAGGTCCAAGGGCAACAGCAGCACTTGAGCCTGAGGTGGACGGCGCGCTGGAAGCAACGCTGCGTGTTGGCGAACTGAGTGAAGCAGGTTTAGAAGTACCTGAGCTTCCTCCTGGTACGATTGACGAAGGGGCAGGGGCTACGCTTGAAGGAAGGCCTGATGGAGGGTTGGAGTTGCCAGTATTTGTGGTGTTAAAGGTGGGGGCTGCAACTGCCTTTGAAGGGTCAACAAGCGCGCCTTTTCCCCAGAGGACCGGCTGTCCATCAGCTCCCTTCTCAGTCTCAGTTGCTTCGACAGTTGACCCATCCGCCCCAGTTATGGTAAAACGCGTGGTCCAGGTGAAGTTGCTCGTTCCAGGTGCAGTGAATTGGTAGAAGTAGATTGCAGCATTCGGAGTAACCTGAGGACCAAGATATAAACTGATTCAATTAATGGGCGAGGAACTCACCTCCGGGCAGGTATAATCGAAAACACCGGTTTTCGTGCCATCTTGTCCCGTTGCTACGGCTTCATGGCAGAGTCAGGAGAGCTTTGATTGTCAGAGTTTTAGGCGCACTGGTGATATGAATCATGGCCTCATTAGACCCAGTCATAAGTTCGATGGCCATGTTCGACCAAGCAGTAGATGACCCAGAGTCAGAGTCACCCGCCCAGCTGATATGGCACGTAGAACCCTGCGCAAATTTATCACCAGGCCCAGGCGCGTTGGGAGTGACGATGGCGAGGGCACGGGAGGCGAAAATGGCGGTGAGAAGGACGGAGGAGAACATGTTTTTGGGAGGACTGGAGAAGTGTAAGATGAGATGAAAGAGAAAAAAAAAGTAGCCAGTACCTCGTCGGGATTATGAGGGCAGTATTTATGGTGTTGAAACGAGCGACAGAAAGAGAGGGACAAGAGCAGGGGTCTGTCACGTCGTTGAATATCGACGACATGATGCATCAGCATCGCCTTTTTTTTGAATATTTTAAATATATTTTTATGTAGACTTTCTGAAGTTACTCGTGATGAATCTTGAAAGCAAGCAAGTGAGAATGCGGGAGAACATGTAAAAAACAAACCTCGTGTGCCAGCTGAATCCATTCGGTCAGTGCCCTCGTGTACTCGTCTCGCCCGGGATCAACTGGAATGTCTGGATGCCACAATACCAACGATGAGAATCTCGCGGCGGGTTTCAATGTTCGTAAAGCTTCTTCAACAACAACTTCCCGCTCTTCGTCATCAATCTGGGCAGCACTACCCCGCGTCGCTCGGGCTTGCCTCGACTTTGGTACGATTTTTGGCTTTGTTGTTACCTTGGTTTTGGACACGTCGCCATTGAAAATAACTCCAGTGTAGCCTTCAGGTAGCACCAACTTGAGACCGTGCATGGCCCTCCCTCGAAAAGTCGCCATTAGTCGCGTCGTGGCTTCAGCGATATCTCCCTGTAGCTCTTGATCCCCCGCCACAACACCGCAGTCCACCTCCATTTCCTCTTCCTGGCTTTCTGGTGTCGGTCTCGCAATAATTTCCGGTGCTGCTTCGACAAGAAAATATGTCGAAACAGGGGCTGGACCGTCGTGTTCGATGTTGAAGGGCATGAGATTGGGCGTAGCAAGTGGTGGCATTGTCCAAAGACGCGAAACGTAACGCTCTGTCACAAATCACGAGGCTCGACTGTCAGCTTCGACAGATATATGAAGCTTCATAGTCCGAGTCTGCCGCAAGTCTCGGATTTCATTTGGTCATCAGCTATCATCATGAACTGGGGTCAATCGACATGTCTCCGGGCTCTATCGTAGCGCGACTCGCCGCTCTCCGCTGTTCATGCATAGCCTTGCGTTCCTCTGCCTTGGCCATCAACACAGTAATCTCAGCCTCCAATTTTTCCTACATGAAGTTTAGCTGCAGGTAACAACAAAAAAGGAGAAAACCCACCATCTGAGTGTCAAGGTGCGATTTATCAAATATGGAATATGAAGCAGGGGGTGCTGATGCATATTTTTCGCCTGCTATGGGTCAACAAGTTTGAATAGGTATAGCTTGATTTTCACCAAAAGCAGCGTGCGTGAATACAGCGGCCATAAGCTCATGGTTCCGACGATATCTTGTCATGGCTAATGCTTTTGTGGTGATACTGCTTTCGTACTCGTCTGGAACATGACTTGGTAAGCAAATCACCCAGACCGATAGCAATGACTGACCGCCGGATTCCTCTTCGTCTGCTCGGGGTGGAAGCTAGAAATGAATGGTAGAAACACAGACAGCAAATGTTCTTGGAAGAAACCACCACTCACGCCTTGCCTTGCGACGCGGTCGTGCTCCCGTCTTCGCTGCTCAAGCCTAGCCATATTATTGTTTTGCTGAGCGAGCATTTGCTGCGAATTGAACTGCATTGGCATCGTGGGTCTATCTAACGGGCCTGCCGCGTTGACTTTCTGGCCCGCCTTTTCTCCAAGAACGTAGACGCCCTCTGATCCAACGGGGCGTAATGGATATTCCCGGACTGGCTGATTCATATGGGCAGCTTGGATGGCTGCAAGATGAGATGCATAAGTTGAAACGAGAGAGACGGAGATTTTCGTACGAGCAGTTGGGCCATGACTGTAGTGAACCAGCCAAAGCTGAGAATATCCGCCACGGATGAGACGAAATCGTCTACGAACACGAGCTGCCCCAATGGTATTGTCTTGTCCAGGCACAAATCCATATTTGACTTCGTGCACTTCCAATTCCTGTCGCAATTGAGTTGATCGTATGGGGAATAGACTCTCAGAACTTTATTTGCTCCCGCATTCACGACTCCTTTACTTTCTGGTGCTTGGTAGCGAATCCCGTCGATGGGGAATGGGGCTTGATTGGATACGTGTACCAGATAAATTTCGCCATCTGTACGCGTAAGTTGACGCGCAGCATTCGATTAGAACAATTACCAGCTGGTCTATCAATGTACCCCCACTGGAATGGTGTCTGTGCGGCAATTTGGTGACCACGTTGTAACAGATTCAACGCTACAGTAGATTCAGAGGGGTGTCCTGCAGTTCAGCATCGAATACCCGTCTCCATCGTCATTTCTGAGTGGACAGCAAGGACTTGCGGGAACCGGAGACAAAGGCCTTCGGCCGAGCCGTTCGATGGCTGTTGGAAGGAAGCCATTGTACGGGTCACAAACCATGTGAGCGTGACACACTCTCTCCAGCTTTTCATCAACTTTCTACTTCAAAAAATTATTATTATTCTACATAGCTGACAATTCCACTTGTAGTCTGAATGTCTGTCGTCGATTGGCGGCGCCCCAATGTAAAACGTCTCAAGTACTAGGCAAAAGCGTTCCACGTCACACACCGACGTCTGACTGAAGTGGATGACCTGCGTCGGCTGCCACACTGACGTTAACAAATTTGCCTGGATGCCTCTTTCTCTGAGTTGCTGACCAAAGGGTTACTGATGTCAATGTGTTTTTAGTTCATAAGTAGTTCAGTGAGGACGAATACTAGCATGGATTCTCTTCTCTCGAAATTGGAAACTGCGGTCGGGGTTGCAGCCACTGAGCACTAGCGATCAGGGCTTGAGATTTAATTATCGCATATTAATCACTCCGTAAATGCATCAACTGCCACTCTTGTCCAACAGCTTCGAGTTGGTTATAGCTGGCTTTAGCTATGCTGCCCTGTCTTCCCGCCCACCATGCTGCTCCCCACCATCGCATTATCTCTACCCTCAGAAATATGGCTCCAGGTTGCCCAGCATCTTCCACCGACAGAGGTCGGTAACATGTACCCGCTCAACAGCCAGTGGTGCGCATGTTGCATTTTTGGTTCAACAAACCGCTCATTCATTCCGAATAGGTTCGAGATTGCCATGAATGCGCGGTACCAACACACCAGCTTTGCCTTCCTTGGACGGCCAATGCTCAGAATTTTAACTCGACTACGGTGTGTAGCGGTTGGTTCCACAAAACCAAAGTTAATCGTTGCTCAGTGACCCGGCGGTAGCTCAAAGAGTCAGAACACTACACATCCATCCTTATTTCGTGAAAGAAGTCGAGGAACAGACGGGAATCCTTATAACAACCCATTGTCGACGCAAATTCAAGATAGGGGGCTTTCTACGTCTCGGACGCTGCGCTCGTACTCCACTGAGCATACAAGAACTTGTTCCGATGATGGTGGAAGTCGTTTCTGGTCTACCCAACCTCACTGCATTCAACATCGCCTGGAATGGCCTTGAAACTATCCACGACCTGCCAGTGCCAATCCTTGTCGCCGCATTTCGCCCTTCTCTTCTCCGTTTGACGGTGGAAATATCGCTGGAGAAGACCGTGAAATTACTGGCGCATACCGCTCGGCTGGAGAATCTTGAAGAACTCGATTTGTTCATTCGGCTCGATCATCTCTATTCAGACGAGGCTTATAAGCAGATCCTCGTCAGTCACGTTGCACCTGCTATAAATCGACTGCACAAGACCCTCCAAAAACTCTCATTACGATTATGCGAGCCGATGGATGTTGCTCCCTTGTTTGATTCTTTACAAGTCCTTCCCTTTCTGGAGTCAGTGGCTATCTCGATTCCACTTGCGCGACCCCACCTTGGCGATCCGTCGGGTCTAGGAAATTTCTTTGAACGCCAGCGCAACACGCTGAGAAATGTCGCCCTCCGCTCTTCAGACCTCAGTGGAGATGGGCTTGTTTCACATGACGGCCCTCTCTCCGAGTGGGTCAATGATGCACTCTCATTTGTTGCGGGTCCCACTCATTTACGCTCGCTGGACATAAGCCTAACGTTGTTCCCTTTGGAAGCAGCAGCGCTTTGTCTGGGTCTATTCGCACGCTCCCTAACATCCCTTACCCTCACTGGTCGACAGCTAACTTATGATTCTGTTGACGAGCTTCTCGGTGCCGTTCGACGCGGCAGAGAACTGCAGAAACTCCGTCTTGGGACTGTCACACTTTCCCCAGAACTGATCGATCTTATCGCGGAGAAACTCCCTGCTCTCGAGCGATTGGACCTGACGATTCACGAAGTTGTTGGCTCTGAAGGTGAACTGCTATATCTCGAGCACAAAGGCGACCAGATTCAAAGCTTTCTTTCGGAGATGGAACAGCGTAGATACCCGGAATGGAGCTTACATAAACTGGCACTATCGTGGACCTCGTTTCCCTTTCAAGTTCCCTACGCTTCAATTTTCGCGGAGTGTATACCTTCCTTGCTAAGAGTTTGATCCATCATTGTAGTAGAATTCTTAGGAATTGCGATTTTCGCGCCATGGAAGGCTTTATCTTCAAAGCAGTTCCCGAGCTCGAAGGGGCATGTGACAGGATGCGGACCAAGACACAATTGTCGGATAGAGATGCGAAGAAAGCCAACTTTTGGCGGAACGGGACTGAGATAGTGTCAGTTCATCGAGTCCAGTGGCAGACGAGCATATGTACCGCTTGACAGCAGGAAGAAGGTTCTGGTTCAGTTTTCCGGAAATCGCGGTGGATTTGAACTTGGTCAAGTCAACGACAGCATGGTCGGAAGAAAATAGTCGATTTGGCCGAGGAGAAATTGGGATCGGAAGAGAAATTGGCGATTGCATTGAATGGACAGGTGCTAGACGAGCTCTTTTGAGTGGTCGATGGTTGATTACTTCAGAATAAGAGACATCGGCGGGAGATTCGAGAGGGCGTTTGAGGGTGGTTTGAGGAAGAATGTCAACATACTGGTCTAAATATATTGAGGGTTCGCCACGGACCGAGGTGTGGTTTACCATCGAGAACATAGTCAGAAATCGGGACAGGAAATTGTTCAACGAGACATTTAGAAATCCACGATGAGTGGCGAACCTATGAATGTTAGAGGATGCTGGATCACGTGTTTGCCCTACAATGAGAGACATAGATAGCAGTTTTGAGAGCATGGGGTCGCCTTTACCCACGCAAAAGCAAACATTGACGTGCATGAAATCGGATTTGGAGTTGGGTTGAACAACGGAGCCACCATGACGGACTGATGCGTAGGTGAGTTGACAGCCATTCGATGTATAGACTAACCGAATTCCTCACGAATGGAATCATCGACAGAGCGAGAAAAGAACGCTAGGATACCACGGAAGAGCATGTTGAGTGCGGTGATTGACAGTAACAGGCTGTCACAACGGAAGCAAAGCTGGGATTTGATAACTGATCCAGGCTTGTCTGCAGACGCCCATGGACTTTGACGGGCAGCAACACTATGCAGCCCCAAGATGGCCACCTCCTCAGCAAGCCCCTCCAACTCAATACCCCACTGGACAATTCATGCATCGATCCAGTAGTTTCTCTCTCGCTCAATATCGGTTCGTTGTCTGTTGCTTCACCGACCAACTTGTCTCCCATTGCGCCGCCATCTGGAGCACTGAGTCCAGCCACTCCCATCAGCCCGGCCTACGGAAACCATCTCCACCCCTTCCAATTCAACCCAGACGCGGAAGCGTCGTTCGAACACGATGTAAATGTCACCCATTCACAATCGTCAACTTTACCGCGAAAACGCAGCTTTTCATCTGACCCGGCGCCCAATTCTCGTGCCCACACTCCCAATATAACAACGCCGGCACTCCGAATCACGACCGACACCGAAACACTTTCGCCTCGTCCCCTCTCTCCCGTCAGCGCCAATCCAACCAGCGCTGGTTACGAGGACATGGAAATGGGTCTGAGTGTCGCATATGACGCTAGCAGCTCGCCGGTGGATGGTAGCAGTGGCAGCGGCGACGACGCAAAAATTCCAGTTCCCAGTCTCGTTGCCAACATGGGTTCACTGAACAAGCCGATGGCCACCAACAACTTCGTCACCAAGCTTTATCAGATGATTAATGATCCCAAATCCTCCCATTTCATTGCATGGACGGAACTTGGCACTTCCTTTGTCGTCAGCAATGTCGGAGAATTCAGTCGTAGCATCCTCGGCAGCCATTTTAAGCACAATAACGCACGTTTTCATTTTTACCTTGGTTGTTGGAATTTCATCGCTCATTGCCTCTCAGTTCTCTAGTTTTGTCCGCCAGCTTAACATGTATGGCTTCCACAAAATTAATCGCACTCCCCGGGCACAACGGACTACATCTGATGCGCAGACTTGGGAGTTTTCACATCACAAGTTTCTACGGGGTCGCCCTGACCTTCTCGATGAGATAAAACGCAAGGCGTTGGAGCCTGACCCAGGCCTGAAGCATCGTGTAGAGCTGCCGGGAGAGGTGCGTTTTTTGTTTGCAAGAAATCAAATCCGTTCTGATCGCTCTTAGGTTGCCGCTCAGCTAGCTGCCATGCGTGAAGAAAACCAGCGCATGTGGGATCAACTCAGTGCTGAACGTCGTCGTGCAGACAAACTCGTTTCAGTCGTGAGCCGGCTCTGGGATGTCGTCGGCAAAGGGTTTGGTGCAGGAAGCGGTCAGTATGATTATTCTGCTAGTTATTATCCTGCTAATCCCCGCATTTAGTTCCCGCTTTCCCTATGGAACTGCTTGAACCGAATATTTTTGTGACTTCTCCTCGCGGTTACGAGTCAAATTCTCCGGCAGGCGAATACTCCCACCCACCTCCACCCCATCACGCCCCCTCCCACTCATTGTCACGACAGCAGAGCTTCCAACATATGACATTCGCTCATGGCCGGGAGACGGGCTCTCCAATGCCAGCTTCTCCAAGTTCGATTGCGATGGATATGTTCGATGATTCGGAGCCTCGAAAGCGACCGCGGATGATGCCCACTGAGGAAACCCATCCAAATGGTAGTCCTCATCCACACCATTCAGCCAGCGTAGACTCCCTGTCACCACCCAAGCCACGTGCCAGTCGCGCACGAAGCGACAGTGCTCCCCTTGGCTATGCCATCCCTCCCAATAACCTTGGGCCTTCTTGGCCAACACCAACGGGTGGGGGTCGTCCCCGAAGCGGGAGTGGACTGTCTCACATGGGTGCGGGTCGTGGCTCTATGCCCATTGGCATGGGAGGAGGAATGCCCAATAACGCACCCAGTCGTTGACCAAAGGGCCAACACTTTTATTATCTTGGACTCATGTCCCTTAGACGGACTCGTTCGCTCTCCCCTTCCTCCCTTTGTTATCCATTTCGATCTGTATCTACCCTTACCCGTTCCTCGCTCGTCAACCCTTCACTTTCCTTGTTTGGAGGAGGTATGGCGACACTATAGCATGTAGAATCCTGTACTACCAGTGGAAACAAAAAAGCACCAAGTCTTTGTATTAGTGTTACACGACAGAAGAGTTGCCAGAAGTCGCATCATCTGGATTGGTCCAAACGTTGGCCTCAAGATCGGATGGTAAGAACTTCTGTTGGGGAACTTCGGAGGGCAAAAGCCCAAAAGAGGCAGGGTCCTGAGCCGCTGCGACACCCAATGCATCGAGGAGTAAGCTATACGTTGTTCTCTCATAGTGAATGCATCCTTCATATTCCCGCACTCACTCGTTTTCAGCTTGGAGTTTGTTTAATTTCTCAATCGCCAAGTCCAATTCTCGCAGGTATGCTTGCTGTTTCTATTGAAAGGTATTCATTAAGATCACGTGTTTAAGGAAAGGCATACCACCGTCACACGGTCGTATCTATCGCGCATCATGTTGAATCTATGACTGGGAGTGAGTGAAAGCGAGAGCTCAGAAACCGAGACCGCCACTTCTCTCGAATTTTCGACTTTTGGAACGGATTAGGCTTTTTTTCGAATACCCAGGGTTAATGACGGGCGACAACTACAGAGCAGATTGAACCAACCACATAGGGAATCCCAGAGTTTATCGAGGACAACGTTTCCGGCGGAGGAGTAGCATCACGGTCGGCGTTGACAGGGTTCACTAGAAGCCGAAAACGGTGTTGGGAGGTCTTGCCCGTTGACCATGCAGCGTCGTTGTTGTTGTTCTTTGGGGGCATGAAGTCAAAAGGCGGCGTTTCCAAATGAGGGTGATGCGATTTGTGATTGACTGGTGATTACTAACTTATTGGTGAGATCATTCCGATCGATGGCTGTACTCTACCCTTCTATGTATGGAAATAATCTGCATTTTCATAATGTCTAGGGTTAAGAGGTCAAGGAACTTGCCAGCTAGCGGGGCGAGGCATGAGCCACCGCTAGCGTTAGATAAGCTAGCGTGGGGGCACTCGGCCAAAGCCGACCCTGACATCATCCTTTAGCGGCTGACATCATTTCAGCGCTTGCTCGACACCACCATATTGTGTGGCTTCAAGACTTTTTTGCGCGTTCCCCGCCCACCCTCCTCACGTGCTTTTGGGGGGGTCCGGCTGCTCGCTTATGGCATCGGTTCCCACCCAGTGGTGCATCGTGCTGGCCGCAGGCTGCCCCCGAGTTTTGTCTCCCGCCCAGAGCTGCCTAAGTTGCCCTCTTGTGGTTGGGAGCTCCTCGGTGAGCGTCTCCTTTTTCCCGGAGTTGCCTAAGTTGCACTCTCGGGGCGGAGCGTCTCATTGTGGCCTTGTGGCCAAGCCTGGCACATTGATACCTATGTATCATGCGCTTATGCGCTCATACATGAATTTTTGCCTCCCCCGTCTCTTTGGAGATTTACGTATTCATATTCCCTACCTACCTACATGTACTACTCCCGACGGCCAGGCACGACGAGCTAGCTTATAGTCCTGATATCTTTTATATTGACATCTAAGATTCTGTGCAAGCCTAAAATAATCAAGGGAAGGTAAAAAATAGAAATATAGGTGCAATTATAAAATTCAAGACCCTACTAGGGAATACCAAGTATGACATATGTGATCATTGCCTATTTAGGCAGTGATATATGGCCTATCCCAGAAGGAAGTAGCAACATTAAGATACTTGAAGCAAGTCTAGTAGCTGATACAAGCCTTGACTTGCCTATTATATGAAAACTGGCTATTGTTGAAATAAGTATACAATGATACTATTAAAATATATGACAAGACTGACTAATATGATTGGATAACTAATGTTAGATGCAAGCCTTATATCACCTTGGAATTCTGGAAATATTGGGCTGCACTACTTTATAACTATAATCAAAATAATTAGCACCAAATCAAACATTTAAGGCAAGCTGGGGATACCAACTAACCAGCACCATATACATTGATGTTATTATTATCACAAATAATCCTAGTGACCTCTCTGTCCTCATAGCCTTGGGCAACTATGGCTGCATAAAGTATTGTTCTCGACTAGCGCCTTTCCTGGGACGACTCAATCTGCTGTCCCTGTTGGTTGGCCAGGTGTTGGAGCATGTGATGACTCATGAGCTTCATTCAAACCCTCCGAAAAACTGGGACGATGTGCAAACTGTTGTTACGTGGTATCAACAAGTGATAGCACAAACGATAGAGATCTTGGAGAATGTCACGGATAAGACCCGGCCCGTCCGCTCCGGCGCTGGTGTCGGGCCATCGCGGGCCCGTAGCACGCAGCACATGACGACGGGGAACATGCGCCCCAGTAGGAGGAACGCACATGTGGGAAGCATGTGACCGAGAACGACGTGTTGAGCCGTCGCCGAGCCCAACTTCGATACAGTACATATAGCTGCATCTATGCAAAAGATGTGGGTACCATCCCAAGGGGGTAATGCAAAAGATGTTGTGACAGATGTATTTCATGAATTTCTCACTGGAATCAAGAGATATGACTAATATAAGAATACATATAGGAAGATAAATCACCTTTTCTTTGGGCCAAATTGTCAGGGGAACCTCCCTTTCGGCCCCTCGGAGATGCCTCCGATTCCGGTCCGACTCCGGTTCCGTCTCCGGTCTGGCCCTCCATCTCGCCCGCACAATCACCGATCCGTCAACGCCCTCCCAACGGTCGCCCTGGGACCTTGCCTGCGACGCCGCCCAAGCCTTCTGTGCCCGACAGCGGCAGCTACGGACAAGCAGTATATAGTCAGCTCCCTAGCAGGCGGACCCTTAGAGTTTCTTCTCTTTGGATCCTCCCCTGCTAGGTCAGCTTCATTTGTATTTGCTTACCAATGTTCACGCTTTGGATCCTCCCCTGCTAGGACCTTGATCTCAGGCCTCCGGGGTTGCCCTTACAGCAGAAGAAACTCTCTACGGGATCAACCAGACAAGATTGCTAGGTTCGGCGCTGACTCAGGCTCGGAATACAAGTCCGTTCCGCCCTCGTCACCGCCCCTACCACTTGTCCCCTCCTCCTCTGTCACTCCTGTCATCCCCGCACCTGTCATGCCTTCCGGAGCTACTCCTGACGCTGACACTCGGCTGGATGCACTCGAGGCGAAAATCGACCACCTAACTGAGGCCCTTACTCTTCTCACCACCCAGGCTTCCGCTGCCGCTGCCGCCGCTAATACTGCTGGCGGACCCCAAACAACACCACCCCCGGAGACGTCAATTCCGACTCCGACTCCGGTTCAGGGCGATTCCGAGGCCCTCTTTGGCGACATCAACCTCGCCTCAAAATTGGTCTTGCGACCAAACCCTCCGTTCACCTTCAACGGCGATCGGAAACGCGGCCGCGCGTTTCTCTATGCGGTCTGCACCTACGCCCGCCTTGCCCCTGAGGCCGTGGTCAACGGAGAGGCGAGCGAGGAAAAGGCCGTCCGCTATGCCATGTCGTTTATGGCAGAAGGACCCGCTCAGCAATGGGCGGAGCGCCACGGAAGCAAAGCCCCCGTTTCCGTTTCCGTCCTGGGGCTCGTTTGTTCCGAGTTCCGACTCCGGTTCGTCGAGGAGAATGAGCAAGATCATGCTCTCTCCAAACTGGAGACTTCCGCCTATCACATGGGCACAAAGGATGTCTACCAGTACACCCGACGACTTCGAGGACCTGATGGACCTCGCCGGATTCAAGACGCGTTGGTCAAGGTGACCAAGTTCCGCCACGGACTTGACCCCCTGATCAACAACGGAATCACGTCCTCGAATGACCCCCCGGACCTCCGGGACTACCTTAGCTGGCGCACCCGGGCCTTCCGTCAATACGAGGCCCTGGTCCGGGCCAAGCTGATCAAGTCAGCCGCCCCCAAGACGCCTGGCGGTTTGATTCGGACTCCGTTTCCGGTCAACCGCATCCCGGCTCCGGCCCCTTTCCGCCCGGTGGCTCCAGTCGTGCCACCGCGGCCCGCGCCCCGCTCCGGTGCCTCCAGCTCCCGTCCCCATGGAGTTGGATCGCACTAGGGCTCGGGGTGCCCCTCGTCGCGCCTGCTTCAGGTGCGGCGACCCAAACCATCTCGCCCGGGATTGCCCCCCCGGACGTCCGCTCAATGGACATCCTCGACGAGGTGATCCAACAACTCGGTGACGAGATGTTAGCGGAGTTGATCGCCCGCTACACGGACACAGCTGCCCTGCCGGAGACGGCAGTGGAGTCGATGGCCGGAGAGGATTTTGTCCCCGCGACGAGTGACTGGTGTGCCCTTCGTTGCGTCCATAAATCGTTTCGCTTGTTTGTATGACAAATCAATTCCTTTGCCCTACAACGAGCCTGAAACGAAAGACATACCCCCCCCGCCCCGTTTCGACTCCGTCTCCGACTCCGCCCGCGACTCCGGTCATCGTCCCCGCCGCCTCACTGCCTGGGAAAAGAAATTGCCCAAGCAATACACCGTCGCTGCCTCCCCTGGAGTGAACTCCCTCCACCTCCCGTTGGAGCTAGAGTCCACCACCAGTGCGTTGAAGCTCTCCCTTTCTGGGCTTGTTGACTGTGGTGCCACCTCCGACTTCATTGACACGAACTACGTCGCTCGGAATGGCATTCCGGTCCGCACCCTGGCGCAACCGATTCCGGTCTTCAACGTCGATGGCACTCCGAATGATGCTGGCTCCATCAACCAGATCGCGGACTTGGTCTTACGCTACAAAGGCCATTCCGAGCGTGTTCAACTTGCCGTCACCCATCTTGGTAAACAAGACCTCATCCTGGGGTACTCCTGGCTGCGGAAGCATAACCCAGAGATCGATTGGGAAACCAAGGAGGTCAAGATGACGCGGTGCCCTCGCGGCTGCTCCACTTGCCGCGAGGAGGAACACGTTGAACGGACTGAGCTACGGCGACTCCGGCTGCTCCAGAAGCGACTCCGCTCCGGCCCGTTCCCCTCGGTCTGCACCATGGACCTTTCTGGGTCTGATGACGGAGACGATTCCGTCTCTGGTGACGACTCCGGCCTGCCTGATTTGACGCCGGACTCCGACGACGACGATGACGATGGTCAGCTTGAAGATGGTGACCGCATCTTCTACACCTCGTTCCGCCCCTCGGAGGAGATACGCGCTGGCAGTACTGTCTCGCAACACCTGGCCGAAGCCTTCGCCAGGAACTCTGCCCCTCCGCCCTCCGACATCCCGGACTGGGCTAAGGAGTTCCAGGACGTCTTCAACAAGGAGTCTTTCGACACGCTCCCGGAACGGAGAACCTGGGACCACGCCATTGAACTCGTCCCCGACGCTAAGCCGACCAACTGCAAGGTGTACCCCATCTCGCCCCTTGAGCAACGCGAGCTCGACGCGTTCATCGAGGAAGGGCTGTCGACGGGCCGGATTCGCCCCTCCAAGTCTCCGATGGCGTCTCCGGTCTTCTTTGTCAAAAAGAAGGATGGCGGACTCCGTTTTGTCCAGGACTATCGGGCCCTCAACGCGATGACCGTCAAAAACCGGTACCCCCTTCTGCTGATCAACGACCTCATCAACCGGCTCAAAGGCGCTCGCTACTTCACCAAACTCGATGTTCGTTGGGGCTTCAACAATGTCCGGATCAAGGAAGGTGACGAGTGGAAGGCAGCTTTCCGGACTAACCGAGGCCTGTTCGAGCCCTTGGTGATGTATTTCGGCCTGACAAACTCTCCCGCGACGTTCCAAACGATGATGAATGATATTTTCCAGGACCTCATCCTTTCCGGAGACGTCATGATCTACCTGGACGACATCCTGATCGC